TACAGGCAAGTCTCCCTTCTTCGCCTTTCCCTTCGCCATGATGTTTTCTGCTCTCTGTCCAAAGTGCTCAAGTTTTTATTTCTCGGCTGTTGCGTCCAAAGTCCTCAGCACAGCTGGCATCGACACCACGCGCCCGCAACTCAGCCATCGCATCGCAGACGCCAAGCGTAGCAGAAGGTCTAGACGTCCTGGAAGACTACTGCGATGAGTCGCCCTGCTGCTCAGAGTCAGGCAGCTCCGGGGAATATTGACGAGCTCAATAAGATCGTCATCGACTATCTCAACAAGAAGGGATACACGCGCACAGAGGCTGTCTTACGTCTCGAGGCGAATCGTACGACGGGCGGTGCGTCTGGCGATGCAAAAGGCTCTGCAGCCTGGCTTGATGGAACGCCACAGGCGTATGACCATGCGTATAAAATGCTCGCTTCCTGGACTGAAGCCTCGCTTGATATTTACAAGCCAGAACTGCGCAAGCTGCTCTTCCCAATCTTTGTGCACTCCTTCCTGGATCTTGTACAAAAGGGCCATGCACAAGCTGCGAGACAGTATTTTGAAGAAGCAAAAGGTGATCATCTCGCAAACCATGGCTACGACGTACGCCAGATGCAAGCGGTCGTACTGCCCACGCACGTTGAAGAAAATGAGCTCGCAAAGCTGTACAGAAATCACAAGTATCGTGTCTCGCTCTCAAAGACTTCCTTTGACTTGATGCTGAATTTCATGTTTGAGAACGAAGCAGAGGGCGGTGCCATCATCATGCGTCTTGTCAACCAGTACATCGAAGTACAGGCCATGTCTGGGCGCCCAGGTCAAGTTCCACAGCAAGCAGAGGGCATCAAGGGCCACAATAGCCAGCAAATTGATGACTTCAATCAACAAGCCCTCAAGTTAGGGGCAATGCCAATGGATAAAGACATGGCCATGGACGTTGAGCTCGAGTTGGCTGATGAAGATGCACAACTTGCTGCTTCAGCGCAACAAAGCCACATTGCTCCATCAGAGCCGACTACATTGCAACAGGATTTTCAAAAGATGCTCAAGGACGAAGCAGAAGGCGAACAGCCGGCGGCCGATGCCATTCCATTTCCACCATACAAGGCCATTGATATTGCTACTGAAGTTGAAAACATCAAAGACGCTCGAAAACGCATAGCACTCGGCTCCGCCCCAGCGTCTCTGCCAAGCGTTTGCATGTATACCTTTCACAACACCCACGACAATTTGCATTGTGCAGAGATCTCTCCAGATTCTAGCATGATTGGATGTGGATTCGGAGAGTCGTACGTCAAAGTCTGGGCGATCAAGGAGAAATCACGGGGCGTCGAGGTCCCGCGAACCACCAAGCGTATGATAGGACATTCGGGCCCTGTCTATGGTGTTGCCTTCAGTCCTGATAATCGATTCTTGCTGTCTTGCTCTGAGGACAAGTCAGCCAGACTGTGGTCACTAGACACACAGACCAGTCTTGTTGCGTACAAGGGCCATAACCAACCAGTCTGGGATGTTGCGTTCAGCCCGTTCGGTCATTACTTTGCCACCGCAAGTCACGACATGACAGCGAGACTATGGAGCTGCGACCACATCTATCCACTCCGCATTTTTGCCGGTCATTTGAGCGATGTCGATTGTGTTTCATTCCACCCAAACAGCACATACGTCTTGACTGGTTCAAGCGACAAAACATGCCGGCTGTGGGATATCGCTCGAGGTCATTCAGTCAGAGTCTTTGCCGGGCACACAGCACCCATCACTGCCTGCACCATTAGTCCCAATGGACGCATGATTGCTTCCGGTGGCGAAGACGGCGTCATTGAGCTTTGGGATATCGCTTCGGGCCGGCGTATGAAGACCATGAAGGGACACGGAAAATCTCCCATCTACTCGCTGTCCTTTTCGCAGGAAAACAGCGTCCTTGTCAGTGGTGGTGCAGATGCCACGGTACGCTGCTGGGATGTGAAGAAGCCAAACAATGACTCGAGTGAGACTGGCACTCCGCTCTCACAGCTTCAGGACGGCGCAGGCACGCTCAACACAAGTGCTGCGCCAGCTGCAGCCACAAAGGAAAGGAAGGAGTTGTTGCAGACCTCAGACCACATGCTGTCCCTCGGGACCAAGCAAACACCTGTTTACAAGGTGCATTTCACAAAGCGTAATCTTTGCCTCGCTGTGAGTGCGAGCGGGACTATATAGCATACCCACTTATTATACACTGATGTTGCCTTTGTGTCTTGCGACTGCTGAACTTTTGTTCGTCGCATCTGCAGCGTAACAAAGTCATCAAGGCCACAAAGCACAACAAGGACGTCGCCTATTGCAGGCCACCATGAAGCGAGCTCGGGAAGCTTCAGAGGAGGTTGCAAGCTCAGATAGCTGCTCTAGATCTGCCCACTCCTTGGCGAAACCGTTTGTATGCAGCCATGATGGATGTGACAAACGCTACAATAAGCGCGCCAAGCTTGCCGACCATCAACGAACGCATACAGGCGAACGACCCTTCAGTTGCGATGCAGTTGGATGCAACAAGTCATTCTATCGAAAGGCACACCTGCAGGCGCATGCGCGGTCGCATCTGCCGAAAGAAGAGCGGCCTTTTGAGTGTCCGCGGGAGGACTGTCAGAAACGCTTCACAACCAATCAACATCTTCGTCAGCATGCTGAGCTACATCTGCGTCCGTCTCTCTACAGGTGTGGGCACTGTGAGCAGTCTTTTCACAAGCATCATCAATTGAAGCGCCACGTTGGAGAGGTGCACCTACAAACAAAATCTTGGCCATGCCTGATCTCAGGTTGTGGCATGTCTTTCCACTACGAGTCGATCCTGATCAAGCATGCCAAGCGTGTTCACAACCCAGACAAGCGTTACGCTTGTGGCACAGATGGGTGCGATGAGGTCTTCGGCAAGTGGTCTTTACTACAGAAGCACGTCAACCACGAGCACAAGCTCGTGTGTAGTATTTGCAAGAAGCAGTTCACAGATCATCAAGCGTGGAAGTTACATTGCGAGACGCATGAACTTCCGCTAGAGGAGCGAAGGAAGTTTGCGTGTCATGTGCACGGCTGTTCCAAGCGTTTCACAAAAGCTCATGCTCGCAAGAGGCATATCGAAGTGGCCCACGAAAATGCTCGACATTTTGCTTGCGACCAGTGCAGCAATCAATTTGCGCACAAAAAGACATTGGAAGCCCACGTTGAACGCCAGCATTCTGGTATGATCATTGCTCAACCAAAAAAGCGTCAAAAGAAAGTCATTTCGATCGTGAGCCAGCTCACTGGACTTCACTATGAATTAGGTCGTCACCTTCCCTGCCCGCATGCTGCATGCCAGTATCGATTCTCAAGAAACTACGACTTGGACAGGCACCTCTCCAGCTATCACGCTACTGTACCTGCCACACAAGCACCCGATATCACGACTTGAAGTCGTCTCACCTGTCTGCTTAGGTGCCATTCACAGCATGGATTGGTCCGTGTTTGTGAAATGATTCTAGCGATAGATTTCGTTCAGAATCGAGCGATTATGCATAAGCACGGGCACACACAGGTGCCAGCAAATCAGCCACAAAAGAGGGAAAACTGCACCGAATGAAGTAATGCGCCAATTCTCCGGCACTGCGAAGCCCAAGGCGATGACCATGCAGAGCATGATGAGCAGTATAATATACATCGCCTTGAATCGTCCCCAGATCATTGGCAAGTCACTCTGAACAGAACTCTCTTCCAGCGATTTGGAAGTCGACTCCCATGTCATCTTTCGACCAAGAAGATGAAGCGCGAGACACCGAGAGACATGCATGCTGATTCCTTGTAAAAAGATTGTAGTGATGGCGAAATACTTGAGCGAGTCAAGCAGTCCACGGAATAGTGTGACCTCCTTGACACGGTACCGGACGAAAGGACCAACAAAGGCGTCTTTCAGCCCAAAGATGACACACACTGCAGTCAAGATCTGCAAAGAATCGGTGTAGTAGCCGCGAATGCGATACGGCACCCACCCTAGAAGAAAATAATTTGCCACTGCGAATATCCATGCTAGTCCAATTCCAAAATACGTGCCCATATAGATGAGAGCTGAACACTTTGCTGCGAGGTCGATTGGTGCTGCCACATATTGTCGAAATAAGAACGTGAAAGGGCCCTTGCGCAACCACAAACCAAAGGGGTTAAAAATGAGCTCACTGACCCCAAAGGCATACTTTTCCCAACGGCTAATTTCATCAAAGACGGTCAGTGAGACTCCTTCTTTGAAACCATTGAGACTGTAGCCCGCCATTCTGGTGATATACCCACTGGTCTGTAGCTTGAGAGACATTTCGAAATCCTCACTAACGTGGCTCTCTGACCACCACTGTCGTTCGCCCGAGTTCGTATTGGCGATGCTGTCCATGGCAGACCATCTCAAAAACGCATTGTGCCCAAAGAATGGCGTCGCATCTCCACTAGCTACTACATAGCGTGTCCCAAAGTAATTGCTGCGCGTAAAATGGGCCATGGCCATTTCCCAGAAGTTGTTGTTGCTGACGATGAGAACATCAGATGGGTGCTGCAGTATACCCAATTCAGGAGACTCATGAAACTCCTTCGCGGCGTCCAGGAAGCAGTCCTCCGGTACACGAGTGTCTGCGTCAATCAGAAGAATGAGCTCACCGAGTGACACATCCCCTTCGCACCACAAACCAGGCTGTCGTTCAGCAACTTGAGCAACGGCGAGTCCATAGGTTTCAAAGTCCTGTGAGTAGCCAGCCTGCAGCAAATCTTCAAAGGCATCCTCAATTTGTGAAGAGGCCCGCATGCCGTAATTCATGTTGCTGGCCTTCTTGAATGCACCCACTCTGACGTATCCATCCTGACCGTTGGCAGGGCGGGCGGTCCAGCCGATGTTGTGGAGGTGATAATACTGTTTCCTGGCTAGCTGACCTTCCTCATCAAGTATCTGCATGCCGTCGTCATTGACCACAATACTCGCGGTGCCTCCTTGCGACTCGTAACATGCGATCGCTTGTTTGACGGTCTGCATGGTCGGATCAATCACGTCCCAGAGACCTTCTTTGTATATAGGGCATTGTACAGTGATATGCGGCAATTGTGTCGGTGAGATGACTGTCTGAGGCCGTTTACCAGAATAGTAACGGCTGTTCGTGTTGAGCTGAGAGATGGGACCGGCCAATTGGAAGCAGCCCACAACGATGATGGAAAGAAAGAACTGTTCAGTTAGCATGTGTCAATTTCAGAGGAGGAATATACTGCCGACAAGAATGCGACCAACGGTAAATAGAGCAGGAAGACAGCCTGGACAAAGTTTTCATCCTGCATTATAGCCATGATGACGCTGTGCAGCAACTTGCCACATACGAGCGCGACCAGTACGAGAGTAATTGCAACGATCAGTGGCCACGCTAAAGCTGCAGGCCGAGCGTGACTTGTCTGTGATTCGGCGTCTCTCGAAAGTTCAAGCGAGCTGAGTTCTCGGACGTGAACAACAGCAGATTTGGGCTTCACCTCTCCTAAGTGGTATTTGGTGAGATCTTCTGTGCTTGACGGCCATAACACTGCCGCTAGATCCGTCTCGCACGCCTTGCAACGCGCAGTCAAGGTTTGAGGATTGGTAGACCAGACTACAGCCGCAGCCAGCTTTCTGCATAGCAAGAACCCGTCTTGGCATGCACCGCGCTCCTCTTCGATGTCGGAAATGCTGTCGACAATTTTGATGACACGCCCATCATCAAGTCGAAGCAAATTGTTCATTGGAGCAATCCTGCGAAAGGTTTTTCTGACCAAGTCACTTCTCAGGAACAGCATCGCTTCACAGCGCAATTTCAAAGCCCACTCGAGACTGCCAGTGCTCGAGACATCCAACGGTCGAACAATAAAGGTGTCAGAAGCAGGTTTGCGCAGGACAACACATTCATCGTGCGTGTATGGATCAGTCCACTCCTTTCTAACCGCAATGCTGTACAAATGCTCTGCCATGACCGCAGCCGCATCAATATGGAGAAGCCAGCTTTTGGCTTTGAGAGTTGAAGATTGGTCGATGCCCACCACCGGAAGACTCGCAATCCTGAGTGCCTCAACATCCTTGTCGCGCTTCAAGAGATCCTCAACAGGCTCTACCTTGTTACTTGCTGTCCAAAGACGCATGCTGCTTGCAAGGCCATAGCAGCAGACTTTGATCAACTTGTAGTGAATCAAGAGCCTGGACCATTCATTCTGCAACTGAGACTAGCGCAACACATGTCCAGCACGGAGCTGTAGGGTGTACGTGTATCTGGTGGCGGAGATTAATGGTGGCCTCACTGGTGTGGTGCACTGCAACGGCCAAGATGGTGCATATTGCAAATGTTAAGCCCTGGCAAGGCCCGAATGCGCGATCCGAAACTAAACGGATCACTTTGTCTCAGGAAGCAGAAGCTGCAGCTTCGCCCACTGTCTGTACTTGACTTTGTAGGTCGCTCAAGTGACCTTTAAGATAGCCACCGTTGGTGCAAGACTGTTGCTCTCTAGCCTTGCACGTTCCCAGGTCCAGAAGTCTCCGCTTTTCGGGATTGTAGTATCGACACGTAGCTATTAGCAACTAATAGCAAGTGCCAAGATCCAGCACAGAGTACGCGCAATGCGCCCGGCGCCCGCCCTTACTTTTCATTCTCGAACAAAGGCCATGAGCGGCTGACTCCGTGACCATGGACACAGGTTTACGGTCATTGTCGTTTATTGTCAATGGGGCCATCTTCAAATTTCAATGTCTCAATTCTCGGCAGGGAATGCATCATCGTGCATGACTGAGATCTTCTTGGGTCAGTGTGGCCAACCCTCGGCTGCCCGTGGACGGCTGGATGGTAGAGGAAGGCCCGGGAAGCTGAAGCTCAGAGACTATCCTCTTAACTCAACTTCTCGAAGCATGAAAGCATGAAACACATTCAGCCAGGTCAGCCAGACTTGAGCGGGATTAAACTCATCGAAAGCCGAAGCATCGGGTGGTCTGAATTTTAAGGTGTCGGACCGTCTGTCTGCCAGCTGTGGCTGCTGTGCGCACATCGTCCAGAATTACTGCAGTGTCAATGATGCTGTGAGCACTGAGCAATGAGAATAGATAGTCTGATAGCTGCAGGCTGGAGGCTGGACAATGGACATGCAAGACATTTAGGTGACGCTCTCTCTAACTGGCTCGCCGAAGCGACAGATGCTTCCGAAAGGCTGGCACTGACCGCACTGCCTGGCAGTGAAGAGCTGGCAGCCTGGCACTGTGGCAGTGAAGGATTTCTTCGAGCACGATTGGCTCGCCGACGTGATCAGCCGTGATAGCGCAGAGCGCACCACAGGATTCACAGCGTCTCATCAAAAGCATGATTATTGCACAAGCTGTGAATCAGCCTGTGATTGAATCAGCAATTATAGCTGTAGAGGGCTGAGCACGTTGTGCAAACAACAGTAGCACACTATAGGCTTGAACCTGGCACTGGCAGCCTGGCAACCCTGGCTAAACAAAGCAGCGGGATGTCTGGGCAGTGGGTTGCAGTCGAGCTCGACACAGTGGCGGCCCAAGTTCGCCCAACAGATTGGCAACAATGGCGGGGCGTTTCTGAAATTTTGCAGCAACTCAACAACAATGCTAAGCACAATGAGGATACAAAGACTTGATGCAATGGTCTCGAGGGCTTGCCATTGGCTTGCAACCCGATGACGCTGAACACTTTGCCACACAGTGGTACATATATGATACAACTTCATACAGCCATGACATTGACTTTGGGCTGCAGAACTAACTGATCTCAGATCTCGAACTTCTAGATCAGGCAGCTCCGAACGGGGAATCGGGGATCTTTGTCAGATAGGCCCTGCAGCCTGCAGGCGCAGAGTCCTTCAGACAATCGCAAACAACACATTGAACACAACAATTATGGTTCTGAGCTCTTCTGAGCGCTCTCGCCTGTTGCAAATCTTGTGAGTCCGACAGTCAAGTCGGCTGCATCGTCGTGAGCAGAACCCAAATTGCTCCACACCAGACAATTGTCAAGTTAGATCGCGCATCTGACTGACTCTCCTACACGCGTGCGACATCTCAGTCACGAAGCACGTCGCAAGCGCGCTCCAAGGCCGCCAACTAGTATCCTCATCAGCCAGATATTCTAGTGGAGACATAAGACCCGGCCGCAAGACCCATTCATCTGACTCGCTATGTCACTGATGCACGAGAAAGTGGATACGTGCGACGCAGACATGTCGACTCAGTCCAGGACACATACGTTGCAGCGCTCTGTACGAGTGGATAAATTCTGGCTACGCCAGCCAAGACAACGAGCTGAGCGCATTGGTAGACTGTTACCTCCGATTGCCATGATTCTTGGCTGTTTGCTCGTCGCTGGAGGTGGTTACTGGGGCTACTCTGCAGTTCCAAAGCATCAATACAGGGAGATCTGGTTCGAAGACTTCACAACTGGGAGGACAATTGATCAGGACTTCAACTACGTGATTGGAGTCGGCGGAGAAGGGCAGCAGACATTCGAGTGGACGACTGACCATGCCAACAATAGCTTTATCAAGGATGGCAAGCTCTACATCCAGCCGACAGTCACGCAATGGCCACCACAACAGGACGGCAGCTTCGTCAATCTGACGGCTGAAGGCAAATGTACTCATCCTTATTCCCTACAGGACTGCTACGCTTACCACAACGCATCATCTTTGCAAATCATTAATCCTGTTCAGTCTGCACGCTTGACAACGGCCAATAAGCATGATTTGCGATTTGGCAAGGTAGAAGTGCGAGCCAAACTACCGAGAGGCCGTTATATATGGCCTGCCATCTGGTTCATGCCCACAGATTCTCATTATGGCATTTGGCCGCAGTCTGGTGAGCTCGACCTCGTCGAATCCCACGGTTTCGATCCTACAGAGCCTTTCTCCTTCACTGGCAGTAATTGCCTGACCGGGTCGATCCACCGTGCTCCAGTCAATCTTATTTCACTCGCTACAGGCCCAGACGACAAACTCACGTCATGTTTTCCCCGACATTCTTTGACGGAAGCATTCCACACATATGGCATGGAGTGGACACCTCAAGGAGTACATTACTATCTTGACAGTCCGCTCTACAAGATCTTCCATCAGGATTTCAAGCACGGGCCCGTTCGGGATGCCAAAATGCCTTTGATCGATGATAAAGGCTATCCTGTACCGAATCCCTGGTTCGCATCGCCACTTAAAGCAGCCCCATTCGACAAAAAGTTTCACTTGATCCTCAATATCATGATTGGTGGGACAAATGGATGGTTTCCTGATGATGTTGTGGATGACCACGCATACGGAAATTCCGGTGGTCAGCAATGGCGTCCATACGGAGCGATGCGTGACTTCTGGAAAGCGCAGAGAACCTGGCTGCCGAGCTGGGGAGAAGGCCTAGGGAACGCCATGGCGATCGACTGGATTCGATTTTCAGAACTTGTCGACAGTGAGTTTTGGGAATCACTTCCTTCTGCGCGCCTAGATAGAGGATAGATTACATCTCTGATCAATATTTAAATGTGTCTATGCTATGAAGCCCAAGAGGAATCTGCTGAAAGCTGTTGAAACATCATTGCTGATTTGATCTGCAGAGTATGCTGCTCTGGTTTTCCCCATGTTGATCGCCACGTCTGATTTCGTAGGTTGAAGTTATGCATGGCGGCTTCTCTACCGGCAGCATCGTACCAGGGTTTCTCGTCGACGTCAGCAAAGATTCCCCCGACACTGCCAGCATTAACACGAATGACGAGATGGAAAGCAACATCAAAGGGCGCTGCGCGTGTGCCGTTGGTCCAAGGGTCAGAGTAGGTGAGCCTGGGGTCACCACCCAAGTATAACGAAAAGCCAGTCTTGCGCCAGAAGCCTCGGGGAACGCCGAGTGAAGCATGGTGTTGGAAGGATAATCGAGCCAAATCCTGATAAATGCTGGAGTCCACTCTACACCAAAGGTGTGGAAGCCGGCGCCAAAGTCTGTCACTCCAAGAGAAGCCACGTTCCTGTCTTTATACGCACAATCGCTCGCCAAGATGCCAGCAGCACCATAGTGAATCAAGTGATCAGCTTTGTCGATTCCTCCTGACAAAAATCCTCGGCCGTTGCCACGAATTTGTGCAAGATCTATGCGACCGGAGCCTGGAAAACTTCCGTACGAATCCTCTGCAGGCTCTAAAGATATCGTCGACCAAAGCCAATCACCTTTAGGAAACTTGGCCGTGACACGGGCTTTGCCAAATGTCACTGAGGCCTTGGAGCGCAATTTGGCGGTCTGTACGTGCGGCACAGCCTGGCTGTCACCTGGAGTCTCATCAATCCAAGTAGGCCGAATGTGTAGCATGCTGTCTGCGACCCACGCCACATGATCCGAGTCTACTGCCTGATCAAATGAACCTTCGAAGGACCCATCAGTCTGAAGAATGCTGTCCCAGTCACGTAGTTGGGCCGCTCCGTCCAAGACTTGCATGTATTTGGCTCGATTAGAGCCAAAATATCCGAGTAGGGCGAGGCCTACTATACACATACCTGCGATGATGCAGCCAACCAGGACTATCCAACGCGCCCAAATCTCGGTTCTACCTCCACTTGTACCGAGGTAAGGATTTTCTGAGGGATGTCGGTGGCCGACGCGTCGCCTAGGGCGCAATGGACGCTCATAGTGCAGCAGTAAGCTTGAGCTTGCACTCGAAAGGGATGAACGCGGAGAATCCATGCTTACTGCTACGACGCAAGACGTATTGTGTTGACCAAAGAGCTGTACCTTGTCGCTCTTGTGCTGAGCGTAGACCAGCTTTCACCCGCGAGAACTTACGCAACTGTTCTTGTTGTAAGTGAAGATCAGATGATGTGGGCAGAGGATCAACCCGGGAACAGTGTGGCTCGAGAAGCGATCGCAGGCTGGCCAAAGTCGCCCAATGACAAACTGCTGTACGGCCTAGGCACGTCACAATTGACTAGTAGCAGGACAAGAATCTCGTCGACTGATGTCCGTCAAATAAAGCGTTTCGAACTTTCGATAGCATCTGAGGAGCGGTCTGGCTGAGATCGTCTCACAGCGTTGACCATGCCGTCTGGGCCGTCTCGTTTCGCAGCCACCACCGGCCGTGCGAGCATTGAATCAATAGCCTATAGCATGCTGCATACGACGCTGCGTCTTAGGTACGCCTCTGTTCTTGCCCCCAATTCTTCCTTTTGCAAATGGCAAAGCTAAACCAGTAGAATGGTCGATGAATGGACGTGAACAATGATTGTGCTTGAGCGAAAATATGGGCCACGCCACGCCACGACAGATTGCGATCGCGCCAGCTGCAAGATCTCGACCATTATCTGCGGACAATGCTCACCTCGAATCAAGGAATGAACTCACGGTTGCTGCTCTGTATGGATGGAACCGACGCACCGTCACTGATCAAAGGGATCATGATCTACGAGGCTTCTTCTGCTCGAGGCTTGGAGACTTGCAAGTGTTGATTGGCCACTGCTCTACATATACATTTACAGTATACCACACGGTGACACACCTGTCTTGACTCTTATGAAGCCGCATTGGCTGACTGCATCGCCCAGAGCTAAGCAAGGCCATTCAAGCGTCCTTTAAGCCCGCGTTCCTTTTCCTTATCGAAGGGATGGGAAAAGTCGAAGGGCCCGGACGGCCCTGCAGTTGAGGGCCTCCCAAACCGGTCGGGGCTGCCGGATAGCTTCTGAAATACCTGTAGGTGCTTGCGCAACTTGCGCTCGAGCAATCACAACGGCACGATCATCGACCACTCGCCAGCAATAGATCCTACGCATATCAACAGCGTCGATGAATGGGGCTGTTCAAGAAGTCCACGACAACGGTTGTGCACGCACGACCTATCGAAGAGACTGCAGCGGATGGGGTTCTCGAACTGGTCAATGTTGATGACAAGGTGCGAGATGCAATGATGAATCTCTTCTCGCCTTCTTGGTCACAGAGGAGTGATGAAATGCTCGAATTCATCTACGAAGCTTGCTCTGACCATGACTGGTTTGAGCTCTGGGAAGGGACCACACCATTGATAGCCGTTCGTGTCAATCTCGAGCATGCCGTCTTTCCTTTACACGCCAACAACAAATACGCCTTGACAAGAACACTGGAACGCCTCAACACAAATATATGCTTCATCATGTCTACGGAGTCTGTGGCTGACTTTGTGCGACAGCTTCATCCATCCGCCTTCGTTGCCAATTTGTCAACTGAGATCAATATACAGGTCCGCCGTGACCTGACAGATTTTCAGCATGCGAAGGTCCACCAGTCAGCAGCAATATTGCGACAAACTGGTCAGATTCTCTTCTGGGGTGACGACCTGGAGGATCTGATGAAGTTCGCCACATTGGTGGAAGATTTAATCGCTCAATTTCTATGGCGGCGAAAGCAGACGACAGCTCATGATTTGCCGCATGGTAATCACGATGAAGCCGTCAGCCTGGCAATACAAGAGGAACTCGACCGCCCGGTTCAGATGCTGCTTCCTGTTATGGTGTTTTTGACCATTATGGTCAACTTCATCATTATCGCCCTCGCCATGCGAGCGATAGTGTTTGCCTCGATACGCACCAACAACTATCTCAGGTTCATCTTCGTCCTCTATTTTCCGTTCCTCTTCTTCTTGACATCATTCTTTTCGCTCATGTTGGTTGTCATCGTCATCAACTGTGTCGGGCCGGTGCAGCAGCTCTATCAGAACTCCAAGTTCTACTCGTGCTACCCTCCCAAGCGCATGCTTCGGGTGTTGCCTCATATCACAGTACAGTGCCCAGTGTACAAGGAGGATTTAGGGCAAGTCATTGTGCCGACGGTACAAAGTATCAAGCTCGCAATTGCTACATATGAGAGACAGGGTGGATCGGCGTCAATTTTCATCAACGACGATGGGTTGCAATTGCTTAATCCAGCCCAGAGGGAAATGCGCAAGATGTACTACGCCATGAATGACATAGGCTGGGTGGCACGTCCAGGACATGGCAAGAATGGCTTCATTCGGGCCGGACGTTTCAAGAAAGCTTCCAATATGAACTTTGCCATGGACATTTCTCAGAAACTCCATGAGAAGCTGTGCGATGTCGAAAGATCGTCCGATTGGACTGAGCATGATGAAGCTGATGCCTATCAGGCTTGTTTGAACAATGTGCTAGCACATGAGTTTTCGCGTACAGGCCACGAACCATGGGCTGCCGGCAATATCAGCATGGGTGAGCTCATCTTGCTGGTAGACTCAGACACTCGGGTTCCTCTCGACTGTTTTCTCGATGCTGCAAATGAGTTCCACCTTTCACCCAATGTTGCAATCATTCAGCACAATTCTGGCGTCATGCAAGTCGTACATGACTTTTTCGAAAACGCCATTAGTATGTCTCCTTTTCACTATTCGTCCTTCTAACAATAGCCTACTTCACCCAAAGTATATACTTTTCGCTCCAGTACGCCACTTCTGCAGGTGACACTGCGGCCTTTGTCGGTCACAACGCTTTTCTTCGATGGAGTGCATTGCAAGAAGTGGCCTGGTTTGATGACACGGATGGCAAGACTAAGTACTGGTCTGAATCGCATGTCAGTGAAGACTTTGAGATGTCATTGAAGCTGCAAACTCAGGGGTACATCTCGCGATACGCCACGTACTCCAATGAGGCTTTTCAAGAAGGAGTGTCTTTGACATGCTATGACGAAATGCTTCGTTGGTCCAAATATGCCTATGGCTGTTCGGAACTGGTCTTCAACCCTTTCTCGCAGTGGCACCGAAAGGGTCCTTTCACTGATATTTTCATCCACTTCCTACGATCCGACCTCAACTCTTTTTCAAAATTTACGATGATTGGCTATATTGGAACTTACTATGCTATTGCTCTTCGGCCGCTCCTGGTCGTGAACTACCTCGTTATGGGGTGGTACCGCTATTTTGTCGAACAAGGCTTCGCTTTCTACAATGAAGGCTTTGGAGTCTTTTTGAGTGTCATTTTTGTGTTCAATCTTATCGGGCCAGTCTCAGCTGCTATCATCAAGTACCGTGCTGCCAAAAATGAAACCTTTTGGCGTGGGCTCTACGACAACTTCAAATGGTCGCTACCTCTAATGATTTTCCTTGGCGGTCTCTCCATGCATCTTTCATATGCACTCATCGCACACTTGTGTGACCTCGTTCGTCTATTCTGTAGCTTGAACGTCGCTAATTCCAGGACATTCAATGGGGTGCGACCGCCAAGACAGTCGAGGAAGGCGACTTCTTCTCAGAACTTCCCAAGATTTGGGCAAAGAACAAGTGGATATGGGCCACGTGCCTTGTCTTGGCACTTATGCAGGTTTACTTTGCTGTCTTTGCTGCTCCCTTGAATCGCATATGGTCTATTACTGCAAATTTGCCACTTATATGGCTCATGGTTGCCCAATCACTCGCCCCTCTTATTCTCAATCCGAACGCCTACCCTTCAGAATGGCACTCCGATGTCAAGCCGCAGATACGCCGGCTTGTCGCCTGGCTTTCGCGGATCTTTCGAGTAGTGAAGGAGAAGTTGACTCGAGCGAAAGCAAGTTACATTCTTTTAGAACATTAATCTAGCACAACTTCCACATCCTCACACTATCAATGGTGAAGGCTCTCTCAGACTCAGACTTCCAGGATGGCTCCCAACGCTCACGAGCTTTCATGAAGCCTTGAATGGCCTCATTTCGAGATCCAGACCAAGGCAAAAGGCCGCTGATAGTGTTGAAATAACCATTTGTAGCGCCAACAGCCAAATTGATGATGAGATGGAAATCCTGGTCAAACGGTGCGTGAGATGACCCTGTCGTCCAGGGATTTAAGAAGGACTCAGTCGACCAGGCCGATCGTCCAGCATCAAAATCACCTTGTCCCCAAAAACCGCCCTCGGGAAACTTGAAATGCGCAACGCGCGTAAGTTTTTTGTCAACATAGGTCCTGATGGATCGCGGAGACCACTCTATGCCATAGACGTGATAGCCACTCGTCAATGAGCTCAGCCCTGATGGATACCTCATTCCATCCGTCGTCTTTGCCCATGCATCATAAATGTATGGAATGGCTGGGCCCCAGTGAAGCGTGCTGTAAGTCGCATCATGTCCACCTGGAAAATGCTGCTGTTGCTCATTCACAGAAATAAAATCGACGCCGTTGCCTCTCGATTCCATGATGTCAATCTCCCCTGACTGCGGCCACTTGCCATACGTGTTGTTCGTTGGCATCATCCAAATTGCAGGCCATAGCCAATCACCGACGGGTAGCTTCGCCGTGACTTCGACTCGGCCATAGTGGATCGAGTGAGAAAGTCGAGTGCTAAGGCGTGCAGAGGATATGGGTGGGATCACTGTACCGAGAGAAGTGTTGTACGTTGCTTGGCAATCTGCAACGGGTGACCTGCCCGAATAAGCATTGTCGACCGTGCAAATGCCAAGATCTGTCAGATTGAGTACTGTGCCTTCGGCAGGCGGCCAAGCAGATACGTGTGGCACGAGATGAAGCTTACCATCTTTCACGTATGAGTTGTTTTCAAATGGCGTGGTCCACTCGAACTCGCCCGTGCCATACCCACCAAGCTCAACTTCTCGTTGCCACACCGTCTCGTCAAAGCTGTCGAAACTATCTTCAAAGACAAGACAAAAGGACCTAGTCTCGTAGTCGTTGTAGCCCCCATATGCGAATACCGCGATGATGACCGCTGCCAGAATGACACTGGCTCGGGGTATCCATACTGCCAAGCGTTCCATTCGAGTTTCACGTTGCGCCAGCCATGGCTTCTCGATTGGCCCGTCGATCAGCCGACTCTTGAATGGTTGCGCCAGTCGTAGCGGCACTCGAAAGTAGTCTGGTTCCACATCGTCTAGCGCTCTACTCCAAGGCCCTGTACTCTCTTGAACCGAGTGAAACGAAGATGCATCGTCCATGCTTGTTGCCAGGAGCCATACCGAGGCAAACGAAGCTCATATGAGCTGTAGACACTTGAATCGTCGTGTTGCTTTGTGGTTTGCGCATTCACGCTCCATTGTTTGACTGCAACGACAAGATCTTGCCAAACCGGTTCCCTTCAAGATGCTGCTCTACAGTCAGGACTTCGTCAGCTATGGGATTCTTGCAGCGGATAGGGGCAAAGCGCAATGCTGTAGCAGCGACAAAGGACTGCGCAATCACGACCGTCGTCCCCGATGATTTGTCTTCTGGATATGACGACGAACTTGACCCTCTATGCGCCGATGAAAAGGACGAGTCTGCCTACCAGCATGAGCTCATGCTTCGGCACATCTACAAGCGCTGTCGCGCAAACGGCTGGTTTCTCAACTCTGAAGATGAGATGCGAGTGTGCATGCGGACCGACGGCTATGAAGATGAGCCGTCGTATCTGACAGCGCCTCATACAGAAGACCTCGACGAAGAAGACATCACGCTGCTTGATGTCGCAGGATTTCTTCAATGCCAGGTGGTGGTTGCGGTTACTAGTAGCATCACCATGACCCTGCTCAGTCACTTGCCTCCGTCAGTCAATTCAGTGCCGCTTGACGTCTCGAACAATGTTCAAGTCATCGACACGTATTCAGATTTTGCTTCTCTCCGGCGCGCGCAAGGGACTGCCTTTGTTCGCTTGGGTTCAACGCTGCTCATATGGTCTGATGATGTCAGTACGGTCCTCAGCGCTATACACAAACTAGAGGGGCAAATTGTCAAGCTTGTTTGGAACGGAACAGATAAGCTCGAGCAATATGAGGAATTGGAACAGGGCAATGTTCTAGCGGATCGAGGTGTCAGCCTCCTCACTCCCAGCTGTGTCGGTCTTGCAATACTGGCACTTGCAGTCTTTCTTGGCCAATCTGTTCACGAAATTGTATTGCAAATCAAAGCCGATGGCAACTGGTCTTCTCTCGGTATCATCCTCTACTTTCCAATCACGCTCTGGCTTGCTGCCTTCTTTGCTCAGACATTTGCGCTCGTTGTCTTCTATTTCCTCGGTCCCATGTCGCACCTAGGCCGGAATACCAAGTACTATTCCGCTATCGCACCACCTCGTCGCTCGAATGCTCAACTACCTCAGTCAGTGATTCATTATTGCACAACTCGCTAACAATAGCATCACAGTACAGTGTCCGATATACAAAGAAGACCTCGAACTAGTGATTGAACCTGCTTTGCTCAGTGTCAAGACTGCCATCAAGACCTATGAGATGCAAGGAGGATCCGTCAACATTTTTGTGAATGACGATGGCATGCAAGTCATCAGCGCACGCGAACGACAGAAGCGTCGGCAATTTTACAAACACCATAATATTGGCTGGGTTGCACGACCACCCGATAATGAGCACTTTGTTCGAGCAGGCAAGTTCAAAAAAGCTTCCAACATGAATTACGCCATGTATTTGTCACATCAGCTGGAAGAAGCACTTACTGGGTTCGTGCGTCCAAGCTACTGGACAGATGGAGATGAAACCGCAAAGCAGGCAGAACTTACTAACGACTTGCTGCTTCAACAGCAGCCACCAGCGCTTGGGGACGGCGACATTCGCATCGGCGAGCTCATTCTTCTCATCGACGCAGATACCCGTGTTCCCCAAGACTGCTTTCTCGATGCTGCAAATGAGTTCGCGGAGTGTCCTGGACTGGCCATCCTGCAGCATACTTCCTTAGCGTTCCAAGTCACCTCTGACAATTACTGGGAAGATTGCATGGCCTACTTCACCATGTTCATCGCAGGCGCCATCCAGTGGATGACGGCTGGTGGTGACGTTGCCCCATTCGTTGGCCACAATGCTTTCTTACGCTGGTCTGCTGTCCAAGAGCTCTCGTACGAAACGGACGGACGACGAAAGTGGTGGTCGGAACAACATGTATCGGAAGATTTCGAACTATCTCTCAAATTGCAAAACCTGGGGTACATTGTCCGCCAAGCTTCATACTCACTGGGCGAGTTCAAGGAGGGTGTTTCACTGACTGTCTATGACGAGATTGATCGATGGCAAAAGTACGCGTTTGGCGTGTTTGAGCTCGTATTCCACCCTTTCATGCTTTGGCCGACAAGAGGCCCCTTTACGCCGTTGTTTCGCGCATGTATGACCAGCAAACGCATCAGCGCTGCGTCTAAGTTCACGCTCCTGGCCTACTTTGGCACCTATCCGGCTATTGCCTCTCAATGGCTTCTGACGCTCATCAACTACTTTTTGATTGGTTGGTTTGAGGTCAATATCACCAAGCTCTATCAAAGTTCGTTCCAAATCATCATTGCGACCCTGGTCGTTTTTGACATCTCGGTGCCGTGTGCGAACGCAGTCTTCCGCTTCAGATCACACCAATCCCAGTTCGTTTTCGCCTTGTTGGAAAACTTCAAGTGGATTGCCCTTCTCTGTGTCTTCTTCGGTGGCCTCTCATTGCACATCACAAAGGCTCTTATCTATCATTTGTTTGGCATACCCTTGGTATGGAGTTCTACGGCGAAAACACTTGAAAGGTCTTATTTTCTCAAAGAGCTGCCTATGATTTGGCATCGCTTCAAGTACATGTATGCATTTGTGTTTGTCGCATCTCTGGTCTGCGTTGTGCTGGCTCTCTCGGCCGTGCCGATCGGCTGGCGCATCGAGCCTTCAGTTTTCACTGGTCTTCCAGTTGCCTGGACTTTAGCTTGCCATGCAGCTTCCCCAGTCATACTGAATCCGCAGTCATTCTTGAGCGAGATTCTTTGAGCCACAGTGCAGCCGCCTTATAGCGGAAAAAAGTAGTCGGTGGGCACAGGCTCACCGCTGCCAGTATAAGGCCAGCTGGCACCGAGCTCCTCCCTCCGAGCTTTCTGCATTCATGCAAGATAAATTTGAGTAGATGTAGAATCATTGTCGATATCGCATTACATCAGGTCTTATGCATAGCAGAGCGGTCATCAAGCCGTGACCAAAGTCCTAAGTCAGGGTCAGAGACTCAGAGATAACGGACGCCTCGGGACTCGGGAGAGCCGATTTGGGCGTCGAGTAAAATTGCCTTGGTCAAACGCTCATGGATTCCAGGGGCCCAATAGCCATATACGTATAATATGACTTACTGATAGTGGCAGTGAATCCAGTGATAGAGGGCACTGGGACCGTGACTGCAATCAGCAATTGTCCCTGGACCGATACCGGATGTTGCTCGCATGGTCCGGCCACGCCTGCTGACTTCGAAATAGTAAAAAGGAGACTATTGCGCACTATGCAACAGTCTTCATCACGTCATGAATCCGGACAGATGCGCATACAGTTCTACAAAGCAGACGGTAACAGCCTGACAGGCTAACAGCTCAATGCTGCAACCTTGGCCTGCATGTGCTCATTCGGAGTGGTTGCGCATTGATTTGGATGCCAGTGCTCAGTTTGCAAGGCTCGAGCTCTGCGACTCCGACTGCGAATCTGTGTCCGACTGTCGAGTGTCGACTCTGTCGAGTCTGACGAGCAGTTGATGGCGCAAATCTGGATGCCGGAGAATAGAGCCCAAAGCGCCGAAGCCGGACTTCAGCAGGCAATACCGAATACGCCGTATATATGTTTCAATGTGATATCTTCCATGATCGTACAACCTTTCCGATGAATGTCCAAGGTATCCTGTCAGGGCCGTCACCCGTGTCCATAGTATTATGGTAAGGCCAGACTCGTCTTTGCAAAGGTGGCATACTCGGCAATGACTCCCAGTCTCCCTCTTCGATATGAGCTTTTATGAAGTTGTGCGCTGTAAGCTGTAGCTGTGACGGACTCGACCTCGTATTGTGTGATTCACGAAGGTGAAAGTGCCAACCACACCAGCTGGGTCAGATCTGGCAGATGTGCGTTATTATTGCCATACACTGGCGATTTGTCGAAATCTGGGGCACGGCCGCCCTGGTACTGTGACTCTGTGATTGTGAGTACTGACTAGACTGCACAGTCTTCGGACCCGACCCGCAGACTGAACTTCACTGAAGTAGTGGTTAGCCTGGGTACACTGTAGTGACTATACACTGTACAATCTACAGGCTGTATTAGTGTAGGTCTCGTAATCTTGCCTCCAAGAATCCGGCAGCAAGTTGCCGCTACTGGACTCGATTCCACTGTCGATCCGGAAGAAGCCGACAGATCCTCAGACGTGGCTTGACAGTGGCTTGACATGTCGATGTCTGATTGGCTGTTCCAGATCTGCAGATTCAGGGATCTTCCGAGTGCATCGCCTCAAACTGCCGTTCACGGGGGCGACTTCTTCGCCGACGCATCTACCAGAAGTTCTCGTGTTCATGGAAGACTCATCAGCTATGGGGCTCAGAGGTTCAAAGGCCCATTAGTGAGTTACTGAGGAGCTACAATCATCGTGAGTCAGCTTTCTCTGAAGTCGCACCTGCGGCAATGCGCGAGACCGACCGTCCAGATGCTATTCACTGTATTCAGGCTGCACTGCATGCTCATCGGATGGTCGCGACAACTCCAACGCCACCCGGGCCCACCCTCGCCGCAAATACTTGTTCAGGGATGATCTCCGTTAGAAGCTTTTGTCGGCGAGAAGTCATCGCGTGACTCCGGCTTAATCTTTGTTTGCTGGCCACCTGTCAAGAGTCAAGGATCAAGCAAGATACAGTCTGATACACACATACGGTGGCTCAACCTCGCGATTGCGCGCAGCCTGGGGTAACTTTGCGACGATAAGACGACTCTCCACCGGCGCCCTAATCAGCAAACATATTTGGCATATAAAGCACTTACCCCTCGCACACTACCTTGCCCATCAAACAAGTATGGAGATTGGCGAACTCAACACCACCCGCGTACAGGGCCAGAATGGAGTCAACGCTGAAGAGGCTCATATCCCTACACCTTTCTCAGGGACAAAAGTAGCAGAAAAGCATGCTGTTGATGACACTATCCAGCGTGCCTCGACCTCCAGCTTCGACAACGAAAAGCAAGGCGCATTCGAAGTGACGACAGAAGAGGAGGAAGATGTTCCTTCAAACCTGTACCCTTTCCCCGAATTGCCTGGCGCAGTCGATGAAGGAACTGCCCTCACTATTCGCGCCATTCTCATTGGATGTTGTTTGGGAGCTGTCGTCAGTGCATCCAACATCTACCTCGGTCTCAAAACAGGTTGGACCTTCGGTGCATCTCTGTTTGGATCCATTCTTGGCTTCTGTATTCTCAAACCCCTGTCTCGAATCTCATCACCCTACCTTGGCGGGGGTTATTTCGGTCCCAAAGAAAACTTGACAGTTCAAACTGCAGCCACTGCTAGTGGTGGATTGGGCATCATCTTTGTTGGTGCCGTTCCAGCGATGTATCAGATGGGCTTGTTGAGCGCCGACCCAAAGAACGACATCGGCAAGCTCATTACTTTTTCTGCTTGTACAGCCTACTACGGCTTGTTTTTCGCCATCGCTCTGCGCAAGTTCTACATCTTGAAACTGAAACTCATCTTCCCCTCGCCCACCGCTGTCGCTTACGTTATTCGCGCCTTGCACGCCGGTGGTGCTGAGGCGGAGGCCAACGCCAAGCTTCAAGGTCGTTCTCTTGCCATCTCCTTCACTGGAGCTGCTTTGTGGCGCGTCATTTCGCAGTATGCACCCGGTATCACTTGGGACTTCCACCCAGCTTGGTGGATTGCTTCTACTACGTCCGCCAAGTCCCTCATGGCAGTCGAGTCTTGGTCATGGTATTTCGAGCTCACTCCCGCTTTCATTGGTGCCGGCATCTTGAGTGGAGTGAATGCTTCCCTTTCCTTCTTTGGTGGTTCAGTCTTCGCTTGGGGCATTATCGGTCCATGCATTGTCAAGTACCAGTACGCATTTGGCAAGCCTATTGGCGGAGATGAATATCCACTCTGGGTCAACTACAATTCTCTCTCCCTCAAAGACCCCATCAACAAGCCCTCTCCACGTTACTGGATGCTCTGGCCTGGTGTGTTCATCATGCTGTGTGCTTCGTTCGCTGAGGTGGCCATGCACGGTCCTGTCCTTTTCCGTGGTCTGAAGAACGCTTTCTGGGACAGTCTTGCTGCTGTGCCCCAGACTCGCGCCTTCTCCGAGAAGCACACCGAGGGTCAGATTCGCGAAGTGTCCGACGACCCAAGGCCCAAGTCTGAGCAGGTTCCCTGGTGGGCCTGGTCTGGCGGTGTAATCCTCGCCGTCGTCTTCTCCTGCATTGTCCTGGCTCTTCAGTACGACGTCAGCCCCGGAATCACGATTTTGTCTGTTATCCTGGCTTTCATCTTCTCTTTCATCGCTGCTCAGTCGTCTGGAGCTACCGACATCAACCCTGTCTCAACTTGCGCCAAGGCTTCCCAGCTTGTGCTCGGTGGTGTGACTCAAGGTCAGGGCCTTCACGGCTTCAAGGCCGAGACCATCAACATGATTGGTGGCATTGTTTCTGGTGGTGCAGCTGCCCAGTCGGTCGACATGCTGGGTGACTTGCGAACGGGTTACCTCCTCTCTGGATCTCCCCTCACTCAGTTCATCGCTCAGGTGTTTGGCTCTCTTTGCTCAGTGTTCCTGTGCTGTGGATTCTTCATCCTCTTCTCGACTGCTTACCCTTGCATCATCAACGTTGAGCTCGCAGACACATGCTCTTTCGCTGCACCCTCCGTCGCAGCATGGCGCGCTGTCGCCTTGGCTGTGACTGCAACTCAATTCCCTGTTCCAAAGGGCTCAGGCATCTGCGCCCTGGTCATCGGAATTTTCGCGGTTGGTCTCACAGTTGCCAAGTACACTGTGATTCCCGAGCGTCGTCGTCACCTCGTGCCCAACATGAACGCTGTTGGTCTGGCCTTCACCCTTCCCCAGACATACTACTCGACCGCCATGGCTGTTGGTGCCATTGCCTCATACATCTGGTTGAAGAGGTCTGCAAAGACATGGAATATCTACGCATACTCGATCGCAGCTGGTTTGGCTGCCGGCGAGGGTATCGGTGGAGTCGTCAATGCTCTTTTCCAGGTCATTGGCATTGCAGGTGAAGAAGGCCGTGCCACGAGCGTTGGATGCCCGGGCAACGAGTACTGTGGTTAAAAAGCAGATTTGTAACATTTTCTTTCGTCAGCTTATCTGGCGCCCTCTTAAAGTCATGTAAAGTTTCCACTCCCTTTCAAGCTCCATGTTGTCTTTCGAGGTTGCATTGCTTATCTGGACTGTGGTGTTGTTAGTCTGCCCCTGATTTCACTTGGTAAGCACACATGAATTTTGCCAGTGGGTACGCCAAGGCACAGCGCCTCAGAATCAAGTCTTTTCACTTTCACGAGAGAAGCCAAGCGTACAAGCCAAGGGCTGACTACAGTCTACACACAAACGCTAATCAGGCACAAAACGAAACGAGGCTCAATACACTCAAGCCTGGAAGCACGCAGGGATGGGCACACGAGATACCCGGCGGTCCTTCTTTGACATGGTCACAAACTTGTCTGCTGGAGTACTCACTTGATTGGTGCTTGGCTTGGGCTGCATCTGCATGCGTGGTCGAGGCTCACTGGCAGGACTCTGGCGGCATGGCGATTGCACAGACCGACTGAGGCGCGCAAGTCCTTGGCTCTGCTGCAAATGTTGTGGACGCCAAGTAGGAGTCTTGGGCGTGGCTGGCTGCATAGATTTGCGAGTCTGTGGCTCAGAGGAAGGCAAATTCCGTAGGCGATTGTAAAGATCCTGGAAGCGCGTCGAATCATGGACCTTGGTGTGCATACGCATGGAGCTCGGTATGCCATGCTGGGAAAATGTCTTGTCTGCTGAAGTCTGAATGCGCCGACTATGATCGAAGAGATCTGGTGCTAGCAGCGGTGCGGTCAGGTGCATGCTCTTTGGAGCCATGTTGCTTGAGTATTGCGCCGGTTGACCATTTTCGTCTTTATACAGTGCAGTATAACTGCTTTTCCTACTACACGAATCCATTCTGCTTGAGGCGCCTTTAAGTGGTTGTTCGGGACGACGATAACTCTGCTTAGTGCCAATCAATGAAGAGGTCCGGCTCGGCGAGGCGAGACATTCAGGTCGGTTGAGATAATCCATGAGCGCAAGCGTGTTAGGTAGCCTTGCGTCAAGAACATGAAGCGCTGTCTCGAGATGACTTGAGCATGTTGATCCGCTTTCTGAAGAGGCAGACGACAGGGGATATGATGGTGCATGCACCGAAGACAGAAGCTGTGCAAGCTCAAAGTCCTTGCGTGTGTCTAGACCAGCGCGTTGTCTTTTACCAGCAGCAACAGCAGCCGCCTCAGCCGCACGAGAAGCGATTGGTACTGAAACTAGGTTGAAGGCTGGTGCTGATTTGAATGGCGAACTTGGCCGGGCTGAATCAGCCCTTGGGGTTGAATTGAGAGTGTGATCGAGCTTGAATGCTCCTGCATTTTTGAATGGCGATCTTCGGCGTCCAGGCAGTGAGCGCAGGGTTGAATCTCTCTCTCGCGGTGTCGCTGAAGGTTGCGAGCTGTTGATATTGCTCGAGAGGTTTGCCGACTCTGCCTGCAACTGGCGCGCGACACGGAGGGTCATTCTTAGGGAGTACAAAGAGCTTGTGCGTGCTGATGCTTGAAGCAAATAGAAGCAAACGATGTTTGGGTACTACAGATGAGCTGAGCTGATTGTAGCTAGGAGTCAGGTAAGGATGTGTTGGTATGATGGAGGGTTTGGTGCTCAACGTCGTCAGGAGGTCAGGCGCCGGAAAGAAGGGAGCGAGCAGCAGAGTCAGCAGAGTAGAGCAGATTAGAGTAGAACAGAGCAGCATAGGTGCAATGAGCCATCAATCATGGAGAAGCAGCCAGTCGTCTCACAAGCAGAATCAGCTCACCAGTCAAGGCTTCATATACTTTTTGAAATACTCGGCATCGATGAGTCAATCATGAGTACCCTGGACAGTAGCCAGTCACCTTTCGTCGGTGCACTGGTCCAGTCACCAGTCTCCAGCTGCACTGCTGCTGCAGCAACCCGCCCCAGTGTTTTGATTTGGCCCACAAACGACGACACCACTACGACCACTTCAACGCACACACACGCTCGAGCCCGCCGCGTCTCTTGCTGCCGTCTCTTGGTGCCGCAGTGATGCCCTTCGTCAAGAAGGCAGCAACCACCGACACTACACAGAACAGGAGACAGACACTGCCAGCAACATGGACGCCAGATCAACAACAACATCGTCGCACCGCAACGCATGCGCACAGCCTACCGAAAGGCCGCCTCTCGCCGAGTCACTTCGACGCGCTCTTTGCAGCAGCGCCAGTGCCGCGTACTGTACTCAAGAAGTCAGCACCGATAGTGACGCGACATGAGAGGCAAGTGTCCACAACACAGACAGAGGTCGATGCCATAAGTCAATTGAGAATACCCGTGTCGGCCACGCGCAGCACGCTTACCAAGTTTAGAGCGTCCGCAGACAAAGCAGCCCCCCGGAGAGCGCGCGCATCGTTGCCCTTGCCCAGTGTCGCGAAGCCGAAACGCGACAAACGGTATAGCTTGACAGCCATGTCTCATCAGACACTGGTCTATATCAAGCCAGACCCAGAAGACATTGTTGATGAGCTCGATCTTCTTGCATCTCCAGCGCCACCCGCTGTAGCGCTAGTCGTACAACCTGAGCCGACGGAGATGCTCGGTGACCTCCAAGCGGTCGCTGATTCTGAGGCAAGCTCGCCCGCCAATTCAGTGCAAAGCAGAGAGATGGCTCAAGCGGCTGCCATCATGCTTGGAAGTCATGATGCCCCGACAGCTGATGATGAGAAAACAAATGAGAGCCAACCAAGCGTCGGAGCGGTCAGACCGCCTCCTAAGCCTTTCAACCCTGTTGTTCAAGGCGATCAACAGCCCGTTATCGAGAGTATTGCGCCTGTCTCCGCATCACTCATCGCGAGCGGACCGACACCTGCACCTCTAGCGAGAACACGCAGTCCATCGCCCGCGCAATTACAAAGGCAACATGGCACGACTCCAGCGCGACCCATTGACGACATCTTGTTCATGTATGGCCTTTCACCGAGTATATTCAAAGACAAAAAGTCCCCCGCGAGAGCAATTCCAAGCCCAGTGGCGACTGCTGGTACACCGCTTACACCGGGCAATCTGAAGGCTTTGCAAGCCAGTAATACTCCCAAGAAGCAAGACGCCTTCATCGTCAGCTTGCCGCCCCCAGCTGCTCATAATGCGCGTCAAACAAAGCGAACCAGTTTTGTGTCGACTGAGGTTGACTTCGCTCAGAGACCGGATATTGTGCCTGCGCGAGCTGTAGTGGCAAAGGAGACACTTGTCACAACACATGCACCGGCTATGGCGCATCAAGACTCAGCAATGCTGGCGAGGTCATCTGTGATAAAGACACCAGTGCAGACTCCTCGCCAGTCTGCTGTCAAGCGCAAGCTGCTCAGTGCTGCACAGCTTGAAGAGGCTTCTCCGACGGTCAAACCCAGCACAAAAAAGTCACCGGCAAAAGCAGGTCCAAGCTCTCCTTCGAAGGCATTGACTCGTGTCATGGGTCCGTCAAGATTGACCACGCCAGAGCCTCAAGTACGAACCACAATGGACATACCACTTCCGCGCCAGTCTATCGAGCAGGAAGTTTGGCAACGCATGCCAAATAGAAAGCGTCCACTGTCTCTTTCAGCCAACTCACCCATGATGCGCCGTGACAAGGTACAGAAGCTGGTCGTCGAAGAATCACCGCAAGCTCATTCGAGCCCAGTGAAATTACAAGCACAACCACAGTCTGCGCCGAGGCTTGGCCGCGCGTCGACTTACTCAGTTGAGAAGCGCTCAGCGTCTAGTCCCACAAAGAGGAGGGCAGCTCCGGCGCGAACTCCCAGGCTGGGCCGTCTTCAGAAATTAGCCAAGACGCTTGCAGTCGAGAAGTCTGTGGACCGCGAGGCTGAGGCAGAGCCTGAACTCGCAGTGCAAACACCTATTACGCCTGCACCGCCGATGCGCTCTAGCAGCGCCCGGAAGCGTCTCAATGATGATGTTCCTCTTGACGTTGTTGAAGGGAACGAAGATCCTCTGCAAGTGATTCAGCCTGTTATCGAAGTACCGTCGCCTCAGCACCTGTTATCAGTGAAATCAAAATCCGCAAAGAAAGGGGCTGCCTCCGTGCCTACTCCAGTCTTCAAGTTCGGTAAGCGTCCACTGCGATTGCCAGACTCTGAAAGCGAATGTGAGGATGAGCTATCCATGCTTGACCAAGGCGCTGCTGATACACATCACAACGAGAATCTCGAAGCTGGTGAGCAAGAGGATGCGCGGCAAGAGCAAGAACGGATCCAGGCAGCGCGACGGCCGAAGGTGGCAGGATCTTCCATCCTCCAGGAACTCAATACCTTCGGCAAGCAGCCTTCACCTTTGCCTCGTAGCAAGAGGCAGCGCAAATCTCCTGGGACGTGGTGGGCTGCTGGTGATGTGATACCAAAAGAAGAAGAGGAAATACTGCCTGTCGTCGCAACGAAACGGGGCCCTGGGCGGCCTCGTAAGCTCGTGTCCAGTAAGCCGCCTCCCTCAGTCGTCGACGCTCGGCCTAACTCTTCATACTCTGCCAAGAAGGGATTCAAATCTGCCACCAATGGCTCTTTTGACTCGACAGAGTCTGAAGCTGTCACCCGTCCCGGCTTAGCGAAGCGCAAATATCCAAAAGCAGGTGGCTCGCGAGCTAATGGCAATTCAACCGCAAGGCCCAATAGCACGCATCAAGGCTCAAAGCTGCAAAGCAAGAAAAGCGATGAATTGCAGGATGTGGAGCAACCGCCAAAGAAGCGTGTTATTAAAGGATACGGTTCGAAACCGCGTGTCAGGGTGTATAATTTTGAAGACGAAGACTCAGATGATCTCTGAATGAATGTAGACATTCTAGGAGATGAATGCTTACTGCCGGGCCGTATACAAATCCCCAAGTCTATCGATAAAATACTTTGGAACGACAGGTGCATCTTTTGCCGAGAAGTCAGCTTCCGATGAGACACCAGTCAGCACCATGAGAGAGCCACCCATGCCCGAGTTATGTGCGAATTGAATGTCAGTATTGAGGCGGTCGCCGATGAATACTGCCTTCTTCTTGTCGAATTGAAACTTGGCCTCGATCGCATCAAGCCTGAGTGTTAGTGTGGCGCGATAAGGGGTCAAGGATACATTTCTGGGTTGGGTTTGCCAAGTGCTTTGCCTTCTCTGCCGGTAGCAAACCTCAAGGGCGCCGAGCAAGAACCGGCACCAGGAAAAAGGGAGCCTGATGTCGGGTATGTGGAATCGGTGTTGGTCATGAGCAACAGGCAGTCTGGGTCCCGGAGGTACTGAAAAGCGCGACACATCTTCAAGTAGTTGATGTGCGAATCCAGACCACACAGAACAGCACCTACTGATGGATCCGGACGCATTGCATCGTAGTCTTCTGGTCGCATCTCCCGACGTTCGTCGGGATCAGTGCCTCCACAGTACTGGACTCCTTCCGCGGCCAACTCTTCCTCAATCCCGCTTTCGCCAATGACATAGACTTTCTTGTCTTCAGGAAGCTTGAGAACACGCTTGATGTAGACAGCACTTGCGTATGCGGATCCAAAGATCTCATCAATTTCAGCGGGAATACCCATCGACTCGAGCTTTTTCTTGTACGTCGTGCGGGACTTGGTTGAGTTGTTTGTTACAAAAACGATACGCTTACCAAGCCTTCGTAGCATGTCGAGCGTCTCGCAGACATAGGGTAGGAGCTGAGTACCGCTCCAAAGCACACCATCGCAGTCAAAAAGAAAGTAATCATACTGGTCAAGAAACTCGTCGACTAGCTTTCGTGTCTCTAGCTTGATGGGAGCCATATTATACAGCAAACTTAAGCAGCGGTATTCTTGCAATCTCAGGGGCACTTATGTACGTCGAACGCAGCCAGCACCGGGATGCAGCTTGTGCATCAGTCACCGCTCGCTGTCGACAAACTCAAAGCCGCTCGACCATCTCCAGAAGGTCTCTCACGCTCAACTTCGAACTTCTCGGAACTCGATTCTTGCCCACTCGCTCGCTATTGCCTTCCAAATCCGGCGTTTGGTACCGAATGCGACGATTAATATACTTGATACTCCCGAGACTTTCTTTGACCTGCTGCATCAGCTGCTGCGGCGGAAGTGCATTGGGCATGCCACTATCATGGCTGCGATTAGCTGGTGTCGTCACTGATGATCTTGCGCAATGTATGTGCATTGACTTACTAGCAGGGCAAAGCTGCTACGATCGCGATGCTTCGAAGCTGAGGCATCGCTTTGTCTATGGTTGAATTGCAATAGTGATGTAAGATGCACAAGGGCTGAAAAATCACATCGAACATGACCACAAACAGTCTTGTGGATGATCAGCACCGCATTTTAGCGAATGAACAAGCAGTCGACGAGCTCGCCACTTCGGCAGACGAATTGAATCCTACGTGATGCTTGCGACCGAACGAGCCGCTTCTGAAGGTCCCGAGTCCCGAGTGAAGCCTTTGATCGTATACTGACATTGCTCTTACCACGTTTGCGACATTGGTGGACTTCTTCTTCCGATATTTTTGCTTCGCAGCATGCGCTCTGCCGTACACGACTATCGATGCGGTGGCCACCGGCCAACTAGTGACGGACATCGACCAAATGGTCTAATTTTGTGTTTTTGTCTTGAGAAGGTCTCAAGGGCTGGTCCCACTAGCTCTCGGACAACAACTTGGATCATGTGGAGCAGTACATTACCAATGATCCAGCATAGACATCCGCGAGCCCTATGTCTACAGCTGCATAGCCGACGTCCTGTCGTCAGTAGACTCTTGGCCGGATGCAAGACAAGCTATCAATCAGAGCTGGCGACGAAGACCGCATCTGCGTCAGAGTGCATCTTGTCACCGCTGCCGGAGAATAGCAAGAAGCCCGTTGGAGACATTTGATTGACTTGGTCAAGCCAAGGAACTGTTTTGCATCGTGTCTGAGAGCGTTGTACTGTCACTTGCTCAGTGTCTAATCTTGAGACACGCGAGGAACAAAAGGGATAGCATTTGGGTGGTAGAAGATATGACCGGTTCCGTCGATCAGGGCATCCAAGACTTTCCAAACGTCCCCGTGAGCGGACTCAGCGGACTGCTTGAACTTGGAGTGTCGAATTTGGCTGCCTCCCCTGCTTCCAAGGTTGAGTCGAGCGCAGCTGCCCGGGCTGCCCCTGGATGTTCGCGATATTTTGGAGCGCGAATTGGCCAATGTGCGAGGAGCATCAGCCAGCCACATCGTCATTTACGCGAAACATTCGACGAATGCAGAAGAAGCAACTTTGTGCAACAACAAACAGGGCCATCGCGGCCAAGCAGGATTCAGATGCGAAAGGCAATGGCAGCAAAGCAACCTCAGGCTCAGCACAGATGCGGTGCACCAAGAGTCAAGACTGAAGTTGCTACTTATACGTAGGGTCTGCCAGACACAAGATCCTCATTCACACTGGCCGACGCATTTATTTCCTACACTACCCAGCATGGTTGCCATCCCAAGCACAGCAGCCGTTCTCATCACATGGCCTCTGCTCTTTGCTCAAACAAACGCGTTCTGGCGACTGCTATGCGACAATCCAGTCACAGTCGGACGTTATGATCCCATCGTCAGCCCAGGCGGTGTCGCTGGCCACGTACATACCGTGTCGGGTGGGTCGGGCTTCAGCATGTCTTCAACATACGAGGACCTGCGTGCATCTTCCTGTACATCTTGTCAAATAAAACAAGACAAGTCAGCATACTGGATTCCGAACCTTTATTATCAGGGTGCCAACAATGGCACATTCGAGGAAGTGAGCACCATTGGCGGCATGACTGTGTATTATCTTCAGCGTGGCAAGAACATTCAACAAATGCAACCAGGAGAGGTCAAATCTTTTCCGCCAGGCTTCCAGATGCTTGCAGGCAACCCAGCACTGCGCTCAGCAGGCAACTCCCTCGAGCAACAGGCCATCAACTTCGTGTGCCTCGATTATGCAGCAGGATCGTCCTCATCTCTTGGCTTGCCCACAAAGAACTGTCCCCAAGGTCTGCGAGCGCAAGTGGTGTTCCCTTCTTGTTGGGATGGTGTCAACTTGGACTCGGCTAATCACAAGTCTCACATGGCTTATCCAGATGCAGTCTCCTCTGGTACATGTCCCGCGAGTCACCCTGTCCGTCTCGTCACAGTCTTCCTCGAAGTCACCTTTGAAGTCGATCAATTTGCAAGCCGTTGGTATCCTGGCAGGCCTCAACCATTTGTCTTTGCACAGGGTGACGCAACAGGCTACGGCCTACATGGTGACTTCCAGAATGGTTGGGACCCAGCCTTTTTACAGCAAGCAATCGATACATGCACCAGCAGCTCTGGCCAGATGCAAGATTGTCCGCTTTTCGACCTTCAGTATGGCCAGCAGTGCCATGTCACACCTCAAGTCAACGAGCTCGTCAATGGTGCTCCATTGGCCAAGCTTCCTGGGTGCAATCCCGTCACTTTCTCGGCAGAGTCGAAAGCGGCATGCACAGAGGCTTTGCCAGAGGTTTGGAACACAACAGCTCAGTACCTTGGTCTCACTGCACCGCCAACTTCCAACTTTTTGTCAAATCAGCCTCAGACACGGCCATCTTACAACAAATGGCAGTTCCTCGGTTGTTATGAGGACTCATGGGCACGAACACTTCCTAATGCTGTTGGCGTTGTCGGCGATGTTTCTGTCTCATCGTGCTTGGATGCTTGCAAGTCGTCGGGCTACAATTACGGCGGTATGGAGGCCGGGCAAGAGTGCTGGTGTTCGAATGTGGCACCCAGCGCAAAGCTGCTGACTTATGCGAGCTGTGGGGCTACCTGCAAGGGCAACTCGAGCGAACTCTGCGGCGGCGGTTGGGCGTTGTCTATCTACAACGACACGAGCGCTGTAGCGCCAGTGATCCCGCTGACTTCCACCGACCTCTCCTCGCTCTTCAATGGCTGCTACCAGGACAACCCAAACCGCATCATGCAGCAGCGTATGTCCTCCAACTTTACTGTCGATGGCTGTGTCGCGGCATGCACCGCTGCTGGCTACCCTGTGGCTGGTGTTCAGTATTATGGAGAGTGCTCCTGCGCCATGACCAAGCCTGCTTCGACATTATTGATCAGCAACAGTCAGTGTTCCTTCAAGTGCACGGGCGACAAGAATACCTATTGTGGTGGCAGCTATGCAATGCAAGTCTACAGCGCCAAGCCAGTTCCAACCAGCTCGCGCTCTGTCTCACCAACCGCATCCGCAACGGCTTCAGCCATGACCTACAAGGGCTGCTACAGCGACTCTGGCGTCCGTTCTTTGCGCTTCAAATTTGACTTTGACGGCACCAATGCTGGCTGTGCTGCGACTTGCAAAGCCAAGGGTTACAATATCGCTGCCACAGAATATGCTTCTGAATGTTGGTGCGACAATGTCATTAGCGCTGTGGCTCAGAAAATGCCCGACAGCGACTGTTCGATGGCTTGTGCAGGCAATCCAGCTGAAAAGTGTGGTGCGGGCTACAGACTCAGTCTCTACAGCAGCATCGCCCTCGTGTCACCTTCAATTCCTCAAATTGCCGCGGGCATGGCCTATGCTGGCTGTTGGACAAACGATGCACAGCGGGTCATGAAGCAACAGCCCAATGTACCGCAAACTGTTGCTGCATGTGCACTCTCGTGTGCTGCATCTGGCTTCACACAAGCTGGTGTGGAGTATGGTGGCGAGTGCTCTTGTGGTCCTCTTGCTGCTCGGTCTGTGCGTGTTGCCGACTCTGAGTGCTCCATGTACTGCAATGGTGATGCGACCTCTTCGACCTTTTGTGGTGCTGGTTACCGCTTGCAGCTGTACAAATTGCCAGCACCACCTGCCCTGCTCAGCTCTGCTGCTCCATCAATAACAGCGATTCTTGTTTCAAGCAGCTCTTCGCCGGCAAGCACAGCAGCAGTGGCAGCTCTGCGTTTCGGAGCAGTGGCTTTCAATGCTGTAGCCCAGTCATCTACCGCATCGGCTATCAGAGCGGCTTCTTCTGCAGCATCTTTCAGCAAAGTTGTGACGAGCAGCAGTGCCAAGTTGACCTCGACGTCTTCTTCTGCCATGCCAGTCACCACGGCTCGCTCAAGCAGCTCGTCCAGGTCGCTCGCTGCACCGGTTGTCTCTGCTCCTCCAGCAATTGCTGTTGTGGCTGCCGTTGCCAGGCCTGCTCCTATCGTGGTCGTCTCGTCCAGTACTCTGAGGACATCGAGAATGTCTTCCTCCACGACCACTTCCACGACCTCCTCCACTAGCAGCAGCAGTACGACGAAGACAAGTTCGTCGTCGTCTTCCTCTTCTTCCTCTTCCTCTTCAATTCGGTCGAGCAGCCGTGCATCATCGACCACATCTATCCTGGTTGGTGGCCAGCCTCGCGCTGTTGTGACGCCAGTCGTGCGCTGATGCGCTTAATGAGTATATACATGTATAAAGCAAGATACACAATAATGAATACTTGGTAATAGGCTTTTGGGACTTGTTGCCGCTGATGCTTGCTCTTTGAGTCCCTTGCCTTGTGATTTTGTAGTAAATCAAGTCGTCCAAAGTCATTCAGGCACAAATCAAATCAAAGAAGCACAAGAACGCGTCAGAAAGGCACAACTTTGCAAGCCAATTGTCTCGATGTTATGATACAAAGACTCGCCAACTACAGGTATATACAGGATGAAGTGTGGGTTGTCCTTCTTGTTTTCCGCCGGGCTTGTTGAATGCCGTTGCTCTACTTGGATGAAGAAGAGTACTTGGTGACGGCCTTGGTGCCCTCAGAGACGGCGTGCTTGGCGAGCTCTCCTGGGAGGATGAGACGGACAGATGTCTGGATCTCGCGCGAGGAGATGGTTGACTTCTTGTTGTAGGCAGCGAGCTTGGATGCCTCAGAGGCGACGCGCTCAAAGATGTCGTTGACAAATGAGTTGAGGATGGACATGGCCTTGCCGGAGATACCAGTGTCTGGGTGGACCTGCTTGAGGACCTTGTAGATGTAAGAAGAGTAGGTCTCCTTGCGCACGGTGTTACGCTTGGCCTTCTTCTCGCCAGTGGCAGAGACGGTCTTCTTGCCGGCGGTGTCCTTCTTCTCTGCGGGTGCCTTGGAGGCAGGTGCCTTGCTGGCGGGCTTCTTCTCTGCTGGTTTAGGTGCCATTTGTGATGATGTGTGTGTGTGGTGAGGAGTCTTTGGGAAGAGGATGTGATGGGTGAGGGGATGTCCTGGTGTGCCGGCCTGTGCTGTTTTATAGTTTCTCGGGCGCGTTGCTGTTCCTGTTGTCTGGGTGGTGCTGGTGCATTTGGCAACGGAGCAACGGGCTGGTTGCCAAATTGGAGGGGAAGTGTGTGCACAACAAAGGGAGTGGTGGTGGTGGGAGCAGTAGTGGTATAGGACAGTGAGAAGAGGAGAGGAAGGCAGAGGTAGATGGTAGATGCAGATAGACAGTCTCTTCTTCCCTCTCTACTCTTCTAACTATTCTATACTACTACTAATACCAACACTATTCCTCTGTTGTCCCGCGCAACCAAACTTCCTTCCTCTCTCGTTGCCTCGTTGCCAAACTTCCGCCAGCTCCCAGACGCGCAACAAACTCAACACCCACAAAGTCTCTATAAAGACCTCCCCTCCCTCACGCACTTCCACCTCCCATCACCCATCTCCCACCCCCAAAACACAAACCCACTCTCAACCTACTCATCATGTCTGGAGGCAAATCAGGAGGCAAGGCTGCCGCAGCAAAGACTTCTCAGTCCCGTTCGTCCAAGGCTGGACTCGCATTCCCCGTCGGTCGTGTCCACCGTCATCTCCGAAAGGGCAACTACGCCCAGCGTGTCGGTGCAGGTGCACCAGTCTACCTCGCCGCCGTCCTTGAGTACCTCGCGGCAGAGATCCTCGAGTTGGCTGGTAACGCAGCCCGTGACAACAAGAAGACTCGTATCATCCCAAGACACTTGCAGCTCGCCATCCGCAACGACGAGGAGCTCAACAAGTTGCTCGGCAACGTCACCATTGCTCAGGGTGGTGTCCTCCCCAACATTCACGCCAACCTCCTCCCAAAGAAGACTGAGGGCAAGAAGGGCGCCGCCTCGCAGGAGCTTTAAGCTGTTTGCCGCGCATGGACCAACGACACTACTGCCATCTCCATTGGCACTCCGCTCCCCAGTTCTTGGCTAGGCTGCAATGTATATAAAGTGTTTTCGTCTTGTACAAATAAAACACGCTTGTTTCGACTCATCTGCCTTGCCTCTTCATCTTGATTGTGATTTGTATCCATGCTCGCTTGCTATGCTTGATTAGGGTCTACTTTTGCTCGGGAGGCACACTACATGGATCCAAATTCACTGTTCCACTTCTCATACTCCTCGAGACCATTTTTGCCAACACTCGGTCGAATGGTGCGCAGCGAAGCCCTGAAGTCTTCCAGCCCCATCGCTCGAATCTTTTCAAAGTCAGTCGTCAACAGCGCATCGCCGAGACTTCGCAAAGGTCCCATGGCCGCATCTTTTGCCAGAGCAGTCAGGTCTGACCCGGAGAAGCCTTCCGTCAAGAGGGTCAATTCATCCAGCTCATCTGTCGTCAAGGTGTGCTTCTGATGGCGAATCAAGTGGCCCAGGTGTTGTCGACGCGTCGTGTCCTCTGGCAAGGGAATATATTGTCTGCGAACGAACCGCCGTCGCGCAGCGTCATCAATGGCCCATGGCAAGTTTGTAGCAGCAAGCACAAGTACCCGTGCATCCATGGCATTCTTACTGCCAGCAGCGGCTTTGGCCAAATTGCTCCATTGAATGAGGAACTCCGTCTTGAGTCGTCGAGAAGACTCGTGTTCGCCATCCCCGCGCGACGACAAAAGCGAATCAATCTCATCCACAAAAATGATGCTCGGTGACAATTCTTTTGCGAGAACAAAGAGTGCACGCACAAGCTTCTCTGATTCACCCAGGTACTTTGAGGTCAACGAGGAGGCAGAAATTGAGAAAAAGGTCGCCTTGGCCTGGGTTGCCACAGCTCGAGCAAGCATCGTTTTTCCAGTGCCCGGTGGACCAAAGAGAAGCATACCAGTGACGGGTTCGCGCAAGCCAGAGAAGAGATCTGGTCGTAGGAGAGGATAGACGACAGTCTCCTTCAATGAGTTCTTGGCAGCCTCAAGACCAGCAATGTCATCCCAAAACACCTCGTCACCATTGTCCACAATTTCATTAATGATGGTCTTGGCAAGCGCTTCATCGACACCTTTGATGTTCTTCAGTGCTTCTTCCGCGCGCACAATCTTGTCATTACTCAGTGAGACGGGCGTCGGCGTTGAGAGACGCGCAACATCGTTCGTCAGCGCTTCAACAACGAGTGGCGGTTGAGGCGCTACAGGCGCTACAACGATGGGTGCTTTGGGTGTACTATTCGCAGCTCGCGAAGCAACATTTGCATTCGCAGCCGGCTGTTTGCTGCGGACTGCTGTGCCTGTTCTCGCTGCCGGAGGTGCCGGCGGCTGGACTTTGGGTGGTGCAGGGTAAGACTTTGTCTGCGGAATAGGCGGCCGTGCTTGAGGGGCAGACCGACCTTGCGTGCTTGCTTGTTGAGCATTTTGATGTGGTGCTGACGCCGTTTGTGAGCGTGCCGCAGACGGAGCCTGTCTTACAGTAGAGGAAGCTGTCACTGGAGCTCGTGTAATTGGAGAAGGAACGCGCTGTTGCTGTTGCTGCTGCTGCCGCGCACCTTGCACAGTAGGTAATGGAGAAGGATTGCGAGAATTGTTTTGTGAGACGGCATGGCGAGCAGCTGTGCCATTCACTCCTTCGCGTGATTGTGATCTTGGCCGTTCGTCACTCAACGAGTATCGCGGCTTCTCTGCGTGGCTTGTGGTAGATGTCTTATTGATGGAAGAGCTAGACGCGCTCTTTTGGTGATACAACGGTAATTGTACCGCCGGTGCTGTGCTTTTCCCTGGACCCCATGCCAGCATCGCAGCATTCGATGCAGCCACTTTAGCTGTACGCTCTGTACGTTGACTTCCGTTGTGGTCGCTGTAACCATCGTGAGAGGTGCGTGGTTTGGCTTGCTGCGGTCTCAAGGACTCTGACATCTTCTTGACAGGGGACGATGCGCGCCCTGGTCGAGCTACCGCTTGATTACGATCCCTTTCGAAGCTGGTACGTTGAGGCTCCACAAAAACAGGGGCCTTGTTTGCTTGTACGACCGCGGATGGCACTGCTGGTGTTTGCAACGTAGCCGCTTCTTCGTCTACAATGACTTGCAGTGCATAGATTCTATCCTTGGCGTGTTCCTCGATGGTATTGATTGCAACAAGAAGGCGCTGGTTGGTCTCATTCGTGATGCGTTCGTCTGCCAAGAGGCGCTGAGGGTCGGCTTGGATCCATTGCAGGCATTTTTGGTAGGATTGTAGAGCGCCGGAAAAGTCGCCCTTGGCCTCCTTCTTCATCGCCTGGTCAGATTCGGCATAGGCTCGGTTGTAAATATCGAGACTCATCTGCGCATTACGCTCGTCCTGCTGCACAGACGCACTTGATTTGAAGAAACTCTTCATTCTTGTGCGCGCTGACTGCTTCTAGGCGACGACGGGGGAGAAGGTCCAATTGGAGACGGAAGCGAGTGTCGAGGGTATGAAGGAGGATGAGTCGCGTGCTGGCGTGTCTGTCCCCTGGCTGGGCCTGTGCGTTGGGTGGTGGTTGCTCGAGGTGGTTGGTTGACAGTTGGTTGCTTGTGGGCTGGTCAGTGGTCACTCGCTCTGCTGCTGCCAAAATATTCACCAGGAGCCATGACGCACTGGACTACTACTACTACTACTACTACTACTACTATATAGTCTATTACTCTGCTCATAGGTCTAGCTCTCTATAGCCACAAAGCAAGTGTACCCCTATACCCGTCCTTGATCGAGAAGGCGCACCAGCCCAAACGAAGCACCAGCCGCAGCCAGTCCGACCGTCATGGTTTGCAATGCGCTAAGTAGACAAGCCCGGGCGCCCCTTCTGAGGATGGTGCATTTAAGCCATCCAAAGACGAAGAGGACAAGCGCAGTCAAGCCAATTGAGACGTACAAGGCATCCAGCGTCTTACTGATGAGCAAGTACGGTAGCAGGGGTAGAAGGCCTCCCAAGAAATAGCTTATCGCGATGGTCAGACCTGAGACCATCGCGGTCCGGCCTTCAGGCTTCTCTAGGCCTAGTTCGAATGCCATCATGAAGTTGACGAGATTCTCCTTGTCGCTGGCTAACTCCGCCAGCAGAGGCGCCATCGCCTGACGGCTGATGCCATATGGCGCGAAGACGTCGGCGCATTCCTGCAACTCGACTGCGAGATCATTCCTGACTTCGTCTTCCTCTCGACGACGCTCGCTCTTGTAGTGTTCCGTCTCGCTTTGGCAGGCCAGATACCCTCCTAGACCCATGCTGATTGCTCCAGAGATGAGTTCAGCAAAGCCGGCGAGCACAACAAGCCTTGAAGAGTCCAGCGACGCCAAGCCTGCTGCCAGACTGAATGGCACAGTCAGTCCATCCGAAAGACCAATGATTACCTGGGCAAGTCAGCGACCACGACGTTCGGTCCTTGTTTGGGATCCCCTACATCGCCCATAATACGAGGGTACTCAAAGTGTCTCTCGGCATGATGGGCATGACTCCTTTGGCACGCTCCGTAGTCTTCTTCTTGTGGTAACAGGACATCTGTGGTGGCCATCGAGACAACCCAAAGATGTGCCTGCGCCCGTTGAGTAAGCAATAGGGAAAGGAAGAGGAGCTTAATGTAGCAGGCAGCCACTGATCACGAAATTTGAGGTCCAGTTCCTGACCTCTAGCACTGTTTGTTCGTGGTATTCGCCTCGCAGTGCTACAGAGGTGTCCCGTGGATGACTGTGACTGTGACTGTAACGTAACGCTGCTTGATCTGAGCAGTGGCACCAGGCCGTGGCTATATAACCCTTCCTTCAGCTCAGGAGATGCTTGTAGAACTGCGAATCACGTGATCACCGTCAAGCAGCAAGAGAGAGAAGAGCAGCAGCAGCATCAGCAGCAGCAGACACACAACCGCAGAAGCAAGGCAGGCAGACCCCTCCACCACTCCAGCCTACACGCACCCGCAAAACCCCCCTCCTTCGTCACCACCTCACACAGGCACAGCCATGGCACTCAAGCGTATCAACAAGGAACTCACAGATCTCGGGAAAGGTATGTCCAATTCCTACAGTCGCAGCCATCATCCACCGCACCTCTGCGTCATCATCCACTTTCCGAGTGGCAAGACCAAAGCCAGCATGCGTCAGCGTTCTCTCTCACCCTCTTGGATGATCGTTGCGTGTCGCTAGCTTGCCTGGCGTATTGTGCTTCCGTGACACGAGTCACCTGCTTGCTGCCATGACTGCCATCCACTTTTGCCACTCGACTAACACTCACAGACCCGCCGAGCTCTTGCTCTGCTGGCCCGATGTCGGACGACCTGTTTCACTGGCAAGCGACCATCATGGGACCCAGTGATTCTCCTTATTCCGGTGGCGTCTTCTTCCTCGAAATCACGTTCCCAACCGACTACCCATTCAAGCCGCCAAAGGTCAACTTCCGCAGCAAGATTTACCATCCCAACATCAACTCCAATGGCTCCATCTGTCTGGACATTCTCAGAGATCAATGGTCACCTGCGCTTACCATTTCAAAAGGTACGTGATTCCTCATGGCAAAATTGTGGGCTGACTATTTAGTGCTGCTGAGTATCTGCTCCATGCTGACCGACCCAAATCCGGACGATCCGCTCGTACCAGAGATTGCGCATGTCTACAAGACTGACAGGAGTCGCTACGAAGGTACTGCCAAAGAATGGACGCGCAAGTATGCTACATAGCTTTCGTGCTTGCTGCACAACTTTTGTAGTCATCCCTCGCTTTATGCTTCTGCTCTTGCCGCTACTGTTGCTGCTGCTTTTGCTGTTGCCTTTGCCTCATTTCGCAGCAGCGCTGACCGTGTCTCTGCTTCTTTGATGAGTCTCTCGCTGGCAGTGAGCAACTGTGTTTGAAAAGCAATGTCCGTGATTTCTTGACGACGCACTGGTTTCTCATCACAATCCTGCAAGAGTTGCCCGCCAGCTACGCCTTCTCCGTAAACTTCTGCTGCGGGTGCCATGCTTGCGTACAGCACAGTTTGCGCAGCATCGTGGGCAGATTTGATGAATAGCCACCATATTGGGAAAGTGACGAGATAGGCGATGAGGCCAGAAACTGTACCGAGCGTTACAAACCGCCGAAAGGACAGCGTTCTTGTGAGACCAGGATCAACGGTGATGTATTTGATACGCACAGGAGCCTTGTCGGGCCGTTGGAAGAGGCGTGCCTGCCTTTGAAGTGCTTGCATAGCAGCCATCATGTACAATTTGGCAGCACCGAACACTCGCCATGATCTGTCTGCAGGATACCCACGCTTGGTGAATTCAAGGTCGTCCAACTGCGCCGCGCCAAGTATGTAGCTCACACAGGACAAGGCAATGACTCGAACGTCTCTGTCCGCAGGCTGAGCTCTCAAGGCCGGGCTCAATAGCTGTAGGAGATGCAAGTGACTCAGATAGTTGACGCCAAGCTGGACCTCGATGCCGTCGCCGGTCGTCTTTCGAGGTTGGAAAAGTGGTAAGGCCACACCAGCACACAGAATGACTTGGTCGAGCCTACGCGGCGGAGAATTATCAATCCAGCGAGTAGCAAAGGTCCTCACGCTGTTGAGATCCTCAAGATCACACTCTTCAGCATAGATGAGCATATTCTGACTCCGATTACGCAAATCGGTAATATACTCTTGCGTCCAGCCATCGCTGACGCTGCGAACCAGCAAGACAAGTTGAGCACCATGCATTGCGAGCTCTTCGACTACTTCTGCACCAATCCCAGACGTGCCGCCTGTTATCAAGACCTGTTTGCCGTGCATATCGCTGCTATAAGGACTTTTGCGGCCCCTGACAAAGCGAAATGTGACCATAGTCATCGCCAAAAGGGCAGCAGTATAAAGGCTAGTTCGAGAGAGAACAGCATCTCTCCACTCTTGCTGAGAAAAGGCATGTGCGAGAAAGTCTACAGGCATCTTCAGCAAGCCCGTCAAGCCTAAATTTCGAGATGTGGAAGTAGCAAGAGTGGATGCATGCAGGTCTGCCCAACGTCGACGCGCAAAAAATCGAAAAGGTAGTTCTACTCCTCCAGAATTTACCTCCGTCCACCAGCTGACTTGACTCTCTGTGGCTTCTCTGTGAGGCACTGAGATAAGTACAATGCATATTGCTCTAGGACTAGAAGGCTCTGCCAACAAGCTAGGCGTAGGCATCATTGCTCATCCTACCGAAGGACCTGCTCGTGTGCTCTGCAATCTGAGGCATACATACCATGCCGAGACAGGCGAGGGCTTTCAGCCTAATCACACTGCCAAGCATCACAAGAAGCATATCACGAGACTGATAAGAGATGCTCTAATCGAAGCGCAAGTTACAAGCGCACAGCTGAGCTGTATATGCTTTACTCAAGGCCCAGGAATGGGTTCACCACTACACTCGGTCGCCTTGGTGGCGCGGACGCTCAGCCAGTTGTGGAGGAAGCCGCTGGTCGGAGTCAATCACTGCGTTGGTCACATAGAGATGGGCCGCGAAATTACTGGAGCGTCCAATCCTGTGGTACTATATGTTTCTGGTGGCAACACTCAGGTCATTGCTTATTCTGAGCAGCGCTATCGGATATTTGGCGAGACGCTGGACTCTGCCATCGGTAATTGTCTAGACAGGTTCGCTCGGACCATCATGCTTCCCAACGAGCCTGCCCCTGGCTACAATATTGAGCAGTACGCCAAGCGCGGAAGGATTTTGGTTGATCTGCCGTACACAGTCAAAGGCATGGATGTCTCCTTCTCTGGTCTGCTGGCTGCTATCGATGGCATAGCGAGGGATCCGAAACGAAGCGACTTGTCAAAGGAAGATCTTTGCTTCTCGTTACAAGAGACCATGTTTGCCATGCTGGTGGAAATCACAGAACGTGCAATGGCTCATGTTGGCTCGGATTCTGTCCTCATCGTCGGCGGTGTCGGTAGCAACGAGCGCTTGCAACAGATGATGGGTGAGATGGCTCGGCAACGCAACGGATACGTCTTTGCCACCGACGAGCGATTTTGTATCGACAATGGAATTATGATTGCACACGCAGGCTTGTTGGCATTCAAGACTGGCCAGGAGACGAAGATTGAGGAGTCTGAGATCTCTCAGCGTTTCCGCACTGACGAGGTATTTGTAGCTTGGCGACATTAGCTTATCATTGTGCCGTCATGAAGTCACTTGGGGAGAAGACTTGGATATAACCTGGCGTAAGTGTACCTGAGAAACTATGGAACTATCAAAATGCAAATCGTGAGTCGCCAGAAAAGGTCGTAAATGATGAGGCGGGCAATCAAGCAGAAGCCTGTACCCAGGCGTTGCCGGTCGTGAAGGATGAAAAGTCAAATGTGCCTGAGGACGGCGATAGTAAAGTGTTAAGATTCGACAACGGCCAATCGAGGCTTGACCAATTAACCCCAGCAGAGTAGGGATTGATGTCTTTGGGCATGTCGACAACCATCTGAGTCTCTTTGATCGGTGTGGAACAGCGCGTATTCACCTTTTCAAGGAGAGCCTGTGTGGTGGCGTCAAGCTCGATTTTGGGCGCATCCGAGCTAGTAGTGATCGCTGGCAAAGATGCGCTCAGCTTGAGGCGTGCAAGCTCAGCACAGAGGTCTGCATTCTCTGTCTTGAGTGTGTCAACCTGAGACCTGAGCGCTTGCGCCTCGCTACTGTGTGTGGCGACTAGCTTTTCAAGGTGGTTTATGTATTCTAGATGTCAGCAATTACGGCAAGATCTAGTGACGAGGTACCTTTTCTTCGCACTCGGAAGTTGCGTGCAGACACTTTATTTCTCAGTTGGCGACGCTCTTTGCTAGATAGCTTTTTGCCTTCATCTGAGAAGAGCAGCTTGCTGTCCTCATCAATGTCGTCTTTATCGCGTTGCGCAGAGAAGGCCGTGAAGCCAGCCTCTTCTGATGTGTCCATGTCGTCTTCAAGCTTGATGTCGCATTCTTCTGGCGAAGGGCAGACCAGCATTGCAGGGTCTATTGTTGCCATGTCTGTTGTTGTCGGTTGCAAGAGCTTGTTTAAAGCGGCGGACGATGGTGCTGGAAGCGCGCGCAGTCTGGGCGGCGATAGATGGACTGGGTCACAGGTTGTCACAGGCAGAGGCAGAGACGTCTAGGATGTTCTTGAGAGGTGAGTGGTTGGGTTGAGGGAAGGGATCGTGTCGTGTTGTTCCTTGGCCTTCTAGATCTCCAAATCGAGTTTTGTCAGCGGACTCAGGCACGGACAGGCGAGCTGCCGGTGCACAGGCCGACGGGGCCAGTCCATCTGTCCAGGTATGTGCTCAGGAAGTCTCAGCTGGTGCAGATGCGAGACACGGCCAGAACACGAGCGAGGAAGCATGCGCCAGAGAGGCCCGTTGAATGTTCATACGTGTACTACTTGTAGATACCTCGCAATCACTATAGCTGGCTATAGACAATCAAGTGTTTTGCTCCACCAGGGAAGACAAGCTCACGTTTCGACGTACATGGGCAGACTGTGTACGGAGCAAGGCCTGCCATCTGCAACACATAAAGTGGCCCCGTGTATGCTGCGATCGTGCTCGGGCGGCAGTATGGGCATTTACGTGTAGAATCTACGTCTCACCTCAGCGCACAGCAATTACCGTGCGTGCAGGGGTTCATTCACAACAAGACTGACCAGGAGCAATATCGAGATCAGCTGCAAGCATATAGAGACAGAAGAGCAATTGATGCGCCGACTGTTAAGAAGGGAGGCGGGCACACTAAGGAAAGTGCTGGCCGGACGGCTCACATGAAGATGAGTGTCGAGCGCTACCGGACGATCAACCCAGACGGCAAGTCAGGAACTGTACAAGCATCGCCTCGCCATTCTTGCCCTTGCACTTGTTTCTATAGCTTGAGCCTGTGTGTGTGCATGCGTGCATTGGCTGCTGGAGCTCAAGTCTGCAGCTGGGAAGCAAAACCTCACGCTCTGTAGCAGCAACACAGACACGGACACCCTCGCAGTCTCTCACAACGGCGTGACTCTCCGCAGCCTCTGTGCAGCCGCAATTCTGCTCTCGAACGTAAAAGAACTTGAAGAGGGTTTCTCTTTTTGTATCAATAGATCGTCTGGTGGTTGGTCATTGGCGACTGACGCGGCTCGACAGATATAACACACTACATCTGGGCGTCTTGCAACATCACACACTGCGCGCATACCCGCCGACAGCCTCGCATTTCCTCAACTTGACGGCAATCGGCCTAGTGCAGCGCCTTATCATAATCTGCCTGGCGTGATGGCCGAAGACAACCGCTTCCCAAATCTCGCAGAGAGGTTTCAGCAGCAGAATGGATCACCACGGTCCAATACAGGCACACCTTCTCCGCCGCCTCGCTCGCCTTACAGCAATGGATACAACTATAGCTCGCCAAGCTTCGCTCAAGGCCCGGCCCAAAATTTGACCAGCAAATTCCAACAAGCCTCTGGCAATGGCTACTCGGGTGCTTTGGGCGAAGCAGACGGGAAGAACGACTTTGCCAGAATCCAGGATGAGCGTTATCAGCAGTCGCGCGAACTTGCTAAGCAGGGAATGCATGCAAAGTCTACGGCTCTCGTCCACACCATTCGCAGCAATCCTGCAGCGGCTGCAGACATGGCTCGTCCAGCCAAACTCAATTCAGGTGGTGCGGGTCACCGAAAGGATGGACCCAGTGTAGAGCAACTCATGACCGAGGACGCGATCGATGATGAAGCAGAGAAACAAATATGGTCGTCCCTAGACATGACCAATATCGGAATACGGCACTTCAGCCCTGCCCTTTTCGCTTATACTTTTCTCACACAGCTCCATTTGGCAAACAACCAGCTGCAAGAGCTACCATCAGCAATTGGGCTACTCAGACTGCTTGTGCACCTCGATGTCAGTGGTAACGCGCTGACGCAACTCCCGGTTGAAATGGCCATGCTGACTGGTCTCAAGACTCTATTGCTGTTTGACAATAAGATCACATCCGTACCAGCGGAGTTTGGCTCCCTCTACCAGCTCGAGTTCATCGGTCTTGAGGGCAATCCGCTGGCAGAGCCCTTGAAGCAATATTTGTTGACTGACGGCACAGTCGGGCTCATACACTTCCTGCGCGATTCGTGTCCTGTTCCTATGCCGCCGCCGGAACGCGAATGGGCAGAACTCCCTGATGGTAAGAGTGAAGGAGAGTCTTTTACCGTCTTTTGCTACAATATTTTGGCAGAGAGGTATGCGACTGCCAGCATGTATGGCTATACCCCTAGTTGGGCGCTGGCGTGGGATTATCGGCGGGAGCTTATACTTCACGAAATCACATCTTATGGTGCCGACATCATTTGCCTGCAAGAGGTGGACAAGGACAATTACGACAACTATTTTTCGCCGCAACTCAAGGAAAAGGGCTACGAAGGGGTCTATTGGCCCAAAAGTAGAGTGCGGACCATGAACGAGAAAGAATCCCGACTGGTCGATGGTTGTGCCAGTTTCTTCAAAACGGACATGTTTGAACTCGTCAACAAACAGCTCATCGAGTTCAATCAAGCTCCATCATTCCGGCGAGATCCAAACTTCAAATACACCAAAGAAATCTACAACCGATTCATGACCAAGGACAACATCACGGTGGTCGCCATGCTGGAACGAAAATCTACTGGTTCAAGACTCATGTTGGCGAATGCCCACATTCACTGGGACCCAAAGTTCCGCGATGTGAAAGTGCTCCAGGTGGCTATGATGATGGATGAGTTGCATAATCAGGCCAATGGCTTCGCTAAAAATCCGCCACGCTGTGTTCCGAAAGATAAGGCACCGAAGTATAATACCGGAACCGATATTCCGCTGATTGTCTGCGGAGACTTCAATTCTATTCCAAACAGCGGTGTCTACGACTTCATGTCACGAGGCTTCATTGAACAGGATCACGAAGATTTTATGCAGCTCGATTATGGCAATTACATTAAAGACGGCCGCAAACACAATTTTTCTCTAAAAAGCGCTTATGCCCGGCTGGGTGAATTACCCTTTACGAACCACACGCCTGGCTTCCAAGGAGTGATAGATTACATTTGGCATACGACGAGCTCATTGGAGGTCATTGGTGTGCTGAAGGACGTCGACAAGAGCTATCTCGATGGCGTGGTTGGCTTCCCCAATGCGTATTCATCTGATCCAATGTCGTCAAGGCTAACACTAGGCATTTTCCTTCAGACCATCTGTGCATTCTGGCGGAGTTCCGGGTCAAACCACCCGCAGTCGTGGGTAACGCGAGATTTTAAAGAGGAAGAGTCTGTAACTACCAGTAAAGGGCGGATTGTCTATAATGTAACTGTGCCCATGCGCCCATTGAGCTACGTCTATCATTTCTTCTTCTATGATATAATCTAGAGATTCGATGAGTCAGGCGCTTCGCGCTCGATGCCCGCCATGAATGCCAGAGTCGAAATCATGTCCTTTGGCTCAAGCAAGTGCCAATCTGCAGAGGTCTTTTTGCTGGACGCTCCAATGGTGACGGAGAAGATGTTCTTTTGCGGAACATTTGAGACTTTGCGAAGCATCTTAAACATGTCCTCGTCGGTCTTATCGTCACCTGCACAGAGCACAAACTCAGGACCTGTCTGGCTACCGTACTTGGCAATCAAGCTTTTCACAATCTCGCCTTTGTTGATATTCCTAGGGCGCACTTCAAGATTGGCCTTCCCAGAAAGAATCTCGACAGGATACTTCGTGACCACCATTTGTTCTAGATGCGCCTGGCATTCTTTGGCCTGAAATGCACCGTAATCCGGATCTGCCTTGCGATAATGCCAAGTGATAGCGACACTCTTGCGTTCAATGAAGGACCCTTGTGTGCGCTCCGTGAAGAACTGGAAGACATCAACAACATCTCGCTGCCAATTCATATCGAGATCGGCAGTCAAGTTGACCCACTGGTGAGTGGCAGGGTATCGAATGAAGCTGCCGTGTTCCGCGGACAGACCGAGCTCTTGAATATCACCCAACCACTCCTCCAAGAAGGCTTGATCACGACCCGAAATGATCCATACCTCATTTTTGGGGTCGGCAGCCAGCCGCTTTAAAGCGCGCAGCATGCGGTCAGTCGGAATAGCAGCTGATGGCTCGCGTACAATTGGTGTCAGAGTTCCGTCGTAGTCAAAGAGCATCAACCTCTTGGACGCGCATTTATAAGTATCCCACATCAATTTGCGGTCCAGCAAAGGCGTCAATTGGCCATGGCTGTTTTGAGCGACATTATCCATCAAGCGTCGCAAAAAAGCGTGCGACCATGCCTGTACAGTATGGGTCGTCACGTAATTGTAAAGGCCCTTCTGTCGGACGGCCTTCTCTTGCTTGGACATGACTAGTGCGGTGTTGATAGCCCTTGCGACACCGAGAGAGTCCCATGGATTGACTTGGATAGCGTCACTAAGACTTCCGGCAGTTCCTGTGAACTCAGACAAGATGATCGGGCCGTTGGAATCTTTTTGTGCCATGACATATTCCAGACTGGTAACATTCATGCCATCTCTTACACTCGTGATGAGGCCTACATCGGCTGATCTGAGCAGCGCAAAGTACTCATCATCCTCCATGTGCTTGTGATAATGATGTACTGGAGTTGAACCAAAGCCACCGTATTCGCTGTTGATGAGATTGACGATTTCAGAAACATCGCGTTCTAGCTGGACCGTATCGTGCACAGATGGATTTGTTATCTGGATGAGGACCACCTTCTCACGCCATTCCGGATATTCTTCTAAGAAACGTTTGATGGCTTGTAGCTTCTGCAGTACTCCTCGCACCTCATCAAGCCGGTCTCGTCCGATAATGATGAGCTTTCCCTTCAGAGAATCGCGTACTATTTGCAGCTTGGTTTCTACACCAGGAGCTTGACACTGGCGTGCAACCGTTCGTGCATCAATGCCAATAGGCAAGGTCTCGATGGCCACTTGCGCGCCGAAGGCATCGACTGTGACGTCTGTCGTGTCGAATCCGAGAACCCGCGTACAGGACGACACAAAGTGCTTGACGTACGCGTGCGATTGGAATGCAACCATGTTGGCGCCCAACAGTCCTTCTAAGATCTCCTTTCGCTTTGGCAGGCAGCGGAAGATCTCCGATGAGGGAAAGGGCGCATGCAGAAAGAAGCCAATATTAGCATCAGGAAGGCGCTGCCGCAACAGCTGTGGCAAAAGCATCAGGTGAAAGTCGTGGATGAAAATGAGATCTCCTTGCTGGTAAATCGAGACGATACGCTCTGCAAAGGCCTGATTAAATTTCACGTAGTCCAACCACCAAGTGCGTTCTTGACGGCCATCAGTCACCTCGTGCCAGAGTTTGTAGTGTAAGAGCGGCCAGAGAACTTCGTCCGCGTACTTCCTCCAGCGGCATTGCTGCTCAAACGTTTCGCCCTGACTTTTTGTACACTCCGGTAGTAACCACACGGGTTCGATCTTGTTCGGTCCATGAAATGCGCGCAGTTGCTGCTCCAGTTGCGCTTTATCGGATGAGGTGATCAACGGTTCTTTTGATCTGGCTGTCTCTCCGTCCAGGGAGGCTGCAAGATCGCCATTTCCAGTATTGACGTGCGTGATCTCACCTGTCCAGCCGACGATCGTAGTGTCCCATTCTGCCTCGTTCTGCAAATGACTCATGCTACTGTACATAGCGCGCGCACCTCTGCGAGGCTCGACAAGCCAGCGTTCATGCTCACCGTCACGGGAAAGCTCCGAAGGAATTGTCACAGCGGCACATATCACTCGGCCTGACAATTTCAGCTGGCCTGGCGCAGTCGCCGGGCTTGTAGGGTGACTGACAGAGTCGAAAGACTCTGCAGACATCGTCTCGTCTAAGGCTTTGACAGGGCCGATGAGGGCAATCCTGGAGTCAAGGGGTCGCGATCAGTGTCTTGGCCAAGGATGCGGTGTGGTAGCTCGTATGCAGGAGCCAAGGGCGTCATCGGAAATCAAAATCAAAATTCGCGATTTAAATCGCGTGAGTGAGGGTCAAGTATTTGGGATTAATGTACAATAGACAAGTTACCGGCTGTCGATACTAACGTTTGCGTTGGAAGACGCTGAAGCAGCCTGTCTGGTTTGGGCTCTTCATCAAGACCTCTGAATCTGTCTGCTGTCCGGCAGCAGCACTTGAGGTTTTGTTCGGCTCAACAGTGTTCTGGCGCATCGCGCTCCAGTAGGCCTTGTTGCTCTGCATTTGAGCAATGAGTGGCTCGAGTATGGGGAGAGCAGCCTTGAGTGAATCGAAGAGCGGTATTGCGAACATTTCTGTGAAGAAAATTTGGCTTTCAGCCTGCACCGTCTGCTTTGGATCGAATGACTTGGTGATGGGCATGCCAAGCGACCGCTCCAAGTAGCCTTGGTTGAAAAATTCCCTGAGTAAAGCACTACTCCAGAGTTTGCTGACCTCCAAAGGCCGAGCGACGTTGCAGATGTCAGCGCACTTCACGAGGCCCGCGAAGATGATCAGACGCAGTTTGCTAATCGAGGCTGAATTGGCATTTTGCTTCAATTCGTTAGACGCAAGCAGGGAATTGATATCGCTGAACTTCGTCATGTAGTCGAAATGTAGCGCCATATCAGTAGATAGAACAAGCTCCAAGATGATCTTTCGCATTACAGGTTCTTGGGTGGCAGGCCAATGTTTACAAAGAATCCGACTCAAAGCAGCCCCATGAAGATTCTCAAGCACCGAGCGGTCGTTGTAAAGAACAGCAAGGGGGGCTTGTGTAGCCACAAGAAAGGCATTGTTGACGCCTGGGTGTCCCACGTCATGTCCCAGGCCGACGATCATTAGCGCAAGAATGTATTGAGGAGTGAAGAGATCAGCAATAGCTGAAGGAAGCGTGCGCTGGCTGGCCAAATGATCGCCCGCAAAGGATGGTAAGGCGGAAGATGAGAGAGTGAAGTAGAAAAGAGCCTGTAAGACGTCGACCGCGTGACGAAAATTGTGATAAGGATTCAAGCGGTGGTACGCTGAACGAACGGTGCTGATGAAAGAGCGCAGCGCATCGTCCGACAAATGCCAGGGCTCGAGTCCAGGCTGGGCCAAGACATGCTTAAACATGATGAACACACTCTGATCAAGCTGATTATTGTTGAGCGTCAGACAAGAGAAATGCCAAGCGGACACAAGGCTTTGAAGTTCTCCATCGGAGGCAATTTCCTTGCTGCGCTCTTCTGTTGGCATTTCCTGAGCTAGATGTAAATCCAGGAGTTCATCAGTCCTGCTCTAGTCAGTCCAGTGCCATGAATTTTCCAACTTACTTTTGCAAGTGATTGCGCTGTAGCCTTGTCCGTAGGCTGAACCACTCATCTCTTGTGGGCGCGAACTCAGGTTTCTCGAATCTTTGCGTATCTTGCTGTGCGAGTTGCTTTTCGTCAGATACTGTAAACATGATAAGTAAAGCTTACAGTTACGGCTTGACCGATAGATGAACTCGTTGGAAGAAGTTCGAAATCGATCGCGGACTCTTGACTGTGTGCAAAGCCAATTCCCGCGAGCAATGTGCTGCCTGGGCGACGGTCAAGTGCTTGACGCAACAAAGCCGCATCAGAAAGCACTACGACTGGCTCTTCTATTCTCTCATCCTTGTTCTGAAGTATGACCAGCACGTCGCTATCGATATCACCGAGCAGCTGGATTGCTTCTGTGGGAGACGTACACACCTGGACTGTCCATTAGTTCCTTTGCGCACCTTCGAGAGAATCTCACTTGTATCGAAGTGCAACAGAAGGATATCCAGCAACCCGGACCACTCTCCTACAGGTGGTCGTTGCGATTTCCGGATTGTGCTTGTCTCACATCGGCGGTCAACATAGATCGCTAGTTGCTCTACCATTGCAAAAGTGTCGCTATGGAGCGCTGCTCGTGCTGATGGAGCTATGCCAGGCAAGCGGTCGAATGTCTTCGGCCGAGGGCTTGTGCTGAGCGTCTGTCTGTGCAGATGAAAGTGGTCTTGAAAGTGTATATCTGGTGGTTGCAGGCTGGTTAGTTCGTCCCCGCGGTCTAGACTGAACCACAAAATACCAAGATTGGCCGGTGACCTGGACTCGCCCACTGGGATGGTCCTTGCAAGGTAGGTAGGCTAAAGTACGACTGATCACTACACTGCGACTCTGCTCAAATAAATGAATGTATTGTCTCAGAGCGCATACTCCATAACACTGCCAACTAGCAACATCAGCTGTTGCGACCTTTCGATTTCTTCTTCCAAGAAACGCAAAGCGGCGCCAAAAGCCAGAACTCTTCATTTTATGAACAAGGAACACATCTATCACTACCTCCCCATCAGCTTGGCCTAAGCCTCACCGCTTGCAGATGGATACAATGCAGCTGCGATAGCGAATAGGACATAGGCTGCCATCAACAGAACACCTTCCAGCCAATTGGAGCGACCGTCGATGACCATGTAAGTCACGATCATAACCGACAGAAGCAGTGACAGGGTTTCAAACAACGAGAAAAAAAGCGTCAGCGGTTGACCAATGATCCAACCTACGATGACTGCAAGTGGGCCAACGAGCAGGACAATTTGGAGACTGATCTTGTTAGTGGAGCCAGGACAGGGAAGATGTGTCACACCTTGAACCTAAGCAATGTTAGCGCGGTAAATATACATTGCAGGAAGACTAACCAAGAGCAATGCCGAGACTGATGTCGATGCGGCCCTTGAGCGCCAGCATGACCGATGTGAAGTGCTCAGCGCTGTTACCCACAACAGGAATGAGGATAAGACCAACAAACTGTTCGGAAATGGGCGTTGTCGCGACTAATCCATTGATCGAGGCAACCATAAACTCTGCGATCAATGCAATCAAAGCTGTCGAAACAGCTAGCAAGATGATGGAGGCGACAAGCGGTATGCGAGGTGTCTGCTCCTCAATTGCAGATGTGATGGTGTCGTTGTCCAGTGAATTGCCCTCAAGGTCAATTGTGGCTGCCTCGGCGACTGGTCCAGTGGCAACATCGCGGTAGAGGCTGGCGTGCGTCTTCAGCTGAAAGAACAAGTAGGCTCCATAAACCAAGAGCAGAATAATAGAAGTACCTCTTCGTTAGCATCGATGAAGCGGAAGTCAGTGGAAGTACTATAGCTGAGCTGGAGAACGCGGTCGTCTGCCAGTTGACTGTCCCGAAAACTGGCGTGGAAACCCGCTGGGATGGCTAAGCTTACGACTGCCAGCAGAAGGAGAGTTCCTGTGGTTTGAGTCACAGTGTTGTTGTAGTACTGCTCCGTGAAGCGTAGGCCACCCAGGAAGAAGGCCATGCCGAGAATGAGGAGCAGATTGGAAAGAACGCTCCCAATAATCGCCGCCTGGACAACTCCAAGCTCTCCGCGCACGACACCGATGATGAAAATGATGAGTTCTGCTGCGTTGCCGAAGCTTTGTGTCAGCACACAAGGTGATACGAGTCATGCACATACCTGATGTTCAACAAGGCGGAGAGCGCGTTACCAAACCGTTTGGCCAGCTCCTCTGTGGCAAAGCCTAACAGAGCGGCGAGAGGAATGATGGCGAGACAAGCGCAGACAAACTGAGCAACAGCAGGAGCATCAGCAAAGCGTACTGCAATGGCAACTGGTACCATTACCAACAGGAGATTAATCCAAGAATAGCAAGCGATAATCTTTCCAGTGGCGAGCAGTGCCTGCCAGCGTGACGGACGCTCTGCTTGAGGCAGGCTCACAGCTGTGTCATTCCGGTCTGAAGCACCAGAAGGCGAGGCCACTATGGTTTCGACCGGGCCATCACTGCTCAGAATGAGATTAGACGGATGGGCGATGGCCTGCATCTCCACTCCAGATTGGTCGCCCTTGCTCGCATTTTTGCCCTCACGCCCGCGTGGGCGAGGGGAGTTGGTCCTCGACCTGTTTTCAGGTGTTGTCAAGTTATATAGTTCATCGTGGGCAATTGAGCGTAGCTTGTGCATTCAGTGGTAACCTCACAGATGCCGGCGCGCGACTGAGCGTCTTTTAAGGGCGTCATTGAGCATGCACGTGCGGAGCCTATATCAGGCTGTGCCACGCCGCCAAGGCCACAGTGGCTGAGCGCTGCGCAGCTTAACAATGATGGAGAAGAACCCCGAACACTCACAGGCGTCGTATGACGACAGATAGGACTTGCTGAGCTAGGCAGATTTATGAATTGATGTCACAATTCACGAAGTCACGGGCGGTTTGGGATTTTTCAATCAGGCATCGAGCAATGTAATCGACGAATGGTTGGCACATGATCGGCTGAACAAGCGGATCATGATCACACACAATTGGCCAGTCGGCGATTGCAAAGGACCGCAAGCAGTGTGCGATGCGTCTCAAAAGGAAGATGCTCAGCGGCAGATGTCACAAATAGAGAGCTGCCCCGAAACTGGGACTCTCAACTTCAATCTGTGCTTAGGCGAGGCAAATACGTTTTCGTGTGTGAATGAGACTGAGATTGTATCGTATGCAGTTGGACTGTGTTAGGACGTTGCAATCAGCACGAAGAGGAGTGGCGGCCTGCCGAACCTTATTCCTCTGAGGCTTCCTCAACAACGGTGGTCTGGAGACCCTTGACTGTCGCGCCAGGCACGTGTGATACGAGGCAGTAGAGCTTCTCCTTGGCGCCTTCTTCGTCGTTACGCTTGCGTGCGATACGCAAACGCATGCGGTGAGGGACGTGCTTGACACCCATGCGCCAGATCTCCTTGTTAAGACTGGGGTCGATACGGATGTCCTTTGTGCCCATGTGCTTCTCTGCGAACTGCTTGATTGACTTCACAGCCCATGGTGCCCTGTGCGTGTCAGCCAGTCGGTGCTGTAGGTGAAGAAACTTACCGCTTCTTGAACTGAACACCAAACACATTCTTGTGCAGGTGAATGGTGTAGTCACGAGTGACAACGTCGTTGACGGCGGACCGTGTAGGCTTCTTCGACTTCTCAGTAGGTGCCATTCTGTTGCTTGGTGTGTGGTGTCGAAAAGGCCTGTTCGGCAGACTCTGGTAGAGCTGAGATTCTGCACACGTGAGCCTTGTTTGAAGTTTGGCCTGCAGAAGCAAGTCACGCACCACCACCACCACCACCACCACCAGCAGCAGATGACACGGATGGGCCTTCTTGTCCCTGAAGCAGATAGCTACCTGACCTGCCCGCCGCCGTTCATACATCTACTCATAGTTCGTGCTGCTACTTCCTGGTCTTCCTAGCTTACGATCGACCGCTCTCTGTCTTCATCTCCCTTACAGGTACCCTTTTACAGGACACAGCGCAGCACAAATGGCTCTAATCACATCACTTCCCGATAACATAGTCGAAACGAACATCTTGAAGCAATACGACAGACACTAAGATACATCATGTGAAAAAAGGGTCATACAGCTGTCTGTGGCGTTTCGTTGTGCGCCACAACTGCAGTCGAGCCATCGGAGGTAGACGTTTCCCGCACGCAAGCCTCCATCCGCCGTACTTTGAGAAAGTCAGCGGTACTCTTGATAAGCAAGAGCCATCCGACAGCGAGCATTGCATAAGCTGCGTAGTCTGTGTGCCGCCCCAACGCATCGCGTATAGAGCTCCGGCCACCGCGCGTATCTTCGCTCAAGCCACTATTGTCTGACGGGACCTCTGGAGCGCGCAGATAAAATCCATACTGAATAAGCGTGGCCCCAAATCCTGCGCGTGATCCATATTTGGCTGCGTGAGTGGTGTGTAAGACGTAGGTCAGAAGGAAACCAATGAACTGGAATGACACCGACACAAGCATGTTCCATACAAAGCCAAAGATGTGACCTACAGCCAGGCCATCGATGAAAATCTCGTCAGACGCACCGAGCATGTACATTGTCGTTTCCCAATAGGGCGGCGCATTGTCGGACGAAGCTTGCTCGTAGGTAGGAGGGTGTTCTTCCTTTTCCAGCTCTACTGTGGGTTTGGCACTGATGTTTGTAAAGACTCCATCGTTCCCGCTGATGTGTATAATTCTTCGTTGTTGCGATGGCGTAGTGCCCACAGCGACCCCAAATTGGGCTGGAGTCGGTTCTATGAGTCGTAAGCGTTCGTCTGCCGCAGTAGCATCTTCTGGTGCATCAAATGAAGAAGCTAAATCATCGCCCGCGCTGTTGCCACACAAGCTTTGGTTTTCGTCATGTTGTGATGCTTCGTCATCAGCTTGAAGAGGGGCCTTGCGGAGAATTAGCGCAATTCGATGCGGACAGCGAGACTTACATAGCGCATGCTCCGGGAGTTAAGAAGGTGCAGGCGCGCGCAAGCTGAAGAAATGGAAAGGGTTTGAGTCACGCTAAAGGCGTGGTGTGATCGGATGCACCTCACTGATTGCGTACGGTGCGTGAGTGCCACTCACAGCCGCAGCGTGCGAAATTATGCAACTTTGGCCAGGCAACAACTCGGGTGCGACTCGCGCAGTGTTGGCAGTGGCTGTAAACACCCCGTCACCCATAGCTATTGCCTCGCAGGCCTTGATAGACTCTTCTGTGCTCAAGCCAAGTCTCTCGACGGCGTTTTCCACAATCGGATATCATGGACAAGCATGGAAATGCAGAGGTGTTGCTCCAGGCCGTTATTATCAGCGACTCATACAACACCCGCTTCAAGCCGCTGACTGACGACCGTCCACGCTGTCTGATGCCTCTCGTCAACGTTCCTCTGATCGAATACACCCTCGAATTTCTTGCATCGTCCGGCGTGCAAGAGATCTTTATTTTCGTATGTGCTCATGCAGACCAGATCAAGCACTACATCAGACACTCCAGCTGGCAGGCTTCTGGAATGCCACGGATAGAGCTCATTACAACGCCAGACTCAACTTCTGTCGGCGACGCCATGCGAAGGCTGGATGAGGAGCAAAAGATCAAGTCAGACTTTATTCTACTTAGCGGCGACGTCGTGAGCAATCTTGCCGGGGCCGACATGGTCAAAGCTCACAAGGCGCGACGGGAGCTCGACAAGAGTTCCATCATGACCATGGTCTTTCGAGAGACCAATTGCTCGCATCGAACACGCAGCACAGCTGAGTCTCCAGTTGTGGTGCTCTCTGGAAGTCAAAATAGATGCGTTCACTACAGCCGAGCGTTTCAACCACAGTCAGCAAAACTGCTCCTTGATCTTGCAGTCCTGAAAGGGGCCGAGTCAACCCAGATTCGCAATGACTTGGTGGATTGCAGCATCGACATTTGCTCACCGGAGGTTCCAGCATTGTTCAGCGAGAACTTTGATTACAACGACATGCGGGGAGACTTCGTTCATGGCATTCTGACAAGCGATCTACTCGGTAAAACCATTCATGCCCATGTTGAAGACAGTAAATATGCCGCCAGAGTACAAGATTTGCGTAGCTATGATGCTGTCTCGCGTGACATTATCGCGCGTTGGACTTACCCAGTTGTACCGGACAACATGGCATGGCTCTGTGGAGCTTATACCCATGAGAGGTCAAACGTTTACACAGGAAAGAATGTTCGCCTCTCAAGAAAAGTGGCCCTAACCTCCCACGTGGTGCTCGGGAAGCATGTAAAGGTCGGGGACAATTCAAAGATCTCGTTTTCGACACTCGGTGCGGACTGCGCAATTGGGCCGCAGTGCACAATCGCCGATTCATACCTGTGGGAAAACGTCACCGTAGGCAGTAATTGCCGAATCGGACAATCATTGGTGGCAAACAACGTTGTAATTGGTGATGGGTGCGTACTGCATCCTGGAGCCGTACTTGGACCTGGCGTGCGCCTCGCTGACGGTACTACAGTCGCAGCTAATGTGACACTAGTCGCCGACGGGGAGGCAGATGTCGAGATTGTTGGACAGGGCGGTCAGGGCCACGTATATCTGGACGTCAGATCAGATTGCGAATCAGATTCGGAAGATGATGACGACCAACCCGACTCGTTCATGGCAGATTACGCAAATCATCTCTCACAGATGCAGTACAGGCAAGCAGCGCTCAACTTCTCAGATCTGAGTATCTCAAGTCTTGGCTCAATACCTGATAGCGAACGAGCGCGTCGGCCAAGTTTCGCTGCGTCAGCTCAATCTGAGGACGAACATGCCCTGGTTTTCTATGACTTGGCCCGGGCTGATCTTGAAACAGCTTTCACTGAAGACCACAACGTCGACGATGTCATGCTAGAGATGACATCGTTGCGCATGCGCGAGGATGTCGGCATGCATGAGGTCAGAATTGCCGTTCTTAGCGCAATGTTAGCAAAATGTGAAGCTGGGCAGTCCAACAAGGCTGTCTTGCGCACGAAACAGCTTGTCAAGCGCTGGGGTCCCCTACTCCAGAGGACCATCTCGCCAAACACGATCAAGGAGGACTGTCTTGACTTGTTGCTTTCAATGCAGAGAATTTGCAGCACAACAACTTCATCCGATCTTTTTGTGCCCATGACAAAGTTTATGTATGACGATGAGATACTACCAGAGGTTGCCATCTTGGACTGGTACAACGACTTGCAGTCAGCATCAGATGAATCCCTACGTCAGACAAGGCAGAAGGCGGTTGATTTCGTGAGCTGGTTGCAAGAAGCTGAAGAGGCGTCATCGGATGATTCTGATTAGCTCTATATAAGGTCAAGCATATCACCCTGCTCTCCAAATGCGCGTTGATTTTGACTGACGACGGGTGCCTCCGTCTCCGAGCTTTTGAAAAGATCTAGCAAATCTTCGACATTGGATTTATTCGCCACGATCTCTGATTGGAGTGCCACTGGAACGGCACCATCAAAGTCAATGTCCAGTAAGTTTTCAACATTTTGCCCCGTGACTTGCATGGTTGCCTCCTGCGCCGACGACCGCTGCTCGGCAATGGCAGTCTTTTGAATAATGTCTACCCCACCGGTCCTACCGCCGCCGACAAAGGATCTTGCAGGTTTGTGATACACTGAGGATATGAGGGAAAGATCTGCAACCAACTCATTCAGCAAGAATGACGAGACAGAACCTGTATTGACGTCAATTGGAGGCTTGTTCGTGTCCAAAACAACAGTCTTTGCCATGCTAGAGTCACTCGATAGCAAGCGCCAATAGATGAAGGCTCGATCACGGACATCACTGTTGTCGCAGTGTGTCGCGTTTTGCAATGTTTGTTCGACAAATGCTTGCGCAGACTTAGGCTTCTTGAGAAAGAGTTTGACGACAGCAGTCAGTAACTGCAATTGAACTTCAGCATACTCATCCTTGAACGACTCCATGAACGATTCCAACAACTCCGCTGAATTGTGAATCTTCTCCGCATATTCGCCGAGGATCCAGATAAGAGACGCTCTTGCTTTTGGATCGTCCAGCTCGTCGATGTTCCTGCAAAGTGCTGGAATGACGGACTCGTAACGAGCTGGATAGCGCCTGAAAATATCTTTGATAACCACGACGCTCTCCTGGACGACATAATTGACTCTAGTGTTGATGAGCTCCAGAAGGACATTCAAACATCGTTCAGCTGCAACTTCAATCTTGATTGCGCAAAGTCCAATCATGCGGACAGCTTTTTTGACAAACTCCATATCGATCTCAGTTGCATACTCCTTAAGTTCTAGTAGAAGCTGATCAATGTTGCTCTCATCTGCAAGAGCAATCATGATGTGCAACTTTTCGTTCTTGACATAAAGTGGGTCGTTGTATTTGCAAAAAAAGACTCTGATCTCGTTGGCGAGCAAGTTGCCGTGAATCTGAAGAAGCAAACGAATATTGCGCAGGGCCACATACTGTAGCTCGAAGGGGGCAGAGAGCAACGTGACAAGGGACGTAGCCAGTTTTTTTAGGAGACTCGCTTGCATTTGAGTCTTCAGCTGTTTGATGTTTTTGATAACAACCTTGACCGCTGCGATAACAACACTGACATTAGCGTGTTGGAACTGGGGTGCTACTCGCTCGCAAATAGTCTCCGCCTCCGTATCATCTGCAACGTAGCCACTCATGGCGTTCATGATGGCGATACGGCCCCATTCGGAACATTCGTTCAGCGCAACAAGCATCTTTGAAAGCGTATCAGCCGTAATGAGCAAGGCTTCAGTAGCGGGATCCGCTTCTTGAATTTCTGCCAAGGCAGAGACAGCGTTGGCAACTACCGTGGCATTGGCGTCGCCTACAAGCTCTTGAAGCATCTTGACGAACCCGTTATCCAGACACAATTCCGGATTCAGATCGTAGAGTTTTGCGACACAAATGGCGGCGGTCTTGCGTACGTATGGGCTTTCGTCCTTGAGTGTTCGTTTCAATGGCTCTGGGAGATAATCGATCATCTTGTCCACTCTGACACAGCCCATCGTGCGAATCGCCAGCGCCCGGACGAGCGGATTACCGTCTTCAGAATCTTGCACGAACGTGTTGACTGCCAGAATGCACAAGTCCGGATAGGCTCGAGCGTAATTCATCAAGTAAAGGTAGACGAGCTTCTTCTGCGCCAGGTCCGGAGTGGCGATGTTCTTGAGCACGTCTATCATTAGTGACTGGAAGAATATGCGACGGATACGTACCCGGGAATAAGGCTGAGACATCCTTGCCCAAGGTCATGGCGGCAATTGTCCTCTGTATGGCCTCCTTGCGTTCAGAAGCATATTGTGATACCAGCCCTTTCCTGCCTGGTGAGCTTCATGTGCAGAAGCGAACAAGCGTACCTGAGTTCGAATGTCTCTCCCTTCTTCGGCACGATTTGCGCCTGTACGGCCCGCTGAATGCGCCCGGCCATCGACATGATTGACGTGAACTACTATAACAGTCGGAGCGAAGCTTTGTTTTGGGCACTTCTCGTCGACTAGATGCAGATGCTCATGCACTGTGATGAGAGACGCGTCGTACTGCGAGATCCCAGTATGCCTGCTCGTTCGAAGGCCTTAGATATTCGTTGAGTACAAGTCACGCAAGTGGGAGGCATGTTTGCAAAGGCTGCGGCGGTATGCGCGTATTCGGCTAAATATTCCTGTACCGGTGGTACCGCGCGACGTGCGCGTCTTCCTCCTTCCGCTTGTTTGCAAGACTCACAGGCTTCTCCTGCGCACTGTACTGGCTGGAGCAACGCCAACGTGTGAGCAACAGATCTGGAAGTCATCAGCGCTGCTCAGCTCCGCTTTCTGGCTGTAGGACATTGCATTTGCAGCTTGTAACGGCTCTATTGTTGCACTTCAAACTGCAATCATACTCCGACTCTGCTCTACCGAATTTTGAACCATTGCGCATTTGAGCTGAGTTCCTTGGCAACAACTTACGCCTGCCATCTTCACTAAGTCTTCTCGGCACGCCTACTATCCAGTCGATCGCAGACCCTAGCAGGGAAGAGTTTCCACGAAGCAGTCTTTCAACTTGGCCTCAGAGGCTATTCTGCATGTTGAATATGGCCGTTGTGCCTCTGCCCCCAATCCCATCGTTGCGAGTCCAGGAATCTTTGACCGAGGAACTTTGGCAATCAACGCGAAGGATTTGGGTTGCGTCCACAGGCACTTTACTCAAAGTTTCCGACGATGTTTTCTTTGGCTCAGCACAGCTGGCAGTAACCACAAAATGCTTGTTCGATGTCTTCAAGCACTGCTGCAACGAGTCTGACTACGTGGCTCTACAATCAGCGACTCTCAAAATCAATATTTTCAGGCTTTGTCATCGCCTGCTTTCTAGCTCTGCTTGTCTAACCTTCGAGTTTGTCCTTGATGCGAGCAGCTTCCTGTATCGGCAGCAAAGTATTCTTGTGGTTGCTCGTCAATGGCTTGTGGCGAACGAGACCTTGGCAGTCAGCTCAGCGCGAGATTGGCTGGAAAGTCTGAAACAGGGCGATCACAATGTTCTACTATCGTTTACCAAGAGATCAATATTTCGATGTCTTGAGCGGCTGATCATCTCGCCAGAAGTAGCAAGGTGCTTTCAATCTGCAGGATGGGCTTCACTTCAGCAATATATTGGCTACGATAGGTCTAACACAGCTCAAGCGGACGAGCTGAAGCATTGCATTGACTTCTACTGTGGAACGATCGATCAACAGCAGACGCCAAAATCTGGTCGTACCGAAATCGACCCCGATACGCTCACGGAGGCTTCTGATGTGGTACGGAAAGCGCGTCTACGTTATCCCAACATCTCTGTTCGAGAGCTCTCTAATTTGATTGACGCAGGCGATCTTGTTCGGCTGCCGCTGCATAATGCAGACCGCAGCGGCTTAGAGTATGTGCGGCATTTCTTACAGACTGAGCTTGATACAGACAGTCCATTGAGATTGCGGCGCCAAACTTCAAGTGAACCCTCCCATTTGCTCGCAAACAAATACTTAAAAGCCAAAATTTTGTCTCTTGCGTTCGATCCAGATGATGACGAGCTTGACGACACCTACGAGTCTTCAACTGTCACGATGGTACAATCGGAATTCAAAGCACTCTCGGAGATGGACGCTCTCCTATTTCCGGTTTGGAAGATTTCACCTGACCTATTTAAACGGACCTCTCGAAGGACCAAAGAAAGGCTAGAGCTTCAAGAAAGAGTCGACGTTGATCCAGAATTACTTGAAGGCTGGGCAGTCATGCTACAGCGCGATCGTACACGTCTTTCTCGTCTGACCGATGCCTTTGCATTCGATGGCACCCAACCAGTTGTGGCAAGTACGAAATTCTCGGCAGCCAAGGATTCGACGAGCTCAGAGACTCCGCCTCCCCGATCTCGACACGAGAGTGATCTCAGCACGAATGTGCGCCCGAGGGGCGGCGGGACCAGTCAAAGATCTTCGCGGAAAGCCAAAACGCAGAGATGATCATGAAGGCGAGACATGACACCTTGCATCCTGCTGGTGCATGTAGGGTCATCCTATTGGAGGTGATGCAATCCTACATACTCCTCAAATAAATTATGTCCACGTCACTTGGAAGTGTTTGGTAAGCAGAAGCGGTCGTCTTATGGATGGACTTGAACGGCCAAGGCGTTGGTATCAAGGATGGATATACATGTGGGAACTGTCACAATTGGCGTGCGACACCACATCGAACGCACGCACTACAAGCACAGAGTGCTCCCCCACCGCAATCGCCTGTAGAGTGGTAGCGAATGCCTGTTGAACAGGGCCTGAACTGCTAAAACATGAACGTATCTAGGGTGTTATTACTACGGAATTAGCTGTAATGGCACTTTGTAGTGAACGCATTGGCGGTGTCGCACACTCAGAATTCCCAGCGCACAACAATCGCTTGGGGAGACGATGGGACGTGAGCCATGATTTACAGGTACACGCGGTTCCGTGATGATGAGTGTGGAAGTAGCGAGAGAATGCGTTGCGTGTGCTTTATTGGTCCATTCTGCGACCGGTGCGAGAAGGATAGGCCTTGCGAGCCATCACCACAGCCGCAATTAAAGAGCGAGCAGGAAGGTCGGGGAAAGGGATGGACGGTGACGGTGTGTATGCTTTACAGGTTCATACTGCGACCTTACACGTAATCAATACGTGACTAACAGAAGCGTTGGCGTGGAAACGTTGACGGTGTGTATGCTTTGGTGGTCCGTACTGCGGCCAGTGCGAGAAGGGAGTGCCGTTCGAGCCAATACGACGGCCGCAATCGATGAGCGAGCAGGAAACGGGAACGGTGACATTGTGTATGCTTCAATTGTTCATACTGCGACCAGCGCTTGACGTTGCGTATGCTTTGATGGTCCATCCTGTGAAGTGGTAGCGAATGCATGGCGAATGCGATGATCCATGTAGGGCGGTAGCGAATGCATGGCAAATGCCTGATAACCAGAGCTTCAACAGCCAAATGCAAGAGGGTATTGAAGGGGTTTTTTAATATATATTCATTTCATTGCTATAGAAACTACAGTCATTGTCCTAAATGTAGGATGAAATAAGCTTTATTTCACGAAAGTCTGCCTAGGAGGCCGACGAAGAAGGCGGGACTGGCTGCCGACGTGTAATCCTCGACTAGCACACCCGCTAAAACACCTTTGAAGTTATGCGCGCGTGCTTGCGTACAGCGTCTTTGTTTGTGCTTCCTCGCAGGCTTCCTCAAGTGCGCTGGATGCAGCTGTGGGAGCCGTTGAGTGAGCCTTCTTCCTCGGCGACTTGCTTACTTGCTTATCACGCTGGACATGGGTGACAGCAACCTTCTCGTGCTGGCAGTCCTTTTACGGTTGGTATGGATGTGAAATCCGTCGTCTTCGCCCTGAGCTTGGGACAAAAAGTGCTGAAATGATGTAAACTGGTCCTGGCTGTCATGTGTCTCCATGTGATGGTATGGGTCATCGCTCTCTTCCTGTTTTGGAGAGCTGAACCCCTACTGTTGCCCCCTGCCCTTTGAGCATGTTGTGCGCAGGTACAATGGTATATGGAGCACTGACCCTGGATCCGAACGCTTGAGAGCTCTTGTGGTGCAGCGGGAATGTCGTCCCCAGTCCAACAGAGCAGTCGTGCAGTGCGTGCGCCCTCGTCTCTCCACAGACTTTACACAAAGGCGGTGGCGCAAGTTTGCGGAAGTATTGTTGGTGGCAGAAGCAGTATAGCACAAAGTCCTTGGGCATTTCATTTGAATGCGTACGGCACGCACTTTCGTAGCATGAAAGCCTCGGGAGACCTCAAGAGTCGGTGGACATTACTCACCTACCTTGATAGGCGAAGTAGATGGGTTGGGGACGACATTTTTGATGGAGGTGACACTACTCACGGTCAGGATCTCAGGACGTGATCGGCAGTGGCAAATCGCATGGCTATAGACAGCTTTCATGAGCGCAAGTATATAAAGGTGGCAAAGTCTCATAGTAATGTAGTGAGTGATCCCAGGATCAGCTGGACAGCGAAACACCTCAATACCCGAAGACCATGCTCGAGCTACACCTCGAGCTACATATCAGGATCACAAAAGAAGAAGTTAATAGCGAACGGATTTTGTCTACTGTTGTACGCAGGTGAATGGGTGTTTTTTGTGAAGCGGTAGCGGATGCATGGCGAATGCCTGATGAACAGGGCTTGAACTGCTAAGACATGAACGTATTAAAGGGTGTTGTTACTCTTGTTATTGCTACGGAATTGCTGTGCTGGCACTTTATAGTGCACGCATTGGCGGTCTCGCACGCTCGGAATTCCCAGCGCACAACAAAAAGGCCCTGATAAACATCTTTTCTACTCTCAAGCAGCATTCGGCTCCGATCATGCTGCGACTCCCGCTTTCCGGGCATACGATCACTACTTGCTCTCCACCTCGAAAAATGTGTTGCATATTGTCGGGAACTTCGTCGTCTTGACCACCGAGGCATTCAGCAAGTCCTTGCCGATAGTGTTGTGCGCAGGCTTACCGTCAATCAGATAGAATATTCTTCATACGAAAGCGCTGCAATTTCGTTCGAATAGAGCCACCGACTTATTCACCTACAACGAGATTACGACTCAAGCGATTTCATCACCAATACCAATGGTCTTACGTTGGCTGGGAACAAGTAAATTGTGCGCATGCCCGTCAAACTTCAGGGAGGACGGGTCACAGTCACCAATATTACGGGTCTCGTTGACAATTCCAGCGAAGCCTTGTCTTCCGCACTGAGTCCGTGGAGCACTATGTGTTGAAGGTGATGCTACTCGCGGTCAAGATCTCACGAAGTGATGGGCAGGTGCAAATCGCATGTCTATGGACGACCATCGTGGAACAACACAGAAAGCAAGAGAAATGTTGTGTTGAGTCGTTGATTGTTTCAGGAGCTCATTGTGTTGTGCTCAGGCAACTCTTTCTTGAGTTTACTAGTCCTCTCCTAGACTAAAGGCAGCGCAGCCGCTCTACTTATGTCCTCAACCTGCCAGCGTGTCAGCTTGGGCCCCTGATCGTCGCATCATCAATGAGCTCCTGAAACAATCAACGTCTCAACACAACACTCCACCTAGCTCATTGTCGTCCATGAGGCTAGCTAGTCTTGCGACGAAGGCCGAGCATTGCCATGAACTTTTGCAATTTCTGCCGACCTAGTGCTTTGGTTGTCAGATCTGCAATCATGTCTCCAGTAGCAACGTATCCGAGTGACATGCGAGCACGCCGTACACAGTCTCGCACAAAGTGATATTTCGTCCGTATGTGCTTGGTGCGGGTGTGGAAGCGAGCATCATTTGCCAAGGCGATAGCACCCTGATTGTCGCCATGGATGTGAAATGTCAAGCGCGCATCGGTGGCTTTGAAGTCGTGCAGTAGGTGTTGCACGATGATCTTGACCCATTCGAGCTCCTTTGTCGCGTTGGCCAGCCCAATGTACTCTGCCTCCGTTGTAGACTGCGCAATGACTTCCTGCTTCCGACTGCTCCAAGAAACGCAGTTTGGGCCGAGCATGACAATGTACCCACTGGTTGACTTGCTGTTGTCAAGGTCGCCGGCATAGTCGGAGTCTGAGTACACGTGCACATCCAAGTCGCCCTTCTTGAAGACAAGACCTACATCCTTCGTGTGCTGCACATAGCGTAGGAGTTGCTTCGCTGCCCGCCAATGTTCATAACTCGGCTTTGCCATGAAACGACTTAGGACGCCCATGGAGTGTGCCAAGTCTGGTCGTGTTGCGGTCATAAGGTACATCAAGCTCCCGATGACGGCCATGTACGGCATGGTTGCCATCTCTTCTCGTTCGGCTGGTGTGGGATCACATGTTGCTTGAGAGAGCGATAGGCCGCTCATCATTGGTGTGTGTGTACCATTGCAAGACTCGAGTCCAAAGCGCTTCAAAATCTCCCGACAGTAACGTGCTTGACTCAGGGTGATACTGCCATCAGAAGCGTAGGATAGCTCCATGCCACAAAATTGTGTGGCAATACCAAGGTCTGTCATGTCCCACTTTGTTGACAATGCCTGTTTGAAATCAGCCAGGGCGCTGTCGTTCTCAGCAATCATCAATAGATCGTCGACATAGAGGACAAGCCGAATATCTCCACCTCTGAGAACAAACAAGCCTTGCTCATGCTCGCATCGCAGGAATCCATAGGACAACAGGAACTCCGACATGACAATATACCACTCGCGACCAGACTGTCGGAGACCATATAGCGTGCGCTTGAGACGGCAAACAGCGCCATTTCCACTCTCATAGCCAATTGGCTCGTGCATGAAGACCTTCTCTGACAAGTATCCATTTAAGTAAGCGCCAACAACGTCCATGTGCCAGACCTTCAAACCCTTGTTGACAGCAATGACTAGCAGGGTGCGAATCGTGGTGAACTTTGCAACGGGAGCAAAGGTCTCCGAGAAGTCAACATGCTCCTCTTGCTGGTCCCGTGCGCGACAAGGCGCGCCTTGAATTTGTCGATCGAGCCATCTGGGTTCAATTTGAGCTTGTATCGCCACATGTTTCCGATTACTGGTTGGCCTGGCTCGGTATCGACGAGTTCCCAAGTGCCGCGTTCCAGCAAGTTTGCAATCTCTCGCTGCTCTGCCTCGATCCAGAGGTCACGCTCGTCACTTTTGAGCATTTGGCGTCTATTCTTTGGCGTCACAATGTCCTTTGGATCCTTGCCGACTGGATGAGGGTGTGCGTCAGTCAATGCCGCAATCATCAAAGCAGAGGCACTGACATCAGTTTGTGCATCATCTTGAGCCAGGTCACGAGCCCTGGCCAAAAGCAAGTTGATATCGTCATCCGAGAAATGATCATGTGGGCCGTCCTCCACTGCACCGAGCACTGGAGAGAGTGCCAAATTGTCGTCGTCGATGTCAAGCGATTCCAATAAATTTACGTCGTCGACTGAACTGCCATTTGCGTCTCCGCCAAACTGAAGCTGCTGCAAGTCTTCCACCTCCTCGCCGTCACTAAGTCTGAGATCCCCTTCTGCCAAACTGAGGCCAGAGAGATTGTCGTCCAAATTTGTCGAGATGCCAAAACTGCCGTCGCTCTGGTGATCACCACGTCCGTCGCCGTCTTCACCGTCTCCTGTGTTGCTGGCATCCTCGTTCTGGTCATCACCACGTCCGTCGCCATCTTCACCGCCTTCTGCGTTGCCGTCAATCTCTGCCTCCACCTCGCTTTCATGAGTCACAGAGCCAAGGAACGGAGCGACACGCACTTCATCGTCGTCTGTCTCCATTTGCTCCACCTGCTCTTGTATCCCCTTGCGACCAAATTGGTCCTCAACAAACGTGGCATCCCTCGATACACGCTCCTTCTTGGATTCTGGGTCCCAGAAGCGGTATCCCTTGACCTGGTCCGGATAGCCAACAAAAATCATTTCACTTGCCTTGGACACAAACGTTTTCAACTTTGACTGCTGTGTGTGCACCCAAGCGCGGCAGCCGAATACACGCAAGTAGGAGACGTCGGGTTTGATACCTTTCCAGGCTTCGTATGGCGTCATGCTCTCGTGAGCTCGAGTGGGTAAGCGATTACACAAATGAACAGCAGTGTGCACTGCGTAGGACCAGAATTTGTCCTTCAAGCCAGCCTCATGAAGCATTGCACTTGCATGGTCCTTGATCGTGCGGTTCATTCGTTCTGCAACGCCATTCTGCTGAGGTGTCTCGGCCACAGTGCGTTGATGCACAATACCCATCTCTCGCAGGTATCTGTCATTCTCATTGCTGACATATTCGCCGCCATTGTCACTGCGCAGGATCTTCAGCTTCTGTCCAGTTTGTCGTTCGACCTCATGCTGAAAGTCTTTGAATCTCTCGAATGCTTCGGACTTCTGCTTGATAAAGTAGACATGTGTGTACCGGCTCGCATCGTCGACAAAGGTCACATAGTAGCGCTTGCCCGACCAAGATGGCACGAATGGGCCAGCAAGGTCGCTGTGCACGAGACCCAAGAGCTTTGTTTCACGAGACTCTGACTTTTTCGGGAACGCCAATCTTGGCTGTTTCCCTTTTTGACAACCCGTACAATCCGCAGTATTTGGCGTAAGCTTTCCAATATCTGGGCCAGTGACCATATCCTCGAGGCGCAACATTGAAACAATGCCCGGATGACCAAGTCGCCTATGCCAAAGCTCCACATCTGTTGCTTTGGCGTGCAGTAAACGCGACGAATCAGGTGTATCAAGCCAAAAAAGACCCTCGCGCTTCGGCCCTTCCGCCACTGTTCGGCCGTCATGCTTTGACATCAAGCGCCACTTGTTCTCATCAAACAATAGTTGATAGCCCATACCAGCAAGCACCCCGACAGACAGCAAGTTAAAGCTGAGGCCTGGCACGAACATGCAATCAGGCATTTCCAAAGGGCCGTCAATAGTCGGAATGATTGCTGTGCATAACCCTTCCGATACCTCCGACGTGTCGTTGCCAAAGCTGACATTTCGAGGTCCACGGCCGGATCGCAAAGAGCCTGGCTGGACGAGATCTATCGAGCTGACCACATGGTGAGAAGCGCCGCTGTCGACAGCCCATGAGATTTGCTGTTCAGCGCTCGTCGAGCCATAGGCATGCAGCGCAGTGGCGGTCTCGTTCACTCGTGTCTCTGGAGCGATGCAAGCGACAAACTTCTTTTCACTACCTCCCTCTACGGGCTTGTCGACAAGCATCTTGGGGCAATCTGCTCGGATGTGGCCGAACTCTTCGCATCGGTAGCACCTGGGTCCACTGCCTCGACCAGTGCTCTTGTTTGCTTGGCCACCAGCGTTGCGCTTCCAACCTCCCCTGCCACCAGACGATTGCGACAAGAGTGCCTGGGCGCTGGCTTGCTTCTGTGCATCATTCGCGAGCACTGCCGCTTGTTGACGAATGTCTTGGCGGACCTGGTCCACCCTCGTGGTCTCAGTGACGCGGGCTCGGTATGCGTTCTGGAAGGCGCTCCAGGCGGTGACGGCTGGAAGCCCATCCAACAAAAAGTCAATGTGCTCAGCATTGGTTACATGATGCTCGGCACTTCGCAGCTCAGCAACTCGCCCATCCACAAAGGCAAAGTGCACCTTGATGTCGTCGCCCTCGTTTGCAACATGAGCCCAGAGGTCCCTCTTCAATTCCTTGATGCGCTGCGAGGTATTGATGACGCAGCTCACGCACAAGGCTGCGTACAGTTCATCGACTGGGGTGGTGACCATTGACTCGCTGATCGTCTCAAATACCTTGTCAGCGAACGACGTGATGATGGCCCTTCGCGCCACCATCTCCTTCTCCTCAGACCAGTCTGAGATCTCCTTCTTCGGCTTCTTCAAGTAGTCCAACACTCCAGTCAATTGTGCACCAGCCTCAAACTTGTCTTTGAAGACTCGCCATTTTGCAAAGTCTCCGTTGTACTGGATCAGCTGAATGCCGCTGAATGCCTCAACGCGGTGCTCCTTGACCCGTTCTGTTGGCTCGATTGCGCGCGGTAGTGCAAGGCTCATACTACCTCTTGAGTTTACTAGTCCTCTCCTAGACTAAAGGCAGCGCAGCCGCTCTACTTATGTCCTCAACCTGCCAGCGTGTCAGCTTGGGCCCCTGATCGTCGCATCATCAATGAGCTCCTGAAACAATCAACGTCTCAACACAACACTCTTGAGCGTGAGAGTTGCGCTGATGGGTTGACAACGCCGGCCTTAAAAGGCCAGCACATCACATAGTTGACATAGTATCGTGTTGCCGCTACTAGGCCCCGCCATCGCTCGACACATTGATGATGCGACGGTCAGGGACCCAAGCTGACACGCTGGCAGGTTGAGGACATAAATAGAGCGGCTGCGCTGTTGTACTGGGGACGACTATCCCGCTGCACCACAAAAGCTCTCAAGCGTTCGGATACAGGGTCAGTGCTCCATATACCATTGCACCTGCGCACAACACTTCACCCGATTCTATATCCCCCCTCGGATCATAGCTTTGCGTCTATCAACACAGCGCCTAGCTTCCTGAGGTCTACATGGAGATCTATCGTCGACCCATGCCTGTGACCCCGATGCCTTCGCGACAGCAGCATTCGATATTTCACTGTCCCCATCGAGATTCGAACTTCGGATTGACTCATACACCTGTTGGACTGGGACGACTTTCCCGCTGCACCACAAAAGCTCTCAAGCGTTCGGATATAGGGTCAGTGCTCCATATACCATTGCACCTGCGCACAACATGCGCTGCCCTTACTCTAGTAGAGGACTAGTAAATTCAAGAAGAAAGCAATAGAACAACAAATGTTCTATGTTCTATTGGCTTCCATGGACACGACAAGTGTTCGAGCAGCTTCTATGGGCGCAAGTATATTGTTGGACTGGGGACAACATTCCCGCTGCACCACAAAAGCTCTCAAGCATTCGGATACAGGGTCTGTTGGAGGTGATGCTACTCGCGGTCAAGATCTCACGACGTGATCGGCAGTGGCAAATCGCATGTCTATGAACGACCATCATGGAACAACACAGAAAGCGAGAGAAAGCAATAGAACAACAGATGTTCTATAGGCTTCCATGGACACAACAAATGTTCCAGCAGCTTCCATGAGCGCAAGTATATAAAGGTGGCAAGGTCTCATAGTAACATAGCAAGGAATCCCAGTATCAGCTGAACACGCGAAACACCTAAATACCCGAAGAGGTTATTCAAGCCTTGTTTAGTTCAGCATACTTACAGAACACTCCAAAGATCAGTACGCTCAACCGCCTTTCAACCAAAGATGTCTTCTCTGTCGCACAAGGACTTTGCCCCAGTGGACAAGTTCGATGGTACAAATTTCAACCTGTGGAAGTGGAAGATGAAAGCGGTGCTCCTGTCACAAGAGGTGTGGCATGTGGTCGAGCCTGAGCTCTCTGGATCAGCACTGGAGAAGGACAAGAGTGCACCAGCACTTGAGAAAGATAAAGAAGCACCGGCTGTTGATGCCAAGGCAGAGAGGAAAGCATTCTCTACCCTCGCCTTGTCCATCAAGGATTCTCAGCTGGTCTTAGTTCAAACCTGCAAGACAGCTCGAGAGATATGGTCGAAGTTGCATGAGATACATGCAGCACAGTCAGCCACGAATCAGCTTTTCCTCCGTCAGAGCTTCCTCGCTTTGAGGATGGAAGAAGGCGACTCGATGCTTGAGCACATTGGCAAGCTGAACGCATTGGCGTTGCAGCTAGACGCCGTGGATTGTCCCCAAAGTGAGGCGGACAAGGTCATGGTGCTCCTCAATTCGTTGCCACCAAGTTACGCACATTTGAGGACGATGCTCAGCGTGCAAGGGCCACTGAGTACATTGAAGCAGGCTTCCATCGAAGCGCTGTTGCTCAATGAAGAGCTCCAAAGGAGAGGAAGTACAGTTCCACCCACAGGAGACGCAGCGTTCTTCCATTCGGGGAACCAGAAGGGCCGAAAGGGTCCATCGCCAAAGAAAAAGGGCCGGTGCCACTACTGCAAGAGAGATGGGCACTGGGCAGCGGACTGCCGCAAGAAAATAGCAGATGAGCGTCGCGGTTCGGCCGGCGATGCGGCGGCAAACAGAGCAAAGGTGTCTGAAAACGATGCAGAGATTGCCTTTCTCCACGCCCAAAGAACGAGTGATGATCAGACACAGGACTGGATCATCGACTCTGGTGCTAGCCAGCACCTGACTCCGCTGAGAAACTGGTTCGTTTCTTATGAGACAATCTCGCCAAGGAAGGTGTATCTTGGTGATGACACGTATTGCGAGGCCACCGGCATGGGATCAGTCAAAGCCACTGGATCCGACGGCACAGTCGTTACGATTAATGATGTGTTGCACGTCCCGGGCCTAGCGCACAACTTGCTTTCAGTAGCGAAGTTGGTTCAGAGCGGCATTCGCTTGGACTTCAAGAGCACGAGCTGCTCACTCAAAACGAACACCGGAAAAGAAGTCGCAGTGGCTTGCAAACGCGACAATCTTTACTCAGTCACGCTCAACAGCGCAGTGTCGGCTTTGGTGACTGCTGAGAAGGTCGACATACAGGTTTGGCACAAGCGTCTGGGACACATCGGCAAGAATAGCTTGGTGCGCCTGCCTGGTATGGTCGATGGTGTGTCGTTGGACGGCGAGTACGACAACTCGCATTGCATTGGGTGCGTCAATGGCAAGCACACGCGTCAATCGTTTCCATCGAGCGAGACGACAACAACAAAGAACCTGGAGTTAGTACACTCGGATGTGTGCGGGCCAGTGCAAGTGGCAACTTACGGAGGTGCCAAGTATTTCGTCACATTTATTGACGACCACTCGCGAAGGGCTTGGGTCTACTTCATCCGGCAGAAGTCGGAAGTCTTTGAGAAGTTCCAAGAGTTCAAGGCGCTTGTGGAGAACCAAGCTGACTGTCGCAACAAGGCGCTCAGATCAGACAACGGTGGCGAGTATTGCGGCAACGCTTTCGAGAAGTATCTCAAATCTCACGGTATTAAGCACCAGACGACAACACCACACACACCACAGTAAAATGGAGTGGCAGAGCGCCTCAATCGCACTCTCGTGGAGAGCGCGCGATGTATGCTCGAAGAGAAGGGCTTGCCAAAGGAGCTGTGGGCTGAAGCAATCAACACCGCTGTTTACATCAAAAACAGAATTCCAATCACGGCACTCAAGGACAAAACATCAGAAGAAGTATGGTCATCTCGCAGACCAAACTTGAGTCATCTCAGGGTATTCGGTTGCGACGCGTATGCGCATGTTGCGGACGCCAATCGACAGAAGTTGGATGCGAAGTCAAAGAAATTGGTTTTGGTTGGTTATTACGAGGACAGCAAAGCATATCGACTCATGGATTTGGATACACACAAGATTACAAAGGCGCGCGACGTCATCTTCATGGAAGACCGAGGAGACAAACGCGACGTGGTGTACGTCCCACGAGAGGAGGACGCTGACGACGACAACACGAGTGAGGCTATTATCGACAAGCCTACTGAGTCGCTACCAGCCAAATCAAAGGAAGTCGCTCACGCTAAGCCAACAAATGCTACGAGCTCAGGTCAAGTTCGATGCTCTGCTCGTCTGACTCCCGTCACGCCAGTGTCGCAAGAAGATTCGGATGATGACATTGATTTGCTACAACAGGCATCATCTCGTGTGCGCGCAAATTTGGTCATCACAGAGCCAGAAACTTACAAGCAAGCGATGGCTGGTGAACAAAGGGAACAATGGGAGTCTGCTACCAATTTGGAATATGCATCACTGATTGAGAACAACACTTGGACGCTATGTGAGCTCCCAAAGGGCAGGAAGGCCATCGGCAACAAATGGGTCTTCAAGATTAAACACAATGCCGACGGATCGATTGAGAAATATAAGGCACGGCTCGTTGCTAAAGGCTTCTCGCAGAAGGAGGGAATTGATTACAACCAAACATTCGCCCCTGTCGCCAAATTCAATTCTATCAGAGCAATCGTCGCTATGGCAGCCATGTACGGCATGGAGATTCATCAAATGGATGCCATCACAGCCTTTTTGAATGGTAAGCTTGAAGAGGAAGTCTACATGGTGCAACCTGAAGGATTCAAGGTAGGCCAGGACTTGGTTTGCAAGTTGAATCGAACACTATACGGTCTGAAACAGTCAGGACGAGAATGGTATATGGAGATGCACAGAGAGCTTGAGTCTCAAGGGTTCACAAGGAGCCAAGCAGACTTCTCGGTTTACGTCAAGGGCAGAGGGCAAGTCATCGTCGCAGTTTATGTGGACGATCTTCTTATCGTTTCGAAGGACAACAATCAGATATCAGAGGTCAAAAGGGATCTCTCGGCCAAATTCAAGATGAAGGATCTAGGCGAGGCACACTACTGTCTCGGCATTGAGATCATTCGAGACACGAGTTCTGGAAGCATCAGGCTTTCGCAGCGCAAATATGTTGACGACATTCTTGAGAAATTCAACATGACTACTTGCAAATCGGTCTCATCGCCAATGGATTCGGGCACCAAACTCAGCAAGATCATGCAGACTGATGAAAGTGGCCAGGATGACGATTTCGGCGAACAAGATGCAACAATGTATCAAAAGGCAATCGGCAGCATCATGTACTTGATGACAGGCACTCGACCAGACTTGGCATATGCAGTGGGAGTCGTCAGTCAGTTCATGGCAAATCCAGGACCACAACACTGGAAGGCTGTCAAGCGGATCTTCCGATACATTCAAGGCACAAAAGACTATGCATTATCGTTCAGTGGGAGCACAGAGACACAACTACTTGGCTACACTGACTCGGATTTCGCAGGATGTATCGACACTGGCAAATCTACAAGTGGCTACAGTTTTAGTCTCGCTGGCGGATCAATCTCATGGAGCAGCAAGAAGCAACAGACCGTTGCTCAGTCGACCACAGAGGCTGAGTACATGGGTCTCTCTGCAGCATGTCGCGAAGCAACATGGCTTAGGACATTGTTATTCGAATTGGGCTTCAACCACGACGGTCCAACAATTGTGCACGGTGACAATCAGAGTTGTTTGGCATTGGCGGAAAATCCAAAGTTCCACAATCGCACGAAACACATTCAGGTGAAGCATCACTATGTGCGACAATGCATCGAACTTCAAGTCGTCACTGTCAAATACCTGCAGACGGACTTGATGTTGGCAGACATCTTCACAAAGGCGCTGGCTAAGGACAAGATTGAAAGGTTTTGCACGAGTCTAGGACTACAAAGCCTGCCACGCAACAACATCTTGCCACGCTCGCAGAGTGGGAGTGTTGGAGGTGATGCTACTCGCGGTCAAGATCTCACGACGTGATCGGCAGTGGCAAATCGCATGTCTATGAACGACCATCATGGAACAACACAGAAAGCGAGAGAAAGCAATAGAACAACAGATGTTCTATAGGCTTCCATGGACACAACAAATGTTCCAGCAGCTTCCATGAGCGCAAGTATATAAAGGTGGCAAGGTCTCATAGTAACATAGCAAGGAATCCCAGTATCAGCTGAACACGCGAAACACCTAAATACCCGAAGAGGGTCAGTGCTCCATATACCATTGCACCTGCGCACAACACTTCACCTGATTCTATATCCCCTCTCGGATCATAGCTTTGCGTCTATCAACACTGCGCCTAGCTTCCTGAGGTCTACATGGAGATCTATCGTCGACCCATGCCTGTGACCCCGAGCCTTCGCGACAGCAGCATTCGATATTTCACTGTCCCCATCGAGACTCGAACTTCGGATTGACTCATACACCTGTTGGACTGGGACGACTTTCCCGCTGCACCACAAAAGCTCTCAAGCGTTCGGATATAGGGTCAGTGCTCCATATACCATTGCACCTGCGCACAACATGCGCTGCCCTTACTCTAGTAGAGGACTAGTAAATTCAAGAAGAAAGCAATAGAACAACAAATGTTCTATGTTCTATTGGCTTCCATGGACACGACAAGTGTTCGAGCAGCTTCTATGGGCGCAAGTTTATTGTTGGACTGGGGACAACATTCCCGCTGCACCACAAAAGCTCTCAAGCGTTCGGATACAGGGTCAGTGCTCCATATACCATTGCACCTGCGCACAACATATATGAAGGTGGCAAGGTCTCATAGTAACATAGCAAGGAATCCCAGTGTCCGCTGAACAGCGAAATACCTAGACACCCGAAGATATGGAACACTGACTCGGTATCCGAATGCTTGAGAGCTTTTGTGGTGCAGCGGAAACGTTGTCTCCAGTCCAACACGAAATGACTAAACACCCGAAGAATTCCTACTGCACCACAAAAGCTCTCAGCATTCGGACACAGGGTCGGTATTCCATATCCATTTCATACCTGTTCACCTGCGCCCAATCACCTTTTCAACCATAGCTGTAGTCTACAGCAATGAAGGGAATTTATAAAGAAAGATGTTGTGCGCTGGAAATTCCGAGCGTGCGACACCGCCAATGCGTGCACTATAAAGTGCCAGCAGAGCAATTCCGTAGCAATAACAACAGCAACAACATCCTTTGATACGTTCATGTCTTAGCAGTTCAAGCCCTGTACATCAGGCATTCGCCATGCATTCGCTACCTCTTCACATTTTTGAGGCACAACAGGTAGGGAAAAAGGAACATTGGCAATCACAATAGGCTTTATAATGTGTCCTTTTCTTATAGTTTCTCTGTGATGCTTCTACAAATGGCCTTGCAGCCAAAGAGCTGTGGCGTAATGCGAGGCGCTGCTGTTCTTCTGCTTTCAAACCAGTGTTGTGTGCAAGTGACAATGGTTTATGAAACACTGTTCCTCTATCCTTCTGCTTGAAAGCTTTTGTTGTGCAGCGGTCAGGTTGTGCCCAGCCCAACAGGTGTTGTGTTGAGACGTTGATTGTTTCAGGAGCTCATTGATGATGCGACGGTCAGGGGCCCAAGCTGATACGCTGGGAGGTTGTGGACATAAGTAGAGCGGCTGCGCTGCCCTTAGTCTAGTAGAGGACTAGTCAATTCAAGAACAGGTGTATGAGACAACCCGAAATTCAGTCTCGATGGGGACGGTGAAAGATTGAATGCTGCTGTCGCGAAGGCTCGGGGTCAAAGGCATAGATCGACGACAGATCTCAGGAAGCTAGGCGCAGTGTCAATAGACGCGGAGCTATCCGACAGGGGATATATGATCAGGTGAAGTGTTGTGCGCTGGCAAAATGGTATATACAATACTGGCCTTCGGTCCGAATGCTTAAGAGCTCTTGCGGTGCAGCAACAAAGTCGTCCCCAGTGAAACAGATTTCGTAGCATAAACTGTTGGACTGGGGACGACTTTCCCGCTGCACCACAAAAGCTCTCAAGCATTCGGATACAGGGTCAGTGCTCCATATACCATTGCACCTGCGCACAACACTTCACCTGATTCTATATCCCCTCTCGGATCATAGCTTTTGCGTCTATCAACACTGCGCCTAGCTTCCTGAGGTCTACATGGAGATCTATCGTCGACCCATGCCTGTGACCCCGAGCCTTCGCGACAGCAGCATTCGATATTTCACTGTCCCCATCGAGACTCGAACTTCGGATTGACTCATACACCTGTTGGACTGGGGACGACTTTCCCGCTGCACCACAAAAGCTCTCAAGCATTCGGATACAGGGTCAGTGCTCCATATACCATTGCACCTGCGCACAACACTTCACCTGATTCTATATCCCCTCTCGGATCATAGCTTTTGCGTCTATCAACACTGCGCCTAGCTTCCTGAGGTCTACATGGAGATCTATCGTCGACCCATGCCTGTGACCCCGAGCCTTCGCGACAGCAGCATTCGATATTTCACTGTCCCCATCGAGACTCGAACTTCGGATTGACTCATACACCTGTTGGACTGGGGACGACTTTCCCGCTGCACCACAAAAGCTCTCAAGCGTTCGGATATAGGGTCAGTGCTCCATATACCATTGCACCTGCGCACAACATGCGCTGCCCTTACTCTAGTAAAGGACTAGTAAATTCAAGAAGAAAGCAATAGAACAACAAATGTTCTATGTTCTATTGGCTTCCATGGACACGACAAGTGTTCGAGCAGCTTCTATGGGCGCAGTATGGACCATTGAAGCATACGCAACATCAGCGTCCCCTAACTGACGTAGCATTGCGTTGCCCCTCAGAGGATCTGCCATCTGTCAGATCTATTTTGGGTTCTCATCGCATTCCCGTTGACCCAAAAATGATTAGTCTTCAGAGTCTTCGGGTGTTTAGGTGTTTCGCTGTTCAGCTATACTGGGATTCCTTACTATGTTACTATGAGACCTTGCCACCTTTATATACTTGCGCTCATGGAAGCTGCTGGAACATTGTTGTGTCCATGGAAGCCAATAGAACATCTGTTGTTCTATTGCTTTTTCTTGCTTTCTGTGTTGTTCCATGATGGTCGTGCATAGACATGCGATTGGCCACTGCCGATCACGTCGTGAGATCTTGACCGCCAGTAGCATCACCTCCAACACAGAGTAAATCGCTGCAATCCCGAGTCCAAAGCTTTTAGGTCTCAATGCTCATCAGGACACAGTTCCTGGACATAACTTTGAATCCCAAAATCTCGAAGCTCATTTATATTTGAAATCATCGCTCTACAGCGAACCCCGTTGATACGTGTTGTGCGCAGGCAACTCAAGAGCGTGAGATCCGTGCTGATGAGTTGTAAACGCAGGCCTTAAGAGGCCGGCGCACCCCATAGTTGAAGCATCATCGCAGTTCGTTAGCTGTCATCCGCTCATCGTAAATCAATACGTTCATGTCTAAGCAACTCAGGTCCTGTTCATTAGGCATTCGTTATCCGTGCGCTACCGCCCAACACCGGCGGGGTCTATCTTGCGCCGAGGGCGCATTGTGACGTACGGTTTATTGGCGGCTATGCTTGCAGAAGAGGAGTAGCTTGCTGTTTCAAGGCCTGGAAAAGAATTTCACACTGGTCGTCTGTTCACATTCGAAGTTGGGTCCAGGTCCTGTCTCCTGATGAGCGCTGACCCCTGGATGAGGCCTTGGATTCGGGGTTCGAAGAGCTGCAGTGGTATCCCCTAGGGACTAGTGTCTTTTGGCTCAACGGAAATGCGAGGTGAACCCCGAATAGGTCTGACAAATAAGGTTGACGACAGGCGGATGATACCAAACGGGGTTTTCTTCGGGTGTTTAGGTGTTTCGCTGTTCAGCTGATACTGGGATTCCTTACTATGTTACTATGAGACCTTGCCACCTTTATATACTTGCGCTCATGGAAGCTGCTAGAACATTTGTTGTGTTCATGGAAGCCAATAGAACATCTGTTGTTCTATTGCTTTCTCTTGCTTTCTGTGTTGTTCCATGATGGTCGTTCATAGACATGCGATTTGCCACTGCCGATCACGTCGTGAGATCTTGACCGCGAGTAGCATCATCTCCAACACTCCCACTCTGCGAGCGTGGCAAGATGTTGTTGCGTGGCAGGCTTTGTAGTCCTAGACTCGTGCAAAACCTTTCAATCTTGTCCTTAGCCAGCGCCTTTGTGAAGATGTCTGCCAACATCAAGTCCGTCTGCAGGTATTTGACAGTGACGACTTGAAGTTCGATGCATTGTCGCACATAGTGATGCTTCACCTGAATGTGTTTCGTGCGATTGTGGAACTTTGGATTTTCCGCCAATGCCAAACAACTCTGATTGTCACCGTGCACAATTGTTGGACCGTCGTGGTTGAAGCCCAATTCGAATAACAATGTCCTAAGCCATGTTGCTTCGCGACATGCTGCAGAGAGACCCATGTACTCAGCCTCTGTGGTCGACTGAGCAACGGTCTGTTGCTTCTTGCTGCTCCATGAGATTGATCCGCCAGCGAGACTAAAACTGTAGCCACTTGTAGATTTGCCAGTGTCGATACATCCTGCGAAATCCGAGTCAGTGTAGCCAAGTAATTGTGCTTCTGTGCTCCCACTGAACGATAATGCATAGTCTTTTGTGCCTTGAATGTATCGGAAGATCCGCTTGACAGCCTTCCAGTGTTGTGGTCCTGGATTTGCCATGAACTGTTTGACGACTCCCACTGCATATGCCAAGTCTGGTCGAGTGCCTGTCATTAAGTACATGATGCTGCCGATTGCCTTTTGATACATTGTTGCATCTTGTTCGCCGAAATCGTCATCCTGGCCACTTTCATCAGTCTGCATGATCTTGCTGAGTTTGGTGCCCGAATTCATTGGCGATGAGACCGATTTGCAAGTAGTCATGTTGAATTTCTCAAGAATGTCGTCAACATATTTGCGCTGCGAAAGCCTGATGCTTCCAGAAATCGTGTCTCGAATGATCTCAATCCCGAGACAGTAGTGTGCCTCGCCTAGATCCTTCATCTTGAATTTGGCCGAGAGATCCCTTTTGACCTCTGATATCTGATTGTTGTCCTTCGAAACGATAAGAAGATCGTCCACATAAACTGCGACGATGACTTGCCCTCTGCCCTTGACGTAAACCGAGAAGTCCGCTTGGCTCCTTGTGAACCCTTGAGACTCAAGCTCTCTGTGCATCTCCATATACCATTCTCGTCCTGACTGTTTCAGACCGTACAGTGTTCGATTCAACTTGCAAACCAAGTCCTGGCCTACCTTGAATCCTTCAGGTTGCACCATGTAGACTTCCTCTTCAAGCTTACCATTCAAAAAGGCTGTGATGGCATCCATTTGATGAATCTCCATGCCGTACATGGCTGCCATAGCGACGATTGCCCTGATAGAATTGAATTTGGCGACGGGGGCGAATGTTTGGTTGTAATCAATTCCCTCCTTCTGCGAGAAGCCTTTAGCGACGAGCCGTGCCTTATATTTCTCAATCGATCCGTCGGCGTTGTGTTTAATCTTGAAGACCCATTTGTTGCCGATGGCCTTCCTGCCCTTTGGAAGCTCGCATAGCGTCCAAGTGTTGTTCTCAATCAGTGATGCATATTCCAAATTGGTAGCAGACTCCCACTGTTCCCTTTGTTCACCAGCCATCGCTTGCTTGTAAGTTTCTGGCTCTGTGATGACCAAGTTTGCGCGCACACGAGATGATGCCTTTTGTAGCAAATCAATGTCATCATCCGAATCTTCTTGCGATACTGGCGTGACGGGAGTCAGACGAGCAGAGCGTCGAACTTGACCTGAGCTCGTAGCGTTTGTTGGCTTAGCGTGAGCGACCTCCTTCGATTTGGCTGGTAGCGACTCAGTAGGCTTGTCGATGATAGCCTCACTCGTGTTGTCGTCGTCAGCGTCCTCCTCTCGTGGGACGTACACCACATCGCGTTTGTCTCCTCGGTCTTCCATGAAGATGACGTCGCGCGCCTTCGTAATTTTGTGTGTGTCCAAATCCATGAGTCGATATGCTTTGCTGTCCTCGTAATAACCGACCAAAACCAATTTCTTTGACTTCGCATCCGACTTCTGTCGATTGGCGTCCGCAACATGCGCATACGCGTCGCAACCGAATACCCTGAGATGACTCAAGTTTGGTCTGCGAGATGACCATACTTCTTCTGATGTTTTGTCCTTGAGTGCCGTGATTGGAATTCTGTTTTTGATGTAAACAGCGGTGTTGATTGCTTCAGCCCACAGCTCCTTTGGCAAGCCCTTCTCTTCGAGCATACATCGCGCGCTCTCCACGAGAGTGCGATTGAGGCGCTCTGCCACTCCATTTTACTGTGGTGTGTGTGGTGTTGTCGTCTGGTGCTTAATACCGTGAGATTTGAGATACTTCTCGAAAGCGTTGCCGCAATACTCGCCACCGTTGTCTGATCTGAGCGCCTTGTTGCGACAGTCAGCTTGGTTCTCCACAAGCGCCTTGAACTCTTGGAACTTCTCAAAGACTTCCGACTTCTGCCGGATGAAGTAGACCCAAGCCCTTCGCGAGTGGTCGTCAATAAATGTGACGAAGTACTTGGCACCTCCGTAAGTTGCCACTTGCACTGGCCCGCACACATCCGAGTGTACTAACTCCAGGTTCTTTGTTGTTGTCGTCTCGCTCGATGGAAACGACTTACGCGTGTGCTTGCCATTGACGCACCCAATGCAGTGCGAGTTGTCGTACTCGCCGTCCAACGACACACCATCGACCATACCAGGCAGGCGCACCAAGCTATTCTTGCCGATGTGTCCCAGACGCTTGTGCCAAACCTGTATGTCGACCTTCTCAGCAGTCACCAAAGCCGACACTGCGCTGTTGAGCGTGACTGAGTAAAGATTGTCGCGTTTGCAAGCCACTGCGACTTCTTTTCCGGTGTTCGTTTTGAGTGAGCAGCTCGTGCTCTTGAAGTCCAAGCGAATGCCGCTCTGAACCAACTTCGCTACTGAAAGCAAGTTGTGCGCTAGGCCCGGGACGTGCAACACATCATTAATCGTAACGACTGTGCCGTCGGATCCAGTGGCTTTGACTGATCCCATGCCGGTGGCCTCGCAATACGTGTCGTCACCAAGATACACCTTCCTTGGCGAGATTGTCTCATAAGAAACGAACCAGTTTCTCAGCGGAGTCAGGTGCTGGCTAGCACCAGAGTCGATGATCCAGTCCTGTGTCTGATCATCACTCGTTCTTTGGGCGTGGAGAAAGGCAATCTCTGCATCGTTTTCAGACACCTTTGCTCTGTTTGCCGCCGCATCGCCGGCCGAACCGCGACGCTCATCTGCTATTTTCTTGCGGCAGTCCGCTGCCCAGTGCCCATCTCTCTTGCAGTAGTGGCACCGGCCCTTTTTCTTTGGCGATGGACCCTTTCGGCCCTTCTGGTTCCCCGAATGGAAGAACGCTGCGTCTCCTGTGGGTGGAACTGTACTTCCTCTCCTTTGGAGCTCTTCATTGAGCAACAGCGCTTCGATGGAAGCCTGCTTCAATGTACTCAGTGGCCCTTGCACGCTGAGCATCGTCCTCAAATGTGCGTAACTTGGTGGCAACGAATTGAGGAGCACCATGACCTTGTCCGCCTCACTTTGGGGACAATCCACGGCGTCTAGCTGCAACGCCAATGCGTTCAGCTTGCCAATGTGCTCAAGCATCGAGTCGCCTTCTTCCATCCTCAAAGCGAGGAAGCTCTGACGGAGGAAAAGCTGATTCGTGGCTGACTGTGCTGCATGTATCTCATGCAACTTCGACCATATCTCTCGAGCTGTCTTGCAGGTTTGAACTAAGACCAGCTGAGAATCCTTGATGGACAAGGCGAGGGTAGAGAATGCTTTCCTCTCTGCCTTGGCATCAACAGCCGGTGCTTCTTTATCTTTCTCAAGTGCTGGTGCACTCTTGTCCTTCTCCAGTGCTGATCCAGAGAGCTCAGGCTCGACCACATGCCACACCTCTTGTGACAGGAGCACCGCTTTCATCTTCCACTTCCACAGGTTGAAATTTGTACCATCGAACTTGTCCACTGGGGCAAAGTCCTTGTGCGACAGAGAAGACATCTTTGGTTGAAAGGCGGTTGAGCGTACTGATCTTTGGAGTGTTCTGTAAGTATGCTGAACTAAACAAGGCTTGAATAACCTCTTCGGGTGTTTAGGTGTTTCGCTGTTCAGCTGATACTGGGATTCCTTACTATGTTACTATGAGACCTTGCCACCTTTATATACTTGCGCTCATGGAAGCTGCTAGAACATTTGTTGTGTTCATGGAAGCCAATAGAACATCTGTTGTTCTATTGCTTTCTCTTGCTTTCTGTGTTGTTCCATGATGGTCGTTCATAGACATGCGATTTGCCACTGCCGATCACGTCGTGAGATCTTGACCGCGAGTAGCATCATCTCCAACAGTTTCGACTATGGGGTGCGCTGGCCTTTTATTGCCGGCGTTGGCAACTCATCAGCACAACTCTCACGCTCTAGAGTTGCCTGCGCATAACACTCCCCTGCTTCTGTATCCCTTCCTTCCATCCTCCCGATGCCGAGCAGCCTTTTGAAGTTTTCAAATTTGCCCCAGCCGGGGAGCCTTTGTCAGCAGGTCCGCGAGCATTTGGCCTGTGGCGTCATAGTCAAGATGCATACAGTCAAGTCGAAGACACTCGCGGACGGAGATACAAAAAGAGAAATATCACATGTATAACTGCGCTGCGTCTCTCACTGATCATTCGGCCATGTTGTGCTCAGGCAACTCTTGAGCGTGAGAGTTGCGCTGATGAGTTGACAACGCCGGCCTTAAAAGGCCAGCACATTACATAGTTGACATAGCATCGTGTTGTCGCTACTAGGCCCCGCCATTCCGGGCTTCCTGCGCTATGTATGAATTTCAAGCGCTCGGCACAGCGTTACTCTAAGGTCCTGTTCTACACTATCCGTTACATACTAAAATGTGTCTTAGCTGTTTAGCAGTGGCAGATGCATGGCGAATGCCTGATGAACAAAGCTTGAACTGCTAAGGCACAAACGTTTTAGATGGTGTTGTCAATTTGGGGGGATACCTGGTGCTAGCAATTTGTCATGCGCACACTGGGGGTGTCTTACGCTCAGAATGCCCAACGCACAACATTAGCTATCATACTCTGTCGGGCAAAGGACTGCGCTAGCAGAAATTATTGATCTGTGCGGTGAGCGTGCGCGACGATAGACTTGTGCGAACAAGTTGGTTCTATCACGCCCACATGAGAGCCCGATTTATTGTGCGCATGGAGTCCTAAGTCCAAAACGTTCACGCGACTGGAAAGATAATTTGAGCTTCACTTTTAAATTGTCACCCCGATAGCTGGACGTAAATAAAAGACGATTCGGGTGTATATACGCCATTTATGGAACTACTTGGCGTACTTGGTCTTGAGGACATGTCGATAACGAGCATTGCCCTTCTCCATGTCAACCAAAGCTTCGTTGATATCTTCCATAGCCCAAACCTTCTTCCAGGTCTTGACATCATGCTTTTTGGCAAGCTCGAGCATGTCTGCAATTTCCTTGGGAGAGCCGATAGCGGAGCCACCAATGCTGATACCATTCATGAGCAATGGGAAAACATTGAGGGAGAGTGGCTTCTCGGGCGCACCAACCATCATGAAACGGCCGTGAACCTTGAGTAGCGACAGGTAACTTTCAAGCTGACCCTCTTCAAACTCATTGACCGTGCAGACAATCACATCCAATGAACGCCTGTGAGCCTTGAGGGCGTCCTTACCATCTGCAGTGGCAAGGAACTTCGCTGCCCCCATTTTCCTGCAATCCTCTTCCTTCGAGTGAGACCTGCTAATGGCAGTCACTTCTGCACCGAGTGCACTGGCAAAGAGCAAACAGTAATGCCCGAGGCCTCCCATGCCAACGACGCCTACTTTCGAGCCTGCTCCGACGTGATTCTGTGTCAGTGGTGAAAGTGCCGTTATCCCTCCGCACTGCATGGGCGCGGCATCAGCCAGGTCAATTCCTTCGATAGGCGTAGCAAAAGCAGCGGGTCCTCGCCAGTGGTGAGCAAAACCGCCGGAGGACTTGCCACTGCCATCCTTGTACTGAGATCCGTAGGTGCCAACTTGGCCATCATCGCAGTATGGCTCGCGATCGTTTTTGCATTGTTCACACTTTTGGCACGACGAGCTCTGAGCACCGACTCCAGCGTACGCACCGAGCGCGATTCCGCTTTTCTGCACGTTCTTACCGATCCGGATCACTTCTCCAACGATTTCATGGCCAGCAACAATTGGATAATCTGTAGCTCCCCATCCGCTCCGCTAACCGTTAGCAACTTCGGACGGACAGGAGCGAAGTGATCTTACCAACATGTGCAAGTCAGAGGCACAGATTCCGCAATAATGGATTTGGAGCTCGATGTCATCCTCAGTCCACTTCTTGGGCTCGAAACTGCCAAACTTCAAATTGCCGATGGAGTCTTTGTCGTGGGCAACCCATCCTACCCACTTTTCGTTTTCTGGAACATCGACTGCCATTTTGTCCTGATTTGAGGTTGATACGCAGCGAGAGCAGGAACATCTTTGATTTAAGTACTTTCAGACTCACGGCGATCGGAGTCCAGGTTTGCTGATGTCAGAGAATCTATGACGTCAAATGATCAAACCGACGGCCTCGCCAGAAGAGTGGTCGTCATGCCGACGGCTTTCGGCAAGGCTCTGCTGCAGCAATGCTGCTATACTTGCGCGGTGAAAACAGGCCATCGCTGACACGCTGCCGTATTTAGCGATGGATGATCTTCTAATTGGATAAGTCTCCTTGTCACGAGTGTAGATGAATGTCGACGATCTGTTGTGCTACATGAGTGTTCTCAGATGCATCATGATGACTTAAGCTGATAATGGGCAATGGTCAAGTGGTTCGCCACCTTACGACAGCACACTGTTGAGCAGAGGCCGAGAGACGGCAGCAAAATTTGCTCCGCTTTGCACAACATTAGCAAAGTATGTCTCTGTTACGCATGACTCCGTCGAGCTGTAGCAAATGCATGGCAGCTACCTGATGAATAAGTCTCGACTTGCCAAGGCATCGAGCGAATTAAAGGCATATCAAGTTATCAACAGTCTGAAATCGCTTCGCAATCGCTGTTCTGGCACTTTAAGAATGCGCAACGTTTGCGGTAGAACTATCTCACGCTCGTTCCAGCCGTCTTGAGCTCCTGCCCATGTTTGTTGCTCGCCCATTGATTGATACTGTCAAATGGGTACTCTATTCGTGTCTCTGGCCGGTCGCCGTACAATGTGTACAGCGAGGTCGAAGTGTTTCATCAAATCCATGATCAAGAACCATTCGGGATCGAAGTCAGAGCTGGTTGATAGACAACATCGCAGTACTTGATCTACATTGTACAGAAGTACAGAGGCAAAGGACAAATTACCTGCCTTCATGCTTTGCCGACATTGAGCTGCTTGAGAGCGAGATCCAAGTCAACGGCAATCAACTACTTCTAGTATCGGTAATCTATGAAGGCGTCCTCCGCTTCGCCGCCAGTACATGCACACAGAAGCCGGGCCTCGTTATGGCTAAGCCGCAAGCCACTGATGAGATGTCGCAGTCTTTGAACAGTATATTTCTCAGAGGATACCTTGCGTTTCAGGACGCAAAGGTAGGCCGTGTACATCATCCTGTCATTAGCTTCATTAGCTTATCATGAAGTAGGAAGCTTGCTAACCATGAGATTAATTCGAGCCGAAATTGATGCCCTGGCTCCTCCAAGGCAGCGCTAGTACGGCTTTTGAGGAAGGCATGCGTCAGATTTGCGAGCTCTGACAAGATAACGACCTGGCGGTCGCCTGGAGAGCTTGGCAGCCTCGGTAAACCTTTGATGTAAGCAAACAAACGCATGCCGGCGAATATGAATGATCTGTATATGTTGATCACAACAGTGCGCAAGCCATTGGATGTCGGGTCAACAAAAATGGGCTGACAGCTGAGCTTAATTCCCCTGAGCATTAGCTTCGCGGAACTAATCCAAATGATGCTGGCTGACCTGAAGATCCGCGGCACTATGCCCTGTCCGGGGTGCGCCAGCCGATATATGGTCAGGGTATCCGTTATCCGCAAACGCGGCGCACGCGTGTAATCTTTGCGCACGTCGAGACTGGCCGTGTTGATCGTCGTGCCGCAATACTTCTCTATTAGCAGCCATAGCGGCGACATCTAGGGCAGCTTACGGGAAATTCGAGTGTGCCTGTCAAGCACTCAATGCGGGTCGAGAGAATGACCGCTTCAAAATTTGAGAGACTCTTTGTCGGGTTCACAGCAAAGCCATAATCTGTTGACCCAGCATGCATAACCTGGAAAAAGCGCTTGGCATCCCTCAGATTGGTGGTGATATACAAAAAATCATCCACCATTCGGAATCCGACAGAATGCTTTGTCTGTGCCCAAGATAGATTCGTGCGCTCAAAGTCGTTGAAGTAAAAGTCACACAATAGGGCGGAGAGTACCGAGCCCTGGGGTATTCCTGTTCTTTGTTTGTAAAATGCCTGGCCTATCTGAACGATGTTCATACTGAGGTGTTCAGTAAGTAGCTCGAAGACTTCTTGCCGCTCACGCACTTGGCATAAGACGCCGTCGGTCAGCAGTGCATGCTTCTTGCTTTGAGCCAATTGCTTTGTGTAGTCAGGGAACCCTTGAATTGTACTCAATGGCGAAGCCCTAGTAGCGTATCTGCGTCCAATCCCATCAAGGCCTGGAACAAGAGCGCAAAACTTGCGCAGCATGAACTTGTCGTCGACCAATACATCAGCGATGATTTTCAGCAAAACGTCAACACGAATGCTATCAAAACAGTTTTTGATGTCTATTTTGCAGAAGTACAATTTCTCCTCGCAACCAGTCTCGAGTAAAGTCCGTTTGAATCGCTTGAGTCCCAAATGCATATCTTTTGTTGAAGCGATTGAGAATGTCGAGGTGCTCGGCTTGACACAATCAGAAGAGGTGAGGATACTGTGTACAGCTTGCAATATTGAATTGATGCTTGGAGCACTTGTATGTGGACTTTGATCCCGCAGGCTCTGCGGCTTCTGCCGTCGTCTCAAATTCGCAATTGGACGTGCGCCTCGTTCTTTGGGCAGAAACCGCAGGTAAGAATACCCTAGGCTGCGGGCTCGAAGCCTTGAGATGACCTCGTCCTTTGGGAGTTCACTGAAAAGATGAAGCTTAACACGAGCGATTTCCGGCTCTGTCAGTCGCTTCCAAACCGAGTGGCGAAAGAACAGAACACGGTTGCGAAACATTTGCGACTCGGTCACATAGAAGTGCACCCGTATCAATGACATAGCCAGTGAATCGAGGAGCCAATAGACTAGCTCTGCCTGTAGCTCTTTTTCCTTGACGTACTCGCTCTGGGATAATTTCCTCGCAGTTTTAGCCAAAGGCATACCCTGTAGATATTGATGGAGCGTTTGCGTTTCGAATCGCCGCTGAGATACTAGAGCGGGCAATCCTTGAAGCAGCTTTGCGAGCGCATCAGCGTTCAACAGGTTTGGTGAGACCAGTCGGAGCATAACAGCCCTCAGCCATGCGATGACTTGGGAGCTGCTTGTCTGGAAGTCTGTAAATGCCAGCTTCCTCTCATCAATGTGGCAAGGAATCTCGCGCACTCCGGTCGATCTAGACACCTCTTCAGTGGAACAAATGATTGACCATGATGTAGTGGCATGTTGGTTGCGTACAACAGAACTTTGGAGGCAGGGATCTGGGCAATAGTAGTTCAGGAGAACATCATACGGGCAGCTCTGATGGTTTTCGAGAAGATCCACTACGCCTTGTGCACGCGCTCCCTGCACGCTTTTTGGCAAGCGGCCCGGTGCAATTAGTGAAGCAACAACTGTAGACCTCGTTCTGAGTGGAATCGTTGCTTCCCTCGTGGTCGAGTCCGTCAAAATAGAATGACGGCCAAACTGCAATGGAAATACACTTGCAAGCAAAATTCGACGACCTACTGGAACTGGAGCCGACGCTGCATGGCTCAGGACATGAGATGAGGGGAGCCCGGCGAGAATCTTCCCTCTCTTATCGAGAAGGGGCCTTGAAAAGAAGATCTTGGAGCGCTGCAAAAGTATTTCGTTATTGGTCCGCTCTTTCGGGAGCCCGAACCTTGTCCGTTTGGGTGGAATGCGGTCACGTCCTGCTTCGTCCTTCTGTTTGCGTTTTCGGTCGCAGTGATTTGGCAGGGGCAAGTCTGCAAGGGAATCACCAGACAACTGATAGAAGCAATCATTGCCGATAGGCACAAACATACTTGTCTCACAGATGAGGTGTAGCCAGAACGTCTCCCCCAGCCTTAGAATTAGAGCGGGAAAGTAGCTCAGCTGTACTTACACATCCAAAAGCCGAATCCACACAGGGGTCAGAAGTTCATTCGCCGTGGTATTCGGATATTGATTGACCACGCTCGAAGCCTGAGGATGCCTCTGTCCATTCTTTGAGTTATTGCCCTGCGGTCAGCCGGCACACAACTTGCTCAGAATTTCATACTTGAATGTAGCCAATGGCTAGCACATTCCGGAATCCAGACTTTGCATGTTTGATGATGTGAGCTATAGCTCGCATGAAGACCTCCTGTTAGCGTTGCCGGACTCGATGGCAACTTACATCTGCAGCCGATTGGCTTGGCGGAGAAGGGACGTCATTCATTTGCTCTAGAGTCTGTCCAGAATGGCCAACAAGCACCGTCTCAGCATGAGACATCAATTTTGGATCAGCCTTGATTCGTCTGATGATTTCGCAGCCTGCTGCGCTCGAAAAACTGTTTTCGATGTAGTTCACAAGCGTAACAACGTTGGTGTAGTAGGCCCAAAGAAGCTGCTTTGACGGAGGCGTCAATGCAGGCATGCCTGCCAATGAGGATATTTCAGAAATTGATAAGCTTGTTTCTTATGGTAAGTTCAAGCGCAGTCGTCGAAGTGCTTTACGGCGAGCCACACCGGACGAGAGCTATTTGCAAGCAGTGCACACATCGACCGATGAACAATCTAGCCTGGATTTCGAATCGGGCCTTGACAGCAGAGCAAGGGCCTCAGGAATGGCTGTACGTATATATTTACGCAAGAAAATGAGACCATGCGCCATGCGTGCGGCACGGCTGCGTCGCGCTTCGTGCGATTAAACACGAAAATTGAACCCTGTAAATGCGAAAGGAAAGCTAGATCCAGACGACGTTCAATCTGTTGGAAATCCCGATTATAGTCCTTCTGTTGGCCAAGTATTTGTCGTATCTCTCTAGACACTCGGTCAAGCGCCGTGGCCCAAGGGCGGCTGTTCCTATCGCTCCTTCGCAATGGTTGCAAGCGCGCGCTCTCCATCGCCAGCAGGCGAAGAATCAAATCCCGACGAGCGTGAAGGGCGGCGGCGCCATCATCGCCTATCATTTCGGAAAGCCAGAGACGGCATGAAGCGCGTCTTTCGGGGGAGCAGGTCTCAAACACGGCCTGTCCTCGAATACTTCGATGTCTGCCTGCGCCAGGAAGATATCGATAATTACAAAGACGAGAATTGGCTACAGGATTCAAACATCGAATTCTTCTACGAGTGGATGGAACGAGAAAAGATGCCAAAGAGCGATCCGCAGCTGGTCTTCCTTGTGCGCCCCTCCATCGGCTATCTCGTCGCATCCATCGCTCAGCAAGGAGGAGTCGTCGATGCGAGCCTATTGCCTGATGGATTCCTGGATGCCCGATATGTGTTTCTTCCCATTACTGACAACATTGATCCTTCCAAAGCTGGTGGGTCCCACTGGTCGCTGCTGGTTGTCGGCGTGGACGAGAAGCTTGCTTGGTATTATGATTCTCTCCCAACATCAGGCAGTGACAAAATGACAGACGCGCGTCACTATCTACTCGCGATGAGCCAAGTATATGGAACGACCTTCGAAGCTGTCGTCCAGAAAGCACCGAAGCAAGCAAATGGGAGCGATTGCGGCATTCACGTATGCATGACAACAGATGTTCTCCTCAGCAGGATGCAACTTCTCACCTCCGACAGTCATCGAGACATGGACTTGTCAGTGTATGGCATTCAACAAGACGCCAAGGCTTATCGCGAATCTCTTTTGAAGCTCATTTCTTCAATGCTCGAGATGAGGGGACCACGCATCGGTTCACGCTTGGACGTAGCAATTTCGCCGGAGCGGAGATCACAATCCCGGACGAGGCCCTCTTTGGACCAGAGGTTAATGGACGGAGGCTCTCGGGTGCATACTATTGTCGAGGAGCAGGCAACCCACCTTTGATGTTCATGAAGGATTACTGCCGTCGCAGTCCGCAAGACCTTGCTTCGTGCACAGTCTACTTAGTGTTCGATGAATCTCATCGTCTAAATGTGCACTTCTGGTCCAAGGGTGGCCAATTGTAAAATCAGTCTGATGCACTTCTTTGGTAAAGGCCTCTTACGTCTACGTGTCAGCTTAACATATTGGCAGCTGAATGCGGCCAGTCTCTCGAAACAGTACATTGAGGCGTGACTCCGACACGAGAGTAGACGCGACCGCTGATATTGAGAATATTTGCATCGTATCATCAGCACCGCATTGTCATAGAGCTTGAATGTTAATCCAAGTTAAGCTCAATTTTTCAAATTTGATGGCGCGCTGTGCTGTGTGAGAAACGCGTAACCGGTACCACAGCGACGAGCGCGGGACCTGGCGACATTCCGAGCTCCAGCATACCCTTTGCGAGAGCTTTCCTCTCAGTCCATTCCATTTCAATTCGGCATCTACCCAACTTATGCGCGAATTGGTCTGTTGCAATACGGGATCCACCGACTCTTCCCAGCAGGAGTACTTAACGTCCAAGACAGCAAGCTTGCGACCGTCTCCAAACTTCTGGACGAATCTGGCCTCGTCGTTGACACCCGAGATATTTCAGATCAGCAAGCGATATGCTGGTCCTCTCCGCGACACAGCATACTTGGATGGACTGCGAGGTGTTGCAGCATTCTTGGTCTACATCGTTCACCACGAAAGTTGGGCTCATCCTGTTTGGCTTCCGGTAATGGAAATGGGATATGGTTACGACGGCCATCGTTACTTTGCTTGCTTGCCGGTCGTCAGAATACTGTTCATGGGCGGGCACTTTGCCGTGTCAATATTCTTTGTCATTTCCGGTTTCGTTTTGTCACGATCCCCATTGAAGATGATACACGACGGAGACAGAGCGGCAGATCTGGCCAAAGTGCTCTCTTCCGCGATGTTCAGGCGGGCTATTCGACTCTACACACCGGTTGTCGCAACTACTTTTATTTTCATGACTATATGGCATATAGGCACGGGTGTTTGGACCGCATATCCTCCTCACCAAGCCAACTACGCGGCGGAGGTCGTTGCTTGGGTCAGAGAATTCAGCAACTTTTCATTTGTGTTTCGGCACCGTGGTATTGCATGGCTGACCTACAATCTTCATACATGGTCGATTCCAGTCGAATACAAGGGATCAATGGTCGTTTATGTTAGCTTGCTAGCATTATCTCGCTCCTCAATACAATCTCGAGTCTCTGTTGTTGCCGGTCTGATCATTTACTTCATGTATGTGGTGGATGGGTGGTTCATCAGCTGTTTCCTTGCAGGGCTGCTGCTGGCAGAATTCGAGCTCCTTCAGCGTTCCGGACAACTTCCAAAATGGGCTTGGCTCAATTTTCTGCGAACGTATCAGTATTTGCTCCTTCGCCTGGCTCTGTTTGCGGGATTGTGGCTTGGAAGTCAGCCAGGCGGGGCGCCTGACATTGACTACCTAAAACGCTCCCCTGGCTGGTACTATCTTGCTTTTTTCATTCCCACAGCTTGCAGCGAATTCAAATGGTTCTGGTTCACCGTGGCAGCTGTGCTTACCGTCACTGCCGTCATTCACACGCCATGGCTCCGCCGGCTCTTTGAAGCACCAATTGCACAGTATCTGGGGAGGATTTCGTTCAGCTTATACCTGGTGCACGGGCCAATATTATGGCTACTAGCCGATCGATTGTACACCGCGACTGGCAGGACAAGGGAAGGCCAAAATCAAGGCATCTTAGCATGGAAAGATACTTTTCCCTTGTCTGGTGCTGGACCTCTCGGCTTGGAATTCAATTTCTTGGCTTGTCATCTGATCATCCTTCCTATCACCTTGTATGCATCAGAGTTGGCCACTAGGTTGATTGATGAACCTTCGGTCCGATTTGCGCAGTACCTGTATCGAAAAACGCTCGCTTGACATTATGCAACCTTGCGACAGAAATGGCTACAAGGACAGAGGTTTCACCAGATCCATCAAGACTCATTCCTTTGCTGTATCTCTATGTATGTATGTAAAACAGGTTGATCCCCTTGTATCGTGTTGACTGTAGTAGAAGCCAAACTTTTCATAATTGCTTGACCCGGAGTTCTTGCATGTCATGAATGACGTCCAAGAGGGTGCCACTGCTCCAGGCTTGTGTTGGGCTACTGTCTCCGCACAATGCGCCTGCCTTGTTGGTCAATTCGGTCAAGCCGGTCCATGGAGTCGACATGATCTCGGTCCGGTGAGCAGAGAGGCGGCGATATATTTGACGAGAGATTTCATCCGAATTGGTCCGCCCGTCTTGTATCTGGAAGTGTAGCATGGCCCGTAGAAAGTACCCAACAGGAAAAACCCATTCTGGTCCTTGATGGTAATTCCGCCCTTTGGCGGTGTGGAAGTCGGTGGAGTCTTCGGTGTTGTTGTAATATGGGCGGTAATTATTGTCAATCGGATCAAGGGTGGCCATCCCAAGCGGTCCTCGCAAGAAATGGTCAGCAGTTTCCAAATGACTGAGAGCGTGTTCAGTCTCAAATAGCTCTGGTGCCACTGTCATAGCCATTGGGACCTGCGCTCGTAGCTGATAGTCTTCATAGGCCTTGCCGGATTTGTACAAATCCTTGTAAATGCCACGGCGATTGACGATCGCGGCATCAACTTCATACTGCGCGTCGTCTGAGGACTGCTTAGGGATGTAGTAGCATCTCTCAAAATTTGATTGGATCAGAGCCTCCCATCGCACAAAGGTCATGTCAGTCTCTTTGCCGTCGATTGTCGCACGCACGCACGTGTAAGGATATAAACCCTGTTGATGAAGCTGATTGACCCATCGAAGCGTACTCTTAAGTAGTCCTGTGATCTCCACAGCAGCACCGTCTCTGGGAGTGCCGGGAACTCCTTTGCTACCGGCGCGCTCACTCTCACCCATTTTGTCCATCCACGTCCCACAGTTGTGTTGATTGCCACCGTGTAAGAAGCCAGTAGACCAATCGACCTCCACATCGATGTTGAAGCCTTCGTTCGACATTTGCATGTCAAGCTTTGGGCCTGCATTGGCTTCTCGGAAGTGGAGGCCTTGTGCATGCCGCGCCAGAGTCTCCTGAATAACATCCGTGACAGATGTTTGATATGAATATGCGCGTTGGTCGTCCCATTCGACATATTCGTCGTTCAGAGGAAATCGTCTCTTGACCGACTTCTTGAGAATTTCTGCACCGTTGGGGACCATGGTGACGTAGTCCTGTATGGCCTGCATGTAAAACCATATCGAATCCCGCGAGTTGTATCGCGGTGTACGCAGCGAGTCCAGCAAGTTGGGAATCATGCCGTGCTTCAAAGTCGTCGCAAAGGCCAAGATGTGGCTTTCAGCCTCGGCATATCTCTCCGTAACTAAAAGCAGACCTCGCATAGCAATGAATATGTCCCGACCCCAGCATCTAGCCCACGATGTGGAAAAATGCGGAAGGCCAGCAGCCATGCAAGGTATAGACTTTGCTGGATCTATCGAAGCGCTCTTGACGGCTCCTTGCATTTGGAGAGAACAGAGAGCCAGATCTTGCGTGAATTTTGTCCCGCGACGAATCTGTTTTGACAAGAGACAGAGACTGCGCTCGCGTGCGGCACAATATAGGGCTTTGATGACGAGCACGAAGGCTTTCGGGACGAGGAAGTTAGGTAAACGTTTGATGTAGTCAAACCTCGTTGAAAGCCATCTAGATGATGGAGACAGTGCGTCGTAGCCATTGCGAATATATCGCTGCTCTCTAGCGACAATGTAATCAAGGGCCCATAAACCGTTCCTCAGATGGTCACACAAGGGGTGGCCCAGATCATTACTGCGTGTCACGGCCGAAATTGGTGCCATCCAGCCTTGTAAGCCAGCGTACACCAGTTGCCCGTAATTCGGGATATTGTATGCACCTTCCGCGACCGTATCTTGTTCTTCTGCATTGCATCGGTAAAGTAGCACATTCAAATCGATTAGTGAACAAGAAGCAACGGCCTCGGACGCGCCCATCATCAGGAAATCTTCGAGCTTCTCCCAAGACAACTCAGGACTTTCGGGCAGCTTCGGCAAACGAAGCTTTGTCCGAAACAGTGCAATCGAACCTGGTGGAAAGCGACCGGGTACGGTCAAGATTGTGTCATCATCGTCAGTTGTTTCGACCGGGAAATCTAACATGACGACCGATGCTGGCACGCCGTCCAATTCGGTATATTCAGAGGCATCTTTTTGCGCAGGAGTCACCGACAAGGTCGCAGCATACACGAGCTCGAGAGATGTCCCGGACAGACGAATCGGAGAAATGGCGCCGAGTTCTTGGCCTCCATGGAAAGCCGTGTGCGCAATCAGAAAATACCCTTCCTTAGTTTCGGGTGAAACACGATGAACAGTGATGTAGGCTCCCTCGTGATGTACATGTGCCTCGCTGTAATTTTTGAGGCCCATCTCGATATGAACGGCGTTGAGTACTCCTTTAGCACGACCGAGACCGTTCTCACGCTGGCTATAGTGCCGCTTTTCGCTCACCAAGTCCAGGATGTGAGGGTAAACCTCGTCGTACCCGAAAACGCTTCCGATGGCTGAGGCTGTCATGGCGACTAGCGCAGCGTTTGGTAATGTGTCCTCTGCGCTGCGCTTCTGCACAGGTGTCTCGTTATCGTGGGTACAATCAAAGAACAAGGCGTGGATCGGTGCCGGCTTGATAAGTTGACTCGAATCGACGTTGCCCAACTGATTCGGAATAGAACCAATCGGCGACGGCCCGTATTTGTGCACCAAGCGTGACAATTCATCGGGTGACCAAGCTTGCATAGCTTCTCGCAACAAGGAACAAATCCCAAGTTTTTGCACAAACGTAGTATCCATGTCTTCAGAGCCGGTGAAAAGCTCTGCCACTACATATAGGTTGGGTCGGCTTTTGCGTGCCTCATCGAGCAAGTACCGAGCAACAGGAATGGGCGTAGAGTGGCAATTGTCTATTCGAAATCCGTGGAATATACTGGCCATCTGTGAAGTGTAAAGACGCATGTGTTCCCAGAGGTATGGGTTGTCGGCCGGGCAGTCGCCGTATCTTAGTTTTACACAATCTCCCCAGACAATCACTTCGCGCCTCAAGTACGCTTTGCTCTGTGGGCCGGCAAAATTTTCTAGGGGGTTGGCTGCCCACATCCAGCCGTTGTTGGCTAGTGCCAGCGATCCGGATGGGTGCTTACGGGTCCGATCATTCGAAGGAAGCCTAGTAAAGTATGTCTCGATAAGCGGCGCCATTGAAGTGATAGGACCCATCTTCGGGCCATGACTGTCGAGCCTGACATATTTGATGCGATTATACAATTGCTCCATGAAAGCGTCCTGATCAGCATTGTGCTCTTGATAGAATCGCAGGTTGATTTCATCCAATATACGGGAAGCAAAGGCCAGCTTGTCGGTCTTAGCGCAGCAAAGAGCGTTAATTATCGCGCCTAGCTTGGCAGGATCGACAATTTTGCTGAAACGATCTCCCAAGAATTGATGGTTTTGCACGACTCCTTGGCTCAAGCAAAAGTCAGCGATGGACTCGAGGCTTGACTGCGAGTTGAGTTCTCCTACCGGAGCTGGCTGTTGCGTGAAAACCATGGTCGACAAAGCCTTTTGTGTGTCTATCACATAAAACTCCCATAGCTTGATTGTGCCCAAGACTCGACTCTTGATAGCTTCCATAATAGCCAAGAGGTCTTGTGTGGACTTCAAAGTCGTTGGGAGCCCAAGTTTTGACAGGTTAGAACTCAATTCGAGCAAGGCTGTGTCGAGTGCGAAAGCAGCGCAGAGGTGCGGACTATTGTGCAAGTTGAAACCAGCCTCTGGATGATCCTGAAGCCAGTCACTATCGCTGGCAGTGTGGTTCCACACGACATCTGTGAGACTGAGCAGCCCATACTTGTGCTCCATATCGTTCACCATAGCTTCCATCTGAGCAGTGCGATCCTTTAGACTCAATGACACATTGTCAAATAGATCGTCCGAAAATTTGTGCTGGTCGAATAAGGAGTATGGCGAGTCGGATGCTCCACGTTGCTGCAAAGGACAAAAATGCAACATATTGTACTTTTTTACAGAACTCATGTATTCCAGATAAGTCGACCACTGAGTGAGTTTGCCCATCCACTTTGGCACGACTGACTGGATTGCAAGAGCGTCCAGGGAGATTTGCGTGCCATTTATAGTCAGCGCGGGGTCAACGACGATGTAATATTCAGCCGTTGTGATAGCAGCAGCATCTTCGTTGAGATACTCGATTCTCCATGCAAAAGCACCTGGTTGGTCGATCTCGACGTCGACACAAGCATCAGTCCCAGCTTCGGCCTTGAGAGACTTTGTCAAAAACTTCTGTCTATCGAAGACTTGACCTGCAGCTGGCACGTTAATCTTGAGAGTAGCGCCACTGTCAAGCTGATTGGTGCTGTACAACACGAATCTCAGTGTATACGGCTCGAATGGCGCGGGAAGACGCACAAGGGCGGTCCCGACACAAGGCGTGCCATCATCGTTGAGCTCGAGCAAGTGTATCTTCTGGTTGAATTAGCGCGATTTTCTTATGGACACTGCATACAGTCATGTTTGCTCTGAGATAAGGCCTGCTTCTGGTCTCCGCCAGTCGCAACCAAGTCGTTGAGGAGCTCAAATGTCTGCAACGAACGCAAAAACATTTCGGGCGCTACGTCAGACCGCACTTGCACCCCGTGTGAAAAACAGAAAGGTTCGCACAAGTCGAGATTCAGAGATGTCCACATAGCCTAGAACTGCGTAGTCCGCAGCCAATATTTTTAGACACTTTTGCGGTCGTTGTGCGCGCAAGTAGAGACCTAGGCGTGCCAATATGTCGAAGCCTATGTACGAAGCTGCCTCTGATGGCATCGATGACACGCGAATCCACGGCTACGATCCTATTGTGCCTCCAGGTTTGATACAGGCAGAGCTTCCGCTATCTGATGAAGCCAAGAGCCTTATCCGCCAAGGACGTTCAGAGGCTACGAAGATCATCAAGCGCGAGGACGACCGCATGTTAGTCATTGTCGGCCCATGCTCCTTGCACGATCCAAAATCGGCCATAGAGTATGCAACTTTACTCAAACCAGTCGCCGACCAACATGCTTCGGAATTGTGCATCATCATGCGCGCCTATCTGGAGAAGCCGAGGACGACCGTAGGGTGGAAAGGTCTCATCAATGATCCTGATCTTGACGGCTCGTACCAGATCAACAAAGGCCTTCGTGTTGCGAGGGGTCTTTACATTGACTTGATTAAGGTTGGCGTTAACATCGCATCAGAGATGCTCGACACCATCTCGCCACAGTATCTTGGCGATGCTGTTGCCTGGGGAGCCATTGGAGCCCGCACAACCGAGTCTCAAGTTCATCGAGAGCTTTCGTCCGGCTTGTCGTTCCCGATTGGCTTCAAAAATGCCACGGATGGCAATGTTGGCGTTGCCGTCGATGCTATGCGCGCGGCCGCTGTTCCGCACTCGTTCCTTTCGGTCACTAAGCAAGGAGTTGCTGCTATTGTCAGAACGACAGGCAACGATACGACTCACATCATCCTTCGAGGTGGGACGGAGCCCAATTACGCTGCTTCGCATGTTGCAGAGGCTCGTCAAGCCTTGCAAAAGGCTAATGTAATCGAAAGCATCATGATCGACTGCTCGCATGGCAATTCCCTGAAGGATCACCGCAACCAGCCCAAGGTGTGCCGTGAGGTTGCCAGCCAAGTTGCGGCAGGTGATGCCAGTATTGTCGGTGTGATGATTGAGTCACACCTCAAAGAAGGCGCGCAGAAGATGCCTGCTGATGGGCATTCGCTAGAATACGGAGTGTCTATCACAGATGCTTGCGTAGATTGGCAGGCCACCACACATATGCTCCAAGAGCTTGCCGATAGTGTCCAAGCACGGCGACAGAAGTTGCAATGAGTGTCACGCGGCATAACCCGAGATGTGGTTCAGGTATTCTGAACCTGCAGTTGTAGTCATAGCTGTTGTAGTGAGACAAAGCCACCTACGCCTAGCTCTCGCCGCACACACGAGTCACGGCAGGCTCATGCATACGCGTTGGGCTTGGAAATGCTCTCGCGTTGGATAAACTACTGCGTGGTCCCAAATTTCATCTGTTGAGCAGAAATCACCGAGCCGACCATTAAGTTCAGGCTTCTCCCCCTACCACCATCCCCGACCTATCGACGTGTTCGCCTAGGCATATAGATCAAGGCTCGACTGCTCAGAGCTGAGGTGTCCAGCTTGCTTGTTTCTTCCCCAGTAGGCCATCGCGCCCTCGATGTCCGCATCTCGCGCCGCGCTCAGGCTTCAACAAGTCGCTTCGCACACCGGCGCTCCTGCGCCGCTACGAGTTGCTGTCATCGGCTCTGGAAATTGGGGCACAGCTATTGCAAAGATTGTGGCGGAGAATACTCAAGATGAAGCCCTTGGTTTTGCTAGGCAAGTCAACATGTGGATGTTCGAGGAGACAATCGACTATGAAGGCCGCCAGCGCAAACTGACAGAAGTCTTCAATGAAAGAAAACAGAACGTCAAGTACATGAAGGGAATCGATTGTCCCGATAACCTCGTCGCCATGTCCGATTTGACAAAGGTCGCAGAGGTCAGTGATGTGTACATCATCGTGATCCCCCATCAATTTGTAGACAGCATTTGTCGACAGATGCTGGGACATGTCAGTCGATCAGCTGTTGCACTTTCATGCATCAAAGGCATCCACGTTGACAAGGACGGCGTCACCTTGTTTTCGAATGTCATCTCTCAAAGGCTGGGAATTTACTGCGGTGCATTGTCAGGTGCCAATATCGCCAGTGAAGTTGCAGAGGAGAAGTACTCTGAAACCACCATCGCCTTCAATCCAGCGCACGGTAATTCCTTCCCTCATGCTGATCAGCGCATGGATACTGCTAGGATGAAATCCTTGTTTCAGCGCCCATATTTTCGCATTGGCACGATTGACGATGTAGCCGGCGTTTCTTTGGCTGGAGCTCTGAAAAACATCGTTGCGGTTGCCGCCGGGCTGGTGGATGGACTGGGTTACGGCGATAATACTAAAGCTGCTATCATGCGAATTGGTCTCGTCGAAATGTTGCACTTCGGCAAAGTGTTCTTTGGCAACGAGGTACGCACCGCAACATTCTTTGAGCACTCATGCGGCATCGCCGATCTCATCACAAGCTGTTCGGGAGGGCGCAATCGGAAGTGTGCAATGGAATTTGTGAAGACCGGAAAGAGTATGGAGCAGCTCGAGAAGGAGTTGCTGCAAGGACAAAAGCTTCAAGGAGCAGCCACTTCCAAAGAAGTACACGAGCTGCTCACTAATCGCAACATGGTAGGGCAATTTCCGCTGTTTACTGCGGTTTACCGCATTGTCTACGAAGGAGAGTCAGCAGAGAAGCTCTGGCTGATGTTAGGCAGCAAATCGTGAGGTACACATTTGCCATTTACGGCGTCTACCCTGCAATTGCTGCTCACCCGGTGAAATCGCAGCAGTCGTACTTGCGCAAGCTTGGCGCTATGATAGCTCTCGAATCAGACACCGCCATAGATGGGTTGTACTTCCACATATCAATAAACTTATCGATCGCCGAGCGCCGACTGTATGTGTATGCACTACAGGCCAGCTGGGGTCTCAATTCTTGTTCGGAGAGTTTCAGTATGGCAATTCTCCATTCACACGGGGCACAATAGACTCACGAGTCTCAATAGTCCCTCCTCCACAGCAGCTGTTGGCTTGACGTTTGATAGGCAAACAGTTTTTGTGAAGTTCAGCAATAGCTAAGAGAAAGCCGACTGCATCGGGTCATCAATCACGAGAGAATGATGATGCAGGCAGCAGCCCGTGGCGTATGGCTTCTGTATTTCGTAGGTTGCAACTTGCATCATGATTCATGAGTGAGTCAGAGTGATTTGCCCTGCCAACAAATTTTGTCATGTGAAGGTTACAGACTAAGTTACAGACCTATTACGGAGTCTTACAAATGCGGGAGTGCCCCACCTGGCGCCGCTGGCGGGCTTCGCAGTCGTCGATGTATCATGGATTCATGGTCCATTGTGGACCATTGATGTTATGGAATGGAAGGATGTGCTGCTCGCCTGCTGATGCGGTGCTGCAGATGCGGGTGACGCACTCATGGCTTCGTCATGCAGGTACATCATCCATGGATCATGGATTCATCATGCCATGGCACTTCGTGCAACCAAGGCTCGCCAAGGTCAAGAGAATGACTCCATTATCAAGATGTACGACACACGAGTCATGAATAAGGATGAACATCGGACAGGCAGACTATAATCAGTGGGATATCACGTTAATGGGCGTTCCGTTTGGCCGACCAAGCTGTCGAGCTTCGGTATCGATGTCGTCTTGTCGAGTCAGGATCGACCCTCCAATACAGAGTGACTATTCAAGAGTGTGGCAAATTGAAGTCCCTATGAAGTGTGCATTACTGTGTGCTCAGGGCCACAGGTGACAAGTCACGAGTCACGACTCACGAGCCATAACTTAAGCCCATAACTTCGCAACTGGGCATAGGGTCGCGAAATGACAACTTTCCAGCTGCAGGTTCAAAGCCCTGGACTGATTGGACGTCTGGGAACTTGGGAAGTTCTGGAGTCCTGACTCCTGACTCCTGACTCCTGAGTCCTGAGTCCTGACTCCTGAGTCCTGAGTCCTGAGTCCCGACTCCCCAGAGTCCTCACTCCTGCAGGTTGGATCTTTGCAATTGACAAGTTGACACAATTTGACAGGACAAGAATCACAAGATCGGTCAACCCTAATTGTCGGAGTGCGGGGTGAGGATCTGCGTGGCGCAATGGCATTGATTGAATGGCAAAGCTCAAACCCAGTAATATCCAGATCATGACTACGTAACTATAACAAGATGTACAGGGTATACAATGCTATACATTCACAATGTCACCGACTCACCGCACTTGGGTCAAGTGACTCAGCTCGAGTTGACTCGAGCATTAGCAAAAGCCAAAAGGGCCTTGAGTCTACATGTAAGATTCATGCGACCTGTCACTTGAAGGCTGAAGCCGAGCAGTACTTCAACTTTACTTGTCGGCTGTCGCTACTTGGACTGAGTCAAGACTCAAGACTCAAGAATCTCTGGACTCAAAAGTCAAGACTCAAGACTCACGTCCGTGACGTCCCATTCAAGGAAACTCACGGGAGCTTTAAGACGACATCCGCCTGCACAGACGTCAAACGCCTGCAGTAGTCTGACTGACAAACAAGGCCTATATCCTTGAGGCTGTATCATAGCTTGTATGACAAGTTTATCTAGCAGTACGTGCCTCTGTAGATCTGACTCTGTTACATCAGGACTCCAGTCTCCCGGTAACAGGACTCTGAGAAGTTAGGAGATTGAGATGCAGGAGTTCTACTGTACGGTCTGTACGAGACTGTATCACCGTCTACATGATACACGATCATGATCGAATAGTGTTTGTAAGGCGATGCGTGATCATGTGTCCAATCAGTGGCAATCACTATGTCATAGGTCGCTCCATAGAGTTCAAAATCAAGGACCATAGTAAACTTGGAAGTTAGAATTCAGCAAGAGTGATAGCTTGACAACTTGACTGCTGTGTCCTGAGTTCTGACTCCTGAGTCCTGAGTCCTGACAGCTTCACAATCTCAAGTGACTCAAAGTGAGCCGGCAGCTGCAGAATGACGGTAGGGGCTGACCTTGCCCTGGGGTCGGGAATCGGGATTAGCTTTGGGGGCGCTCGACAAAGCTTAATTTGTGCCCCGGATTCCCTGCCAACTTGCCAACTTTGCCAAGGCCAAGGCACTGAAGGGCAGTGAAGGCAGGCTCAACTTAAGCCGCTCAGGGCGGCCCGGGCAAGGCCCTTGTCGTGGCAAAACCTTGTTCCTCAACGTCCAATCGCAAGTTAGACAACTCGCCAAAACACGCAGAAGGATTCAGGGACCGGCGGCGAACCGCAATTCGTGCTGCGCTTCAGGAACCGCATCTTCTGCAGATCGCCATGGAAGTACATCATTTGCACTCTTCGCGCCCGCCCTTGAGCCGATTGCCATACGATGACTCCGTCAATCATCGACTCGTCTATAAGTAGAGCCTTTCCTGCCCTCACCAACATCTCAACATCAACCAAAGATGAAGTTCTCCACCGCATCTGCATTGACTCTCGTCGGGGCTGCCCAAGCTTTCCCAAACATGGCGAAGCTTATGCAAGCCGGATCTGCTGCCCAGCTTGAGAAACGCTACACTGAGAACATGGAGGCTTTTGGTCACCTTGAAAAGCGTGCCTACGGCGGCAACACTGGCGTGCACCAGTACGTCGCACCCAAGGCTGGTGACTACCGTGGCCCTTGCCCTGGTCTCAACGCAGCGGCCAATCACGGCTACCTGAACCACAATGGTGTCACTGACTTTGCTCAACTCGTTCAGGCACAGATGGACGTCTACAATGTGGGTATCGATCTTGCAATTTTGCTCTGCACCGTTTCCATTCCTCTCGACGGAGACATTGTCACTACGAGGATGTCCATTGGAGGTGACGCAACTGCCCTCACTGCATTGGGCGGCGAACTCCAGGGCAATACCCTTGGGCGCCAGGGAGGTCTCAACACTCACAACACGTTCGAGGCTGACTCGTCCCTGACACGTAACGACGTTTTCCTGGCCAACGGTGACAACTACAGCTTTAACGGAACATTGTTCGGCATGATGACTCAGACGTGTCAAGAAACCTCCGGTGGCCTGTACGACTTTGCCTGCATGACAAAGTACAGAGAACAACGATACTACGAGAGCAAGGCCAACAACCCAAACTTCTACTTCGGTGTTAAGTCTTTGCTTTTGTTCGGTGCCTCTTCTTTCCTTTACACGTTGATGCCTAACGGCAACGATAACATTCCCTCGTACGCTGTTGTCTCGTCCTTCTTCGGCGCTGGCAAGAACGCTGATGGCACTTTCAAGAGCCACGCTGCAGGCGTTGGTGAGAAGATTCCCGACAACTGGGTGCCCCGCAAGACACCATACACGATCACTGATGTTGGTTCAGAGATTCTGAAGCAGTACTTTGGAACCACTCCTCCTGTTGCCTTTGGTGGAAATGCCGGAAGCCTTGGGTTCAATGCTCTCAACGCCGGCACTGCCATTCAAAACGGTCAGCTCAATGTGAAGACTGCATCGGACTTGCGTTGTCTGCTATTCCAGATTGCTACCGACAACTACCCGTCCAGCCTCTCTGGCGGTGTTGCACTGCTCTCTGCTGCCGGAAAGGCATTTGCTGTCGCCAAGCTCTTGCCATACACAACCGTTTCCGGTTGTCCAGCTGTGCCTGGCCAGCCCGTGCTCAGCGCTTAAACACCCTGCGCAAAGCTATGCTGTAAGGTTTAATCAGTACTATTTGTATGTCATACATCAAGTCTTCCAATAACAAGCTTCCCTTCTGTGGCTTCTGAAAAAGCTACCTCCACATTTTGATTTAGTGTCACAAACGCGTATTGCCTTCTCATGATGTATGACCATAATCGTCGGTTTGTCCACGGTCCATGTTCTTCAGATGCAATTGCCTAGTGAGGTAATCGATCGGCTGCTTACATAAAAGCTCATTGGCCTCGGCTCCGTTGACGGCTGTCACTTTCATTTTGCATGAGGACGATCTTTTTTGCATGAGGACGATCTTGGGTGGCAACCATCAGGTTCATCACACTACTACAACATGGTTCAGAGCAAGGCATCACAAGAGCACGATTACGACGCTGTCCGTGCCTCCATCCGCAAAGTCCTAGACCAACCTGGCTACGATGACGGAAGCGCAGGACCAATCTTTGTGCGACTCGCATGGCATGCTTCGGGTACCTATGACAAGGCCTCGAACACGGGCGGATCCAATGGTGCTACCATGCGATATGCCGTTGAAGCCAACGATGGTGCTAATGCCGGTCTCGAGCATGCGCGCAACTTTCTCGAGCCTGTCAAGAAGGAACATCCTTGGATCAGCTACGGCGACCTTTGGTGTTTAGCAGGCGTAGAGGCTGTCAAGGCCATGGGCGGTCCTGATGTGCCCATCAAGTTCGGGCGATTGGACCACACAGATGACTCGAATGTGCCTCCCAATGACCGGCTTCCTGATGCTACCCAGGGCACCAACCACCTGCGCGATGTCTTTTATCGTATGGGCTTCAACGACCGAGAAATCGTTGCACTTTCTGGTGCACACAATCTTGGACGTTGTCACGGAGACCGCTCTGGATTTGAGGGTCCTTGGGTCCCCCAACCAACGCGATTCAGCAACACATATTTCCGGCTTTTGCTAAACGAGGAATGGAAGCAAAAGACCAACAAGCAAGGCCTGATGCAATATCGCGACGAGGATGACGAGCTGATGATGTTGCCCACGGATTATGCCCTCATTAAGGACGAGAAGATGCTTCCCTGGGTGCAGAAGTATGCTGATGACAAGGAGCTCTTCTATCAAGACTTCAGTCAAGTGTTCGCCAAGTTGATCGAACTCGGGATTGACCGTGATGAGCAAGGCAATGTACACAAGAAGGGCATGGAAGATGGCGATCGTGTCAATGTGCAGGGTGCGCAGCGCAGGGTCACGGAGAGGCCCATGGCCAAGCTCTAGATGCTTTCATAAGTGTTGATTGAATTCAATGCCCCCTTTCTGTGAGCAGCCTATGTTTTGAGAGGATTGTGCTAACCGAGTAGACCTCGCACGCCGCGCGACTTCTTGATATGGGCCTCACTTCTCGCAGGAGAATTTGTTGCACTAGCTTTCTTGCTCGCAGGGAGCCCTGCGTCACTGAGATCACCGTCGTTGTTCAGACTCGAATCCTCGCTATCACTTTCGCTAGATGTGGACTCACTAGACGAGATTGCCGATGCACCTTTCGTAGATAAATGACTTCCAGCCAGAGGACTTTTGTCGCCGACAGCCAATACTGGCAGACTCTCATCGCCTGAACGAAGTTCGCCTTTTGCTCGCTGAACTGGTTGGTTGGCAAGCCAGCTGAGCGACTTGAATGGTCTTGTCACCAACGACGGCCTTGCATGTCTCAGAGATCCGGAAGGGGTCGCCTCAGATCCTCGCGCGTCGTGATTATCACCAGGAGATTGTCTGGACGCCGCGCGTGCGCCAACAGACTCGGACCTCTTTCTTTGTACCTGTTGCGCGTCTTTCTCACTCAATTCGCACTTCTCTCGTGCCACGAGGTTGACACTCGTCCAAGCCGCTGCGCTCCCTGTTTCAGATCGACTGGATGAGCTGTCGGAGAGATCTTTTGAAGCCATCGATTCTCCGTCAGTCTCAGGCAGAAGAAGATCCTCTGGCAAAGTCGTGGACTCGGCATTCGAACCATGAGGTGAGCGAGAGCCTGACTTGGAACGACGCCAGGCGAAATGACCATTTGTATGAGGTGTGCCAGGACTTGACCCCTTGCGCACTTCGCCTTGTCGGCGTTCTGGTATTGCTTCTCCCGATTGTCGATTGTCTCGTACGGCTCGATTATCGTCATCATCATCGTCGCCGTCTGATGACATGAATCTCGCCAGGTCATCAGAGTTTGCGTCATCGCTTGTAGCATCGCGCTGTGAGAGTGTGTTCTGTTGAGGTAATTGGTGCTCAGAGGCTTTAAATTCGTGTATAGCCTGATCCGGAGTGCAGGTCGTAGGTACAGGTAAGGTCAGGGAATTTGTTTCAGATGGCCAAATCGCGCCCGCAGCGCGTCTGACTGTCTGATTGGAAGGGTTGGATGTCATATCGTCCGGAATGAGAGACAATGAGTCGGCATACCCCTTCTTCTGTGGACTGACAAGTGAAGACTCGCATTCTGCCGCAGTGATGGTCTTCGCATGCTCTGTCTGGGTGAGATTCCGCGTTGTTTGCATCTTCGGAGTTCGCGAGCCCCCGCTTGAAGCCTGCGCACTGCAATTTGTGCCACTGGGCTCTCTTGTGCTGTCGTGCTCGCTACTAGGAGATCTTTTGCGCTTCAGCGACGTAGATAGGGCGGGGTGCAGCTCTGACCGAGCAATATCTTCTCGTATCAATTTGATGGTGTCCTGTGAGAGAGGGCTCTTCCTGAGTTTCGAAATGGATCCTGGAGGCACATGGGCAGAAGAAGCCGTTCTACCGTCTCGCAAAAGGTCCGCTCTTGCCTTTGCTGACAATCCATCCGATTTGATGGGCGTAGGCTTTGTAGGCGTCAAGCTGGCCAAGAGCTGGGAACTCCGACCCATGGTCGATTGCCACTGCTGCAAATGGATGCCAGCATCTTCCACAATGACAATGAGTTCCGGCTCTTCATGTCGGCCCAGAATATCGCTCAGCAAGAAGTCCGAATCTACCTCTGCTCCTCCGGCGGTTTGAACAGCAACAATATTGATGCGCTCCTGAGGATATCTTTTCTCAAAGAGCGTGCAAAGCGTTGCTTGCCAAGCGGCGACCGACATCTCGCCCTCGCCAACGCATACCATTTTGGCGACAACTTGCAACTTCTTCTGCGAGACCAGAGTGGCTGATACGGGTATACGGCCACGCATTGCAGCTGCTTACTTGTCCCTGCCTAGCAGCGTACTGCTGAGCTGGCCCGGGACAATGACATGTACAATTCAAGCAGCTGGTGTGTGCGGAAAAGAACTCACATGAGTCAAATCCACGCGGTCGGAAAACGTCTTTGACCCGCGAATTGGAACTACGCTACAATCAACAACGCCCTCTCCTACTCTGCACATCTGGCACTCGCTCTAGCTGGCCGTAAAGCATTCAATCGACAGCTAATTCGGGTTTGGAGAGCTCAAGCTTGCTGCATCGGCCGAGAAACTGAAATATGACAGCACTTTTCAATCTCCAGTCATTGCTCACTGCACTCCTGCTGCTCATCTGCACATGCACCTACGTCAGGAGCTACAGTGCAAAGTTTATGGATTCGCACAAGTCGGGGTTTGTTCAAAGCGCACGCTCCAGCTGACGAAGCTGACGACAGTCCGCTAGGTACCTTTTGGAAACTCGCTAGAGTCGGCGAGCGCCTGAGTCCATACGTGTCTCTCTCTCTCATTGCGATTGCTGCAAGTACCCAACACTTTCGTATTAGGCTGACAGGCAGGTGTCTCTACTAATCTGAGTTGACGTGAAGCTGCCTATGGAGACTTGGAAGACACGGGCGACGCACCGCGCAGCATTTAAAGGAGAAAGTACTTACAGAACTACGATTGCTCACCTGACCATATCGCTATCATCGCCAGCTGCAGCTCCCTCCTCATCAAGGAATTGAAGCTTCGCACCGTCTACGATCCATATGCCCAGATCCTCATAAACGCTCAATGTCTCAGACAGTTGGTCCTCCGTGAATCCCTTTGCCAGAACCCGATCACGAATAGTTCGCAGTGCCCACTCAGAGATGAAGTCGTGTCCATCACCATTGGCCAGATCGCGCACAATCTTGTAAATCTTGCTAGAAGAGGTCGAATCCACATCGCGCGATTCGTCATCGTACAGTGAGGACTTGGATACAGCGATGAGCCGAAGAGCTTCATCGACATCGCCAATCTCGACCACATCTGCAAAACGCAGGCGCGCGAGAGCTTGAGCCATGCGAAGGACTGCGAGCAGGGTTCTCGGCGTCGTGTGAGTGAATTGCCGCTTGCTTCCTTCTTCCCGCTTCTGCGTTTGTCTGAGATTGACGTAAGCTCCCACGACGTAGTCACTGACTTGTTTCGGGACAGTAGGCCGTTTTTGACGAGCCGCAGCGATGAAACTGCGTATCATGGCTGGCTCCAACGGTTCGAAGTTCATGGTAGGATGCCGGTTGTTCATGTGCACGAAAGCGACGTGTTGAGCCAATCGCTCATCCTCATCTCGAGCAGGCGTGTCTAGAATCAAGAACAGGATGTCAAATCGCGACAAGAGAGCTGCTGGGAGGTTAATATTCTCGACAGGCGAGATCTTGGGGTTGTACCGCCCGTAGAGAGGGTTGGCTGCAGCGAGAATCGAGGTACGTGCATTGAGAGTCGTCGTGATACCTGCTTTGGAAATTGATATGGTCTGCTGTTCCATGACTTCGTGAATCGCTGTTCTGTCCGAGTCGTCCATCTTGTCGAATTCATCGATGCAGCAAATGCCATTGTCGGCGAGGACCAAGGCACCACCCTCCAGAATCATTTCATCAGTGACGGGATCTCGCATTACCGCTGCCGTCAAACCGACACCAGACGAACCGCGTCCCGTAGTATACACTCCTCGCGGAGCAACCTTGGTGATGTATTTGAGGAGCTGCGACTTGGCAACACCGGGATCTCCCATGAGGCATACATTGATGTCTCCACGAATCTTCATTCCATCACCCATTTCCTTGGTTACACCTCCTACCAAAAGTAAGAGGAGAGCCTTCTTCACATCGTCGTGTCCGTAAATTTCAGGCGCAATGGACTTCGATAATCTCTCGTAGACCGATCCAGAGTCCTGCAACTCCTGGATCATGGCCATCGTTTCTGGCGTGGTGTCGACACTGGTGTACTGCTTTTTGTGCTGCTTGATGTAGTGGCCCTCCAGATAGGTGTCTGTCAGGAGACCGGCGCGCATGCCGCGAAATCCAGTGTAAGGTGTTGGGAGGAAGATGCCAGCCGCATCAACAATGTCGCCAGGGTTAATGCTGCGAGTTATGTTGCCATTGAGATGTATAGTCAGCGATCGTGGGATATGCCCAACAGGCACTTGATTCGTCAGCTCCTGGATCTTGACTTCCTGAAACGGCATGAATTTGGACGCTCTGGTAGATGGGTGCAATTGGCCTTTTGCATCGTTCGTCACACACTCGCGCGATGTGCATTCGACCAAGGGCATGAACTGCTTGCCTTGAATTTCCTGGAAGACTTCGCTGCCGCAGCGATCGCAGGTGTACGCATTGACTTGGCACGAGGGTTTGACGTCTGATACGCGTGTTGCGATGCCTCGAACGGTAATCAGACGTCCGAGATGCTCGCCGCGGATGTCGCGCACAGCAAAAGCTCGACCGTGTCCAAGATAGTCCTGTGAAAGAGGCTTGATGTATAGGTTGTAGCGACGGGTCAATTCGGGTGGGAACAGGTCTAGCGCTTCTGCCGTTGGATCGTTCGATTCCGCCTGGAGCGCTGCATTGCGGTTACGGCGTTGATGCATAATGACATCCATGACCTCTTCATTATCACCAAGGTCGATAGTCGGCAATGGCATCGTCTTGTCAATGGCTTGGCATACCAAATTGGTATACGTCTTTGTGTTGTTTAGAATATTGTTGAGGAGAGCACGGTCTTCGTGATAGTCTTTGAGGTCGTCCAATTCAAGCACAACAGTCGTCGTTTCGCGATTTGATACTTTCTGCAACAATTCCATGTACTTGAGCTTGTCCGCGCCCATGTCCATGTCTTCATCACCATCGAGAGCCCCTGCGGCGTCCTCCACAGCTGCTTTGCCTTTGAAGTGCTGCAAAAAGTCAATCAGCTGTTCCTGAAGATGCTCGTAGTCGGCAAGCTCTTTAACACCAAAGAGTCCTGCACTCATGCTTGCTGCTGGAATAGACAAGCTACAAGGGCAATCACAGAGAGTTGGTCAATTGGAAGGAGGCTGGCGCGCGCGTTGTCACATCGCGACTTGCGGAAAAGTGCCAAATCGCGAAATTCATGGGCAGGGACTCAACAGTGATTGACTACTGCAGGCCCAGCGTCAGTTGCAAAGACTGTCATCCATGGGCACCGTGTATCCTGCAGCTCAACTCTACGTGATGCTTGAACTGCAAGCTTCTATATGCTTGCTCGGGAGTCCATCACCGTCGCAGACTACCCCAGGGTGCTCCTTTTACCGATCTCCGATGAAGCAGAGCCATCAGGCAGACCATCAGCGCTTCGGCCGTCCACAAATTCATGGTATATCCTATCAAGCCGGGTTCTTTCCGTTCTCGCAATAGAGGGTCTTGTCGTCTGCAAAGACTTCTCCAAGTGACTTCGGCTAATAAGAATCTCCGGCCTCGCATAACCAACATCGACCTCTTTTGTCCTGCGTGTGGCCTGGTGCTTGATGATCGCCTCGACGCGGGCAATTGCAGCCGCCCGCTCTGCCAGAGTGCGATGAATATCACTTCCCTCCGTATTGTTGTCCGTGAGTTTGAATTGCATGAATGTCGGCGAAGACGTGTGATTCCTTGATTGCCCGGACTCCTTCACGCCCTTACTTTCATCAGCCTCGATTTGGGCGATGGTATCGTGAATAGCATCCAGATGGGCGTTGTAGAGCAAAGCTTGCATGTCCGCCCCAGAAAATCCTTCAGTCCGCTCTGCCAGCCATGCCTGGTCCACAGCAGGATCGAGATGGAGTTTTCTCGAAAGAGCCTGTAGAATGCTGAGCCTATCTGAACGCGACGGCATGTCGCACAACAATGATTTGTCCAATCGCCCTGGGCGCAACAGAGCTGGATCAATCAGATCAGGACGGGACGTAGCTGCTAGGACGTACACGCCGTCTAGCCCTTCCGCGCCATCCATTTGTGTGAGCATTTGATTCACAACACGATCCGTTACGCCAGTCGAATCATGGCCACGCTTGGGAGCAATCGAGTCAAACTCGTCGAAAAACAGGACACACGGCTTTGCTGCTTGCGCGCGATCGAACAGATCACGCACTGACTTTTCGGATGCTCCAATGTACTTGTTCAATATCTCGGGTCCTTTGACGGAAATAAAATTGAGTCCACATTCGGATGCCACCGCAGAAGCCAGCAAAGTCTTGCCACAGCCAGGATACCCGTACAGCAAAAGGCCAGATCGTAACCTGAGAGGGCAATTTGCGAAAATTGGCGCGTAGCGAGTTGGCCATTCCAATGTTTCGAGAAGAATACGCCGCGTGTCTTCCAGTCCGCCAATATCGTTCCATTCGACAGTGGATTTTTGCAATTTGATCCCACGCAATGATGCAGGTGTAAAGTCCTGAATTGCGATCTTGTAGTCGCTTGTTTGCAATTGGCCAGTTGATTGTTCCTCGGTGCGCATCTCACGAACAAGTGCCTGTTGCTCAGCACGCTCCGTCAGACTCCGCAGATCCCCGGCAAGGTATCCTTCTGTCATGTTCGCCACTTGTAGCCAATCGACATTACAATCCGGCTTGTTGTCCACCAATGCCTGCACAATCTCTATCCGCGCGGCTTTGCTGGGTGTTTTGAGTGCCAGGGACTCGTCAAATAGGTGCCCTGTAGTCAGAAGGGGATGCAGTGCTTCAACAGATTGGCAAGTCGCTACGAGACCAATGCTGTGCCGTTGCCTGAAGTGCTTCACACTAGCGAGGATCACCTCAGCGATTTGACGGGCCCTGGTTGAGTCTGCATGCTCGACCTCAGCAGGGCACAGTCTGTCCAGATCGTCAAGCACAACAATTGATGGCTCGTACCACGACGCTGTCATGAGCCATTGATTGATGGCCTCTTTGATGACGGGTAGGCGCTCTTCTGAAAGACCGGAACAGCCGGCGGTGACCACGTGAATACTTTGGGATCGCGCGAAGTGAGCGCATGCCAGCGTCAGCACAGTCTTACCGGAACCGCGGGATCCATGAAACAACACACCGTTGGTTCTTAGAATTGCTTTGTGAGCTTTTTGGGTGAGATTGCCTACACCTTTGACAAGCGCAACTTCAGTTGACTCAGGCCGCTGAAATGTCATGGTTGCATCAGATCCACGCAAAAGCTTCATGTCTTTTGTGTCCGGAAGCAGAGCCCAACCGGAGCCAGATTCCAGCGAGACGATAAAGTCATCGAGCAAGAGCCCATGGCTGATTGGCTCACTCTCGAGAGTCCGTAATTTGACTCGGCATTTTTCGATGAAAAGATCTTGGCTATTGCCGCCAATAACAATTTCTTTTGCGCTCGCGGAGCCAGCAATGGGGTGGCAAGTGAGGGTAGAGATTGATTGCTTTGTTATATTCGCTGCTGTGATTTTGAGTCGTGAACCCACTACAGCATTCAAAGCAGCCTCGGCTTGGTTGGAGAGAATGACATGTCCCTCTTGCAGAGTGTCGGACCCCACCGCACGCAGGGTGATGGTTCTGCTAGGACTGACGGGGCTTGTGCTCGTATCATTGAGAAGCTGAGGCTGTAACGCAGCGTCGTTCGGCGACTTGCTGTGTAGAGGGGATGGTAAGACAATGGTCGCCTCGAGCATAGAAGCAAGACCTAGATCTGCACGAAGCAACGAATTCGGAACTTGAGCACAAAGGCCGGTCAAGTTAGATTGTACCCCCTCATTCAAGTCACAGCGCAAAAATGCATGACGTCGCTTACGCGCTGTGCTGTGGCGCGAACGAGTGCTTGTGACACTCTTCGACTTTTTTGTCGTACCGTTCACAATGCGGGTCTTGGGTGAGACGATCACTTCGGCTGTCGATGAAATACGTGCAAAAGAGGCACTCGCAGCTGATTCAGGTTCAATTCGCTTGACTTCGATGGTGGCCGTTGTGTTAGCATTTAGGTAAATGGTGAGCGGCACTGAGACCGCTACTGCGCGTATCTGGTTCAACAGATTGAGCTCGAGAAAACTGGCATGTAATTCCTTTTAGCGTTAGCATTGATTGCTGTGGTGAGCACACGCACCATGATCTCCCAGTCATCCGGACTTTGAGGCTCGACCCAAATCACGTCGGCTGAGGCATACTCGAGGGTCACGCCCACGTCCATTTCCACACCTTCTTGCGCTCCAATGTTGCGCGCAAAGGCTGGATCCATCTCAACAAACTTTCTGCCAGAAGAGCTGTGCCCAGTCCAACCGCATGCGATCTGCTGCCCGTTGTGTCCGAGCAGTGCAACGACATCTTGCGCCAAGGTATCTGTTTCAGCAAGTGAACTCGCTAGCGCTTCTGGCAGATTTACAAGACAGTTCTTGAGCGAAACAAGGCGGACTGTACAACTCACCATGACGCTGAAATGTACATGCGCACTCAAAGCTTAAGGCTCGCGCGATGGTTGTGCCGATATTGCGGAGCTGATTCAAGGCAACAAGGGCAAGGAAGGTTGTGGACCTCGCACGCCGAAACAGCCATTCAGATGGAGACGGATTGCAAATGCCAGCAGGGTCTTGGCCTGCTCTTCAAGTGTCCTACTATAGCTTGACTTCCACAGACTGGATGCTCACTGGCTCGAGCGGACGGTCCAGACGTCCAACCTTGCCCATCTCAATCATATGCACCACGTCCATCCCCTGCTTCACGCGTCCAAAAATAGTGTGTTTGCCATCCAAATGCTTAGCCACATCGGTTGTGATGAAGAACTGACTGCCATTCGTCCCTGGCCCGGCATTTGCCATGGAGAGCATATAAGGTTTGTCGTGCTTCAACTCCGGGACGAATTCGTCACCGAACTCTTTGCCCCAGATGGAGACGCCGCCTGTGCCATCGCCCTTTGGATCGCCTCCTTGGATCATAAAATGCGGAATCACACGGTGAAAGATCGTCCCATCGTAGTAACCTTGTTTGCAATGTGTGGTAAAATTTTCTACTGCCTTGGGAGCTTGCTGCGGGTACAGTTGAAGAACAATATCGCCGGAGGATGTGAATAGTGTCGCCTCTGATGGCAAAGCCTTCTTTTCATCCATCACTCCTTTATCTGCCTTTGTATCGGGTTCTTCATTGACGATATCCCGTTCAGTCTTCGACTTCGCCATTTCAGCATTACCAAACAAATAGAATCGATGGCTCTTGAATGAAGTGACAAACAAGATTGGGTCACGATGCAGGGTTTCTGCCAGCAGCGGGTTGTCTGACGCAGCCATCGCCAACGTGGTACTCTTCGGCTTACTGGGTGCACCATGATAGAGCGCAATATTCATCGGACGTATCCGTTCATCATGAGCATACGTCTTCACGCAAGTATTGGAATAGGTGTTGATGACCTTAATTCCAAAAATGGTGGAATAGAGCAAGAAGAGTCCAGAATCGTCGAAAATGACATTACACCTGCGCAGCTCCGAACTCAACGAAAGTTCGCGTTCGATGGCCAAACGACGGCCAAATTCGATGTCATCAAGCTGCACAATCGCCGTTCCAGACTGATGTTGGCTTTCTGCAGTAGCAAGGCTTTCGTCATACTTGCGCAATATTTTCGCAGAGGTGAAGTTGAATAGACGTACCTGGCGATCTGGAAAGGAAAGCGTTGCGAAAATTTCGTTGTTTGGACTCATTGACAAGCATGTCGGCACTGATTTGGTTTTGCGGAACTCGTAAAGATCTGTGAGCCCCTTCGCTCGAAAGACTTCTTTCGGCATTGGTGTGTTCTCGTTGGGCATCCAATACTCGACCGATCCACTCGCATCGACACTGATGCAACAGTCATATTTTGGATTGAAGGCAAGAAGAATGACTGCCTCTCCGTGAAGCTCGGTTAAAGTGCGGATAGGGTCGTCGTTCTCCGATCTGAGATCGTATATTCGCACAGTTGCTGAATCCTTTTCCGCAACAGCGAGCAGTGCAGATAAGCTACCTTTGCGTGAGACCCAGCAAATGTTCTGAGGCATGTAATCCAGATTAAGCATTGAAAAAAGATCGAGATTGAAGATGTCATATATCTTGATAGTGCTGTCAGTGGAGCAGGACGTAGCGAAGAGTGAGCCGTCAACACTCAATGCAGACTGTCCTAGAGGCTGGGCGGCTGCTCGAAACTGCTTGACGAATTCGACACCAATTGCCTGTTTCTTCCAGAGCTTTGTCGCCCCGTCTTCAGAAGCTGTCACAACGAAACTGCTCGCAGAGGCCGTGTGAATGGATGAAACCTGCGCTCTATGCATATACGACCGCACATAGCGCGGCAACTGTGGCAATCGCTGTAAGAGGAGCTTCTGATTCGGCTTGATCTTTCTGCGCTTTATCCTCGGCGGTGTTGAGCCATGTTGATCCGCGTTCTTCCGTTGCAGCTGCGGTCCTACGTCCACATCATCTTCGTCACTCGGTCGTTCTAGAAGTACTGCATCATCCGCAGATCGTTTCAAAATATCTGTCACACCCTCTACAAGGTCGCCAGAATTTGACTCTGCAGAGGCCATCTAGGTGGGACTTGAAGCGCTTATTTGTATGGATTCAGAGGTGCCAAGTCCAGATTGTGGTGCGATCGCAGCGTTGAATTTTGATGCGTTCATGGATGCAGTTGCCCGGCTCCTCATCTGCAGCTCGTCCACGTTTAGTTTAGTTCTACCCCGTGAAGGACGGCGGACGTGAGCAACGAGCCCGCGCAGACCGTGGCGCGGTCGCTGCTACTCGCGTGGACTACAGGAGGCCGGACTATACGATATACATTCGCTTGTACTAGCAATCTACATCCCAGACTACTACGGGTTGTATCAATAGGTCATGTTGAAACACAGGCGCCATCGATCAGAACAAGCGAAATCAGCCAGTAGCAGTCCGAGCCCGTCGTGGAGCCTGCCACATGACTCGGCAAACCCTTCTGAAATACCGTCAGGATACAGTGAAGCTACGCGTCCCTTTGCAGAGATTGTTCAAGAGCTTAACACGAAGAAGACAAAGCTCTACTATGAAGGCTTCCTGCAACGCCGAGAAGATCTCGATGCTGACGGTGCACCCACAGGATCGACTGAGTTCTTTGACTACTTTGCTCAACTGGAAGGAACCTCTCTCCTGTTGTGGTCCGCAAGCTCTACTACTATTCCATTGACAAACGCAAAATCGACTTCGTTCGCAAATTTGGCCGATGCCCGGTTTGTACAATCGTCCGAACGTAACAGTATCATCGTTTCAACTATCGGCCGCAACCGCTTCACACTCAGGCCTTGTAATGGAGATTTGCAAGAGTGCGATGCTTGGTACGTGGCCTTCAGGCTCGCTGTGTTCGAGCGTGCTCGTTTGCAGGAAATTTACACTGCCCGTCTTGTCAAGCAATTTGGAAGCGCTGATGTGACCAAAAAAGACGCCCGTTTCGATAGTTACGTCGAAGCGCGGGTGTCAAGTGCCGTTTCTGCCCAATCTCAATGGACACGTCTGTACTGCAGGACAGCCACCCCACAGAAGACCAGCCTATTCAAAAAGCGCCATTCGCGCTCCATCTCTGCTTCGTCAGAAACTGGTACTGGTCCACCGGGTACCGTCGAGTTACAGCTGTTTGCAGACAAAAGGGACAGATACCCACAATTCGTAGTCACGAACGTATTTGCGGCGTATGCTCTCTATCCAGAAAGTGCTTCGCTGATTGAAACAGCAGCCATGCTCAAGCTGGAAGGTCAAGTCAGCATAGTTACCCCAGACGGGCAATTGGGTACGGCTGTGAATGGCAACGTCCTTCTTCTGCCCATCAACGATGCGCATCAGAGACATCGCACGATCGGTACCACGCCGTCCTTGCAGTCCTTGCTGAACATGGCATCTGCAATTTGGGCTGCATTCAGCCTCTATGGAAAGCCGGATGTGCTTCATCTGGACGTTGATCACGTTGAGGCTCTGGGCCGAAAGACGGCCATTGTCGATTTAACCGTGTTGCAAGTCATGGAAATAGAGCAGCTCGATGTCAGAATGTCAGACATGTCTTGGAGAGCCATGCTACGTGAGAAAGTAGTTTTGTGGTCTCACTACAAGGAGTCGCAGGGTTATGGCGTTCCAGTTCAGCTGGTGGCGCCACTCAATCAGCTTGACAAGCCCGCTGTGGGAGAGAAGCGCGCTGGAAAGAGCAGACGCGTTCTGAGCGAAGGCTCGATCACCTTCCCTCCACAGCCTCTGGTGACGACCCTCGAGGAAGATGACCTTCTAGAGCGACTTGGTCGCTCCTCGCTCGGGATTCCATTGCTACCTCGAACAGATTCTCGCAGCCCGGCGCGTTCTCAAAGCTCTTCCAATGAGGCGGACCGACCATTGCGTTTGCCAGGGCAGAACGGGCGTCGTGAACGCTTCAGTCCTGGCAAGTCGACTTCTACAAATGTCTCACCAACGTTATCCTCCCCGACTGTGACGGGCTTCTCTCCCCGCCTTCAGTCGTCCTCACGTCTAAATTCACCATCTGTAGGGCAGACTCGATGGTCGAAGGCAGACGACAATATAGATGGTGGCAAAGATGCGGGGAGCGCAATTGCTCAAATATCGAGCTCTCCTGCCATGTTGGAGGCTCGATTTGGATTGAGTCAGCAGTTGGAAACGCGGGTCGAGCAACGGCGATCTAGCTACGTGCTGACCGGCGCAGGTTCTGTCGACCCGAAACTTGGTTCGGCGTACAGCGAAGCGCCAGCAAGGTACGAAGCACCTGAGATGGGTTGTTCTGCACGTTACAACCCGCATGGGACATCGGACACAATAGACGCACCAATGAGCAGTCCTTCAGAGCTTCCTGGCATTGATATAGACGCACTCGGCCTTGTTCGTCAACCGACCTTTATGTCGGACATATCAAGAGGGGTCTCCCTTGATGCGACTAGCTCGTTATGGTCTGCAGGAACCGATGGAGAGGCATCAATTTACTCAGATGTACCAATCAGTCGATTTGGCGAGCCTGATGGTAATTGCGCGGCAAGTGAGAAGAGTTTACCAGTCGATGCCAAGCTGGGAGAGAAGAGTGAGCCCTCGCTGACTGCGGGATGGAATGGAAACCGAAGCGAGGCGATGAGGTTGTTGAGCATCCGCAGACCATATGCAGTGCCGCAATCCCATGCAGCTGCTCAATGACAGATGAAAAGCATCTTGTGTGCAAGTCTGATGCCGAGTCATCTTTAATAGCAAGGAAAGGTCTTGTCGATGTTGCTGTAGGCCTCTAGACCACCAATCATGTCAACAAATTCATGTGCACCGTATTTGGCCTTTAAATTCATCACAGCATACTGCGAGTCGTTACCGAAGCGACAAACCACAAGAGAGGTCTTGTCAACTGGACAATCGTGCTGATAGGATGTCAAATCATCAAGGGGAACGTTTTTCGATCCAGGCAGAGAGGCGATACCGAATTGGGTAGGGTCTCGAACGTCGATGATGTGAAATGTGTGCATCGCGTTTTTTGCTTCCAGAGCATTTATGCGATGTTCTCCTTTGCTAACCTGCAAAGGAGCTGCGTCCAGCGAGCACGAAATTTCATACTGTCCAGTTGTATCTTGTACGATGGACTCTTTGGTTATATACGGCTTCTCACCGCACACTGCGCAAGATGGTTTCTTGCCTCGTAATGTGATCTGACGCCACTGTGGCTCGCCGTAGGCCGAGAAAAGGAGCAATTTCGACGGTCTGGAAGGAAGTCCTAGACTAGCGACTGTTGTAGACCTGTGCAAAGGTATTTTGATCAGGATCTTGATTGCCTCAAGAGCTTGCATCACGCCGATAATCCCAACTACAGGTCCAAGAACGCCTGCCTCTCCACAGGACTGTACGCTGGCCGCCGGAGAAGGACTCGGAAAGATACAACGGTAGCAAGGACCACCTTGATGGTTATAGACAGCCAACTGGCCATCCATCTTGAGAGCTGATCCAGAAACCAGAGGTTTGTCGAGCAAAACACATGCATCAGAGATGAGATAGCGCGTCTGCTGATTGTCTGTACAGTCCAGTATGAGGTCGAATGGTGCAAGAACAGACATGACATTGGTTGCAACAAGTCTTTCTTTGTAGCCCGTAAAGTGTATTTGCGCATTGAGCTCCTTGACGAAGCTGGCGATGGAGTCAACCTTTGATGTGCCTGCGTCGGATGGCTTGTGCAATATCTGACGGTGACAATTTGATATGTCAATTGTATCTGCGTCCACGACACCAAGATGACCGACGCCAGCACCTGCTAGGTACGCAACGCATGGGCAACCCAAGCCGCCAGCACCCACTATCAAAACAGAGCTACTTTTCAGAGAGAGTTGGCCGGGTTTACCGATCTCTGGCAGCAGCATTTGTCTGCCATAGCGTCGATACTCTTCTAGATCCAGCGACGCCATCAATTGGCCGCCGTGGAGGCCGGGTTCAACCTTTTTTTCTTTTTTTGAAGTTTAGTCGTTTGACGGCAGCAGCAGCAGCAGCAGCAGAAGCAATTACGAAGTGGCCCCAGCAGCAAGCTAGCTGCGATTCAATCGTTCCAGCGTCTAGCTTGACGGGACAGTTTCGCTGGTGCACTGACGCAGATGGAGGCCAGGTGATTCAGCTTTGCAGTTGCCAGTTGGCCTTGTTCTCGAGCTCAAGCGCCGGCCTCGTGTGGTTGTAGCTGTTCTAGGTGTAGCTGTACCGTTCAATTTTGGTCCTTCGAGGCAACAACAACAAACATATATATCCAGGCCCGCCGGTGCTTCTCTCATCATCATCATCATCATCATCACCATCATACATCCTGCAGCGTGGACTCTCGATTGATTCGATAGTACAGGTCGAGGTCTCTGTACAAGATGGAGCCGCCACGAACGATACGAAAAATCAAGTCAAACATGGTCCTATCGAGTTCACCGGCAAATAGCGGCAGGGCGAGTCCGTCGCTTCACATGCTCAGGAACGACAGGACACTACCTATGAGTCCTTCATCATCTTCCACAGCATCTCGACCGCAATATACAATAAAGCGTCCTCCGTCTGCGGCATCATCGCGTATGCACGAATCCGGACTTGTCCGCGAGCGCAACCCCTTCGAAAGACCCGCATCGGCAGCAGACAGCTATCCGACTGTCGTTCACGCTTATAGACCAGGGTCTGCTATGTCTACGCGCAGCGCGCCGCCGCCTGCTACCGGCATCGGTGCAGAGAACACCGTTGTCTCAGTCAGAGTCAGACCTGCACAATTCGGTGCTCCTGTGCAGCCTTGGCTTTACAACGCCCAAGACAGGACCATCCGTCCAAATGGTACAAATACCAACGCTGGTGCCCAAGACTACGCATTCGACCACGTCTTCGCCGAAAGTGATACCAACGCAACAATCTACGATGCTTGTGTCAAGCGGTTGGTGGCTGGAGTACTGGAAGGTTACCACGGGACTGTGTTTGCTTATGGTATGACTGGTACGGGCAAGACATACTCTATGCAAGGTGTCTCTGATTCGCCTGGTATCATCCCGCAAGCTGTGACCGATATTTTCCAGCAAATTGAAGCCGACACCGCAAGCCGGTATATCATTCGCGTGTCCTACCTCGAGATCTACAACGAGCGCATCAAGGATCTACTCAATGCAGATGCAAGCGACGCAGAAGAAATCAAGATCAGGGATGACCCGAAACGGGGCATTCACGCCTATCCTCTAACAGAATTGACCATCGGCTCTGCATCTGAATTTGCAAGCATCATGCAAAAAGGCGATCTAGTCAGGCATAGCGCAGCGACGGACTTCAACGCGCACTCGTCTCGCTCACACGCCGTGGTGCAACTCGTGGTGGAGTCAGTGCCAGCTTCACTCAGTTTGACCATGTCAAATGCCTCTGGTGTTGCCAAGATCCGAACATTGAATATGATTGACCTCGCAGGGTCTGAAAAGGCAGCTTCGGATGCTGAAAGGCGGAAAGAAGGGTCATACATCAACAAGTCTTTGCTGACACTGGGAACAGTCATCGCAAGACTTACCAGCGGGAGTCAAGCCTCATCTGCCCACATCCCTTTTCGCGATTCCAAGTTGACGCGTCTACTTCAGCATGCTCTTTCTGGTTTGAGTCTGGTGAGTATATTGGCGACCATCAACACTGACGTGCGGTACGTCATGGAGACCACAAATACGCTCAAGTTCGCCAGTCGTGCCAAGTTTATCCCTGGCCGTGCCAAAAAGGCCGAGCTGTTTGGAGGTGATGTCAATCTGCTCGTGGAGAGCTTGCGTGTTGAGGTTGGCAGTCTCCGAATTCAACTGCTTGATGCACAAGCGCTTATCAGTAAATTGCAAGGCTCGCAGCTGCCCAACAAGGGCTTCAGAACACTCAGCGAGAGTATCAATGGGAGCACGAATGAGAGTCTGGCGGACATACACGAGGACGAGGCGTCTGTTGAGTATCTCCGTAAGAGGCTGGAGACTGTCGAAGCAGATCGGGCGTCTCAGAACAGCTACATACAGGAGCTTCAGATGGAGGTGCTTCGGCTGAAGAATCCGGCGCTATCCAGCAAGGTGCCCACATCGCCAGACTCAACACACTCGCCAAGAACACCAACAGGGTCAGCGGGCAACTTTTCTTATCCCGTCAAGCTTACACAACGAGCGAATATGGCGCAAGACTTGGCATCTCCGCTGAAGCTCAGTGCTGAGGCAGATGAAGCGGATCAGCAAAACGCTCTATCGGACAAAGCACTTGCGCAAAATATTCTGTCCCGCAGCCAAAGATCTCGCGAACAGGCGCGAGATTTGAGCCTCAAGCTGGATCAGCTCAAGAAGCGAGAGGACAAGCGGAGCGTGGCGAGTAGGCTTGGTTTCAGCAGAGCAGCCGTCAATGGAGGAAGCACTCACTCCTCATCAGGGGATGGAAAGGAAAACGGTTCCTCGCCTGGGTTGAAGCCTTCTCGGCCACAACATACAGTGGTCTCGCCCTCTATTCGAGCGCCTCGGGAAGGCTTCATCTGATCTCGCCGTAGAGTGCTGTGCCGGGTTGGTCTTTGCCTTCAAGGAATGGAAAAGTGACTGCTGCTCCCCGCGGTTGACAGCCGACATGACATCACAACAATACACAAACGTATAGAGCAACCTTCGCAAGCATTCTGTATCTACCAAATCTTCATCATGCCTGATGCAAACAGCTCCTCGAAAGGAAAGCGAACAGATGAAGCGCTCTACGAAAAGTGTTGCGAAGAAATCAAGAACAAGCCGAGTACGCTGGACTTCACCCTATAACATTGGCTGACACTCCATAGACAAAGATGGGTCTGGCAAAGGTCAGTGGGCTGCTTGGAAGGCTGCAGAGGCGGTAAAGCTTTACGAATCCAAGGGAGGTAGCTACGAAGGCAAAGCAGAAAGTAAGAACGAGCCCGAAACAGGGCCACCGCAGAAGAAGGGTTCTGCTGATTCAAAGACGAAGAAATCAGACAAGGTCAGTCCAATACTCCGTCACGATCAAGTCTAACAAATTGAAGCCTCCATCCAAGAAGCGTTCAGCGTCTGATGAAGAGGCGCAGCCCGAAGCAGATGAAAAAGAATCTGGCGAGAAAGGCTCTAAGAAGGCTAGCAGTGATGAACAGCCCAAGGAGCAGAAGACTGATGCTAAGAAAACCAAGAAGACCCCAGCAAAGGAGAAATCGCAAGCTAATGGCCAGAAAAAGTCAGCTCAAAGTGTTCCCAAGGGAAAGACTGAGCGTGTCACAAGATCTCAGAAATAGCGCCTGTACTTTCTCATTTTGTTGCCTTTCGTGATGCTTGTTTCAAATACATTCAATCACATCTGCCGGACCGTCACCCAGTCTATCCTTCCTTCTCGTGGTGATCTTGAAGAACAATCCCAGCAGGTTTGGTAGTCTCTTCTGCAAGCGGGACCACGATCCAGTGCTGCAAATCAGTGGTCAATCTCAACTTCGTCCTGGACTTGTAGAGGTGCTATTAATGATTTGAAAACCCCTACCGCCGTCCAACTTGCGTCCTAGCGCTGGAAACCGTCAACCTGCGCTTGGGTATGGCTGGCATCATAGCCGACGATGAGCTACAACAAGCCCGTGTCTTGTCGGAACACCTCGATCCTGCATTTTCTGCCGAACTTGTACACAATGAAGGCGCGTCTGGTACAGCTGCCACTGGCTCTGAGGAACCCGTGTCTTCTTTAAAGCTGCTGGGAGGCGATATGCATAGAGACTTGTACAAGATCGATGCTCGCGCTAAGCTGCATCATCGCGCTGCTACCTTCTCTCATCCGACGGGAGGATTGTCCACGGATGAACGATTCGGTCTTCAGCGAACGACAAGACAAGCCCATGCGCCAGGCGCTTTCAGACGCGAATTCATCAACCATCAGCAGCGTCGTATCAGTTCTTTCACTGGACCCGTTACAAACAACTTTATTGATTTCTTGGATCTCTATGGTCAATTTGCTGGCGAAGACTTGGCCGAGTCGGACAACGACGAGTCCGTTTCAACCGACGATGACCACTTGACGCCTGCACACGAGGTCACAGATGAATCTCGCCCTTTGCTGGGTCGAAGAAAAAGCTCACGAGTACCAAAGAAAGGTGATGCGAGTATTGTCAAGACATTCTTTCTGCTTGTTAAGTCCTTCATCGGTACTGGAGTTTTGTTTCTACCGAAAGCCTTTAGCAACGGGGGCATTCTATTCTCCAGCATAGCACTTCTTGCTGTCTCGCTTGTCTCTTGTCTCGCGTTTCATCTGCTTTTAGAATGCCGAAAGCATCATGGAGGCGGCTACGGGGAGATTGGTCAAGCAATCGGTGGCGACCACATGCGAACCATCATTTTGATCAGCATCACAGTCTCGCAGATTGGCTTTGTGTGCGCAGGTATGATCTTCGTCGCAGAGAACATGAGCAGCTTCCTGGCTGCTGTTGGCAAGACCTCGGACTCACCATTGTCAGTCAGTGCTCTTTTGGCCTTGCAATTAGCGGTCCTAGTACCCTTGGCACTAATACGCAATATCGCCAAGCTAGGCTCCTCGGCACTTCTGGCGGATGTCTGTATTCTTATCGGACTAACCTATATATGGTACTACGACATTGCTACGCTGCTCTCTTCCGGCGCTCACCACAGCGTTCGGCTTTTCAATGCTCACAATTTTCCTCTCACCGTGGGGTCTGCCATCTTCACTTTCGAAGGAATCGGGCTGCTGTTGCCCATACAATCATCGATGGCAAGACCTCAACATTTTGAACGGCTTCTCTACTTAGTGATGCTACTCATCACCCTGTTATTCTTATCTGTTGGGGCACTTTCTTACGCGACATTTGGCGAGCACACTAGAACAGAAATTATCACGAACTATCCACAGACAAGTAAGCTTGTGAACGCAGTTCAGTTCTTGTATTCGCTCGCTGTCTTGGTCGGAACGCCCGTTCAGCTATTTCCCGCTATGCGAATCTTGGAAGGCGGACTCTTCGGGCATCTCTCGGGGAAGAGAGATATTCTGACGAAGTGGAAGAAGAACAGTTTTAGGTTGTGCATGGTTCTTGCATGTGGTCTGCTTGCCTTGCTCGGCGCGAATGATCTGGATAAATTCGTGGCTTTAATCGGGTCATTTGCTTGTGTGCCTTTGGTCTACATCTATCCAGCATTGTTGCACCTGAAAAGCGTCGCTTCTTCACGTTTCGTACAGGCGGTCGATATTCTACTCATCTGCACTGGCATCGTGGCTATGGTTTTCACAACATCCGTCACCGTCATTCGATGGGCAGAGACTTAGGCCAAATTGTCCAGGAATGCTGACTGTAGGCGAAGTAGAAGAGCATGCGTGTCTTTCTCTGCCAGAACAGACTCAGCGGAACGCATCAATGACAACTGAAGCTCCAAGACGGCTTTGCGACGTGCGACTATTTTGCCGATCTTGCTTGCGGCGCGACGGTCGGCTTGGCGTACCAGAAGAGCGGTCCTCAGTCCCACAGCCCGATCGGTCAAAGTACTTGGTAGCGCAGTCGATTGGGCGAGCTTCAGACCATACGCGCTCTGTTGACAGGTACCATCCGCAACTTGGTAGTGCATGGTTAGCCGGTCTGCCTCTTCGCTCACTCGCAATCGAAGACACGTAACTCCAGGGCGCCATTGTAAGACTTGGGCAAGCTCGTGTAGGTGCGTGGCGAACAAAACCGTGGCCTTACTCACCAGCAGCTTTTCACAAATGGCCGTCGCAATTGCGAGAGAATCGCTGGTAGAGGTGCCTCGACCCAATTCATCAATCAAAACCAGGGAACTTGCCTTGGCTTCTCTCATGATGAAGGCCATATCTTGCATTTCTGCGGAAAATGTACTGGCGTCGACATCAGTACCATCATCCGTAGCAAACCGTGTGCATAATTGCTCGAATATTGGCGTTGCTACATGAGCAGCCGGTACAAAGGACCTGTTGTCAGAAGAGTCCGCAGGTTCGAACGCTTACCCAATTTGACTCATGACTACAAGCAATGCATTCGCTTTGAGATACGTTGTCTTGCCAGCCATGTTACAACCTGTCACGATCTGAAATCGAGAATTCACGTTGGCGAAGGTGTCATTGGCCACGTAATGCAGACCTTCGAGTTTCTCCTTGACTGGGTGCTTGCCTTGCTTGATCCCGAGTGTATCGTCAGAGAAGTGAGGCCTGACATACCTCGAAGAGATTGCAACGGATGCAAATGCATGCAACATGTCGAGCAAAGCGATCGCCTCAGAAAGTTTGTACAACCCACTGATGTGCGTCTGAATGGTTTCAACCAACTCTTCGACGGCCTCGTCGCTCAGCATCAGTAGTTCGTTGAGTGCTTCATGAATGCGAGCATTTCGTTTGGCCAAGTCCAAAGTCGAAAACTGTATGGTCTTTTTGCGCTTGACTTGGTTCACAAAGGTATCGGGCAATGGCTCATGGTGATCAGTTTGACCGATCGGTATGGAGAGAAAGAAGCCTCGATTGGCCTCGAACTGAAGCTGGATTGGCAACTCATACTCCTCTACGTGTCTTAGTCTTTTGATCGAAGCATGCCTGCTTACCTGCGTATTGTGTTGCTAGCGAGACGGCGTCGTCGACCAGTTCTTTGTAGGTTTGGCGAGCAAGATCAAGCATGCCGTTGATACCAGCTTTGACGGCATAACAACGTTGGTTTCGCAGAGCCAGGGGGCTAGATGCTACCTCAGTATCTTCAGTGATGAGCTCTGATATGGCAGCCAAGACATCGTCCTTTGCAGCAGCGGAGAGGAGAGCTGCAATCTCAATGCCAAGCGCCGACTCAGCTCTTGACATCGCGGTTGCAATCGAGAATACCAGCTGCAACGCACTCTTCAGCAACAGAACATCATTGAGACGTTGCTCCGAGAACTTCATGCTGACTTGGGCAGGCTTAGTCACGAGCACAGCCAAGAGTCTTTCTAGATCATGTTGTCCCTTGACTGCCTTCTGAACGTCAAAAAACAAGGTTTCTTTCTCTGTGAACTCCTTAACAAGCTCCAGTCTGTGCTCAATGATGTCTTTGTTCGTCAATGGTTGTAATATACTGCTGCGAAGTAATCTGTGACCTGCCGCCGTACCAGTCTTCTTTAAGATGCCGAGCAGAGATCGATCGCTCTTTGCCTCAATTGAGTTGGAGATGAGTTCCAAGCTTCGTACTGTGCCCCAGTCCATCAGCATGACTCCGTCCGATGACTGGTACTGGATGCGAAGTGTCTTTGGAGCGAAGACAGTATTGTGTTCGTCCTCAAGATGCTTGATTCCGGCAGCAAAGGCAGCGATACAGAAGAACTTGCCGCTGGTGGCGGTCTTTACAGCTGTGATATCCTGGTCAATGCAGTAATCGGAGAGGTATTCCAACCCTTCCGCTTCAGAGAATAGTCTCCTAGAGATAGCACGTAAGTTGTTGTTGGGCGTGTTCTCCTCGATGATCCGTACGAGCTTGCTCTTGGTAGGACTAAAGGCGGTGGCAGGGGCTAGAATCTCTTGTTAGCCTGGTCATTACTTCGCAATGCTTACTTGTGTAGGCTCGAGCACGCAAAGCTTGTGTATGGTACGGATGAAGCTGTGGTGAGCCAAGCGTCTCGATAGGAAGTCTTACGTCTGCGTATCTGCCACTTCTGTCAAGATGCAAGTGCCAGAGTCCAAGAGGAAGAAAGCCATTCCTACCAAGCGCGATATGCCTGGCATCAGTCTCGAGGACAACGCATGGGTGTAGATACCTCTGCTTTCAACAAGTGCGCAGACGCTGTTAGATGCATGCCCAGCTGTGCGCGGTCGTGAGCGGACCGTTGGAGGACGAGCGGTAGTGTCCATGGCAGAAGAAGCGAGCACCGTGAGTCACTCTGCGGCGTGTGCTGTACAGCTGGAAGAGGGAAGCTCTGGTCTATCTCTCTGCAAGAACTCTGCAAGATGGGCGGGGCGTAAGGGTGGCGAGGACGCTCCAGCTCAGCGACAGACGGAGACGAAGAAGCGTATGCGCACTGATGGATGGCAAGCCTGTTTAGGCAGTAACAGCAAGAGCCAGCGTTGATCCATATGCGTATTTCTAGTATGACTACGGACAGAGGGACAGCCACGCCATTTAACAAGCTTGGTCGAAGGACCTTGACATCCACGCTAGAAAATCAGAGCTCAAGACCACAACTTCGGCGGACACGTTGCTTCCCTCCTGGACGTGAGCTTGTCAAGAAGTACGAGCCGACGTCAGAGAGCATCAGACGAATAGGCCTTGAAGGTCGGACCAGTCTAGTGACTCGGAAGCTGGGACGAGGAGCAGCGGCCAAATTGAGCCGAGGTTGGGTTGCGTCGCCGTTGCCGCCCGAAACTGTCGCGCCCTGCAGCAATGACCCCGGATTTTGTGTATTTAAAGACGGACTCAAGGGAGCACAGCGCTAGCTGCAGCATCATTGCAAGGCCTCACTTCAACCTTCCTGTGCCGACAATCCTAGACTCTGATATGTCTGCAACACGCTTCTTCACCAGCCGCAGTCTGCTCAAAGCACCTGTCGGACGCTTGTCTTCGTGGGTCCATGGAGATGCTGCCACCAGTGAGCTGACCTACAGACCAATGCGAAGCATGTCATCGAAACCACTCAGCAGCAAAACCAGCCTTAGCGAGCCGTGGGAGGACATGAGTGTGGAAGCTGCCATAAGGGCGGCCACAGAGGAAGCGCAAACGGGTGGTTCCCCTCTTCAAGGGGACCGTATCTGACAGCCACGATTGCTATTTTGCACTGCAAGCTTTTCAAGACTGACAACGTATTGCTAAGGACACTGCTCAAACCATCCGATTATCCAGGTCTAGTATCATTCAAGCCTTCATGCTTCAAACGTTCGTAGATGCCGCCAGGCAGCACGGCCGCGATATTCCCAGAGATCCAATTGGGAGGCTGTGAGCAATGTCTTGGGAGATAAGCCAGCCTTGTGCAGAGCCGATTGTACGATTGGGAATCGTTCTTGCGTATCCGTGGGTGTGCGCTTATTACAGAGAGTAATGTGCGCAGTGTGGAAGCGTTGAGCGTCCTGGGCACTGAGAACCCCTTCAAGCTTTTCTTGAACAGCCTCAACTACCTTCTTTAGATCCTGTGAATACAAAGGCAGCAGGATGATGCTTCCACTCTTGTTCATCTTCACGTGCCCAATCGTGAGTGAGAAGGGGCTTCTCAGGAGTGCTCCTTGCGTTAGAACTTCAACTAGGTCCGCCTCGCTCGATGGAGGTATGGCATGGAAAAGCGTCACATGCGCACCGAGTTCGCTTGCCTGCGACGGAAAATGTGCCTTCCGAATGCTTGTAAGCGCCTCTAGTGTAGACGCTTCAAGCCTCAGCGACAGAATACGCGGCCTGATATCGTGGTCTTCTCGCTGCAGAGATTTGTGGTGTTGGAAATCATCTCGTTGATGTACACAGCTGAGTGGTGCATCTACAGCTGTGGGACTATCATTCTCATGAACCTTGATCATACGTGTAGTGGACGAGTCTGCTACATCTCCTCCAGCTCGAGGCCCATGGGCTTCTTTTAGACCACGAGCAGCAGGAGGCCGATTGGCTTTGCTGGCAATGGTGGCCCAAGTCATGGGCTTGAGAAAAGTAAAGCGCTTGAGACGAGCGAGATTGTAAGCGTATGAGACGTTCAGACTCGAGCTCATGATCATGACGTCGCGCGCTAAATCTGTCAACTTTACCGAAGTCCATCTGAAATGATCAGGGGTGCTGCAGACTTGGAGTGCCGGGAGCAGATCCGAGGTCGCTGCTGGCGCTTGGCAGAGGCTGCCGCGAATCGTCACAAGACTACAGGATTCGAGGACAGTATAGGAAAGTCGGGTATTTGAGCAAGATGTCGACTGGCGCGGCTTGTTGATCAGGTCATTCCGCAAACTTGCATGTGAGCTGGGGATCTGGTGCGCTTTCGAATCAATAAGTGATCACATTCGAGCAATAATAGAGCTTTCTCGTGCAGAGGACAGAGGTCCACCTGCACTCAATACATGATCTCATAGAACGCAGTTAGAAGTGAGCTCCAAGAAAAGATGCGCCGAGGCACATCTTCGACCCTCTCGCAGGGTAGCTTCGAGTGGCTTGTATAGTTGGTAGCACATCAAGGTCAAGGCTCGTGCTGCAGCTTCCCATGATGACAGGAGGCATGTATGCTGGATACAGGCCACGGTATTGGATGACAGGGTTGCGGTGTCATCTGAGTGCAGCGGGCTTTGAATTTGTCCGCCGCCCAGTTCGCTCGCTCGCTCGCTCGTTTGCTTGCTCGCTCGCTCTCTTTTTGTTGCTGACAGCTGCACCAGCATCAGCACAACGGACCGCCAACGCTGCACTGAACGGTACCGCGTCGCGCCGCAACAGAGCAGAGCGAGCCGGCAAGATTGCCTTCTATACTAATCATCCGCCAATTTCCACCCCAACAGACCATGAGCGCGCGTCTCTTCTAAAGGTAAGCCTCTTTCACCGCTGCCCTCCACCCGGTGACAGCGGGCCCGAGCGCCGCCTGAAGTCCTTCTCAATTCAACGACTCTCGAGCGCTAAATTGAGAGTGCAGAGGGCCCTGCTAGCTGGCATGAATTATCGTTGCGATGTATGCTGACAAGGTTTAGAAGACGTCCGTTCCGCTTGCCCGCCCACATCACGGGCCTTGGATGTACAAGACACCGCCCTCGGCGAGGTCTTCTTTCCAACAACGGCAAGAGATATTTGACCGCGAGCGCATTGCTCAAGAAGCACAGCTTCGTGCTGATCGCGAGCCCTCGGGCATGGCGACAACGCTCAACTACATTGTCGCGCAAAATAATATTCCGTCCAGCAGCACATCTGCTGCATACAAAGTAGATCAGCAAGGCGCTACGTCAGTAGGAACAACTGCTGATAAAACTGCCAATGTGCGGCATACGCTACCAAAGAATGATCATGACCCGCAAAGCACACCAGCGAGAGGAGTCGCGCCGAGAGCGCCGACCACGGCGGGTGTAGAAACACCGAGCCAACTAGAGCAAAATGTGCAGGAATCGCTTGTACCAGGCCAAATACACAATGACGAGAGCCCGATAGGAGGGGAAACGGATGCGCATAAACAGACTCATGCCACGGGCAGAAATCCCGCTGTGCTGGACATTGCGAATCATCCTCAATCAGAGCTGGTTCTCATGTTGGCCTCCTTACTGGGGAAGATCACCGCATCAAACGACACGTTGCACAATGGGCCAAATGCGATAATGCCACCACGCAGTGGTACGCCCCTCTTGGCCTTTCATGCGCGCAACATTCCCTCAATCTCGATCCAAGCCTACCTGGCCCGCATCCTCAAATACTGCCCAATGTCTAGCGATATCTTTCTTTCGCTGCTCGTTTATTTTGACAGAATGTCCAAGCTGCGCTCAGAAACGTCACTTGGGAAAGATGATGACCCAGCAACAGCAGCAGATCCGCACCCGGCCAATCGAGCATTCACGTCGACGCGTCAGATTATGGGCGTCGAGGGCGCAGATGCGCATCCATTCTCCGTCGACTCCTTCAATGTCCATCGGCTCGTCATCACAGGCATTGTCGTGGCTAGCAAATTCTGCAGTGATGTCTTTTACACAAATTCGCGCTACGCCAAGGTCGGCGGCTTGCCCCTGTCGGAGCTTAATCACCTCGAATTTCAGTTTCTGCTCATGAATGACTTCAGGCTGATGATACCTCTGGAGGAGCTTCAGCGTTATGGAGATCAGCTTCTACACTTCTGGCTCAAGGAATCTGCCTCTGAGACCGGCACTGCCTCCGACACCGTGACGTGAACGGACTTCTGGGGACTCTTTACTACTTAATGATCGTGTCAAAGAGTAGGCGCACCCTGACCATTGATCGTGGTTCCCTCCGATACGTTGAAGGCGGCCTGGGTGCTGCCTTCTCTACTTCCATGCAATAGACCGATAGATTTGTTTGGATGCTTGTGCAAATCGGTTTAGCGTAGCGTTTCTCTTTCTGAGACACGTATTTCAGATACTTGCTTCAGTCATGTCACGCGAATTTGGAGTGCGCTGAGTCAAAGGGGCAGATGGCATACAAGTCAAGCATGGGAAGGAAGAGCAGCATGTCATGCAATGTGTTTGTTGAAGATGAATGTAGGTATAATCGTGCCTTGATCCCGTGGCATGTTTCCAGCGGATACTCATGGTGGCGTCTTCCAGTGTGGGTGTTGTCGTGGTGTTGATTCTACCGTCGAGCAAGCGGAGCTTCTGATCAGTACGAATTTGAAGCAGCGACTTCGGGGCCACTGCTGCTTAACGCAGCCTGCGTGCCTCGCGCTCTGATTCAAGAAGCACAAGGATGTCGTCCTCACGGACGGGGCCCTTGACGTTACGCACGATGGTTCGTGACTGGTCGTCCATGAACTCTACGCGGCATTGGGTCACTTGACCACGGGCACCGGTACGTCCTGTCGGTTTGTTAGTTATGTGTAGACGAGGTCACGATTGAGGTGCAAGTGCATGCTGATGGATTTGCAACAAGATCCGATCGAGAGAGCGCTTAGAGCAGTACTTGATGCGAATACGCCTTCGCATCCTACCCAGCCAAGATCTCTCGTTTCGGCGCACAGCAGCCTGGCACCTCTTTTCAAAATAGTCGCATACCCATCACCTTGATGACTTTCGCCAGCTTCTTCTCTTGCTTGTCCATGATTCGTATGTAGGTTCACTAGTCCTGTGGTGTCTCTTGCTCTCGCTGCTTTCCTTTTCCTCCCAAAATTTTGTTTTCTCGACAGCGCAGTCACATCACAAGGCCTCAGGAAGCACAATCAGTCAAGCGTAGCAGCGCATTGCGCTCCTTCCTGGCCCATGCTTATGCTGGACAACTACAAGGTGAACTCACTGTCCCTCTATGTGGCATCAAACTGCTTTGGAAGCAAGCAGGATTAGCTAGCGTGAGCGGCATGCTGACCCGTCCATCCCCGGTAGACCACGTCTGGCCCCCGAGACAACACACAAGAGTCAGATGCACTCTCTAGCCCTACTGAATTCGCTGACTATGTCTGACCCCAATCAATGTCGTCTCAGCCGTTGAAATTGTCAATAGATGCCGTCGTAAAGTTACGTATGCGCTATCTCGTGCAGCGGGCATCGAGCCAAACCCAGTGTGAGGGCTGCTCGAGTCCAAGGATATACGCATTCCAAATATCTTCCGATTCTACCTCTACCTGCCATTTGCTCCAGCTGCTGACGTCTTTGGTCCCCAGCTGACCTTATAGACGTATGCCCACTGTGCGTCTTGTGCAACCAGTCCGCTAGCATTTGCAACACATATGCTTGAAGACGAGTCAGCAGTATGAACCGAAACGACGATATCGTATGATGCCGAAGACAAAGTCAGAGGTTGTGTCTCCATAGAGTATTAGACGCTCATTGAGGCTAATAGCAAAATGCAGCTCACGATCACGACTTACGGCGCGGACTTGGAATAGACGATCGATATACCCGCCTGCTGCGGCCGTCGACATCACCTGCGGAGCTTCCACGAGGTGTGAACATTAGACTAGACTCACTAGACACCGGCAAAGCAGCCGCCATAACTACACTAATGTGCTGATGATTAGACTCGCAAATAGCAGCTGGCAAACGAGACAAAAGCGGGTCCCGTGGCGTCACTCTGCAACAGGCGAGCGCGGAGTACTACTAGACGGCCTCTGGCCTTGACTCGGAGCAGACTTGGTACTTGCGGGAAGTTTATGTCTCCATCTCGAGCGCGCATCCAAAAAAGTACTCAACGACACACCCGTGACACAACACACCTCCTAAAAGCGGACCTCCCTTCAGCAAGGCGGCAGACGGCACCTGGCACCGAGTAGGTAGACCAGAAAGCTGCCATGGCTGCCGCGATAAATATCAGAGACTGCGATGTCTCTCTGGAGATCGCGCAAGGTCCGCAACGTGCGCGAATGTGCGGTGAGTAGCCTTCCCTTTCCCTCTCGACTCGTTGCGATAATAGGTGTCTCCCCTAATACGGTGCATCAGCCAACTCGTATTCAGTCACAGCAAGAGGCGTCCAACCGTGCCAAGAAGATTGTGCTCGAGAACATCACTAACACACCAGGCTTTGGCGACAAGGACAGGCGGCCCATCACACCCCCACCGTGCGTGAGACTCATCATCAAAGACAGACAGACTGGTGAGCCTGTCGATCTCGCGTGAGTCTCCCAGTGATCCCCCAAGGAACTTGCAATGCTGACGCAATTGCTTCTAGAAAGTTGAATATTGCGTTTTACGTGTTGACTGTTGAGCTCTGGGACGAGCAAATGCAGAGGGAGACGAACCTTGTGATGCATCCGCAGAGCGGTGGTTCAGGAGCACGCGAAAGACGTGCAGCAGAATCCCTTCTCGAAAATGTGGCCTCCTCCGCTCAAGTGCTAAAGAAAGAGCCGGCTTCGAGCTCTTTGCCAGACGCACCGCAGCAACCAGGACGAGTCCAATTGCCACCCTTCTCCCAAATTGGAGATTTGTCTAGGCAAGTATCACCCGCAGTACCGGCACCCATTGCACCTACCGAATCTGTTCGAGGAACAACTACACGCAACTTGATTGGTGCGGTGGTCGCTTCAGCCTTTAAACTGCAAGACACAGAAGACAACCTCGGCATTTGGTTTGTGCTTTCGGACCTCAGTGTCCGCACTGAAGGCGTCTTTCGTCTCAAGTTTAGCTTCTTCAACCTTACAGCTGATCAGGAGAATCTTCTTGACCAAGGCTCCTCAGCCGTGATCTGCACTGGCTTCTCTGAGCCCTTTACAGTCTACTCTGCCAAGAAATTCCCAGGCATGATAGAGTCGACAGAACTCAGTCGTCGCTTTGCGGCACAAGGTGTGAAGCTGGCCGTTCGCGCAGAAACGCGCAAAGCTTAGCTGCGGAAGGTTGCGATGGCCGATCTTAATTGAATTGAGAAATGCGTAGAATGCAAGATAGCGAAGCATAGCGCATGGAGACACTGATTGAAAGAACTGAATTTGACTGTGACCTTACCATCTCCGTGAGGCGACAAGAGTCATCAAATTGAACTCTATGCAAAGGATGGCCGCAACGAGACGGCATGATCGCCCCTTCCAGCCTCAGTGCCTGGTTCATTGATTGCAAGGTCTGTGAATGCTCCTAGCCTTCTGCTGACTAGAAGACTAGGCCGGAGCGTCGCTTGGTCGCATGGCCATAGCAAAGAGATGCTGCGGCCGTCATTTGACCGATTCGCTTTCTAAAGGGCCCTCATCGACTTGCCAGTGAGAAAGCTGAGATGGAACACAAAGGCTACTCTTGTCGCAACGTACTAGCTTAGGCCATCTTTGCTTGAACAGTTAGGCATCATGTCGCTGGTTACCATGGATGTGTGGTACCGGGTAAGAAGATAATACGGGAGGATATGCAAAGTTGCAAATGCACGGAACGGTCAGTGCGATAGGATTCTATACGCGGCATGTTTTGGGGCAACATTGCGCTTTTCATGTTTGCAAGCCAAGTCCGATCGATTCGGTTCGGGCACCGGATCCAAGGCTTTGGCCAAGGAAAAGCAATGCAATTTTTGGATGAGCTCGATCTGCCTGCAGCACACTCAGGCAAGATCAAGTCACTGAAGAGTCGCTGACTCAATGCTGAGACACTCGACAAGGATGGCCAGTGTTGCCACGAGACTGACCTTGTGACTTAAGAAATGACCCCTGAACACTGGCCGGGTGAGCTCACTGGTTGCTGTCGAAGGCTGTTCATTGGCAATGTGCTCACTGCTCAGGGATGGACGACATTGGACGTGAAGAACAGCCTCCCGTCATGATCCGCATGGACCAATGAACATGAAATTAGCAGGATGGATGGGCTCACCAGCCTCACCCTGCTCAGATCGGGTCAGATGGCGCGGATAAAAGCTTGGTCATCTGCCGTTATTTCGATTGGTAGAAAGAAAGTAATAGCCGATGAGGTCAAGTCTAGAACTCGTGGATTGCATCGGCCATGACCAGCTGCGTGCACTCGCAGGCACATGTACGTTGGAATGCCGTCGGTGTCAACAGCGAACGTTCCCCATGCGCACTCTCTAGAGCATAGTAGCATATGCACTGGCAACCAGGAGGTCGGTCAATGGACTCTTCGAGTCAAATTGGGAGCTTCAAAATCTCTGGTGCATCATTTCACGTGCTGCTTTGAATCCGAGCATGCAGCCCCAATTAACCTCTTGGTCGTGGCCTCAGGTAGCGTAGCTCGAAACGATCCGTGGCTCCGAACCTTTGAGCAGTTCAGTAGCCTTTAAGCTGATGGGAAGCCTGAAAAGTACCACCATGGGAGATCACGAGTGTAGTGGAGTAGGAGCCATAGGATAAAGTCTCTCAGTACCATATCGCGAGGTAGCAATGTTGTCTCGGACAAGCATCTGCTAGTGCCAAAACTATTCACAAAGTGAGAATGGGCTCCGAGATGATGAAGGTAGGTCCACAGGGGTGTCCAGGTCGCGCTCTGACATACAGCACAAGGATACTGCAAAAAGACATTTGCGGGATCATTCCATCTGATCATTTGAGGCGGCTAGCCGGCTGATTGGGCAGAGGGTCAGTTCTTGCAGACATGTACACGCAAGATTGCGGACGACGACTCTCGACTCCACTTGTCCAAGGTTCAGCATTGGTGTGGACTCCAATGAGGCAGAGACAAATTCTTTTGTCTTGCTCTTCACACAAAAGCACGACCCAAGACCAATTGACTGAATGTCTGCCCACAACGTGGTGACTTTGGTGAGATCCTTCGTCTTTCGCCGCATTATATGCTCGATTCATGCGTTCGACACGCTCATCTTCGAAACAGCCCCCATGTGGATGCCAGGATCAGCAGCCTGTGAGACGCATTTGTGACAATTGCGCAAATTCGGGTCGTTGTGAACAGTCCATCAGTGTGAACAGTCGCCAAGTTCGTTACCGATGGGGTTTCGTGGGTGCCAGTGAAGTACATGCGCCTGGTCATGCACGGCTCAGGAAATCAGACCGACTGTCTTCAGGACAGCCTCTAAGTGAGCGACTCGGGGCGGCAGATGTTCATTCTCTGATCTGCATGCTTTGGTTGTCACAAAGTTCTCGTCCCCGTTTCTTAGCTCGGTCGGTGGCCAGGCTCTCTTCTCCGCAAGATACGACCTTGTAGGGGTTCCTAGGAGTAGAGGTGAGTGTGCAATGTATTGCGAGAACATTTCAGAGTGCGCTGCAACATTTTACCAGCACAATCAGCATTGAACACGCGTGTCCGGCTTCAGACTCTCGACCATCGGCATAGCTCAGGTGTGCACCCGGATCAAACTTCCGCAGCAGTATTCCAGCGCATCTCCTTGACCTTGCGATGGCCAAAGCGTGTTCATCAATCGTTCTAATGACACGGCTGAAGAGGTCTGAAGGAGTATGCCTAGCGATGCTGTTGACTGCTAACGCTGACAGCTGAGGAGATTGTCCTGTTGTGAGCGTTCATTGACGATTGCTTGATGTGTTTCCATTCTTTGGTGGCAGCGCGATGTTCCTGATCATTTCATGCGAGTGATGCTGCTGGCTATACCGCTCAAGTCAGGTTGAAGCTGTGCTGTCGAGAAGCACGAGATGTGTGAGCGGGCAGGCCATTGCATTCGCCACCCGCAGCCCCATACTTCTTGCTACCAACAACAACATGAGCGACCTCGGGATAGACAGCCCAGCGTGTGCGTTCTGAACCGGTTATTGAAGCGTACAGTAAGCGTATCGCGGCCATAATATTGCTGGTCTTGTCGGCTGACTCCCGCCAAAGGATGGGGAGCGACTTGGACAAGACCATATAATCATCTGCGTGCAGCGGGAGTGGACCTCGTCCATTCCGAAGGATATCTCCTGGTGGTAAGAACGCCTTTCTCTTGTGCAATGCGCTCGGGATGGTCGCTTGTCGGTGTCATGTGCACGACTCAAGTTCTGTGTTACACCTGGAAGCCAATTGATTATTTGAGCGGAGTACTCAGCACGCATCATGGCTGTTTCCACGATGGTGTCATGCTTCTGTGCCTGAAGTGCCTCCTTGCTTCTGGTTGTTGGTACGCAGCGCCAGGTCTGTGTCCTTCATCCTACAAGTCCATGCTATTGCCAGGCAAGTGGCAACGGTGACAAGCCATTACGGAAATGCCACATTGGCGGTGCGCAACTGGCGAATAGCGGGTAAGGTATCTCTTGAATCGACTCGGTGGACTCGCGATCTCGGCCACTTGTTCCTTTGTCCAATTCTCGTCCAGCGCTTTGCATGTGGTCTCAGTCACTCAAGCGCTGGCACTGCAGACTTGTGGGAAGAAGAAAGTCAATCAAGACGTTGTCTTCGAAGAAGCTCAATTCGTGATTGCCGATCTTGAATTGAGCATGACTACGGGCATCAGAGACTCCCCGGCGCAACTTGCTTGATTGCTGCCGGAACTTCGTGTCGGCATCAGCAGCAGAGGCCCAGATAGGATCGATCGAGCGAGACAATCTCTCGCCGGGTAAGAGCCTTCTGCATGCCTATTTTTTCACCTGGGGGTCGATACATACGGATTGCCTCCTCGCGTTAAAATGCGCTGGTCCGCTCTTGCGATGGGTTTGTCTTTTATGCTCAATGCCCGATGTCCGAGCATAACACGATAGGCCTCCAATAAAGCATTGACTAGGACATTGATAGCTTTTCACTGGCAGGTCGGGGACTATCGTTTTCCCATCACAGTGTCCCAGGGTGCCTGGTCTGAACGGGCGCGTGCTTCCATTTTGTAAGGCTATGAGCAGACTGGGATAAGCTTGCTACCGATGACGTGTCCTGCTTGTGTAGGTCTGCGAGATCGATCGTCTTCGGCAAACGATGGGCCGTCGTCAGCTCGATCGATCGCGTATCCAAAGACTTGGTACCGTCGCAGACCAACCTGATCCAACCCAACACAAGGGTCGCGACACCGAGCACGCACAGTGAGGCCAAGTGCGTGCAGGCTACGAGCAACGATTGCCTGTACAAAGGCTCACAGAGGTTCATAGACCGATTGCAAACCTGGAGCGACAAGTTTGAGGGTCAGGCAGCGAACGAGACTATCAAATCGGTCACCATCTGCTCAACTCCAAGCCATGAGGCAGTGTGAGGATGCACATCTCAGTGCGAGCATCTTCGGGTCAGCAAGGCTGCTCGATGTTGAGACCACTGCCATTTCATGGCAGCGAGCATGCATTTGAGATCAGCAGAGCCTTCTAAAACTACTGCACTAGTTAAGAACATGGTAAGAGGTAGGGGGTTTCGTGGCACCAAGTGGCCTCTCTGACTGGCATTGCAGTCTGCTGCAGCGTATCAGCGGAGTTTCTACATCAGGATCTATGGCTCGCTTCATGCACCATATTGGTTCGTAGATGATCTGGTCAAGTACATGCATGGGTCAATAATTTTGCTAAAGAAATGCATCTATCTCGTCCGTTGTCGGGGAGCAGACTTCAAGATATTGTCCACTCGAAGCAGCATCTGTGCTGCTTCTGCGGCACTCGAAACGACAGAGCGCTTCAACTTGTACGCTTCCAGGATGCCCAATTCGCGCATATCCGCGATCTCCCCTTTATCCATATCAAGCCCGTAGCTTGACATGCCGTTGTAGTGAGCTGCCTTGAGCTTCGCAACCAGCTCAGAGCTGTCGAATCCAGCATTGTCCGCAAGAATGGTCGGTAGTTGACGAAGGGCCGTGGCGAATGCTTCGACAGCCAATGCACGCTTGCCAGCTTCCTTTGTCGCGGCACCGTCAACGGCTTTGCTCATGAGCATCTCTGCACAGCCGCCACCCAAGGTAACTTTGCTTTCTGCGACAGTCTGAGACAGAATTGCCAATGCGTCGTGAAGAGATCGCTCAGCTTCATCCAGAATCTGATGCGTAGCTCCACGCAGACAGATGGTGCACGCCTCACCAGCAGCGACTCCGGAAAATTTGATCATCCTGTCTTCGCCAACCAAGACTTCCTCAATCAGATCACAACGACCGAGTTTGACAGACTCTGGATGATCAAAAGTAGACGTGATTTCGCCACCTGTCACTAAAGCAAGACGCTCGATGCCATCAAAGTCGGCATGCTCGATCGACATGATGCCGGCGTCAGCAAACAGTTGCTCGGGCCAATTGTAAATGAGCTGTCGATTGATGAAACAATTGATGCCATGCGCCTTGATCTTCTCCACCTTTGCCTTCATCTTTTCTCGTTCGGCGCGTTCGAGCTCAGCTAGCTTTCCAGTAGAATCAACCTTGACCCGTGCTCCGAAAATCTTGACCTTGTCGTAATCCATCGGCGTGTTTGCAACAAGAATCTTTGCATTCTCGATGCGCTTCGGCTGGTTCGTTCCAATGGTCTTCTCCAGAATGAAGCCTTCGTCCAGAAAGGAATCGTGAAGCTTACCGCCAATCTTCTTGATAATTTGGATAGAGTCGAGATTGGTACTACCCTTCAAGCGCAGGACAGCATCCACAGCAAGGTTGGCGAAGTACTCTTTATCTTGACTCAGAACCTTACTGCTCAGGGTGGTCTTGGCGATGTTGAGCAAATCTGCCCGGAATGCTTTGGGGTCTTTACCGTTGTCTACCGAGGACTTTTCGAGTGCTGTCAGTGCAGCAGTTGCCGCAATGCGATAGCCATCGACAATGGTTTGAGGGTGGATTTTGGCATTGACAAGTTTCTCTGCCTCTCGCAAGAGCTCTGCAGCTAGGACTGTGACACTTGTGGTGCCGTCGCCTACCTCTGAATCTTGCGTGACTGATACGTTCACCAAGACTTTCGCTGCGGCATTATCCAGTGCAATAGATTTGAGAATCGTAGCCCCATCATTGGTCACCATCATCTCACCGGTCGAGGCGGACTGCAGGATCTTGTCCATACCCTTTGGGCCCAAAGTTGACTTGACCAGATCACCCACTGCGATTGCTCCGACGAATGCGGACAGGCGAGCCTGAGATTAGTTGAAGGCATCTCCAAATACAATCACCTTACATTCTCTCCGCGCTCTTGCGACGACTGCTCATTGAAGACGTTCATGCTTGGACTTGCGGTACGAAGGTGTGCTCGCGTCTCGCTGTCTCTGCCGCGCAGATTTTGCAGCGCGTCGAAATTATTTGTTCAGCAGCAGCAGCAGCAGCAGTGGAAAGAGGCCAAGAGGTAAGAGTCTATGTGTACAAGGATGCCCTCCCCTCAGCTCTCCTCCTCTTCGTCGTCCTCTGCCACGTTCACGCTGTCGAAGTAGCCAGGCGGCGCCATCGTGCTCTCCTTCTTCACCACAGATCCAATCTTTGTGATCCATTTCTGCCGCTTGTCCATTTGCGAACGCATGCTTGCGCCCATGCCCACCTTGTTAACTGCCACTCCTTTTTCCCCTGTGATCCGCTTCTTCTTCGCTTTGATGCTGCGCGATCGCTTCAGGAACGCCTGCTCGACCTGCTTATCAAGGTCGTCCAAGATGGTCGTGTATTCGTCCTTGGCCATCTCGTCCGTCGTCAGCTCCATCAGCTTGCGTTTCCGTGCAGCGTTCAGCGTTGATTGCGTTTTGAGCTCCGCTTGTAGCATGCGCAGATTGGCACTAATCTCATCATCCGAGGTCTGATTCCAGTCAATCGGCCGTGACTCGAGCAATCCAATAAAGGACAATTCACCAGCCAGCTTCTCCTCCACCTCTGCATAGTCCATTTTAAAGGGAGCAGCACGCAATTCTTTGTCTTTTTCAGGTTCCTCTTCCGCTGGTCTTTGCGCTGCACCTTCCTCCTTCAGCAGAGCAGAAATCAAGCGTGATGTCAGGGGACCACAGGAAACAGCGTCCGCAAAGACATTGTCATCATTGAGCGCCTCGGCAGATTCCTTTGGCCGTTGTGATACTTCAGCTTTTGGTGGTGGCGTCTCGTCCATCTCGTTCCAGACCTCTGTATAATGCGGCCCTAGCGGTGGGATAATGAATGGACCGAGCTGGTCACCCTTATCTCGAAGCCAGCCCAGGTCTTCCTCTGTGAATGGTCTGAAGTGAGGCTCGATGCTTGTGTAAAATGTAGTAATGGCAATCTGATTGGGCACTTTGCCCTTGGTGTAATCATCTTCAGACGGCTTGCCTGGTAGAAGGGGTGTCAGGTCGACCGTCGGATACGCAGCAACCCCTAGACGTCGTTGCATCTCTGCAATATCACCCGAGTGAGCGGCATGAATGGGTGCAGCTCGATCTTCGCTTGGCAGCATGGCGTCAATCTGACGTTCAGCTGAACCTGGTCGCCGACTCGCTTGGGTTCTGCCTGGACTCGCAGCCTCGCTCTTGATGATGTCTTCGTCAAATTCGTGCCTTGCAGCCGATACAGCTGATCTCTTGCTGTCTGTCTGTGCATCTGCCTCTGCGAGCTCTGCAACGGCAGCCTCAGCTGCCAATCGATCTGCTTTTTCCTTGTCGCGCTTCACTTTTTGCTTGAGGGAGAGGTAGTGCTGCTGTAGAAGCTCTATATCTCGCTTGAGAGCATCGGCACGCGCTTGTGCAGACGCAGCGAGGTCGGCGAGGCTGGCGTTGAGTGCATTCAGCTCTGCGCTCGGCGGTACTGTGGATTGAGCAATCACAGCATTCAGTCCCTCGGGGAGATCCAGCTCCTCCTTGAGATCTGTGAGGATAGGAACACTGATGCGCGTCATGCAGAGGATAACTCGCTGGGCCGTCCTGCCGTGCAAGTCCTGGATGCTGTCTTGTCTATGTTCTCTGCTTTTGTGAGGTCGCGAAGTCATCTGTGGCGCAGCAAGGCACAAGCCACGATCAAAACGCAGTCCCAAGTATTCTCGAAAAAAGAGGGGAGTAGCCTGAGATTGGTGAGAGACGGATACTTCGGACTCTCACAATCTCTCACCTGCTCAGTCCAAGGGAGGACCTGCCTGTCCGAGCTGCTGCTGCTGCTGTCTTGAAAATTGACGCAGTTGCAATTGACTACGTGAATCTTAAAGCAAGACCAGCTACCCTCTCCTCCCTTCACTTAGCAGCTCACTTCAAGCCACGCACCAAGAACCACCTCCTGGACTCATCTACGAATCCCGCAGAATCGAAGCTCGCTCAAATATATCTGATACTCTGTCCAAAGATCAGCTCAGCTCAAAAACACAATGGGCATCACAGAAAAGATCGCAGAGATCGAGGCCGAGATGGCTCGAACTCAAAAGAATAAAGCTACAGAATACCATGTCGGTCTGCTAAGAGGAAAGCTTGCTCGACTTCGAGCTCAGCTGCTAGAGCCACCCAAGGCATCTGCCAAGGGCGAAGGCTTCGAAGTGGTTAAAAGCGGTTCAGCCCGTGCCTGTATGGTGGGCTTCCCTAGTGCTGGAAAATCTAGTTTGCGTAAGCTGAAGCGATTCATGACTGATTCAGAGTTAACAAAAAGTGGCCAAGATTACCAAGACAGAGAGTCAAGTTGCTAGCTACGAATTTACCACTTTGACTGCCATTCCCGGTGTCCTGGAGTACGATGGCGCTGAAATCCAAATCCTTGATCTCCCGGGGATCATTCAAGGAGCTAGTCAAGGCAAGGGTCGCGGAAGGCAGGTCATTGCTGTTGCCAAGACTGCTGACCTCATCCTGATGGTCATGGACGCGGGCAAGCCAGGTCAGCAAAAAGAGCAATTGGAAGCGGAACTGGAGGCAGTGGGTATACGGCTCAATCGCAAGCGTCCAGACATCACCTTCAAAGTCAAGTCAGGCGGCGGTGTCTCATACAACTCTACTGTCAAGCAGACACGAGGCTTTGATGACAAGATGTGCTACAATATCTTGCACGACTACAAGATTCACAATGCAGATGTGCTTCTTCGAGAAGACATCACAGTAGACGACTTTATCGATGTCGTCCTTGGCAACCGCAAGTACATCAGATGCCTATACGTCTACAACAAGATTGATTCCATTTCGCTCGAGACTGTAGACGAATTGGCCCACAGAGATCACGCCGTTGTCATTTCTTGCGCAGCTGAACTCAATCTGGATTACTTGAAGGATCGGATATGGTCAGAGCTTGGTCTTATCCGAGTGTATACAAAGAGAAAGGGGGAGCTGCCAGGATTTGCTGAGGCGTTGATTCTGCGCGAGGGCAGTACTGTCGAGCAGGCCTGCGATAGTATCCATCGAACCCTCGCGGAGCAATTTCGTTACGGGCTGGTCTGGGGCCAGTCCGCCAAGCACAAACCCCAGCGTGTTGGTTTGACTCATGTTCTGGGCGAAGGCGACGTATTGTCTATCATCACCAAGTAGTAGATATCACGCTGAACTATACGATTCGTCTGTTTACCTAAATACGCCGATATGATGCCTTGGCATCTGAAGACGAAAGCACTCCTTGCGAAGTCGCGACAGCCAAGTCTTCTTGTGACAGTCAATTTTGTCGCTCGTTCAATACAGAGCATACTGATGCCTTTCAGTATAATCAGTGTCATGCTACGTACACTTCAGTATGGCTTCTATCTCGCAAGTGCCTCAGTGCTTGCAGTCGGCGCCTGTCTATATGCCTTCCAGCTCAACATAATCTACCCTTCCAATCTACCAAGTGGATCAAGGACGGAAGTAGCTCTGCCAAGTCACTTTGATATGGATAATTTTGAAGAAGTCTGGCTCGATACAGCCGATGGCGAAAAGCTTCATTGCTATGCAATGGTTCATCGTGCTCAAAACTCCACACGGCCTACAGTGATCATGTATCATGCCAATGCGGGCAATATGGGGCATCGGTTGCCCATTGCAAGTGTCTTACACAATAAGATGTCTCTGAATGTGTTCATGCTTTCCTATCGAGGCTACGGCAAATCGACTGGCCAAGCAGCAGAGAAGGGCCTCAAAATCGATGCCGATACAGCAATGGCGTATATCTTGAGTCATCCACAGATGTCAAAGACTCCAATCTTTGTGTATGGTCAGTCTATTGGTGGTGCTGTGTCGATATACGTCACGGCGAAGAATCAGAGCAAGGTTGCTGGGCTGATTCTTGAAAATACTTTCTTGTCCATTGCCTCGCTCATCCCAAGTGTCATGCCCATCGCAAGGCCTATCGCCCGATTTTGCCATCAGAAATGGGCATCCGATGAGTTAATTGATACAATTGAGACGCCAATCTTGTTTCTCAGCGGATTGCAGGACGAAGTTGTGCCGGCTGGGCAGATGAAAGCACTACATGACGCCGCAACCAGAAGCCGGCTTCGAGTGTGGAAGGACTTTCAGGAGGGTACCCACAATGACACTGTTATGCAGTCTGGCTATTTTGAAGCTGTCTTTGAGTTCATCAACAAAGTAGCTCGTTAGATAATGAAATGTGACTGCATCTTTGTCTGACGTACACCGTTTGAGCGTCGCGGGGTGGCTCGACGCGACGACCAAGCTAGGCAAGACAAGGCCAGGGGGAGCTGCAATGAAGGACGTGGCATGAGACGTACCCATTCTGTCAAGTCTTCAGGCCCGGTACGTCGACCGTTGGCTGGTGGAAACGCGGCGCTTGGTTCATTGAATGATTTCGAGGATGTCAGCTTGGATAGCTTGCGTGAGCACAGGCCATCGTTCCGTCGGACAGGAACCGGCTCGTCGGCTGGAAGTGCAGCCACAGGCACCAATGGACAGATGCGCCCGAATGTTGGAAGAGTCGAGAGTCATCTGAGGCAGCAGCCGCTCGTGGTCGACTCAACTGAGTCGTTACCAGGTACATTGAGACACTCCAACACGCTCCCGGAGCAATTTGATATGGAAACACAGTCCTCTCGACTATCATCAGAGTCGATGCCTTCTACTTCACAGGCGCCCGTTGGCCGTCGTATGAAGCGCTCAACGTCTCAATTTTGGATACAAAGGCAAGCGGCGCGTCAAGGCGCAAATGGCTACCACAGCGATGAGAGCATTCCAGATGACATGGAATTGGGCAATATTCCCCTGAGCCCCGCCCTCACTGACCTCGTTCCGCAATCACCGGAAGTGCACCAAGGCCTACCTCGGTCGGCAAGCGCGCAAGATGTGTACATGGCAGCCCTCAATACTGATACACAGCAACTTACGGCTGATTTGTCGGCGCATGCAGAGAAGCTCAGCTTGTACGAAAAGGACAATGTTGATCAGCTCAATATCCACATTGCCAAGAGAACAAAGTCAGAGCGCAAGGCAGCGGCCAAAGCAGTGGTCTCGAACTTGCATCCCGTTGTTGACAAACGCATTGAGACACTCCCGATTTCTCGGGAGAAGGAAGCCTTGCTGACCTGCACACGGCCTACTTTTCTTCCGCCGAAATCGAAGCGCGAAGAGAAGAAACATCTGAGGGAGTATGAAAAGCTGATTCGAGGTTCACTCGAGGTCGATCGCAAAGTGCAACGCAAGAAATACAAGCAAGTGAACAGCAAGGCAAAGCACCTTACGAATTCGGTCGAGCAATGGGACAAGGCCATCCTGCCTCATTTTGACACGGCGATACGGGATCCGCGCACGCGTGCACTGTGGTGGTCAGGTCTACCGAGTAGAGTGCGTGGGCGTGTTTGGGCAACCTGCATCGGGAACGCACTGAGTGTCACACCAGACACATTTCGTGTAGCGTATGAAAAGGCCGTTGCCCTCGAGGCAAGATTGCTTCGGCCCCCGACCGGATCATCAGAGACAGAGGACCAGCTCCTCACGAGCGAACACTTCTTGCAACTCCGGCAATCAATGTATAGCACATTCGCCGAATTGCGCATCTTCCAACCTGGCGGCCCATTACATGAGTGTTTGCTTCAAGTACTGATGGCATACTTGTATTATCGGCAAGATGTAGGGTTCGTGCCTGGTACGAGCTACATTGCTGGTCTGCTCCTGCTCAATCTTACTCCGGCGCAATCGTTCGTGACGCTCGTCAATCTGCTGAACAGGGCATTACCACTAGCCCTCGTTACCCGAGATGAAGCTGTCCTCAACCGATTTCTGGGGACATTCATGATTCGCTTCCAGGAGAAGTTGCCTCGTCTTTATCGTCATCTGCATGAGGAGTTACGGTTATCGCCTGTGCGATACCTCTTGCCAATGCTCTACTCTCTGTTCGCAGAGCAGGCTCCCGTGGATGTCACTTCCCGGATATGGGATATTTACTTCTTTGAGGGTGACTTGTTTCTTATGCGTGTTGCGCTGGCGATTATGGTCCAATTGGAGCATGCACTATATGGAACAGCTGAGGATGTGCTTGCAGTGCTCTCAGGGCAAGGGAAAGAAAGCGAGACGTGGCGCCGGAATTTTGAGAGTGAAGATCAATTTGTGGATGTTGTACAGAGTGTATGGCGAGGTGCGAATAGCTGAGTATCCTTTGACTACTGTATATCTACCCCTCAGTCCTTCAGCTAGAGCTACATGGACAGTTACCGACAGTAGAGCGAGAGCCAAGTCTGCCGCCCATCTCGTCGCAAAAAAGAAAATCTTCAACTTTGAGGCTGACGACCACGGACTGGAGGACTATTGACACCCTTTAACGGCTACGGAGATGGCGGCAGCAGCGCAAGCACCCGTCAAGGATACATCCATCGTCGTAGAGAAACCCATACCCGTCGAGCTGGACATTGGCTTGCTGGCGGCCTTCGATATCAACCCGCTGCCCGATGCGACGGCAGAGACACTCAAGCGAGTCGCTCGCGAGGGCGCACAGCTCCTGGTCAATGGCATTTTATCTTGCCCGATCAACACATCAAAAGACGGTGTGCTCATCAGCCTACCTGAGATTGTGACACGGCTACCACGCGAGAAGCCTGTTCCAGCAGAGAAGGCAGAGTCCAAGTGGGAGAAGTTCGCTCGCATCAAGGGCATCAAGGCAAAACGTCGCGAGGGCAACCTCGTTTTCAATGAAGAGACTGAAGAATGGGTACCGAAATGGGGCTACAAGGGCATCAACAAGGACGCAGAGAATGCTTGGCTCGTTGAGATGGATGACGACAAGTTTGCCAAGAGTGCAGCAGATGGATCAGATCCCCGTGCGGAGATGCGCGCAGAACGCAAAGCCAAGGGACAAGGCAAGAATGAGAAGCAGCGCAAGATGAACGAGGCTGGCGGCCTGTCTTTGTCCAAGATCAGAGCCGTTGCGAGCAGCGGCAAGTCAACAGGCAAGGTTGTCAAGCGCTCTCGGCGCAAGTAGAGGGCATATGACTGGGGTAGGGCAATTCTACATTGTTTAAACACAATAGCATCAAGAGCATCGTTGTAGCGTTGAAGAAGAATCAAGATTTACGAATAGGCCAGATGGACTTGCGCCGGTCAGCCTTGATGCGAGCCTTGTCCTCTGCTGGCATTGGCGTTGGCAGCACGAGAGGCTGATCCGGAATCGCAACAAAGGCGACCTCTTTCTCCAACGATATCGCTTCTATCTCTCCATCACTGCGCAGGCCTTGCCACACGTCGGGTGCTGCAATCAGCTTGCTGAGCACGTTGGCCCCTATGCCCAGATTACTTGAGGAGCAAAAGACGATGCAGAGGTTTGAGATGGTCATCTTGGAAGTCTCAGCCACGGCCTGGACGCGAAAGAGATGCTCACAAAGGCGACGTAGCAGGTAGAACTCGTAGGGTCTTAGCTGACGTAGCAGTGAGCATAGAGTGGTACTCTGATTCGCATTAGTTTCTGCTGCATCACTGGCAATTGCCTGCTCCAGGCGAGATGCCAAAACTTGATTGATAAGACGTTGTGGAAGCTCTCGTAGGTACAGCTTGAAGAGGCTGGCTACGTCGGCAATCTGGAGGCCTGCGATGCTTTCGAGCTGTATGCTACCAGAGATGTCGTAGCTGTGTTGAAGTGATTGAACCATGTGTGTAGAACCTGGAACACGGTACAAGCCCTCTTCGGCGACGTAAGCATCTAGGTAATCGAGTGACTGGCATACAACACCCGGCAACCAATATCTGAACAAGGCTTCCACATCCACACCGTCAGCATCCTGCAAGGGCACCGTACTAGAAAGTCGGGAGCGACAGGTAGCTATGTCAATGGCAACGCCAAAGACGGGCCTGGTTGCAGGCTCATGATGCTGTTGCTCTGGATGCCGTTGCGCTGCCTTGGGACTAGAAGGCGGTTGAGATGGGCGCTCAACAGTATCTCTAAATTCACCTGGCAAATTGGATGCAGCAGCTGCGCCGTTGAGATGCTGGGTAGACTTGCGATCGGACGCGCCTTTCTGTGGTGATTGTACAAGCTGCTTGCCACGCGCCAGGAGCTTTTTGAACATAGATAGACCAGAGTAGAGAATGCTCACGGAGCGCAAGAGGCCCGTTCCGCCGCAGAGGGGAAGCAAGAGGGAGGAGTCAAAAGAGGGCGATGCGACTGTTATGCCGTCGTGCACATGCCTGGTCTCGTTAGGCTGCTGACTGTAGGGATGCAAATGGGCGTGGTGTGAAGCGTGGTCGGCCTTTGCGCGCGTCGTCTTGAAGCCCCAGAGCGCGTGGGCGGTGGCCAGACACAGGCAGTGCGTTACATGAGGGGCCCATGCTCCTGTCTCCTTCTACATGCATGGGCCTTCATCCAGTTACGGTGGCAGAGCTGTTCCATGAAGCGTACAAGCGACTGCAGCAAATGTGACTGCGCGGCCTCCCTGCTGTTCTGGCTCCACACTTGAACCTCCCTCATGACAGCACCCACCTCAAGGCAACTCTCTGTCCAGCTCGCATAGCGCCGTCGCACTGCTTATCAACGAGACTGCTTGATACGCTTCGTCTGATACTGCCGCTTCTGTCTGGGCGGCTGCTTGCGCCATGTCTTTCGCTGTCTGGCAGTACCACTGCGACGGCTTCTGGCAAAGCTACGATCAGCCTACAAGTGACCAAATTGAAGCTGCGCGCCAAGCAAATGTAGACACAGTCGAGCTCACTGAGGGCATCTATAGAGCACCACAGTTCGACTATACCATCTATGAAGTCATGCCTTTCATAATGCTTCAGAGAAACAAGGAGACGGGCACCTGCCGCCCCGTTCGACGCCTTCAGGCAACAATAGACGGTCTCGGCGCTGGTCCAAAAGACTGCCATGCACAAGCTGCAAGTACCACTGACCCGCTAAGAGAGCTTTTTGAACCATTCAAAAGTGATGCGCTGTCGGCAGATGCACAATGCAACATTTGCATCTCTGGCTTCGACGACGAGGAGGCAGCAGCCATCAAGCTGCCCAAATGTCAGGGCCACTGGTATCATGCTGATTGTATTGAAACATGGCTGCGTGAGAAGCAACAGTGTCCTTATTGCAAGCAAATTTACGGAGTACTGAGAGGAAGCTGCCCTGACGGACACTTTGAGATTCGTCATTTGAAGAAGAAGCTGCCAGGATACAATGCAAAGCGTACGGCAGGTACGGTACCGTCTGCTGCTGCCCTCACAAACGCATTGCAATCGCGCAGTGCCGCGATGGATGACGACACGACCATGAGCCAAACAGGTACAAGCGGCAGCGACGCTAGCGATACAACAGGCTCGTACCCTTCATCTGCATCATCCTCTGTGCCTGTATCACCTTCCAAAGGAAGCAAGGCAGAATATTCATCTGGGACATGGATGCTATCGTGGACTATCCCAAGCGGTATTCAGTCTTCTGGTCATCAAAATCCAGGCAAATTTTTCTCTGGCACTTATCGGCAAGCCTATCTGCCAGACACGCCCGCCTTTCGCGACATCCTCAAGATGTTTCAAATAGCCTGGCAACGCAAGCTCATGTTCACTGTGGGCCGCTCTTTGACCCGTGAGGTGGACAATGTGGTCATTTGGGCAGGCATTCATTGCCGCACGGAATGGCATAACCATGGTGGATTCGGTTGGCCTTGCGAGAGCTATGCTCAGACTGTCACGGACGAGTTCAGGCATGTTGGCATCACCCCCGATCAAGAATTGTAACGTTCAATTCTCTCTTTTCACTGCAATGGCCCCTGGTACTTGATCTTTTAGCGTACTCTCCTATCTATGATTTTACAACTTACTTTGTTGAACAAGCATGAATGGCTCTTTACCACGTAATACCGCCGTGACAAGCTCAAGGTCTTGCCTGCTGGTCTTTACACGCTCCTGGAAGTAAGTCTCAATCCCGCCAAGCTGTTCGCGAATGAGGACAAGCGTCTTGCGCATCGTTTCAGAGCGTGAACCAGACCCAATGTTCTGGGTATCAGGCTGAAGATGGAGTGCTGCACCAGCAGGAACCGCCTTTGCCACTTTATCTTCAGCAGACTCTCCACCTGCAGGGGCCCCATTCAACGTGAGACCATATGTCGTCAGTTCGTACTCTCTGCAGATGATTTCATCGTCAACTTGAGCAAGGGCAAGAAGCAGCGCACATATGATGCCCGTCCTGTCCTTACCAGCACTGCAGTGAAGCAGGATACCACGGCGATCCACCACAGTGCCATCTTCCCCGGATTTTAGCAACCGAGCGCGTGACCGAATGACATCTGCAAGAATAGGAATCAGCTTTTGGAGCACACCTGCTGCGTTCAATGCAATAGACTTGTATGCCTTGAGCATGCCTTGTTCGCGCTGTGCTACAGTCGCTTTGCCATCACCAAAGAAGGACGCAAGTCCCTTGGGCGAATAGTCAATCTTTTCAAAGACTGGAATATGTAGCCTGCGTACACCGTAAGGCTGAAGCTGTGCAGAGGCTTCCTCACCCAACTTTTCAAAAGGAACAGAGGAAGCGTCAGGTCCTGCTTTGCCCACTATGCCGTTGCTGATGGCTTCCGGATGGCTGCGCACATCAATGATAAGCGAGACGTGGTTGGAAAGCTGATGCATACCGAGTTGCGTCACATCACTCAGGTCAGCCGATCGGTAGACAAGACCAAGAGGGAAGTTGGCGTAGCCGCCGAGGTCTCGAAAGTTTGGCACACCCTCAACTTTCTTGAAGCGCGGCTCCGGTACGAACGCTTCGCGACGCAGGAAACGAGCTCGAGTTGCGTCTTCCGACAAGTATTTTGCAATAGCTTCCGCAACCGCTGGGTTACGATTGACGCGTTGCGGGTAGCGTGCATCTGGCTGTATGAAGAAGTTATGGTCGGCGTCCTCTTCGAGATGAAGGGTGCAGCGTTCCTTCAGCTCCTCAATGAACATTGCCGAGTCTGACACAGGAACAATAATGTCCCGCGTGCCAAAGACTAGCAGAACATCTGTCGATGATGGTAATGCATCCTTGATACCGGCCATCTCTTGCTTACCCACCGACTGGATTTCAGACAAGAGCGTCCACTTCTTGACAAGAGCGCCGCCTGTGCCGGCACGTTGTGTCTCCCAAAACCCAAGCATACCCGGCTTCAAGGCTGGATTCTTCTTGACCTTTTCAAGAATCAGATGAGCTCGATATCTGCCCGAGCAATTGACCACCGTCGGAATACTGGCATCGCGCTTCGCATATTGCAAGCAAGCGACGCCGCCGCGGGAATGCCCGACGAGGGCAGTGACAATGTATTTTTGTTCGCGGCACCAAGAAATGACAGTAGATAAATCTGTCATGTCGCTCTCTATTGTTCGAGGAATCTCCTTGGTCTCGTCACCGGGCGGCGTTCCGCTGCCAAGCTGATAGCCACAACCACTGAAATCGAATCGTATAGAGACCTGGTCGAGTTTCTCGGCGAGGGCTCTTTGGTAGCAGTAATCGCGATGGCCTGCATGTCCATGGACAATGACAACAATTTGTCTCGAGATGCAGACGGTTGGTGTGTACAAGGAAGCGCCAATTTCCCGTATGTTGGGAAATTGGGGATTGTGAGAAGCGATCACGATGTCCGTGTCCATATTATCTTAGCCTTTTTGTGAGAGAAGAGAGTGCAAGCTGCCTGGAGGCTCTCTTGTCTGACTAGACTCTGTAGATGATCTCGGTGATTGCGGGGTTGCCTTTGGCCGAAACTGGAGAGCTCCTCTTGATGATTCTCTTGAGCAGCAGTGAAAAAAGATATCCAACACAAAAGCCATAATAGATGGTCTCCTTCTGCTGCGACAGCTGCCAAGAGACAGTCAAGAAGCCGTACGTATACGTCGAGTAATCAAGAACCCTGCTGACAGAAATAGCAAGGCCAATCAGCATGCCGGCCGGTGTCGTGGCTCGCTGACCTGTATCGACTGTAGCAAGACCTTCTGGAACGGCGAATGGAGCTCGCACAATAGCTGCATATCCGAGGCACAGGCGTATCAAGGCGCTTTGTACAAGCCGACCAAAAAGGAGCTCAAGCGCAAGCAGCAGGATGACAAGGCCGCCGGCAACCCGGTAGTAGAATCGCTTGCCGTCAATGGGAAAGCTGTCCCAGCAGGTACTAACATTGTCGAAGAAGACAAGAGGGAGAGCAAGTCAAAGAAGCAAAAAACTGCAGCATCTGCGCCTGTGGCCAATGAACAGCTTGCATTGCTTGAGTCTATGCTCTCAGGGGAAGCGGTTACGCTGCATGCGATTCTGAAGAAGCTCAAAGCTAAGAGCAAGGCAGATAAGGACGCAGTTCTAAAGGGCATCACTGTCGTCAAGAATGCCAGTGGCAAGCTCGAATTGCAATGAGCGCTGGCATCAGCATCAGCATCAGCATGTCAATTGTCGACAAGACCAAACTCAAGTGAGGTTACTTCCGCTGGCCCTCTCGCAAGCATTCCCTGTAGATCAACATCGCCTTCATTGTTTGCATTAGCGAGCATCCATACTAGCATCATAGCATTCCCACAGCAGCATATGCATTGAGCAGACCACAGACAGTCGCGCCGTCTGGAATATCCCCGTGCGATCTCGCCCAAATTTGAATGCGACGAAAGAGCACAGATCAGCTGCAACGACTGCATAGAACTGGATCATTGACTCGTGCTGCGTCCATCATGAAGCACGAGCGCAAGGATACGCGCAAGTCATCCGACAAGAGAGGGGACAAAAAAGGCTCAGGCAAATCAGGATCAGGCGGCAAACGCAGCAACACGCAAAGTCTATCAAGAGGAAAACAGATTGCGCGCATCAAGAAGCAGTCCAAGGCCAATCGTATACCAGAGATCAGCTTTGATACGGATGCGCGGCAAGAATTTCTCACCGGCTTCCACAAACGCAAGTTGGAGCGCCGAAGCAAGGCAATCAAGAAGCAAGAGGTCGAGGCGAGACAATCGATGCTCGAGATGCGCGCAGAGCTGAGAGCGCAGCGCAAAAGAGATCTGGAGCAGCGTCTAGAGGCAGCTCGCGCGGATATGGGTCTCCCTGCGGAGAACGGTGTCAGTGAAATCGGTCTGACCGCCGCAGATGATGAGGAGGAATGGAGAGGCTTTGATGACGATGGCGAAGAGAGCAGCAAACGGAGCAAGAAGAAGGCAAGCGTCGGACTATGGCAAGAGGCAGAGTATGAGAACGACGACAAGCTCATCTCGGTGACCATCACGGAAGACATTTGAAGCATTGATTGATTACATGGCATTGAGCGAGCATATTGGCGTAACGCACATATCGTAGGAGAACAGAAAATGGATCGTGGTCCCTGGTTTGACTAGCCTCGTTGCAGGCCATAATTGAAGAGCAGCTGTTTCTGTTTTTGCTTCTTCTTGCCCTTCCCCTGTACCGTCGCTTGTTCGCCACCTTCGCTCAACGATGCCGCCAAAGCAGCATCGCTATCTATATCGGCTTGACTGCCCCAAGTCGGCCCCTTATTGAAGAACTGCGCAGTAGAGATCCTTGGCTTCGCACTCGCAGGCAATTCGGGAAACGCTGTGCTGGAAGGCTTAGCAGGCTGACTACCGCGGACGGGTGTAGTTGTGCCAGAAGGTTGTGCAGAACCAGACGCGCTCCAGGCAGCCCTGGGCGCACCGCCATTGCCACGCACTTGCAAACCTGCCAAACGCTGTGTGACACCCGCAAGGTTGGTGTGGACTGCAGACTTGTTCCCCTTAGGGTTCCAAGCACTCGCTGATGTTGATACGGTCCGCGATGCCCGAGACTTGATGTTGAGCACGCGTTGACCTCCAGTCGTACCAGCACCGATCGGTAGAGGCTGGTCTACACGATTGCGCACTTTCCAATCGTGCCACGCAGTCAGCAATTCTTGCTGCTTGTCAGGCTTGTCCAAGACATCTGCACAGCCAGTAACAATGCCTCCGAGTGAGTCTGCTTCAGCATTCAGCGTCGACCATAGTTGATCAATCAGTTCAGCAGCGGTGATGTTGGTTGATCTGTACTGTGCAACCAGCGTCTTAAATCTCGCCGAGCGTTCATCATCATAGCCTGTGAGCATCTGGACACGTTCAAGCAGTGCTGTATGCTTGGATAGGGTACCTGGAGCCGTGGTCTGAGGCGTCGATGGACGTGCACGTTGATTGACATTGTTCTTGGCCTGCGATTTTGCTCCTGTCTTTTTGTTGACTGCAGGCGGTCCATTACCACGGACATTGGTGATCCTGGATCCGCCACCCAATGCTGGAAAAGCATCGACGAGCGGCTCGTTCCTGACGGACTGCTGCGCCGGCCTTTGTACTTGCATGACGGGCGGTGGTGTTGAGTCGACCGGCTCTGTCAATGCGTAGCCAAAGCCACCGCGCTGTGCAAGGGATTGCTGATACTCAAACTGTCGTTGCAAGGCTTGTTGTTCGCGCGAGAGAGGTGGACCAGCGGAAGTAGAGATAGATGGTAGATCCATCTCACCAGCTCGTCGATTGGGTCCACGCCCACCTCGAGCATTCGGAGGCGGTTGATAGCCTTGAAAGTCTGTTTGGATACGCTTTGCATTCTTGAGTGCCTGTCCGCGCAGGCCTTCAGGATGCGCCTCGAGCTGATGTGCCTTCAGGTCAATCTCTGAGCCAAACACGATGAATTTCTGCGCAAGGCATCCGGCATCAGGGCAGAGGAAGTGATCTCGTCTGAAATGATGATCGAGCTCTTGGTAATTGCGAAAGTAGTTTGCTGAGCGTGGTCCACCTTGTGAGGTCTGGTCGCAAACGTGGCAACGCTCGTGCTTGTCGCGGCAGTGTTTGTACAAATCATCATCGTCAAAGAAGGCTTTTCTGCAGAAGCCACATTCGGGATGACCTTTGAAGCCGTCGTCGTCATGCGTAGCATCCACTGGCCGATCTCCATCCTTGTAATGCCGTTGTAACTCCTTGTTTGAAAAGAGCTGATGCTCATGCGCAAACACCTTCTTGTTCTTGACGCACAAGTCGCACAGCAGTTGCTTGTGTACCTCTTTGATGTGGATCTTCAAGTCCGGCCAGCCGTTGCACGCTACGTCGCAGTGTGCATCAGGGCAGTTGAATCGCAGAAGAATCATCGTCTCTTCCATGATCTCTTCGCTTTCAAAGAAGATGTTCAACTGTGCATCCTTGCAGCACAGGTCCTCTGGCTTGTATGCGTCAAAGTCCTTGGCTGATGGCAGCGTGAAGAGCACCTCCTTGGACTCCGTCTTGCAATACGCGCATGCTAGATTCTTGTAGAGTGCGCGCATTCTTAGCGCACAGATATGGCAGGTCCTGTGGCTGCAAGTCCCTAATGCACTGAACTGGATGGGTTCCGCGCAGATGAAGCATACCTCCGTATCATCGTCAATCTCTGCTCCTACTGATGCAGCTACTGCTTCAGCAGCCGCCATTGCTGCGAGCGATGGGCCCTTCGGCTTTGTGTTGCCTGCTCGTCGCCTGGTCGGCCGTCTCCTATCGCCACTAGCCGTTATCGCCGAGCAGTAGGTCGCGAGCAGATCTAGACGTCAGAGTGCGCTGACCTTGCTGGCTGGTCCTTGAAGGCTGCAGCGGATTTCTTCCACAACTTCAGATGGCAGCACGACTCCAGTAGCTCTATCATTCTGCGCGCTGGTCATGGATGTCCAATTTGCTCCATTAATCATCATGTTACTACCTAGTAGATATCTGCTCGAGTGCCCCTGGCACCTTTAAATATCTCGAAATGGAATGAATATGCAGTCGCCATGAATGAAAGAAAGGTCGTAATCAATGAAAGTAGGACGTAAACAGCGCCTCCTCATGCAAGTGCTCCTTGACAAGATAGTACGCATGAAGCAGAAGCAAGGGGAAGCGCGACATGAAGTATGTCAAAAAGCCTTGCGGTAAAGGTCCAAGCGCCTGCTGCACTTGCTCGGGGAGATCCTGGTAGTGGTGCTTCTTGTTTCGCATCGCACGCAACAGATCCATGATGCTGTGGCCTTTGTACTTGCGATATTTGCCAAGATTCTCCAGAAAATGCCGATCAAGCTTCGATGCCCAATTGTCGCCAACGACTTGCTGAGCAGGCGCCTCGAGGAGTAGCAAGAGAGGAGAAGGCGGATCGCGCTCTTCCAGCTCGAAACGATCAGACACGTCAAGCAAGAAGTTGAGCCGCCGCTCAGCACTCCAAAAGAAGGGATGTTGGAGCACTGTCGCTGCATCTGGGCGATCTCTCGGGTTGGGGAGAATCATTCTCGCAATCAAGTCCTTCGCCAAGAAGCCTAAATCGCCAAGCAGGTCGAGATGTGCCAAATTGGCACGATTCCGTATTATATTGGCCTCGCGCATATACCGATCACCAAAAGGATGCGCACCGCCAGACAAGACGTAGTAAAAGACACAACCAAGAGAAAAGATGTCGATAGCGCGACTCACCTTCCGTGGTTGACCCGTTCCGTTCATCGTTGACCCTGACGTGCTGGAGTCGCGCGGTCCAAGCTCTGACACATCGTCAGTCAGCAGCTCGGGTGCACGCCAGCCAGATGTACCAGCAGCTTGTGCAGTAGTCGCACGGAAGCTCGATTGATCTGCGTCGAGTTTTTTGCATAGGCCAAAGTCGGATATGACCAGTCGTGCGCAGCGATCGTCATTTTTCTGAGGGACAACAGACTTGCGTGGCATGTTGACGAGTATATTTTGCGGCTTCAGGTCGCGGTGCACAATCTTGAGGGAGTGCAGATACTGGATACCGAGAACCATTTGGCGCAGTACACTGACAAGGTCGTGCATGCAATCAGCCAGTGCTTGGAATTCTGTCGGCTTTTCTGTCACTTCTGACAAGGATGCTGCGCATAGCTCCAAGGCGATATATAGGAAACGCTCATTTTGTTGCTTGCAGTAGTAGCGAATGACATTCGGGTGATCATCCGATTCTTGTAGCAGCGCGACTTCGTGAGACGCAATGTCATAGAAGTCGAGGAGCATCCGCTTCACAGCCACGTCACGACCTTCGAAGGAACCTTTGTAGACAATCGTACCATGACTTCCGTACCCAAGAATCTTCTCGGTGACCTGTAGTGCACCAATGGTAAGTACGCCATCGACAGCAACCATGGGCTGCATGGAAATAGACTGGATGACCTTGTCAGACTTTTGGAGTGTCTCATCATCGTTATCGCTGTTAGCGGTTGACTGAGTCTGAGTCTTGCCCTTCTTGCCACCACGGGAGCCGCGTTTCCGCCTAGGTTTCACTGGCGTCTCCACTTGCTCGTTGGTCTTATTGGGCGAAGTTTCCCGAAGCTGAGTGTCTGGCGGAGAAGTGGTCGCCTCAGAAGAATCATCGTTCACAACGGCTACTTCGACTTCGTCTGGAGAAGGTGCAACTTGATCTATAGCGTGCATCGGTGCTCTGTTGTCATCTTGCACTGTCACCTGATCGGCAAAATGAACTTGAGCTCGTGGTGTGTTGAGCTCCGGCGGCGCTCGCGTAGCCAAGTTGAACGGAGGCAAAGATGCGAGTTTGTTTGAGCTCGAACGCGTGTACAGTAAACCAAGAGCAATCATGAGCAGAGAAGAAAGGATGCCAATGAGGACAGAAGCCGACTTGCCAGGCAGAGACGTTTGCAGCGTCGTTTGACCATCGCCAATGAGCCGTTGTTGGTCGGGTGCAGTGCCATCAATGGTGAGCATCTGGCCTGGCACCTTCATCTCTTGTCTCGACACCTTGTTGTGCGAATGAACACCAACAAGGTCATCGTAGCACCCCTTCCCGGCCCCTTCTGACCACTTTGAAGGCGCAGCACTCTTGACAAGTGGGCTCTTGGCGGCAGAGAGTGCAAACCAGTCGCCTTCATTGGTGACGCCAACAAACGTAGCCCCATCTCCGTCGACATAGTTCTCGTGATCCGCTTCGTGGAAGTGAGGATCAAGAGGCTGAGTGACAACGGCAACTCCAGTCAGTTCTCCGGTGAAGCCACGGCTGCGCTCATGCTGATGAAGGACATCGTAGACGCGGACTACAGGCGTCGACATTTCGCGGTACCACAATGCATCATTTGTTTCTGTTTGGTGCGCAATGACGCGGCCGTCGTGCAGAGGTGAGATGTATAGCCCGTCAAATGTAGTTGAATATTGACGGCCCAGATCTCTGTCGACAGTGTTGGGTATCCATTCTGCATAAGTCATGTTCCAGATGACCTCTGCCCCGCGAAAGATGGTGAGGCTGTATGTATTGCGGCCAATCTTGAGTACATTCCGAGCATTTGGATCAATCAGGCGACACTCATCGTCATCGTCAAGCTCGTCAAGGCCGTCACGAGGTGCACATTTAGGAGAACGCGCGGCCGTTTGACTAAAGTCTGTGCCATAGGCTTGAAGGATATTGCCATTGCTTGGATCGATCGAGTACAGCGTTGTTTTACGCTCCCCGACGTAGACCTTGTCATCCCCTGGAATCGTGAAGGGAGAATTTTCAACCAGTTGCTTGATTCCAAATGGAAGTTTCTGGAGGCCATTCGCAGTGCTGAAGACATAGAGGCCGCCATCTTCAATTGGCTCAAGAATCCAGGTCTCGCGATCGTCGTTGAGCAAGGAGTTGGATGTTTGATTGGGATACGCTGATTTGATGGCGCCATTGGCAGAGTCAATCTTCCAACGAGTCTCTCCTGTGGCTCTATCCACAGCATGAAGACTGCCATCCAGCGTCGCGACTACAGCTACATCGGATAGCTGCCAGTCTTTGAGCGGCCGACCCATTGGTCGTTTGGAGTTGGCGCTGATGGCTGCTGCCGGTACCGCGAATCCACCTTGAATCGCTTCTCCTGCGGTCATGCGCACGAGCGAAGTGTCGAGCGCTATGCTAGACGAGCTGAGGCCTTCCTCCTGCGCAGCCAAAGTTGAGCTTGATTGCCAAACGAGAAGCCAGGCGACAAGGGCTTTGCTAAAGATGGAAGTTCGTCCTATCGTCATGGCGAAGATGATGAAGGAAAAGGCGCACTTATAGATGAGAAGTTGGCGGGAGATGATAGCTCCTGGATCGAGAAAAAAAAGGGCGACGGTAAGCAGGGGCTGCGGTCAAGTCAGAGGCCTGATTCGATGTCACCAAAAAAGAAGGGCCGCTGAATATGCAGGAGTCGCAGAAAGGATGCGACTATTCAGGGATGTCGCACCTCCAAAATAACAGAATCAGCTCTGACGATGGCCTCACTCAGCCGTAGACGCCAAGAGAACGGAATGAGCTGGCTGCCTAGCGCAGCAACTTGCGCACGGCCAGATGCGGCTATGGTGGAAAGGGTCTTTGAAGCGACCTCAAGCAACCTGTCGCTGCAGGGAGGGCCTCACCTGCGGTATACAGCACTGAGTCTGGGCCGGGCTAGGGATGCGAAAGCGCGACTGCCCGTTGTCTGTCTGCCTGTGGAATGGATGAGCTGTACTGCTGCTACTGCACTCACTCTGGTTGATGCTGCCCACGTGAGGCTGCTGGAAATTGTTGCGCAACTTCGACCCCTCCGCAGCTGGCTACACACATAAACCCCCGTCCTCCCGCGACAGGAAAGGCCGCTCTGCACGGCACTCTTCGGGCTGCTCATCATCAGGCTCTCGCGCTGTTCTATTATCAAGCTTTATCGGGTCTCGAGAATGGTTATGATCATATAGCGACTCAAGCAAGTCCCCTCTGTTTTGTTTAGCCGCACTGCATATCGTATCTTGCAACCTCCATGACCGACGAAGACGGCAGAATAGAGGCCCAAGAGGCTATCAATACACCGCAAGCTGCTCAGGCTCTATCGCGGCCTACCTCACCACAAGCGCCGCAGCCCGCGCCTTTTACATCACTACGCTCGAGGCGCTTCGATGCATCTGTCCCGCGGCGCAAGACTCTGACGGGCCGCGCGCTCCTGGCACAAGACTCGAGCGACGAAGAGGATGTTCGTCCTTTGTCTGTGCAAATACCATCGAAACCTAGCGAATTTGGCGCGTCGAGGGCGATGTATAACAGAAGGTCTCTGTCGCGCGATATGTTGGATCGCACGTCAGATATAGACATCGCATCGCCTGCTCCTCCCTCTCGATCGATGAGTTTTGCTGAGGTCATGTCGCGTCTCGAGCAGGAAGACGCGCCACGCCCAGAAACGGACACAATGCCACCGCCGACCGTCTCCCTCCATGCTCCCATGTCTCCGGCTCCGAGCACCAATGGAACCTCCTCAATCAATCTTAACAATTCTCACAGGCGCAACTTGAGCTCAAGTTCAGCTGCAGCGCGGCAACTGGCTCGATTGTCTGCTGATTCCCCTCTCTGGTCGCCCGGTGCCAGTATTGAAGACCTTTTCAGTAGTACTGCCTCACGCGACGACCTTGTCTTATCCGATCCGCAAGTGCTGCAGGACTACAAGATTTTGCGCCGACGCCAGGCCATCATTCGTGAGCTCGTCACCACAGAGCTCGCATTTTCCGAGGACATGAATATTGTTGTGCAAGAATTTCAAGAACATGTCGACAGCTGCAGGGGCTTCAGTGCTGCAGATTCGCAGCTCATCTTTGGTTCTGTTGGCCCTGTTGCTGAATTTGCCAATGATTTTAGCTACGAACTTGTAACGGCAGCAAACCCAATTCTATTTGAGGACGGCACAGACATGCCTCGGTGGCAAGAAGCAGATGGCACAACTCGGATAGGCTCTACCTTTGCGAGTTTCCTCGGTCGCTTACAAAAAGTCTACAGCAACTACTGCTCTGGTCATGAACGCGCTGCATCACGCTTGCACGAATTGCAAAAGGATCCCGGCGTCGCTGCGTGGCTCGCAGAACGTCACCCTACAGACCGGGCTAGCTCGTGGGATCTCGCATCTCTCATGATTAAGCCCGTCCAGCGTGTGCTCAAGTACCCTTTGCTCTTGACGACTCTACTCGAAGCAACGCCGAAACATCACGAAGATCATTGGTTCATTGAGCTGGCTCTCAAGGACATGCTCACTGCAGCAGAGATGATCAACAAGATGCAGAAACGGATAAGTCTTGTCGGTTCAGCGGAGCGCAAGGCACCGTTTGATCTTCAATCAGGACTGGCCAAGAGTATTGCACGTAGGGCAGCAAAAGTGAAACAGAGTGCTGGACTCGAGCCTGTTCCTGAAAGCGATTCCGTTTACGACCGACTGCACGAGTCTTTCAAGCTACAGCGGTCACTTCTCCATTCCCTCAGGGCAGAAGTCACTGAATGGCTTCAGGCAATGAGGCAATCGCTTCAATATCATGCTGCATTCGCCGCTGCGCTACATGACTTTGAAACTTGCGATCGACGTACTACTTATGATGGCGCTCCGAGCTGGGGTCGTTATAGAGTTGCCATCAGTGACTTGCAAAGCCGTACGCTCATTGAGCTGACACACGGACTCGAACGCGAAGTTTTTCAACCGCTTTCGCTGATTGAAAAGGCATATGCTTCTCCTGCTGCTGTTATGCGCACTCGCGATGACCAACATCAGGAAGCGCATCGCTTGCGAGTCAAGCTGCTGAGCAGTACAGCACCAGATGCAGAACTCAGCAGGCATTATGAAGGAATTGTCGAGCGATACAACGCACTCAACTCTTCACTCATTTTGGAATTGCCGCAGTTCCTCACTTGTACAAAGCGAGCAGTGAAGTGTGTCATCTACGGGTTGACCAAGATACAGAGTTCATGGTACGGCAGTTGGGTTGAACAGTTGGTATTGCTCTTTGAGCCGGGTGCGGATGTGTTTAGCATACGCGAGCCCTTCAGGGAGCGATTCGCTCTGATTCTCTCTCTGGCAAAGGAGCTATCGCTCACGGCGGGTGCCGATCAACGATACATGGATAGACGGGGAAGCTTCGCACGTACCAGGCCTGTTCCAACGAGCAATTGGCCATCACGTCGCATCAGCATGGTCAACACACAACCTCCGCCGAGCTCCTCTATGGCAAATGCTCGTCTGTCGTCAGATTCCTCGACTGATGCAGCGAGTCTCTCCTCTTTGGGGTACCCTGCAGGTGGCAGCATCAGCGGTTCAGTCTTGGGTCGTGTTCCTAGTGGACAAGCCAGCAGTGTCAGCAGTGTGACAACCACTGGCAACGCGTTGCCTTCTCATGTTCGTTCAGGGAGCATGAACCTAGCACATCCGGGAGGCTCGACTGGACATTTGCCCTATGCCGGTGCTGGCACCGCTGGATCCCGCATGTCCTCTCGCCCAAGCTCAAACCGCAATTCATATGTAAGCGGACACGGCGGAAGCAGTTTGCACAGCGTTCATCCATAGCTTGACATGTAAAGTAAGCCTTAGACTGTGCACGCTGCACAAAGCCTGACACTGCTGGTGCCGGGCTCTATTCAGATGGGACTCTCGGAGGTCGGCCGATTGAACCCCGCAATCAACTTTTATGCAGTTGATCGATCCCCCACGAAAACGACACACAGTATATTGCAGGTTGCACACGAGTTAGTGTTGTATAGTAGAGCATGGTTCTCTTCAAGTCTCCCTATCCTTCCATCACCATCGAGGAAAAGACGGTCCCAGAATTCCTGTGGGACCGGCCATTGCCCGACAGACCCTACGTTACGGATGTGGCTACGGGTCGCGAGCACTCCTTCAAACAGGCACGATCGCTGAGCCAAAGGCTAGGTCAAGGTCTGGTTGAGAAGCTGGGTTGGAAGAAGGGCGAGGTCATGTGCATCTTCTCTGCGAACACAATCGACTTTCCCTGTGTCGTCTCTGGAGTGCTGATGGCCTCTGGTGTCGTCACACCTGCCAACCCTGCGTACCAGGTGCACGAGCTAGTGCATCAACTCAAAGACTCCGGGGCCAGGGCGCTCACTACGCATCCCGACAACTTGGCTATCGCTTTGCCGGCGGCTGATCAAGTGGGCATCCCTCGCAGCAGCGTCTTTGTGATTGAGCCAACGGCCAAGGATGGTATTCAGTCTTGGATGAGCCTGCTTGCATCGAAGGAGATTGGTTTCGAGCGTGTCCGCAAAGACACCAATGTTGAGACGGACCTCGCCTTCCTCGTTTATTCGTCCGGTACTACAGGCTTGGCCAAAGGCGTTATGCTTTCACACCGCAACATTGTATCGAATGTGCAAATGAATGCCGCCGTTGACGGCAAGTACTTCACAGCCGAGACCGTTGTTGGCGCTGTTCTTCCCTTCTATCATGTCTTTGGACTGACGTGCATCATGCAGCTCGGCTTGTACAAACAGGTCAGACTTGTTGTTTTCAAGCACTTTGAGCTCGAGGTCTTCCTGCAAGCTGTGCAAAAGTTTGGAATCAGCTTCATGCACATGGCACCTCCCATGGTGTTGCGTCTCGCGAAGGATGCCATCGTTGACAACTATGACTTGTCGTCCTTGAAAATGATCAACTCGGGAGCCGCTCCTTTGAGTGCGTCCTTGACTAAAGAGGCTTCTGCACGCATCAAGGTGCCTATCAAGCAAGGCTACGGCCTGACTGAGACATCACCTACGAGTAACGCACAGGACTGGGACCATTGGGAGAAGTTCATGGGCTCAGTCGGTCCCATGTGCCCCAATCTCGTCGGTAAGATTGTATCTGAAGATGGCAAGGAACTTGGTCGCAACGAAGATGGAGAGATCTGGTTCAAAGGCCCCAGTATCATGCGCGGCTACTTGAACAACCCCTCTGCGACAAAGAATGCCTTGACGGAAGACGGCTTTTTCAAGACTGGTGATATCGGCCGAATTGATGACCAGGACAATCTCTACATCACCGATCGCCTCAAGGAGCTCATCAAATTCAAAGGCTTTCAAGTGGCGCCGGCAGAGCTCGAGGGCTTGCTATTGACGTACCCAGACATTGCTGATGTCGGCGTCGTCGGCGTATTCGATGAGTCACAGGCGACGGAGCTGCCTCGAGCCTATGTTGTGCTCAAGCCTGGCGTGGAAAAGAGGGCAAGTCACGCCAAGGATATCATTGCTTTTGTTGCGAACAGGGTGGCGAAACACAAGCAGATTCGTGGAGGTTGTTTCATAATCGATCAGATCCCCAAGTCGCCGAGCGGCAAGATTTTGCGTCGCGTGCTCAGAGACAGGAACGATCCGCTCGAAGTAAAGGCTAGATTGTAGGTGGATAATCATTGTAGATGCAGTATAGATGAGAACGCTTGACATGACTCGTTACTTTGGTGCCGCCTTTGGCTTCTCGGGCTCGTCGCCGCAACCGCAATCATACTTTTCGAGGACATTGCCGCAGTCGTATTCGGGTTTGCCAAGCTTCTTGTTGACCTCGTTGTGAATGGAGCAGCCCCACAGAGCGGCTGCTTTCCGACTCGACGTCTGGACTGGCAGTTTTGTGAGCAGTTGTAGGAAATCTTCTGCACATTCGCCACACGGGTATAGCTCGCCAAAGAGTCCCACAAAGGACTTGAGCTTAGCCTTCTCCAGATCAGATGGGGCTTCCGGATAGCGTGCAAGAATGGTGTGCAGGAGGTGCCAGGCTGAACGTCCCAGTGCGGCTCTGGCAGTCTCGTTGGCCATCTTTCCCATGATGGGCGTGGCGGGGACGTGCTGTTTCACTGGCTCGGACGCATCTTCGCCTGCTGTGACACCTGGTGCCTTCATGGTCCCTGCGTTTTGGCCTCCATAGATGGCATCGTCGAGCTTTGCGAGGATGCGGCTGTATCCTACGTCGGGGATTTTGCCGTCTGGAGTCTCCCTGGGGAGCCAGAGGAAAGCAATTGTGAACGCTGCGAAGAAGATGAGGAGCACAAGCGAGATTGGCCGCGTATAGCTCTTCCTCATTCCCATAGCTGTATGAGCGATTGAAGTCGTGCCCTTTATGTTCACTTGAGCCCTCTGCTGATTGAGGTGCTCAGGAGGCGACTCTGCGCAGCAAAAGGGGGCACTTTGATGATTGAGGAGCTTGCAGTGAGAAAGTAGCCTCCAGAGCAATCGGTCTGACTAGAGTCACGGCAACACAAGCATCAGGCTACTTTGGCCCATCTCTGCAGCTCAAGTCAGCAGTGTGGTCGAGTGAAGTGGTCGTGGCCGCTGCTCTGAATTAGGAAACATCACGCACAGACAACGAGCTGCGACATCAGAGCTGACCCCCCAGTGCCGGCTATGGACTCAAAGATCTTCAGGCCGCGTATCCTCGCCATCCTGGAGACAGCCGACCTCGAGACTGTCAGTGCGAAAAAGATCAGGAAAACACTGCAGGAGCGCACCACACAAGATCTGTCAAGTATCAAGGTAAGTGCACGCGGCGACAGCCCAGAATGCTTGCTGATATGCTGCTAGGCCGAGTTGAATGAGCTCATCAAGGAGTGTTTCACATCTGTCACGCAGCCAAGTAGTGAAGACGAGCCTCTGTCTCAAGGCCCGAGACCGCCAAAGAAGCGCAAGGTCAAAGATGAGGATGGCAGCGTGCGCGTCAAGAAGCAAGAGGACGATGGACACTTAGCAGTCAAGCAAGAGGATATGGATCGTCAGCTAGCGGTCTCGCTTCAGTCAAGCTACGGAAACGAGCGACAGGCACGCAGTACAACGACCAAGAAGGGGGTTGCGAAACGAAAGACGCCCAAGAAGCCCAAGGCCAAGTCAAATACGACGGTGGACTCGGACGACGATGGTTCTACAACGAATAAACGGTCTGCCCGCGTCATCTCTGAAAAGCAGAAGTCTGCCATCAAGAGAAATCCCTTCAACAAACTCATGCGCATCTCTCCTGAGCTCCAACGAATTTGCGGTGAACCTTATGTGTCGCGACCGCAAGTCTCGAAACGTATCTGGGTCTACATCAAAGAGCGTAATCTCCAAGACCCAAGTGATAAGCGATACATCAACTGCGACGAGGTATTGCAAGACATACTCAAAAAACCTCGCATACATATGTTCACCATGACCAAAGCGCTGCAGCCTCACATGTGGGATGATGGCACCAATCCGCAGCCTCCCTCGTCAGATGATAACAAGCCGGACATCAAGCCAACCCCAAAACTTGAGTTCAAGACCGAGGGAAGTCACGAGAATGAGGCCCATCTCGAGCACTACCTTTTACAGGAACAGAATGATTATAATGATGGCGAGGAAGAAGACGACAGAGAACACGCTTGGCTATACGAATCAGACGCTGAGGACTGAACATGGCCTCGTAATTTTGGAATGCTTGATTTTTCAATAATTGTACCATCACGCTCGCTCTTTGTTCACAACGGCTTGTTCTGCACGAGCAATGTTTTCTTGTGTGTACTTACCAGGATGTCCCAGTGCAAGCAAGATGACTGCAATAATGACAGGGAAATAATCCAGCATGGCAAACAGGATCTCCGACGTTGCTGCCTTGGAATTGACTCCATCAGCTGATTCTGCCAGACGGAACACTGTTCGCAAAAAGATGAAGAAGGAAGCTGCTAGCAGTAGTAGAATGTGGGAGGGGATGTTCTCTCTACCAGCACGAAGCAGATGGTACTTGGCCCTCGTCGGATTTTGAACAATAACAGTGCCTGTTTCTTCTGACCGAGTGAGCACAGAAGCCATGCTGTTCCAATAAGGTGTAGTGAACGCAAACAGAGAAAGCAGGATGAAGAAGACCAAGAAGGCGGCTGTTTGCACTGCAAGACCTGCAATGACAGCTTTGTTTGCGTTGCTTGGATCCTTGCCGTTACTACTTGCAGCACCGATTCCAGCTGCTCCAGCAACCTGTGCAACAGTGCAGACTACATCGAAAGTAACAAAGACGATGAGAATCTGTTTCGCCTGTTTCGGTGTCCATTTCCCTGTAGACTTGACGAGAGATGACATACATGCGTAGATCGCGGCCGAGTACAGGACCGGAGCGACGACCAGAAAGAAGTAGGACACCACGAACCAGCGGTAGTCGTACACATTGCCAAGGTAAGAGACCATACGGAATGCATAGCCAACCATTTCAAAGATGCATCCTAGAATCACCATTGAAAAGTAGCGCGTACGATAGCGCGCCGTCAGGTACAGATGAACAATCGTCATGATACCAAAAGTCGCGAGCGCAACTGCAGCGAAGCTTAGTGAGGGCGTGTAGCCATAGATGATGATTCTCGCTGAGTACTCTCCGCCCGGATTCGGGCGAGAAGGGTCTCGGTAGCCTTCAGGAAAGTTTTCACTCATGGCAGAGATTCAAGCAGCAAGGATACGTCGTGTGTAGAGTGTAGAGCTATAGAAGTCGTACGCGAAATGGTTAGGCGCTGTGCTTGATATATGCAGAGAAAGCGTATCTGATGTCGTCATGTGCGGTCGCTTAGATTGTTTTGACATGAGGCTGTGGATTCAGTGTGGATGCGCAGTCTGGGCCGGCCCATTCAGGCAAACTAGTCCTTGCCGGTCTCGAAACGCTCATATCTCCGGACGCACGTCAACGATCTTTGAAGTTCGAATCCGACAACACGCATACAGTGACTCGGTGAGTCGGTAAAATGTTCGTTCGGGTGCCTCAGATTGCAACTTGCATAAAAGGCGATACACTCACGAGCTGAAGCAAACTCGCATGGAGGCGTTCAGCTTCTCGAGCAGCTCTGCGGCAGATGCATCGCTACTCTCGCGAAATGCATCCAGCACGCCATCACACTGAGTAGAAAATCCATCTGCAACACCAAGAACGCGTGCTTCGCTCTGTTGAAGACTCTGAATCATTTCGCGCGTTGCGTTCTCGAGGATCTCGTATGCTTCCCTATGTAGAGGCGCCAAAGATTGCTTGAATGATGGCTGTCGAGTCTTACCACGCTTCCTCTTCTGGGAGCCATGATGATCAGTCTCATCACTGCTCTCGCTGCTCTCAACAGTCAAGTCCAATCCTGGAGCATCAGCAGTAGTTGAGACGACTGGCTCAGGCAAAAGACCACGCTGCTGAAGAAGCATGTGTAACTTGTCGGCAGTCGCAGGTACATCTGTACGCGTCGTTGCCGTGGTAGGCAATTTTACTGCTCGGGAGGTGGCACTCGGTGTCGTCGCTTTTCCTGTGCGAAGCAGTCCACCCAAGCGGATAGGCGTACTCTCTGGCTGGTTGAGAGGCACAGTGCGCCTGATGGGAATACTTGTGGTGTTCAGCGCATGTTGAATCTGCCCGATTGTCGACGTAGCTGCTGCTCGGAGCGCACCAGCAGATTGATCGAGCGTCCGAGCTCTGTGGACAACGGTCAATGGAGTCACGTACTGCTGAGCTCGGCCAGGGATGGGCAAAGCCTTCGGCGTACTGGCAATTGTTTGCGCTACTGCCTGATGTCCAGCCACCAACTTTTGAGTGGATCCTTCAACTGCAGTACGTGGAGAAGAGGGTACTTGAGATCTTCGCGTTGAGCTTGGTCCGCCAGCCGCGGCCATGCGAGGTGCGTTTACCTTGGCTGCGAGGTCGGCCACGGCTTGGATAGGCTCTCGCTCGGGCTGAGTAAGTGTTTTATCTTTCAGTGGTCTCACCTCTGCAGATGGGAGCTCGTCTGCATCTTGTAGGGGATCCGAGGATATCATTCGCTGGATGCTCAAACGATCAGTCTGCTTGGTCGGCAGCGGTGACAAAATCTGTTGGGTGTCATCTGCCTTTGCAGAGGGAGACTTCTTCGATAGAGGCGCCTGTTGAGCCTGATCTTGAGCGTCGTCTTCTGGTGGTGCCATTGGAGACATGTCTTGGTCACTAACGTAGCCGACTTCCATTCCAGGAGCATAGGCGTGTTCGTCAACGGAAGCCTGCCTGGATGGATGCTGTTTGACCTGCTCTACAGGTACGACAGGATGCTCTGTCTGGCCTCTTTCAGGTCCTTGCTTTGTCCAGTGCACAATCTCAGGTCGTTTGACGGCATTGTCATTGACAAGATGCTCGATGCGTGGCATGCTCACGGGAGAGGCATGCTTCTTGGATGGTCGGACCAGTCCATCTTCAGAGACATCGTCGCGATTCTTTCGCTTCTTGGTGCTCGATGGGGCTGCTCTGGCTCGCTCACTGCTATCTTGGGCCGGTCGGCTTGACTTTTCACCCCCTGTCGCTTGCTTGGCCCTGGAAGTTTGAGCGCGAGTCTTTTTCAGGCCCGTGATTGGTGTCGCCGGTGCAGGCGCAGCTTGCTGTGGTACAGCATCCTCGTCGACATCAGAATCCTGCTTTTTGCTGGCAGTCTTTTTGGCCGGCGTCTTCTTCTTTGACGCGGCTTTCTTCGTGGCCGGTGCCTTCTTTTTGGCTGCAGCACCACGCTTTGTCTTTGGCTTTTGCATTGGACTTGTGGGCATGTCGTAGTCTGTCTCTGCATCGTCCTCTGCTTCTGGCACCTTGACTTTGAGGCTCTTCCCTGGCTTCTTGAGCTGAGCATTTACCTTCTTCGCTGCAGCCTTGGCAGACGATGGTTGTTTTGCCGGAGGAGGCGAGGGAGAGCTCAATTCACTCGCTTCTGGCTCATCTCGCTGTTTCTTGCCAGGAGTCTTGTATGTCTGTCGTCCTGCCTTACTCTGACTGGTAAGCATTGGCACTGGCTTCTTTGCAGGTTCAAGTTTGACTGGCTCGGGCTGTTTTTGCTGCGAATCGGGTGGCGCTTCAATCTCGCGAGACGGGCCATCATCATCCTCAAGATCATCCGTTGTGGAGCCAGATGCTGGTTTCGCTGGCTCTTGGCTGCTTTGTACTGGACGTCGCGTCAAGGATCGGGCATGCGAGTTGGCCATGGCATCAAACAAGCTATCGACTTCCTTGCTGTTGTGCGGAACAATTCGCGAAGCTGGCTGTTGTACAGGTTGAGCAGGCTGCGAGGCTCTAGTCATTGATGGAGACTTTCCAGCAGATGACCCACTCACAAAGATTGGTGGTGGTGATATGAGTGGGCTTGTCGGCGTTGCTCTGGAGGCTTCTGTTGCAGGTGGCCCCTGAGACTGAGGTTGCTTTTGCATCGACCTTGGCGGTGCAATCTGAAAAACGGGTGCGTCTGAGATGGTCTCATCAGGCGGCGGAGGAGGTGGAGCGGTGAGTACTGACTCGACAGTCTCCACAACGCGTGATTGGGTCACTTCGACTGTATCGACTGTCCCGGGTACTTCTTTGGCCAAAGGCGGGCTGATGACAGAGTTGCCAGGATCTGTTGAATCAGTGGCTTCAACGACTCGCGAGGCTTTGTGTGTCCTTTTTGACTGAACCCTTTGTGTCAGTGATGGCAGTCCGATGACTTCAGTCTCTTGTGTGTTGGCCATTGCAAGCTTTGTTGCCACGATACCCGGGTTTACTTTCGCTGCCGGCAAAGTCATGGGCGAAGGAGAACACTGGACCATCTCGGACAGCTTTTCGCCTCGCTCTTTGGCAGTGAGGGACTGTGCAGACTGTTGACCCACGGGTGGTACCGTAATACTTGCAATAGATGCACGCGCAATGGCTGGTGGCCGCGCTGTACCTGGCAGTTGACGGTCTGCTTCTTTGGCTTGATCGATGCTTGGGAAGCGCAGATGGATGGTCTGTGTGTCTGTACTGTCAAATGTGCTTTTGCTCTTGAGGACAAGCGTGGATCCGAGTAATGTCTTGTTTGCAATCTCCTTAAAGTCGATACAGCAGGTCGACCAACTCTCGTCCATTCTCAAAACAATAACCAAGCATGTTTCTGACATGACTGCTTGGCCTTCGCTGATTTCGCGCTTATCGTCATCATTGATGGACACGTCCTGCAGATCAAGCGTTGCAAGAGCCTTGTTGTGCTTTCGTCGCTCTTCATTCAAGGCCAAGGCCAAAGCGACTGAATCGCTGTGCAAGAACTCTGAGAATTGCTTGCACAGAGATCGACTGAAGAATGCATCACGAAAGAAGTACTTGAGACGCTCTTCCGACTTCTTCTTGGGGATCAGCAAGCGGATGAAGTTGGCAAGGGTTGTGATGTGCGCGAATTCGGGGACAGTCATGAGTGCATCACCCACGTTGAGCCTGCTCGTGTTAGTGGGTGCTCTAATCGATGAAGAGGTAACTTGCAGGCACTTTTGGCCAACGCCTGTTTGCATGACGATTTGCTTGATGTCGGCTTCATTCTCCTGCAGCTTGCTGAGCATGCTGATTGCCTGTCGTTAGGCTTGATTTTGGTCAGTGAGAGAGACTCACGTTAATACGCACATCCCAGGTGGAGTCTTCATCCACAAAGGTACGAAGGAGCAAGTGAACCCACTCGCCGGTCCAGTCAGAGTTCTTCGCCACCGTTGCTGGAGGTTAGCTTGCGACGCACTCATTGAGGGGAATCGACTGACGCTCTCGTGTGAGACACTCGATCCACGACTGCAGGCGCGTTAGTATACTTCGCTTCAGAGGGCGACGCAAGGCTTCGTACCTCGAGCTCGCCATGCAGCTCATTTTTGATCTTGGACTGCTTGAGTCTGCAGACTGTACATCCGAGTAAGGCAAGGATCTTTGGAGGCACGTAGAGACGGTGCTCGACTTGAGGCAACGCGGAGATCAAGGCTGACAGGACTGCATCACTGATGCGCTGCGTCTGTCCATCATGTCGCTTCAAGAATGCCTCGAAGGCCAGGACGACCTTTTGCTGGATCCTACACGCAGTGTTTGTCAGCTTCATGCGCTTATGCATCAGGATTCAGGAGATCGGAGTGCTGGCCAGACAAATAGACTTACTTTGGTTGCCCCTTTTTGGCGCGTGCCTTGTCGTTGAGCGAGGCCCAGGCTGTGAGCTGCTTGAGGTAGTCTGCGAGTCCTGCGATGGCCTGGTTGATGTCGTCTGCCATATCTGGGGCTTCTACGAGGCTATTAAACTGTAGAGGGCATTAGTAGACTAGTAGTATCTAGTATCTAGTATAGCAGAGTACCAGCAGAGTGTCTACTGCAGACCCCCTGAGTACAGCACAGTCACATTTCACCAGCATCAACCCATCAGCCAGACAGTGTACAGATCCATCAGGCCATCAGGTACCTGTGCAGCTGTCCTGCCCTCTTGACCTCTCTTCCCTACAAAGCTCTTGCAGCCATCGTTCCTTCCACGATCCAGCATGACCACACTCCTCAACAGATCACTCGCAGCATCAGCATCAGTCTCGTCCTGCATCAGAGGCAGCAGACATACCATCGGGCTCGCATTCAATAGACCCCTGACTACAAGCAGCAGCAACAGCGGCAGCAGCAGCAACAACAAACCCAAACCCCCAAACTTCCTCGCCTTCTTTGCCATCGGCGCAGCAGGCTTTGCTACCTTTGCCTACGTCTCCAAGCAGCTTGAGCAGCAGCAGCAACGCATAAAGGGCAATCAATTCTCAAAAGCAGGCGTGACACCTACACCCGAAGGACTCAAGGAACAAAAGCAGAGAATGGCACCAGCACTCGCGAAAGGTGGAAAGACGCCTACATTCAGTCAAGATGACACCGTGGTGGTCTTTGTATTGGGCGGGCCTGGCGTAGGGAAAGGCACGCAGTGTGGGTTACTCGTCAAGGAGCGTGGCTTTGTACACTTGTCTGCAGGTGACTTGCTGCGTGCTGAACAGAAGCGCGAAGGTTCAGAGTATGGCGCCATGATTAAGCAGTACATTACAGATGGCCAGATTGTACCGATGGAGGTGACAGTGGCACTCCTAGAAAATGCCATGCACGATGCTATTGCACAAGAAGGGAAGCGCAAGTTCCTCATTGATGGCTTCCCACGCAAGATGGACCAGGCCGTCAAGTTTGAGGAGACGGTGTGCCCTTCACGCTTCACCATCTTCTTTGACTGCTCAGAGGAGACCATGATGAAGCGGCTTCTCAAACGCGGCGAGACATCGGGTCGTGACGACGACAATATTGAAAGTATCCGCAAGCGATTCAGGACATTTGTTGAAACAAGCATGCCTGTTGTGGAGTACTTTGAGAAGCAAGGGAAGGTCTGTCGTATTCAGTGCGAAGACACCGTTGAACAAGTCAGCAAGCAGGTACAAGCGGCTGTTGACTCGCGAGCCAAGTAGACACAAGACCTATTAGACAGGTTGTAGGAAGCATCTTTTTAATCTATACACCACGGAGGACATCTCAGATTAGGCTGTGACGCGTGTTTAGTCTGCATTCTCATCCATTGATCCAACAGAAGCAACCTCGCTCCGTTCAGCTTCCTCTGTCGCATCCTCAGCAGCAACTTCCTCCTCCTCCGGCTCAAAGTTGTTTGCAACAGGCACTTGGGTTTCGCCATTCTCAGCCTGCACATTGTCGACAAGCTCCATGATGCCCTGAAGCGATTCCCGCCACGAGGCAAGTTTTGCACTCACCTCCTCCCACTGCTCATGCTCAAAGACACGCATCGTTGCGCGGTGCACCAGAAAGGTCTCCGAGGTCTGGCTCAGCTTACCTTCCACGACACCGGCTCGAATTGCATCAATCACCCATACTTCCACCTCAGACTCTGCAATATCTAGCGCAGAGGCAATATCTGCATACCGCAGCTTCCTGTTGTTTTGTGCAGCAGCCAGCGAGGCGAGTGTTAGTAGCTTGAATTTGCTTTCGAGCACCTCAGCGTTCAACTCATACTGAGACAACAGAGACTTGTTCTCTTGTAGGAATTGCTTGTACTCTGCACAATTGCCAGTTGTCAAAAGGCTCAGCAGTGCATAGAGTGGCTCGCCCTTCAGTTGCCGTACAGGCGGCAAGACAAGCACATCATTGAGCATCAGCCGGCTTGGCTCATTCAAACAAGCGACCACGGTCTCTGTGGCCAGGGCTTCATCTGCCTCTGCTTGCTGCTCACACGCCTTGACCAAAAAATCAGCCTTATTGGGTGTCGCTTCTGGCTGTTGCTTCGACGCAAGTGCACCGAGCAGCTGGTAAATCTCCTTTGCCTGTTGCGGTGAAGCAGACCACTCTGAGAGCCACCCACCCACTTGCTTCGCTACTTTCGGAAGGAGCGTGTCTTGCAGGCCTTGTGCTTGGCTGAATTGAAGCAGCGCTTTGAATGCATCGAGCTTTGCAGGTTGCGGAACCACATTGAAGACTGTCCACAGGATCTTGTAGACTTGAACAACGCTGTGTGAGCGTGCCTGTGTCAGTGATGAGAGGAGCGTCGGCAGAAGCGTCTGTGGCTCGTCCGCCTGGAGCAGGATATATAGCAACAAGTTGTATGATGGTTCGAAATCTGTAGAAGCATTAGCCGGCGTTCTACACAAGGCATACAGCCATTATTGATAGGGCCTTACCTTTCTCTGCAGCATTGTTTATCGCGCTGCCTGCGTCGACAGCGGCCTTGATGGCTGCCTCCTTGTCGTCTTTTTGCAGGCACGCTTCGATTTGTTCCTGCAACTTGGACTCGCCCTCTGCGATGGAGTCAATGTACTGTGCGAGCTCGTCTATCTGCTCCTCAAAGGAGCCGTCGACCACAAGCATGGCTGTGTCTCTCCCTTCTCTGCTGTTGCTCTTGCTGCGGTTGCTTCTGCTGCAAAATTCTCAGAGAGAGGAGCTCCCACGACACGACCTGCAAACAAGACACACCCAGGACTTGAGCTGGCAACGCGTCCTGGTAAGCGCAAGAGGTCGGCTTGTTGTGGGAGGCGCATAGACTGCGTATAGGGCATTTCTTCTTTTCCTCTATTCTCTTATTTCCCCCGATACAAGAGGGACACATTCAAGCACAAGCGCCGATAGCCGCACTTGAACTCTGTGTCGCCTGCAAAACGCGTCCCTGGCTAGCGCGTCTATGCAGTGAAGTCGAGGCGTCAGAGTAGTAACGAAGGGTGCTCTCTTCATACTTCTGTCTTCCATGGCACAAGAAGGCAGCGATGTCGCAAAGCCGAGACTCTCGTTTGCTAGCTTCTTTAGCGGTACACCCGCTACAGAGCTTGACTTGCCCGTCGCGAAGAGCGAGACAGTCTCGTCGCCTAAACGGGCCGTGTCGCCTTCCACTAACGGACATACTGCGAAGCAAACAACCGCCTCCGTCCGGCATATCGAGGGCGTGACCAAACAACAGCGCGCATCTCCCGCTGCTTCGTCTACACAACCGTCGCCCAGTGCCACACCCAAGGCGAGAATACGGAAAGGCAATTTCAAATGTCTTTATGACCCAGAGTTAGATAAGAAGGCCGCAAAAGGCACAAAAGCAAAACTACGCTACGATGGAGGTGTATGCCATCACTTCTTCGTTTCAAGCACATAGAGGCTAACACAATAGGATGAAGCGACGCCAACAGATCCACGGGCATCGCGCGAATACTGCTACAAAAAGACGCTCGGCAAGCGTAAACTGCGACATGAACTCGTCCGGCTACATTGGTCACACGACCCAGTCCACTCCATCGGACCCGTACCACCTACCGCTATTCTCATCTCTGGCTTATCTCTGCTCACCACCTCCAACGATATTTCTCAACAATTTCGTGGCTTTGGCGAGATTGGCGAGGTGCAGTTCCAAGTGGACCCATATACAGGCGCAGCGCTGGGTTTATGTCGGATATGTTATCGTAAACCAAGATCCAGTACAGGCACGGCACCTGAAGCGGCAGCGCAAAAGGCACTCGATACCATGCAACAAGTGAAAATGGGTGGACAACTCATTTCTGTTGCCTTTGATCAGGATGGATCGTTATGCGAGCGTGAAAAGGAAACCGCCCTCAAAGCTCGCGAAGCGGCCAAACTCGAAGCAGAGGCTGCAGCAGCGAAACGTGAACGTGCTGCGAAACAGGCAGAGCGCGATGTGACGGCTGCTGTACCGCGTGGGCCTAAAGCATTGGTGGTGGCAGAGCAAGAGGCACTTGCAAGAGAAAAGGTAATTGCGGATGCAGCGACTGCCGCGGCTTCAGCAGCGGCGGCAGCGGCCACGGCAGCAGAACTTGAACGAACAAAGCAGGAGGAACGTGAAAGGGAGCGCGAACACGAACGCGAGCGTGAACGAGATCGCGACAGACTTCGGGATAGAGAACGAGAGCGAGAGCGCGACAGGGATCGTGACAGAGACTATCGTTCTCGTCGGGACCGGTCGCGAGACTACGACAGTGGCAGACGAGACCGATCACGGACGAGATCGCGTGACAGACGAAGGGATCGGGACGACAGGTACAGTCGTGGGAGTCGGCGTCGCACACCGTCCAGAGAACGCTCGCGGGAACGTACACGTCGTCCATCGCCAGCACACTCCTCCAGTCGAGCATCCGATACAACACGCCGCATCGATGGCTTGGCATATCTCTACATCTCTGGCGCCGACATTCCGCTCCATCGCGTCTCACCCAAGGATCTCCAGATTCACTTTTCCGGTAGGAAGCACAAGGAAATCTTTTCAGATGCCCGTGGGTTTTACATTACCTTTCGAGATGAAGCGCATGCCGAATCTTGCTTGCGTGCCATGAATCGCTCTTCCTTTCTTGGCTACAGACTGCACATGGATCTACATCGTGCGCGACGAAGTGAGCGAATAAATGGAAACGTGGACAAGCCGTTGAAAATGGGTGGCTTTAAGCGGTCCTTTCAACCCGCTGATCCGGTGGCCATGATGACTGACAAGATCATCAAGGAGCTACAAGAAGTCTTTATGCGCGATTTGAAGAGTCGTATTGCTGGGCCGGCGTTGCTTGAATTTCTCAGTCCAGCACGTCTTGCAGCGCTCGTTGGCCGAAATCAACCACAGACAATCAAGGTTGACCCGACCAAACCACCCTGGCAGCAACAAGTGCCCTCCCCTGTCAAAGCTGAAGTGGTACCGTCGCTCGACTTGCCCGTTGCAAAAGAAGTCAAATCGCTGGCAGATGTCTTGTCTCATATTCCACGTTTCAAGAAGAAGGGTATCGTATCGCAGGCTAAGGATATTGGTCGAATGCGTTTGCCAGAGAAGAAACCAAGTCATCGACAAAGTCAAGGACATCGTCGTTTAGAGCATCGCCACACATTGAGCGACTCGGCTGCATCGAGCTCTGAAGGTGAGTCAGACGAGGATGACGATGAGGAGAAGAGCAACCGACCTTCCTCTGTTGCGCCGAGTTCTGCAGATGTCACTGATGGTGATCGTACGCCTTTGCGCACCATTGGCACGGTCAAGGGTAAAGCGACTCGTCGACCGGCACGGACGCTGCTTGCAGCTGATACAGACGAAGAAGAAATCAAGATTGAGGCACTGCCGACGTCTGATGTGGTGATGCAGGACCGCGCAATGGTTGATTTCACAAGCAGCGAGGAAGAAGAGGATGAGGTAGCCAAGACAACTACAAAGCTGCCTGATGCAACTAAAGACAAGGACGCGCTGGAAAGTGATGTCGAGCCACAGCAGACCATTGTCGCCGCCAAGAAGAAGTCGAAGAAGAAGAAGGTCCCTGATATTGTTCAAGAAGAGATTGTTGAAGAGGAGGAAGAGGCCTCGAGCGAGGACGAAGCACACACGGATCGCCATACTCTCGTTGGAGAGGAAGATGAGGTTGTTTTGGACATCGATGGGATTCAGTCGCTTGTTCAAGACGACGAAGACTTTGGCCTTCTTCGCCAGCTCTTGGAAGATGTCTTGCCGGCTCAAGAAATCATGGATGTTGGGTTGTGGGCCTGGCAACAAAAAGAATTGAAGGCTGCGCATGCAGATGGCGTCAAGGGCGTCACAAAGCAACCCAAGGATACGCCTGGCTACCACTACACGCATGCAACAGGCAGTGCACGGACGGAAGGCTACTACGCCATTCCTGATGTTGAAAAGTCCTTTTACTTGCCAAATCGCAACCGTGCGCTTGCAACAGAGCCCGGTATGGCTGCAGCATCAAGCAGTCGCATGAATCGTGCGAACAATAGGCGGCAGGCTGCTGGCATTGAATTGCAGCGGCAGACATTGGACACACAAACTGATTTGCTCCGCTTCAATGCACTCAAGTCGCGAAAGAAGCATCTCAAGTTCTCGCGTTCTGCGATTCACGACTGGGGCCTGTATGCGCTTGAGGCCATTGAGCGCGGAGACATGGTGATTGAGTATGTGGGCGAGATTATCCGACAGCAGATTGCCAACTTTCGCGAGAAGCGGTATGAGCGGCAAGGAATTGGTTCGTCTTACTTGTTCAGGATTGATGAGGATCTGGTGATTGATGCGACCAAGTGCGGCAACATTGCACGCTTCATCAACCATTCGTGCGATCCTTCGTGTACGGCCAAGATTATCTCTGTGTATGGGCAGAAGAAGATTGTCATCTATGCGCAACGCGACATTGGTGTGGGTGAGGAGATCACGTACGACTACAAGTTCCCGCTGGAGGATGTCAAGATTCCGTGTCTGTGTGGTGCTGCGACGTGCCGCAAGTTCCTGAACTAGGCTCTTGTGGTGTATGGCTTGTTCTTGGGTGTCTGTATTGTAGATAGCAAGGGGTCTCTCTACTGTCCACTGCTTCTTTCTATTTTCTGTATCTTTTCCCCTGACTGCTGCACGTGCTTGAGCTTATTTCGCGTCGAGGAAATAAAATTGGAATAAATATTCAGCAGGAAAGAGAGTTCAAGAGACAGTTGCACAGAAAAGACACCACGACCACCATGGAGCCAGGCTTCGTGTTTGCAGAGACGCCAGAGCAGGCCAAGCAGGGCCCCGTCGAGGAGTGTGGTGTGCGTACCACAAACTACCCGACCATCAAGAATGCCCCCCTGCCAGCGGATGCTTCAGGGTCACACACCTTCAACAACTACCTCATGTTTGCCATCCTCCTCGGTGTTCCGTACTACCTCAAGTACAAGCTCGGCGGTGGCAAGTACACCTGGCTCTTCTTCATTGTTCTCCTCTTTTTGCCCCTTCTGACGGGCTTCTGGTACCTCAACTCTGTTCTGGGTGGTCGGCTCAACTCGAAGGCCAAGTACCCCGGCAAGCCCATTGACACGTACATCAAGTTCAAGAACCCTGAGCTGGCACAGAAGTACGCTGGCTCCAAGATTCCACTTGAGACATTCCAAGAATTGTACATTGCAGGCGAGGTGGACTTCAAGGGCGACGCGCTCGATGTGATGGAATTTAGACACGATTGGTCGAGCTTCCACTTCACCCTCTCTCTCTTCCGCTTCTTCCTCTTTGGTATGATTCCCGAGTTGCTCTGGCACTCGCGCTCGCAGGATGAGGACCAAATCAGGGACAACTACGACCGGGGAGATGACTTTTACGGCTTCTTCCTCGGTCCTCGTATGGTCTACACATCTGGTCTCATTGGTGACATTGAGAAGGAGGAATCCCTCGAGGAGATGCAAGACAACAAGATGCGTGTCATTTGCGAAAAGATTGGCTTGAAGAAGGGTGACAACATGCTTGACATTGGATGTGGTTGGGGTACCTTGTCTGCTTTCGCTTCTCAAAACTATGGTGCAAAAGTGACAGGTGCTACACTGGCACGTACACAGACCAAATGGGGCAATGCAGCACTCAAGGAGCTCGGTTGTACAGACTCACGCATCTTGTGCATGGACTACCGTGATATCCCTAAACCCACGGGCGGTTATGACAAGATCACTTGCGTCGAGATGGCTGAACACGTCGGTATTCGTCGCTTCCCCTCTTTCCTCAACCAAATCAAGGACACGCTGCAGGACGATGGCATCTTTTACATGCAAGTCGCTGGTTTGCGAAAATGCTGGCAGTACGAGGATCTCATCTGGGGTTTGTTTATGAACAAGTACATTTTCCCGGGTGCAGATGCATCGACGCCTCTTGCTTGGTACATCTCGCAACTCGAGTCTGCTGGCTTTGAGGTGGAGTCCGTTGACAATGTGGGTGTTCACTACAGTGCTACCCTTTGGCGTTGGTACCGCAACTGGTTGGCCAACAAGGATAAAGTGCTTGCCAAGTACGGTGATCGCTGGTACCGTATGTGGGTGCTCTTCCTTGCTTGGTCCGTGATTGTCTCTCGGCAGGGTGGTGCGACGTGTTGGCAGATTGTGGCTCGCAAAAACATCAACAGCTTCCACCGCATTGAACGCCAGCCTGTGCAGTATGGATTGAAGATGAAGTCTTCTGTGGAGGAGAAGTGGAGTGGCTTCCCATACGCCAAGAAGTAGTCAACCTCGCGGGAAGAGAGTCAGATAGACAGAGAGTAGAGTTGAATACAAAGTGGCATCGATCCCTGGATGTCGTCCCATCTGAGTCTCCGTCACATGCAACAACACAACTTCCCGTCCAGCTGCCGCTCCCTCTCCGTCATCCGTGTGCAGGAGCTGTCTCGGGGACTATCGACGCTTGAGGACAGTTGGAGATGGATCGCATTCAGAGGCCTACACCGCTGAGGCCCAATGCAAACGCAACACGCACATTAAATGACCAAGAAACCGAATACGCCGGGTCCTCGTCTACCCGTCGCATGCGATCTTCACGCTCCATGGCTGATCTTGGCAGTTTGTCACGCAGCGCTTCTTTCTTGTCCTTCTCAGGGCTTGCAGAGACGTCGTCTGCCTTGTTTGGTATTTTTGAACGAGGCGGCTATGCCTCCCCTGACGATCCTGCTGCAGCTGCCACAGCACCCTCTACGCCAGATATCAGCCCACGCTTACCGGATGGGCGATTTGCCATGGCGAAAGAACAGCGGCCGCATCATACTAGAAAGAGTCCACGACAAAGACAGCAAGCGATCAAGTGTGCCTGCATTTTCGTCGCATCCTTTCTATTCATCACGTATGGGCGCCTTCTACATGATTTTCTTTGGCATGCTAATGGATCTAGTCTCTTCAACAAACTACCCAAGAACAACACATTCTGCAAAGCCATCACGTCGCAAGATGTGCCACGCCTGCCATATGCATTCGCAGCGACCCTTGTTAGCCTACTGGTCCCGTTCCTAGATACCACCCTCAGTGCCACGCAACCACCATCAACAACCCCAAAGAAGGATCGACGACCACTACACTTTAGTTTGCTGGTGCGTTACTTTGCCGGCTTTCTTGGAGTCGCGTATGCAGGAACGAAACTCGACTACAACGATGCAGCCACCTTCAATACGTGTTGTGCCCTCATCACCCTGGGTTATGTGTTTTGGGTGGATGGAACGATCCAGGGATTTGCCATTCTGATGACTCTCACTGCCTTGGGCACAGCGGTCTGGGCTGCAGCGGTCGCATGGATGGCTGCGCGGGGTGCGGATGTGCAGGCGTATGAGAGCTCAGCGGAGCTTGTCTCTGCGTGTGTCTTGATTGGCCTCAATGTGAGTGTCTGGGGCACCATGGGCAAGCTCTGGCAACGTGGAGGATAGCAGATATATTGGAAGACCAAATGATCAGTAGAGGTCAAGGTCAAGGCGTGGTCATGGACACATACGGACGGAAGGAGCCAGGACAGATTGGTCTATGTTCAAGGCTACTTTTTAGAAAGAGAAGCTAGCTGTGACGGCACATCTAGCACTCACCACACTCGATGATGGTAATCTCCTTCGAGGGCTTGCCTGAGCCTGAGCCGTAACCCTCAATGGTCTTGACAACGTCCATACCATCAACAACCTCGCCAAGGACGACGTGCTTGCCGTCCAACCACGAGGTAATCACGGTCGTGATGAAGAACTGGGAGCCGTTGGTGTTGGGTCCAGCATTGGCCATGGAGAGAAGTCCAGGCTTGGTGTGCTTCAGCTGGAAGTTCTCATCGGCAAACTTGTTGCCGTAGATGGACTTGCCGCCCGTGCTGGCTGTTAGTTGAGTTCATTATGAATGTAAGTGATGCATACCCGTTTCGCCTGTCAAAGTCACCGCCCTGGAGCATGAACTGAGGAATGACACGGTGGAAGGGGGAGTCCTTGTAGCCGAAGCCCTTCTCGCCTGTGCAGAGTGCCCTGAAGTTGGCTGCAGTCTTGGGGACCACGTTGTCGTAGAGCTTGAATGTGATGGTACCGATGGGGGAACCGTTTGCTGCTACCTTGAAGAATACTTGTGACATGACGACTTGACTTTGAAGTTGGGATGTGTTGGCAGGGGATTGAGTTGCTTAGGGACTTCTACTTTGTTCGTCACTCGTCAGGGCAGGGTGGCCAATTCTCTCACGGCGAGTGGCAGTCACTATAGCAGCACTGCTCTGATACTACTTCTGCTACTTGCACTACTCCTGCTGCTTAACCTTATACTGCTACTTGTGCTACTTGTACTACCTCAGATAAGATGAGGAAAGAATTTGCTTGAGGCTCCAATCTCTTTCCAGTGCAGTGAAGCATCCACGGCCACCTGAGCTCGTCCCTGGGTGACGTGGCCCATCCATACGTACACCAGCTAGAACCTTCTGTCAAGCTCCAATATAAGATAGACAGCTCCCAAACATCCACCAAGTACTGAAACAACTCCCAGTGCCATGGACGCAGGGCTAGAGACCATCGGCGCACGCTGTAGCTGCTGTAACAAGCAAGACTTTCTCCCCTTCAAGTGCTCCCACTGTGCACTCTCCTTCTGCCTGGACCATGCACGGCAAGATGCTCATACCTGTGCTGCACTATCTACTGTTCCACAGCAATCAAACCAGTCAGATACAAAAACAACAACTGGACCGAGTCTGAAAGCGTTGCAGGCAGAGCATCTGGCGCGTCGGCGTATATCGCCACAACCTGGCAAACAATCTGCTGCCAATGTACAAAACAAGCAGGAAGCGACAGATCGGATACAAGGAGCCTTGAAGGCTCTCAAGACGCGCTTCACGTTGCCCAAAACAGCTACAGCAACACGCACAGCCGAAGAAGCACGAATGCTTGGTGCGTTGAAACGAGAGGCAAAAGGGGATCCTAAATTGCCTGTAGCCCAGCGACGATATGTCTACGTTCAGGGTTCAGGCAAATCAAAGCATGCACGATACGTGTCTGTAGATTGGACATGTGGACGCACACTCGATGAACTTGCAAAAGTCGTGGATATGCAAAATGACAATGCACGCACGACAGATCCAGCGCGCAAGTTGCATCTGCTGCTGGTAGAAGAGGATCTTGTACTAGAGCCTAGTCAGAGCATTGGTGCTCGTCTCAAGCGGGACGGCCTGACTCTTCAAGTGTATCGGGGTATACGGCCACAGCAGCCTTAGTTCACGCATCATGCATTGTATCAGTAATCCTTGTATAGCATCATTTTCAAAACTTGTCTATTGTCTACTGTTGCTTGTTGCCGACCTTCATCGGTGGAGCAAAAGCGCCATATGAGATTTGCAGTGAGCTGATGGCCTTGATGCCTACAATCAGGATGGGCACGAGCAACAAGAGCGCCATGTAACCCATAAAGATGCCCGGCGTGAAGAATTGATAGTGTGAGAAGAGACCACCTGTGCTGTTGCTGTGACTCTTGTATGCAGACAAGTCTGGCACAGCTCGTCGGTAAGTCGCCTTGGACGGTGCAGCAGGCGTCGACACGTAGATGAGGTTATACTGCTGCCTTGGGACAGACGCAATGAGTGAGTGCAAGAACGCATCTGATGGTTAGCCAAACAAAGCTAGATCATGGAAGAGACATACCATGCTCGTTCAAAGCTTCCAAACGTCCTTGCTTCTCTGGGACTGTAGGGAAGGTCACCACCAGCACGCGTGGAATACCATCATCCGTGTACATGGGATGCGACCCATGCCCGGCAGTGATTCGCTCAATCAACGCATTACACTGGCCTGCAATGTGAAGCACAAGTTCCTCTACGTCAACCTCTCCGTGACCATACGGCACCACCAGCTTCGTACCAGCCGACTCAACTGTCTGCTTGAAGAGCGGCGCTGCGTCGTGCGTAAAGTCAGAAGCGTGAATTGAGGGCTGTACTGCAATGATGGTCGTTGGCGCTTCACATGTCAGCGCAGCAAGCACAGACTGCCGGAACGAGCCAGATGAAAGGGTTGAGCCGGTGTGCTGGTTGATTGGGTGCTGAGAGGTGGAAGCAAAAATGTAGGGCGACGTGTCCTGGGATTAGCTGTGCGCTTAATCTATCAGTCTCATACCTCGAATGCGAAGACAGAGGCAAACACGGCGGCCAAGCGCAAGAGCCTCATCGTTGTGGGTTGTCTTGTTGCGTTCAGCTGTCGTCACTTGGGCACTTTTCCAATTTCAGGTTCAGCGACTCTCTCTATACTCATGTCTGCTCTACTCTGCTCTCTGCTCTATTCTCTGACTTCTTCGCTAGCTTAGCTGTGGATGCCGCGTGCTCTCAATCAGGGCTGTCTTCAATGTAAAGCCCGTCACCTGAAATGCGACGAAGCCATCCCCTCTTGCACTCACTGTGTCAAATCGCATCGAGGCTGTCGATATGCTGATCCTGACATGACCAAAGTACAGTTGCCTCTACTAGAAAATCGTCAGCAGCTCCTACTACTGCTCAAAGAATGGGTGGAAGATACATCTCGCATCATGGATCCTGTAGATGACCAGGCCACCTTTGCCCACCACGTCAGTAAGCTGGCCCTGACGAGTGGCCCTGTGCTGTATGCTATTTGCGCCGTTGTCTTGTTTCACCACGGTCGACTCGAGTCTAAAGCAGAACCCACTGATGCTGCACATGAGCTCTACATGGCCGCAGTCACTGGACTGAAGGAGATATTGCACACCGATATTGCAACAGCACTCTTTTGTACAACAATCCTGCGAGTCTATCAAGAATATCAAGGACAGGCAGAATTACAAAGCTCGTTGCATCTCTCAGGTGCCGTTGCTCTACTACATGCTGATCGTATGCGGCTCGAGACAACAGATGCAGCCGTCTTTGCCATCCTGCGACAAGATCTTAGCAGTGCTCTAGCGCGTGGCTCACCATTTGCGTTTCCCTGGCACCAGTACACTTCGCTCGGACCCGGTGCTCAGAGTGATGCAGACCTGGCAAACGATATGTCTCTGCTGCTTGCCCATCGGATTGCAGCCAACACTCCAACGCAAGCAGTCATGGTGGATGAACGCATTGCTAGCTGGCACCGGCGTCTGCCAATCTCCTTCCAACCCATCGAAAAGTGGAAGAGCGAATATGGACGAATTGTCTATCTCCAGTCTTGGCATGCCATAGCCATGTCCACCTTCCATGCTGCTCAGCTGTTGGCTCAGCCAGAAGAATCACATGCATTGCACATCATCAGAACGGCACTCTACTCGTCGCATTTGGGTGTCAAGGTCCATCTATGTGGCATGATGGCACTCTGCAAGCGACATCTCTCACAGAGGCATCATGCCTACGTCGACCAGGTGATTGCCTCGCTCGAGCAGGCCACCGGCTTCCAGGTCCAGATGGGATGACCAGCGAAGCTTCGTTCTCCGAAAATCTCGGATTTGAAAATGTGGGGGCTGACAGCCTGACACACAGTTTCGCTTGTCACCGAGAAAAGATAAAAGGGTGCCTCATCCTCCCTCATGTCTTGTCTAGTCAATCAACTCTAACATGAATGCCATTCGAACGCGCAAAGTCAAAGCTGTTGGCGACATCTCTTCTGTGTTTGGAAGCCTCTCAGGCGTGAACCCCGACTTGTGGAGAGGCTTCGATCAACTCAAGAAGAAGATTGTCTCTGAACACAATGCAGATGCGATGCAGCACGCGTACATCCGCGCAATCGAGGCCTGTAGAGAGCAAGTGAATCAATTGCAGCGCAAGCAACGTATTGGCGAAGCAATTGTGCCAGAAGTCAACTTTGCTGATTTAGCCAGTGGTCAAGTCTCATCACAGACTCGCCAAGCCATCAAGCAAATAGGAACAGTCATTGTCCGCGGTGTGATGCCCGCTGAGGATGCTCGCAACCTCAAGAGGGATCTGCAGTCGTATTGCGTTCGCAACAGGGCTGGCGGCTTCCCACAGAGCAACCCACAAGTCTATGAAGTCTACTGGTCCAAGGCACAAGTCCAAGCGCGGTCACAACCCTCCATGCTCAGAGTCCAAAATTGGCTCAACGGCTTCTGGCATGGACCAAATGACCGCGTGGATACGAGCGTCTCCTTGACTTATGCAGACCGTGCTCGTATCCGCATACCTGGTGACACATCCTTCACACTCTCTCATCACATTGACGGCGGCGGCATTGAGAGATGGCAAGACCCGACCTACAGAAAAGTCTACCAGGCAATTCTGGACGGACGCTGGGAGGAGTATGACAACCTTGATCTGACACACCGCATTGATGCCAACATGAATTTACATGCAGCACCTGGCGGCTGTTCCGTCTTGCGCGGATATCAAGGATGGCTATCGCTGAGCAATAGTGGTCCAGGTGAAGGTTCTCTGCGCATCAACCCATTTCCCAAGGAGGCTGCCGCGTATTGGATGTTGCGGCCCTTCTTCAATGATAAAGGTGAAATGGATCTGGATGACCCAGTATTCCATGGTGCAGTACCTGGCAAGGGCCAGGAAATGAATACATCTCTTCATCCTGCTTTGCAGCTCGACAGCAGTATGCTTGGCATTCCGAAGATGCATCCAGGCGACTACGTGGCTTGGCATGCAGACACTATTCACGCAGTGGATGCAGAGCATCGTGGATCAGAGGATGCAAGTGTGCTCTATATTCCAACAGTGCCCTTGACATTGCCCAACGCACGTTATCTGCAGACGCAGCGAGCAGATTTCCTCACTGGCCTTGCACCAGAGGATTTCCCATCAGGCTCTCGTGAAGAGACATTCCCAGATCGAGCGACAGTGAGGGATCTAGTAGAATTCGGTGGTCTCGCTGGTCTCCAAAGCATGGGCCTTGCTCCACTTACAGGCAAAGACGCACTCGCTCAACAAGCAAATCAAATTCTCTTCTCGTAGCTAGAGCTGTTGTATATTGAATGCTGTTTCAACTTCTAGTAGTTCATCTATCTTGCTCATTTCTCTTGGCTCAGTGTGCAGCCAACTGCATCACTCCATCCTCATTGCGCTCCATCGTACCGAATAGGCCCATGATGTCTCGCAACGACAGCCTCGGCACACGACCGCCACCTTCAGCCTCACCCAATACCGTACCAGCCGTCTTGAGTTTGGCCTCTTGCAACGCAACAATACGTTCCTCTACAGTGCCAGGGATGAAGAATCGTTGAACAAAGACTTCCTTGTTTTGTCCCAATCGGTGGCAGCGTGCAATGGCTTGATGCTCAACTGCTGCATTCCACCAGAAGTCGATAAGGATGACTGATTTGTTAGCATGTAATTGGTCGTTGAAGGATCTTACCCTTGTTTGCGCAGACCAAGTTGAGACCAACACCACCAGCTTTCAAACTCATCAGCAGGATGCGAGGGCCATCAGGGTCTTCGAATTCGCGCAATGCAGCTTCACGCTGCCTGACAGACATATCGCCCTGGTAGCGCAGGCTAGGCCAATCGTTGAGATCGCACACCTTCTCAAGCAAGTCGATTGCCCTGACAAACTGAGAAAAGATGATGATTTTGTCGTCATTCTGCTGTATGTACAGCTCGAGCTGAGCCTCAATGGCAGTCATCTTAGTAGACGGCAGGAACTCCAGCTTCATAATTTCCTCCCACGAACGAGCTTCTCGCTCACGCTCCTCCTTTGACGGTGGCAGCAACTGTGCTCGGCGTTCAGGGTCGCAATCATCTGGATCAGGCATGACGGCCTCGACAAGCTGCTTCGGGTCTACCGGTGGACAACCAATACGGTCATCCATGCCAGGGATAATTCGCGGCTTCCGTTGCATTGCCTCAAGTAACTTGACATCTTTGTCCGTCATGAATTTAACATCCTTGACATCTTGCTTGATATCCATTCCACCAGCTTTCCTGGGCGAGCTATGAGCTTCGGGCGTAGACTTGAGATCTGCCTTTTGCTCGGGCTTAACAGCTGAGTGGGCAGCAGACGAAGAGGCGCGGAAGAGTTGTCCTAAATCAGTCATTTCAGTGTCAGACAGGTCGGAATCGACATCAAGCTTTGGCACTGCCCTACGCTTGAGTGGTGTCACTGCATCGTCGGAGGCGTATGGGCCAGCCTTTGGCTTTAAAGGCGTATTGACCGTGGTCTTCCGAGGAGACTGATATTTCTTTGGCGTTAAAGCAGGCCTCATAGCAATAGTCTTGTCATCATTAACGTCATCAATGGTTTGTGCAGCAGTGTGCTTCGTCTCGTCATAATTGACGAGCTTGCCGAGTGTCTTTGAGCAAACCGGACACAAACTCTCCTCATCCACAATATCTTCCGTATCCTCGACACACACCAGGCAAAAGACGTGACCACAGCCTGTTGCAAATTGAGGCTCCTGTGGGTCGACGTGACAAATACCGCACATGACGGTGTCCTCGTCAACACCGGCAAAGGCAAGTCCTCGAGCAACTTGCTCAGCCATCGTCCCTGCAGTTCGCGATGCACCTGGGTTGTATGCGGCATCCAAAAAGTCATCCTCGTTGAAATCGCCCCGTGCAGACAAGTGCTCGAGAATGAGGAAGGGATGGATGCACAATTGACGCAAACGCAGCAACATGATGAGGAAATGGTTGATTTGCTTGACAGCTGTGCCCTCGACCAAGGCACGATTGACTTCGCAACGCATAGAATTCTCGACCTCCGAGTACAATTTTCGCTCATCCTCACTAAAGACCAGGGCCGGCATTTCCACATGCTTGGTTGGCAGACTCAAGATGGGACGATCGCCAATCTTGTCATTCTCTGTGCGGCGCATCAAGTATGGGGCGAGGGTGACACGTAGCCTAGCAGGTCCTACGCGCGCTGACACACCCTTCAAGAACTTCTCTCTGAAGGAAGCGCGGATGCAAACATTTGGAACGCGCAACACTCGGAAGATGGGATAAATATCCTCGAGCTTGTTTTGCAATGGTGTACCTGTCAAGCACCAGTTGCGCTGTGCGCCCAAGTTACTAGCAGCGAGCGACACATTTGAACCTGGATTCTTGATCGTGTGTGCCTCATCCAAAATCAATCGCAGCCATTTGATGCGGAAGAGGTTGCCCTTTTGACGCTCAATGCGCTCCTGATCAGCCTCAATTTCGTCCTGACTCGGGCGCTTGTTCCATTTCTTGAGTGGATATTCGCGAGCCATTGTGCCATAAGAAGTGATGATGACATCGAAAGACTTGAACTCATTGAGCGTACGCATCTTGGTAGCACCATGGTGCACACCCACCTTGAACAGACCGGGAGCCTTGGTCTCAATCTCGCGCTTCCATTGGTGGATGAGAGCAACGGGACAAATGATGAGAGTAGCGCGACGCTTGGTTTCTGCGCGCAATGCTGGATTGAGCTTAGGATGGTTGTGGACCATGGTCGCAATACATTGCACCGTCTTGCCCAGACCCATCGCATCAGCCAACAATCCACCACGAACACGATTGGGTCGCATGTCATTGTCCTTCATTTCGTGCTTATCCTCACGGCGAACCATGAAATCCACGCCGATAACTTGATGTGGCAACAAGTCACAGTTGCGAAGACCCTCGAGCTTGTACTTGTGACCTGCTGTTGCTTCAAGCTTGAGACGTTCAGCAGCAGCTCGAACACCCTCATCCGTATCACCAACAAATTCATCACCTTCAAGATCATTGAGGAATGCGTTGAAGTCCTCTGGTGTTTCATTCAAGGGTAAAGCACCGCCACGACTGCGCGTAGCCCAAGGTTCTAATTCCATGTCAGCCATGCCAGCAGGAAGACCAGGGAACACAACAGGCAACGGCGGGGGCGCTGGCCGTTGCACAGCTGGTCTAAAGAGGTGTGGGAACCAAGTCAACGCCATAGCACGTTTCGAGCCGAGTGTACCGGTCAAGAAGGAGTTGATGTAGTCGGAACCCAGCGCTGCAAGAGCTGGTGCTGTAATCTGATGAGCGAATCGCGCCAAATTCTGCTTTGCCTCTTCGTGCAGGACAGCATTGGCCGTTGTGGCATTGACACGAAGCGCGCCCTGAGCTGCATCATAGGCGAGATGCAATTCACTGTTGAATTTTTTGATGGCAGCGATCGCGTTGCGCTCATCTTTGATGCGATCCAAGCGTCGCATAGCCTGAGCTAGCAGTTCGTCTGTGGGCTGTACGGCGACGGCGCGCAAGACCACGTCAGGCAGTTGCAGGAAGGTCGTAAGCTCGTGGTCGCGCGTGTTGATGACAAACGAGTTGAACAGACATTTTGGTCGCCCATCGGGAGCCATGAGATCCAATCGGTGTCGTACATTGGCTTGCGGCTTCATATTCTTCTTGTAGCGTTCGATGAGGAGGCGAAAGCATTTTGTGGCTTTATCAATCGAAACCGCATCCTTCGTCAAGAGGAAGCTGACTTCTTTAACCAGCTGACGTGTAGCAGCTTCTTGGTCCAATGTGGGAGTAGCAAGATTGGGTCTGACAGGGGCCGCAGCAGTCGGTGTCGAAGCCGGGGCAGCAGGCGGGGCAGGGCGAGGAGCGATAGCAGGTTGACTCTTGGAAGGGGTGTTGGCTGCAGCAGGAACGGCTCCGTCTGCGGCTTGATGAGCAGCTGGCGTCGCCTTGAGTGTCTGCCTCTGAAAAATTGGAGCGAGCTTTATAGCAGGCGTCTTTGCTGAGGAAGCCTTGCTCGGCGATTCTGGCTTCACGTCCTGATGCAACGGCGTCTGTGGGCCCCTCTTGAAGACATTATCAAGTGTCTGCTTGACGAATTCCCTGAAAGCATCCGGGGTGCCCGTGTACAAGCAGGTCTTGAGTGTTGGCTCGTCCATTGTCTCGTCAATCAAATCTTCGATCGCCTTGAGAGCGCCTTTGCTGGACCAGGATTGGAAGATAGCGACATTATCTGGCAAGTTGGTAGCAATCAGCTGGTGAATGAGGTCTTTGCGCACCGGGGTCGGATCCTTAATCTCGCCCATCTTGTCGCGAACATAGTCGATGATCCAGTTGTGATCAAACTCGCTGTATTCCGTCATGGTGTAGCTGAACTTGCGGTCAAAGAGTCGCTTCCTGTGCACCTCGAGCGCGTCTATTTTGTGCTTCAGGATTTCCTCCAGGTTGCGCTGGCCGAGGATCGTATATGCGCGCTGCGTTGCGTGGAATTGAACCACCTTGTACGACCAGTAGCGCGCCCATAGCTGTTTCCTCGCGTTTCTCTCTTCTAGCGGCAAGCCAGACGTGTCCTGAACGGCAAGAGCGCCGCTGTTTCCGCGCGATAATGCATAATGAGGCGCGTCTTCAGTCAAATCAATGACAGTAGCTGGCCGCTTGACAGAAGCAGGAGTGCCGCTGCTGCTGAGAGGCCGCTTGGTAGCGGAGGACATTACTGAGTCCCGCCGGAGCGTCCAGGGTCCCGGGGCCTATGGCCAGAGTTAATTGAGCTTGTGTACAGTAGACGTGTTGTGTTTTCTCTCCTGGCTGCGAATTTGAATTTTGTGCTCAGCAGCCAGCAGCAGCGATGGCAACGACCCATGGCCAACAAGCAGCAGCAGCAGCAGACCCTCCCTGCCTCGCGCTTCGACCTCGCCACCTATGCAGGCAGGGTGCAGCACATCCTGCAGGTCACCGATGTGCGCACTCTCCTGACATCCTCCGCCCAGCTGCAAGATGCCCGTGCTACTATAAATCGCTTCCACCAGGGCCAACTACCTCTGTCTGAGAGTGTCTGGCAAGCTAAAAAAATACTCGATGCTACAGTCCACCCAGATACGGGCGAGCCTATCTTCTTGCCCTTCCGCATGTCCTGCTTTGTCCTGACAAATCTCGTCGTGACAACTGCCATGCTCACGCCAAATCTGAAAACTCGCGGTATCCTCTTTACCCAGGGCCTAAATCAGAGTGTCAATGTTGCCTTCAACTACAGCAACAGCAACAAGTCGAGCCCGCTGAGCAATATGCAGCTGCTTGTTTCCTACTTGACTGCTACAGCGGCCAGTTGTACAGTTGCTGTGGGCCTCAACAAGGCCACAGCCTTCATTGCCGACGCCAATAGACGAAGGGTCGCTGGCCGACTCGTGCCGTTCGTTGCGGTCGCAGCGGCTGGTGTCCTCAACGTCTTTCTCATGCGGTCCACTGAAATTACCAATGGCATCGATGTCTTCACCCCAGAGGGCGAGCTGGTGGGTAAGTCTAGTCGAGCAGCCGTCGTGGCTATTGGCGAAACAGCAGCGTCGCGAGTCATGAATGCCTCGCCCATCATGGTTCTACCACCGCTACTATTACTTGCACTCCAGCGACCAGGACGTCTCTTGAGTAGACGGCCCAGTTTAATGCTGCCAGTCAATCTGCTCAGCATTTTCGCCACGAGTATTGTGGCACTGCCCCTGGCCATCGCCGTATTCCCACAGCGCGAGACCATGCCTGTTGCCAAGCTCGAATCTGCCTTGCAGACCAAAGCGGGTCACGCACGGGTCGTCGAGTTCAATAGAGGCATGTAGAATAAGAATGTAGATGCATGACTGTAAAGTGTAAATCTAGACAACCTCGGTATGCTCGCTGACAACCTGCTCCAGCAACTCCTCGACCTCCTCGTTCTCCTCTTGGCCCAAGAGTCGCTCCGACCAATGTGGCTTGCCCAGCTTTTTCCGCTCCTCGGCAACCTGTTGCTTGATACCCTCGCGCCAGCTCTGATACTCTTGCAACAGCCTGCGTCGCTCCTCTTGTTGCTCCCTCGCTGCGGTATTTTGCTCCAAATTATCCTCCTCATCAAAGATCTTTGAGTAGTCGCGCAGCTTCTTGCGAATCTCTTTTTGCTCCTGCTTCGAGAGATACGTGGGTGGACGAGGTCGCCAGATGATTTGCTTGAAGTTATCAAGACGCTCCTCACGAATCTGCTGCCCCTTGAAGTCCCAAATGGTGTAGCCATTCTCCATCTTGTGCTTCCAAACACTCGACGAGGTGACCACATAGCGACCAGACGGGTCCCATTGCAAGTCAGTCACACCGTAGTGCTCAGCTGTTGCCAAACACTGCAAGTTGGCGGCAAAGTCACGCTCGTCATCCTTCTTGTCTCCCTCAAAGTCAACATCCCAGAACTCAAGGTCGAATGTGGTGGAGGAGCCCAAGGTAGCAGCAACGAGGAAACGACCCTTCGGTGCCCAGTGAAGCGTGTTGACTGTTTTGCGGTCGACGGAGCGAACGAGCTTAAAGTTGGCCTCTGCGCGTGCTTTGCTGCTTTCAAAGGCATAGAATGCAAGAACCGTCTTGAGGGTCGTGTTGGGCTGGCCGAGATTGGGATCCATGGTTTGGATCACAGCGAATCGTGCACCTTTAGGTTCCCAAGCAAACTCAATAATGGTTTCCTTGATTTCGATGACTTCAACTGGAATATTCTTCTCGTTGATGCGGAAAATTTCCATGTTGGTGAAGGAGCCCTTTTTACTCTTTGTGTGACGGTCAACCTTGATGCAGAGGTAGTCACCTGCAGACTGCCAGTGCATCTTGCAGTCAGTGACGCTGTACAAGTTCTTTGTCCTGACCACCTCCTTGGAGGGAATGCTCATGACAGACACACGCGCAGGCTGGTTGTTGACCTCGGGCGTCCAGTAAGCGAGCAAATCGCCATCTGCACCGGCCTTCTTGTCTGAAGCAGGCGCAGGCGACCACTCAAAGTCAACGACACCATCCACCTTGATGGATTTCTTGTCAAGCAAGTTCATGCTGGGCACTTCATACACCGAAATTTGCTGACCGGGAGTCAATCGAGCAACGTACTTTTCATCAGCCGACCACTTGAGCATAGGCCATCGCATCTTCTTAGCAGGCTGTCCTGGCTGTGATGGCTCAGTGGGTAGTGCAGCGAACGAGCGCAGCAGGATACCCTTCTTCAAGTCCCAAACAAAGACGTGCTTGCCCTCGTCTTCCTGCGTGAAGGGAATAGTCTTGCGAGCAGGGTGACCAGGTGGCGGCAGCTCAAGACCCTCGTTCGACCAAGTTACAAGATAGTTTTCCTGTGGAGAGAAGTCAATGAGCTTGACCTTTGGGTGTTGGAACCGCGCAATACGTTTCCACGAGGGGCCTCCCCAGAGCTGTAGTCCCTGCTGGTGGAAGGAAGCTAGATAGCTGCCGAGCGGTGACCACGAGGTATATGTCTCTGTCCATCCCATACGCGATACGACCGTCTCTGGTTGTTCCGACTTTTTGTTCCAAACAATGCTCACCTCATCGCCGCGGAACATGACCAATTGGTCACGCCCAGCTTGGTCGGCCATCCACGAACGCAGGTGCTCCTGTTCAGCAAGCGCCGTCTCCTCTGGCGCGACAAATTCATCATCGACATTGGCAAATTTGTCAACCTCCTCCAGCAAGTTGGCAAGCAGTGTGTGTTGCTTGTCGAGCTTTTTTCCGTTGAGTGTCTTGGCTGCGTTGGCGGCCTGCTCCGGTGTCTCGTACTCTACAAAAAGGAAGCCCTTGGACATGCTCTTGCCGTCTTGCTCTTCAAATGGCATTACGATGCCGTCCTCCTTGACTGTACCACATGAGCCAAATAGCTTGCCCAGGACACGCAGGAGGGCACTCTTCTTTGCTTCTGGGACGATGGGTGCGCCGTCAATCAGGACGATATTGTCGAGTCCTTCTTCCGGTGCGACATAGTACTTGTCTTCGAGGTCTGCGAAGTCGAGGTAGTCATCTACGCTGTCTGCCATCTCTCCTGCTGACTGGAGTAGCTTCTTGAGACTTGAGACTTCCGTGGTCGTTCTGCTTTCTCTTTCGCTTCAGAAAATTTTGTTCACGCGCGGCTTATGTCAGCGAGGGACAGTCTCAGGAACAAAGGGAAAGAGGATTGAGCTATGGATGTTATGCGTGATGAGGATAGAAGGAAAGGGTGGGAACGGCATCAGCATGTCTAGACAACATCCACGAGCCACTTGAACTCGTCTGCCAGATCGCCTGTCTGAATGCCCCGCAATGTTGTCAAAATGCGACTCGCGCCAGGCCCTTGCTCCTCTGATAGCTGCACCAACTTCTTTCCCTGGTACGTGACTGACTTGACGGGCGTGATCACAGCCGCCGTACCAGCAGACATGATCTCGCTGAAGGTGTTGAGTTCATCCACATGCACAGGCCTGCACTCGACCTGCCAGCCAAAGGACTTGGCCAGCTGCACAACAGATTTCGTTGTCACTGACTTGAGAATAGACGTCGACTCGGGCACAACAAGTGTCGTTTCGTCACCCTTTCCGCGAAGTGCCAAGAAGTTGGAGGTGGAGAATTCATCAATGTGTGTGCGTGTCTTGCTGTCCAAGTGCAACGTAATGGCAAATCCTGCTGCTTTGGCTTTGGCAGCATGCTGGAAGACAGGCGCATAATTACCACCCAGCTTCGCACTACCTGTTCCAGCAGGTGCTGCACGATCAAAGTCTTCCACAATCAGTGCATCAATGGGCTTTGCACCGGACGCAGAGTACAAGTTGGCCACGGGTGTCACGGGACACAAGAAGGTGAACTCGTCTGGCGCACTCAATGCGAGTTGTGCACCTGAGCCAAGGAGCAATGGACGCAGGTAGAGAGATTGACCCAGCTCATATGGTGGCACGAATTCAGCATTCTTGAGCACGGCAAGCTTGACGGCCTCGAGGAATAAATTCTCCGGCATGGGTGGGATGGAGATGATGCTGGCAGAGTGCTGCATGCGCTTTGCATTCTCATCTGGGCGGAAGATGCGGATATGACCATCTCTACACCTGAAGGCCTTCATACCTTCAAAACACTGCTGGCCATAATTGAGCGCAGGCGCCATCACCGACATGCGAATGAAGGGCTCCTCCACAAATTCGATTGGCCCCCATGCGCCATTCTTGTAGATGCATTGGACATGTCCATTGACGGAGTTCACGCCAAAAGAGAGGTTCTGCCAGTCGACCTTGGTGCTTGGTTCAGGGACAGACATGATGCTGTAGTCTGTAGATGCTCAAGCCGATAGCGCGACAGTCTTGTGCAGATGATCGCGCGAGGCAGTTGCCGTTCAGATGGGTGGTAATTCGCACGCTGAAGACTGAAGAAGTAGCAAGGGGAACAGTTCTTGGCTCATTTCCTATGCAATAAATTAATGCAATGATGCAGCGTGCTACTAATTGATCTATTCTATAGTCAAAGCCTCAAACGCATTTCGTGTCTCAGTCACCGCCTCCTTAGGCTTCAACAACGGCCTCTTCCGCGACCCCTCCCGATAACTCATAATGCCATCCTTGTTGAGCCAGCAGAGCTCGCACAAGCCCGCCAACTCCTGCTTGGTGACTAGCTGCTTTACTCTTGGCTTGAGGCGAACGAGCTCTGCTTCCACTTCATCTGTAGACATACCTCCTTTCGACGCATCTGTAGGCAGCAGGTACGCATTCTCGCCATCAGCAGTGAATTGCACATCAAAGCGCAGCTTGCTGTCTAGTGACAGCGCTCCAGACAAGGCATCAGTCGTCAAGCCAAATTGCAGAGTTAACAGGACAAAGGCATTGTAAGCTTGAGCAGGCCGCCTGAGCTGTTCAATGGATGTGGCAGTCACCGGTGCAGCATGAGCAAGCCTGGTTCTCGGCATGAACGTGCCGCTCGTCTTGCTGATTTGTACAGCTCGATGTGGACCTTCATCCAATGATTCTGAGCGCATTCCGTACACTTCTGCTAGCTCATGCACAAATTGTCGAAGTTCTGTGCGCATGGGCTTGAAGAGCTTCACTTTCGCTGACTCCACGCAGAATTCTCGCATAGCAGACTCAATAGTCGTGCACCAAATCTTGTTGTCCTTGTAATACTCCACCAAATCGGTGGGATACTCAATCAAGCTTGTGGCAGTAGTCTTGCTGCTGCCACCTCCAAGCGCTTCTGCAAGTTTCTGGCTGCGCACAACAGCAGCGCAAAAGTCGGTGCACTCTAAGGCCGTTGATGTACCGCAGCATACAGCAAGCTTGATGTTGCCGCAGGCGCATGATGCATCAACGCGAGCATTACAAGGAACATCTGGGCATTTCTCTGGGTAATGGCAAGTTGCAGCACAGCCATGTCCACAAGCCCTCAACTTCCCACAAGGCTGCGTACAAGCCTCACAAGAGCCAGCATGACATCGCAATTTACAAGCGTGGCCACAGGCTTGAACTTTGTCGCATAATTGACCACAAGAGACACTCTTTTGCCAACACGGCTGATTCTTGACGGGTGTTTTGCCACACAGACAGAGCCGCTCTACGAGATAGGGGCAGCGCGGACACGAGACGGTATCCTGATGACAGTCGTGAGGAATTGGTGGATGACCACAAGCTGTAGGTCGTGTGCAAGGTAGGAGACACACTGGGAGAAGAGCACCGCATGCAATAGGTGGCGAAAGGACAGTCCCGCCGCAAGCGCAGGCTATTTCCTCGAATGTGGCTTCCAGACATGGTGGACAGGGTCCGCGATGACAAAGTACGGCACAATGGTGATTGCCGCAAGACAAGGGTCGATTGCATGGCTCTGTACAGAGATGCTCTGGTTCAATGTCTGTTGGTGTTTGTGTTTGTTGACGAGAACGCTTTGCCTTGCGCTTTTGTGCAGCCGAGTAGCCAGTACAGCAGCGCTGTGTGCAAATATGGCGCAAACAGTTCTTTTGTGCGCGACAAACCTTGTCACAAGCAGGTTGAAGACCAAGCTGAATGTCCTGGCAGGAGGCTTTGACTTGCGTGGACCCACATCCGCAGGGAATATGCAGCTCCATCTGACATTCACCACAAGCGCCAGTGTGACAAGGACGTGTGCATGTATGACCACAGGTCAGCAGACGGCTACAGGTCTTTCCACAAGTTGGTATATTGTCTGTACACGCAGATCGAGGCTGCTTTAGTAGACTGTCGAGCGGCGTCTGACCACAAGGGCAGCTTTTGACAAATTTTGGAGATCGCGGGCAGATCTCTGAGTTGTTGTGAACATGACACTGTTCTTCGCACTGGTGGATGCCACACTCAAACAGCATGCCACAGGAGTCCTGGCAAGTCCAGACTGAACCCGACGCCATGTCGCTACACCGCACTGCTTTGGTATGTTTGCCACACCGGCAGGCCTGCTCCAAAGGCACATTACAGGCTCCACATAGACCTGGATGACATGCACGTTCGCAATGGTGTTCATCGCACGGCATGATCTCGCCACACACCTCCTGGCAACTCCAGCTGCCGAGAGTGTAATCTGTATTAATGCATCGCTTCTGAACAACATGTTTGCCGCAGAAGCATTGCTGTGCCGTTCCCATTTGCTGGCAAGGCGGACATGGCCCAGGATGACATGGCAACGGACATGGATGCGGACAACTCTGCTTGCCACATGTCTGACCACACGCATGCGGCGCCAACTTGTTGGGTTCGGGTCGAATATGCTTGCCGCACCAACATCGATATTCGCGCGGTAGAATTGCTGACTGGGATTGGCACGCTGGGCAACGCCAAGTCTCCAGAGGGCGCCCTTCTGTAGGTTGCAATGCACGCTTTGCCCAGCTTATGATGCATTTCAAGTGGAAGACTGTCCAGCAGTGTTGGTCTTCATAGACAGCTTCATGTCGTCTAATAGGCTCGACGCAAATGCAGCATTCGTAAATGTTATTGAGCAGAGCATGTTGAATACGCTCAGCCATCGTCTCGGTGCCAGTCAATGCGGCCGCTACGGCGACTTTGTTCGAGCTTTGTTTTGGCTCAGCCCTCGATGAGCTGCTCTGGTCTTCAGTGAGCTTGAAGCGCGCTTCAACAGGGGCGCGCTGGCCTTGTCTCTGCCTGTTTCGGTTTCGAGGCTTGCTCTTCGCACCAGCACCCGGCAAGAAGGGTTTGGCGTCCGGCTGCAAGCTCCCCTGCTGTCGACTCGAGCCGCCACCTCCATTCGATACAGGTTCCTCCTTCTCGCCAGCTGCCATGGCTCTCAATGACCGGTTGTCGCGAACCATATGTGGCGAGCGCGTCTCAAATGTCTAGAAACTCAAGATGTCGCACGCTCGGTTGACGTCGACAATAGACAACGTTCAAGCTGGACGTCAATCGGACTGTCCTAGCTCAGGGTCATTTTCAGGGTGTTCAACGACTCCTTGCATACACTTGCTAACTTGCTACGACGACCCCGGTAGTTCTAGACTCCTCGTCTCTTTGCACAAATCGTCAGATGTACTCGGACTTCGCTATCGCATAAACACTGAGCCAAAATTGACTAGTCCCTAGCGGACAATGCTGCAGCTCTCTGAAGTTCAAATCCAATTTCTAGGCTGTTTAGGAGGTAGTGCTCATCAGGAGACACCTCCTGGATCAATGTCCAATCCTTCAGGGAATAGAAGCACTTTATATCTCACACATCTGGTTCTCCTGAATCAATAAACAGACCTGATGCGAAAGCTCATCGAAAAGGAGATTTACTGATGTGAACAACCATCGTCAGTAGATGCCACAGCTCATGCCTTTCTTGCCTTCGCTTCGCTGCTTGCCAACAATGCTTAAGGGCGATGATCTGCGACCGCAACTGTCGAGACGCGTACGCCTTGTCCTATTGACAGTGTTCCTTTTCATCAGCTATGTCTCTATGATACTTATGGCTTTACGACCGTTTCCTTCGTCTCGAGCTGGACACTTCTCACAATTGGCATCAAGGATCACGCCATACAAGGAAAGAGCAAGAGGCCTCCGAGGAGTTTTGGTGCCCGCGCAGGCCGCTATCTCATCACCGGCGGTCGCGCTCTTTATCGGCATTCATTCCCCGGCACATATGCAAGACAGGCGCGATGCTGCAAGGAAGGGCTACAATGATGTCCTTGCTTCGGGCGTGCTTCACAGACAAGATATTGTCGTAATTCGGCATGTCTTGTGCAGAGATGGAGAAACAGCGACTCAACTTGCTGAAGAGCAGAAAACCCATGGAGACCTCCTCATTCTCAATTGTACCGCAGGCGACGACAGTATGAAGACCTGGCACTACTTTCAGCACATTTCGCAAGTGATCAAGGTTGCAGACCATGTCAATCACAGCGGCTCGGCGGACCTCGAATTTGACTTCGTCATGAAATTGAGCCACGACGCGTATCAACACCTTCCGATGACGCTGAGTTGGCTGCGGCCTTATGTGGGCGTACCGCGCCTGTACGCTGGGAGATTGGCACAACATAACGAAACGCTTGTCTATCAGACTGGTGATGGCTACGTGCTTTCAAAAGACCTTTGCCTTTGGTGGTCTGCAAACAACACGTATTCAGATCCATCAGCTGGTTTCGAGGATGTCAACATGAGGCTCTGGCTTGACCTGCTGAATCAAAAACGAGAGCCAATCGCGCTTCTTGACGGCGGATGGCGATTTTACCCGCTAGACAAGCGCATCTTCTGCCAAATGGCTTCGCCAGAAAAGCTGCGTGATCCTCAGTATCTCAAATCTAAGAAAGGTCGAGAGACCGTGCATAAGCTTCTCACGTTGGATGACTTGCAAGTCCATCACTTGAAAACTCCGGAATCCTTCGATGTCGTTGCACGCACGTTCTTGGAGAAAATGCTTGCGCCACCCAAGGAAGCCATGGAAGACCAACGGCACGCGTGCGAATAGACATGATTCCATATCAGCGACGCTCGTTTCCAAGCACCCGAACGGTACATTTTTCTCCTTTCAGACTTCTTTCCATGCATGTTCAAGGTGCTATCCAGGCAAGGCACGGCTCAAATACTTGACACGGCCTAATTAAAAACACTGTATATGTTGCAATGCGGTGCAATCAATGCTGCAGCTCTTTGAACCCCGACTCCTAGGTCAGCGCCCATCAGGAGAGACAAACCCCTGAGTTTGGGTTCGAATCTACATAAAGAAGCATCTGTACCAAACACTGGCAAACAGGTTGATTACACTTTCTTGACAACGACCAAAGGCAGCTTGCCAGCTTCACTCCGCTGCGATCTCCCGAGCGACCTTCCGCGACCCGTGCAGAGGTCCTCGACGCTGATCAGCGATGCATGCAGCGGGAAGAGCAATGTGGCACCGGCTGTCCAGGATGTCCACTCTTTTGATGACCACAATAGTGTGTATATCAGTCTTCATGGTCATACAAAGGACCATTCGCTATCCCCGCGCAAGTACATCGATCACTCACTTTTCTGCAGAATCGGCGCTGTCGGCGGGTTCGCACTCAGAAGAGCAGATGAGACAGCGCCAACACAACAGAATATCGACGATCCATTCTTCAGCTGCAGAGCAAGCACTTACCAAAGAGCAGTTGAGAAGGCTCGAATATGGTGAAACAAGCTCGAGCCTGCAAGGAGCTGTGATCCTTGCACAGCCTTTCAACGCACAGCCAGTAGCGCTCTTCATCGGCATTTTCTCTGTTGCAGACCAGAGAGAGACACGCGACATGGCGAGAAAGGTATACAAGGATGTCTTGGCGTCTTCCTGGATGGATTCGCGCGACATTGTGGTCATCCGCTTCATCCTGGGCCGGAATTACAACACAGAGGATACCTCTCATATAACCAAGGAGGAGCAAGAAGAGCACGGCGATTTGATTATTCTTGATTGCGAGGAATCTATCAATCAGGGTAAGACTTGGTACTACTTCAAGCACATGTCAAAGAATTTGCGCATTGCAGACTATGTTAATGACACCACCGTGGCGGGGCGCGAGTTTGATTTCGTGATGAAGCTGGACGCCGACACATTTCTGCACATTCCAAACAATCTAGAGTGGCTACGTCCCTACGTGGGGACGCCGCGGTTGTACGCCGGCAGTCTCAATATGCCAACAGAGCCCATCAAATTTCACCAAGGATCAGGCTATGTGCTTTCCAGAGATCTTTGTCTCTGGTGGTCACGGCGCACTTCCTACCCAGGAGCAAAGTTTCGTCATGAAGACATGGACACCAGGATGTCGCTCGATTGGCTCAACCATGGATACGAGCCAATTGCGATACTCGACAGTGGCTTCAGATACTATGACTTGGGTCAGCGCGTTCTTTGCGATTTGCTTCCTGCCAATCTGAGTCGCAATCCGGCATATCTGGAAACCGATGCTGGTCGTCATCACATGCAACAGTTGATGCGCTCCGACGACTTGCAAGTCCATCGTTTAAAGACACTCCAGTCATTTGCAATTGTAGCTCAGGCATACCTGCAGACCATGCGCGAGCCAAGGCGGCCGGTAGTGAAGGCTCATCAGCTTCAATTTTGCCATTAGCGTGCTTGGTGACGGTCGTCTCCTTCCTGACTTCGTGAGCAGCATAGTAACCACTTCTTGTGCGTCGAGAGCTAGCGGTAGCCTTGGCGCTGGATGATCTCCTTCCACAACCGACGATTATGTGCCATTGAAGGCTCGAGTCTCGACCTAACGAAGATGTCGCTGGTTTGTCATCTGAAAATGTCCGCCGGCCGCGGACTCTCCAGGGAGCTCGTCGACATTACTAATGCCCGTAACTTATAAAAAGCAGCTTTGTGGCCCTCTTTCTTCCTGCAAACTGTTGCACTAGTACAAATCCTTGCAAGCTTTCTTTACAAATGACCATCACACTGATCACCGGGGCAAACCGAGGTCTGGGCTTCGAGACTGCTCGTCGTCTCAAGGAACGCGGTCAAAAGGTGTACATTGGTGCTCGCAATGCTGCTGCTGGCAGGGAAGCCGCCGAAAAGCTTGGTGTTGAAAGTGTGCAGCTCGACGTGACCAACGACGAGTCTGTCAATGCTGCAGTGAAGGAGATTGAGGCCCGCGAGGGGAAGCTTGACATCCTCATCAACAACTCGGGCATTACTGGACAAATGAAGACTGTCGAAGAGACATCACCCAAAGATCTGCTGGAGTGCTATGAAACCAATGTCTTCGGCGTTGTACGCATGACCAAGGCCTTCCTGCCGCTGCTGAAGAAGTCCGATGCGCCCTCAGTCATCAATATCAGCAGTGGCTTGGGATCCTTTGTCATGGTTCAGGATACTTCAGCAATCGAGTCGTCCTTCACCAATTTGCCGTACAACTCGAGCAAGTCTGCCCTGAACATGATCACATTGCAGTATGCCCGGGCTCTGCCTGATGTTCGATTCAACATCATTGATCCTGGATACACTGCTACTGATATGAATGGTCACAATGGTCATCAGACGGTCGAGGAAGGAACAGACGCAGTCGTCAAGATGGCAACGACGGGCAAAGGTGGGCCAACTGGGACATATACGAACCGTACAGGTACTGTGCCTTGGTAATTTAAATGATCTGTGAGCTGGAATGAATGTAGCGATTATCGATGAGAAGACTGATCCAATTGCAAGTGCTGCTGCAGCATTGAGCCCATGACTACATCATGTTGAAACTTGAAACTTGAAACTGCTCCGTGGTTCCCATCTGACTTTTCAACTTGGGCGACGACGACGACGGAAAAAGTCAACAATCAGCAACCACAACAACAACAAGGCGATCACCATGAATAATCAGCGGCCGCCGCGCGTAGCAAGACCTCCCAGTGCTATGTCTGGCATGCGTCAGCCCTCATCTTCTGCTGCATCGCGTCCTGCTTCTCGCGCGTCGACGCAAGCTCCTGTGAGTGCGCCAGTGCAGCCGCCTACTCTCAAACGCGCCCAGGTGCCATCTGTGCTTGCTTCGAGCACCTCCGTCAACACAGCCGCGAACAGCAACCACGCCAAAGAACAAATCTCCTCAGAGACCAATATCCAAGTGGTCGTGCGTTGCCGAGATCGCAATGCTAGGGAACGCGCAGAGAACTCTGGCGTTATTGTGTCGACCGTCGCTGAGCCACGCGGGAAAGCCATCACCGTTCAAACCTCGCCTAGCACACTGTCCAACAAGACGTATGCCTTTGATCGTGTTTATGGAGCAGAGGCATCGCAGCAGATGGTATTTGATGACACGGTGGAGCCCATTGTAGAAGAAATGCTTGGCGGATACAACTGTACAATCTTTGCTTATGGACAAACAGGCACTGGAAAAACTTACACCATGTCGGGAGATATGTCTGACTACTATGGCAAAGTCACAGACGGCGCTGGTATAATTCCAAGAGCGCTCTATCGCATCTTCAAACAACTCGATGCCGAGGGCGATGAATACAGTGTCAAATGCTCCTTTATTGAGCTCTACAATGAAGAGCTGCGTGATTTGCTTGCGATTGAGGAAGACCGCAAGGTCAAAATCTTTGACGACAATGCCAAAAAGGGCGGTGTGGTGATTAGCGGCATGGAGGAGGTGGCAGTCCAGGATGCCATTACCGGTGTAAAGATTCTTCAAGAAGGCAGCAAGCGCCGCGAGGTTGCAGCAACCAAGTGCAACGAGGCATCATCGCGCTCGCACTCGGTGTTCACCATCACTGTCCACATCAAGCAGACAACCGATGGCGAAGACATGTTGCGTGTTGGAAAGCTCAATCTCGTCGATTTAGCTGGCTCAGAAAATGTCGGTCGCTCTGGTGCAGAGAACAAGCGCGCTCGTGAAGCAGGCATGATTAATCAGTCGCTGCTGACGCTCGGCCGTGTCATCAACGCGTTGGTAGACCGATCCCAACACATTCCTTACCGCGAATCAAAGCTGACGCGGCTGCTGCAAGACTCTCTCGGTGGACGCACCAAGACTTGTATCATCGCGACGATCTCGCCTGCCAAGATCAACATGGATGAGACTGTTTCTACGCTGGACTATGCAAGCCGTGCCAAGAGCATTAAGAATAAGCCACAAGTCAACCAGATGATGACCAAGAAGTCTCTCATCAAGGACTATATCTTGGAGATTGAGCGCCTAAAGGCAGATCTCAACTCAACGAGGTCGAAGAATGGTATCTACATGACTGAGGCGTCTCATCTCGATCTCGTCAATGAGAATGAGAGCAACAAGCTCTTGACAGAAGAGCAGCAACGAAAGATTGATGCTGTAGAAGGTCAGTTGCGCGCAGCCAAGGAGCAATTTGAAGAGACAATGGAGCAATTCCTTTCTACACGCAAAGAGCTGGAAGGTACCACCAGGATCCTCGGCGAGACAAAGGAGGTCCTCTCATCTACCAAGATCGAGCTACAACAAACGAGTACGGCACTCAGCAAGGAGACCATCCTACGAAGGGCTCACCAGGAATCAGAAGCCGCTATCGACAATGTAGCGAAAGGCTTGGTCGAGAAGCTTGAGGCAACAGTCAGGGATGTACATGGCTTGCACGACAAAGTTGGCCGCAAGCGTACCGTTGAAGAGCGCAACGCAGCACTCTGGGAGTCTGCTGGTGCCCAGATTGCGCATGCAGTGTCGCAGCTTGACAACAAACTGGAGACCTTTGCTCAGGGACAAAAGCAATCTGCAGTTGTCATTTGCAACCAGGTGACAAGCCTAGCGGTGCGAGAAATGAAGCGTATGACGGAAGGCCAAGCATATATTTCTCAACGCGTGCAAGAGTACGATGCTGTTCAAACGTCAACTGAAGCAACGCTTGATGAAGCGCGTCAACGAATGAATGCCGTCTTGGACGAAATTCGCGACCTGCGTGTGCACATCAAGAGCCGTCTGGGTGAAGGCCTGGCTGGGCTGGGCAAAGCCGCTGAACGTATTGCAGATGAGATTGCAACACGTCTCGGTGCCTTCCAGCAAGAGGTGCACGACAACTACTCTCAACTTGGCTCGGATTTCAAGGCCATCTTTGATGCGACGCAAAAGCACATGTCCGCTCAGGCAGAGGAGATCAAGACTCTACGGGCGCAAGTGGCGGCAGCCAATTCTACAACTGCTGATCAAATTCAAATTGCCGCTAGACTTTTGCTGGAGCAGGAGCACGCCAATGCAGACAAGACTGCTGAAGCTGAAGCACTGGCCCTGGCGCAGATTGAATCATTGCTCAAAAATGTTTCTCAACAGCGCGCAGAGCGCGAGCTTGCTGCGCAAGAGTCTTTCAAGCAGCGTGTTGCCTTAACAGCAGAGGCAATCCACAAACACAGCACGTCTACATCAGCTTCACTCGATGAATGGCTCACTTCAGATGCCGACTTCAGTCGTCGCTTGCAGCAGGGCAAGGAATCCATCAAACGTTCTATCGTGGAGTCCGCCAAGTCTGCGAATGCGCGAACAGAGGCGATTCAGCAGTCTACTCATGCCATCCATGCAGAGACCGTCGCGTTAGTTGATGCTGCGATGAGCAATGTCGACTCTCAAACACAAGCCCTTGAGGAGCATGTGGCTGCTGCAAAGAAGTTGGGTGAACAACATCACTCAAGCCACTTGTCTGCAGTTCAGTATATGCGTCAGAATGTGGACAGTACGGCAGCGACATTGGCAAGCGAGCTTGGTGAGGCCAAGTCGACTATTGAGCAAGTCTCGCGCAACGTGGCCGACGAAGCATCAGGTATGGATCCAGCAATCACAGGATTCTGTCAATTTGCAGGCGAAGCGCACGGTCTGGTCAAACAAGCAGCTGCTACAGAGTTGCAGAAGGATTTGCCGACACGGACGACACCCAAAAAGCAAAAGTACGTGTATGCTACATCTTGGCCGACAACTTTGCCACATGCTCAGCTGTTGGGCGAGACCCAGGAAGCGGTAGAGACGCCACGGTTGGCGTTGGCACAGGTGGATCCGAACGTTACCTCCCCGACCATGGCGCGCGAGACTGCAGAAGTACCGGGTCAGCCCCAGCCGTTGCAGGCTGTGGCCTCATCTATTCCAGCACCCGTGATGCAGAAGCAGGTGGTCAATATGGCTGCTGGTCAGGAGAATGGTCGTGCGGTGAGGACGCGGAAGAGAATGCTTGGCAGTAGCTAGATGATTGTATGCTCTAATCTGCTTGTTTTGTGGTTGCCTTCCTCCTCGTGTTGCCTGGTGCCTACGCCGTTGCAGCCTTCTCGAGGGCATCCAAAAACTCTGTCAAGGGGCAACAGTCGTTGCGTCCGATGTATTGAGCATGGGCGACCAGTGCCAGTCTCCGTAAACCACGACCACTCGGGTCGATTTCTGTTTGCGCAAGGAAGCGCTCACAGATCTTGATTAGGTGCAGGCTCGGCCCAGTCATGTGAGTTTGAGCTTCAGCGAAACTGACGAATGGACCAAGACGAGGCAGAGCTCGGCGAACAGCGCAAGCAATACTAGCTTCAGGCAAGTCCACAACACTGATAATGTCTTTTGCGATGAGCTCCTCTATGCAGGACTTGAGAATGTCGTAGGCAGCTGACAGACCTGGACGCCCGACGTACTGGACGAGGTCTGCACGGTCAATGAATGCCGAGTCAGAGGCGTCCATCATGTTGCTAGTCGTCAGGACAAGCACATTGGGATGAGCCTTGAGGAGGTCGAGTCGAGTCAAGAGGACATTGACCACCCGCATTGTATCACTGGGGTCGTTGCTCTGCGAAGACAAGGTACGCGATCGTGTCAAGCTCTCAATCTCATCAATGAGCACACACACGAAAGCATCTTCATTTTCAGTGAGCTCTTCAATCTTGTCGTCGTCAGCAACTGTTCCCAGTCCTCAGGGGACATACTTCCTCAAAGAGCTGCGTGACGAGCTTGGCACTCTCAGAGAACCACTTGCTAAAGAGCGACGCCGCTTGCACCTCGATCAAGACACATTCAGAGTAGCGAGCGCTGAAACGGATGCTGAGCTTCTGAGCGAGTGCCTTGCAAAGACTGGTCTTTCCACCGCCGGGCGGTCCGTGAAGTAGGATGCAACGGTTGAAGGCACAGATCTGGCTGTTGACTTGACGATCCGCAAAGAGCATCATAGAGGAGACATAGCTCAGGAGTGTCTTCTGGATAGTGTTCTCGAACTGCAAGTTGCTCCATATGCCATCTGTTATCAGTACAAGATAGATCACTAGATCATATCGATACCAAGCGAAGCAGCTGGCAGAAGCATGGTACTGGCTAGTGGCTGTTCTTCATGGAAGATCGACTGCACCGCGTCTCGCAGCTGGTACATGTGGATCTGTAGCTCTGCATCCTCGAGTCTGACGATGGGTCCTGAGGATGAGACGATGCGCACACTCTCCACAGGCCAGTCGCACTCGAGCGCAGTATCCTGAGCAAGGGAAATGTAGTTGTCCCTGAGGTGTTGCTCGAGTGCCTGCGCACAACGGCGTCCGTCACCGTGCAGCGCAACCTCGATCTGTAGCAACATACTCCTGGCAAATGGTGGTGAGCGTGGAGGATGACCCGCGGCTACGGCACCTCAAATCGGGTCCTCTGCTGCAGACACAGGTCGTCATTGCCCTTGCTATTGGTATAACGACGTTCCTGGCCTTTTGCATACTCAGACAGCGCTGGGCGCGGCTATATCAGTACAGGAAATATCTAGACTGCCCAGAACCGCCGCCGTTGCGCCCAGGGCTCTTTGGATGGCTCGTGGATCTCTTCCAGATCGATGACCGACAGATCCTTGCCACCGCCGGCCTCGACGCGGTCGTCTTCCTTGCCTTCTTCAAGATGGCCATCAAGTTTCTTGCGACAAGTGCGTTCTTTGGATTGACGGTCGTGGTTCCAGTGCGCTACAAGTTTGATACAGATGATGCTTGGGGAAACTTGACGTCGGTGTCCGTCACGCCTTTGAAGCACCACGAGAAGCCCAAGACTTGGCTATGGTCTTATGTGGCGTTCAGCTACTTCTTTACGCTGCTCGTCTGGTATTTTCTAGCCCAGACGACGCGAAAGGTCTCGGCACTGCGACAAGAGTACCTTGGAGATCAAACGACAGTGACGGACAGGACAGTGCGTTTGTCGGGTGTGCCAACAGAGCTGAGAAGTGAAGAAAAGCTGGAGCGGCATATTGGGAGTCTCGGTATTGGCGCGGTGGATAAGGTTGTCATCTGTAGACACTGGGGAGAGCTTGACAGGCGCATGGAGGAGCGCAATCACATTCTGCACTCAATCGAAGAGTGTTGGGCAGTCTATGCAAGGCATGACAGCAAGCGACCCAAGATGCGACTTGGTTTCTTTGGCCTCGCAGGACGCTCAACGGATTGTATTGACTACTACACGATGAAGTTGCGTATGATTGACGACGCCATCACAGCGATGAGACGAGAGAAGGACGCCTTCAAGCCGACGGCCATGGCATTTGTGACATTCAAGCGCGTCTCGAGCGCGCAGCTCGCTGCTCAAGCAGTCCTGGATCCACGTCCACTCAGTCTGGTGGCACGGCTGGCGCCAGCCCCCGGAGATATCATCTGGAGCAACGTATATCGCACACGCTCTGGACGCATCATACGACAGTGGATTGTCTTTCTCCTCGTTGTCATCACCACAGTTCTCTGGTTCATTCCAGTGGGAGCCATCTCCGTGCTGCTCAGTCCCGAAGGCATCGCCAAGATCTCGCCAGCTTTGTCCAAGTTTCTCGATGACCATGAACAATTGCATGCGCTGGCAGTGGGATTCCTGCCGACACTCGCCTATACCATCTTCTTTGCTCTGGTTCCATGGATCTTCAACTGGTTCTCCTATGTGCAGGGCTACCTCGATGTCTCGGAAGTTGAGCTTGCCGAAGTGAGCAAGAACTTTATGTTCATCTTCTTCAACTACTTCTTCGTCATTCTTGTGGCATCGAGTGGCGCGACCCTGCTCGCCCTGACAGAACTCGACACACGCAAGATTCCACAGCTTCTTGCGAGGATCTTGACGCAGCGAGCTCAGTTTTACGTGGATCTCATCATTCTTCAATGTGGCATGTTTCCATTCCGACTGTTGGAGTTTGGAACCGTCTTTCTCTATCCATTCTACAAAGCTGGGTGCAAGACGCCGCGCGACTACAACGCCCTCCGGAAAGGTCCCAACTTCAACTTTGCGTTTTACTTGCCACAATGCTTGTTTGTCTTTTGCATCTGCATTATTTACTCCATCCTCTCGCCGGCCATCTTGTGCTTTGGCCTCATCTTTTTCGTGCTTGGCTATTTCAGCTACAAGTACCAGCTCATCTATGCCATGGACCACCCACAACATTCGACTGGCAAGGTATGGCACATCATCTACAATCGCGTCATCCTGGGACTGGTGGTCTTTCAGTTCACCATGATTGGAACACTGTCTACCCAAAAAGTGCCTATTCCAACGGCCTTCATCACGCCTTTGCCGTTCTTGACGATCTATGTTGCGCAAAAGTTCTGGCATCAGTTCAGTCCCTTGGCAGACTACATTGCTTTGCGGGCCATTGAGCGTGACAGGAGCGACTCGACCACATCGCAGACGGTAGATGAGAATCGGGAAGAGGACGATGAGTACGGCCACCCGTACCTGACTTGTCCGCTGGAGGTGCCGTGGACAGCGGAGGAGGAAGAGCACAGTGCATAACGAGGCTGTCTATCTGTAGTCTTCCTGTACAAGTCACTGAGCCCACAAGTAGACTTGAAGTAGTCCTGCGCTGCCCCTCTTGATCCCTTGCGCGGATGACTTGACAACGGAGAAAGAATTCTCTTCAGACCGCACAAAAACAACGACACAACAGGTACTCGGAGATGACATGCGCAGCGCAGATGGACAACTGAATCCACCGCCAAGTGCCAAGTAAGGGCCACTCGATACCATTTACCCTTTTACTGACTCGAAACAGGCCTGATTTGGGCATTTCCACAGTGTCGTCTGATGCACTCCAAGCGGTGCTAGACAGGCGGCGGCAGCTGCTTACACAGCTCTTCTTCCTGTCCACTTACACCGATGTGCCGCTAGAGCAGGAAGGCCTTGATGATCCGGACTTGGAGCGCTTCCTGGCTACGAACGAAGGCCACTTCAAACAATCTACTTTACCTGTGCCTGCGCCGCGGATCAAGGGCTATGAAGTCGCACCCTTGCCAACACTTTCTGCAGCAGTAGATCTGACGCTTTGGTTGCGGGCTGCCTCGTACCAGCCGATGCATGATTTGATGGAAGGTGCCAACAAGGTCGTCACAACAGAGGCCTGGCTTGCCTCAATTCAAGAGCAAAAATGGATCAAGACTTGCAAACGCATTGAGCAGCTCAAGCAGCAAAACAAATGGTCGCTTCGGCAGCCTGTCAAGCCTGTCATTGCACGGCGAAAGGCACACCATGACTTTATGCTCGATGAGATGGCCTGGATGCAAACTGATTTTCGTGAAGAGCGAAAGTGGAAGATGGCTATGGCCTGTGAGATGGCGTATGCCGTCAAGGCATGGCATGAAGCAAGTGATAAGCGGTCGTTGACCATTTCTGCTTCGCCTGTACAGCATCTCAGCCAACCGACCACGGAGCCTTCTTTGGAACACCCGATGCCTGACTTGCCTATTTTTGGACCTCCAGCGCCATTCAATGATGCGATACCAGATTCACCTGTTGTTCCTGTCAGCAAGTTTTCCTGCGGTGCCGTTCAAGTCAAGCCGAGCAAGAAGCGGAAGCGGCAAGTCATTATACCCGGTCCACCCTCGGAACACCGTCGCAAGACGATCCTTACGCTCTCTGTTCGGCCGCCGATGCCACCACCAGCAGACAGACCCAAGTCGACCTGGACACCCGAGATGGACGATGCGTTACTTGGCTATGTCACAGAGTATCAGCATAACTGGGATCTCATCGCGAACGCACTCACGCCCTCCAACATGCTTGTTGCTGTGGCTGATCGCAAAACATCGTGGGACTGCTTTGAGCGGTGGATACAAATCGATGTGCGTGCGAACGATGCCCTCTTCACAGGCCCGCATGCTCGATTAGTGCAATCCAAGGTGGATGATTTGATTCGTGCCCCCAAGACTGAACGTCGCAAGTCGATTGTTGCTCAGCCACCCCTCTTCAAGAAGCAACGACAGTTCAGCTTGTTTGATGCTATGCGCAAGGTGCAGCGGAAACGTGAAAACACCACCAAGCCAGCTGTGCCGCCCAAAAAGGTGGAGACAAAGACACCGCCGGTGGTTCCGTCCCCAGCGCACTTGTCACAAATGAAGTATGAGCGTGATCAACAAATTGCGCGAGCCTTTCAAGAGAGCAAGAATCAGCAGCTTCTTGCCATGCAGCAGCAACAACAACGTATGGCAAAAGGTCCGCCGACACCTGCGCAAATCGCTCAATTGCAAGCAGCTAGACAAACGCACGCACGTCAGCAATTGGCACAGCAACAACATCAGCAAGCGCAACAACAAGCACAGAATGGTGCTGTGAGTGTAGCACTCAATGGATCCATTTTGAATGGTCGCCCGGTACAGGTGTCAAGACCGTCGCTGGTTGGGCAGATGCCAGCACGGCCTGGCTCTCAGGGAACGCCGTTTGCATTGCCGAATGGCACAACGCTGCGGATCCCAGCAGGTCAACGACTGACGCAGGAGCAAATGGCCAAGTTGTTGCAAGAAGCACGTGCAGCAAAGGGGTTATCCCCTGGACAGCCCATGTCTCAAGCAGCGCAGCAAGTGCAGTTGCAACAACAGCAGCAGCAGCAGCAGCAGCTTCAACAACAACAGTTGGCGAAACAGCAGCAGCAGCAGCAGGCGCAGGCCTTGGCACAGCAAGCACGGTCACCGAAACCTGCTCCCAAGTCAACGGAGAAGGCTCGCTAGTATCGAGACACGGATCAGCGTAACATTTTTTGTACTTTCTACTGTAAAATGAGAGTCTATATTTGGTCCTTTGATTCTATTTTGGTGGCAGCGTTCTTGACGCATGCAACCATGCATTGCGCAGTTTCAGGGGGGAAATAAGTCTAGACTCGTTTTGCTGTTCGAGTGGCCTGCCTTTGGAGAAGTCAACGCCGGCAGTATTCCGCTCTGGCGTAAGCGAGCATGCGTGGTGGTGTACACGGCTTGTCTATTTGTCTACTGTTGATCAGGTGGAGACCAGACAGGAGTGATGCTCAGGTATGTTGTAAAAAGGCCCTCCTCTCAGTCCAAGCTGTTGCCAGCAGCTCATTTTCTCTTTGAAACAGTCAATCATGTCTCATCACAAACACGGACACGTCGTCAACGTTCATGAAGATTCCAACGTCAGCGCCGTCTTGGCGGACTTGCCGGATGATGTACGCAAGTATACGCACACGGAACTTCATGAGGTGAATTCCTTTTGCGTGAACAAGGATGCACCCACGTGGGTGCTTGACCAACTCAACCAGCATCGCTACGTCCATTCCGTTGAACGACAGACGACATTCAAGCACGCTTTCCAACCTGTTACGCCAGGTCCCAAAGTCCAGACGACAGCACCTTGGGGACTTGCCCGATTGAGCAGCAATGGACCGCTTGGCGAAGCCGAAGCCGATACTGTAGGCGAGCCAATTTACACGTACAAGTACAATGGCAGTGTTGCTGGTTGTGGCGTGACGGTGTATATGCTCGATACGGGTGTCATGACGGATCATGAGGGTTTTGAAGATCGCGTAACGGCACCAGAGGCTGCCAACTTTGCCTATCCCGGAAAGCTTCAAGCGGATGAAGTTGGGCATGGCACGTTTGATGCTGGGATTGTTGCTTCAACCCTGTATGGTGTTGCCAAGAAAGTCAAAGTTGTGAGTGTTCAGGTCTTTGGCCTGGATGAAGTCGATAATGTACCGATCCTGGCTGGCATCAACTGGGTCTTGCAGCAGTCAAAGCAGGATGAAGGGCAATCCATCATGTTTATGCCGATTGAGGGGGAAGTCAATGTTGCTGTGGAACGCGCCGTGAAGATGGCCATTCGCAACAAAGTCCACGTTGTCGTGGCTGCTGGCAATGCTGGCGTTGATGCAGGGGAGACATCACCTGCTCGAATGTCCACCCACACACCCGTCATCAGCGTTGGTGCAAGTCGTATTGATGACTCTTTTGCATCCTACAGCAACTTTGGACCAGCCGTGTCGTTGCATGCACCGGGATCGAGTATCTTGTCTGCTGCACCACAGAGCTCGACAGCGTCGACCGTGCGCAGTGGTACATCGCCAGCTTCTGCACATGTTGCTGGGTTGCTGGCGATGTACCTGTCTGATCCGGCTCACAAGTACCTGTCGCCAGCAGAGGGTAAAGCATTATTATTGAAGCATGCAACGGAGAGCGTCAAGCTGACTGAGGAAGCTGAAGCAGCCGAGACGACACGCAAGCTAGCGCACCTTTCACTCGCTTAAAAGCGTAGATTTATAGCACGAATGATGATTTGATGATATGACGAGAAGGTGTAGCTGTTACTGCTGTAGCTTTGTTGGTGCGGGTGACCTTCAGAACTCACAACACCACCACACACGCTCGATCTTTCATTGCTTTATTGCTAGAGCTCAGGCCATGTCACAGCTACTGCCGCTAGAGTAAGTGATGCTCCGCTCTTCAATGTGTCTTCTTGTCTGTTCTTTCCTCTGCTGTAAACCACGAAGCTGTGCGAATTGCCGAGCGATGCGCTAGACTGGTTGATGTGATGAGCTTTGGGATAGTCCTGCGAACAAAGGATTATCCTCTTCTGTCTTCATCTTAGGCTAGGTCCGGGGTCTGAGGCTATGAAGCTAGCTGCGCCCGTGGCAGGCTGTTGCTGTCCGTGCCGACACTGGTCTGCCACACAAGCCAGAAGGCAGTACCATCCATGAGCCTGAATTGGCACTTGTTTGACGTGCGCATCAGTGCTGTATGCAATAAGAATCGAGTGGATGAGACAAGCAGAGGAGAGGCAGCACACGGCAGACACAGTGTTGCCACTCACACATGCAAAATGCTAACACGACAAAAGACTGGTGGACAAGTGCGTTGGGAGTCAGATATGGGTGATTATGAAGGGGGACAAGGAGTTCTCTGGGCGGCTTGTTGGGTTTGATGACTATGTGAATATGGTGCTGGAGGATGTGACGGAGTATGATTCTGGGGCGAAGACTGGGGGCAAGTCTGTGGTGCACTCGAAACACGCTGAGATGCTGCTGAATGGCAATGGCATCTGCATGGTAGGCCCCTCTCTGCCTCTTTACTACTGTACTCTCTTGCTAACTCTGGCTGTAGCTTGTGCCTGGCTCGAGTCCGTAGATGTGTCCCATAGCAGAAAGAGCAGTCACAGGGTAAGGGACACACAAAACAGCAACAGGCAACACTCAAGGACAAGACTCAGTGGACAAGACCCATAGACAGAGACAGAGCAGAGCAGAGACAGACAGCAAGCACCATGTCGCGACTCTCAGAATACCAGGTCGTAGGCCGAAAGCTCCCAACAGAGAAGGAGCCAGTCCCCAAGATCTACCGCATGCGTCTCTTTGCGCCCAACACTGTATGCTATACTACTTGATACTATACTCAATGCAAGGCTAACCGCACAGGTCGTCGCAGAGTCACGTTTCTGGTACTTCATCAAGCAGATGCGCAAGTTGAAGAAGGCATCCGGTGAGATCATCGCCGTCAACCAGATCCTCGAGAAGCGTCCACTCAAGGTCAAGAACTTTGGTCTCTGGCTGCGATACGATTCACGCTCCGGCACACACAACATGTACAAGGAGTACCGTGCCATGTCCCGCGTCGATGCCGTTGAGCAAATGTACAGCGACATGGCAGCTCGCCACCGTTCGCGATTCCGATCCGTCCACATCCTCAAGGTCGTTGAGCTCGAGAAGACGGCAGATGTCAAGCGTCCATACATCAAGCAGCTCCTCGACCCAAAACTCAGGTTCCCCCTCCCGACCAGGCTTCCCAAGCAGGCCGGAGCAGGCAAGAAGATCTTCTCTGCCCAGCGTCCTGCGACTTGGTACTAGACTTCTTGACGTTATATACCTCTTTTAGCGCTAGTGAAAAAGCCCTTTCTGCATCCACCCTGACTATAACTACTACTACAAGTGCTTGTCCCATGCCATGAATACCATCTTGAGCGCGTCTGTCTGGTGTGAAGTCCACGGGCCAGTCAACATCTTCTGTACGCAGGCCATGGAACAGGCAGCGCAGCCAGACACACAGACACAGACACAGACACAGACAACGACATCCTCCGCTACGAGTGCTGCAACAGCGCAACAGACCCACCCTCTTCCACCGCGCTCCTCCAAAGCATCCTGCGCATCATGCAGCTTCACCCTCCCACCTGACCTGCAAAGCAGCGCTGCACCTCTCCTCAAAACACAAGATGGCAACCACGTCTACCTCTCACAACGCCATCCAACCGATCCTGAACGCTATAAAATCCTACGCAGCAGTTGCATCCGTGCCTTATCCGGAGAAATGGTACCCGGTCGTAGCGGACCCATTTTCTTTGGTGATCCGAGTATTGGGTATAACATTGCAACCATCTTTCGCTTGACTGATCATGCTGCTGGTGGGAGTACGAAGCGTACTTTTTGCTTCATGTGTACGAGCACGGAAGAACAAGATCTACTGAGGAGCTATACATTCATTACAGATCGTTTTGCAGCATTGGTGGAGAAATTGGTGGCAGCTTCACAAAATGCAACGCAACACGCTGTAGAAGCACAGGTGGAGTCGAGTATCGGCTTGCCGGTGGGTGAATCTATTGCATCGACACCTGCGCTGGTACCACAGGGTTTCCTACGCACAAAAGGACGTGCTGCTGCGTGTGGCTTGCCTGAATTGACGGGGATGCCGGATGTGTTTGTGCAAGTACATGCTGTCTTTGCTTGGCTGTTGCGTGCATGGATGCAGCATTTTGATGGGAAAGATGCCATGTCCTCTGCAGACAGTGTTTTGAACTGAGCTAGGTGTGACTTTCAAAGTTTGATTATGATGTATCCTTTAATGTACAGAGAGGCTCCCTTCCCACATCTCTATGAACCTAGCGTGAATTAACACTTGCAGTCGAGCACCTCCAAGATGGCAGGACCAGCAAGGATGTTGGAGTCATTGGGCACATCCGTTGATGCAGTGGCAACAACATACACCTGACCAAAGACATTGGCAGGGATGTTGGCGCTCAAGATACCATTAGCACCAACAAAGGCCTTGACAGGGGTCACTGTCAATCCATTGATGAAGTGAAGGTAGTAAGCCGTGTTGGGCTGCAATGTGATGTTGGCCTTGAAGGTGATGTAGTCGTTTGTGACGTCCAAACCAGAGGCGGGCACACCGGCCGTCACCATCAAGGTAGGGAAGGCCTTGACTGGGAGTGCTGGGTTGGTTGCCGGGCACGACGTGATGAAGGCCGAAGCGAGGGAGTACACCTCGTTGAAGTCAAGGGGTGTGTCGAAGGGTGTTGCAAAGGGACGCAAGCCCAAGTTGCTTCGAATGAACGAAGAGTGACGTGCTTCAACCGTAACAATGGCAGCTGCGGCCGTCAAGTAGGCCGAGTTATCAATGAATGAGGCAGCGCCAATGTAGGCGGATACACCAACACCTTCAAGGACACTGGCAAGCGAGACAAAGTCCTTGACGGATTTGTAGCCAAAGTTGTACATGCACTCGCCTGTTGCGGCAATGCCAGCAGACTTGAGCGCAGCCGTCAAGAAGTTGACGTGCGTCGCTTCGTCAGAGGCAATCTTCTTGAGATTGTCGTAGAAGTTCAAGCTGAAACCAGCGGCAAGGAAGTCTGCCTGGGTGAACTTGGCAAGACCGCCGCGGTAGAAGGCATTCTCGAGGTGCTCGAGGGTCTGTCAAGATTAGCAATCAATCCATTCAAGTGAGGAAACGTACAAGAGCATAGTTGAGGACGACACCGTCGTTGATGGCCGACTGGCGCTTGTCAACAGCAGTGGCTGCAGCGAGTGAAAAGAGTGTAGCAAGTGAGAATCGCATGGTGAAAGAGTGTCGGGGTTGCTGGGTGATGGTTGGGAAAGGGATGACAAGCGACAAGCGGTGATGTTATAGCGGAGGGAGGGCCATTCTCGCTGTGTTGTGCTGCGCTGCTGCGTACATTCCTAGGCCTCAAAGGCGTGGCCGGGGCTAACATGGCCAAGAATCATGGGGGAAGGCTCTGCTTCAGATGGCCGAGGACAGGCGTCCATGCCGACTTCATGGGAAACTTCAGGGCAAGAGGCAGAGCATTTCCTGAGCTTTGGGCAATGAGCGGAAGAGCGAGCCCGAAATTTAGCATTGGTTGTTGACAGCTGACAGATTACGTCGTTGACCTCCTTGAGAATAGCTCAGAATGGACACGATGGAGCTTAAAGCGGATGGAGAAGGTAATCTTTACCAAGGAGAGGATAGCACACGTTCAGGCCCAAAGGAGGCTCGTCTGCGATTTCTATTCGCTGGCTGTCGGGTGTGTTGTTGTTCCCCTTGCTCAAAACCAAACAATTGGCTGGACATTGTTGAAAGCGGTTCTTGGAATGCAATCTCCCTCACGTTTATCACGCCCAGATCAGTTTCCACATTCAAGGCTGTTGACTGTTGTATGCGATTGTATCATGATTCATGTAACATGTATGTCTACGACTAGAGCTTACTAAGCTTAGCCTTACTGGCTCTATCTACGTGCACAACGAGTTTTCCCGTGTTCTTGCCGTCAAACAACATTTGCAATGCTTGCGGAAGCTGCTCAACGGAACCCTTCACGACATGCTCTTGCTTCGTGAGCTTACCCTGCGAGTACCACTCAGCAAGCTTCTCGCGCGCGCTGTCGTACTCCTTCTCATAGTCGAAGACGATGAAACCCTCCATACGGATCCTTTGCGAAATGATGTTTGTGTAATACGCCGGGCCAACGGGCTTAGCTTTCAGATACTGAGAGACCGCGCCGCAAATGACAAACACGCTCTTGAAAGCAGCCCTCTTAAAGCAATTGTCGAGGACTTCTCCACCGACGTTGTCGAAGAAGAAATCGATAAAGTTTGGCGTGACCTTGCAAAGATCCTTGTAAAAAGTCTTGGACTTGTAGTCAACAGCCTCGTCGAATCCATTCGCCTTCAGGAACTCGCACTTCTCCTTTCCACCAGCAATACCGATGACTCTCATGCCATAAATCTTGGCAATCTGACCAGCCATGATTCCTGTTGCTCCAGCGGCTCCTGAGACGACAACGGTTGAGCCCTTTGGCTTGTCTGCGATGCGGCCACAATTGATCATGCCAAAGTAGGCAGTCAGAGCAGTCATGCCAAGCACGCTTTGGTAGTCTCCAGGGACGATACCGTGCTTGCCCACCAGCTTGAGAGGCTCAACGTGTTTTGCCTTGATGGTGGCATACTCTGTCCAGCCGGTCGTAGCAAGGACATAGTCGCCGGCCTTGTACTCGGCCGACTTGGATGCCACTACTTCAGAAATGGCAGAACCACGCATCACCTCGCCAATCTTGACAGGAGGTACGTAGCTGCGCGCATCATTCAGCCAGCCGCGCATGGCTGGGTCGAGCGAGTACACGGAACCGCGAAGAAGTAGCTCACCATCTTTAAGGTCAGCAGCTGAGAGCGGCTTGTTTGTGCGCGTCTCAAATGTGCTGCTTGTGATGGTCGACTGAGGACGCTCTTTGAGATGCACAGACTTGAACATGACGATAGATGCTTGATGAATGAGTAGCAGACTCGACAGATGAGGAGAAAGCGCGGGATTATAAAGCTTTGAAATGTCGTTGTAGCCCCCACGTCTCGAAATGGCATCTCCGGACTGCGCCTGGCTGTGGCACAGCACCATCGGACGCAGACAATCGCCGCTGTCCGTGAGGCCCAGGCAGCAGGCTAGGCTATCCTCTCAGCTTCACTGTATGTACTGATACTATTCAGTTGGTCAATTGAATCAGAAGGCTTCAATTGATAGGATTGTACAATTTGTGGATATAGAAATAGTAAGGTCTCGAACTTCAAGGATGCTCTAAAGTCTGGCAAACGCCAGGGGTACTTCCTCCATCAAGGACAGCCAGTCACTGACGCAAGGCATTGGAGCCGGTGCAATATCTCTCGCTGAAACAGAGCCCAGTGCATTGACCACAAAAATAGCTGCCAACTTGGTAAGACGACCCTCTAGCGGCACACGATGACCTTCGCGATGCGTTTGCACGACCGGCTGTCTACAGTCTGATGCGAGTGCCATGCTCCATCTGTTCGGGATGATCTTGTCGCCAATGCAGTAGTACAGCAGGCAAGGCGTAGTGATGTCGCGGTAGAGAGGAGCAAAGCGAAACGTCGGGACTTTGCAGCCGCTAAAGAGTACGGCAAATTTGAAGGCCGGATGTGCAATGAGCGGTAGGTTGCATTCTGCTGCAAGAGCGGGATTCTCAAGCAGTGATGCGAGTGCAACACCGTATGCAGCTCCCTGACTGAACCCGATGATACCATCGAAAGGTCCCTCTGTCTCTAGGATGCCTTTGAGGTATTGCAAAGCAGCTTCGAGACCAGAAAATTGGCGCTGCCAGTCGAGATAGTTGTGGTTCCAAGCATAGAGTGGACCGCCGCGCATCTTGACGGGTATTGTAGAAAGATCTTTAGAGTTGTTTGGTGACAGCGTGATGTGTGCTGTTGGGAAGTAGAAAGAAGATCCAGGCAAGTTGCTCTCAATATCTGCACAGAGTTGTTTTGTCCAGGCCTGGAAGATGCCTCCGGACTGTCCAAAACCATGTAAGCACAGGATCTTTGCCATAATGAAGGTAGTGTAGTGTTCAGTGCAGGTTGACTACTAACATGTGGTAGGCGAGCAGTGGTACTTGTACCTGAGCGCTGATTTCCTCGAGCGTGTGCCATCTGATGAGAAATTTCCACTTTCGGCAACCAAAAGGTACGCTGCGAAAGAGTGTACCTGAAAGCCGTTGAGTCTGTCAAAGGCAGGTGTCAGGCTCTCAAAGACCGTGATCTGCCCCGAAGACGAGACAAAGCTGTTGCGAAGGTCCCAGGGCTCGCTCAGACCTTCCCTTCTTGCCTTCCAGACGGGCAAGTCTCGGATACTTTGTTTAAGAGCAGATGAGACATGCTGGCCTGCGAGGACGATGAGTCAGACGGAAAGTATGCTCCTCTCTAGAAGTTTTTGAGGGCATGAATCAAGTCTTCTGAAAACACTCATAGCAGAGTAAGCAGACATATCGTAAGTAAAATGTTTAGCTGTTCACAGAGGCCTGATGTTGACGGACAAGTACTCTGAGGCTTGAGGCATCAACGACACAGGCTTGATTGTCCCGTTGTCAGCCTTTACACGCTGGCAAGCGGTGTGGGTCACACCCGGATGTATAAGTCTTAGCAATCCCAACCGAGCCATTACTTGAGATGCCTATGGCAAAGAAGAGGTCGAGACACGGGTCATCCCGGTCGCTAGCTGAGCACAGAGTAACGTATCCAAGCAGCCATACCCAGCTCGAGTGGACATATCTAGAAGTGGTGTCAGGAGCAAGGAAGAGTCACTGGCGGGAGTGCACGTGCTGCCTCTTGCCAACACCACAGATCGCGCACATCAATCGCGCTTTCACGTTCGCTCTCTCGAAGCAGGCGTCCCCTGCCGCTCCTCGCGCCTCGTTCGCCATGGTACAGTTCTATCAGGATACGCTCCTCTACCTAACGGATACTGAAAAGCGTACGCTCGCCACAGACTTGACACGATCGCGCGCGCTAACCTTCCACTAGTTGTCATCAAAAAGATTGAAATATATGGCGGAGAGGGTGCGCCGATTGTCATTGCGCCAAAGAAGGGCAAGGACATGCGCTATACAGTCATGCGCGACCAAGCGCCCGTTGAGTTTGTGCAAGATCCCGAAGCGGCCGGCTTGCCCGTGTCGCTCCTCAAATTGACACAGGCGGATAACCTCGAAATCAAGTTTACATTTACGCTGAAGCAAGGCGCGCTATCGGGCTTCACCTTTGCGACTGGATCGTGTGTCGCTGAGATTGAGCGACTCTTTACAGCTGGCTACCATGCCGACAGCAACATTCAAAAACACAAGAACGTGCGCTTGCTCGGACACTACAATGCCGGCAATGGAGACTTCCCCGTCGAGATTGAGTACATTCATCAATGGACGCCCGATTCTGTTGCTACACACGGCTGGAAGTGCGTCTGCAGCTTTGCGGAATTCAACGCAAAGGAGAATCGCTTCAGTACCTTGGCCTTTGTTCCGTTTTGGGTCCAGCATAGAGATATTGACGAGGTCGGGGCACTACCGAAGCGGCCTTCACGTCTTGCCATGCCATCTTATTCAAGCAGTGCCGAAGACTCACATCGCCCGGAATCACCGGATATCATGACGCCTGGTTTGGAATCAGCGCCGGCCTTTGAGCCGCTCATGTCGCTGACCACGCAAGCGGATGAAGATGAGACTCCGGATGATGGGCCTGTCTTTCGTGCCACCTTGGCTGGTCTGGAGGGCAAGACGGCTGCTTTTCGATTGCGCGTGAAGAAGCTTATCAAGCGTGCATCCGAGGCGCGCGAGTACTATCGTGCGTGGTCAGAGGCACAGCAACGGCTTCAACAAAGTATGTTTGCCATTGCAGACACGAATCCTTCTGCCATGAAACCTATTCTTGACAGCTACTTGGGCACAGCGTTTCAAAAGCTCTGTACGTTCCGCGATTACGAGGATCGGTTATTGCAACTTTACATTATTGATCCGTTGCGGAAATTGTATGAGCAGGACATCAAGGCCGCGGAGGGAAAGAAGCGTGAGTTTGAGGAAGAGTCCCGAGATTACTATGCATTTGTGAGTCGCTATCTCAGCAAGAAGCATGATGCGAGCAAGAAGCTCGAAAAGGATGGCAAGTACTCTACACGCAGGAAGAACTTTGAGCTCAAGCGATTCGACTATTACTGCTACATGCAGGATCTCCATGGCGGTCGTAAGGAACAGGAAGTGTTGAGGCAAATGACACTGTTCTCTGAGAAGCAAAGTGATGCATTACTCAAAGTCGGCAGTACGATCCAGGAACTCAAGCCTGCGCTAGATGGGCTTTTGCTCGAAGTTGAGAATGCTCGCAATGACTTCAGACTCGCCCGGACGGAACGAGAAGAGAAGCGTCGACTGATAGAGAAAAATGAAGAACAGGATGAGCCCATCGAAGCTGAAGCGCGGCGCAAAGAAGGTATACTGTGGGCGCTTGCCAAGCCTGGTCTTCACACAGATCCCAAAGTTGTTCAAAAACTCAATTGGCACAAGTTTTGGGTTGTTCTTGCTGGTGGACAGATTTCAGAGTACCGGGATTGGAAGGAAGGCGTCAACCATACTGGTGACCCTATCGACTTGCGCATGGCGACTGTCAGAGTCGCTCGCAATGTGGATCGACGCTTTTGCTTTGAGATAATCACACCGCACATCAAGCGTGTCTATCAAACGACAGGCGAGGAAGAGCTCGAATCTTGGATCAAGCACATTACTGCTGCTATTGAGGGCTTGCTTGATGGCAGTGCTTCGCAAAAATCATTTGACATTGAGCGTGTCCAGCATAACAGAGAAGTGAAGCAGACTGGCGGCAATGCAGGTGCCATCTTTGGCAGCTCAGGCAGTCGTCGGTCAACGCTCAGCACTGAGTTGCTTCGCAACAATAAGGAAGATGCACGCCGGTTATTGAGTGTGCTACGTGACGCTGACCCGATGAATGGCATGTGTGCGGATTGTGGCAGTACCAGCAAAGTCGAGTGGTGCAGCATCAACCTGGCAGTGATTTTGTGTATTGAGTGTTCTGGTGTGCATCGCTCCCTTGGCAGCCACATCTCGAAAGTCAGGTCGTTGACAATGGACAGCAGCTTCAATGCAGACTTGGTGGATTTAATGTGTCAAATTGGCAACCGGGTGAGCAATGCCATCTATGAGGCGACGTTGTGTCGCATCAATGCAGCTTTGAAACCGACAGACAAGTCTACGCCAGAGACGCGGACACGCTTCATCACTGCCAAGTATGTGGATCGTTCTTTTGTTGAGTACCCCTCCATTTCACCAAATGATGTCTTGCTTGGTAGTTTGGCATCCGGCAATGTATCGGCTGCGTATGGCGCCCTAGCGTCGCGTGCTGACCCGAACGTCGTGGATGAACATGGCCAGTCGGCGTTATTGCTCTCTTTGATGAGCTTGTCGCCGCCCTCGTCACCCACAACCACGGCGAGCGGATTCACCCTGCGTGACGAATCAACCTTTCCCCTGGCAGAATTGCTCATACAACATGGTGCAGAGCTGCCTGCGGATACGAGCAAACTGTCACAGCAGGCTAAGAATTACATCTCTGGCAAGTTTCGACAGGAAGCAGCAACTGTGGCACCTTTACAACGGTCCATCAGTAATGCTAATGCGTCGATTGTCAATGGTGCGCATAAGCTGCAGAAGCGAATCAGCAGTAGTGGGCAACGGATGATGCTGAAGCAGCAGCCGGCCAAGTAATGAGTGATGATTTGGGTGAAGTTACTATTCTATATCTGACATGATTGTAAAAGCCAAGATATCTTCCTGCTTGGGCCCCTCTGTGAAGGCTCTGTCCTCAATCTCTGCCATTCTCTGGTCAGTGGTCACCCTCCTCCCTTGAATTTATTTCTGAGCACTGACGACGCTCAAACGCGAACCTCCCAAGACGATCCTTCTTCCGCATACATCCACCTTAGAAACGACATGGACAAGATCAAGGTAAGGCGACACCCTGCCAGAGACGCGCCCATGCTAATTCTGGCATAGGAGAAACTCGCTGCGCTGCGTACAGAGACCGATGCCGCTACAGCCAAGCATGAAGAGGCTGCAGGACGCGTCAAGATCCTTGAACAGGAAAACACGCAGAAGGAGCAGGAGATTGCTAGTTTGACGCACAGGAATGGTTTGTTGGAGGCTGAAGTGGATAAGTTGGAACAGCAGGTCAAGGAGCTCAAGAACCAGGCTGATGATGAGAGTGGTACTCGCGTAAGGATGAACGATACCTTGGCATGGTCGAGGCTAATTGGCAGAACACGAATGAATCTCTTTCGCGCAAGGTGCAGCTCCTAGAAGAAGAGCTCGAAACGAACGACAAGAACCTGCGTGAGACGACAGAGAAGTAAGACGAATGCATGAATGGGAGGGCAGGCTAACAGACAGGCTGCGACAGGTGGACGTCAAGTCAGAGCACTTTGAACGACGCGTGACTGGCTTGGAGCAGGAACGCGATGCCATTGAGAAGAAGTACGAGGAGTTGCTCGAGAAGTACAACACGACAAAGGCTGAGCTGGATGAAGTGATGAAGCAGCTTGATGATCTTTGAACTTGTAGGTCTGATATTGTTCTACAAACAACTTCATTCGCCTGCCATGTCCTGCGCTAGGCTACTTCTTCTTTGCCTTCTTTTCGCCTGTGATGGTGCGCCAAGTCTTGAGACACAGCTCGCTGACTCCTTGATCTGCCAATGCGTCTTTGTGGACCCAAGTGCCGTCCGTGCAGGCAGTCCGTGAGCCAGGCAAGGAGTCGAGCACATCGAGTGAGGATGCAGTCAAGATGGTCGACTGCCGCTTGATGTGTGTGAAGAGATGAACGGTGATGCCAACAACCTGGATGCCCTCCGGCAAACTCTTTGAGCTGACTTCTTCCTCCAGGAGATGTGAAGGAAAGTCAAACAAGCCAGCTAGCAAGCCAGTCTGTTTACGTTCGAGGTAGACCTGGTCGCCTTTTCTGACAACAACGACAAGTGCATGCTCGAGTCTTTGTTGCTTCTTGGCAATCTTGAGGGGGTAGTGCGTTTCAATAAAATCGCGTCCAGCAGGCAACGCAATGGCTTCCTGTGGGCAAATTGGACAAGGCTCAGGAAGATCCTCAATCTCAAGCTCGAGCACAGCTGCTTTGCGCTTCTTGAAGAATGGCGAAGCCTGCTTGAGCTGCGTGTATTGTCGATACGCTCGGCATTCTTCCCGTACTGGACAAGACGCACAGGTCGGCTTGACGGGGGTACACACCGTTGCACCCAACTCCATGAGTGCTTGATTGAAAGTACCGGGCTGATTGCCTGCCTGTTCAACAAGCAACGCTGATTGCTGCCAGATGAGCTTGCTGCCTGCTGACTTAGGAGTCTTGGTGTCTCCGCGGATTGCAAGGAATCGGGAGAGCACGCGTTGTACGTTGCCGTCGACAATAGGAGCCGAGAGGCCACATGCAATTGAGAGGACTGCGCCTGCGGTGTAAGGGCCAACGCCGGCGACGTGCTTGACCCACGTAGCCACATCATTGGGGAAGGGCAACGTTTCAGCAACGTAGGTAGCCTGCAAGTACGCACAAGCTTCTTGCAACCGTTTAGCGCGCGAGTAGTAGCCTAGCCCTGCCCATAGCTTGAGGACATCTGCTTCAGGCGCCTCAGCAACATCAGCGATAGTTGGAAACCGTAGCATCCACCGCTGGAAGTATTCAATGACCGTGGCAACTTGTGTCTGCTGCAACATGGTCTCTGATACGAGACAGAGATAAACACGCTGGACATGCTCCGTGTACGGAGCAGTGCCAAAGGGAACAGCGGGCACGCGCCAAGGCAGGACGCGTGCTTCTTTGAGGTACCAAGCTTGCAGGGCCGTGGAGATGGTGGATGCTTCTTCTGCGGATAGATCATGGAGCGAGCTTGGATGAGGAGAGCGCGACATGGACAGACTGCATGGAGATCAAGGCAGTAGCACTGTAGCAGATGTTGAGTAGTAGTAGTCCACTGAGTCTGAATGTATTTCTGTCTTTCTCCTTGGCGCCAAAAGAGCAAAACTTGGACTGCAGCCAAGGACTCCCTCTACTCTACAAGACCCGACGCATTACTCTTCTACCTCAACAGAAGCATGGAATACGCCAATGTAGCACGCGACGCACTCGCATCGCTCCCTCAGAACCTCAGCTCAATCCGCTCGAGCGACCGATTCGCCAACCTGCGGCCCATCAGCGAGTTCCTCGACTTCAGGCGCATTAGCAAGCCTCAGGGCTTTGGTGAGGTTCAGTCGCGCATCTCCTACAACTTAGGACGCTACTCGAGCAACTACTCTGTCATTTTTGCCCTCCTGGCCATCTATGCGCTCATCACGAACCCGCTGCTCCTCTTTGTTATTGCTCTGGCTGTGGGCGGTATGCTGGGTATTGGCAAGCTTGCTGGTGAGAACCTGACGGTTGGTCCTATCAGCTTGACTACGAGCCAGCTGTATACGACGCTCGTGTGTATTTGTGTGCCGCTTGGCTTTATTGCGAGCCCAGTCAGCACCGTGTTTTGGCTGCTTGGCGCAAATGGCTTCATCATCCTTGGTCATGCTGCCCTCATGGAGCCTCCTGGTAAGCTACCCTCTTGTCATGAAGTCAATGCTAACATTGAACAAGTTGAATCACAATTTGAAGAAGTCCAGCAGGCAGTCTAAGTACTGTACTTTAGGCAAGGACACATCCTGGACTGGCTACCTATAGAAATTACACTCACCCACTACACCATACCTGGACTAATGAAAGAAATTCTTCCTCCATCGCTGCTGATTCGCTATTTCTGCATCCTCCTACAGCTGACTGAGCTGCTAGCTGCCATTCGGACAGTAGACGCTTGCTTGGGACTTCCATTTCCGCTTCTTCCCTCTGTCCATCCTCACTCAAGCGTCTGGATACTCCCGCACTCGTTCGAATGCTACCAACGGTGCGGCTGTGTCTGTTCCCACAACAAGGGGACATCCCAACGCACAGTATCTTTCAGTGACACGCCGTTTTATCATGCTACCTTCTATTCTAAGCATGAAGCACCGGGCCTCTTCGGTCCGACATCACATGCTGTCCCCTGAGCTCTTCTTTCTCCGCTGCAATTTGCAATCCAAGCTGCTGCGCTCAACTAATCCTCAAACAATGCAATTTCCCGTTGAATGACGCTTCGCTCTTGTCTGGGCCCTTCGTCGACAGACTCGACGCATAATGCACTGGACACCGCCTTTTTCCAAGCGCAAGGTGACCTACCTCAGCAATGAGCGGGATCATGGCGACGTTGGCATGTTCACAGCCTCTGACGATCAACAGTCAGGGGTCCCCAATCAGGAGAGAAGCTGATGGAAGTAGACCTGCGTGAGGGCCCTATAAAGGGGTCGTCGAGGATGGTCTGCTCGCCTGTACCTCATCCAACACATACACACAAGCTGTACCCATTCACAAGCTAAGAAAAAGAAACATCCTCGGGTCATGCACATCTCTGCTCTCCTCTACTGCTTCTACGCTGCTGCCGTGTTGGCCCAGGCACCTCCAGCACCATCGGCCGGTACTGGTATGCCTGGTCCTGCTCCTCCTGCCTCACCCACGCCCGACAACTCTGGCAACAATCCACCGCCATCAACAGCCGATCCACCTACGCCAGGGACACCAGACACACCCACGGCTCCTCCAGCCTCGCCAGCTAATGGAGGTCCTGCTGCTCCTGTTACCGTCAACGGCAAGTCACCCATCCCAGAACCTCCTTCACCACCTGCTGGTCTTGCTGCACCACCTGGCGCACCACCTGCTGGTGCTTCTTCTCTCCCACCGGATCTCATGACGCCTGCTTCGACGGGTCTTCCAGCAGCACCGACCGGTACAGGTTTGGCAAGCAGTGTCTTGGGTGACAATACAACGACCTCGTCTGATTATGGTACCGACTCGGGAATAGGACTTGGTTCGACTACGGGCACGAGTACACCGCCTACAGGAACGCCTGCGTTGGAAGGTGGTTCGAGTGGTGCTGTGAGTGGCCACTCCTTCTTGTTGTCGTCGATGCTGGCGGTTGTCTTTGCTGCTGCTACTGCGCTTCTGATCTAGGCTTGCAGCCGTTCGATGACTCTTGTTCCCCGATGACATTGACGACCTGGCATGTCTCTATCAACCTCCCCTCACAGCATCTGTTATGAGCCCTTTGTTGGACATTAGACTTGCAGCATAGACTAGTAATGAACAGAAAACCACGCTACAAAGTATGAACATCAGAATGAGAGAGTCGCAATGCTTAAAGTCATGCCCAGTTGACCATTTATTTTAGGCGTTGATACTTTGGTTGACTATAGCTCACCCCTCGCTGCACCTGCCGCTCTTGCAAAGGCCTGTCTATCGCCTGTCGTCAATTTTGGTTCCCCGAGCATGGTCCGTTCAAGTACGCGATCGACACGTCCCTCGATATAGTACCAGAAGCGCGCGACCATGAGTTTTGCATGACTCGGCATGGATGTGTAGATGGCAAAACAGAGCAACACCATGAGTAACGTGAGGGTTGCATTGATGATGAGTTGTTCAGCAGGGGTAAGCATGTAGAGTCCGAAATTGACATCGTACTGGTACTTGATGCGTTGGAGGTAGCTGGGTGGTTTTGGCTTGATGATGGCTGGCTGGAAGTGTTGGGTGTCGTCGTCTTGGAGTGTGGAGGGTGTCCGTATGGATGCGCTACTCATGGACATGGCTCCCTCCCTTGCCTCTTGCCTGTGTAGCTGCTGTAGCCCTGCTATAGTGTAGCTGTAGCTGTAGTGTAGCTGTTGCTTGCTGAGTTGTCGTCACTTTCGCTGCTTCACCCTCGAACAACCTCAACCAGCAGGAAGCAGCAGGGAGCAGTACTGGTGACAGAGTAGAGAGCCATGTACAACGGGTACGGAGGCCAGCAGGGCTATTCAGGTGCAGGTGGGTATGGACAGCAACAGCAGCAGCAGCCTATGCAACAACAGCGTACAGGTTTCCAACCTACGTCAAGCTTCGGACAGCAGCAATTTGGTATGCAAGGCCAAGCAGGACAGCAGCAGCAACAGCTAGGAGGACAGTCAATGCCCTATGGACAAGCTACACAGGGATCAGGCTTTCAGCCGCAGCAAGGTGGATTTCAACCACAGCAGACTGGCTATCAACCGAGTCCTGCTGGGTTCGGCGGTATGGCAGGTCAAGCGATGGTACAGCAGAGGACAGGCTATCAAGCGCCGCCTCAGCAGCAGCAGTTGCAACAGCAGCAAACTGGATATATGCCATATGGACAGCAAGCGCAGCAACAACCACCTATGCAGCAGCAAGGCTATGGTATGCAAATGAATCAGACTGGTTTTGCTGGCTTTGACAACAACTTTGCCTCCCAGCCGCTCTTCAATCCTGTAACGCAGCAGCAGCAGCAACAGCCTCAACAGCAGCAACAAGCTCAACAAGCTGCACCAAAGTTGAAGCAGCAAAAGACGGGCGCCAATATTCCCAGCCAGCGTCTTTCTTTTGTCTCTGCCGCTGAACAGCAGAAGTTTGAAGACTTGTTCGCTAAGGCGGTGCCGTTCAATAAGACTGCGCTCGAGGGAGAAGAAGCCAAGAAGATCTTTCAAAAGAGTGGGCTTGGCGCTAGTCAGTTGTCACGTATTTGGGCCTTGTCAGATACAACGCGTTCTGGTCAATTGCTGTTTCCAGAATTTGTGCTGGCCATGCATCTCATCAATAAAGCGCTCAAGGGCGGACCATTACCGAGCAAGGTTGATGATACAACGAGCAACGAAGTATCGAGCATGGTGGACTACATTGCTTTCAGCGCTCCGGATATCGCTCCACCCACGCCTGCACGACCTGCCAACAGTAATGGACAATTCCAACCAATTGCCAATGCGCCCAACTTTGAGAGCAACACGGCACTCCTTGGCTCAATTCAACCTCAGCCGTCTCTCTTTCAAGCACAAGCAACTGGATTTCAGCCTCAGCAGACTGGCTATCAGCAGCAAGGTGGCTTTCAGCCTCAACAAACTGGCTTCCAGCCTCAACAGACTGGTTACCAGGTTGGGCACGGGTTACAACCCGGTCTGACGGGTATGCAACAGCCCGGCTTGACGGGCATGGCACCACTCATGTCACAACAAACAGGACCTGGTGTCTTTGCCGCTCAGTATGGCATGCAACCCTTGACAAGTCAGCCAACAGGTCGACCTGGAGAATGGGGATTTGTGAATGCACCAGCGCAGGGATTACCAGGGATGCAAGCGCTAGGTATGCAAATGATGCCTGGTGCACAAGGTCAAATGTTTCAACCTCAACAAATGCAGCAGCAACAGGCTGAAGTCCCATGGGCCATCACGAAGCAGGAAAAGGCCATGTTTGATACGATTCACAAGGCTTGGGATAAGAAGAAGCAAGGGTTCGTTGAAGGTCCAGTTGCGATTGAGATTTTTGGACAGTCTGGATTACCTCGCAGTGACCTCGAGCTTATCTGGGCATTGGCTGATGCGGATGACAAGGGGAAACTCAATGCGGATGAGTTTGCCGTTGCCTTGCACTTGATTTATCGCAAGCTGAATGGCTACGAGATTCCCATGCAACTTCCACCAGAGCTCGTGCCGCCTTCGACGCGCAACTTTGGCGAGTCCATCAATCAAGTCAAGAGCATGCTGCAACAAGACGCGAGCTCCAGGAATGGACCGACCAGTTTCATGAAGAACAGGTCGTTTAAGGAGATTGCGCGTGATTATGCAAAAGATGGAACAGTATATAAGCACGACGACTCGGATGTCGGCTACGTCTCTTCTGCACGTAGACGCGCTGCAAAGCCTGTTCCAGAGCAACCCCGTTCAGATGATTTCTCATCTTCATCGAGTATCGCTGATCTCAAGAAGCGCATTAAGGAGAAGCAAGTCATGCTCGATGCGATTGACGCGCGGGATGATGCACAACAAGGTCAACGCGATGAAACAGATATTAAGGCAAGACAGGAGGCCGACAGTCTCAAGCGCGAAGTTCGCAAAGTACAAGCAAAACTCGATGCGCATGCACATGCTCACCTCTTGTCGCAAGATGATGCGCGTGAAAAATTGGTATTGCAAGGACAACTTCGGCAGTTGGTGGATCAACTCCCTAGTATTGCCTCTCAGGTACGCATTGCCGAGCGTCGGATCCAGGAATTGCATATGGAAATTTTTACTGCTCAGGATAGGAAGCAGAATCCCGGTGGTGCGACACTCAAGGGAACAGGACCCGGCGGCGTTGTGACGGAGGCGGATCGTAGAAAGGCCAAGACAAAAGCTATGATGGAGGCAAGAATGGCTGCTCTGACCGGTAAACCTGCGCCCAAGACTCTTGGTGATGATGACTTTGAAGCCGCTCAAGCAAGGCAAGCTACAAAACAAGCTGAACTTGCCAAGACGCGCGAATCGAACGAGCAAATGATTAAGGATATTGAAGAGAGTGCGGATCAGCTCAGGCAGGATATCGCTGCTGCATTGGGATCAGCACAGGCGAGTAGTGCTGGTGAGCATGAACGTCGGCGTTGGCAAGATGCTGTTGGCGTTGAACCAGAGGTGCGTGATTTCATACGCGAGCTGTGGTCTGCGAGACCTGCTGCGTCGACATCAAGTGCTTCCGTCAGTGCGCCACGTGCTGAGGCTAGACCTGCTGTTGCAGTAGAGCAAAAGGCCGCAGTTGTTGAGGATCGTGCTGCGTATCTTAAGCAGCAAGCTGAGCAGCGTATGGCGGAACGTCTTGCAAAACTTGGTATTCGGCCTACTAAGAAGACGCGTGAGCCACAAGCATTGTCGAACAATGAAGAGGCTCCTCCAGCACAGACACCCGCAGATCAGCAAGCAGTCAAGCAGGTGTTGCAGGAAGAGAAAGACAAGCAACATGCAGAGATCCAAAGAGTCGAAGCACAAGCGAAGCGTGCCGAGCAGGAAGTCAAGGAGGCTGAACAGAAGCAGCAAGCTGAAATAAAGCGTGTCAAGACTGCTCAAGCAGCTGGAGAATTGGCTCAGCAGGATGCAGCAAAGCAAGCAAAGGCAGCAGCCAAGCCAGTCGACTCGCGACAAGCCAAATTGGAAAAGTTGCGCAGCGAGCGTGCTGCAAGAATCGCCGAAGAAGAGCGACTCGAGCGTGAATTGATGGATGCATCCTCGTCTGATGATGAAGCACCTTTGCAAGTGCAAACGCAAGAGAAGCCTGCTCAAGCGGAAGCGGTCGCTCCTCCCGCACCGAGCCACAACCCTTTCCACAAGCTTCAGGCATCCACCCCAGCACAGGAGACGAGTACAGAAACAAATCCATTCCACAAGATGGGGCAGCAGGCAAAGGTTCCTGAAGCAGCGCCCATCGTTGCGCCTGTGGCTGTCGCGCGGCCTCCCGTACAAGCTCCTCCCAGACGAGTCAATGCGCCGCGTGCGAGGCCTCAGAAGAATGATGACTGGGACAGCGATTCTGGTGGTGATGAGGATAGCTCCTCTGACGAGGAAGGTCCATCTCCGGCAGACTTGGCAGCCCGATTGTTCTCCGGTGGTATGCAACCGCAACGCACAGGTGGCGCTGCGACTCCACTGGGTGCGCAACGAACTGGACCTGCTGCTACGCCCTTGGGTATGCAGCGCACGGGCGCTACGTCCACACCACGTGAGGATTCTTGCATGATCGAGACGAAGACTAACTGTGCAGCTGTTGCAAAAGCCCCTGCACCACCTCTTGCACCGCCAGCTCCTCCCGCAGCGCCGCCTGTTCCACAGGGCATGCCGCCTATTCCATCAGCTCCAGCTGGATTACCTCCACGTAAGACTTCATTCAATTTCTACCCATTGCTAATACCCTAGCACCGCCACCAGCGCCGCCTATGGGAATGCCGGGGATGCCACCTCGTAAGTCCTTCGAGTATCGATCAGGAAGAGTGCTGACAATAGCTGCCCCGCCACCTGCACCGCCCGCGCCGCCCATGGGAATGCCCGGTCTACCACCTCGTATGTGCTTGAGTCAGACTGAGAAGACCTTGCTAACTGTAGCTCCTCCACCGATGATGGGTGGGCTGCCTCCTCCCCCTACGCCTGTTGCGTCTATGCCATCTGCTGGTCCTCAAGACCGCAGTGCGCTGCTACAAGGGATTCAAGCAGGCAAAGCTCTGCGAAAGACCAAGACGGTTGAGAAGGGAACGGAGGTTGGAGGACGCGTCCTGTAGACCTTGCTTGCTTCTCTTTCTGTAGTGTACAAGTACAAGTAGAGTCTTAGTAGACCATCCAGTAACTTCCCTTCCATCTGATCTTGCTGGCGCGTCAAAGGGAAGAACAGCGCGACAAACGCAGACTCAAGCTTGGACTCGCCAAGGGAATGCAACAGACTGATACTGCATTGGAGTAGACAGGCAACGCCATGCTCATCCTATTGGCCCTGTCGTACATCGGCGGCACGGTCGGATTCATACTCGTCACCCTCAGTATCGCCTCTGGCCTCTACTATGTCTCTGAGTTTGTTGAAGAACACGCCCGCTTCTCAAAGCTGGTCATTGAGCGCCTCATCCTGCTCGTGGTCGCCTTCATCCTCTTGCTGATGCTGGTCGATGGTCTTTCTCCGGTGCTTGGCGTGCTTACACTTCTGGCGCATGGCATTTACTGGCGCAACCTCAAGGACTTCCCTGTCATCCACATGCAAAGTGTCTGGTTCATTGGCGCCATTTGCAGTGTCCTTGCAACGCACTTCCTATGGTTCAGGGAGTTTGGCAGACTACAGCGGGAATCAGCACTTCTGGCACAATCTGCCTATGGACGGCCAGGCGGATCAAGTAGTGGGTATGGCTATGGCAGCACGGGGCAACAAGTCCCGGGACAAGTGACATTCGGACAAGTCTCGAGCTTCTTTGGCATTTGCGTCTGGCTTGTCCCCTTTTCACTCTTTGTGTCTCTATCGGCGGGCGAAAATACATTACCGCTTAGTACGCCCTCACGCGCTTCGTCGCCGTCACTCGGTGGTATTGATGCAGCGGATGGCAAACTGGCAGGCACGCAGCGAGGAGGCGGCCGCCAACGTGCAGGTGGACTCGTGAAGCAAGTGTACAAGCGATGCGGCGAGGTGCTTCAACCAGTCTTGCAGTCTCTGGGCATCACAAAGGAGGAAGATGAGTATACTCGGCGGACAGGACATTTTGCATAGAGATCACTCTTTATTCTTGTACGATACGTTTAATTGCTCAGTGGAAATGCTGAATGGCCTAAGCTGCCGTAGGTGCAGCTGTCTCTGTCTCCGTCGACTCTGTTGCGGTCGATGCTGCATCCCGAGAAGCGGATGACTGCTCCGTCCACTTGTAGCCACGAATGGTCGATAGGCCGCCCGTGTGCGTGACATTCGCCGGCCAGCTCGTCGCATGGTCAGCATCCGTAGGTTCTAGCCACTTGATGACAACAGGTAGCCTTTCGCCTGCCTCCCTCAGCGTAAATGTATCAATCGCTGCTGCAAGGTCCGCGACACTCGTGGCAATATGCTCATTCTCCTCCCTCAACCGTCTCTTTCGCGGCACATTGACAAATCTCGCTTTTTGATTACTCTCGACAGTCCCTTCACTCGCCAAGACCGAGGGGACGCGCTCATTTGCTCGCCAGCGGCGATAATCGAGGAGTCTGTTATAGACTTGATTCATCGTCCGTGATTCCGGCACAGCGCGAATCTTCTTCTTCTTTTCTGGGACAGGCTCATTTGTCTCTCGCGCAAACTCTACTTTGCAGAGCGGAACCCAATGGTCCCTGCGGAGAGCTGGCGGATGCAGCTTTCTGTTTGGTGGTAGTTGCGCAAGGGTGAGCTTGTTGGTGAGTGCCTTTTGCGGTGACTGCAGCACTTGCTTTGTGATGATGTGGCTGTATAGATAGAGGTTCTTGGAGTCCGTGAAGCCAGAGCGTACCATACTGGCTCTTTTTACAGCACACTCGCTCGATGCAGTTTCCCGTCGTCTTCATCCATGTCAAGCGCAAGAAACATGTCGTCTATTACGCAGTCACAACTAAAGACCAACGGAAAATGCCCAACAATGCTACATGATATGTTTTAGGATTCAGACTTTATCACTTGTCTTCTCCCTCAGATGCTGATACGTCCGTTGCGAACGTGAATGCTCCCGCTCCTTTTGATACGCATACCCAATGGTGCCTCCTGTGATGACCAAGATGGACACCATCTGCGGCCTTTCTAACCGTTCGCCGAGAATCATAACACTCAAGATACTTTGAAGGACGCCTCGTGCACCTGTTGTGATTTGATGGGTCGTTGGTGAAGTCAGCTTCAGCTGGACAAGAGCCAGGATGGCAGCGAAAAAGGTCAAGATGCCACACACCGAGGCCTTGAGCATGAATGAGCGAAGGCCTGCCGTTTCCCCGTTTGTCATGGCAGAGATGACAAGATGATCCGTATACTCTGTGCCGAGCAGAATCATGGGTAACGTAGCAGCTACAGCTGCCATGTTTGTCACGTAGAGCAAATCATACAAGGAGTAGTCATCCAATGTGCTCTTTGTGACAGTCAGATCGAGTGCTGCAAAGAAGGAGGAGAGTACGCCCACTGCAAGGCCATAATGTCCGCCAATATCTTGTATCTCTGTATGTTCAGAGACTGTGCCAAAGTAGAAGCCAAGACAAATAACGGCAATGGGAAGGAGACTTGTCCTGGTTGGCGGCGTCAAGAAGAGTGCTGACAGTCCAACTGCAAAGGGCAATACCAGCCCACGAACGAGGTTAAAGACTGTTCCATCGACTGCTTCTACGCAGTAACTTCTTGAAATGGCACTGAGCAGTTTCGATAGGATCAGCCAACGTAAATTTCTGAACGTTGATATGTGATGGTTGAGCGTTCGTAGCTGGAAGTAGCCCATGTAATGGCCACCCAGTATCATGAGCATCGTCATGAACGACTCTATCAGTAAGAGTAAGAGTGGTGCAGGCAATGACAGCAGAGCAGATTTGTTGAGCAGTGCTTGTAGAAGGAAAAGCACAGTTTGTATACTTAAAAGCGTGATGAGTGAGCTTCGTGTGGCCGCCTCGCCCCGCAGGAGGCTGAGCATACTAAAAGGAGCTTCAAGTCGCGTCTTGAAGCCAGTGCTTGAATGGATAGTGCTACAAGGCCAGTTTGGCAGTGCTGTGTTCGCTAAAGAGTGTGCGTCGTCGCGTCTGAAATGCGTCGCGTTTCAAGTTTTCAACTGAAGGCATGCATGAACTCGGAAGAATGGTTGCTTTGAATGCTAGGAACGTATGATGCAAATGCTATAGTCTGCTGGCCTGAAATCATCGCTACAAAGGACTCATATCTGCACGCTCATGATGCCGAAGCGACTGCATGTCATGGATTGACTCCCGTAAAGAAGCAGCCACAGCTTCCCCTACCTGCTTTGCAGTCTCTGCCGATCCGCCCTCAAAGAGAGTCCGCTGTTCTGCTTGCGAGGCTTTGATGAGCACATGAAGATCCTTCAGCTTCTCGAAATCGCTGTCTAGAGATGTTCCTGCAGTGCCCGTAACGACGGGAAAGCTGGACGTCCCAGCCTCACTGCTGTGAGTCTTGACCCAGTCCGCCTGGTCGCCGCCTCGAGATCCAGCAAGAGGCACAAACTTGGGAATCAGATGAGCTTCGGTGTTGAGAATGACCTTGTCGAGCGAGACCTGTCCCTCGTCTTGTGCTTGAGCGAAAATGAGGTAGAGATACTTGAGCGTCTCTGCCAACCAGAAAGATTCCATGTTATCGCGCAACTCTGGCGGATTGGCCATGACGTTGTTGGCACTTGTATAACCAAGACCTTCTCCAGCATGAAGGTACGCCTCAAACGATAAAAAGATGCGCCAGGCCCAATCTCTGTACTGCTCATTCCTTGTGATACGCCACATGATGAATAACGATTCAACCGTCTCTGGTCTCATCAAGTTATGCCGATCCTGATCATTGATGCGGATATCCTCACAATTGCTCGACGTGCTTGCATCTTCACCCTCTCTGATGAAATATGCAATTTCTGGCGCAAGACCGGTTGTCGTGCAGTTGTACATGGCATAGCACGACTTTGTCAGCTCCTCAGCAAGCTTCATATCCTCTTCTTGTGTCTTGCCAAACCAATCTTTTCGCTTTGCTTCCGCTAGTGGTAGGCCCGTGGTCGCGCCCAGGGCAAGCGTTCCTGGAAGGAAACACACAAGATGATCCATCTTTGGCGAAACAGGTCCACCAACACCTTCATTCAGCTCTCCAATGAACGTAAGACCATTGGATGAGGAATGTCCGACAAGAATATCCTTGATGCTCTGCACTGTTTCCTCATAGGCATGTTTGTAGACTTTGTCATCTGAGAGCAGCCACTGCTTCGCCAGGTATTCGTAGTACGAGTCACCACGACTGCCAAGCCTGATCTGAAGACCTTGGAAGTGTCCAGATGCGGGTTGCACAAAGATCGGTACGAGTCCAGCAGCAACTTTATTCTGTCTGATTCGCTCCATGACACGTTCACTAGCAATGCCGTATTCGGGGTTGCCGGACAAGAAGCTGAGATACTTCATTTCGAGTTGTAGCGTTGTCACTTCAGCTGTACTGGAAGCACCGCCATCATCGTGACTTCTGACGGGCTCGCCGGTTTTGAGGTTCACGGAGGCCGTTGGGATGCCACTTTCCGTCTTGTACGCGCCAAGCAGTCGATCTCCAAGATCAATTGCTTGAGTGAGATAGAGCTGATCGCCAGTCAGATGAAATGCAGACAGCAATCCACCCAGCATGCGAATTGTCGTTTCAAAGACATTGACTTCTGCATCAATGTCGAAGGAGTGTTGCTCGATCCACTTTCTTGCCTGAGGCACATATTCAGTCAGACCCATCAGCAGCATTGTATCCAGACTGTCGATGATGATCCAGCCCATGCCGCCAGGGACCATATCCTTGTGCTTCTTCGAGATGGGCTTGTATTCGTCATGACCGAATCCATGGTCAACATAGGCTTGCCAACTCTCCACAAACGCTGCCTTGACACGATTCTGCTTCTCTAGTAACACAGGGTCCGTTACATGTACAAAGATGGGTTCTTTGGGTGCAGGCCATAACAAACCACGATACCAAAGGACAAGGCCCGCCAAAAACAACAAACCAAACCATATTTTGCGCTTGGTGTACTTTCTGCGCCGAGGTACACCACCATAGAAGGGCCGCTCTTTGTCTGCATACCAACTGCGTGGTTTACTGTCCCTGCGTGCGCGATACGTATGTGGGATACCTGCCATGGAGAAGGACATGGTGTCTAGCTGCAATTGGCTCTCGTCACTGCTACTGCTGCTGCTCCATATATCTGATCGAGTGTCTACAGTATCTGTTTGTCGCCGTCTGCAAGCCCCTGTCTCTGCGCTTGCAGTTGGCTGATCCTCCAGCGCGTGTCACGGTCACGGTGAATGTTGGGCTGAGGTATCTTCCAACGCGCTTTTGAAGTTCATGATCAAGAGTCTGCTGCTGCTACAACTCGCGCAACACATCCACCACACATGCTCCGGTGATGCGCTCCCATAAAAGCGCATGCAAGGACGCAATCAAAGCGCTCCATGTCCTCTGCTGTGCACTCACGCTATATATCTATCTGCTCGAGTAATTGCTTGCTATTCAGTTTAATCGCTATCGATGTGAGGGCTAACTCCATTTTTCGCAGTCTGTCGATGCTTCGTGCACTGATTCGGCATGGTGTGCATGTACAAATGCTCTGGCAAGACTGGGATCTACACCCAGGTAAACGTCTGGTTGTCTTGATTCTAGGCAGCAATGGTTTGTTGCTGCTCTGGCACCTGATGTCGACGCTGCCTCTACCAGGTGCGTATCAGAATGGCTACTTGCACGGCGGCCTCTTTATTGACTTTGTCGGTCAGGGTAAGAAGTCAACTTCATGTCGCATGTCACTTGACTGACAGAGCAGTTCCTGGCAGCAAAGGCAGACTCATGCTGCTAGATCTCGTTTACTTCCTAACGCAAGTCACCCTTATTGACCTCAAGACACTGGAAGGACAAACACAAACACTCGAGGGCGAGGAGGAAGGATTACTGGAGGCCCATGAGTCGCGGCTTGTCTATAGAATAGGAACCGGTCTACGCGAGGCCTGGCAAAAGGAGGACGATGTCGAGGAGCAGGTTATCGATGAAGAACAAGGGGAGCAAGAGGCCTCCACCCACGAGCCTGCTGCTGCTGCTGCTGCTGCCGCCGCCCGCGTTTCAATCTCGTCGCCGTAGAAAAATGGAAAAAGATGAAAAAAGACGACCAAGCACAAAATAGACACACACAAAAGGGCACAGCAATGTCGCGCCCAGAGTATGCTTCCTCCCTCTCATCTGTCGTTGCAGGGATACTGACACACACAGGCATATTGCGCCGCCAGAGTTCTTCTATAATGGCACAGAAGCGCAAAAATATACCGACAATTCGCGCATACAGGCGATCCAAGCAGAGATGGCTATCCGCGCCATCGACCTGCTAGAGCTACCAGAGGGCCAACCAAGCTTTATTCTAGATATCGGCTGTGGAAGTGGTTTGTCTGGCGAAATCTTGGAGCAAGAGGGACATTACTGGGTCGGTATGGATATTGCTCCTAGCATGCTTCAAGTCGCCCTGAATCGCGATACTGAGGGAGACTTGCTCTTAGCTGATATTGGTCAAGGAGTACCTTTCAGGGCCGGTAGCTTTGACGGTGCCATCTCCGTGTCCGTCCTACAGTGGCTCTGCAATGCTGATACTGCAACGGCGAATCCACAAGCTAGACTACAGCACTTCTTCACATCTCTTTATGCGTCTCTAAAAAGAGGCGCCAAGGCAGTCTTCCAGTTCTACCCGGAATCAGAACGTTCACTCAACATGATTACGAGTAGTGCAACAAAATGTGGATTTGGTGGCGGTGTGATTGTCGACCACCCAGACTCCAAGAAGGCAAAAAAGTACTACCTCTGCTTGCAAGTAGGTGGTGGTACATTGACCTTACCCGATGCAGAGATCGATCCTGCGGATCTACGCAAGAAGAAGATCAAAAATCGCAAAAAGGACATGACCCACAAGGAGGCGATTCTCAAGAAGAAGGAGCTCTACCGGAAACGAGGCAAAGCTGGTGTACCCCTTGACAGTAAGTTCACCGGACGCAAGCGTCGCATCAAGTTTTAGTACACTCCAAGCATGGCATATCCAGCATTTTTTCATAGCAGTAGCGTTTTCACTTCCTCCCAACTGGATGTCATGTAAAGACCATGCTCGCGCTCGACCATATCTGATAATGGCTTGAATTTGAGACCAATGCGTCGACAAGTCTTGGTAAGGCTCTCGTTGCCACCAAAAAGGATACCAATATCTGCATCCACTAACGTTAGCAGACACACAGAAGTGGGGAGATACTCACATAGTGCTGGCAGGTCTGTATTGCTGTCTCCAATATAGACAAGAAGGTCATGTCCTTTCCTCCGGTACTCTTGCATCCAGCGTTGCTTGTCGATACCTGTTCGGAAGGCTAGAGGCGCACTTTTGCTCACCTTACCAGTGCAGCGCCCATCGGGACCAAAGTCAAGCTCATTAGCAGCAATCTGCCAGCCGTCACGTCGACAGACGGCAGGCAACGCAGATGCAATGAAGTGTTTTGACCAGTGAACACTGAGGATATGACACGGTCCTGCCGCATCAGCAAATGCTTCGAAACCTTGACGAATGGTTGCATTCTGAGCTGCCTTGGCCACGTCTGCCTTCGTTACGCCACGAAAGACGCCTTTACTCTCTATGCGAGCGATACTTTGCTGTTCAATCACTTCCAAGTCTCCAAGGAATTGAAGTTGCTTCTCTAGCGTATCTCTTGTCCCATACTTGGCTTGCCAGCTCTCCTCGAAACTGTGGAGATCATCTAGATAGAGCCTCGTGAACTCAGGCCAGCTATCTGCGGCTACAGGAGAGCAACTTGCAAGCAATGAGAGCGTATCAGATGCAGTAATTGTTTCGTCCCAGTCAATGACGAAGACCGCGGTTCTAGGTTTTGTGTGCTCTTGAGGTGTAGGTTCAGTAGATTGGTGAAACCGTTGTTCTAGCAGCCTTTGGGTAGATTCTACAGAGCTCTGAGGCTCGTAGTGTGTCTCTTTCGGCATTGCTAGCTATCCCCCAATACTTGAAAGCACAAGTGGTCAAGGGTCGTTGGCAGCTCGAGCTCGATTAAGCCTTATTGAGACAGCATATTTCGGACAAGGTCAGACAGCATTCTATTATTGGACTACACAGTCGCCATTAGTGCCATAGATGACCTTATCCACGTCCTTCTTCACCTTCATCCAATCTGCTCGACGTTCAGCAAATTCATACACATCCTCAGGCCTCAGAACACCACCAAACCGCACCATATCAGAAACGAGCTGCCCAACAGCTTTCCCTTCCTGCCCCGAGACAATATACAAATTGCCAAGCTCCTTGAGCGAAGAAAAGTAAGGCACAATGGAAGATTGCTTGAGACTGGCAATGTAGTTGTAGTAGTAGTTGAGGTCAGAGATGAGTTTGAGGCCACCTTCCACGGTAATGCTTTGACGCTTGAGGTGCTTACACAACGACCCAAAGAAGCGGACACCGACTTCTTGAAAGAAGACGTCAAGGGTCGCTTTATCCGTGCTGCCACGGAGTAGTTCAGTGTGGGTCGAGAGGCACGCCACGACTTGACGCGCCGTGTCGGTTTCCTGCAAGTCGAGGTGATCATCTTGGCCAAGGACGAGCCAGGGCTTGAAGTCTGTTGGCTTCTGTGTCGTGATGAGGAGATATTCGACTTGCTCCATGAGTACATCGATGCCACGATTCAAGCCATCTGCCACATTCTTATCAATCATCTCCTCAAACTTCTTCTTACCCTTGACTGCAGGCGACAAGAAATCAGTCTTATCAACGATTCCGGCTAATTCTTGATTGTAGAAAACATCAATCATTTGTTGAATCAAATCACCAACATGCACCAGCTCGAGAAAGTCAACGAGCGGTTGGACTTGTGCCACTTGCTTATTCCGCCGAGGATCGTAACTTTTGAGCGCTTGTAGCGCCAGCTCAAAACCATTCGCAATATGCCGCACACCAAGCGCATCGAGGACTGCATTGAACATGGCTTCGCTCTGTTCGCGCGCCTCCTGACCAAGTCGCCCGGCAAATGGAACAAAGGTACGACTGCGATCAATCGCTTCCTTGCCAGCATGAATGAGTGAGAGAGCCACTTCCAAGCTGAGAAGACGTTTGATTCGTGCAAGCCCAGAGTTCATAATGGCAGCCCGCGCTGCGAGTTCCGTCGTAGGCAAGCTTTGTGTTGCTGCGAGGTTATTCTCCTCTGCAATGAGACCTGCTGGTTGATTCGCGTCGGGTGTAACGCTCTGTCGAAAAGGAATCGCACTACCGACGACATTGACAGGCATGAGAATGACTTGTGTAAAGGACTGCAAAAAGTTCTTCTTGGCTGCTTCACGATTGATATTGGAAAGCAGCAAGGATTCCGTCTTTTGCGACTCATCCGTGATTTGTCGATCCCAATTACTGACTTCGTGATCTGCTTTTGAACGAAGCTCACGCAGTTCTTCCTCAAGATACCAAGAGACGTGTTCCTCGAAGATAGCCTGTAGCTGCGGTAGCAAGTTGAGGCCAAGCTCACTCACGAGGCGGTGAGCATGTTGGTATGCTCCTGGAACGGCCGCCAAATACGCTTCTGTGCTTTGTTGTTGAGCATAATCAATCAGATTCTTGATGTATACTGCAAGCACTTCCCGCAAGACGCGCTCACACAGAATGTGCCAAGTCTGACCACGCGGAAACACTAGTGCAATCACCTCTTTCTGCGAAAGTAGTTCCACCCCGAGCGATGTTGTGAGGCGTTGCATGGGCGTGAGGTTGATGTTACCGGCTGCATCAAAGCACTCGAATGCATTGGGTAAGCTTGACGAGAGCAAGACATTCTTGCTGCAAAAGAGACGGATGCATTTGCCGCCTCCGTTGAGTAGGGTGCAGACTTGCGCGTACCGTTGCATGGAGGCTTCGTTGCGATGGTCGTAGCTGATTTCAAACTCTCGCAAGGCAGCCGTCTCGAACAGATCAATAGTCGCTTGCAGTTGCACATTACGTGCCTGTGAATCATGAACAGGATGCGCTGCTCCAAAGGCAGAGAGTTGTCTCAGCATGCGTGCCTGATCCTCGGGATCTTTATAAGAGGTGAACAACTTGGATGTGGCTGGATTCGCCGCAGCAACAAGATCAAGATAGTAAGGCGCAAGCAGCTTATAGATGCGTCTAAATTCAGGACGCGCTCTGCCACGGACTGGGCGCGCCTCGGGTAGCGCATACAACGGATCATCGCGATTTGTGTTCTGCACGATCGAAGTCTCTGATTGTTTCCGTTGCCGCCGTGCTACCTCTTCCTCCAGATTCCTCCGAGCAGCTGCGTCCGACCAGACGCCTATAGCTCTGAGCTTTGCGATCCAGCGCTGCTCATCGTAGACAATGTCGCGCCAGAGGAGGGAGACTTGTGCTGCGCGAAGTAGGTCTGGGACAGGGAGGTGGTCGAAGCTGGCTGCGACGATGTCGGCAGGGAGGTCTCTGGCCATGCATATGCTACGTGGCCGCCTCGTCTCGAGAGTCCAGTGAGTGATGCCAAGCAAGTCCTGGTGAGTGTCGTTGCTGCTGCGCCTTTCGCCTTTCTTGGCTTTCCCTCCATCTGCCAACTACAACAAGCACTACTTCAAGTCTACTTATACTCAGAGCTAGCGCATCCTCCAGACGACGCGTCCTCTCCTTGGATGCACGTCAGGGCATGGCTCCTACTGTCTGCCATCGCGGCGACAGCAGCAGCATCATCAGAAAACGCGCAAGTCGTCGCACCAACAGGCATGAAGCATCATTGCGAGGCTATCCATAGCTCGCCCGACCGATGCAAGTATGCGCGCAAGTACTGCAGCCCCAACGCAGCTGGCATGGTGGATTATATATCTTGGTACTATTGTGATATGGCAGAAACACCCGCTCTGGGCTTTGGTATCCTTGCAGCATGGACAGCCATGCTCTTCAGTACTATCGGTATCGCCTCGAGCGATTTCTTTTGTCCAAACCTTGCAACCATTGCCAATAACTTGGGCATGAGCCAGAGTGTCGCGGGCGTGACCTTTCTCGCCTTTGGCAATGGTAGCCCCGATGTCTTTTCAACATTCGCCGCTTTTAAGGCGCATAGCGGCAGTCTAGCAATTGGCGAATTGCTCGGCGCCGCTGCTTTCATCACGAGTGTCGTGGCAGGGGCCATGGCCATCATCTCTCCCTTCAAAGTTTCTCGGCGGAGCTTTTTGCGCGACGCAGGTTTCTTCCTTGTGGCAGTCATGATGACGATGGTGCTTCTCGCGGATGGCAGACTGCGGCTCTGGGAATCAGTCCTCATGATTGTGTTTTATGTTTTATATGTTGCCTATGTGCTCCTTGGTACATGGATTCACGGTACCCAGACAAAGGCGAAGGTGAACGACTCGCGTATCCGAGGCCAATACGCACCAGCGGGCGAAGAGCCCAGACCAGATATTGACAGCGACGATGATGAAGCTGCGTTGCTGGAAAATGATATCAATGCTCTGGAACGAGGCAATGAAAGTGACGAAGACAATGCCTTGGTGGAGAGCTACATTGACATCAACACAAGCATGAGCATCACCGGCAAACCTTACAATTCGGCAAAGAACTCTGTGCGACCTTCACTGCTCGGTGCACTCGAGTTTCGATCACTCATGTCGTCTGATGATGGCATCAGTCCAACACTTCCCTCAAAAAGACGGAGAACACGCGCAGGAAGTACAGTTTTGCAACCTAGACAACGAACATTCAGCAGCAATACTATATCGGGTAATCAATCCCTCTCGCCAAGCATCATCGACGATGCTTGGGCAAAAGGCGGTGGCGAAGGCAGAATATCGCTGCCCGGACGGACGCCCTCGCGGTGTTCGAGCCGATCAGATCAGGAAACACCTTTTGAGGAGATTGCGTCCTCATCACTGCGGAAACAAAATCCTATTGAATTACTGCCAAGTGCTGTTCAGTCGCCTGCAGCGCCGCCACCAGCACTGAAGATCAGCGCACCGGATGGTCACGACTTGGAGGAAAATCCATTCGCTGAAGCTTGGAAACACAGCAGCGAGGCGACCAGTATAGCGCCCTTGTCTCCAGCTCAAACGTATGAGGCCATGGGAGAAACACATCGGGGGCCACTACATGTCGACGTTCCGTGTGCAGAGACAATGACGGATTATGCACACGATCATCGTGCTCCTGGACAGGCATGGGTTCCCCGGTACTGGCCAAGCAGTGTTCTACCGCCACCCATTGAACTTCGTGGCCTACTCTTTCCCACACTCACTGGCTTTCAAACGCAATCGTGGACATCGCGCATCTTGTCAATTCTTGCGCTGCCGTCAGTTTTTGTACTGAGCATCACATTACCAGTCGTCAATCCGCCCGTTAATCAGCGCGACGCAGAACGCAGTGAAGAAGCAGCTGCAGATACGCCTGTCTCCGTTTCAAAGGACGACGCACACAGAATCACGGCGCATCGTGGCTGGAACCATTGGCTGACCTGTGTGCAATGTCTGTTAGGTCCTTTGCTGCTCTCAACAACACTTTATGTGGGTGAGAGTATGTGGATACCGTTGCTGGTGGCGGCCATTGTCGGCTTGGCCTGCTTGTCACTAACTTTGACCTTTACACGCGCAGACAAGCGGCCGCGCTACCATTCTTGGCTCTGCTTTGTTGGTTTCATCATTTCAGTGACGTGGATTTCCACTATTGCCAATGAAGTGGTGGGTACGCTACAAGCGTTTGGTACGATCCTTGGCATCAGCGATGCGATTCTTGGATTGACAGTCTTTGCCGTTGGTAATTCCCTTGGCGACTTTGTGGCCGATGTGACTGTTGCTCGTATGGGCTTCAGTCAAATGGCCATCTCTGGCGTCTTTGGAGGACCAATGCTCAACATTCTGATTGGTATTGGCATTTCCGGCATCTACATCAACCTCACCAAACATCACGTCTACAATGCGTCCATCTCACCGACTCTCATTGTGTCTGGTGCAAGTTTGTTGGTGACTTTGTTGGTATTGCTCGTTGCTGTACCACACAACAATTACATGATGACACGTGGACTCGGTGTAGCGCTCTGTTGTATCTTTTTGGTTGGTATGATCACTTCCGTTTTGGTGGAGATGTACATCTAGCATGCTATAGCGAACTCATAAACTTTGATGATAAAATATGTTGCAGGCCATCAAAACTTGAGACGTATCTTGAATGACGGCGGCATAGTCGCGTCTGTTTGCTGCTCAGACTTGCTCGCAGCGCCATACGCACCATTCACTTTCCCCAGTGCATACTGAAGTGCCCTACCCAAACGACCGGCCTCCTCTCCCCAATCCTCGCGCCAGGCAAATGCTGTCGCTTGCTGCAAATCACGCTTCACAGGGCCTGAAATCATGCTGGGATTTTGCTCAGCAGCCAATGCGCCATTTGCAGCAGCAATGGGTGTCATGAGGTTTGCAACGACATGACCGGTCGTCATACCAACGTCACCACCGCCATTGGCGCTATTGACGTGATTGTGCTGAACTTGATATTGCAGCAATGTATCAAAATCATCCAGCGGCTCAAATAGCGCCTCCATGTCATCTGCACCGAGAAAGGTACCGCCCTCGAAGTTTTGCATTGCAGCAAATTCGCGCTGGATGGCAGACTGTTTTTGTCGTTTATGCAGGTGATATTTGTGCTTGCGTCGTAGCGCATGCGACAACATCTGTTGTTGGCGTGTAGCGACTTTCTTGGCCCACTCTTCCTGTGCTGCTTGCGCTGCAGGACCCACTGCTCGATCACCATCATGCTGACTGCGTTTTTGTCGACGTTCCTCACCTCCTTCACCCTCACCCTCTGAGGATCCCATTGAGTCATACGTCTTGCGCTTCACTTTGCGTGATGAGCGACGCGTTGGCTCTGCAATGGGCTGACCATCTTCACCCAACACAACAGGCGTCCTTGGTGATGCTTTTGATCGATTGGGTCGTTTCGTGGGCGGTCGTGATGCCTTTTTGAGTTTGTCAAGGGGTGTATTTTCCAATGTCTTGAGTTTCTCTGCAGCTGGCGTTTCTTCGCCCTCAACTTTGATATCTTCACTCGCGGCTTGCTCTTCTACTGGTATCTCACCATCCTTGGCCGTTTCTTTCGAAGCGGCATCTTGCTTGCTCTGCTCAACCTTGAGCACGGCATTCTCCAGATACAGACGACGCTGTCGGACTGCAAATTCAGCATACTCGAGTTCTTCCGGTGTATCGATATTCTCGGCAGCAATTGCACCTTCGTCACACGGTACCAGCGTTGGCACCAATAAGCCAGCTTCAGGCTGACCGAATGGATTCGTGAGTGCTTCTTCTAGTGTACCGTTTGTCTCAATGTAATGATAGCATAGCCATAAAAACGCACGAGCACGAGAATCGGTGGTCAGGTCACTTTTTGAGAAGAGATGGTAGAATTCCAAATCGGAATCACTAAAGTGTTCTGCTTTGACGGAGGTTGCTTCAGGTGTTGTCATGAGGAAGATGAGGTTGATGGGGTTGGTGAGGGGCTTTGGACTTGCTGATGCTTGTAAGGCTTTGAGTGCCTCCCACGTCGGTGGTGCACGGGGACCTTCACAGGAGCCTTTCAGGAGTGACTTGAGGCGTGGTGCATCTTGAAGCAGCTTACCACCAGGTTCATACGCTTGCACACAAGGTAAGCAATTGAATGTACGCGATTGCGTGGGTGTGAAAACCAGCGTTGTGTTGATACGACCGACATTGACAAGTAATGCAGCCATGCATACTTTCAGCGTCGCTTGCTTATCAGCAATGAATTTCTCCTTGAGTGTCTTGGATAGCTTTGATGAGCTGAGCCAGTCGAGGTAGTAGAGTTCACCGAATGTCACGCGTTTCTCTGATTTGGCATTCAAGCGAAAGACGGCTTGGTCATTAGAGAAGATGCGCTCGAGCAAGGACCAGTGCGTGTCGCGTCGCAAGAGCGGTTCCGCTTCAGCTTTGCGCAGCGAGGGTGTGGTTGAGCTTGCGGGCGCCATAGCTAGCTTGAGCTATGAAGCAGTAGGACTCTAGTACGAGCAGTAGTAGTAGCAGTAGCAGTAGCAGCAGCAAGTAGATTTAGATTCAGGATTGGTAGGATGAGGTCGTCGTCGTCGTGTCGTGGGAGAGAAGACAAAAAATGTGACACAAACGAAGCCAAAGAGACACAAGAAGCACAAGCAATACCCGCGACCCTTCATCATGGCCACAGCCCCAGATGGCAAAGTCTACGTCAGCTACGATCAGATCCACACGCTTTGCCAAGTCACAGGTGACAGAATCCTCGCTGAATTCAAGCCAGATCTCATGTACTTCCTGCCATCTCTCACCAATACCCGCTGACAGTTCTTAGTATAGCCATCGGCGGCGGTGGTTTCATCCCTGCACGCATCCTACGGACATTTCTCAAGGTCAAGGGCGAGAAGAATATCCCGATTCAAGCAATAGGTCTGGTCTTGTATGAAGATCTCGGCTCCGGCGTCGATGAGCAGATTGGTGCAGAGGTGCAGCGTGTGCAATGGCTCGACTTTTCCACACTGGGTGGTGCGACGCTTGCGGGTAAGCGTATCTTGATTGTGGATGAGGTGGATGACACGAGGACGACGCTGCACTATGCGCTGCGTGAGCTGAAGAAGGATGCAAAGAAGCAGGCTGAGCTGAAGGGCGTCGAGGATGAGACTGAGTTTGGCATCTTTGTGGTGCACAACAAGCAGAAGCCGAAGAAGGCCGAGCTGGAGGGCCTGATGGACATGAAGCGGTACTATGCAGGCAAACACGTCGGTGACGAGTGGATCGTAAGGACCCCTTCTTCTTGGGTGATGATGGCTAACCAGTCTAGTGCTATCCATGGGAGAGCAAGAGTATCGAGGAGCACACACGGCTTGCGACTGCGTAGGGCCTTTTCTGTCTGTGTACTATTCGCTGTAGATAGCAGGTAGGAGATGCTTCAGGCTAGCTACTGGCTGTATACTACATATACTAGCTACTAGCTACTAGCTGTATACTACTAGCTACCAGCTGTATACTTTTCTCTGTGGAAGAAAGCAAAAGACGACACCCAACAACCAGCGACCAACAGGCGACAGAACCTGGAATCAGCGGCCCAAGAGCCCCATAGCTAGCCATGGCAGACTCCATGGACGACGAGCTCTCCCTTCCAAAAGCGACCGTCCACAAACTCGTCACTGAAATGCTCCCGCCAGATCTCATCTTCTCTCGCGAATCCCGCGACCTCCTCATCGACCTCTGCGTTGAGTTTGTCCATCTCCTCTCCTCAGAAGCAAATGATATCTGTGAAAAGGAAACTAAAAAGACCATTGCCGCTGAGCATGTCTTGAAGGCGGTGGAAGAATTGGGGTTTCCCGCCTACCTGGACGCGCTGCAAGCTGTGGTGCAGGAACATAAGCAAGCCATGAAGTCAAGGGAGAAGAAGGTCTCCAAGTTTGAGCGCTCAGGCTTGACGGACGAGGAACTGCTCAGGCAGCAGGAAGAATTACTGGCAAGCGCACGCAACCGTTTCCAAGCAAAAGAGATGGAGGGTCAGCAAAAGCAAGAACCAAGCGATCTCATGCCGCCGCCTCTGCAACAGCAGGTATCGAGTCCGCAAGATGAAGCGATACGGCCGAAACAGGAAGACCAGTCATTCGAAGCGCATCGCAGCCCTGTCGCTTCTGCGCGCGGTCTCAAGATTGAAGATCTCATGAATTGAACACAAAAGGGGTTGTCTCTTCTTTGCTTTCAACTTGCTATTTCAAGTTCTGCATATCTTTAACTTCCTGCAAGAAAGTACAGTATCAGCCTGGGCGTCGCATCTTTCTGCTATGTATTTGATTTATTAACCAAAATGCATCCATCTCATACCCCTTTCTTTCCATCTATCGCAGCCGTCTGTAGCGCAAGACGCATAGCTTCTCGCGACCAGCTCGCCGTTCAAGAATCATGCATGCTTCGCAACCAATGCTGGCTGCATCTCGGATCAAATCTGCTGGCTTGTTGCGTGCGACTGCAACGAGGTAGAAGACACCCGATACACTCAAGACGTGCTGTAGGCGTGGTAGGAGTTGTTGCGTGACAGACATACCGTCCTGGCCGCCCGCCCATGTCGAAGCAAGGTGCATGCCATCTGTGTTGATTTCAGCTTGCATGGTTGGGACGTAAGGGGGATTGAAGAGGAGGATATCGATACCTCTAGCACAATACAATGCATCGAGGAGAGACCCACGCACAACATCTGTATGCTGGACACAACTGTTTTTACCAGGATACAGTCGCGCATTGCGCTGACAAGTCTCCAGCGTTGCTCGACAGGCGAGAGGGTTGATGTCAACTGCAATGGAAAGGCAAGACCTGCCAACAGGACTAAGGAGCTGACTCTGGACAAAAGCAGTAGCAACGCCGGATCCTGGTCCGATCTCAACAAGGAGCGGACATGCTGGTAATGTCTCTAAGACCTCCCTATCGGCTTCAAGCGCATCGAGGAGGAGGAAAGAATCTTCAGCTGGTTCGTAAATGTGCTCGTAGTCTGCTTCTTTCAAATGCGACAGATTGGGCGTAGGGAGCATACTCGCTGCTATCTCATAGCATCGACAAACATCCTTCAGAGCAAATAAGACAATTCAGCGAGGACTAGTAGGAGCGGTCCAGGGTGGAAGCGTTGAAAGGTGCAGATGCATCCTCACAAAAACGCGACACACAACACAACCAAAACTTGCGCAGCTACGCTTTGTCCTCCATGTTCCGCTCCTTTGCAAGGCTCGGGGCTCGCGCAGGTCTCTTTACACAGCATCTTCATCGTTTCTCTCGCGGCAACGCGACTGATGCATCAACGGGGCCTGTCAGACGTCTTCCAAAATGGGCACAGAAGTATGCGGATCGGCTCAAAAGCGTACGTTTCCTGCTCGATCAACGCATGAGCAGTCTACTGACTGACTGCAGCATCCGGCATCTCACGTCACCTCTTTTTTGGTGTTGCACGAGTTGACGGCCATCGTGCCATTGCCCATTCTCTTTTGGTTCTTTCACAGTTTTGACTGGACTCCAGCAGGTAACACTCCCTCAAGTGATGTCTCTATGATGATCTAACGTACTGCAGGATTACCAACGGACCTCGTTGAGAAGGGCGTGAAAGCAGCAGACAAGCAGCTCAGCAAATGGGGTTTCAACTATACAGGCAATGACGAGTCGCGCTATGTCTTTGAAGGTGCTGCAGCGTGTAAGGCGCACTGATCGTGTCACGAAATGTTGAGGTGCTAATGGGAACAGATGCCGTGGTCAAAATGCTGCTTCCGCTGAGGGTCGGTTTGAGTCTTTCTCTGACACCTTGGTTTGCTCGGTACGGTGGATCATTGAAGCAAGGGCTCACGAAGTTAACAACTAGACGTATCGTGGTGCCCATCACACGGCAATTCAAGCGGACCAAGCCAGTAGCCAAGGGCCCTGAAGTCTAAAGAACCTCCGAGGCTTTCGTCAGTGTCTTGACTGTCGCGCGACGAATTCTCAAATTTGCTTCAATGCCGCACCATCACACAATCAAACAACCTTGGGTGTACATCGCAGTATCAGGGAAGCAGCGCCATTTAAGGTCAGTTCTGGTCGCATCATGGATCTTCAGACCTTGGCCGCGTCCGTTACGGCGAGCGTGTCATCAAGACTCGTTGTATTCCCACTCGATACAATCGCCATTCAGCGACAAACAGCCATGCGACGGCCTTTATTCCCAGCAGACCAAACGCTCTTGCGGTCCTTTCGCAACTTGTATCGTGGGTTGAGTGTGAGTTTGATATTAACAACACCGGCCGTCGCATTGTACCTATGCACATACCGGCAACTCAAGCAAATGCTCATACCGACACTCGGTGAAGGTAATATGAATTATATCGTCAGCGGAACAGGTGCAGAGATTGTATCGAGTTTCTTATGGACGCCGTTGGAAGTATTGAAGGCAAGGCTACAAATCTCCGGTGCACCCGTCGCTGGCCTTGCATCGAGTAATACAACGCTCATGGGACAATTACGGTTGATTGCTCGAGATGAGGGGATGCGTGGCTTTTACCGTGGCTATCTCGTTGGTTTGGGTATCTTTATCCCCTACAATGCCGTTTACTGGGTGGTTTATGAGAACAGTAAAAGGCTGGCCAGGCGTTCCATGTATTTCCAAGAACCATTTGCACAAGCTGCCTTGGCGAGTGGTGTTGCAACGAGTGTCTCCACCTTACTCGCGCATCCACTCGATCTCATCAAGACGCGCTATCAAGTGAGTATGAGTGATGCCGTTCAACAAACAGCAACACAGCAACAAACGCGTAAAAGCGATCGCTTGGGTGTTCGCCAAGTCTTGCGGAATGTCATGCAGGAGTCTGGCTGGCGTGGGTTATATGCGGGTCTTGGGCCACGCTTGTTTTGCAGTATACCGAGCAGTGTGCTGAGTATGTCGGTATTTGAATTCTTTGCCAATGCGATATAGAGGCGGGTAGGAGGTTTGTTTGCATAGCGACGAGCATATAAGCATGATTATTTCTACAAAGATACATTGCGAAGTCAAGGGCAAGGTGAAAATTGAAGAGAATGTCGTTTCAAGAATTGAGCAAAGCCTCATGCGTATTTCAGCCCGCTCACCCATTCAAGTTCCATCTGTCTTCCCATATGCTTTACGGCCTGTTACATCACAGAAGCTGGTGCTCAGGTGCTTTTATAGCTTGGGTGAAGGTCCCCCATCTCTGAGGGACCAAGCGTTGTTCGTGGTGATCCCAGCTGGGCGCCTGCTGTTGCTTTATATACTTTCCGCTTGTCTGCAAATTTGAGAAATCGCACGCCGAGTCAGCTGAGCCTGAGCTTCATGACCATGACTCTCTTTGTCCTCTGACACAGGCAAGCAGCGGACTTCTTCCAACCGACTCTGCCTCAGCTTGCCTTCTTCTGTTTCATCATGCTCCACCATACCCCAGCTTCGTACCCTGACTGCTTCTGCTTATAAGTGCTCTGTCCATAACACCCATGCTTCTTCATCCAGCACAACTCCGACCCCATGCAGCTCGCCCTCTTCTCCATCGCAGCCCTCATTGCGAGTGGATCTGCGCTGACTCTTGCCGTTGAGAAATACGCTGCTTCTACAACAGATATCGGCTCAATCCTCAAGACCATGGACCAGACAAAACTCAATATCCCACCCGCAGCGCGTGCAGTGATGAAGAAGATGCCCGAGAAGCCTAGCGAGGTGACTGTCGGCGACAAGGCCGCCATTGATGCGTGTATTGCATCGGGCGATTCCTTTGCGCAGCTCGCATGCAATGCACAGAAGGATCAGTTGACGGTGCTGCTACAGAAGGTTCGCGTTTCAAACGATAACATGTCGAACTTTGTCGATGCTGCGAAGAAGATGGGAGCCAAGGTGGAGAAGGAGTAGTCTGAGGTATCTGAGTAGCTCCATATTCAAACACTATCGAGTCTATCGCTCTCTATTTGCTTCTCTTGCTTGAGTGGCCCCGCGACATCCCCAAAAGTCCCGCAACCACGACCAGCCAACATCAAACACCACACACACAAGCAAGGCAGCAGGAACAGCCTCCAGCGTGCGCGTGGCTAGAGACACGGCTCAGAGCACGCATCTGCATCTCAAGCGCCTTCCTCCCTCCAGCTTCCCGAGCCGACATCCTCTACCCATCAACGTAGCCATCCACAGCATGACATGACGGCACCAAGCCCATCTGACACTGCATCGCTCGCATCGCCCGAAGCCACCATCGCAAGACTACAGCAAGAGAAGCAAAACTTGGAAACACAGAATGCACAGCTATGGCGACTCTGCGACAAGCAGCGTCAGATGTATGCGACCTCAATCCAACGGCGCGCGATAGAAACGCGCTTCTGTGTATAGATGGCTAACGAGGTACAGGATCATTGGCCTTCAAAAGGATCTCGATCGGCTTGGCGTCAAGGAACGCGAACGCACAGGCAGTGATACCCTGCCGAGCAAGACGCCGCCGTCAGCCAGCGCATCCACAGGAACCCTTGCAACGGCCACAACGACTTCCGCTGAACGGAAACGGAGCAGTCAGTCAGATGCCCCTTCCTCAACCAACCACGATCGTCATGGTCCCGATGCGATACCTCCTAAGAGCGCTGCGCGTATTTCTCTCGGTGCATCACCCGGTAAACCACTTCCCATACCAATGACACGACCATTCGAGGAACACTTGCGCGATGGCACCTCATCGCCCATCTCCCCTGCCCTATCCCTTCGACTGCAACAAGTGACGGGTGGACAATCAGCAGCGACACAATCAGGTCGGATAGAAGAAGGCGAGCGTATCGCGAGTATTAGACGAGATCGTGTACGCACACAACCAGCAACCATGTCGCGCGCTGCGTCTCATCAGCAACATCGTTCGGATGCCTCAATGGAGTCCTTTGGTGACCTAGAACCAAGCCACTCGCTGCAGTCTAGACAAGCAGATGAGGTTGCAGAGAGTGGTCGGCATGCGCGAAACTTCTCAGAACCCAACATCTCGCCGCGTCTGCCATTCAAGACATTGGTTGCACCAGATGTTGCACTTGTCTCGCCTGAACGTGCGCGATGGGAGGAACATTCACCTGAGCGTGCAGTCAAAAGTACACTGGATGACGTTCAACAAACACCGTCGAGATCATCAAGTAGTATCTCGCCGCCCACATCTCAGGAAGTAGATGAGACGTGGGCACCGCAGAGGTCGACTCATACGAAGCAAGATTCAGTCAGTTCGATCCGCACGATAGACGCGGCGATTGAGCCTGAATTGCTACGCAGCATCAGTATCAGCATGATTACCTCGAATCATACAGCAGGCGAAGTGACCCTTGCAATTGGCATTTTTCGAAAGGATATGCGGTTACTGCATCGCTTGTCAAAGACATACGCTCAATTGGTGGCATTGAGTAAAGCAACACCCGATATGGGTCTCACCCTCCCATCACGCCAAGACTTCATTGCAACGAGCAGTGCGAAAGCAGATGCGCGGCGAGCAACAACGGATCTATGGTTCCAAATGATGGTTTCGACACTGGTGTCGACGCCTGTTGCTCAACGCACGCAAGAATTCTCACAAGGCTTGGAAGCGTTTTGTGCTTTCTTGTCGAGTGATCGCGTGTGTGACGTGCCACAAACACCGCGGCGTGCTCGACAATCACAGCAACTCGTCATGCTCGAACCAGTGGCTGGCAAGACGGATCAATCAGAAACTTACAAGGAAGGCTATCTCTCTAAACGCGGCAAGACTTTTGGCGGTTGGAAGGCTCGGTACTTCATTATTGATGGTCCTTGTATGCGCTACTTTGATGCACCTGGTGGCTTGCCGCTTGGCGACATTTCACTCGCAGGCGCACAAGTCGGTGTGCAAACGCCTTCAAGCAGTACAAACACACAAGAGGACACCGACACCCATGCCTTTCTCGTACTAGAACCGAAACGGAAAGGTACAGGTCTCGATTATAATCGGCATATTTTGTGCGCCATTAGTGATATGGAACGAGATGCGTGGCTTAAAGTACTGATGCACTATGCAATGCGCTATACTGAACCACTCCAGCCGACTGGTCCAACTACCCCACATCAACCGCCTCCGCAACCCTCACAACGCCTCTCTGGCCTCAAAATTAGTGGTCCATTGGAACTGCAACGGCCTCCGGGGGTAGGACGGTCGAGTAGTCCAGAGCCGGTGCCTTTTAGAGCGATAGGGTATCGCGATACTGTACCTGCTGCGCTTCCCATGTCGCCTGGTATCCAGGGTCCTCCTGCAAGCGACTCGATTGGTGGTACTCCATACGAAGAACTTTTTCCTGCAGGTGCGACGGATACGTCTTCAACAATGACAGCTGTTGGTCCCACCGATACATGGTCATCGCCTAGTTCAAGTAAAGGCAGTCAAGCAACAAAAGGCGATCGCAAATCTCGAAAGAAATCGTTTTGGGTATTTGGCAAGCATGGCGAGCAAACTGCTTCTCCTGGTCAGCAACAAGATAAAGGTGCTACTGTCCTTGCTGCCATGCGAGAAGCAGCCAGTCATTCCCATCCAGCACCGGTTGAGGGTGGATTGAGTTCAGGAACGTTGTTTGGCATGTCCCTTGCTGAAGCGGTTGCTTTGTCTTCACCACCGTTTGCCAGGATTCCAAGTGTCGTGTATCGGTGCTTGCAGTATCTCGATCGTCAGCATGTTGAGCGGGAGGAAGGCATTTATCGATTGTCTGGGAGCAGCAGTCTCATAAAATCACTGCGTGAGCGTTTTAATCAGGAAGTGGATATCGACCTACTCACTGGCCCACCGGTAGAAGTTCATGCTGTTGCAGGGATGCTGAAACTCTACCTTCGCGAATTACCATCTCCCATTTTGCCGCGCGACTTGCAGCGTGATTTCCTAGAGATTATCGAGATGCCTGATGAACCGGCACGCATGGCTACCATCAAGACACTGGTCCATGCGTTACCGCGAGAGAACTTTGAGCTCTTGCAGTACTTGACACGACACTTATTCGGGATTGTACAGAATGAACCCCTCAACAAGATGTCGCTGCGCAATGTTGGGATTGTGTTCAGCCCGACACTGAATATCCCTGCGAGTGTGTTTGGGCTGTTTATTGAGGCGCATGAGCAGATTTTCGGGGAGGCTCATTTAGCGTCGACGTCGAATGCTGGTGCGAGTATCCTGGCTGGGTACCTGCAGGATGGACTCGAGGAGGGCGAGAGTGAGAGCGATGAGGATCAGGAACTGGACCTTGACCCTGACTCGCTGCCCATCTGATCGCCCTCACGTGCATCCCGCGCTCTCGGGATTCTGCTCCGACTGATTCCACTCAGATTCCACTGGCGAAAAGTCTGCTTTAGTAGTACACAGCTCCCTACCTAGTACCGCCCTTGTAAGTATGCTCCGTAAGCAGCTCACCCGATCCCTCTCCTCGTCGCCCTTCCAGCCGACCAAGTATGGCGGTAAATTCACCGCTACCTTGATTCCAGGCGACGGTATCGGCAGGGAAGTCGCGACCAGTGTCAAGGAGATCTTTAGTGCTTGCAACGTTCCTGTTGAGTTTGAAGAGGTCGATGTCACTGGTATTCTCGCTGCAGAGGGAACCAAGGATGCAGGCGAGAAACTCTACCGTAAAGCAGTCGAGTCTATTCGACGCAACAAGGTCGGACTCAAGGGTATCCTGTATACCCCGCTGGAGCGTTCAGGCCATGCTTCTTTCAATGTTGCATTGAGGCAAGAGCTCGACTTGTATGCATCCACCGTCTTCATCAAGAACCTGCCTGGCTTGAAAACACGACACGAAGGCATTGACGCGGTCATTATTCGCGAAAACACAGAGGGCGAGTACTCGGGCCTCGAGCAACAAGCTGTACCCGGTGTCGTTGAGGCACTCAAAGTCATTACACGTACAAAGTCTGAGCGTATTGCGCGTTTTGCATTTGACTTTTGCCAAAGAAACGACCGTAAACGCATCACGGTCGTGCACAAGGCCAACATTATGAAACTCGCGGATGGTCTGTTCCGTGATGTATTTTACGAGACTGCAAAGGATTACCCGGAGATTGCAGCAAATGACATGATTGTCGACAATGCATCCATGCAAGCGTATGTTTGCCTTTGAGTCTTGAGAATATGCTAACGACAGCGTGTCAAAGCCACAGCAGTTCGACGTCATGCTCATGCCAAACTTGTACGGCTCCATCCTCTCCAACGTCATGGGCGGTCTTGTTGGTGGTCCGGGACTCATTCCTGGTTGCAACATTGGCCGTGAATTCGCCTTGTTTGAGCCTGGATGCAGACACGTCGGTCTCGACATCAAGGGTAAAGACCAAGCCAACCCGCTCGCCATGGTCTTGTCTTCTTGCATGATGTTGAGGCACTTGGGTCTCGACCAGTACGCCAATGCTATTGCAAAGAGCGCTTATGCTGTTGTAGCAGAGGGCAAAGTCAGGACACGCGATATGGGTGGTGTCTCCTCCACCCAGGATATGACCAAGGCCATCCTCGACAAAATCCACCTGTAGACCTCGCCTCTTCTTCTTCTCGGGATATTTAGACCACCAATACCATTTTCTCGGTGTGCGTTCATGATTGCATGGCTTCTTCATACAATGGTAATGCATCCACCTCTTCGTCATCCATAGAAGATGCCTGTCCAAGTGCAACGGCACGTTCCTGTCGTCGTCGCCGTAACCTCTGCGTCGTCCGTTCACGCGCAACCACCCACGCCCTGTGAAATGCTTCAACACCGCCCTCCACAAATGAAACACTGAGTGTGATTGTTCTGTCCGCTTCACCCGCTGTTATAGTTGCAATCGTACCATCGAGGCCGCCACCTGCGACAGGCGCCACTTCGCCATCATATCGATTTGCGCCAAACCAAGGCTGGATGAGCTGTGCGTTCCATCGCTCAATCGGCACACCCACCGTTCGTAGTCCTTCTGACTCTGTGCTCTGGACAGAATTTGATGCAGGTGGAGGGATAGCCGGTTGTACGGCGCTCACAAAGACGATGCGATGAGAGGTGACAAAGACAGTGCCCGGGATAGGTTTTGGGAAGCGCGGGAGGAGTGTGGCTTGGACGCGCTGGGTCGCGAGGATCTCTTCTGTGTTGTCAAGTGGGAGCGGTGCGCTATGCTGATGATCTAGCTGCGTCCAGTTGAGCGACATGGTTGCTTGTGGTGTTCTGTTCGCAGCTGATGGTTCTGACGTGAATGAAGACAGTCGTCAAATGAAGAAGACCAAGAACAAGAACACCGGAGCTGAGTTGCAACTGGTGGATCATATCTAGTTGATTTTAGAGCTATGACCTTAGTCATTCGTGCATGTGCAAGCACAGTCATACGCCGCTTGTGTCCCTTTGTATGCGGAGACCGGATCACATCGCACATTGAGTGCTCCCTCTCGACTGCCCATGTTCAGAGGAGGTGTCTTGCAGGTTTTGCCACTACCACAGCTCGGATCACCGATTGCCCAGGCCAAACGGTGGTTGAGATCTCAGAACAGTCGACGACACCACCTGTAGGCGTGCCTTGCTTTGCAACTTGCGATGCGAGGGCGAATCAGACCGGCCAGACGGCACCAATCGCAATGGCAATGGCAAGATGCATCTTCACACTTCTTGATCAGATTAGCATGCGTTCAGTCTTGATGAAGGATGTTGTGCTCGCGAATGCTGAATCTTTGGACTCCACCGTGAGGGACCTCTCTCAGAGTTCGAAAGGTTCAAACAGGGCAGAGGCATTTCTTGAAGAAGAGATTCGACCTTGGAGTCTTGGATACGGCACCAGACGACCCCTGATGATGGGGATGCATGATGGCAATCAAGTTGTGGCAAAGCATTGCCCTGCTGCCCGCAGCTGGAGTCATGAGTGTGCACTGCTCACGGCTGCCAGACGGCCTAGACCCCAAGATCTGAGCCGTTCAATGTGACCATGTCCAGCGTTTGAAATGAGTAGCGTGCTCATTTGCAACATTAGAAGTAGCCACCGGGATTTGATGCATGCGCGCCGATGCGGCAGCACAAGAAGTCTCTGACTCTCGGCACTGGGTCAGCAGCAAGTGAGATCATGTGGCAATACTGAACTCATGCGAACGCTCCTCATCAACTGGCAGAACCTTGTCAATTGGTGGTCGATAAGCTAAAGCCTGGCTTGACGCAGCACTAGGGAACATCATCGAATTTCATGATTTCTTTTTTTTTCATACTTACCCCTGAATTTCGGAGCGTCCAAAGAACAGGCTTAGGCAGCCCGAATCCACAAATCTTCACCGGCCCGAATAAAGCTTGACACTTGACACGAGATAGCGCCTTGGATGAATCAATCAAGCATACATGAGAACGTAATGAAGGATGAGTGTGACTTGAATGTGCTGTGTCGCGGATCTCCTCTTTGCTGTCAAGTGGGAGTGGTGCCGATCTAGCTGCGTCCAATCAAGCGACATGATAAACTTACAAGAGGTCTAGCTTGATGTTTCACTAAGTTCGACGAAGTGATCCAGGAGATGTAGACAGTCATACATCAGTTCGCGACGAGATTATAACAAAACAGTCATGCATACGAAATACTAAAATGGCAGACAGCTTGATCGGAGGGTTGATTGCGAAGCTATGGGATCGTCAACCTTACCTGGGTTGGCACTCACACCAGCAAATGCCGCGTTCGGCCGATAGGTTGCATGTGAAGCCATGATGGCAGGGAACGTTTGTAAGCTTGCAGTTCAAGCCTGAGCACGCAGGCTCCAAAATTGTACCTGGATAGGTGTCCTTGCAATACTTACAGGTCTGGCTTATAGGGGTATAACCGGCCTGGCCATATGCTGTCGATGGAAGACTGACCCAGACCAGAAACAGTAGACCTTTGACGAGTTGCATCTTGAACGTTTCCCTGCAATGGTCAGCTTACCCTTATCGGGGGAGTGTATTCTCACGAAAGCTGATGCCTTGGGTCTGCCATGTAAAGTTGGGTTTGAGAATCCAGGACGAGGCAACGGCACCCTTTTATAACATGCCCAGGCGGAGTCCCAATTGCAGGAGGAATACGACAGGACATGAGCCCCCGTTGCAATGTGACTAAAACATGCCCGGGCCGGCGATCCGGCAAAGCATCGATCCGTCGAATCCAACCTCAAATTGATATCTGCAACAAGACTTTCCAAGTATCAGGCCTAATCGCGCGCGGCGTTCGCATTGTAGTCCAATTGGGCCGAACTTGCCTAGTCCCAAAGGACAATGCTGTAGCTTTTTTGGACCCGATTTTTAGGCTGCTTTCAGGAGTCGGTATCCATTATCAGGAGACACCACTCGTATTCAATTTTGGATTCTACAGAACTCCGAAGCTCAGCTGCGGTGATATTCAACACACTGAGCAGTTCCCTGGGTTTGCAATGCGGGCATAAAGGAGGAAAGGGTCCGCAAACTGCAAAACCTCTTTAAAGTGCCCTCTACTACTCCTCGGCCTCTTGAGCCTTGATGCAGAATGCAGATGAGTCATGAAGGGCGTTCCGAACGTTGTGCGCATTCGGGGGGCTGACGGTCGTGGAATCTTTCATAGAATTCCGCTGCCTTGCCTAGAAAACGGATAGTCTGCAACCTGCTTTGGCATACATATGAAGACAAGGGACTACAGCTGCTCGATTGAATTCTTTAGCCATGAGCGCCCTTCTACTGCGCTAGAAGTCTTGGTGGGTGTTAGTCTGCATATCGATCACGAAATCGCACATTACCCCTGAGAATCGATATTTTTCCGGTTCGCCGTGCTTACCTGAAAACAAATTATGAGTGGCAGAGGAAGAGCAGATTCAGCGAACTCTAGCTTGAGCATACAGAAGCACTGCGCATGCGATAATATGCGACTTGGCGCATTATCACATCATATGCATATTGGGAGACGACCCCGTTTCTGGCTTCGCGGTACCAGTTGCAGTGTAAATCACATTGTCACGGCAGGTCCGATCGACACCTTTCACTCGCAAATGAAGCTCGAGAGGCACGAAAAAGATTAAGAAGTAGCACACGCTAAAAGCTATATGTTGCAGGGAGCCAGGTGCTGAGACTAATTTTGAGAGAATCAATTTGTCTGGCACTCACAATGGCACTTAGTAGAACCACCCCTCTTCAGAGCGTCCAAAGCCGCTTCCTGGCACATCATTGCATAGGTGCAAGTGGGACCGATCTTGCAAAATTTGCCTTTGCAGAGAGTATCCACGGTGACAAGATTCTCGTTTCCATAATCATCACAAGCTACTTCATCTCCAGGTTTTGCAGAAGCACGTACTGGCGATAAATAGTAAGCCCACAAAAGCCACAGGGCACAATCGACGAGCTGCATGGTGAATGATTTCCTACAATGGTCAGTATGCTCAGTCCCAATGAAAGACGAAACTTACAAGACTTGATTGTCTGAATTGCTGGTGGCTGAGGGATGAATCCAAGTTTCGAATTAGGCAGAGGCACCCTTTTATAAAATGCCCGCGAAGACTTCCAGCCTGATCACAGCCTGATCAGAAGAAGTTGACAGCAAATAATCCCTCGTGGCAATGGGTTAAACACACGACCATGTATGCAAACCAACAAAGCATCGGGCTGTTTGGTGCGCCCACTTTGCAATGCCTGCAACAAAACTTGCCAAGAAAGTCCAATGTGGTCTATTGAAATATGCGAAATGAGCAATGCGATAGTTCGTAGCGCAGATGGAGAACGGGGGCCTTGAGTGTGTTAGATACAAATGAGCTTCGAGAATCAGCGAGATTTGAAGGTGGCCCTAGGAGGTATCTCCTGATGTGCACTGACTTTTGGGAGCAGCCCAGGAATCGAAGGCTTCAGGAGCTGCAGCGTTATCCTCTAGGCACTAGTCGAAATCGGCTCAACGGAAATACGATGTAGACTCCGATCAGATCTGACAGAGTGCACTGTGTGCAGAAAACAGCATCGAGAAAGGCCATGTTGCAGTATCCTCATGATCGCTGCTTCACATAGAAACAAGATCCTGCACGTGGGCTGGTAGCCCGGAAGTCGAAAAGTCAGAGAAATCAGGCTTTCCGCCCAAAAGTTCAATTGTAGCCTTGCGTTGTAGCAGTGGCACTGTATGTTTGGTTGTCTTAATGAAGTCTGTTATCCCTGGAATCGACATTGTCCAAGAAACCGAGTCACTGCCGACTGGGCAAAGTGGCGAAAGTGTATCACGGGACCGAGCGCTTGCAACAAAGCTAGATCTTCCAGCTACTTCGATGACAGGTTTCAGGCATGAAGGCAAGACTTTCAAGTGCAAAAGGTCGAGCTGCTACTGACCTTTGTCTGGAAATTTGAGGCAGTCTTGAGTCTAGACTTCCTGTTTATCAAAAAAGGCCGAGACCATGTTCGGACAATCACATGTGTTTGCGACGTAGCCCACTCGTCCATCGTCGAGCTCCAGGGACTCTTGCCGCGCGTACATAAGCTCTGGCACTCCATTTTGCCAAAGGCCCTGTAGGAGTTCAAGTGCATTTCCTATCACTTGCTTCCGCTGTTGTCTCTCTGCCACGGTAGTGTTCATGCACGTGACCTTTAGTTTAGTCTTAGCCGGCAAGAGTGCTATACTCTTGTTCCCATTCGAATCAAGTCTTATTTGCAGCTGCCCTGCGTGTCGGTGTCTATCATCTGCGACTACAGCCTCGCATGTACACCAGCTCCGATCAGTAGACGAGACGTTCAAGGTGTTCCGAAAGTGGCGCCCATTCATGAAATATGAAATGGGGCCTGGCGGTCGTGGAATACTTCGGTAAACTCCCACAACGTTGCCTCGGAAGAAGATACTCTACAATTCACTTCGAAATACATATGAATACAAGATACAGCGACTGCTCGATTGAGCTGACCGGCTTTCTTCTGCGCTAGCAGTCTTGATGGGTGGCAGTTCGCATATCGACGACAAAATCGCAAGTCATCCCTGAGAAACAAATGTTCTGGTTCGCCCTGCTTATGCTGAGTGCGATCTATGAGTGGCAACCTGCAGAGTAAGAGCAGATTCAGTGAGCTCTAGATTGTAATACAGACGCTCTGCGCATGCAATAGTATGTACATCATCTGCATATTGGCAGACGACCCTGTTTCTGGCTGCGCAGTACGAGTATCATGAATGTGAGTCACGACAAGTCCGATGGGCTCCTTTCACTTGCAAATGAAACTCGAGCGTACGAAGAAGTTTAAGAAGTAGCACAAATTAAAAGCTATCTGTTGCAAGAAGCCAGATGCTGAGACTGATTTTGAGATAATCAATCTGTCTGGCACTCACACTGGCACTGAACAGAACCGCCATTCGGTAAAGATATGCTTCCCGCTTCATAGCACGAGACTCCTCCCATGCCGCAATCATTTGCGAGGTTTACCTTGATGGCGCACTTTTTGCCCTTGCCACTGCAGAGAGGAGCCACGTAGACATTGGAACGTTCCTTTTGATATCCAGTACAGTCTTGTACTAATCCTTGAAATACTGCAGAAGCACGCACTGGCGACAAATAGGTAGCCCACATAAGCCAGAGGGCACAATCGACGAGCTGCATGGTGAATAACTTCCTACAATGGTCAGCGTGCTCAGTTCCAAATTAGAGACGGAATTTACGAAAGCTGATCGTCTGAACTGATGGTGGGTGAGGGATGGTTCCAAGATTTGAACTGGGCAGATGCACCCTTTTATAACATGCCATCGAAGATTTCCGGCCTGATCAGGAGAAGTTGACAGCAAATGAGCCCTCGTGGCAATGGGACAAACACACGACCATGCATGCAGTCCAACCAAGCATTGAGCTGATTGGTACGTCCACTTCGCGATGTCTGCAACAAAACTTGCCAAGATGAAGTCCAACAAGATCTGTTGAATCTGCGAAATGAGCAATGTGATAATTTGCAACGCAATTTGAGAGACGATGGGCTTGAGTGCACTGTGTGCAGATAAACAGCATTGAGAAAGGCCATGTTGTAGTATCCTCACGGCTGCTGCTTATAATAGAAACAAAACTCTGCACGCGGGCTGGCAGCCTGAGAGTCGAAAAGTCAGAGAGGTCAGGCCTCCGCCTACAAGTTCAATTGTAGCCTTGCGCTGTAGCAGTGGCACTGTATGTTTGGTTAGCTTGATCCTTTCTTAGAACTATCAGACCTATTCGGAGTTCACCTCGCATTCCCGTTGAGCCAAAAGTGACTAGTCCCTAGAGGACACCGCTGCAGCTCTTTAAACCCCGAATCCAAGGCCTCGCCCAGGAGTCAGTGCTCGTCAGGAGACACCTCCTGAACCCATCTTCGAATCCCGCAGAATCTCGAAGCTCATTTATATCTAACAAGAACTACCCCTGAGATTGAAGTATTCAAAAGTGCCGAGCTGAGCAAAGTGGCGAAAGTGTCTCACGGGACTTGGCGCTTGCAACACAGGGAAACCCTCCAGATACTTCAATGAGGAGTTCATGCATGAATGCAAGACTGTCAGGTGTGAAGGTCGAGCTGCTACTAGCCTCTGTCTGCGCATTTGAGGCAGTCTTGAGTCTAGACTTCCTGTTGACCAAACACGGCATGGACCACGTCCAGACGATCACATGTAGTTGCGACGTAAGCCCGCTCGTCCATTGTCGAGCTGCAGGGGTTCTTGCCACGCGTGCATGAAGCTCTGGCACTCCGTTTTCGCCAAAGGCCCAGTGCACCTCGTTTGGAATACTGGAGTCCGCAATCAAATATGCCGCTCGCATGCGTCGATGAGACCATCTTGGAAGACACTTGCCGATCAGCACCGCCTAAGTGGGGCTGGTGCCTTCAACTTGGCAATGAGAGTCGCCGGCCAGAATGTCCATTTCAACGATAGGGAACAGTCTTCTTTCTAGCATCGAATCGACAGACGAATACGATGCATACATCCAAAAGGGTTCCAGCAGAGTTGCCGGATATATGCGGAGAAATTGAGGCAAGCTTGAGTGACAAGGCATTGAAATTGCGGATGACTGCACCTGCCGGCGAATTGTGGTCGACACTCGATGATGTCCATTGATCGGCGAGGTCGCACATTTTGTGTCGTTCCGGGAGTGACCGCTTGAAATCTGCTAGAGGAGGCGGTCGTGGTGATTGCGTTCACTCCCTTGAAGGCGATGATACGGCGCGTAGCCGTCAAGATGCGTTGACGTAAACAGGCAAATGAGCATGAAATTGCTCGTAAGCAGGCACCGGATCTGAAGCCGCTGTTTCCTCTGGCGTGGGCAAACGCGGGTGCGTTTGTGCGTAAAGCAGTGCACGCGCTTGTTGCTTATCGAGCTGGATGCGCAAAGTATTGCTAGCCATTGCGTATCGAAGCTGTTGAAAGAATGCTTGTGAAGTTGCATTCTCCTGGCAATCTAGTTGAATGAGACATCGCAGCGGATTGCCACTCGCGGCATCTTCCAACCTACTGCCACATGTCGGCTGTAATCGCATCGACACAAGCTCAGTCTTCTGTTTACGTTGAGATGTTGCTAGACGAGAGATCTTTTGTAAAAAAGGAAGCGCTGCCGTTTCAAGATCTGTGACTTTGTCGAGTGGTATCGACAGATGCATGAGTGGCAATGGCACACAGTCCCCGCCCAGCGAGTCGGACCTTTCACCGACACTCTGGTCAGAGACAGCACTCTGATGACTCCTTTGTCGTTGAAGAGTGCCAGCACAAGCGTAACAGCGATGCGCTTGCACGAAGACCATACGTTGTGTTGTGAGCCATAGTATCCCAGCACATGAACCATAGGACTGCATGTTGAGCTGAATTGCCTCATAAAGCGAGACAAGGCGCTCTTCAGGAACGAGCTGAAGCGCGCTTGGTGGCCGTGTCACCCAGTTGAGAGCCATGTCGCCAGGACGAGTTGCTTGGGACTTGTTGTGTGGCGAGCAAGATCTCAAGTCGTCGCATGTGGAGCCGAGAGCAGATCAAGTAAAGCAGTCACAGGTAATTGACTAGTCAGCAAACAGACTCTTGCTAGGAGATATATGTAACTGGACAGACGAGAACACAGCTAGCTAATAAGATATATCTGATAGGAGAGACGAGAACACGGCTTATGCCTTGAACGTGTAGCCATACTTGGCGTTGGCACCAAGCTCCTCCTCAATACGGAGCAACTCGTTGTACTTGGCCAATCGCTCCGACCTGCAGGGCGCACCAGTCTTGATCTGGCCAGAGCCAAGACCAACGACCAAGTCAGCAATGAATGTATCTTCCGTCTCGCCGGATCGGTGGGAGCACATGACACCCCAGCCGGCAGCGACGGAGTCGTTGGCAGCCTTGATGGCCTCGGTGATGCTTCCAATCTGATTGATCTTGAGCAACAAGGCAGTGCATGCCTTCTTCTCGATGGCAGTCTCAATACGCTTGGGGTTTGTCACTGTCAAGTCATCACCGACAATTTGAGCGGTGGTCTGGGCAGTAAGTCCGACCCAACCCTCCCAGTCATCCTGGTCAAAGGGATCCTCAATAGAAACAATTGGGTACTTCTTGCAGAGGGAGAGGTACTCATCAGCGAGCTGCGCACTGGTGATCCACTTGCTCTTGTCACTGTCGGGGTTCTTGAAGTCAAGGTCGTACTTGCCATCCTTGTAGAACTCGGACGAAGCCACGTCCATAGCAATCTTGATGCTGTCAGTGTAGCCAGCCGTGTCGACGGCTGCCATGATGAGGTCAAGTGCTTCTTCAGCAGAACCGATATCCGGTGCGACACCACCTTCGTCACCGACATTGCCTGCAGACTGGCCGTACTTCTTTTTCGTGAGGGTCTTGAGGATTGCGTAGACTTCAGCACCTTGACGCATAGCCTCAGAGAACGAAGCAGCGCCAACGGGAAGAATCATGAATTCCTGGAAGGCAAGTGCACCGCCGGCGTGAGAACCACCGTTGATGACGTTGAATGCAGGCACAGGCAATGTGTACTTGCCGTCCTTCGGGATAGTACCGGCAATCTCTGCAATGTGCTTCCAGAGAGGGATTTTCTTCTCCGCGGCAGCAGCCCTGCAAACAGCCATCGACACACCGAGAATGGCATTGGCACCGAGCTCAGACTTGTTGGTGGTACCATCGAGGTCATTGAGGAAGTTGTCAACGGCAGTCTGGTCCTTGATGTCGAGACCAGCCTTGATGAGTGCAGGAGCAATCTTGTCGTTGATGTTGGACACGGCCTGTGTCACACCCTTGCCAGCCCATTTGGATTTGTCACCATCACGGAGCTCAAGAGCCTCGTGGACACCAGTAGAGGCGCCTAGATCCAGTCAGTAATTGGGTCTAAGATGGGTAGATAAGGAGTGACTGACCTGAAGGCACAGCAGCACGGTGGAGTCCAGTCTCGGTGATGAGATCGACTTCGACAGTTGGGTTACCACGAGAGTCGTAGATGCTGCGAGCGTGAATCTTCTGGATAGCCATGGTTGCAGAGGTAAATTATGTCTTGTCTCGATCCTCGTCCTCATCCTCCCGATCGCTGGGTGTTGAGGATTTGGGGGCAGTCACAAAGTCGACATCTAATATCACTGAGAGTATCATAGAGTGCATAGACATATCTAGCGAACACTCTACTCTACTCCTCCATCTCCTCGTCATCCGCCTCTGCTGCTTGTTTGGCAGTTGCATTCACCTGCTGCAGCTCCTCACCCTCCAAGATCACCCACTTGCCCTTATTCTGTGGGCCCATCGAGTCATCCAGGCAGATATAACCAAGCTCAAGCTCAAAGTCCTTGTCCTTGGCTTCATCATGCACCTGGTGCACAATCCGCGCAGCAGCAGCAATCGCATCTTGAGCAGACAATGTAACGAAATCCAGCTTCTCAAGCTCATTTTTGGCAAGTTGCTTGCCTTTACCTGTCGCACATGCGTGATAGCCGTAGTATGCGCCAGAAGGCTCAATCAAGTACAAGCCTGTGCCATCATCTTCATCTGCACCACCCACAATCGCCGCCATACCAAATGGACGCACACTTGAGTAGAGTGTGTAGGCCTGTACATACTGACCCATACGATCAGCCAAGGCTGGTACACCAATCGGCAACTTATACGTTGAGCGCCAATTAGCCGCTTCATCCCTGCATCTGCCTGCAAAGTGTTTTCCATCCGGTACAAGACCAGAAGATGCCACGCCGATATGACGGTCCACCGTGGCCATACGTCTATTCTTTCCCGGAAGCAGTAACTTTGAAGTGATGAGTTTCTCTAGCGCAATCACAACGCAGGTAGGTGTCTTGATGCCGAGTGTCGTACCGGCGGATTCAACTGCTTTTGCGGCATACTCGACTTGAAAGACACGACCATCAGGTGAGAAGGTCGAGTTGGACAGGTCATAGCCTGTGCCGATGGAAGTCATGGCTGTGTAGGCTAGAAGGCGGTCGTTGCTGCGTGACGCGTCCAAGTCTCTCGTGGTCGTCGTCGCAGCTGAGTCAATTCAGATGGGAAGACGGAGATTTTGCCTGACAAGCTGCAAGTGCAAAGCTCTCTTCAAGTTTCAGGCAGATGCGGAAGATGCTAGCCTAGATGAATCTGCAAGATCCACAACTTGCATATCCTTGTGGCTGCTTCTGCCGAAAGCCAGACTTGTATCCAGATTTGTCTGTATCAAATCGTCAAAAGGTGAGAACATAGACTCAATTCTCAGTGAGTCTAAAGCCACGCTACAATGCTATCAATTACGAAGATGCAGAGACTGGATCAATGGTCGTTCCACTCTTCACCTCAGCCCATCCAATCAGCCGCCAGTGCTTCTCAATCCGCCGACTCAAAGCAATCTTCTCGCCATTCTCCGTACACGCAGGAGCAGTGAGAACAATCTTGGCCAAATCAGCCTTGACACCCATCACTTTACCGCCCACGGCAGTCGATCCAATATTGACCATGAGCACCTCGCCTTTCGTAAGCTTGCTGACTTTTGTGGTTTTGCCCTTTTCATCCGACTTGACACCAAGCAGTCTGCGGAGCAAAAAGTAGTTGATCTCAAGCTCAATGTAGATGCTGGGTAAGTTCCCCTTCGCACCGAGTACTTGTCCGACAAGCCTGTCTGCACGGCACAGCGTTGGGTCAATCCTGGTACCAACACCAATCAAACCACCTGGCACAGCATACGTCAGGTTGTTGTTCTCTGCAAAGAGCGACACGACGCGAGACAAGATGGGCACGCAACGAATCTTGCCCTCGCTGTCCTTTGAGACAATACCAGGTCGCACCTCAATCTCATCACCAACCTTGATGACACCCGTCAAGATGGAACCACCAGCAACACCACCCTTGAGGTCATCGATTTCTGCACCAGGCTTGTTGACATCGAATGAACGAATGACAATCAGACGTGGCGAAGCACTGTAGTCACGTACAGGAACAGGGACATTCTTGACAATGTACTCGAGCACGGCATCAATGTTGTACTTGAGCTGTGCTGAGATGGGCACAATAGGCGATTGATCCGCAACGGTGCCCTTGATAAACTTTTGAATGGTACCATAGTGCTCTTCAGCAGCAGCTTCGCGCATCAAGTCTACCTTGTTCTGCAGGATGATGATGTGCTTGAGCTTCATAATCTCAATCGCAGCCAAATGCTCTGATGTTTGCGGTTGCGGGCATGGCTCATTTCCAGCAATCAGCAACAGTGCAGCATCCATGACTGCAGCTCCGTTCAGCATGGTACTCATGAGAATGTCGTGACCCGGACAATCAACAAAGGAGACGTGACGAATCAGCTTCATTGTTCCGCCACACCCAAATCGCTCACAGGGAGGATCCAATGGGTGATCCGACTTGTAGGACTTGTAGCAGCCTGGTCGCGGGCATGCTTCATTGTCGCATTTATAAATCTTGGCATTGGCATAACCCAGCTTGATGGTGATGTTTCGCTCTAGCTCGTTTCTGAAGCGGACAGTGTGCACGCCAGAGATGGCCTTGACCACAGTCGATTTACCGTGCGCGACATGGCCGATTGTGCCGAGATTGATGGTGGCCTGGTTCTGCAGGGTCTCAATAGAGAGAGCCGTGAGCTTTGTGACATCTATCTCTGTGTCTGCCATCGCTGCAGGACTCAAATTGGACCTCTTGGTGGTCGCGGTCGTTTTGTCCTTTTAGATCTTGTCGCTCGCTCGTCTCAAACCGCGAGAAATTTTGGAACTCGCACGTGAGAGGCAGCCAGGGTTAGTTCGCACTGGACTTGCTCTGAATTTCCTTGCTCACCGTCTATCTATCTAAGCAGAAGGTCTCTCCCCATGGTCTAGATGCATAGGATGCCACCAATCTATGTGAAAGAAGACAGCGCATAGTCTACGGATTTGCTGGGAGGCATTTTGAAATCAAAGACTTCCCTAAGTCAACCGCGGGTGCTCCTAGATGCCCTGAAGACTGAGGAACTGCTGTGCTGCAGCCTGCATAATGACTGGCTTCAGGGCGTCTTTGAGTCTTAGGGCGCACAGATAAAGCTGAGGTCATGTCGTTGACTCGCTGCTGCTAATGTTCAGCTCTTTCAGGGGAATTTGATCTGTGACTAGAACTACGTCACGATCGGGTGGGATCTATCAAATTTGCCGACAACTTTAGCAACTGAGTGGTTGTGACGTCTTGCTTAAAGCTTGCTATAATGCTATTACTCAGACTAAGCTGGGTTTGTGTTGAGCTCTTACATGACATTTATACACGACCGGTTCAGACGACCTTCATCACAGCCGACATATGTCAGCTTCTTCGTGGTGCATGTCGGATGAGATGCAGCATTGTCAAATCTCAGTCTTAACCGGTGTGCAGCGTGCACATGAAGACAACCCGCTAGATCTACGGCCCGGGTAGGGTCTACCTATTTTGTCCGCGACGGGATCTCGGCTGGCTTGCCCTTCAAAGATCTGAGATCTGGGCTGATTCTGACGTATGCATTCAGGATCTGCCGACAACTCTAAAAAGGCAAGCTTCAGCTACAATCTTATTCTCAATCTAGACAGACTGCAGCCATTATCTTCTCGATAGATGGCCTCTGATTCCAGGTCTAGCACTGAAGAGAAGCCTGGACGCAAAATCAATACAAAGGAGTCAGCGCCATCAGATGGTCATGGCGGCGCCATCTTGCGCGACAGTGCTTTCGGCATGATTGCGCGCAACATTGGTCTTCGCAAGCTGTTCCCATACAACGACGAGCGTCCTGAGAAGCATGAGTACTACAAGCATGCGTATGCCCAAGACCGGCATGAGAAGATGAAGCATGACGTCATCGAACGCAATCAGGAGGAAGAACAGTCATGGCGTCGAGAGAACCCACAAGATGCAGCTACTGAAGACCGTCGCGTTGCTCAGGGGCTACGTACAAGGAGCTCGTCTGCGGAAGATGCAGCAACACTGGCCGACGAGGCGCCATTGGCTCAGGATCGCATCAAGCCAGGAGCAGAGCTGACAGATGCCGACGACACTTCATCCCATGGTCCGCTTGAACACCGCCCGGCTCATCACGACACAGAGCGAGGCAAGGATGTCAATCTCGTTACATTCGAGGAAAATGACCCAGAAAATCCGCTCAACTGGTCGACTGGCAAAAAGAGTTTTGTTACTGCCATGCTGTGTCTTCTCACGATCTCCATCTATATGGGATCAGCCATCTACTCGCCCGGTGTCAAGTCGGTCATGTCTGACTTCACCGTCAACTCTGCTGTTGGTGTGTTGCCTCTCAGTTCGTTCGTTCTTGGTTATGGTCTGGGACCTGTACTTTGGGCCCCTATGAGTGAAGTTCCTGTCATTGGTCGTAATCCAGTCTACATTGGCACGCTCATTGTGTTTGTTGCGCTGCAAGTACCCACTGCGCTTGCACCCAACATCGGCTCGCTCATCGTCACACGATTCCTCGGTGGCTTCTTTGGAAGTCCCGTCCTTGCCACAGGTGGTGCCAGTATTGGTGACATGTTTATGCCAAAGTACCGCGCGACACCTATCGCCATTTTTGGTGCTGCAGCTGTGTGTGGCCCATCTCTTGGTCCAATGATTGGCGGTTTCATCGTGGATTGGGGAACCTCGTGGCGTTGGACAATTTGGGAACTGCTTTGGCTCTCTGGATTTGGTCTTGCTGTCCTCTTCTTCTTCCTGCCCGAGACTTCCGGTGATTGTATCCTGCTTTGGAAGGCAAAGCGCTTGAGAAAGCTGACTGGCAACAACAATTTGCAATCTGAGGGAGAAATCAAGCAAAAGCAAATGACCTTTAGCCAAGTGGCTAGTATGTCGCTTCTCCAACCCATCACATTGACCGTCAGGGATCCCATGGTCTTCTTGCTCGGTCTGTACATCTCCATCGTGTATGGAATTTTGTACATCTTTTTGGAATCGTTCCCGATTGTCTACGGCGAGATGTACGGCTTCAACAATGGAGAGGTCGGCTTGACCTTCCTTGGATTGTTTGTGGGTGCAGTCCTCGCTATCATCGGGTACGAGATATACGTCGTCAAGAAGCTCCACAAGGAGTTCGACAACTCGCCAGATGGTACAATCGAGCCCGAACGGCGTCTCGTTGTTGCCATGGTAGGCTGTTTCGGTCCTCCCATCTGTCTCTTCTGGTTTGCTTGGACGGCCAATCCGCGTTTCCACTGGGCCATCTCTGTGGCATCGACCGTGTTTTACGGCGCAGGTACAATCCTCCTCTTCCAGGCGATTCTCAACTTCATCAATGACTATGGTGGCAAGCGTGCCGCATCCCTGTTGGCAGGAAACGATATGATGCGAAGTTCGTTTGCGTGTGGTTTCCCAGTATTTGCGGGTGCCATGATGCGTAACTTGGGTATCGGCAGAGCCAACACGGTTCTCGGAGGACTTTCTGTGGCGATGATCCCTTTGCCCTTTTTGTTCTTCAAGTTTGGCAAGCGTCTTAGACGACAGTAGCGAATGAGCATGTATTCTTGTACAATACGTTATGAATACCTAATCTAGTATGCTATTGAATGTCACAGATCACCGGATGCGTCGCGCTCCATCATCTGCGAGGGCTACGGAATCCTGTGCAGCGATGCAAGCAAAAGTATGCATAGAAAATTAGGAAATATGAACGGGACGCGACTCTGCGCCTTCTACGCCTTCTACGCGTCAATCACAGCGATTAAGTCGCCAGAATTGACAGAGTCACCTTGTGAGACTGTAATCTCGCTCACCTTGCCCGAGATAGGAGCCGACATGACGAGCTCGAGTTTCATGGCAGACAAGACACCCAGAATATCACCCTTCTTCACCTCTGCGCCTTGCTTGACGCGCACCTCCACCACAACACCCGACATGGGTGCGCCGACCTGGCCAGACTTGGAGCCATCTGCCTTCTTTCGCGTGACGGTCTGCACAGCAGCCTTTTTGTCCTCGACGGTGATGGGTCTTGTTTCACCATTGAATTCAAAGTAAACCTCGCGTGTACCCGTCTTGTCGCTTACAGGACCCACAGCCAGCAACTTGATGATGAATGTCTTTCCCTTCTCGACATTGACGTAGATTTCTTCGTTGATCTCAGGCTTGGCGAGGAAGAAGCGTGTTGGCAACACAGACAAGTCACCATACTTGGCCAAGAAGGCACGGTAGTCCTTGTAGACACCTGGAAATTGCGTGTACGAGGCAACATCTGTGTCACCTGCAGTACCATACTCCTTTGCTAAGTCTGAGCGAATTTGTTCGAGATCAGCAGGGGGTAGGTGTTTGCCTGCACGGTCTGTGAGAGGCTCGCGCTGGCCCTTGAGAACATGCGTCCTGAATGGTTCGGGGAATCCACCGTAAGGCTGACCCATCAAGCCCTGGAAGAAGTCGAGCACGGATGCCGGGAAGTCAAGGTCCTGGGCACGATCAATCGTGTCTTGGTAGGAAAGCTTGTTTTGCACCATGAATTGTGCGAGATCACCCACGACTTTGGAGGTGGGCGTCACTTTAACGATATCACCCAGCAAAGCATTGGCTTGCACATAGGCCTTCTTGGTCTCCTTCCATTGCGTACCAAGGCCCAATTGTGTTGCCTGGAATCGCAAGTTGGTCAGCTGTCCACCAGGAATCTCGTGGTCGTACACCTCAGGATCAGGACCCTTCATGTCACTGTCAAAGGGCGAGTAGAGCAGACGCAGCTGCGACCAATACTCATCGAGCGCCTTGACGGCGGAAGTATCCAAGTTCGGACCAAGTCCTGAGCCATCCATGGAAGCCATGTAGGCACCAATCGACGGCTGGGACGTCATACCAGACATGCTGTCTGAACAGACATCAATGGCATCAGCACCTGCTTTCGCGCATGCAACCATCGAAGCAACACCTGTACCGGCAGAGTCATGCGTGTGTACGTGAATTGGCAAATCTGGGTACTTCTTCCTGATGGCTGTAATCAAGGTGGTTGCAGCCTGAGGCTTGAGAACACCAGCCATGTCCTTGATACCGAGTACATGTCCGCCCATGGCAACAATCTCGTCCACGAGGGAGAGGTAGTAATCCAGGTTGTACTTCTTCTTTGGGTTAAGCATGTCGCCAGAGATACATACGGTGGCCTCAGCAACACCACCGGCCTTCTTGACGGCGTCCACACCGAGTTTCAAATTTTCAACATCGTTGAGCGCGTCAAAGACACGGAAAATATCGACACCATTCTTCTTTGCCTGCTCACAAAAGAAGTAAATGGCATTATCTGGCAATGAGCTGTATGCAAGACCGTTGGCTCCACGCAGCAACATTTGGAAGGGAATGTTTGGCACGGCCTTACGAAGCTTTCGCAATCGGTCCCAGGGGTCTTCATACAAAAAACGCATAGCAACGTCGAATGTAGCACCGCCCCAGCATTCCAGAGCATAGGCGTTTGAGAGAGCATACGATGTTTGCGGTGCAATGTTGAGCAAGTCGAGTGTTCGCACACGCGTTGCAAGCAAAGACTGGTGAGCATCACGCCAGGTGGTGTCCATGATGAGTGTTCCTTCATTCGCACGCACAGCCTTGGCAAATCCTTCGGGACCTTGCTCGAGCAAGATCTTGCGCCAGCCTTGTTCGCATGGCTTGGCCAAGTCGACTTCTTGTTGGGAGTTTGGCTCGTAGATGGTTGGCAAGATGATTTCACCCTTGAGCAAAGGCTCGCCGATTTGCCCAACAATCTGTGAACCATTGACACACAGGTCGGCGAGGTACGAGAGCATGCGTGTAGCACGGTCAGCAGACTTGTAGAGCTGGAAGAGCTCTGGAGTATCATCGATGAAGGTCGTCCAGTACTTTGCAGTTTGGAATGTTGGGTGCATGACCAATCGAAGCAAGAAGGGGATGTTTGTCTTGAGACCACGAATGCGGAACTCGATCAGGGCACGCAGCACCTTGCGGCGCGTGATTTCGTAGGTTGAGCCAGAGCACGAGCACTTGACCAGCATGCTGTCGTAGTGCGGGGAGATGACTGCACCTGCAAATCCATTACCACCGTCAAGACGTACACCATTTCCACCCGCAGAGCGGTACACTTCGATTCTGCCTGTGTCAGGTGCAAATTGCATGCCTGGATCTTCCGTAGTGATGCGACACTGAATGGCAAATCCACGCACGGTAATCTTCTCCTGCGAGAGGCCCAGTCGAGAGAGGGTCGCACCACCGGCAATTTGAATTTGAGCACCAACGATGTCGATGCCCGTAATCTCTTCAGTGATGGTATGTTCGACTTGAATACGCGGGTTGATTTCGATAAAGTAGTGTCGGCCTTGAGCATCGACCAAGAACTCGGCAGTACCTGCATTGCGGTAGTTGACTTCACGAGCGAGCTTGATGGCATCGTCCAAAATGGCCTGCCTGAGCTTTGGGTCGAGATCCTTGGCTGGAGCGACTTCGACGACTTTTTGGTGACGACGCTGGACTGAACAGTCGCGCTCGTACAAGTGGATACAGTTGCCAATACCATCTGCAAGAAGCTGCACTTCAATGTGCTTCGGTCGTTCCAGGAAACGCTCAAGGAAGCAGGTGCCGTCACCAAAGGCAGACTTGGCCTCGGATGTAGCACGTTCAAAGGCAGACTCAAACTCGTCTTGCTTGCGAACAACGCGCATACCACGACCGCCGCCGCCCATAGCGGCCTTGATGATGACCGGGAAGCCGTACTTTTCAACAAAGTCTTTCGCTTCGCCAATGTTTTCGATAGCACCCTCCGTGCCAGGCACGACGGGCACACCCACACGAATAGCAACTTCACGCGCTTTTGTCTTATCACCGAGGGAGTCGATGGTCTCTGGGGTAGGGCCAATCCAAATGATGCCTGCTGCTTCAACCTTACGAGCAAAAGAAGCATTCTCAGACAAGAATCCATAGCCTGGGTGGATCATAGTGACGCCTTTTGCAACGGCAATACGCACAATTTCGTCTTGAGCAAGATAGGCAGCAACGGGTGTGTACTCGCCCACCGCACCAATGACATATGCCTCATCGGCCTCTTTTTTGTTAGCTGATGCTTTGTTCAACGGATAGTCTACTTTGCCTGTGCATGGAAAGCCTGTCTTCATGCGAATAGATGGCTACAGTGTGCATGCCCAGTTCATGGGCCGTCCTGAAGATTCGCACTGCAATCTCCGACCTGTTTGCAACGAGCAACTTGTGTGGCTTCTCTGCAGAGATGCTCGAGTGTCGCCGGATCTGTCAAGAAGTGGTTAGTTCTTGCTGTTTTGAAGCTTATCTGTTGAGTAGCATACGTGCTTGATGGCGACCTGATTAGACTGGTCATCAATGTTGTCGTCGAATGCATCTTCGTCATAGTTTGCCGACATGACTGCTGCGGGTCTGTCTGTCTCTTGTCTCTCTTGATCACTCGAGGCAGGCAGATGTGTCTCTATCTACGCCTGCTGGTGCTGAGGTTGAGTTGGTGATCCGCTTGCCCGACCGTTGCGGAGTCGAAGCTGAGATAACATCCAACCAATCACAGCAGCACGCCCCCTCTCCCAGCAAAAGGCCGAGAGCGACAGGGGCCAGGTCAGGGAGGTCAGTCTGAGGTACTGGATAGCTATAGGAGTGGTAGTGTACTAGAGAGAAAGACTCAGGGTAGGATTCTAGTGGTGGAACAGGCGAAGACCAGTATCGCTGTACACCATGCCCAAAGAATCAGCAGCCTCAATCACTGCACCATCCATCACGGAGCCCATCGGCGCACTCACATACTGCACGCCAGACTGTCCAAGTCTAAAGACATTGTCCGGGAAGGGGAAGAAGGCATCTGACGAACAGGCCACTTGATCCAGCTTCTTTGCAAATTCACTGCGCTCCTCCTCCGTCAAAAAGGCAGGCACCTCCTCAAACTTGCTCTCCCAAGAGTCCCGCTCAGGGCCAGAGGCAGGCACTTTGCCCGTCACAAACAAGTCAATGGCATTGGCCTTGTCGGCACGCTTAGCAGCTTTGCTAAATTTGAGGCTCAGGACGCGTGGGTGGTGTCGCAACCACCAGTTATCCGCCTTTTCACCAGCCAAACGCGTGCAGTGGATACGCGATTGCTGACCGCCACCAAGACCAATCACCATTCCTTTACGTGCATAGCACACAGAGTTGGATTGCGTGTACTTGACAGCGATGGTGGCGACTGCCATATCCCGCTTGCCTTCCTCTGGAAGTTCCTTGTTTTGTGAGACAATCTTGTTGAAGGTTGTTGCTGCTGAGATTTTGGCATCGTTGCGTCGTTGTTGAAGGGAGATACCATACACCTGACGTGTCTCAACGGCCGGTGGCACATAGTCGGCATCCATCTGTAGCACACAGTACTTGCCACCCTTCTTCTTTTGCAAGATTTCAAGGGCTTCAGGGGAGTAGCCAGGTGCAATGATACCGTCCGACACTTCCCTGTTGATGATGCGCGCAGTGATAGCATCACACTCATCAGACAACGCGATAAAGTCACCAAAGGAAGACATGCGGTCTGCGCCTCGTGCACGCGCATAAGCGCATGCAAGGAGTGACATGTCCTTCAAGTCAGACACACCATACACAATCTTTTCATCATCCGTCAATTCAACGCCCACCGCTGCACCAGCGGGTGAGACATGCTTGAAGGATGCCGCTGCAGGGAGGTCTAACCCTTCCTTGAGCTCTTTGACGAGCGGCCAAGCATTCAAAGCATCAAGCAAATTGATGTAGCCGGGTGAGCCCGAAAGCACCTTGAATGGCAGTTTCTCATCTTTGACAAATGCTTGAGCTGGGATCTGGTGTGGGTTGGCACCGTATCGCAAGGTGAGCTGCTTGCCGCCTGAACCGGCATACTGCTTGCGGAAGTAATCACTGATGGCCTCATCATAACTGGCTGTTTGTGTAAATGCCTTGAGAGCGAGCAACTTGCGCTCCTCCTCCGTAATCTTACCCTGTTCGAGGGATTCCAGGAATTGATGGTAGTCGGCGGGATCACTCAGGATGGAGACGCGAGCATGATTCTTGGCTGCTGCACGCAAGAGCGTCACACCACCAATATCAATCTCCTCCACAGCCTCTGCAATCGTCACTGCAGGTTTCGCAATGGTTTGAGCGAATGGGTAGAGGTTACAAACAACCACATCAATCTTGCTGATATTGTGGCTTGCGAGATCTTGCTCATCGCGCTCAATATCCTGAGCTAGGATACCGCCGTGTACTGCTGGATGCAACGTCTTGACACGACCACCGAGCATCTCTGGCGCATTCGTGATGCTACTCACATCTTCAATCGGGAAGCCTGCTTCACGGATCATTTTGGCAGTGCCGCCAGAACCGAGCAGCTTGACGCCATTGGAGATGAGGCCCTTTGCGAGGTCCAAAAGACCAGTCTTGTCGTAGACGGAGAGAAGAGCGATACGCTGGGTCGACATGGCTATACGTTGCTTGCTTGCTTGGCCGTCTCTTCATCTCCGTCGAAAACTTTTTTTGCAGATTGCGCAAGACAGCAAACAAGACACCACAAAGTTGTAGAAGGAGTAGATGAGCTTTGATCTATGGAGATGCTAGATGATTGCATCTGGGCTGTAAAGCATTCTTCTCCCATGCTTCCTCAGAAAGGAGATCTCTTTCGTAAAGGGTGTTGACGTCCTCCTCATGCTTGTCTATAAAAATACAGTCTTGTCATCTTCAACGGGCGAAGTTTTGTGTGTGTGTCTCTTCTTCATGCTTCTTTCCTCTATTCGCAGTCCTCTCTTCTCGATTTGCATGCGTGAATGCAAGGGTGAAAGAGCAGAAGGACCAGTCTAGAACGCGCCAAAATGTCGGAAAGAGAAAAAAAGCCAAAAAAGCAGAAACAGGTCTAATCGCTGGGGTCGTTTCGCCGTCAAAAACATAAATTGTAGGTCGTCAAGTCGTTAAAAGAGGAAAGAAAGTTCCGTTTGGTGTTTGGAACCTTCTGTTATGTCCATGGGGAGAAAGCGTTGTTTTGTTGGTTGCAGGTTGATGAAAGCAAAAGGAAAGATGAACGGAAAGAAGCGCAAGATGGAAGGAAGCAAGCGACTCTACCACCAGGAAGAGCCACCGCCGCCGCCGCCACCACCACCGCCTCCGTAAGACGAACCGCCGCCACCGCCGTAGCCACCGCCGCCGTAAGACGAACCGCCGTAGCCGCCGGACGAGGCACCGTAGCCAGGGTTGCGACGCACGTCACGAGAGCCCGAAGACCCACCACGACCACGGCCGCCACCACCGCCGCCACGACCACGACCACCACCGAAGCCTCCGGCTTCACGAGCAATAGCCTCAAGGAAAGCAGGCACTTCTTGTTTCGCTTCTTTGAGCAAATCGAGCATGTCCCTAACAATACCACGGTTGCCGCGGTTGAAGAAGGCAACGGTATTTCCCGTGTTACCAGCACGACCCGTTCGACCAATACGGTGAACGTAGTCGTCAATGTCAGACGGCAGGTCATAGTTCACGACCATAGTGACGTTTGGAATGTCGAGACCACGCGCAGCAACGGCAGTAGCGACCATGATGGGTGTCCTGCCTGTCCTGAACATCTCAAGTGCACGTTCACGCTCGCGCTGGGTACGGTCACCGTGGATTGAGGTTGCTGGGAAGTTGCTTTGGAGCAAAAAGTCGGATAGAGCATCTGCCATGCGTTTTGTCTCAACGAAAATGAGGGTGAGACCATTGGGAGGCAGGGTGTGCAGGATATCCAAGAGCACAGAACGCTTATCGGGGTCTTCAACATACTCGACAGTCTGAGTGATGTTCTCTGAAGTGGAGCCAACACGACCAACAGACAAGAAGACGTAGTCCTTCAAAAAGTCGCGAGCAAGCATCTGTATGTCTCGGGGGAAGGTGGCGGAAAACATGAGTGTTTGACGGTCATTGACGCCAGGCATGTCTTCTTGCTCGACAATACGCCTGATTTGAGGTTCAAAACCCATGTCCAGCATGCGATCAGCTTCGTCAAGAACCAAGAATTTGATAGCAGCAAGCGAGATGCGACCACGCTCGAGCAAGTCAACAAGACGACCAGGTGTGGCAGTAAGCAAATCACAGCCACGCTCAATGTTGCGCAACTGTGAACCAATGTCGGCACCACCATACACGACTTGAGGCTTCACCCATGATCGGTAAGCAAATTTGCGTGTCTCATCGTGAATCTGCATGGCGAGCTCACGGGTGGGAGCCAAGATGAGGGCAGTGGGGTATGCCTTGCGGTTGCGTCCGTACGAACGCATAGCTTCCGACTGAGCAGCGTTGGTTTGAGGAGGAGAAGGTCCAACGGTGAATGCCTGGGACAGGATGGGGAAGAGGAAACCACCAGTCTTGCCGGAACCAGTCTGAGCACAAGCCATGAGGTCACGACCACCTGCGACGATTGGGATGGAGTACTTCTGCACAGGTGTTGGCACTTTGTAACCAGAGAGCTCGATGTTTTGCACGAGGTGAGCATCCAAGGGAGGTGACGTGAATTGCGTCACAGGCTCAGGCACGTTGTCGCCAGATGCCTCGACGGGGATGTCGTCGTATTTCTCAAAGTTGATGCCGGAGGACTGGTGGTGTCCAGTTTCGTTGGTCTGGGGGTAGAGCTCGTTTTCGAGACGCTGGTTAGGTTGTCCGATGATGTGCTTGCCATCCTTCCAGGATCCTTCGCCAGGTCCGCTACCACCACCGCCGTAGCCACCGCTGCTACCACCGTAGCCTCCACTGCTGCCGCCGTAGCCACCGCTTGAGCGACTTGCATCAAAGTCACGTCGGGGAGGACCACGGTTGTAGCCACCGGAGTCACGTCCAGTCTCCCATGAAGATCCCATAGCAGGTCGTGGTGCAAAAGAGGGTGCGTTTGAGTTCCAGCCGCCGCCACCGCCGTTGCTGGCTGCGGGAGGTCGTGCGCCGCCGCCTTGTCGCACGTGAGGGGGCACGTAAGCTGCTTTCTGAGGGGTTGCGCCGTTGGGTCTTGCTGAACCGTTCAAGCCCATCTGCCCCATGGAAGAGGTGAGGCTGTCGGGTCCTACATTGTTGCTGTCTCCAGTCATTAAGAGTTGAGTTTTTGTGTGGGTGATGGGGGGGAGGGTTGGTGAGTGGCTCTCTGCTGCTTTCTTCTTTTTCTTGTCGCGTCCGCAGAGAAATTTTCATTCTTCGCACGGTCACAGGGGACGAGTCACAAAATTGTCACAAATACCAGCGGCAGAGAATGGATAATGAACACAATATTATAGATGCTTCTTCCGGATGAACACAGCTGCATGTCATGTCTCCCTCCTCAGGTGCATGTACCAGGAAGATGAACTCGCTATTCTGCCGGAGGACCTCACTTTGCTCCAGCAGCTCGAGCAGCTAGACCACCTGCCCGATGCACTTGTTGCTCAACTACATGCAAAGCGGACACTGGACGCACGGCTTATGGTCAAGATTGACAAGGAGCATACTCTGACACTCCTTGTCAAGTACGCATTCTTTCCTGCATCTGAAGAGGAAGGCCCTACTATAAGTCTGATAAGGCCGACCTTTCTCTCGAGGCTGGAGTTTGAAAAGCTCGCTGCAGGCTTACCCTCTGGCGAAGATGTCCTCGCCAGTGCCTCTCAGTATCTCCTTGATGAAGCACCTCGTCTCATTGCCCGGGATGAGATGGAGACCCGGCAAGAAGCAGCCACAAATGATGCACTGGCGCGCATCTGGTTCTACCTCCCATCCTTGTCCACACGCTCTAAACGACTCGACATGTGTCGCCTTGCTCCTCATTACAACCTCACTGGTTTTGTTCTCGCAGGCAAGCCAGGCGTCTTGTGTCTTGAAGGCACACCGCGACAAGCTCAAGCCTATATGGCAGACATCAAGTGCAACTCATGGGCAGATATCCCTAGTTTTCAAAAGAAGATCACGGAACGCTTGAGGGAAGATAATATCGATGCACGTCGCTTTCAGGACATGGCGGAGATCACGGATGCTATCGCTCAGCACGGACAACGTGGTAATCGTGGCGATCTGGGACAGGTGGAAGCATTTCTCAAGGAGCGTGATCTTGGACATGTCTTTGGGTTTGTATTTATGCAGCAAATGTGAGAGCCTTTTCGTACTAGCTTTGGTCAATGCACATGTTCGTGTCTTGAGTACAAATTATTCGCCCTGAGCAGTCAAGATCAAGGTTCGCTGATGCGGACTCTCTCGAAACTCGCAAAGCATGATATCTTGCCAAGTACCAAGCTGCAACTTACCCTTCGAAATGGGAATCGTCAAGTTGACACCAACCAGCGATGACTGAATATGTGCCGGTTCATCATCTCTGCCCTCATCATTGTGTCTATACAGCTCCGTGCCAGACTTGGATGTGTCTTGCGGAACAATGCGATCCATTGCATCCCGCAAGTCAGCACGAGAATCAGGATCGTAATTCTCATTGATTGTCAGACCACAACTCGTGTGTTGGCAAAAAACATGTAGCACGCCGATTTGAAGCTGTTTAATCGCAGGAAGCGCCTTGAGTATATCTGGTGTGATGATGTAGACACCCTTGGCGCGTCTTGGCAGTGCCAGCTTTGCTTGATGCCAGGCCATGTCTTGTTGCAGTGGATGGTTGTCAAAAGCAATTGGGGTGATGTCGTGTTCGTTTCAGGAACGGCCAGACCAGGACATGTTCATACACTTATTTATGAGCTTCACAGCATGACGGATGAAATGACCAGAAGCAAGCTTGATACAGTTCTGGAGCGTGCACATCGCTGAGAGCCATTCTGGTATGATCTACTCGAGCCCATACTCTGGCTTACGAACAGCAAGAGGCTCACCACTCCCCGAATAGCGTCGACCAGCATCCAACACGGACGATACTGCAAGTCCACTGCCGCTCTCGGCATCAGAAGCATACACACACGCCAACATCGCCACGAGAGACAACGCAATCCTACCATAATTCAAGTCTCGGATCTCTCCGATTCTTCGAGCTCCCTCAGCGCCATCATCCTTCTCATACTGCTCTTGGCGTTCGTTGAGTAGGCGCTGCATGTCTTTATTACGAGGAACAATGGGCGCTTGCAAGATAATCATGGCAGCAGTCGCAGCAGCGGCAACACCAAAGCCACGCTGACCTTAAATCGTCCGTGCAAGGTAACCATTCACGCCCAAGCTCACCACCGTTGCAATGGCAATTGGACTCAACAGCTTTGCAGCAGACTCAATCAGACCATTAAAACAAGCGATCTTGGCATTCGTTGATGTCTTTGCTGCAATGAGACTAGGCATGACTGCGAACCCTGCCCAGCATGTCGAGCCAAGTAGTAGACCACATGTGACTGTTGAGAAGGAACGGGCGTAAAAGACTTCAGACATTGTTGGAGTGTCGTGAATGTCAACCTTCAACCATCGATCAAGAGATTTATTCATGGTTTGCGGGGCTTTTTCGACGCAGTCACGAAAATTCAATTGTCCTCTTCGGTAAACCTGCCTGAAGCTGAGCAAGAGTCATGTTGATTGTCTCATCGATCGTTGGCTTCTCCAGTGATTGCTGCTGGAATGGTGAGATCCAGTAATCAAAGAGGTCTTCAGGCTTGACGTGCTCGAGCTTTGGATCCTGCTTCAATGCAAACGGGATGCCTCGCTCACCGCCAAAGACAAAGAGGAGGTGCTTTGCTTTTGGTAGAGAGGCAGCACAGGTCGCTGCTGTGCCGCTTGCTGATGTGTCAACGCCAATTGTTGCATTGTATCCACCATCTAGGTCGCATCCGATAATCACATCCGAAAGACTGGATGCCTGTCTTACTTGATAGCCCCAATAGCAGCCAAGTGCCATATTGGGTGTTCTAGGGCTGACTTGGCGCCAGTGTTCTCCATCTAGCTCAACAGTGATGGACTTGTCTGGAAAATCGGTTCCAAGGACTTCGATATGCTTGCCACTCGGGTCGTCACTCGAGCAAGCCGTGACTCTTGCTGGATTGCTTAAAGTACCCATAGAGTCCTTGTCGATGAAGACTTGCTTGAATCTTTTGCCAAGTTGACGATCTGAGCCATGATGAGGCGCACGGAATGGCTTGAGCACACCCACATGTCTGAGCGTTCTGCATGGCGCAAATTGTCTGTCACGAAAGCATGGCGGTTCATTCAGATATGACAAGAGCTTCATCATGAATGAAAGTGGGTCTGACAGTCCGTCATTGCGCTCCACATATGAGTCGCTGGACTTTGTAATGGTGGGCTCTGTATGTTTGCCAGCATCCTCGTCATAGAGGATAATTTCATCGATGCCATATAGAGAGGCAAGCCGAGCTACTTGACCCACTAGTAAGGTCTTGGCTCGATGGTCTTTCACAGTAGTGACGACGCTGCTAGGTACAGCGATGGCGACTGACCCGTGAGCCTCTGCTTTTGGAGTTGCTTTCGCAGCTTGACTGGTCTGTATACGCTTGAATGGAGCTTGAGAAGGTGATTCAGTGAGACGAACTTTCTTGACAGGCATAGCTGTAGCCGGTTGCAGAGGAGCAAGAAGGAGCTCGAGGTCTGCCTTTTTTTGTGCATCTGAACAATTTGTCGCACGAAATTCATCGACGCAGAGTCGCAGACTCAATCTGACCTTCCTGCTGTCCACCAAGTCACAAGGGAAGACGGTCAACCAGTGAATCTTACCGCAGTTGCAATAGACATTGCCGTGCATTGCGCACCACTCTCAGTAGCAGGGACGATAATTACTATACTCAATGATGCATTCTTGACTTGGCTCCTCATGCATGCTTGCTCTCCGACAAGAACACGTCTAGAGACTGTCTCCTAATCAGGCTGACAAGGTTCTGGCTAGAGACAGTCGCACAGTCCGATTGACTGATTGCAAGGCTTAAGACAAGGCGGACATCGAAGGTATAGCAATGAATGACTGTAACAACAATCAAGGCCTCAGAGGATGTGTCTACAGCTGCAAGTCATTCTAAAGGCCACAAGCGTATAGACCCACGCTTGTTCTCCAGATTATATCACGGAACATAACGTATAGCCTAGAAAGCGCCGTGAATCCCGTGGATTGAGCCTTGAGTAAGATGAGTTACGCAGAAGTCAAATTCTTGCCGAGATAATCTTGACCTTGATCTAATCAGATCAAACTAATCAGGAGATTAATGCGCAGCGAACTTGTCTTGCGCGTCGTTAGTATACGGCAAAGAACCCATAGTGCTAGACTGCTAGCGCATGCTTCCTCATTTAGTCGCGTCACGCTTGTTTTTGTTGTGAGACGCGACATCACGCCACAAGTGGTCAGTCGGGCATATAAAAGGGTCCGGCTCGCACCCATGTTTCTGATCATCCATCAAAGCGCATCAAGCCAGCAAGCATGACATATGCTTCCATGATGCTCTCGTCCAAGGCTGCCCACCAAATCCAGTACAAGAGGCGCACATCAAGCTCTTCCATTCAATCAATTGGAAGCGATGTTCCAACTCCATCCACACCACGGGAAGAAGCACAAGTCGGACCTTGGTGGATGCCAGAAGCAGCACAATACCGTCACCTGAGCCAAGACAAGCAAGAACGTCATCACTAGTCCAAAGCAGCCGACGCAAGTTTTGTTTGAAAGGACCTTGCAAACTCTGCCACATCCACACCTTCACTCGCATCAATCAAGTCAAAGGGTACCTGATGTGCAGAATACTGTGGACCTTGTGAGAGCACAGTGTCTTTGCTCACGAATCGAATCTCTGGGCCTGCAGCAGTATTTGTTGGTAATGCGAGCAACTCCTGCCATGAAAAGAGGAGGGCATCGGTGCTGGGCGCACAGGGACTGATATCCATAAGCCAGACCTTATCCTGCGCCACTGAAATGTATGCATCAAACGCATCTACTGTTAGCTTTCTTCTTAACATACCCCAACTTACAGTGCTCACTCTCGAACTTGTCCTGCAAGTGTTCCTGAAATAGTCGTGCACTCAACTTTGCAATCTGGACGGCCTGACTCTCCAAAAAGTCATAATGATTAATGTCGCGCTGTGAGATGGCCACCAAGTGCTTGTCGCGCACAAAACAGCGGAACTCCATCGAAGGCTGTGCATTGAACCACTTTTTGAGGACGAGCTCGTGTTCTTCAGCTGCCAAGGGTGAAACTTCTCCAGAACAGTAGTCAAATGCGTGCTCGAGGTCGTGCACGATAAAGTCAGAACTCTTGAGGAGGAGGTAGATGTCGCTTGGCTCTGTGCACTTGAGAGTCTTGTCTGCTGTGATCCATACTGCATCCTTCGGTGCTGACCAGTTGAGCTTTGGTACGACGGATCCACCCAATGCAGCAACTTCAGAGGCAATGAGTGTGTGTAATGCCTTGAATGCATCTGTTGGATCTTCCTCTTCAAACCCCTCATCCTCAAATTCACTCTCCGAGTCGGACAGATCATGAAATCGCTTCACTCCAGAATCCTGTGGTAGCATCAGACCATCTTCATTGAGGTAGTGCAAAAAGGGCAGCGGCAATGGCTTGATGACGCGTGCGCGTGGTGACACGGATTTGAATCGTGGATGCCAATGAGAGAAGCTACACCGCATCACATCCTGCCGTGTAAGCGTTGGCCATGGAAGAAGGTCCACTTGCTTTGAGTCTGATTGCAGTGCCTCCAATACATAAGGAGTCAAGTTGCGCTTGAGTAGCGCTTGGTCACCAGTCTTGAGCGCTTCCCTAATTTTTGTTGAAGAAACGCCATGCGCATCATCCGGTGGCAGTTCAAGGAGCGCCATATTCTGTGACCAGCCGGCCGGCACACCGTCTACTGCACCAGCGGCAATTGCTTCCATATGTTTGCGCTGAGTTAATGCATCTCCCCATGTTTCATCCTCTCGTACAGCACAGAGCAGCTTCCCCTTTTCAAAGAAGGAGCCAAGCGCAGTCGCTAGGTCACGGTCAGGATAGTACTTTGGGTCCAGTATCCGCAATGCCGTATCCCAACCCACGATATACGTCTGCTCTGCTTCTGGCACGACTTGTCTGAGTGCTTCGAATTTATCCTTAAAGAACGGATGTTTCGTTAAGCAGAGGTAGGTGTCGCCAAGCATTAATACATCTTTGCGAAAGGCTTCCATCAAGGACACGCGTGCGTCAATCTCTTCTTCGCCTTTACTTCCTTTGTCTGCATTATTGGTCGCAAACATGAGCATCTATCATCAGCCTGAACTTCATCAAGAGGGCCATACAATAGTAGGCTGCGCATCATGTCGCTCAAGCGCTTTCTGAATGAGTGCGAAATGTGCCTTGTGGGGTGGATTGAAGGAGCTATCGAGAATCAAGAGAGATTTGCTGGTGAGTGCCTTGCCATGCCGGCCGAGGATCTTGAGTGCCGCCGTACTTGCTAGGAATGCCTGTGCCTCGTCTTGCATCCAGTGTCTTGTCTTGTGGTGTCGTCTGTCGTCGAGAGTCGCGACAGAATTTAAAATTCAGGAACAGGACGGCTGGTCTAGCTGGTCTAGCTGGTCTAGCTGTAAAGAGGAGGATCCGTGTAGACAGCCTCACAACTTGACTCCACGAAAAGGTCCAGCCGGTACACTGGTCTCGCGCCAGAACGGGTCATCCACAATATGGCCCTCAGGATACATCTCCAGAAACTTCCGTCGCTCCTCCATCTTCCTCGCATACGCCTCCTCCTGTGCCAGTCTCGCGCTCTTACCGCGTAGATAGCTGTGTGACACCAAGAGTGCGACAATCAGTAGTGCAAGTGTCAATAAAGACGCATTGCTCAACAACCACGGAAGCCGCTCTCGGCACCGATAAAAGACATGCCGTACAAGCGCCATCATGGCACCCGGTTTGGACAGATCCTCCATCTTGGGTATTGCCTTGAGTGGAAGAATCTGGAATGCCAAAGTCTTGACCACCAGCGGCGTCCGTTGATACAATCCCTGTAGCTGAACTGCACGTTGCATGAACCACGCTTGCACCTCCCGATCACTCGTTGCTGTGCCATCTTGAATATCCAAGAGGACTTGTCGAAATTGTGCCAATGTCTGTCGATGCTCTTCGGAGAGCCATGAGGTGAAGCTTGATGCCGTCGGCTGTTGATCATGTGCGGGGATGTATCGTGGGCGACGCGCAAGCGCGCGCAGTGCACGCTGGCTGTGACGCGTCGCCAGTGTCTTGCCAAAAGAAAGTGAGAGTGCAGGTATAGAAAGAGCTGTTAAAAAGCTCGTCAATTGAGTGCGCTCATGATGGTTGCAAGGTGGTTGCCGCAGCTGTGTTTGCTCAGTCGGCGCGATTCGTGAATGCTCGCTTGATAAGGTTGGATTGATTGAGTGTGTACGAAGTCCCTTATGCTCTTGCTGATTGCGATCTCGCCTCGATGCAGCCCGCATCGGGACCCAGACGTCGAGCATCTGCAGCTGGTGTCGTGTATGAGGGTGTTTATTTATTCATCGCGCTCACTTTTATCAGGAGAATACAAATGCAAATAGACATGAGTAGATGCGTGTAGGCTTTGGTCTGCGAGAAGGAAAATGGCTCGAGTTTTTGCTACCAAGCTGCAGGCTTAGGCTACTGCACATTTACATTCGCACACGTTCTGATGCTTCCTCTTGATACAAGAGAGACGACATTTGTCGCTTTTCGGTGATGACGGTAACACAACGCAGATAGCGCCATCTTTGACATCCTGGCACTGTGAGTCATGCGCCAGTCTCTTCTCGGACTCGTACTCTGCGCACAGTTTCAATTCAGAGCGCACCAGAGATAACATGCCACTCCAAAGAATCCACTTGAGGCTGACCATTCTCAATCTGACCGACTGTGTGGAAGTTAGCATCTCTTCGGAACTCGCTGATGATGTTACGCAGAGTGAATGGGAGGAGGCTTCGGCGGGCGATTGCAAAGCTTGATAGTAGATGCCTTGTGTCTTAGCCTGAGGTGGGGGATGGTCGACTTATAAGCTGAGCAGCCTGAGCCACCACATGGACATATGCGACAGTCTCCAGCACGAATCAACTTGCAGCTTTGACCGAATGTGTGCATTTCTCAAAACCAAATGTCGAGAAGTCAATGTTACAGTGTGATGTAGCAAATCACAAGATGAGATGCAGGCCCGGGAAATGACTGCAGATGGCCTCAGGGGAGGTGTAGAGATCAGCAAAACCTGACAAATGTACTGCAGATACAGCCTCAACAACACAGCGCCATGTTGCGGCTTGCCATGATATGACATAGCAGCCGGGCTGTCGACTGAGCCGGACGAGCCTGTTCGAATATATGGGCGAGCAGTGTCGCAACTTTCGCTTCTAGACTTCCCATTTGCAGGAGTCGATACTTGAACGGGCGCCGCTGTAATGCATCTGCTCAAACAGCGAAGATAGTGATGTCAATGTCACATCGGGCGGGCACAAAATGAACCGGATCAGGATCAGTCTGTTCATTACTGAAAGACAGCTGACAGGCCTAGGCGAAAGGCTGCTACGCCCTTGAGAATGATAAATGAGCACAAGGAGCTGTATATGCACGCCAGCAGTCCTGTAGCGATATATACTAGCTTTGCGAGAGGCTTGACCGTCTTCCACAAGGATGGGCGAAGAACTTGCGCGTATGGTTGACGCCCAGCTGCTGACTGACTACCAAATCAAATTCAGACCCAGGCACGCGTACGGAGTTAATCCACGAGATGGGAAAAACGACCCGCAGTCAACAGCGCTCTGTGCTCAGGTGGCTGATCTCACCACGCCAGACCAAGAAGCCATCACATGCAGGGGAGGAAGTTCACGTGGGAGCTTGACTTATTCTTCACAATCCGTCTCGTAGTGCCGCAATACTATCAATACTGCAAGTGATATCTGCATCGCCTACGAGAAGCCTAAGTAGCTTTGGAACTACAGCTGAGCTGAAGCGCCATTTAATGGAGTGCACATCGTTGCTATTCCATGCATTCGCAGTCGCATGTGACTTCAAGTAGGCCGGACTCTGCCTTGCCGCAATAAAAAAAAATCGAACCACACCCGTCATGGCGGAACTGGCAATGACCTTTCTGGCAATCTTTCGAAATTGCAAAAATAAAGTGCGGCTACCGGTCTTGCAATTTAGAACATTGCTCAGAACGAACCAAAGGCATCGCAGCGCACAGGATCAAGATGAGGCCAAGCATTCTCAAGTCGACCGACTCTGTGGAGATTAGCATTTTCTCAAGTTCCGGAAGTGACGATACGTTGTGCAAATACAATATTAATCCAATAGACAGCTGCTCGATTTGCTGTGATGGTTTGCGGCCTAGCTTGAGGAAGCGGACGGCTGACTTATAACTGCACAGCTCTCAAGCATCACATGGACAACTGCAACATACCCCACCGCGCGGGCAGCAAAGCCCGCGCGTTGCTGGGCCGATGTCTTGCTATCACGCAGTTGAAGTAGCAGATCATCATGTGAGTTGCAGGCCTAGACCATAGTGGATTCAGGAGATCACAGTTGAAAATGCGTTCTTGACTTGCTTAGCAATGCAAAGGCTCGACTCCTGAGAACTTGAGAAGCCGATGGTCGCGTGCGTTGCGCCTACGTGTCAGCTGGTCAGACTCATGAAAGCACGCCAAGTTTGGTAATAGCTGAAACAGAGAGCAGCATACTCACTGAGCCGATTCGACCGGAATCTTCATGCCATCTTCATCCAAGTAGTAGCCCGTAGCCACGCCATCAATGACCAATTCTCTCCTCTGTGCCGGGGCAAATCTTTGAGACACTGTCGAAGCTCCTTCAGTACTTGCAGGCATTGCAACAGACATGGACTCTTGTTCTTGCGCCAACCGCTCATCGCGACCTCGCGTATAAGCGTGCCAAACAGCCAGCAGTACAATCAGCACTGACAGGACCGACAAGACACTCCCTCCGACAAATGCTGGGAATTTTGTTTTCAGTACCTGCAAGACGCTCTTGATGAGCGACATGAGTGCACCAGGTTTCGCCAAATCCTCCATTTTCGGGATGGCGCTAATGGGCAGTAGTTTGAGGACCAATGTCTTGACAAAGCCTGGGACACTGTCATTGGCAGCCTTCAAGTCCTTGGCATGAGCGTCAAAAAAGGCCTTGAGGTCCTTGCCCGTTAACTTGCCGCCAGACTGGATGTCCTTGAGGATTTGCATGAAGTCTGCGAGCAGCTCTTTCGTATTGTCAGTGATGGCTTGTACCCGAAATGTATCGCCCAGCTTTTCTGAGAGTGTCCTGCAGTCTTTTGCTTTGCCTTTTCCCTTGTCTTTCTCTTTGACTACCGCTGCCTGCCTTTGGCTAGGCGTCAAAGAGAGATTGAAGGCGCTTAGCAGCTTCATAATTTGCGTTTGTTGCACGTCCGGATCTTCCTTCTCTCCAAGCGTCTCATCTTCAGACGCCGCAGCCTCTGGACTTTCGACAGCATCTGGTGCCTTTGCATCTGTTTGCGAAGTCTTGGATTTCTTCAAACGCGGCATACTCGGCAGCGCTCCAGCAAGAGATGCAATGCGCTTGCGTAATGTCACAGGTTCAGTAGCACGCTCTAGACTTGACGTCAGGAATGCTTCGTCGACAGGACTGATGGCATCGTCGCCCATTTCTAGAATTGGCGTCGCCGCACCTGCTGCTGTGACATCGAGCGGCGCAAGTGGCTGCGCAGTTTCTATAGCCTTTTCTGCACCATCTACCTGCTTCTCCTCGCCCTTCTTTTGCTTGTACTTTTTATAAGCAAAGTACTCGAGCATCGTGATGTGTGGTTTGGAGTTTGGCAGCGGACGTCATTTTACGGTTGTGGATTTGACGGGAGATTGGACAAAGGAGACACAAAGCAAGTAGCACAAGCTCATAAGACGGCTGATCAGGCTATAGACAGTAGAACAGATCATAACTAGAAAGTAGAAGAAGGCATACCCTGAGCCAGCTGCAGAAGCAAGACTGGGAGCTTCGTAAACAGCAGGACTTGCATGACTGGCACAAAACCCTGCCATGCCTCATCCCGTACAATTTCATCGCCAAGACCGCCATATGTTGCAACAGGAATCACAGGCTCCTCGAGAGGACGCAGTGTAGCAGCAGCCAAGTTGCGTGCACGAAGAACAGGATAGGTCAAGACATGAACAGCCACAGTCGAGATGATCGCTGCCAGTACTTCAGTGCGACCTGTTCTGAGCACTTGACTCGGCATACCTGTCGCAAGCTGCGTCACGAGGCCAATGACAACACAGATGGCATTACTGAGTAGCGTCGGGCCCAGCACAGCACTGCTGAACCATTCTGTATAGCCGAGCCGTAGCCAGAGATACTTTGCCTCTTGCTTCAACGTCCGCGTCACTGATTGCAGCATCAGCCGGACATTGAGAATCTCGAAGGGTGTGACTACGGCTGATTGTATGCCCAGCATCAAGAATAGGCGTATACCTGAAGTCAAGAGCAGCCAACGCCGTGTATTGTGTCGTTCAAAGATGTTTTGCTCAAGCACGGCCAGTGGCAGAACAGTGACGCCCGCTGCGACCAAGCCTCCGAGAACAGTCGGTAGCAATCCCTTGATGAATGCTTTGGGTCCTCCTTCGAGCTTCAATATATTCTGCATGACTTTAATGAGACCGTCCTGCGGGCCTACGAGCTGCGCCGACGTGGTCTGTAGCTCCTTTTCATTGATGGACGCGTTTTCAATTTGTGCATTAGCGCGAGCTGGGGCGCGATTGATAAGCTGGAGGTAGGTGACCGGTACAGAGGAGAGTGTCGAGGCGATTGTCGAGGCGATTGTGCCTGCGAGACCGAGGCCGATAGCCGCGTACGCAGCGCTTCCCTGCCCGTCCATGACGTCTGCGGAGTTGGTGAATGTCGTTGCAACGCACCGCAAGGACACACACATAAAAGCATCATGTTTCGTATAGCAAGAGCTTTGAGAGCCTCATCGCCAGCAGGCCTGGAGTCATTCCCATCCAAGCCAAGACTGCCGAGACCACCGAAGAACCCGCTCTTGCAGCCACTTCACCTCTACCGCCTTATATTGCGAACTCACAGAGAGCTACCAGTCGAGCTGAGGACCATTGGCGACCCGTACGTCAAGAGTGAATTCAAGCTTCACAAGACAACAGACAATCCGATTCACATTGTTGGCTTCTTGAGCGAATGGCAGAAATACGTGCAGGATCTCAAAGGCAGCGGGTGGCAAGGTGTGCGCATTGACAAGGACAAGATTGACAAGATGTCAGAGGAGCAACTCGGGCAGCTGTATGAGCTGATGAAGGCGACGAACGAGGAGATTGAAGGGAAGGAGGTTGAAGCAGCGCATGATCTGATTGACAAGATTACGCAATGAGTGCTATGCTCGACCATTCCAGCAGCAGCTTGCTACTGCGCTCTCTTGATCTGAGGGCTTCTATGCTGGCCATCTTCTGGTCTATAGCCAGTTTTATGATATGTGACTGCATAACGCGTCTGTAGATTCTGGCGCGTCTAATGACGACAGAACGCGCTACACCAACCGTGAATCTGCATCTAGCTCCCGTTCGCTGCCATGGGTATCAAGGGCCTGACTCAGGTCATCAGCGAGAATGCTCCTGCTGCCATGAAGAATCTTGAAATCAAATCTTTCTTTGGTCGCAAAGTCGCGATTGATGCTTCCATGTCACTCTACCAATTCCTTATTGCCGTTCGCCAGAATGATGGTCAACAGCTGCAATCAGAGTCCGGTGAGACGACTTCTCATCTCCTCGGCATGTTTTATCGTACCATTAGAATTGTAGACAATGGCATCAAGCCAGTCTATGTCTTTGACGGTGCCCCACCCAAGCTCAAATCTGGCGAGCTTGCCAAGCGTATCGCGCGCAATGCTCAAGCGAGCAAAGACGCAGCTGAAGCAAAAGAAACAGGTACAGTTGAAGAGGTGGACAAGTTTTCCCGACGAACAGTGCGCGTTACGCGCCAACACAATGAGGAAGCCAAACTACTCCTCAAGTTGATGGGCATTCCATTTGTTGAAGCACCATGTGAGGCTGAGGCTTGCTGTGCACAGCTTGCCAAATCTGAGAAAGTCTTCGCTGCTGCGTCTGAAGATATGGACACGCTCTGCTTTGATGCCCCGGTACTACTTCGCCACTTGACCTTTTCTGAAGCACGAAAAGAGCCCATCAGCGAAATCACAACCTCTAAAGTTCTGACTGGCTTGGGTCTGACGCGCGATCAGTTTATTGACATGTGCATCTTACTAGGATGCGACTATTGTGATGCGATCCGCGGTATTGGCCCTAAAAAGGCACTCGAACTCATCAAGGAGCATGGTGACATTGAGCACATTCTCGAATCGCTCAAGGGCAATAAGAAGTTTGAAGTGCCAGAAACTTGGCCGTATAAAGATGCGCGTGAGCTATTCAAGAATCCAGATGTCGACCCTTGGCTACGAGTAGAAATGTCGCCCCTTGAAAAGGAATTGAGGGATCGAATGGCACGCAACAAGGAGGCTGCGCATGCAGCTGCGGAAAAGATGGGTGCGACGGGTGCATCGACTGACTCAAAGGAAGAGCCTGCATCGTCGCAGGCAGAGACGGAGGCACCGGCTAGCAGTGCACCCGCGACAGAAGTACCTACGAGCAGTCAACCAGCCCGCGCGCCAGAAGTAGATGACGCACCCACAGCATCTGTTGAAACCGACACTGCTCGAGCATCAACCCCTGAAACGACCAAGCCCGTGGACCCATACAAAAGTCCCGTCAAGCCCACAGACTTGTCGGCATCTCAGGCTCCCGAGATTCCGCGCATTAAGACATCCATTGCAGACTTGACACTTGAATGGAACGAGCCAGACGTCGATGCACTCATTGCATTTCTATGTGACGACAAGGGCTTTGATGTTCAGCGTGTCCGCAACGGCGCCGACAAGTTACGCAAGGCCACGAAGCAAAAGCAGCAAGGCCGTCTCGATAGCTTCTTTAAACCTATTCCTGGCGCAACAACGACGAAGCGCAAGGCACCGGAAAAGAGCACAAAAAAGAAGCCAGCAACGAAAAAGACCAAACAGTAACATAGCTATCGCATATCTAGTAGAACCCAGTTTGCTGCGCCTGCATGCCACCATTCATATACCCACCCGATGTAATCAACAGAGGATTCGTAATCATGGGTGTTGATTCTTCCTTTTCAACAGTCGCCGTATCCTTCTTCTTCCGCTCCTCATTGTCGAGGTGGAGCTGCTCCAGCCGCGCACTCTGCTCCCGTTGGTGATTGATCATGTACGGCATGACAAAGTCATTCAGCTTGTAGCGCCACGACAATTCCATGACCAGGTCGAGTGAAATCAGGTGGTAGCACGTATACAGCATGGCGGCGAAGACTTCGTTGTTGCCAACCGATACAAAGTATCGCACCAAGTCTTCCACAATCTCGGGCTTGGCAGAGACTGCAGCGATATCCACTGCATCTTTCCAAAGACGATCTTGCTTGGCGAGGTCAATGGCATGCTGCCAACGCTTCATCTTGCGGTAGAGATGCGCTGCAATGCGTCTAAATTCGAGCAAATCGTGCTTCTCAAGACGTTGTGCAAGAGCCAGAGTATCATACTTGTCAAAGGCATCCACGGAATCGCGCAAGCCGCGATAATCCTCCTCTTCAATCAACAACTCATTGTAGGCGCGGTTGACTGCCTCAATGTTGCGCTCCTGAACAGCAACAAGGTAAGTCTTGATGAGGGGAATGTTATCTGACTTTTCAAACAGACGTACCACACGCGTGTGATCAATGCGAGGTGTGAGGGTCTGCAGCAAGTCTGTCAAGAGCATTGGCTGCTCTTGCAGGTAAAAGTTGACGGCCTTGTAGTAAATTTCGAGGTTTGCCACCTTGACCATGATTTCCTTGAAGCGCGCATGCTCCCAGGCATCGGCACTACGCTCCATGATGGTCAATGCGGCATTGTCGAATTCATCATAGTGCACGTACAAGAACACAAGCTCCGGCCAGAGATGCGCTTGTTCGCACGCACGAATCGTCTTTGGCATCTGAATACGTCCCCAAAAGAGTTTGAGGTGCTCCATGACCTTTTCTGGCTTGTACTTTGTGTATAGAATGGCAAGCTCCGTAAACATGCCCATGTGTGCGCGCTCCAAACCGAGACCAGCTTCCATGAGACTGATGAGTTCTTCAAAGTAACCGTTGTACTCGTACTGCTTGACGAGGTCTGGCAATTCTTCAGCGTGGACAATCAGATTGAGACCGCAAATTTGAGCAAGGCGGAATTCCTTCTTGTCGATGCACACTTGGTTGACTTGCTTCCAGACTTTGATGCTGTTGGCCTTGCGTGCACAGTCGACGGCATTTTGGTATTCACCAAGGTGGACAAGCGTTTCTGCCAAGCGCGCCCAGTTGGAGATGCTGGTAAAGAGGATCTTGGCTGCTTGGTATTGTTCAGCGTCGTAGCAATCCTCTCCAGCCTTGTTGACGTCGGCAACGTTGGTTCCCTGCAAAAAGTCTTCAAGGTCATGGACGCGGTCCGTCTTGGCGTACGATAGCAACAACGACGTATCAACAATGGGCTCGCGCACTGTCTTGCGAGCCATTTGGAGGAACCGGATGAGGTCCTCCGATTTGCCAGCGCGGTCGGCAATTTCAATCACTTCAGCGTAATTGCCTGGGTCTTGCGCCTTGATGTACGAGTCAATCGCATCAGTCACGCGGAGACCATCAATTTGCGCTTTTCCGAGACGGGACCATACGACGGGCGTATCCACCTTCTCAGCAAAGTCGGCAGCACGATCAATGGAGACAATGTGCTCCACCAGCACATTAACAGCATCGTGATGAGCGCCAGTCTTCTCGTAAATGGCGAGGGCTTCTTCATGAAGACCACTCTGGATTGCAATCTGTGCAATGTCTGGTGCGTCGTAATTGTCGAGCTTTTGAATGTAGTCGCGCACACGGCCTTTGTCTGACTTGATGGCCGTCAAAATCAAGAGATTCTGAAGGTTTTGGTTGTCGCTAAACGCGGATGGCTCGAGGATGATCTTTTCGAGCAAGTCAATCAGCTCAATGGGCATATCAGCAGCCATAAAGGACTTGACTGCAACAGACACATCTTCGGGCGACGACGATTCCGGAACAGCCGTGGCAATGACTTGATCCACCAATGGCCTGCGGAAGCTGTTTTCCTGCAACACTTGCGACCACAAGTCACCATCACGACGTGCGAGCAGATAGCGTGCTTGCTGCTTGAACATTTGGTTCTCATTCGTGATGCGCACGAGATCCATGTCATTTTGACCTTTTTGATAGGCAATAAATGCGAGGTGTGGGTCACGCTTTTCGCAGTACTTGCCAACAACAGCTGAATCGTACATGTCGTTTTCCTTGAGGAACTTTTCAGGATTGTTGTTGCTGTCAATGTAGATTTTGGCAAGGGCATTGTACACCTCTTTGTCTTGTGTGCCTTGGCTGAGGGTCATTTCAAGGAAGGGTAGCAGCATTTTGAGGCGATTACGCTTTTCCACTTCTGCAACGAGCTCGCCAACGGGAACTTGGCCAATGACTGACATGAGCAATGACTTGATGATGCTTTCATCGCAGTCGACGTCGAGCAAGCCGCCAATGACCGCAGGAGCGCGCGAGGGATTGACGCGCTGTACATACACTTCAATGAACTTGAAGAGCTGGTTCTTGTACAGGTACAAGACCAAGTCGTGCACAAAGTCGAATCGGTCGCACACAATAATAAGTGGGAGCTGATCCGGCAGCTTGGCTTCCTTCAAAAAGTTTTTAACCTTTTCGGGATTGTAGGCGTTGGATTCGCGGCATACGCGTTCGACTTCCTTGAGTTGGCCGATGGATGCAGCAGCTTGAATGTACTTGAATGCCACTTCTGGATCTTCTGACAAGTTGACGACCGATCCAAGGTAGTAGTATAAACCTTCTGGCGTCTTGTAACGCTCAAACATGTCAATGAGACGGTGCGCACCAAGCAAGTCGCTATATTTTGTCGAGATTTGCACAACCACCTGCAGATTTTGGCGAATGTTTTGCTTCATCATCTCATCCAAACACTCAAGCGATTGCTCAACAGAGAGCTTGCCAAAGTACCCAACAAGCCATTCAGTGTTGAGAATATGCGTCTGCACAATGACCCGCTTAATGTCCTTTGGCGAATCATACAGCTCGAGTGCTCGTTGGTACAAGCCAGCCTTTTCACACAGCGCCGCAATCATGGGCTTGTCAAAGTGAGAAAACATTTCATTTCCGAGAATGGCATCCGCAACAGGAGGTGCATTGAGCAAATTCATTTCAAGCAGACGTGTTTGCAAGTGTCCTTGGTCGGGCTGGTTGTCCTTGAGAGCATCCAATAGAAATGCGGTTGCTTGTTGAATCATGTTTTGGCTCATGAAAACATCCACGACACGGTCAATGTCGACCAATGAGCCGCCTTCAGTGTTGGCAAGCTGTGTTGCGAATTCAGCACCACGCTCTGGGTTGATACGGACAATGTGCTGTAGCAATGCAGCATAGTCTGGACTGTAGCCTGATTGAGCTGCATACGGTACAATTTGATCAAATTGCCCAGTCTCGGCATAACACGCAACAACCTTGCTTGGCACATTGGCTTTGAGGTAGATTTGCAAGGCCAGGTTGAGGTTGGACATGCGCACCAAGTCGCCGAGCGCCTCGCTGCAGGCAAGCTTGTCTTCGCCAAACCATTTCTCAAGGAGTTGCACACGACCTTGTTGGATGACTGGTCGAGAGAGCTCCATCGTTTCATACTCATTCAGCGAGCCCTTGTCAAGAAGGGAACCAAAGTATTGTAGAATAGGCGACAGACCACCTTGTGCGGCAGGTGCCTGCTTGAAGCGGTTGATGGTGTCTTGAGTACGCAAAATACCGCGTGGGGAGTTGGCGGCGACTTTGGCTGCTTCTGCGAGATTGCCACTGCTAAAGAGTTGTTGGAAGCGTTGCACATAAATGTCATCGGCGCCTGGCAAGTTGCCACGACCGGCCAATTTCACTGCGAGCGTTGCATCGCTCAGAGTGTTCATGATGTAGGGAATCATGTTGTTTTCATCCACCGACACACTGAGCACTTGACCTTTGCGGTTGATGCCGAGGATGCCGGAAGTAGCATCGTGATCTGTGGTTGTAAATACCGTCTCGCTCGAGATGCGATTCATGTAGATGCACACGCCCGTTTCGAGGTCGTACAAGTGAATGAAGCCGTACTTTGTGACGAGGTGAATGATGCCGTATCGCTTCGACACTTGCATAGCAACAGGAAAATCGTTGACTGCCTCGGGAGGAAAAAAGACATCCACCTGCTTCTTTGTAAAGACTTGGTTGGCGGGGTTGGGATCAATTGGCACAATGTGCAGCTTCGCGCCTGTCTCTGTGCGCACGGCAAACGAAAAAAGTTTGGTCTCCGCTGGATTGTCTTCGAGCTTGACTTGTGCAAATGCAGCAGCGTGACCTTCAATGGGCTGCGACTGTCCTCGGTCTGCATTGTAGAGCTGCATAGCACCCACAATACGACCATTGTCACTCTTGATGCCGACAACAACGAACCACTTTTCATCGCTATTCACCTTGTAATTGATGATTTGCGCGTCTTGCAAGTTTGCACTCCGGTCAAACATCTTTTTCGGCGCGTCTTCTGTCGTGAGGGACCAGTGGTACACGGCTGTTGGTGTGACCATACCAATGACCGTTTCCGAGACCCATGTCCAGTACTTGACATCTTCATGCATGGCATGTGCCTTGAGCTTTGCCTTTGCGTCGAGATTGAAGATTTGCAGCTGTCGTTGTGCCTTGAGGGCAATGATGTTTTGTTTTGGGTGCATGATGGCGTGGTCTGCTTGGATATTCCTTCGCATGATGCTGCTTGGGTTATGCACGTCAATGACGATGAGCTGCGAGGACTCTGCATCGCGTACACAGACCCAGCGGTCTGATTGCAGGGTGAGGGTGTTGAAGCCGATGGCCGATTGGGGGATATTGTAGGGCGCCTGAGTGAGCTGGAGGTGCCTGCTGTTAGTCATGACACAGAGATGAATGAACGTACTCCTCAAACTTGATGGGAAGCCCTGCCATGGTAGCTTGTCCCTGTGCTCGTTCTGGTCTAAGTCTCTTCTATTGATTGTTGCTGGTCGTCATTGGCCACGTGAAGTACGCAGTCACATTTCTAGGGATACTAGTGCTACTAGTCTAGTAGCTATAATCAATGCCCGCCTTCTTCAGTTCCTCGTTCTTGTCCTGCCGTCTTTGCTCGTGCTTCTGCTGCAATGCCTCCCACTGCTCCGTCGTCTTGGCCTTTTCCACTCGCTCTTTTGCAATATGCGACCAAGGCACCACCTTGAACCGGCGGCCTGCTCCCTTGAAGAGCTGCTGTTTGCCTCCTTTCGCATCAATCTCCTCCTCCGACATGAGCTTCACCTGCAAGAGCGATGAAGCGAGCAGGTAGTTATGCATGGTCCGCGCAACAATCTCTGCCACTTCACGGTCGGCAAACTCAATGAAGGCATAGTGCTTTGACTTGCCAGTCTTTTTCGAGCGTGACAGACGTAGCTGGACAATCTCACCAAACTGTGAAAAGTAGCTCTGCATCTCTTGTTCGTAGAAACCGTGAGGGACGCGGCCGAGATAGAGCACGCCTGAGGTCTTAGCGGCAGGCTTTGATTTGAGCAGGGAAGAGATGCTCGGCGTTAGGTTCTGTAGCTGGATGATGCGATCGTCCTCTTCGCCTTCCTCGTCGGAGCTGTCGAGACCATCGAGGAGGGCTGCTTGCGCTGATTCTGATATTTCTGATTCAGAGTCGGATGGAAGGGCCAATTCTTCAGCTGGCTCTGGCGACGCCTTGGCGACCTTGCTCGGGCCCTCTTTGGCAGCTGCTTTCCTCTTGACGGGCATTTGTCTTATTACTTCTTCTACTGCTTCTCTCTCTTGATGGATTCAGCTTCAATAAATATTTCAGTCGCACGCTGCTTCACTACCATCAGCTACACCTTGCCATAGTCCAGCTTCGACTCGAGCTTCTTCGCATCAGACACCTTGCGCACCGCCTTTTGCAGATCCTCCTGCAAGACATAATCACGGTCTGCTCGGATCGCAAAGAACGCACCCTCCGTTACCACATTGCGCAAATCAGCACCATTGAAGCCATCAGACAACTTGACAATCGCCTCCAAGTCAAACTCCCCTTGCTGCTTCACGCCCGTCATGTGAATCTTGAGAATTTCCAATCGACCCACTTCATTGGGCAAAGGAATCTCAATCTTGCGATCGAGTCGACCAGGTCGTAGCAGTGCAGGGTCCAACGTATCCGGTCTATTGGTGGCCATAATCACCTTTGTCTGACCAAGATAGTCAAATCCATCCAAACAATTGAGCAACTCCATAAGCGTCCGTTGAATTTCCCGGTCTGCTGAGGTCCCCTCACTAAATCGTCGTCCCCCGATCGCATCAATCTCATCCATGAAAATGACACAAGGCTCATGCTCTTTGGCATAGGCAAACATCTCTCGAATAAGTCGTGCAGACTCGCCAATGTACTTGTCCACAATGGCAGACGACACAACTTTGAGGAAGTTGGTATCGAGGGAAGAAGCAACGGCTCGAGCAAGCAACGTCTTGCCCGTACCAGGCGGTCCATACAGCAGCACGCCCTTTGGCGGTTTGATACCCACACGCAAAAAGAGCTCTGGATTCTTGAGTGGTAGCTCAATAACTTCACGCACCTCTCTGATTTGCTCATTCAGGCCACCGATACCCGCAAAGTTGATTTTACCAGGATCCTCGAGTGACATGTTGTAGACGAGTGGATCCACTTCGCGTGGCAGGATGCGCATAATAGTCAGGGTTGTCATATCGAGCGAGACACGCACGCCTTGCTTCAATTTAGATCGCTTGAGGTTTGTGCGGCAACCGACGATGTAGCGCGGTCCAGAGGATGCCTTGACAATGAAGCGCTCTTCATCCAACTGCTTGAGAATCTCGCCAATGATTTGCCCAACAGACTGCAGCGCCTTCATGTCATCTTCTGTTTTGTTGTACTTTTTATCGAGTCCGCGGATATTGAGACGCACTACAGTTAGCGAGTCATTGAAGAGAATACCTACAGTTCTTGAGCTTTGCATCCCATTCTCTATGCTCAATCAGCTTCTGCTTGAATGAATCAAGCTCCGGTCTCTCGGCCATTTAGTGTGTGGTGACGCGTCAAAATCTACAAACGACTTCTACGAGCGCGAACACCTTCCGCCAACTCACGCAGCATGACTTGCGTATCCTCGAAATGCACACAAGCATCTGTGATGGACACACCATGCTTCAACCCAGCCTTGCCTTCTGCTGGCACCTTCTGTGCACCTTCATTGACATGCGACTCAATCATCACGCCAAAGATATTCTTCCCACCCGCCTGCAACTGCTCGGTAATGTCATGCGAGACTTTTGGTTGGTTTTTGTGATTCTTGAGGGAATTGCCATGTGAGCAATCCACCATGATGCGTGTCGGTGACAACTTGGCCTTTTCCAAGGCAGCAGCTGCTTCCGCAACAGACGCAGTATCATAGTTGGTACCATGCTTGCCACCACGCAAAATCATAAATGTCTCGTCATTACCTCGCGTTTGCTGAATAGCAGCAAGTCCTTGCTTCGTCACACCCAAAAATGTGTGTGGATGGGAAGCAGCACCCATGGCATCCACGGCAACGCCCAATCCACCATCCGTACCATTCTTGAAACCGACCGGGAAGGATAGACCTGAAGCAAGTTCACGATGCAATTGTGATTCGGTCGTTCGCGCACCAATCGCACCCAGAGACAACAAGTCTGCCAAGAACTGTGGCGAGATTGTATCCAGCATCTCTGAAGCAAGTGGCATGCCCAATTCCGTCAACTCGACAAAGAGCTTGCGTGAGATGCGAAGACCCTTGTTGATGTTGAAACTGCCATCGATATCAGGATCATTGATGAGGCCCTTCCAACCAACCGTCGTCCGCGGCTTCTCCAAGTAACTGCGCATGATAATGAGCAAGTCCTTTTGCAGCTCCTCCTTGAGTGGCATCAACAGCTTGGCGTATTCCAGCGCCTGATCCGCATCATGCAGCGAACAAGGACCCACCACAACAACAAGCCTATCATCGGTTCCCTTCAGCACGGCAGAGATTTCTTTACGTGCACGCACAACGGTGCGCAAGGATGCTGAAGATTGTGGGAACTCTTCTTGTAGAAGTGCCGGTGGAATCAAGGGATTGTGCCCAATGATACGTGAGTCTTCCGAGGGCACCTGCCATGATTCTGCGAGGTTGTCTGCCATCGTAGCTGTCTAGTAACAACAGTACTCGGTTTGGGTGTCTCGTTGGGTAGATTTGCTGGCGATAATAAGTTGGAATTCCCACGGTGAGCAGACATTCAGGGGAGAAGACGGCCATCTACCAGGATTCTACCTCCGCTTCTCTACATGGCTAAATGATGTGCATGAAGGCGTCTAAGCTATCACATAGTGCAATCGAATGCTATCTATATCAGAAGATACCTCCATATTCTTCGCGATCATCGAGGATGAGAGAGTGAGAGAGGTGTGATTCTAAATTGCCAATGACAAAATGCCGCATGGCGGTGGTGACTGGTCAGTGATGAGAACGACTTGAACATCAGGCTGCTCGAGATCGTGCCAGCTTGTACTGATCTTGACAGTGCGGTCGCGCACGGCCAATTTCTCCTGCAATCGTATCCCAACCAGCGCCTCGAGCTGGGCCAGACAGTCGCAGGAAGCTTCGTGCCACAGACTCGAGCCAGGAGGGTAGATGACACCTTCTTGGTCGATCGAGTGATCCAGCAACTCCTCCAGGGCCTCATCAATCACCTCGTCGGCCAATGTCCTGAGGACATCAGGTACCTTCCGCAGAGTGCCGAGTGCCATGTCGACGTGACGCTGGGAGGAGGCTATTTCCTGGGCGATTTCCGCGCCCGACCAGCCTTGGCGATAGAGGTTCAGCAGTTGAAGCTCCTACTTCACCTTCAGGTCGTTGTCATGCGAGGCGAAGCGTACCGTCCCGGCCAGGATGGCAAGTGCCATGTTCCCCTGCAATGTTCCTGCCTCATACTGCACACAGTGCCAATCTCCGGCCAAGTCTTGCCAGATTGACGCAAGCCGATAATCTTCTGCTCAATGGCATCGCTGACAGTCATTCGCCTTTGTCTGAAGCGGTTCTGTATGAAGTGAGGGTGTAGGAGGAGGAAATTGGCGACCAGACCCAAAATGACCGTGCGGGCTCCAATCGGTGACTTTTCAGGGGAAGGAGAAGAGAAATCTCAACCCCATCCATCTGTTTATTCAGAGGACCCCATCATGGCCCACAGAATACTTGATTTTGCATAGATTGAGCGCGGCAAGAGCATAACGATAGAATATGTGACTGCTCATTTTAGAAAAGCAATTTTGCCTTATATTGCGCCAAGCTTGGAAGATCTTTCAACACAGAAGTTCGGGTTGGCGCAACGGTAGCGCGCAAGGCTCATATCGATCTCGTTGAGAGTTCGAAGATACCTTGATGTAGCTGGATCGACACCAGCACTCGAAATGGCCTTCGCCTTTTTGTCTCTTCTTTAGAAAGCTCTGCGTAGATCACGAGTCGGAGTGCCAGAGAACGTTAGAAGATCTCTCTATAGTCGTGGTATTGGTGCTGCAACTTTTCATGCATGCGCAAATAACGACGGCCAGCTTTTTTCCTCTCTTGACAACGGATCACCCGTCCTAGCGACCTTGCCGCTCGAATATACAATGCAGTCGCATCTGTGAAGCTATGGCATGACGATCCGTTATGCCCTTCGCATTTCTCTGATCCAGTAGCTACGGCATGCAGTGACCCAAAGCTTGTGCTTGGCGACCTGCGATTGCCTCGTGCAGCACGTACTTGGCTGTGGCAATTGGCTCTATTCACTCGGACTCATGCTATGCACTGCAAAACGGAAAGCTACTATGCATGCAACCCTGAAAGCTTGAAGTCGCATTGCGTGCCAGAAGTCCCTAGAAACCGCCCAGACTCAACATGTTAGGAATTCAAGTGCAACCCCTGATCACTTGCTTCCGCTGTTATCTCTCTGGCAAGTCTCTGCCACGTCAGCGCTCATACACGTGACCTTCAACTTGGTCTTAGCTGGCAAGAGTGCTATGCTCTTGTCCCCTATTCGAATCAAGTCTTATCTGCAGCTGCCCTGCGTGCCTGTGTCTATCACCTACGACTACAGCCTCGCATATCCGCCAATCTCGATTACAACAGCTTGTTCCTTCATCCCCAATTATGATAAGTCGCTTTATTTCAGCTCGTCAGATTTTGCAAGTGTCCGTCATGCATTTGCAAGTGTCAACGTCAGTCATTCATCGCATTTGGCAGAGTTGCTACGTCAAACGACTCTTATCATCTAGGATGAAATTGTGGCGCAACACAAGGCCGATATCATTGCAGTCGATGCAACTCTCAGAGACATTCGACATGAACCGGCAAAGTTCTTTGGTGGCATTCCAGTAGTTTTTGGCGGTGACTTTGCCCAAATCTTACCTGTCGTCCGGCGTGGTGGACCAGAGGGAACTATGGAGGCAAGCATACGCTTCGCTCCATTCTGGCATAACTTGCGTGTCATTTTCTTGACACAAAATCAGCGCCTGCAACCTGGCACAGCAAATGCTAATTGGGCCAAACTCCTCCACGATATGACATATAAGAACAACGGCACGGAGCAAGGTATACTGACTATCCCTGACGACGTCAAGCATTTCACCAATGCGGGTGCATTCATCGACAACATCTATTCGAAGGAGTTGCTCAACAGGAACGCAGGGTCAGCTGACTTTTTGGCAGAAAGAGCTATTCTTGCCCCGCTTGATAGCACTGTCCAGCATATCAACGACGTTGTCTTGTCACGCATGGATGGAGAAATGCATACTTACGGGACCTTTGATACAGTTGAGGGCGACAGAGGTCATTACAGTCTGGCCAGTTTATGCAAGGTCATTACTAAACCAGTGGCAGCCAATGTCCTGCAATACAAGGATAGGCACTGGCTGGAGACGGTCAAATGTACGCGAACCGGTGAGTCTGAAGAGCAAGAAGCCATTTGGGAAGTCGTCGGTGTTGTCGCAAAACACTCAAAGGTCAGTCCCTATGGCGACTATGACGACCAGAACAAGGACGCACATCTAGGAAACGCCAGCATTTTGCTCAATTTGAACAGGTCGATGGTCCACCGGGCTCTTGTGTTTACTGGCATTCTAATCGAGTCTGGGGTTGCGTCGACCTTCACGGGATGCTGGCTATGACTATGGCGATATCTAGGTTCGTTGATGTGTGTGGTGTGGTGGAAGAAGGAAAGTGGGCGAAGCGCTCCTTTATCCTGCTGGCGGTGGGCAGACCCCTGAATTTCAATGTTTGCCATAGCTCGGCCGTGAGAACAAGATCACTGTCTCTAGGGTCCATGCACAACGACAATCCGCTTGCAAAGACAATCCTCGACTGTCAAGCTGCACTGAACGCAGAAGAAGGTCCTCCCTTCTGCCTCATGCGTCGGACTTCCCCAGTGCAGCAGATTGTCCTTGGCGAACAACATTCAAGACAAAGGTGGTGAATCGGCAGCCTTGGCATCTGCACATAGCCACCAAGGAGGAACAAACTACATGTGCTAGGCCTATGGATATTTCTCCTCACAACAGCGCCATGTAAGCATGCATACCAATGACCGCGTTAGGCTTTTAGCTGAGTTCAAGAAAACAACTTTCTCGTTTCCATCTTCTCCCCGTCCATGACTTCCTCCAAGCCATCTAACCCATGAAGGAGACGTGATGGTCGATGACTTTTGGTACAAGAACCCTCGCGTGCGTCTAGGACAAAAGGCCTGCCGCAATAGATGCCACTTGGTCCGATGATGTCAAGTCTGCACTGCACGGTCGCAAGTGACGCATGTGGCAGCTTTGCAGCTTATAGCATTCGCTTCGTCACAAGCAGCACGTAAGGGGCCAGGGCAGGTACGCTTCATCGTAGGTCGACGGCGTCCGTCCCACAAGTTGTCAGTCTCGCGTCGACAATCAGTAGTTGCAACATAGTGATGCCATGAACGCCGTCATTAGATATCAGGCTACAGACGAGTATCAAGATGTGTCAAAATGTCCATTCGCAGAGAGTGGTCATATACGTACAGCATGCAGGCGCCCAGTACCATCCATATGAGGAGCCAAGACAACGGAATTGCAGTTGTCAAATTGTAGCCCTCATCATTTCATATTCTGCGGTCGGCAGACTTTCTGGGGTCCAACACATATGCCAGCAGCCTCTCTGAGACTCTGGTCCTCTCACAGTGGATGCTGCATCACATTCATTGTCACTCGCAGCCAGCAGCCGATTGTCACTCGCAGGCTCAGCTGGTTCGTGTGATCATGGCAGACTGCAGCTCGCTTTGATTTGCCTATCTGGGCGTTATCTAAACCGCATCTGCATGACTCACAACGACCCCGGGATATTGACGGTACTGACCACGCCTACTTAAGTACAAAAGAAGCTAGAATGTACCATCTGTGCTCCCAAGTAGCTGATACCTAATGACTGCCATTATGACAGGCTCTGCTCCATTGTCGCTCCAAGTCTACGAGCGGCAGCAACGGCTCGCCGCTCAAGGTCGTACAGATGACCCAGCTGCTCGCATGACACCTACACGAACACCATCAAACGCGCCCATTATGGCGCACATTGAGAAAGAAAGCTCCAAGATTGTAGATGAACATGGCAAGTACCTCTCCATTGAGCTACGCGACCCGACGCGCGTTTATACCGCCCTTGACCATATCATTGGCTCAGTCAGCTTCAAGGATGTTGCATTAGGTGCACGCAAAGTCAGACCATCAAAACCATATACACCATTAGACCTGGCAGACAAGGTGTTGATCGTCTCGCTGCTCGGCGTCCAGCACGTCAGCTATCAGACTTGGAACGTCCAGAAGAATTGCTATGCACCTAAGCAAACTGAATGGGTCTTCCTCCGGCAAGCACAGTCGGTACCGCTTGTCGATGTAGAGGATCACGCGCCTTTTGCTTTTGAATTACCAGCAATGCTTCAACCGCACCAATGCCCGCTCGGTGACTTGAATCATCTATCGCTTTCGCCAAGCTGCGGGGATGTGAGCGACTTTGGGAAAGCAGTCGCTGCAGGTCCACATGCCACACAGATTGTCTATATGATTAAGGCAGAGCTCAAACACTATGGCAGCATCTTTTGCATGGCTAGACAAAAGTTCACCTTCTTCCCAAGCGGTTTTCATCGACCTGATCCAAGATGGATTGACACTATGCAGGCAAGGCACGATAGTGCAACCATTGATCCTGTCGCACGTCCTGTCGAGAATGCCATTGGGAAAAGAGCTGGTGAGCTCAAATATCGCGTCCTCTGCGCGACTCTGACAACGACGAATGATGATACGGCATCAACAAGTCCCCTTACGCTACTGTTGACGTACACAGGCGCCAAGCCGCCATCCATTGAAAAGATTCGCCTTAATTTGTTCGCAACTACCGTGAAGCGCACAGAACACAGGCACACGAATGATGGTAGCCCTGAGCATACCAACACGACCGTTAAAGAGCTCGGTGCCTTCACGCTTGATGCTGCATTGTCAAGGTCGCAGTGGACACGCGCAGCGCCGAAACCGTCCGTTGGTCGAGCCATGTCTTGCATCTCTGTCTTGTCGGATGAACAAGCTGTTGCTAATACGCGCTGGCACAAGACGACGTCTAATCCCACGAAATCGTCGTCACTGCGAGAACGTGGGTTATCCTTCTCGACAACGCGAACAATAACACGCTCATCCGGTTCATCTGGAGAGGCAAAAGAACCATCGCCCACCTGGCGTATGCGTTGTACAATACCAGTCAGCTTGCCGTCAGGTGAGCGTATCGTGCCGAGCTTTGAGAGTTGTTTAGTTGCACGACGCTACCGTGTACAAGTCTTGTTTCACCTCGCAGGGTATCAAACAGTCATGTTTATGGTGCCTGTCTGGATATGTAGGCGAGGGGCACCCCAGGGCATGGCGGGTCGTTGTGCTGACCGTTTCTTGTCTGGACGTGGCGAGGAGGTGCTGGAGGAAGAAGATGCTGAGGGTGAAGCCATTGTACCAACAGAGACACGTCGTTTAGAAGTCCTGGACTACGACGGCAACCTTGACGATACCGGCAGCCAGGAAGCTGCCCCGACGTATGCGCATGTGCAAGCTCAGCTCTCGCCGGCAGCACCCATCAGTAGCACGCCCACCTACACGCTACCTCAAGATTTATGGGAGTGGCAAGTGCGCGCTGTTTGGGAAGATAAAGCAGATGGAGCATAGTCTATAGAGTCTCTTTTTAGTACCGATTGTAAACAAGATTGCCGACTCAAGCGCTCAACGTCTGGAAACCTCCAGAGATGACTTCTTCCACAAACGTATCCGTCACTTCATCCCAGCTAAACTTTGCCAAATCAGCACCATAGCTACGCGGTACGACGCAATAGCATACTTCTAACGGCACTTCGAGTTCAGTCGCTTGTTTGATGGACAGCGAGAGAAAGTAAGACAATAGGATGCGCGACACCACACGATGGGAAATCATGAGGATGTGGTGTTTCGCCCGTTCAGACTCGACAATGAGTGGATTGAGGCGATGTACCACATCAAGGTAACTTTCGCCACCACCTGGATAGCGGTAGTGCATCTTATCTCGCCGACGCGCCTCAAACTCCCGTGGATGCAGCTTTTTGATTTCTGCATACGTCAAGTTGTCGCAGAGACCAGAGTCGATCTCATCCATCGTTTTAAAGGACTTGACATCATAGACTTCTTCGCTGAATGTTTCTGCCGTTTCGCGAGATCGAGCAAGCATGGATGTCCATACGGAGAAGGACTTTTCAACAGGAGGCGCATCAGCGTAGTAGCCATCCCTTGGTTGTGGATTCTCTGTCCAGTGATCTGACTCCTTTGGAATAATGCGTGGATGAGAACGCCACTGTTCGAGCTGATGATCTCGAAACTTTATGCGTTGCTGATCGACAAGTCGTGCAAGGGCAGCAGCGTACTTGCGACCACGCGGGGTCAGCGATGCATCACCACCAATCTTCCCACTGACATTGTCCTCTGATTCACCGTGCCTGGTAATGAAGATGAGACGCTCAGCAAGGTTAAAGTTGAGAAGGAGATAGATGGCCTGACCAGCCAGGAATCCCTCAATGTTGCAGGAAATGACCTTTTTGCCGACATTGATGAGCTTGCAGTACGACATGCCAGCTGCCTCTTCCGCATCGCCAATTGTTTCGTACTGCGCTTCGTAATTCTTGACGCGCTCCTTGAAGTCTGCTAGGGCCTCAACAGGGTCGCGCGAGCGATAGTCTGGGCCGTTGAGCTTCAAGCGCATGTTTGCTTCTAGCAGCTCCGAGTCGGTGCATATACTTTCGATGAACAAGGCGTGCAAATGATCTTCCCTGGCGATACGTTCCTGAATAGCTTTACGCCGCGCGACGGTTGAGTTGGTGGCATCAAAGATACCCACCGTCCCAACAGTTGTGACCCACTCAATCAACGCATCAAGTGTCTCCAAGGCCATCTGTTCACGAATCGCATGCGCTTTTGTATTGTTTCTATCGAAAAAGTCTGCATCTTGTCGATTGGTCGCCAACAAACGTCGCCGATCGCCGCAATTGAAGACTTGTGCAGAATGTCCTAGCCAGTTGAAGTACCGCGCTAGCTTCTTGACAATGTAGGATTTACCCCGCGCCGGCAAGCCAACCATGACAATGACAAGTTTTGATGCAGTTTGAGCAACATGACCATCAGGCGAGACTTTTGACCGTGTCACGCCCGGTACAGAGAGCGTTTGCGCACGAGGCTGTAGGCGGGGTGAGCTAGGTGCTGTTTGTATGGGCGTAGCAGACTGAGAGTAGGGGGTATCTGAATCGGTGCGCCGTACTGTATCGCGCTTGGACAGGGATGTTTTGCGTAGCAGGTAGCGTGTTCGCTCAACAGGGTCGTCACTCAGTGGCAGCGGCGGTGAGATGATTGGTGGACGCATGCTGCCATCTGAGCGCTGTATCGAGACGTCTGGCATGACCATGAAGGGACGTTGAGCGTTGAGCGTGTTTTGTAGTTCTAGCGTTCTGGTTGACTTTTTTGTGGATTGACGCATGCAAGATCTTGGCGATACGCGACTCCAGCTCCAGCTCGAAGCCGTGACAAATGCTGAAACATGCTAGAGACGCTCGTGGCGAGAGGCACGGAGCTGATCAAACCACCGTCTGTTGAAGGCATCATCACGCTGGACAAGACTGGCATCTGCCTGAACAGCGTGTGAGACTTGCTCGATGCTTGTATGGCGAAAGAGCTCCATTAAAGTCGGAACATGGACATGCCTCTGAGCAGATGACCTCCAGCTGCACCAGGATAGACGCTTGTTTTCCACTTGCTCTTCAAGCTGGACGAAACCATACACGTCTGTACTCTTTTCACAATCTGCGTAGCTGCTTGCACTGAGATGTGCTTTCCAGCGCTTGAGCGTCCTGATGCTGCGTGCGAATGGCGTCTTGGCACGCTGCTTGGGAGCGATACTCACGACAGACTTGATACAGGAAGGAGCAGGAGCTGGTGCTTTGCCAAGGTGCAGCGTATGTCCTGTGAAGTGAGGACGCGAAGGTTCAGCATTGCCCAGAGACATGGCAGCGTTCTGTGCTCTGGTCAGCAGCGTGTAAGTCCTCTCTGAGCAGTGTATGAGCAGAGTCTGAGTGAGCTATACAGAGAGAAGCGAAGCAGCAGTGGAGGAGAGGGTGGTGTACAAGGATACAGAGCACAAGGCAGCAAGCATCTCTCATCACCACCCAAGACCACATCCTCCATTGTACATCAGACCATGGCAATCAGCTTCGGGTGTCTGTCCGTCTTCACCTCAAGGAAATCACGCAGAATGTCTATTCCCATCATCCTCAGGACAAGCACAAGCACCTTCAGGGACACTACCACAGAGGGAGACCCACTCGAGCGTCACGAACGCTTCGCACTCAGCTCGCACACATCAGACAGCACACCAGCACTCTCCATCATTGCAGAAGAAGACAAGGACGGTGTAGCACCCCCTACAAGCACACCTACGGGCAGCAGACAAGTGAGCAGTTCCGATGCGACCAGCACGACATGCAGGCGTGACATCAGCAATGTGCCATACGCAGTGGGTGCGTCAGAGATCTTTGAGTCACGCATGTGGCACGAGCGCAGTGAGACTTCCTTCGCATCGGATGTCTCGACTGCTGTGCTGGAGGAGCAGCTGATGGGTGTCTCCCTCTCGCAGCTGCCGACCCCTGAGGCTCTTGTGCATCCCAGCTCGCAGGATACAGACATGACAGTCAGTTCCCGCTGTGTCGCTCCTTCCGTTGCACCTCCTCCGTCTACGCATACTGTCTCTTCTTCTGCCTCTCTCTAGCCTCTCTCTTCCTTCTGATTAGTCTCTTATCCTGCTTGTAGCTCATCCTGTTCAATAATAGAATCCTCTGCCAGCCAAATTCTGTGGGACGCGCGACTCACAGAATACACAAACCAAGCAAGGCCACCAAAGCGCAACGTCGCGTTCCTGTCGCTTCTGCCCACCGCGTTCATTTCCCTCGCGCTCCATGTCGCGTCTGCCAACTCTGACAGAAGCGCCTGTCTCAGAAACAGGCAGCTCCGTCGTGGCAGGCGAGATGCTCGAGCCGGATCTTCGAGACTTTTGCACACAAATCATCGATACCTTCAAGTGGAGCGAAGCCAAGAAGCGCAGAGATGTCAATGAGCTTGTGGAGTACCTCGAGGACCAGCTCAATCTGTATACAGTACCGAGCTTTTACAATCGTTTTGCGAAAGAGGGCGAGCAAGGCCTGGATATGGATAAGCTACAGATCTTACCTTGTGAGAGACCCGTCAAGACGAAGCTCCTCAAATTCTTTGTCTTTGGCGAGCCAGGGCTATGGCGAGAGTCTATACAACCCACCATCGTCAAGAAAGGAACAAATCCAATCCTCAAACCGCATCAAGAAGAGCCATATTCCTACAGCGCAAAGTCTTTCCTCAAGGGTCCTTTTGCGATTGTTCGTGCAGCCATGAGCGCAGATACACCGCCGATGCGGGTCGCCCTCAAAGAGTATGCACCAGAGATTGATGTCTCCTATGATATTCTCATTCAAAACCTCATGCTGCCACATCCAAACGCGCTTCGTGTCCTCTGCACCTATCGCACAACCAGAACAGGCAAAGTTGTGCAAAAGATGGCAATGGAGCCTTGGTGTGATTATCGACTCGAAGATGTCATTGCCGCTGGCGCATACGGTCTCGACCTTGTTTTGCGGGTTGGTTATTGTCTTGGCTCGCTACTCTACCACATTCATTGTCACGGTGTAAAGCACGTCAACATTAATCCTCGCAACATTCTTTTAACGGAGGAAGGCGGCATCTACCTCAGTGATCTGAGTACATCGCGCATCTACGTTGAAGCAGAGGAAATGAGCGAGCCTGCCAACGTCGATGACAAGACGGAACGCGGTCGCTTGACACATCCAAGCAGTGTCTCGACCATGGCGCACCTCACCATTCAGACTGATCTATTCTACACTGCCCCTGAACAACGCGTCGATGTCTCTCGACGTGGCACCGATATTTGGATGCTTGGCATTACACTGCTTGAATTGCTGTACTCCCTTGGACCGCAAGAACGCGCGATTCGCGATCCTCAAGCATTCTCTTACATGGTTGCATCGCTACCTACGCAACAGCTACAAAAGAAGCTACACTCGCTACTTCCAGTCTGCGCAGACCCCAAGGAAGAACAAATCCGACGAGCACTCTTGGATATCGTTGAAGAAGTGCTTGTTCAACAACCCATGCACAGACCTTCTGCCTTTGATATTCACCAACGGCTCGCCAAGTTTGCGCAAGAGGTCGAGTACCCGCTTGACTTGAACCCAGACCCTGATTTGCCGCCGATTGAAGCTGCCAAGGATGTCATTCGTGCTTCTGTACCATACAGCGTGCATGAACACATCACCATCAAGCGAGAAGACGACTACCTCGTTGACTTATCTCGCGGCGAGAAGAAAGTTCGCTTTGGGAATGACTTTAGCGTCAAGACATTCGAAGCAATGGAGGCAGGGGATGAAGATGGCAATGAGTTGACGGATGGAGAAGGTGGTGAGTTGACGGCAGAGGATGAAGAACGTCTCAAGGCGATGGAGGGCGAAGAAGGACGCGCTCTCGCCAGCTAAGACACCTTCACTGTAACAGAGATTTCTACACATGTACACTAGCGCTGTGCAAACAGCAAACCAGCGATGAAATGGATATCATCCCACTGTGCTTCAGTGACGCGCTTGACCTGAATCTGCTCGCCAGATTGTATTGCCGTTACTCTCACAATGCGACTCGTGCCCGTCATGGCAGCATGCTGCTCATCCACAAGAAAGAAGGGACATGTGAGGAATGGAGGCAGACCAGGTGTATAGATGTCTGCAAAGGTGATGGTATGATGAGCGATGGCGACTGCTGTGACGTTGGCAAAGAAGCACAGGATACGCTGGGCAGGTTTGCGCCGGATAGAGAGGATCTCACCAAGCCGGTAGTAGGTTGGACCCAGCCGCGCACTGCCTGTAATGCGCACAGGACCAGCAGACACAGGCACGTACGTGTTGACGGGTACCTCCTTGCTGTTGGCGGGTGCGTGGCAGTCAACTTGGACCAGGGGCAAGATGGTCGAGCCATTCGAGATGGAGGGTATCTGGTGCGGGTTGACGCTCGAGTGTGCCGTCAGTCGCGGTCGCACATGAATGTCTGCGTGCTGCCAGGTATCCTCAGTGTCCTCATCTTCAGGCGCCTCAAGACGCTGTCGCTTGGCTGGTCTGGTGTCATCATAGGTGAGCTTGACTCTGGTCTGTGTGCTGTCCTGGCAGACTGAGCTACTGTCTGCATCTGCGCTTGCATCAGCGACCATCTGCGAGGTCTCTGCTTCTTCATGCGTGTACGCGGGACACCTGAAGTGTTGCAGCCTGAGTCTTGCTTGTACCAGGGACGCTTTGCCCATGTTGCCTGTGGTCTGACTCTCTCCTCCAGGTCCTGACCAAAGACCACATCCTGCTTCCTCATCAGCTTCTGTACCATCAATCAACCATGCTCTCTCGCCAAGGACAGCGTCCTCAGACACCCTTTGCCTATGCCAGTGTCCATCCTGCTCTCCGAGGGTCCTTTGCAAGCTTGCATTACAGCACTCGTCTACCATACCCAGACTTGCCCGTCACCAGCGCAATGATGCAGAGCAGTGACTCGCTCTCCGTGCTCTCCCTTATCTCGCTGACGCAGTTTGCGCAGTTCGAGGCACAGCTGTCTGTCAAGAGTATCGAGTCAATGGTGCTTCACTATGGTGCTGCCTCTGTCCGTGGTATGCACAAACCATTGCCCGTCCCAGTACAGACACCAGAGCACAAGGAAGCACAGCCAACTGGTCTCAAACACTGGATGGGCACATTGAAGCTTCGTGCAAAGACCCTGCTTGGACGTAAAGCACCAGAAAAGGAGAATCTTCCGCCAAGCTATGATTGCAAGCTTCAGCAAGCAACACGACCACCACTGACATCTCTCTTTGCAAGCAGCCTCAGCTCAATCAACAACCCTTTCGAGGAGCATAATGAAGGATTCAGCAAAATTTGGCGTGACAGCGAGGGAGTCCGTTATTTATGTGTGGAACAAGTCGAGCCTAGTTTGCAGCAGCGTGACGCCTTTTGGCAGCTCCGCATTGAAGCGATGCGTTATGGCAAAGTCATTCCCATTCCAGTCAAGAATATCATGAAGCGTTGCCGGTCGAAAAGTAAGTGCAGTGATGGTCTCTGGACGATAGATGGCAAGCGGCGTATCTGGCTCGTCCAGCGAATTTGCTGAAGCGCGACTTTGCGAGATTGTATTTTTTTGTAGTGTCACTCTTGTAGACGTCGACTTGTACCTTACCCGCTGGCCTTGCATGTCCACCATCTATGCCCTCTCTACATCTGCCGCTAAAGCTGCTATTGCCGTTATTCGCATATCTGGCCCACAAGCTCGTCTTGCTCTTGCCGCACTGACGCCCAAGCGTGTCAAACCTCGTCAAGCTCACCTCGTCAAATTGAGGCATCAGGGGCAACTTCTTGATGAAGCCCTTGCCTTCTACATGCCAGGCCCAGCTTCTTTCACGGGCGAAGATAGTGTTGAACTTCATGTACACGGTGGCAAAGCAGTCATTCGGTCTGTTCTCGCTGCACTCTCGAGTCATAAGGGGCTACGGTACGCTGAACCTGGTGAATTCAGTAAACGTGCCTTTCGAGCTGGCAAGCTGGATTTGACACAAGCAGAAGCACTTGCTGATCTGATACATGCAGAGACGGAGCAGCAACGACGTGCTGCCGTATCACAAGCTGCCGGAGCCCTTGCAAAACGATATGATGGATGGCGAGAACAGCTGATTCAAGGACGTGCCATGCTGGAAGCAGTGATTGACTTTGGAGAAGACAATGAGATTGATTCAACAGTCGTGGAACAGGTACAGCAACGTGTCAGACAGCTTCAGGAGGCGATACGAAACCATCTCGAGGCAGGCGTCAGGGGTGAACGACTGAAGCACGGCATCACAGTGGCTCTCTTTGGTCCACCCAACGCAGGCAAGTCAAGTCTCTTGAATTTGCTATGTCGTCGCGAAGTGAGCATCGTGTCAGATGAAGCAGGAACGACACGCGATGTGGTGGAGACGATGCTTGATATTGGTGGGTATCCAGTGATTCTTTGCGACACAGCGGGCCTCAGGGATGCACAGGGTTTCGTTGAACAACAAGGTGTGCGGCTTGCTAACATGCGAGTCGAGGAAGCGGATCTCAGATTATGTGTCGTGCCGGCAGGCGAGGCGATGGATCCATTGACACAAGCGCTCGTGACGCCAGAGACGATGCTCGTTGTCAACAAAGTGGACTTGCGCTCGGATGCGCGACAGGGCCATCACCTATCTTGCACAACACACGCGGGTGTTGATGCATTTCTGGCGGCATTGACAGGCAGGCTACAAGCCCTTACGAGCGATGAACATGGCCAGGGTCTCGCACTTGGCACAACAGCCCGACATAGAGAACAGTGCGAGCGGTGTTTGGAACACTTGGATATCTTTCTACGCTATGACACTCATGGATTTGACTTTGTATTGGCGGCTGAGGAGCTGCGGTATGCGGGCGACTGTCTGGGTCGTGTGCTGGGAAGGATTGATGTGGAGGAGCTGCTGTCTGTTATTTTTCGAGACTTTTGCATTGGCAAGTAGCAGCTGTCCATGCTGGTGCTGGCTATGAAGAGACCAGCACTTTGCAGCGGTGTCTGTGCGGGTTGGTCGTCGGAAGCCAGGCCACTGCGATGATGAGCGAATGGCGGCCTTCCTGAGGCTTCCTCAAATTGTTGCCAGAAACAGGGCACAGAAGCAAAGCACAGCCAGGAACTCAGCACAAGACACAGCATCCTCTTCTCATCTGCATCAGCTACTCCTCCTGACCGAGGCCACACACCTTCTTTCAACAGTCCCAAGATGGGCCGCCATATCCCCTTCGACACAAACAACAACGACAAGGCCGACTTTGACTACACGCGGCGCAGCTCAAATGTGCAAATCCAACACCGCAAATTTCCTAATACAACATGGACGAATCTATTCCTCGTGGCGACAGTCGTAGAAGCATGCGCCAACATGGCCATTGAGGCGTACGTCTTTTACAAGTTCTACCGCGTCTTGAACCTCGACAATACAACAGCGCGCACAATCCCGACATATCTCGCCATCTACATCTGCGCCTTCGTCTTCCAGCTCATTCTCGCTTTCCTGGCGATTGCCAAACGCAATACAATCCAAGTCATTGGTCTTGTCCTGTTCAACTTTGCCTTCCTCGTGTACAGCGCCATCCAAATAAAAGAGTTTCGCGATGTCTTGTTTAGTCGCGACTCGGTCAATGTCTTTGACTCGGCGAGTGGATTGCGTGGTACAAGTATCTCTGCAGCGCAGAATCGCGACTCGCTCTGGCGCGACATCAAACCATTCTTAATCGTTGTCCCGGCCATTATTGGAGCAACACAAGTCATTTACATTCTATGCGCCGTCAAGTTATACAATGTCTTTGGCTGGGATATATACCAAAAGCTCGGCGCAGATCGTCGTGTCAAGCGGTACTTCCTCGCCTATCAAATATTTGTTGTGCTGCTCATGTACGACTGGTTCTTCTTTGGTGGGTTTACCGTGCAGCTACTCATTCTCTATGTCGACCACAGCAACTGGGAATTCTGGGTTACCGTCGCTGCATTGCCCCTCACCATCATTGGCCTGCTCGCGGCCGTCTATGCAGTACAGCACGAGTCACACTGGCTCCTTGCCTTCTTTGATTTGTGTCTCGTTGCAGCGCTGACATACTTTTGCTACAAGTTTTGGCGCATCTTTGGCAGTGAACGCGCTGATGAGTTCCGCAGCGATCGCATCACGTTGGGAATCTTTGCCGGTGTCTCGCTGGCATTGCTCGTGTGCACGATTGCAAATTCAATTTATTGCAGGCATTATTTCGGCAAGGTTGATTTGTGGGAGCGCCATCGACGTGCCGTCAAGGATGAGCAGGACGAGCAACCGCTCTCTACTATTGATTATGCCAACCCTAGAGGGATTGTGCTTGACTAGCTTCTGTACTTTTTAAACGCCTCGCTTACTGTCATGCCAGCTCGTACGGCTTCTTTGACGCGCTCTTCTTGTGCCGAGAGTTTCTTGAGCATTGCGAGCAGTTCCCCCAAATTGAGGTCTCCGTTGAGGACACAAATGCCTTCGGTGTCGATGAAAAGGAGGTCTTCGGGGCAAATGATGCCATTATGACCAATGTGAATGGCTTCATTGATAAACCTGGCCTTGCAACCTGCACCAGCACCAGCACCGGCAATACTCGTTCCAGTAGAATACACAGGGAGACCAAGTTGTCGCATTTCCTCAACATCACGAATTCGGCCGTCCACAAGGACTGCCTGAACGCCTTGCATTTGAGCGCGCAACGCCATAATGCCCCCGAAACACGCATTATCTTGATTTTTTGGTTGTTGAAGCACAAGAATGCTGCCCTGTGGTAAATGATCAATGTAGTGCGTTCCTGGTGGAATGTCGGTGTCCTCCATGCGGCCCTTGCTAGGCAATGTACTGAAGTTCGAGTCATCAAATTTTACTGTATATGTACGGCCAATCACTTTTTGGCCGGGTTGCAGCTGCGTTTGTAGTGTCAAGCCAATGATGGCTCCTGCCGCCTGTCTACTATACCGTTCACGGTCGTCATTGCCGCCCTGGCTGCGGAGCTTGAGCAATGCATCAGACACGTCAGTCGTGGAGTATTCTTTGATGGCTTCCTGTTCTTTGAGGATCTCCATGTTCAACTTGAGCCACGCATCAGACGCGTCGGCCCATGAGAATTCTTTCAGGGCTTCCATGCTTTCAACCAATCAAAGTACAACGCGTCGTTGAGTTGTTTGGAGACGGACTCGTTGATGAGGTCTGCACGAAAGGCAGGATTTTGTAGGAGCTCTAGGTGTAGCAGACTGGCCGGATAGCTGATGAAGCGTGCGTACTCTGGAGATTGCCAGTAGCGCAGGTAAGCTAGATACGCGACGAGTGCTTGGTCGTGCAGAAGGCTTGTTTCGGCGAGGTCTGAGGTTAGCATTGGAACGTGTGCGGAGTTGGAGCAGTGAAGCATACGTCGCAGGTAGGCTGGACTAGCGAGGGACTGGACAAAGGCGAGTTCCTGCTCGAATTTGGACATGGGTAGAAGTGACTGTCGGTTGTTGCCGTGGCTGTTAACTTATCAGTTGGCTGTATTTGTGACTGCCAGCCTGACCTTCCTCTTTTGGCTCCAGGTCGGCGTCCCGAGTCCCTGCGCTGACCAGTGACCACCACTGCTGGCTGTGCTGGCTGTGCAAGTGTCTGCTGCTGCTGTTTGCTGTGTCTGCTGACTGCTGCTCCTGTTTCATCTGACCTGCTCTTCCTGGTCACCTGCTGCTTACATGATGTGACCATGCTATCTGAGAGATAAAGGGTCCTGCCCCTGACACAAAGCGAGATATAAGGCGATTGTCTTCCTTCAATGCGTCCCTCATGTCTTCCTTTCGCTATACCTGTCGCCTAGTGAAACTAGGTATACCGCTCTCTGCCATTGTTGCAACAGGCCACCATGTTCTGCACTTGGATGCAAGCGACTCTACAGTCGCAGACACCCCACCACTCATGAAACGGGGCCATGACCCAGCCTACACGGCCTCGATCCGTGCATACTACGCTCAAAAGACGACATCTGAACTCTGTCGCTCGTTATTTGTCTATACCGTCTCTGCTTCACCGACGCTTGTGGCACTGGGCAAATCAGCCTTGCGCGCTTGTGACGCACTGCGTGTCCCCTTTCTCTATGAATATCTCGCGCGCTACACATTCTACAAGCAATTCTGCGCAGGAGACTCGACGGAGCGTGTCAAAGATGCTGCTATACGTCTCAGGGATGAGAAACTGGGCTGTATCCTCGCCTATGTCAAGGAAGAAGCCGAAGCGAATGAAGCTGCGTTTGAACGGACCCTTGCCAGCACACTCGAGACTATTGATGCAGCTGCGGTGTTGCCAGACAATTACTGTGCCATCAAACTGACAGCTCTCGCACCGGCATGTGTCCTTGCAGACTACGCGTCGGCCGTGCGTTCCGGCAACCAGCCCTGCGAGACAACACGACTTGCCATCTCAGCGCTACAACAACGACTCGCTCAAATTATGAATCACGCACGTAAACAGCAAGTGAGAGTCTTGATTGACGCAGAACAAGATGCCTTACAACCGGCCATTGACGACATTGCAGTCTCGTGTGCACGACAATTCAACCGTGACACGGCAGTCTGTTACAATACCTATCAGCTCTACCTCAAATCAGCACCAACAACGCTCCAAAGACACTTTGAGCAAGCGCAGCGCGAAGGCTGGCTTTTTGGTGCAAAACTCGTACGAGGTGCGTATATTGCGAGTGAACCACGTCATCTCATCCACGACACGAAAGCAGAGACGGACGCAGCGTACGATGCTGCTATCCAATTTCTTGCACCGCATGAAAAGGTTGAGATGATGATTGCCTCACATAATGCAGAGTCATTGGCGTTTGCGGCCACATTGGATGCAAAGGCCTCGATTCGATTTGCTCAGCTTCACGGCATGAGTGGCGCACTTTCTTGGCATCTGTGCAGCCTTCTTGGTGACGGGACGCAAGTGTATGCATACCTTCCCTGGGGAACCGTGGGTGAGTCCATGAAATACCTGGTTCGACGAGCCGATGAGAATGCAAGTATGCGCGATCGCTGTGTCCTCGAACGCAACGAAATCTTTGATCAATTGTGGCAGCGCATATTCAATTGACATGAAGCTGTACTTTGAGTCGTTCATACACGTAGAATGAACAAGCGACCATGGGCACTGTTTTGATAAAACCAATAGTCAATCCGACATAGAACCCTCCTGGTCCTGCTGTCTTCAGGATGAGACGTGCGGTTTGCCAAAAGCCAATGGATTGACCTGATCCAACGGCTCCCGAGACTTGCATACGTCGTCGAATCACTTCAAATGGGTAAGAGGCCGTTTGTGAGAGCATCCCAGCAAGACCGCCACTCACCAATTCCGCCCAGGCAGCTAGCGGTGCGCGTCCATATTCTGTTCCTTGAGATTTCTTTCTCGCGCTCGACCAAGTTCTGAGCAAGTCGCTAATGGCGTCGTGCGTTAAGAATGAAACACCAGCATACGGTAGCATGCCGACCATGGTCGGTGTAAAGCCTCGGTAGAAATCCGCTAGACTTGTTTTGTAGATCTCTCTGCAGACACTGACAATGCCACCGTGAGGATGCCGCGTATCGAATGCTAGACGTACACGAATCACCTCGAGTGGATAGGTGAAAAAGACGGATGTCAAACCAGCGAGTGCACCGGCCGTAAAACGTCGCCAGACCACTTCCTCGCGCTCACTGCGAATGAGAAGGGATCTGAATTGCTCATAGGCGATGAACTTGATGCCAGCATACGGAAATATCCGAAGCAACGTCGCCGCATGCCCTTTAAACAACCCGCGCAACCCGGAAGTCTTGTGAATATCCCGCACAGCCAACGCCAATCCATTCCAACGCGACGCATGCCGTATATAGTCTGGATTTGAAGTTTGAAAGAGGATCTTGACACGATCGAGCGGAGCAATCAGCGTTTTTGCAGCACAACCGGCAAGGCCGCCGGCGATGCCTGTCCGCACGACATAGTCGAGGGATTGCCGCTGTATCAGACGTGGCGAGACGGGCGGTGCGTCTGTCTCGCATACGGGAGCCAGCGAGGTTGTGGTCATCCAGACCTGTGTCTTTGACAGTCCGGTAATGCGGAGTAGAAATGTCACCGTAGAAACAAAGCTCAAGCTGGAAGTGTTTGCTATGAACAAGTTCAGATGACACGTACAGGAGAGATGGCATGTGCACGGAGATACAAGTTGTGATCACATATTACTAGAATGTACTTGATAGGAAATATCCGAGGTTTTATCCCTAGAAGAGGGCAGCAACACCAACAGCCACAACACCGGCAACGAGGCCAGACACGCCAAACTTGGCGGCAGTACCACGTGCGGCAGGGAGGATGGTGGAGCTGTTTGAGCGTGCAGCGGCAGCAGCGGCAATGACAGGCACGGAGCCAGGAGCCACAACCACGGCAACCACAGCAGCACCGCTGGCGACAGGCACAACGGTACCAGCTGGTACAACGATGGTCTGAGTGCGTGTGATGGTGACTGGTGCAGCGGAGTTGATGACAGTCACGGCACCGGCACCACCACCACCGATGGCAGTAACGAATCCAGTGACGGAGGTGACACCAGAGATGGTGACACCAGCAGACACGTAGAGGACAGGTGAGACAATAACAACAACCGAGACAACAACAGGTGCGACAGAGAAGCCGGCACCAATGGTGACGATGTTGCCAGAGACAGAGAGACCAGTGACGGTGACTTGAACGAGAACACCGTTGATGTTGACGAAGACAGACACAGAGCCGACAGGGAGACCGTTGATGGTCACCTGCACAACCACAAGGGTCTGGATGGCACCGCTAGCAGCGGTAACGGTGACAGTGTTGGTCTGTGTGACAGTAACTGGGACAACGCCGGGGGCAACACCGTTTGAAGGTGCAGCGGTAGGCGCGGAGCTAGGAGCCCCAGAAGAAGGAGCGGCACCAGGAGCGTTTGTGACACCTACCACTGTAGCACTGATGGTTCCAGGTGCATTGGTACCACCGACCTGGAGGGTTCCAGCAGGGCTGAGGCCAGCAAAGAGAGGCTGTGACTGACGCTTGCGGCGAGCGTTACGGGACACGGAAGCAGACAACGCGCCGTTGCTAACTGTGAAGTAGCCTTGGATGAGGGGAAGGACAGGAGGAGGTGTGCCAAGAACAACATCGTAGACAGGAGGGTTTCCAGCAGATGCAGCGGCTGCTTCCCGGAGGAAACCAGTGAGACGGAGACCGACCTCGTTGGTGCAGGTCAAGATGCCGTTAGAGTCAATGGCAATGGGGGAAGCGGTCTGACTGGCAGGTGCAGCCGTAATGACTGTGCCAGAGCAGATGAGAGGTGTAGTACCAGCCCTCAACTCGACGGTTGTGGTTGCTGTGGCCGAGGGGAGCGCAACTGGCAGCACACTGGTGGGTGCAGCTGTGCCGTTCGTGGGGACTGACTGTGCTGAGACAGCAGTGAGTATGGAAGCCAGTGAGGTAAAGAATGAAGTTCGCATATTGAAAAGAGTGTAAGTAGCTTGAGGAAAGGCGAATGGGTGTGGCCTGGGTCTTATAGCTTACTCGAAGGCTGCTTGTTGTTTTGTGCAAAGGGCTCCTTACAATACCTGGGGCTCATTGCCGGCCTTCAGCAGTGAATCAGCACTCAATCAGCATTTTTGGCTGTGAACTATGGCTCATGTCAATTTAGGCTCAGCGTAGATGAGCTGCTATTCTAGTAAGGGCCAATGGCAGCTGTGGGCAATATTGGAAGCCTGGCCCGTGCCGGAATGCAGGTCAGAGACTTGTTGGCTGAGACGAAACTTTGCCAGCGCGAGTGTTGGTGTCTGCTGCGTCACTGCCTGCATCTTTTGTTGTGTAGAGAACGTGATGAGCTGCCAAATTCAACTCTTGCCCTTCTCGGCCAGCGGAATGTCGTCGCGGGCCAGAAAAGGAATGCGCTTTCCCCTTTTGTGCGTCGTGTGTTGATCGCGCTAAATTTGCATGCCTCCGCGAATGGCAAGAAATCGCGGCCCGGAGATCTGAAGACCGATACAGGCTGCAGGCTGCAGGCATCAGCGACCTCGGGTTTCAGGCTTCAGCTTTCAGCGATGGCAGCTGTGATTCTGCGATGCAAATTGCACTTCTCATGAGCCCGCCCTCATCATCGGGCCTCATCATCATGCTCTCATCGTCTCATGTGGGAGGCCAACACGATTCACAACTTTGCTGCTCTAGCAGATTAGCAGACTATGAACATCAACTACTGAGCACTGAGCAGATAGCGACAGTAGGCCATCAGCTTGGCAGCATGCTAGGCATCACGCTAGGTATCATCGTTCTCACAAAGTCTATGTGCACTCTGGAGTGTGGACAGGTGTACCGATTTATCTGTTAAGCACAGTCTAGCAGTACCGCATGAGGCCACTGCTTAAACGTATACGTGCGGATCAGTGTGAGCCGCTAGCAGTGTTCCGCTACTGCTAGTCTGCTACTGCATACTGCAGCTCAATCAACCTCGCAATATCTACAAGGTACTACGTCACGACTCACGGTTCACCATCTCGACACAAACCATGCCCACAAGCTTAACAGTGAAGTAGGCACAAACTCGCACAATGAGCTCGTCGCTAGAGCCTCGAAGAATCATATCACTGTGTTTCTCCTCGTATGGGGCAGTCATCCATCATCGCCAACATGTACCATCCGAATCACTTCGCTTGATGCTCCTTCCCTTTCCTCTGCAACGGTTGGGCGTGTGAAAACTCTACGTCTGTAAGGCCTTAGGATCCTTACGTCGCTGCTCCTCCACTTTCACCACTCAAGCGACTATACGTATGTAGTAGGCCTGAGAATGAGATGTGGAAGAGATTAAAGTATGGAAAAGGTAAGAAGAGAGCATATAAAGGAGCTGCCAGCACAGCAAGTCCGGGAGCACGTGCTATGCCATCTGATCGGTGAGGCCTCCGAGCTGATGTGAGGTCGCATCTCACCCTGCGGCCTTACAACGTCGGACTGACTGGAGTTTGCCTGGTCTTGCTGCTCTAGACTCTGTTTGTTCGCAGTCGCAACACTTTGCCGGGGACTCTGTCACAGTGGAATCGCCACAAACAAGGAAAAATTCTTCTTCTCGCATGACTTGAGTCAACAAGGGCAATGAAGACACTATTGTACCTGCTATAAGCATTGCGTGTCTCACAGAGCGTCGCTTTGTACCCCTAGACTGATTCCTTCGCCACCCCTGTTGAGTGCTGACCACTCCGTACGACTTGTAATCCCTCCCTACACAAGTGTTGCGTGGCAGAATGCTTGTCTTCAACTACGGTCTCTGACTGACTCTAAGCTGCATTCTTCGGCACGTATCGACGATTGCCCTATTGGTCTGGCCGCTGCAGACGAAGGGCAACAACTTTCATTCAGACGAGGGTGAGACGAGACAGCATGCGAGTCAAATTTCCAGCAGTAAACATCGTCCTGCAGCTCGTGCTTTGCTGTGTCCATCTACAATCAGTCGCTGCCAACGAGAGTCAGCTCCGGCATACAGGCATAACGCGCTGGATCCTTCACATCAAGCGCATGCTCGGGATTGGTCTTGAGCCCTTGCCAGGCACGTTAAAAAAGTCGCAAAAAAAGCCTAAATATCCGCGAGACCCGGTACGCTGGTGTAATCAGCCGATGATCAGTCTCAATCAGTACCATCCAAAGCGTGATAACGACACCGACTGCAAAGCATCATGTCACGAAATGGTTGCAATACATGCCAACACGTTGGAAAGCATGCCTTTCCTATGCCAAGACTTGTCGGTGAGCAAAGAGTATGACTGGGTATATTACGACACTACCAGGTATGAGATACCACAACCTGGTTATAGTTCGAACGGCCAGGGTTATGCATGGATGAATTGCTGGTGCGATGTGAAGTTGGTGATGAACCGCATGCGCATACCAGATTACGAATTCAATGAGGATGGCTCGCCGTTCACTCCGGACCAGGAACCGACATTCAAGGGCTGTACTTTGGACCATTTGGCCAGGAGTTTGGAATTCTCTCGGCTCACCGCAATGACGAGTGGACCTCCAACGTGGCTCCGGGAGAAGGTTCTGTGCTCAACTCGCGATCCTATCGACCCTGAAATGTCGCAGCATTGGCCGGTACTAAAAGTGATATTGTATGGTCAACAGCTAATTGATGATGTTATGGCTGAAGAGTTAAGGCTCAAACGTCAGGACAACTACGATTTCATGGCCTCATTTCCGACGCCCTGGATTTGAAGGGAGATACAACATGTAGAGAACTTGCTTGCATTGGCCTTTGCGTTTCGCTGGTGGATTATTTTTGCCATAGCATGAGTACTTTTGAATTAATTGACTCAGAAGAATCTGACGAAAGCACAAGTAGAGCGGATACGCAACTGCAGACTTACGCAGCCGTGCGGTTCTAAGTTTTGTTGCGTAGGGATCTCTATCCAGTTGTGTCCACTTCACATACTGTCTCGTTATGTTGTGCGTCAACGTCGCCGATGCTTGCTGAATTGTTGTCGATACCTTCCACGTCTCGCGTTCATTTGGGACACTCGCTTAACGTCGCTCATCTTGGCTTGGGTCCGCGTACAGTACGCTGTGTAGCAATGTGAGACTGAGCAAGAGTCGAGATAGCACTGCAGGTCAATTTAAAGCACAACATGGCTCCACAGCTGCTTTCGATAGACATTACCCTGTAATCCAAATCCTCAGACATTGGTTGCGTGCTGAGTAGTTTGTCGTTGTGCATGGACCCTAGAGACAGTGCTCTTGTTCTGACGGCCGAGCTATGGCAAACAGCAAAATTCAGGGGTCCGCCCTCCGCCAGCAGGATAAAATTAAAGAAGCGCTTCGCCACTTTCGTTGTTCCACCACGACCACATACATTAATGAACTCAGATACTGCCGTGATTATAGCCATTATCCCGTAAAAGTCAACCCAAGACCAGAGTCGATCCAAATGTCAGCGAACACAAGAGTCTAGTGGACCTTGCAGGTTCGAGAAATGGGGCTGAATATGAGGTTTCGTTCAGATAGTCAGTTCTAGAAGAGCCACACAGACACACCACAGACTTTCGCGCCATACTCTTCTATCTCGACTCACGTGAGCTCCTGAGTGATTGGAGTCCTCGTGTTAGAGGATCTCGACATGTCAATAACAGAAAGCATGTACGAAATTATCAAGACGAGTCGCCGTCTCACCAGCAATGGCACCAGCCGCCGTCCACGTTTCGCAGCACTCATGCGCGCATTGGAGAGTTCAGGCGTTCCACAGACGTCGCTCGACTATGTGCACGACTTGCAGCAGTGAGCGATGCTTTGACACAAGGCAATCATTGTTGGCCGTTGATGTACTTTGGCAGCTGAGACTGAATCAACTTCCACCCAAACGACCAGACACAACAGACATGCCGAAGAGGAGAATAGATTGTAAATGGGCTATAAATACTAATAAAAAGGCGCTCATGAAGCTGGCTGTTCTCCTTCACAAATGATCGCTTCAAACTGGTTGACAACGGAGGATAAAACATGGTCCACATGGGCAATTTCATGGGTGTTCAGGGTCTCCGTGCCTAAAGCGACAAGATTGTAAATGTCTGCAATCAGTCTCATCCCCGTCCATAGCTGAAAGTAAGGCAGATGGCTTTGCATGACATCCGCAACCCTCACATTGTTGCGCATAGGTCAAGGTCCTGGTCAGGTCTGGAGGTCTGGCGGCTGAGCTTGAAATTGCAGCCATCCTAGAGGATGGACTCGCAACTTGGCTTGATGCGTCGGAAAGACTTTTACTTGCGCTGTGCTTTGCAACCGGTGTCATGAAGGCGAGTGTACACAACTGCAATGGCTGCAAGAGCATGGACGTCCAGATCTCAACTCGCATTTCTCTCTTCAGCACTAAAGTCTCAGTGCTCATCAGTCAGACATCATCGTTGGTACTGTCAATCTACTTACCTGTTCTGCTTAAGCTTGGGGCGCTACGAGAGAAAGACTGTAGCTCGCCTTGCGCTGTCAAATAATGGGCAGCTTCTCAGGGGCTAACATTTCAGTCTGAATACCACCGGAGAGCTTCTGTCTTGCTTCAACGTGGATTTGGTCACATCAGCCCTGGCGTGGTCATCTTCCGCGCGCCTTGCATGGATCACATTTCTAGATGTAACCTGCGGCAGCAGTGTCAGACCTATTCGGAAATCACATCGAGCCAAAACTGGCTAGTCCCTAGAGGATAACGCTGCAGCTCCTAACTTCGATTCATTTCTAGGCTAATTTCAGGAGTCAATGCTGTCCAGGAGATACCTCCTGGCTCCTGTAACCAACTTCGAATCCCGCAGGTTCTCGAAGCTCATGTATCTAACAAGCAGCACGAGAGCAGCAAATGCGAAACAATGCAATTTCTCACTGTCCTTATACATTCTAGCAGGATATAATGTGGACACTCTTATGGCGGGTGACATGGCAGACCTTTGCTTAGTATTGTCAACAAAAAGTCTTCCTACTTAGCGCCCAGGACCGCACCCATCAATAGTCAGAGGATTGAGGTGGCCCAGCAATCAGAGAAGAAAGATGAGTCTTTTGGGCTTATGAACACTAGCTGGGATGGCCCCCCCGTTGGGGGGGCGTCAAATCAAATTGCTTATTGATCTATATGAATCACGTCATTTGAATAACATTGTGGTATTATACTATTCTGAGAAGAAGTTATATGCGTTATAATTTGCTAATCTACCATCTCTTCATCTTCAGGTTGCGTCGTTGCTTGATTGAGCAAAACTTCTGGATAGACCACGTTCTTTGTCCTGTAGTTCTGGTCTGTGTCCTGCAAAGTACACAGATTTTCCACGTTTGTGACTCGCGAGAATGCAACGTAGAGCTGACCATGTCCGAAGCAAGAAAGTCTGAGGTCAACGCCAACGTGCTTTAGACTTTGCCCTTGGGATTTGTTGATAGTCATCGAGAAGGCAAGACGAATTGGGAATTGCTTTCTCGTCAGGGCGAAAGAGTATTCTTCTTCGTCACTGTTGAGTTTGAAGCGGAACAGATCAACTTCTTGACCCTTTCGTGTCCCTGTCAATACACGACATTTGATAAGGTATTTGCCAAGTCTTACCACCTCAAGACGTGTGCCATTGCAGACCCCATCTCTGGGACGTATATTTCGTATCAAGATAACCGGAACACCCACTTTCAAGCGCAAGCAGCTCGGAGGTAGCGAAGCTGGTTCCAATGTGGCAAGATATTCGGCATTTGCCTGGCGCAGATGGTGGTCGTGTGAAGAGCAACCAACGATAGTACTCCTGCTGCGTGAGCATTCTGCTTTGAGTTGCGTGTCATGACGGCCCTTGTTTTAGCAGACTTGACTGGTGGTGGTTCATGACTGATGCCTTTGCTCTGTAGCAATTCCGGTAAGAGATGCAGACAGGCTGTTTCTGAGCATGCAAACGGATGCTTTTAGCAGAAGAGCGTAAGGAGTGTTTGAAATGCCGTGGTCGATGTGCGCAGTAGCTAAGTTCTAGCCAAGTCGCGACTGTCGGGTTGAGCTTGCCTTATCACGTGAGTGTTTCAAGCAGCAGCATCGCTTGAATTTCTTTACCTGTGCGCGTCGCTTAATCTTTCCCAAAAGGGTATACGTCAATGTTTCCTGTCGCTTTTTGGGATCTTCCAATTATAAAATGAGACTAGCTGGGATGGCCCCCCCAAATGGGGGGGGGGGGGGGCGTCAGATTCTATTCACATTACTTTTGAATCTCTCTGCTGATGCGAATTGACATCTCTATGAGCGTCATGGACTGCGGTTTTTCCCTTTGACACGGTTCAATCAGGCATCAGTAATTCATATGCCAGCTCCGTCAACGTGCAAACTGCATTTATTGCAATGAGCCTCTATGGTCTGCAATCAGCTCGATGAACCGCAGTGGCATCTGTTTATCAGAGTGCGACAATAGAGCATAGCTTGAATCAGTAGAAGCCCACTTTCCTCTTGCAAAGAGACTTGATACCTTGCAATCGAACTTGATGGGCCGCAGTGACATCTGTTGATCAAAGAGCATCAGCAGTCCATAGCCTAGCTCAATTGGAGTCCATCTGTACCCTCTGGAAGACCTTTGATATAGCCTACATTCGGCTTGAAAGACCACAGTGAAGTCTATCCATCAAAGAGCAACAGTAATTCAGAGGCCAGGTCAGTCGAAATCCATCGCTACTCTTGCAAAGAGGCTTTATAGCTTGCAATGTGACCCAAAATCTGCAATCGTATAGATTGGTTGTACTGTCACTTACCACAGCAAAGAGTGGAAACAGTATGCGGGCCAGCGTTGCGGAGGAACTTTCGCTGATACAGCAAGAAGAATTTGTAGCATACACAGTCAGCAAATTGATGCTGCAGCCGACAATTATTTCGACTGACAGTATCTGTTCTTTGAGAGAGCTAGATCAATCTGGATGTCTGCACTCCATGCGGCAATAGCATTATAGCAATGGCATGCATCTCAAACAAACTGGCATTAGCCGAGCAATGAGCAGAAGCAGTAGGCAAAAAGCACTGTCCAAGAGTCATTGCTGATGCAGCAAAAAGAAGCTGTAGCATACAGAGACAGCGTTGCTCCGGCAGAATGACAATGCACCCGTCAACTGTCATGACTGACGGTTCAATTCTTTGAGAGAGCTTGATCGATTCGGGGAGCAGCACTCTCTCAAAGCAATGGAAGCAGCCTGCAGTCAAAATATAGACTGAAGGGGCAGAAGCATCAAGCAGTAGGCTTTGCTGAAGGGTCATCATGGATGCAGCAAAGAGAAGCTGTAGCATATGCAGACAGTGCCGCTTTAGCAAAGTAAAGTTGCAGCTTGGTTTTAATTTACAGTCAGCGCTGCTCTAGCAAAGTGAAGCTGCGGTTTGCAATCCATCAGCTTGACTGATTCGTTCTGAGAGCAATCGCCTTTTCAGCATTGTCAGCAGTTTGATTGTAGAAGAAGCAGCGGCCTGCAGTTCAATAGCTTGGCATCTGCCTTTGCCTCTACCCAATCAGAACTTACATTGCAATACTGGGCAGCACTCTCTCACAGCAATAGCAGCAGCCTGCAGTCAAAATAGACTGAATCGGTCGTGCAAGGGGCAGAAGCATCTAGCAGTAAGCTTTGCTGTAGGGTCATCATGGATGCAGCAAAGAGAAGCTGTAGCATACGGAGACAGTGCCGCTTTAGCAAAGTAAAGTTGCGGCTTGGTTGTAATTAACAGTCATCGCTGCTCTAACAAATTGAGACTGCAGCTCAACTGCTGCATACATTCAGCGCTGCTCTAGCAAAGTGAAGCTGAGCTGCAGCTTGCAATTCATCACCTTGACTGACATTTTTGGTTCGTTCTGAGAGCAATCGCCTTTTCAGCAGCTTAATTTGATTGTCAGCAGTCTTTTATCGTAGCAGAAGCATCAGCCTGCAGTTCAATAGCTTGGCATTTGCCTTTGCGCCTCCCAATCAGAAGTTACATTGCAATACTGGCGATGACAGCTAGCTGTAACCAGTAGCTCAATTTGATTGACAGCAGACGTCTCGCAGCATGAGCAGCAGCCTGCATTTCCGATGGTTTGGCCATTGCATAAGCATCTGCAGTGAAAAGGGAGCGGTCATCTGTGACCCGCTTTTGAGAGTAGCAAGGTTCTAGGCGTTTCTCTGGACATGTCACGTGAATTTCTGGAAGCAGCAGCAGCAGGCAGCAGCGCTCGAATTTCTTTACCTGTGCGCGTCGCTTAATCTTTCCGAAAGCGGCCATTGTTGCCTTGTTTCCGGTCAGCTTTTGACCTTTTCCAATAATATATGAGTAGATGAGATGAGAAGATGACAGGTCACCAGAAAAATACAACATGATTCGCCTCACTCGACAGGCTCCATTGCTGATGAAGTCAGACGCCCGTGTATGCAAAAGTTGAAGGACATCAGCCATTCACAACTTCGCACGTCTGATGAGTGCATTTCCAGCTCTTGATGGTTCCCGCTTCAGCTCCCTTGAGATCCAATCTCCAATGTGCGCCAGCGCAAGCAGATCCACCCCAGTATTGTAGCCACTCTCTTGCAGCATGTACACCAGATCCTCTGTCGCTAGATTACCAGTCGCGCCCTTTGCGAATGGACAGCCGCCCAGACCTGCCACGGAAGCGTCAAACACGCGCAATCCCATCTCCAGAGATACGAGGACATTGGCGCAGCCTTGGCCGTAGGTATCGTGGAAGTGACCGGCTAATTTTGCAGCTGGGATGTGATGAAGGAGCGCACCCAAAAGTCTCCGCACAGAAAAGGGCGTACCAACGCCAATGGTATCACCGAGTGAGACTTCATAGCATCCCATGGCCAGTAATTCTTGACAAACGTAGAGTACCTTCTCCGGTGCTGTTGGGCCATCCACTGGGCATGCAATGACACAAGAGACATAGCCACGCACGCGAATCCCTTGTTCTAAAGCTCTCTTTGCAACAGGTCTGAAGCGCGCAAGAGCTTCTGCAACAGAGCAATTGATGTTGCGCTTGGAGAAGCCTTCACTCGCTGAACCAAAAATGGCGATCTCACGAGCACCACAAGCGACTGCCGCTTCGAAGTACCGCTCATTGGGTACAAGGACGGGGTAGCTGATATGTTGTGGGATGTACTGGTTGGAATAATCAAGAGCGCCAGCGCGATTGAGCGTCGTTAGTACCTGATCGCCATCTGCCAACTGCGGGATCTGTTTCTTCGACACAAACGACGTCGCCTCAATCGTCCGTAGTCCAGTACGAGCAAGCCGATTGATGAGTTCTAGCTTGATGGCCGTTGGTACGACTTTTGGTTCATTTTGAAGACCGTCTCGCGGGCCCACCTCGACGATGCGCACGTAATTAGGGTGGGCATGGACACTTGCTTGCGTGGCCATGGCTCGATGCGCAGAGATGGAGGGCACGCTGAGGGAGCGCACTGAACGCATCTTGTACAGTGAGGCAGTCGGCCTGCGTCGTCGGAGGTTGCCGTTGCGTGTGGATCCAAGTCCGGGGCTCCGCTGCCGGTGTGGGGGAACAGCTACACTTCAAAAACAAGCTTCAACCTGCTCCTCCTCGCTACGATGCTCTCAAGGAAACTGTATACAGGGCTCTCTACTCGGCGGTGCTTCTCAAGCTATGGCTTTGTCGGACTCGGCAGGATGGGAGCAGGCATGGCACGCAACTTGAGGGCAAAAATCGAACCTGGTGCGACGCTCAAGATTTACGACCTGCACAGAGCTGCGTGTGATACCTTGGCCAAGGAAGTGGAGGGAATCGATGTTGTGAGCTCTGTCTCTGACCTGCAGCAAGCGGTAGCCTCATCGATGTCTACAGACCAAGACTAATACCAGGAATGTGTGATCACCATGCTACCCAATTCTGAACACGTCGAGGCATGTTTCGCAGATGGCCTCGGTGCGGCAAACAAGAAAGACCGGCTCTTCATTGATTGCTCGACCATTGATCCTTTCCGGTCAGGTGCGCTCGCAAAACAACTCGCAGACAAGGGTATGGGTCGATTCGTGGATGCTCCTGTATCTGGTGGTGTCAAAGGTGCCTCTGGTGGTACACTCTCCTTCATGGTAGGGATGCCTTCCAAGGAGACAGATCCACGCGTCGAGCAAGTCTTGTCAAAAATGGGCGCGAGTATACATTATTGCGGTAAAGCAGGAGCAGGTCTATCTGCAAAGCTCGTCAACAACTATCTTCTAGGTCTGAACAACATTGCCACTGCAGAAGCTATGAATATGGGGCTCAAGCTTGGACTGAAGCCTAGCGTGCTGGGTCAGGTCATTAATTCAAGTACAGGCAAGTGCTGGCCCTCAGAGAAGAACAACCCGGTGGCAGGCATCGTCCCTGGTGCACCAGCAGAAAATGACTTTGAAGGGGGCTTTGGCATTCAGTTGATGCTGAAGGATCTGGGTCTAGCACTTGCGGCTGCCGAGGGAGCTGGTGTCCATCTTGGGGCCAAGGACTATGCGCTAGACATTTACCAAAAAGTGGCCACGCAGTACCCAAACAAGGACTTTGGTGTTTTGTTCAAGCACTACGAGGCGATGTCGAAGTAGATATGTCTAGATGAGGCTGTGTAGATGTATTTCTGAACTTCAGTTCAAGGTTGAAGATATTAGTTCGTACACTATTACTACAGCTCATCACTAATTATGGTCCTGCTGATACAGAGGTGAACGCCGGTTCATTGAATAATACAATCCTTCTTCTGCTTCTTCGAAACACCAAAAGCGGAAGTGGCATACTCCTCAAACATCCTGCGCTGGTCCTTGGTCAAGCGACGCTCATCAAGACTATCCCACAGAGCGACACGCGGACCAATGAGCGTCTTGACCAGGTAATCGCCCTTTGAGAAGGGGAATCTACTGCCTTGACATTGGTACACCTCCATCTTTTCAGAATGGTAGTCATCCATGACATCGAGCCTTGGAATCGACGCATCAAGCTGGTTGTAGACATTCACGACCGAGTCATCGCTTGTGCAAAGCGAAATGGTCATGAAAGAGTTAGTGAACTTGGTTTGGACATCACGAAGATAGCTTGCCATGACTGGCAGACCACAATCAGGCTGTCCATCCGTGAACAGCAGCGTGAGCACTGGAAGTTCTCCTTCCATACGCTCGTAGTGGAAGAGATACTCAAGCACTTGCAGTGTTGGTGTACGACCACGAATAGGAAGGCCAACAAGTTGCTGCTCGAGCTCATTGAATGATCGAAGACCAACAAATTCCTTGCGCCCATCAGGATGTCCATTCAACAAGTAGACGTCCACAAGACCGCCATACTGCCTGGCAAGCGATGTAGGACCTTGCGCAGCAGCCATATCGACGGAAGCGGTAGCAGCTTCAGGTGCTGTCGTATTGGCAGCGGCACAGGCAATGTCGAAGACACTGCGCAACGTCAACATGAGTTCATCCCATCGTGTTCCCTTGCGTCGACCATAATGATCTGTTTCGCTTGTGCGCATACTGCCGGAATCATCGATAATGATGCGAATACTGGAGTACTCTTGCAAGACATGCAACTGAGAGGCGAAGAAGGGCGAGATGCCTTGCTGTTTGCACAACTCAATCAAACTGGCCGTCTTGTTGAAGCGCGAAGGGTCTTGGCCTGTGTAAACTGGGGGCGCCGATGTCGGTGGCGCATAGACTCGTTGACCTGCCTTGTTCATAGTTGAAAAGTCCTAAGTTGAAGTTGAAGTGTCTGAGATGATAGCGATGAAGCAACGTTCTTCGGAGCAAAAGGCGACGAGGTGACAGATATAAGGTATCGAGGCGGAGGATGTTGAGTACACCTGAGTCAACGTCGCTGAAGTTGCTGCGGTCGCTAAGCCTCAGCCATTGATGACGGCATCGGTCGAGGTACTTCAAAAAAAAAGTGGAGCAGTAGATAATCGAAATCTAGACCTCATGCACGCTAAGCAAGCGCTCTACCAACTGAGCTACAGCCCCAGATTTGGGGACAAGTTTTCCTGTCTGCATTGAAGGCAATCACAAAAAAAGGCTGCGGAAGTGGCGGAACTCGGCAATGGTCACCCCAGTCGTTCCACGACCACGTCGACAAGGCTACTCTTGAACTCTTCCAGTTCGCCGCCTCCACAACACATCCTCCATGTCGACGATCCAATGCACTATTCCGCAGTTCTCGGCAGGAGGTCTCGAGGACCTGCAGGAAGCACTGAGCCCATACGGCACCATGGTGTCCCATCACCGTGAGTACTACCCGGGTCTTCCCCACCCTACAGGGAAATTCTCCTTTCTACTCTCTCTTCACGCTGAGGACAAGCTTCCCCCAAAGAAGATGGTGGTTAATCGTGATAACGGATATTTTTTTGAGGAGATCACTATAAACATTACTCCAATCCCAGGCAAGAAGCTATGCTACATGTGTCACAAGATCGGACACTGGCGCGAAGCTTGCCCCGTTGCTCCGCTCTGCAGCTCCTGCGGCCAAACCACTGCTCACGGACCAAAGCGCTGTCCCTTGAAGATGGGTCGAGCTCCTGTGGCGCAGAAAACCAAGCCTCGCTCAGGAGGCCCCAAACCTCAAGTGCCGGTGTCTACATCGGCGACGACCCAGCAATCCCCATAAGCACTGTCATCTAGCCAGCCGCTCCTATGGTCCCATCTTAAGTGGTCAGCCCGTGGTGGCACCTACAGATATTATCGACAGGCTACAGACGGGCCGCGGACCTTGTCTGCCACAGCTCTTGTTGTGGATGACGAAGGCTTTACTTGGTGACTCGCCGCAAGTCGCGCTCGCGATCTCTGTCAAGTCCGAAGGCACGAGCCCAGGGCGGTCCAGTAGAGCATAGTTCCGCAAGAGGCTGTAGTCGTCGAGATCAGCGAGCAAATCGGCCTTAGTGCCGATAGCGGGGTCGTCATTCCCAGGCACAGCAATCCGACTGCAGAGAGCATCAAATGAGAAGTCATGAATCTCTTACCAGTTGGCGAAACCGGGAATCTCAGCATTGATATATGTTGCCCAGTCACGAATCTGCCTAATCAGGTGCGATGTTGGAAGCGAGAGAAGCATAGTGTCTACTACAGCCTCAGTCTAAAGGACGGTGTAAGAATGCTGTAGCCTGCAACGGACTACACAAAAAGTCAGTCACGTGACTTGAACGGTCGACTCCTCCTGACTCAGTCCAACAGGAAGCTTCAGTCCAAGAGAAGTCTGAAACACTCACTCGTCTGGACATCGCAGCCTTGACTCTGCATGAATCATAATACTGCTCCAAATCTCTTTTCATTTTTGCCCTCTCTGCTGCTTCTGGGGACTTCACTCGCATGGCTGCCTAGCCGAGTGTCGGAATTAGTCACTACCGACTTACTGCCACCTCTATAAAGCTAGGCCTCCAGTCCCCCTCGAGGCCTCCCTTGCATACAAAGACTTCTTGCACAATGCTCACCGAACGCACTGTCAACATGCCGCGTGCTACTCGCCCCTCAGCCCAAGCCATGCCCTCCGAGTACAACGACTCCATTAATCGTCGCTTCGGCCACGGCGGTTCACGCTTCGCTCCAACGAATGGACCAGACCGTTACTATATCCCGACCTTTACTGATGTGCACCGACAGCAGGAAAACGCTGACAGTGGCTTGTACGCCAGTGTCAGCGGCGGTTCACGCTTCACTCCAACGAATAGTCTGGACCGTTTCTATATCCCTACCTATGCTGAAATGCACAGACAGCAGCAAGCCGCCGAGAGTGGTCTGTATGCCAGTATCAGGGACACAGTGCTTGCGCCACCGCGGATGCCCCTGTCACAGCGCAGCTTGTCTTCCAGCACCAACAGCGACGACTCTATCCCACTGTACTCTGCTGCACAGTATGAAAGCGCCACGGTGAGACGCACTGGTGGCTACTGGACGACTATGCGCAGGCCTGCAGAAACGCCATCTGGTCGACCGACAGAGATCGCACCGTTGACGCCTCTGCGCCTGCCAGAGTATGAATCACTGCCTGTCTATGAGCAGCTGCCCGCTTACCCTGAAGAAACCCTTCCTGCTTATGGAGCTGCCGAAACGCCGACCTTCGTTTGAAGCCCTCATCTGTCGCTGCTGGTCTTTATAATCATGTCTACAGACATTTTCTTAGTCGCTTTTGTATATCAACCATTCATTTTAGCCTCTCCTTGTGTCACCCGCAACCCACACATAACATGTATTCCTACTCATGCGCTTTCTGTACCACCCGCTCTATACAAACTTCTTTTGGCTACGCTGCAAAGCCTATCAAGCTGGATCAGATCTCTGCGCCGACTCCTGGTGCATCCTTCTCGACAGCAGACAGCATCCTTATCCTGTTCCTCCTCATCCTACTCTTTTGTCTATGGATCACCATTCTTTCGCCATCAAGACTCCTCCCAGCTGCCTGCTACATCGACGAAGAGACGAGCCCAACGCTGGACAAGGTTCATGCATCGAGTGCGCAAGACAGTTCACTACAACAGCGCATATCAGACACTCTGGACCGCATCGAACTCCTGATCGAATCCGTCGAACGGCGCTTCTTGTCTGGACCAACACAGACCTCGTTCGATGAGGACCATCAACAGTACTGGCTTACAATACCCTCTTCCTTCTTTCTCTGCATACTCTTCAGACTAGTCTTGTGCGTCTCTTCAGATGCACGTCGCTTTCAGGGGCGGATACTCCTTCACGGTGGACTTCCCCGCTACGCCCTATGCGATCCGTGCAAGGAGTTGGCATACATGGAAGATGTCATGGCTGTGCCACCGTACACAGAACACGAAGATCCAGGAGACGTCATCATTGCCATTCACTAGTTTCATTTCTTTCGTTTTGTATAAAGGTCATGCTTTCACATCAGTGGTGGTTGCCATCGTTGAAGCATCAAGCTGCTAGTGATGATCCCCACACAGCTCATCGCCATGAGCCCACCTGCGAGTCCTGGTGGCAAATAGACAGCCGCGCCTGTAATGGGTACCAGTAATCCCATAGCGAGCGGTAAAGCCAACAAGTTCCAACCAAAGGCAAGCACCAGGTTGAGTTTGATGCGAGCGAGTGTTGCCTCCGCCAGTGCCAGTGCATGGACAAGTTTGACCAAGATGGCAGAATCCGCATCTTGACCAAGAATCACGACATCTGCAGAATCCACAGCCACTTGTGTGCCTGGCCCATGCATGGACACTGCAACATGCGCTTCACTTAATGCAAGACAGTCATTCACACCATCGCCCATCATGAGACACCTGCGACCTTGCGCTTGCAAGTCTGTCACAAATCGAGCTTTGTCTTGAAGTGAACACTGCGCGTATAAGTGATCAGGAGAGATGCCGAGTGACTTTGCAATCGGAGCTGCACATGCCTCTTCATCGCCGGTCAGTATCCAAACTTGTCTTGCTTCCTGCAACTTCGCCACGACTTGTTGAGCACCAGGGCGTAGTTGATCTTTGAGGCCTATGCTCAGGACATGTTGACTATCAACAGATACCAAAACGTTCGTATCGGTGTTGCCTTCGATGGCCGGCAAGCCAAGCAACAGATGATTGCCAACCTTCAACAAGCGATCTTGTATCTTACAAGCAATACCACGACCAGGCAGGTATTCAAATTCCTGTACCATGGGTAACGTTTCTGAGCTCAATTTCGCCACATGAGCAAGGATGGCAGCACCCAATGGATGCACAGCACCACTTGCCGATTCTGCAGCGGCAACCGCTCGCCACAACTCAAGCTGCTCAACTTGGCTCATTGGCGTGATAAACTTTGCCTCAGAGAGTGTAAACTCGCCGGTCGTCAGTGTTCGCGTCTTGTCAAAGATGATGTCTGTGACTTGCGTCATATGTTCAAGGACAGGTGCGCCTTTGATGAGGATGCCGAGGGATGCTGCTTTACCCGTGCCAACCATGACAGCTGCTGGCGTAGCGACAACCAAAGCACACGGACAACTTGCAACGATGACGGCAATAGCGAATCGCAAGCTATCATAGAAATGGCCACGAGATTTGTGCAGATAGCGTGTAGGGTCCATAACATACCAAGCAATGAAGGTGATGAGCGACAAGATCACAACACAGGGCGTGAAAATGGCAGCGACGCGATCAGCGAGTGATTGTACATTTGCCTTTTCGCCGGTCTGAGCATCAGAGACGAGTTTGATGATTTGCTGTAGCTGAGTCATTTGGCCTGCGAATTTTACTTTGCAGACGATGCTTCCATTGAGATTGCGAGTACCTGCAACTACCAGGTCATCTTTTTGTTTTGGCCGAGGGATACTTTCACCAGTCAGCATACTTTCATCAAAATCGCCTTGACCAGAAATGACAATCGCATCTGCTGGAACAATCGTTCCTGGATGGAGCACAATGATATCTCCCACCGTCAGAGCATCGACTGGTACCGTGACCTCACGCTCATTGCGAACAACAACAGCTGTATCTGGAGCAAGCTTAACAAGCGCAGCCATGGCTTCTGTTGTGCTACCCGTGGCACTTGCCTCAAGCCAGCGACCAAAAAGAACAAATGTGACGAGTTCAGCAGATGTCTCGAACAGCGTCTCGGGTCTCTTGTGAGGTTTTGCGGTCGCCATGGCGAAGATGGAGTAGAGGTACGAAACACTCATACCCAGCGTGATGAGCGTATCGGCGTTGGTCTCGAAGCGACGCAGAGCTGACCAAGTGAATTGGTAGAAGCGTCTGGCGCAATAAAATTGAAGCGGCGTCGTCAGTATGAGGAGAACCAAATCAAAGAGGAACAGTCGAGGGGTGATCTCAAACTGCAATCCATTCTTGCCAAAGAGCGGAAGGATCGTGCTGATGAAAATAACAGGAATGGACAGAACGAGAGAAAAAAAGAAGTTGCGTTGAAACTCCTTCACTTCATCGGCCTTGCCAAGCGAGCGAAGCATCTCTTCCTGAGATTCGGTCGCCACCGAGCATTTGTATCCAGCTGCTTCAATCGCCTTCTGAAGTGCCGCCCCTGACAGCAGGTGGCCCTCATAATCCACAGTCAGCTGACAGGTGGTATAATTGACAGTGTTGCTCGCGACCCCTGGAATGCGCTTGACAACCGCATCTACGCTAGCGGCACAACCTGCACAATCCATGCCTTGCACAACAAAGAGGACGCGCTCATAGATATTTGAGAATTGCGATAGAAGTGGAGTGGATGCATCGGTCTTCTCCTTGCGCGGACTCAGGCTTGGCATCGACGCTGACGGCGCAGCAGGTGCACAAGACTTGCCGCTACAACAAGTTGTTGCGCTTTTGATTGGCGGAGGCACAGCTTGTGTCGCTGGTCCACAGGGCTTGCTGCAGCATCCAGTCATGCTTGATGGCTGACAATAATGCGTGGTATCACAGCAGATTGTCGAATCTGAAGGCTTGGAGTCCTATCAATATCGCGCTTTGAGATCGATGGGCCGGGACTCGGGTTTCACATTGTGTCACAAATAAATCAACTCGATGGCGCTCTACTTACCGCGGAGAAAACCCTTGAGAACTTCGATCTGACGGTGCACGACCAGCGACAGGGCCAAAGACAAAGTCGTCTCCCACAAAGTCCGCCCATAGCGCTTTAGCAGAAGCATTGTTGATCATAAAGTCCATGTCGAAATCCATAGTACCGCCCTCGAGATTGTCCACTTTGGCTTCGCTTGGATGCATGAGTGGAATGCGCTCTTCAACATCTCGCACAACTTCTTCAAATGACTCGAGAATGACTGCAGATGCGGGACACCGTGTTTGCATACCAACAAGCATGTCTTCCACTGTTCGTCGCATGCTTGCAAACTCCACTCGTACCTTTTCTTCATCCCAATCGCTTTGTAGTAAAGCGTACAGAAACGAGGAAGCAGCGACGTGAGAATTGTGAATAGCGAGCCAGATGAAGTTGACGGCGTCAATCCGCCATAGTGCGCTGTATGCATCAATAATAGCCTTTGCTGATGCTAGGACAACATCCACGGTAATGCTCAAATTTGCCGAAAAGCCATGCAACAAGAGCAAGGTCTGGTCATAATTGAGTTTGAGAAACATGGGTTGAAAATCGCTTCCACCTTCCTGAGGCGTCTTGGGCCGTTCAAACTCCCATTGTTGTAGTCTGGCATGCATATCCGAGCGCCAAAAGTCCAGAGTCGCGTATTGGCGAGGTAGTGTGTCAGAGTGGTGTAGAATGCGCTGTATCTCGCTCTGCAGTATTCGCAACTTGCAAAAGTACAGCGGCGTTCGTTCCATGCGGGGCGGAAAGGGAATGTGGATGACATTGTCTGTGATTAGCGTGTGGAGCCAAGAAGATCAATCTCTCACCTGAGATGGCTACAGGCCTGCTCAGATAGACGCAAATCTGTCGCTCCAGCGAGTAGAAGGCCCAGAATGAGCGACACTTCTCTTCATCTTCATCAGACATCTGTCCTTGCTCATCACGTTTTGGTTGGAAGGATTCCAGTGCGAGATCCGTAATGAGGCGCGAGGCGATACCAAGTGTGTACCAGATGCCTGGAGTACTGGGCCTATTAGTCCCGTAAACTGACAAGAGCAGCATAGCCTGAAGACTCAGCAGGCGTGGAGCGGTCTTGAAGACCAGCGGCAAATAGAGCATGGCCGATGCATGATGCCTTTCAGTAAGGGTATCTGACGGTGTCTTTGCCAGAGCAATTGCAGCGATAATGTGCACAAAAAAGCGACTCACTTTTTCTGTGGCACCATGCTTGCCATACACATTCTGAATGAACACTTCGGTCGCTTCGTGCGATAAGATGTATACTTGAGGATTCGAATGATTCATGTAAACTTGTCGCAGTCGTAGCATCTCGCCGTAAACCGGTAGATTGGCCGGGGACATGACCCCTTCCTTGGGCTGTTCCAGGATGTTTTGATGCGTTGGCGTCGATACTGCAGTAAACATCATCTTCGCAAAGGAGAGCTGCTTGTCAGCTTCGGCCGCTTCTATGGCAGGTGAAGCCAGTGGCCGAGATGTACCACCTGTGCTGGCTGAATCACTGCGACGGTGTCGGTCTCCCAACAAAGGCGATACCGGCCCCGTACCTGACTGCGTCTCTGCCAACTGTCGCTCGAGCGCAGCAACCTTCTCCTCGAGATGTGCGACATAGCTTCGAGGGATGTTTCTCCCAGTGGCAGGATCCAATGCCTCACACTGCAGGCCTGCCTTGGCACACGAACCGCTGTGGTTAGTACACGTCTCTTTACATCTGTTGAGCTGACCATTGCGGGAATGTGCGATCGCATTTCGTCTTTCTGCTTCTGCAGCGAGAGCAGGCTGTGATTGCCCTATTGAGAGGCTCCGACATGGTCAAAGAGCTGAGCAGCAATTAGGCGCATAGGATGTGCAATTGAGTAGGCAGTCGTCGGGCCTTGTGGAGTTTGTGATTGATCAAAAAGTCAAAATCTCAGGAACACAAGAAACGGCCGATAGATCAAGACACTAGCTACACACTGAGTTACTCCCAGGGATTCTCCTCATGCTGCCGTTTAAAGTCAAGGAGAGACTCTTTGATCTTCTTCCGTGCCTGCGTGACCTTACTCTCCTCGTCTGAGCTGTCCGACGCATCTTCTGCATCATCCGTTGTGAGTATCCGAGATTCGCTTCTGCCAGTCGGATCAGCGTTAGGCTTGGCTTTCTTCTGCTCATCAGCGATGTTAACATGAGGGTCTGGTAGTCTGACGAAACGATGCAAGTCGTCGTCATTCTCGGTACCGATTGGGCCACCTTCTTTCCGGAGTCGCATTCTTTCCCGCTCCTCCCATGCTGGATCCTCAACTTGCAAATCTCGAATCTCCTCAATACGCGAGGGATATGATTGTAATGTGAGCTTCTTCTTACCCTTGTGCATCGCTCCTGATTCGGCGCCTGTTGGCGCTTGCCTCAGAACGGCCTGGTGTGAAGAAGTGCTCGCTTGAAAATGACTGCCCCGTCTCGCTTTGCTCAATGTACCTTTCCGTTGTACCTCAACAACCGGGAAGTTGTAGTCGCCAAATTCCATTTCTCTTGCCTTGTTAAACAAAGCCTCATCTTCATCATCAATCTCTAAATTTATCGGCGGAGGCGCATTCCAGTGCTTCACCTGAGCAAATGCGTCATGGCGCTGCTCAGCATCAGGCATTTTGAGACTTGTGTAGCCGTCGCCTGCCACCCGACTCAACAGGGGTGTCTTTGCTGTTGTCTGACCGGGTTGAGGAATCCAGTGCTTGCCCTTGCCACCACGTTCATAGCGAAGACCTTCCTTGATGCGCGACAGACGGTCTGAGTCTGCGTGCGCCATGACATTTTCTGAAGGGTCAAAAAGCTGATAGTCATATCCCTTGCCAAATAGCGTTTCCTTGGTATCAACCATCAAATCCCCGGCACCAAATGCATCGCGTGCAGCATAGAGGATTGTCATTCGCGAAGAACCAATCGTCGGATCTGCGTAATCACTCACACTGAACGCATACCAGTGCGCTAGAGCAAAGAAGGGCATCTCGAAGCACGTCAATAAATCTTGGATAGCCACACTGATGTTGTCTGCCGAATAGCCGGGGCTGTCGGGAATGAAGCCAGCAGCTACCAACAGAGAAAGTGCGAAGCCTTGCCAGTACGAGGCAAAGATGACAAGCTTGATGACGAGAAATTTGGGGACCGGCCTGAATGGGACAAGGTCGTCGTGCAGGCAAACCCAAAACATGGCAAGGCAGTATAGCGAAATCGTAATACTGACATTGTAGAGCAGACCAGACCAGAAGTAACCTGAGCTCAGGCCAATGTAGCCCTCTTGGAATGTTCCAGTGGCTTTCATGATGACAGTTGCCAAGGCCAATGCTGGCTTGAGCCATGCATACTGTAGGATCCCACGCTTGATGGTCAAAAAGGTGTAAGGGTCGCTAATATCGACCTTGCTGCAGCAGTAGCGCATCGGCCATGGATGCGCCTTGGGTGCTCGACCATGTGTCATGATGATGATGCTACGCTCACCACCAAGATAATTGACCAGCAAGTTGAAGAAGCAATAGATGACGAACGCCTCATAAACATCCCTGATTGGATCGATAAAGTCAGCTGCAGTGAAGCTCAGTAGCGAGCACCATGAAGCAATAGCATAGAGTGGTACCATCAGCATGATGCGTACGACATAGCGCTGCATGATTGGCTTGCGATACTGCTTTAGATGCGTCCAGAGCGATATTATAGAAACGAATGTAGAGAAGATGCTAGCGCATCCTGCAGCAACGAGCGGCCATGTCTGGTCGCTTAGTCTTCCGCTAGAGCCAGAGCCAGGCCCGCCCATTCAATGACGGTCAAGAAGGCCAGCAGCGGCTTTGAAGCAATTGTGGTTGGAAGTGTAGAAGTGGATGCACGGCCGCATCTGTGTCCAACTGGCGAACGACCAAAAAACTTCCAAGACCTGAAGCACCAGATCACTTGCTCCAGGCATCCTGTAGACAGATGCCGCCTAAGAAGGGAAAGAAGAAGCAGGTCGACGACGACTGGGAGAATGAGCTCGGCGAAGATCTCGCTGCCGCTCCTGCAGCCTCCGCACCTGTAGAAGCGCCCGCCGACGATGACGACCTTGGTGGCGGCTTAATGGGTCAGCTTGGTAAGGGCAAAAAGGGAAAGAAGTCTAAGAAGAAGCAGCAGGATGATGATTGGGAAGCTGAACTTGGCGAAGACTTGACTGCGCCTGCGCCTGCTGAGCTAGAGGAAGAGCAAGAAGAGGTACCTGCAAAACCTCAGAAGAAAGATCCGACGCCTGAACTTGCGGTCGACGATGATGAACCTCCTGCAGAATTCAAGGTAAAGACGAAGGCCGAGAAGGAGCGTGAAATGAAGGAGCGTGAAAAGGCAAAGAAGAAGGCCCAAGCTGAGCGGAAAAAGGCTGCTGCGGTGGACACAAAGCTTGAGACTACACAGGCGACACCCGCTGCGGAGCCCAAGACTACAGCTGAAGCGGCAAAGGGCAAGAAGCCAAACGCCAAGGTCTTAGCATTGCAAAAGGCACTCGAGGCGCGCAAGAAGGAAGAGGAGCGCATTGCCGCTGAATATGCAGCTGAACAAGCTCGTGTGGATGCTGAAAATGCCGCCATTGAAGAGGAAGAACGCAAAAAGGAAGAGGCTAAGCAACGGAAGAAGGACAAGGAGCGTGCCAAAATTGCTGAACAAAAAGCTGCCGGTACATTCATGTCGAAGAAGCAAAAGGAGGCGGCTGCTATCGCTGAACGGCGGCGGCAGGATATGCTTGATGCTGGTATGGTCGTGGAGGGTCTGCAGGGCGATGTGCCAAAGAAGCGGCCAGTCTATGACAATCGCAGGAAGAAGCGTGGACCGGTTGCAGATGCGACCAAGCAGATGGAGACCTTGAGTGTCAAAGAGGAGCCGAAGAAGGTAGTCGAGCAAGCGCCTGAACCAGCAAAGCCTGACGAAAAGGCAGAAGAGAGTGATGGCGCACTCGATAGCTGGGAAGCAGCTCTTGACTCTGACAATGAAGTCAAGGCATCTTGGGAGGCAGAGAGCGAACCAGAAACCGAAGCTAGACCAGCGGGGGCACCAGCAGCTGAATCTGAGAGCGAGGAAGAGAGTGACAGCGACAGTGGCAGCGAAGACGACAGCGATGAGGACAGCGACAGCAGCGAAGAGCAAATGTCAGCTGCTCAGCAAGCTGCAGCGAAGCGGCGTGCAGAAGCAAATGTGGCCAAGGAGAAGCGTATTGCAGATGCCAAGGCAGCGCGGTCTAAGGACGACTTGCGATCGCCGATTTGCTGCATCATGGGCCACGTTGACACAGGCAAGACGTCGCTCCTTGATCGCATCCGCCAGACCAATGTCCAAGGTGGCGAAGCTGGTGGTATCACGCAACAAATTGGTGCTACATACTTCCCAATGGAGAACATCATCAAGAAGTGTGCGGTTCTCGAGAGTGCCAAGGACTTTGATTACAAGCTACCTGGTCTGCTTGTCATCGATACACCCGGTCACGAGTCTTTCTCGAACTTGCGATCTCGTGGAAGCTCGCTGTGTAATATTGCCATCTTGGTCATTGATATCATGCATGGTCTTGAGCCGCAGACGCTTGAGTCCATCAAGCTCTTGAAGGACAAAAAGACGCCCTTCATTGTCGCACTCAATAAGATCGATCGTCTCTACGCCTGGCAGCCCATCAAGGATAATGGCTTCCGAGAGTCCTTGTCACAGCAAAAGAAGGCCGTCAAAAATGAGTTTGACGACAGGCTGCAAAAAACAAAGCTTGCGCTTGCTGAGCAAGGTCTCAACTCTGAGCTGTACTATGACAACAAGAAGCCTGGTCAAGTCGTCTCCCTTGTGCCAACGTCGGCCTTCACTGGCGAAGGTATTCCTGACCTGCTGCAGCTGCTCGTCACGCTCACCCAGAACCGTATGACAGAGAAGCTCATGTACGTCTCAGAGCTTGAGTGTACTGTACTCGAGGTCAAGGTCATTGAAGGTCTTGGAACTACGATTGATGTGGTTGTCGTCAATGGAGTGCTTCGCGAGGGTGATCGCATCGTTGTGTCTGGCCTCAATGGGCCCATCTTCACAACAATCCGAGCAATTTTGACGCCCCAGCCCCTCAAGGAGCTTCGTATCAAGGGCACTTATGTCCACCACAAGGAAGTCAAGGCCGCCCTCGGTGTCAAGATTGCTGCCAACGATCTCGAAAAGGCCATTGCTGGTTCTCGCATGCTTCGTGTCGAGCCGGGAGATGACGAGGAAGAGCTCAAAGAGGAAGTCATGGAAGATCTGCAAGACTTGCTGGAATCGATCGATCGCTCTGGTGTTGGTGTCTATGTGCAAGCCTCTACGCTCGGTGCGCTCGAGGCTCTACTCGAATTCCTCAAGACGAGCAAGATTCCTGTCAGTGGCATTAACATTGGCCCTGTTTACAAGCGGGATGTCATGCGAGCTGCAACCATGCTCGAAAAGGCAAAAGAGTATGCAGTCATGCTGTGCTTTGATGTTGAGATCGACAAGGATGCGCAGCTCATGGCTGACCAGCTCGGTGTCACTGTCTTCTCCGCCGACATCATCTACCATCTCTTTGACTCCTTCACCGCACATCGTGCCAAGGCCCTCGAACAGAAGCGTCAGGACGGTGCTGCAACTGCAGTCTTCCCATGTGTTCTAAAGACTATTGCAGTCTTCAACAAGAAGGATCCAATTGTGCTTGGTATCGATGTCATGGAAGGGGCGTTGCGACCAGGCACTCCCATCTGCGCTGTTCGTACAATGCCCTCTGGCGAGCGGGAGATTGTTGATGTTGGCAAAGTCATGTCTATGGAGAAGGAGCACAAGGCCGTTGACATTGCACGGAAGGGCGCTGGCGGTACTGCCATTGCTGTGAAGCTCGAAATGGCAAACCAGCCTTTGTTCGGCAGGCATGTCGAGCAGACTGATTTGCTCTACTCTCACATAACCCGCAAGAGCATTGACACTCTCAAGGGCGAGGCCTTCAGAGAAGGCGTTTCAAGAGAAGAATGGGCGCTGATTGTGAAGCTGAAGAAGACGTTTGGCATTTAAACTGCATAGTATAAAATCGATTCTTGATGCTTGACTGGTTCGTGAGACTACCTGCAAGGTGCAAAAAGGGGCACACATCAAGGAGACACAAGTCAGGGGACGTTTTCGAGAGAGACTGGCGAAAAGTGCTCCTGGCGAGATTTGAACTCGCGGTATCCATGTTTTCCTCAACTTCAGGGTAAAACATAAGCATGGCGCATTAACCACTATGCTACAGGAGCGGTTCGAACTGAAGACCGCGGGAAAGAATCAACCGCTAATCTAAGCGTGTTTCGTCAGCACCTATGTTCAGACACTATATATAGTCAAAAAAAAGCGAAATCCGCGAAATTTGCTCAAATCGTCCTGTATAGCCCTTGTATGTTGTTATAGAAGCATCGAGTGCTGCTTGAGAACAGTCTATACTTTATTTTGATGCGGCCTGTGTCTATCGGGGTGCAGATGGCCGTGCTCTATTTCCGGCGCGGCAGATCCTGAGCCTTGGAAATTTTCGTCGCATGACATAGCGTCATTGATGAACATCCCGACGGCTAGCTGCCGCAACTGCTCCATCTCTCAAACTTCCAAGTCTCTGCTTCATTAGTGTAGTTCTTACCCTTTCAGCTTGTTCTTTTAGTAGAAAGAGAGCCACATCATGCGCGTCTCATTACCGTTCGCGCTGAACTTGCTAGGTGCTACATTCGCTCAAAGTGCATCATCATCAGGCAGCAGTGCCAGCGGTGACCGCTCGAGCGGTTCTTCGATCGCAAGCTCACGCTCAAGTGGTATATCGGGATCTTCTCTGAGTCGTTCAGCCAGTGCTTCCAGTTTTGCCGACTCCAGTTCAAGGGGATTGTCGTCCGTTTCACAAAGCGTCGGGCCCGGTGCGTTCCCTGTGCCAACAAGTAGCAGCAGCATTGCTTCTTCTTCTGCAATCAAATCGACGTCGACTAGCACAAGCATCATTCTGATTGCAGTGACGCCTGATGGTACGGATGCTGCGTCAACGGCGGCTGTCGTTCAACAAGTCGTGGTTATCATTGACGGTCTCAGCCAAACTACACAGACAAGTCTGTTCACTAGAAGAACAACTGTAACGCCCGAGCTTTCAACAATCACGGAGACAGAGGATAGCGCAACAAGCACGCCTGCGCCGACTTTTGCACAACCCACTAATGGCGGAGTGTTGTCCACGTCTTCTGTCGTCGTTGTTATTGACGGCCAGGGAAATATTGTAGTCGGCCCGGATGGACAGACAATGACACGGGAAAGGCGGACGTCAACGAGGCAAATTGTGGTAACTGTGTTTCCATCTTCTACGGCAGCAGCAGGTGCAGCAGGCGGGCCCCAACTGGTGACGGGAAATTTAGGCACGGCAAGATATGGCTCAATCAGCGGCATACTCTGTCTATTGGGCTTGCTGCCTCTTGCGGTTGTGGTGTTTTAGAGCATGATTGCTGGCGGCGACATCCTCAATTTTGATTTTGTTGACGTTCGCGACTTTTTAGTCCTTTTTGTAGACTAAAGAAGCACACCTTTGCCCATATGCCCTTTGCTTCGCAGGCCGTTAGGCTATTCTATGGAGATACACAGACTAAGCAGCTGCCACCACTCAAGCGAAAGACACAGGACATTGTAGTGCCTGTTCCAAAGAAGCGCAAGGTCATTGTTGATGCCGCCAAAGCGACGACGACTAGTGATCAACGCATTGCAGTAAAACGTCCTACAAGTGCTATACAGCCTGGAGCGCCTAGAGATGAAGTCAGCAAGCTTTTTGAACCTGTGAACAACTCTTTACAAGGTACTGGAAGGGAACATCGCCGAAAGCGAGATCGAACAAGTAGCTTACCTGCTGCAATACCAAGCGTTGCACCCAAAGCAAAAGTAGGAAGTTCGGGGACTCTTTCATGCTATCAGTGTGGATCTACAAAGACGTACGCATGGCGGCATGATGCAGAAGGGAACAAGATTTGCGATACTTGTCGCTCAAGAAACCGTTCACGCGAGCAAAAAGAACAAACAAGGGCAGTTACGAAAGCGCCTATCGTACGAGAGTCTAAGCGTGCCAAGTCGCCGTCTGAACGCATGATTACTAGACGATTGAGTGCTTCTCAACCAACGACCGAAGCATCGCGGTCTCCAAGCGTCGAAACGCGCTCTGGCAAAAAGGTAAAGCAGGACCAGTCACGCCCTAAACGTGAAGATCCGCCAATTGTTGAAAAGCGATCAAGTAGGGCGGTCAAGCGATCATCTGCACCAAAGCGTGCTGCAAGTCCAAGTCCTGTGCTGCGTTCGTCAAGGCGCAAACAAGCCAAAACAGAGTCTCCTGAGCCCGCCGCATCACCCTCAGAACCCAGGCGATCTGGTAGGGCATTGAAAAGAACGCAGGCAAATACAGCAAGGATAGACACTTCTCCACCAATTTCACCTACAGATAGCGCAAAGCGTGTCAAGGTTGTTGCAGAGAAGCCAGAGGGGCCGTCATCAAGCACGGCTGATACCTCCACTTCTATTCCGGCTGTCAAGGGAAATACTACCGGCGACTCGAAACAAGTAGTGGACCACGATGATGGTGTCAAGCGATGTACTGACTGTGGGGGAACGCATACAGCTGGTACTTGGCGCAAGGAGAGCTCTGGAGGCATTCTGTGCAATCGATGCATGGTTCGTCGATGGCGTGCAAGCAAGGGCAGACCAGTCTTTTCAAAGATCAAAGACGATGTGGAAACGAGTGGTTCGAGCTCACGACGATCGTCGCTCAAGGACACCTCGACTCCTGTTATACAATCGACGTATGGTACGCGTGCTCGGTCAAGCAAGAAGTCTTATTCGCCGGAGGACACACCAGCCCAGAGCACACGACCCAGGAAGCGTGCGGCGAGCCAAGTCAGCAAGTCGCCACCCACACGACTGCCCACACCACCCACCACTCGCTCCGCAACGACCACTTCGCCATACTCATTCCGCAAGTCTCCAGCAAAGACGTTTAAAAGCACAGCAGCTGATGATGGACAGCCTCAGCAGTCGAGTCGAAGCAAGACAATCCGGGCGAGCGCGAAAGAATCAGGATCGAAAGACAACCGCAGTCAGAATGCGCCGGCCATCAACACGCGCAAAGCCGTTTCCACTACGGGCGGGGACACGAAAAGGCCTGAAAGCCCAAAGACGGCTCCTGTCACTCAAGTCGAAAGCACAAAGACCGATCAAGCACTGCCACGTCTTGCGCTCTTTCCCTTGCCACCAACCTCACCTCAATCTGCCCCACCAACAGCTCAACCCAGTCAAGTCAATCAAGTTCTGGGACCTTCCAGACCTGCTTCTGTACCTGCAAAGTATCAATCTCTAGAGACGCGAGACGATGTCTCCTTCGAGGTGGCTTTACGCTTGAAACGTGCACGCCAAGAACAACAAGAACGCAACGAGAGGCGCGAACTCAATATCTTGCCAGCGCCTGAACATCTCAAGCATCAGCAACGTCAGGCATGGAAAGTGAGACCGCAGACGCCACAGGAATCGGCCACAATTCCAAAACTGACCGGTGACAGGGAGAGTCCTACAAGTCAAGAGCCCGACGATGCACCTCCACAAGGAAGACGCCCGTTCATCACGTACAACGGTACAAGTGGGTGAACAAGACGCTTGATGCCAAGAAGACATAGAATCCAGCAATGGAGATGTGTTCTAGAGGTCACTGCCTCGATATCTGGAGCACAAGGGTGGACTGCCGACTTGTCGTGCTACTTCGAAGCTTGCTAGTATCTGTTACAATGATGTGATCTTCTTGAAATTCTCGCAGAGTATAGTGAAGCTATCCACTACTGATTGTCCTTCTTCATATGTCTCTGTGAGCTATAGTTGTCGAGAAAAGGAAGAAATAACAGTCATAAATCGATCAAAAAAATGAGTTTCAAAATATATGATATCAAAACATCTTGTTTGCCGATTGGGGCTGTAGCTCAGTTGGTAGAGCGCTTGCTTAGCGTGCATGAGGTCTAGATTTCGATTATCTACTGCTCCATTCTTTTTTGAACTTTCATATTTTGTACTTTGATACTTGGGTCTATAGTTTGGAGCGGTACGATCTGCTTCTAATACTGCATTGCTGGTACAAAAGCATACTACACTTCATAACATCATTACGTCTCCGTCTCTTCCTTGATCGTCTGCGAAGCGCGGGAAGAACGTCGTTTCGAAATACGCCTCGGTGCAATGACAGCGACGTCAGGCACGGTGAGCAACGTCGCATTCGCCTCTGATGAGGTCTGAGAATCTGCATGTGAGCCGGCATCCGAAAGCGGTGTCGCCTCCTTTGGCTCCACCACCATCACTTCCGGTCTATGCGCATGAATCGCTTCCGTCAAAAGCGAGCGTGGTGCTGTCATTGGCATTGTAGCAGCAGTTGATTGCCCAGACTGCATGGCATCCTTGCACGAATCTGTCAATTGGAAGCCTTGCATTTTGAATTGCTCAATCACATTCTGCAAGGCTGCTTCATTGCCTGCCTGTGCGCCAACCGCTGCGGGACTTCCCAAGATTGCATCGACTGCTGCTAGACTGCCGAACGCGGAATGATGACCGTGTTGCGTGCTGATTGTAAGACCACCTGACGCTGTTGGATGGACACTTGCAAAGAGTGCAATACCAAAGCATAGGACCATGATGACTGCATTGCCTCGACCTGATTGCTTCGTGGCTGTCGATGATGTCGCTTCCTTGTCCTTGGTCGAGCCCTTTAGAGTGACTGGAGGCTGTCGTAGGGCTACTTGTCGAAGATACTCTTCCGCAGCGACTGGATCTGCCAAAATTTGAGATTTCTTCAGAGCCCCACGAGGCGAAAACCCGGTCGGCGCAGCTTTGAGCTTTGCCAGGGAAGATTGCTCAGCTTCTGATTGAGCTGATCGGGTTGCTGAAACGGCAAGCTTTGCCACCTGTGATTCCTTTGTCGTTGTGCTATCATCCTTGATGCCATACTTGTTGAGTAAAGCTTGCATTCGCGCCATTTCGGCTTGTAGCCGGCTATTCTCCTTCTTCAAGGATGCAGCGTCTTGTTCCATTTCTGCCAATGTCGCTTCCAAACGAATGACATGCTCTCGTTTACGCTCCCTTGATGCCAAAGCAGCTGCACGATTCCGCATCAGTCGATCTTGCCGCCTCATGACACTTGCATCGTTGTCACCATTCTCATCCTGCCCACCAGATGGCGAATGTCCCTGCGTCTCCTCTACCTTAACTTCTTGAGTTTCCTGCGCCATGACCGTTGCATTGGAAACACTCCGCTTATGCCCTGATTTTGTCAAACTTGCAGCTTTCCGTGGAGCAGACTCTGAAGCGCGTCTTTTCGGTGAGCGTTCCTGTGCATCGCTGCAAAAGACGGGATCTCGCTCATCCGTCGCAACACTGCCACACGCTGAACTCGTCGCACTCAATGATGATCGTTCTTGCGGGAGTGACGGTGGTGCGATGTGAGAGAGGGAAAAAGCGGCTGGTGCGGCAACTGTACTGATGGGGTTCATTTGACGTTGCTTCTCAGCTGGCCAACTTCCCGGCAGTCGTTCTGCCGTGATTGTTGCAGCTGTTGTATAGTGATTGAGTGGATTGACATGCATCTGCTCCAGTGAATCCACCACACTCGCGTCCCAGCTCGTCCCTAGCGATCCGCTCAGTTGCGCCAACTGTTGGATATCAGCCATATGCTCATCTTGTGTGCGCGGCGCTAAAGGTAGGCCATGGACACTATTGGTCATATCCATTTCTTGCTCTTCGCTGGAAGGGCTATTGACTTCGCACTGGTTGAGGGTATCGTATTCGTCTGCGAAAGCGTTGCCGGCCATGTCATCTAGGTTGACAAAGGCATCCATTGTGTCTGTCATGGGTGTGCGATAAGCCCTGGTGTAGAAGATGTTATGAGCCCTTGTTGTGCAATACGGACTGAGGCTTCTAGCGGGGTATAGCTGTGTTGGTTGAGGGATAGGGGATGGAGGGAGCTCGGGCCGGTGTAGGATGACTTGAGACCTTGGTTTGGTCCTGGTTTGCTTCGCCCGCACGCCAAGAGAGACACGACCAGATCCCCTGTGGCGCGGGCAGCAGAGGGCCAGAGCCAAGGAGCAGTATAGAAAGTGTCTATGGAGATTGCCAAGACGCAGTATAGAATGTGTATAGACAGCTGCAATACATGTAGACTGGACTGCTGTTCCAGCCAAGGGCCCAGGTCCAGAGACAAGATGCGACCTGCCTGAGCACAAGCCTTGGGCGCGGAAGGGGTCCACGCGAAGCTCGAGCCTAATCACGCACGGGCACATAAACCGAGCTTTATTCATGTATCGATACCAGGTATTGCTATCTTTGCTCATCCTGTGGAATGACTGATGCACAGCAACATAGGATGGATATCAATATGCTAAGAACATCCCTGCTGAGATTGTTCGCTTTCGGCAGGCAACAAGGTTCGACAGCCCAAAGAGAAGCGACGGGGCCATTCATGCCTCTCACTTTAAACAGAAGGCCATCATGTTTATGAATGCGATATTGGATCTAGGAACTGTAGCCTGTAGGCAGTCTTCGTGCTATTAGCTCAATAGATGCGTCCTATTGCGGATGAGTTGCATCATGGAGATAAGCTCACCAGACCAATCAAGAGCGCCATTTTTAGACCGTGCGTGGGCACTGCTTGCTCTCCAAGGCCAGTAGTAGTGGTATATTCTTTTGACTGGTAAACCAGACAGCAGAGACGAGGTATACAGCATACTGTTCTTGTCCAATGCTATCATCTGCAGCCGACTGTCCAGCAAATGTCTTCTACAGGTCTACTATTTCCCTCCTTCACCTCCAACTGAGCCACATCTCCCCCACGCCGGCTAAATTGGGCAACGGCAAGCGAGATCTGGCGTCCCATCTGAGCAGGCGCAGACTCGCGACATTCATGCTATCAAGGGATCATACTCCAGCTAGATTTGGCCTGCTCATTGTCATCAAGCTCGGACTCTGGTAGATGCCCTCTCGAGATCTTCTATAGCTCCAACTATGCGCTGCATCGAGTGCGGTGCCGCTGTGGACTCGCTCTACACGGAATACGCCAAGGACAATTTTCGTCTTACTCAATGCGTATGAACGGCTCCTAGCTGTCAAAGAAGTCTTTTGATGCTGACTCGTCACTAGCCGCGCTGTCTACGCTTTGCAGACAAGTATGTCGAATTTGACTATGTCATTTTGACGATTGACACGATGCTCATCAAGCCGCAAGTGTATCGGCATCTGCTCTTCAATACACTTGCCAGAGAAGATGACAAGCTCGATGTAAATTGCTGTCTCTTATAAACCAATTAACAAAAAAAGCCTAGCACGCGCAGACTGGGCATACTTTTGCTTCTTTTCGAAGTTTGTAAGAACACCGCTTCCAGCTCGACAGTAGCTGACGCTAGATCTGACGTGGTTTCGAGTGGAACGGACCTCGCTTGCATCAACGACCACGACGAATCTCCTCATTGATGAATCGTTGATGGTCCAGTATGGCTACTTCTTCGTCTATGTGCTCCTCTCCACACTGGCACTGCATGTTGCAGCCATTAGCCTGGCACGCGTACTGTGTAATTGGCGAAAGCCTCACATGGTCAGTACTGCCTTGTTCCTCAGTAGTTGCGTCAAGCTCCTACCTGTCCTTATGGTCATTTGGAATTATGACTCCCGCACCGCAGAGGCACTTGTCGAATGTGCCATGGTCGCCTACAATATTGAAGCACTTCGGAGTACGCAATTCCTCCTTATTTCATCAAAACGTTGAGTCATCTGCTAACAGTTTCTACCAAAGTACTACTAGAATGCGGCGTCTTGACAGCTACCGTCATTGCAGTCTTGAGTACACTTGTGAGGCTTGCTGCCTGTGCGCTTCTGTTGCGTGTGACTCGCCTTGGTTCCCAGCCATATTTCGCATAGCTCCTTCATCTCTGTATCGACATCATTTCATGACATTGCCATCGCTTCATCAACTGCTCTTTTGATAGTGCTCATTCGCCTTTCGTGGCGCGACAAGTGGATGCAATTGTGCCATGTATGTGAGCATCCACATGAGATACATTGATACCAGCGTCAATATAGAAGTCATGCGCCAGACACTGTTATTATCGTTAGAAATACATCTTGAGAGAAGATGGACATGGCTCGCCAGGATGACACTTACGTTTGATTGTCGCCTTTCGGGCTAAAGACATAGCAGACTGCACAGAGTGCTGCGATGACCGCTGCGACGAGAAGAACAGTCAGACCAGACATGGCAACCTGACAGTACACACCCCGGGAACCGACAGGAAGGAGAGCAGCACTCAGGCAAGATGTGTCGGCGAGTGTGGTTGACGTCGGGTTGCATGTGTGAGTTGACAAGTGCGCAAGAATCGAAATCGGGGACAAGACCAAGAGTACAAAAGTACAAAGTACACAAGGCCTTTTGACCATTCTACGCAATCATGTTCAGACACGGCCTCACAAAGCAGTCTGTTCGTCAAGCATCCAGGCAATTCGCCAGGAACGAATCTTCTTCAGCCACGCAAAAGGCCTCCGAGGCCGCTGGTCAAGCGTCCGCAAAGGCAACCGAGACGGCTCAAGCAGCAAAGCAAAAGGCAAGTGAAGCCGCTGGTGCTGCTCAGGAAAAGGCATCACAGGCAGCAGCCAAGGCTGGTGCGGTTCTGTCATCTGCTGGTGCGCGTGTGTCTGGTGCCACCCGCGGCTTGATGGGCTTGCAGGAACCTGTTGTCTATTACGCAAAAGTCGTAGGTCAGCTTGCTAAGCAGGTGTACCTCAAGGAAGGTATGGCGCCGCCTAGCATGGCTCAATTTGAGCAAGTTGCCAAGAATATCGTGTCCAACGGAACGTCACCCAAGGGTCTTTCATCGCTCGTCGGACAACTTCGGGGCCTCAAGACTGGTGAGATGATTAAGCTCGGTGCTGATGGTCTCGTCATCTACGGCTTCTTCTGCATCGGAGAGATGATTGGTCGTCGCAACTTGGTTGGCTACGATGTCTAGAGAGGAGTGTGTGCTTGTGCAGCACTCGATTAGAGAGAGAGAAACATAAAAATGCATCATCAAAAGTGTGCTTTTGTCTTTGGTTGTGTCTATGTACCGCATCAGTCATCCTGCTTCTTCATCTTGCGTTCCCGCTTCTCGCCTTGCTCAATTTCCTTGACCCACCGTGTATTCGCCTTGGCCCGGTCGAGATCCTTGAAGCAAACGTCAAAGACTTCAGGGTACCAAGCAACAGGTACACCCGTCAAACCTTCACGAACATTCTCCGGCAGTTCTTGCCAGTCTGCCAAGTTTGCTTCGGGGAAGAGGATCGTCTTGACACCGGAACGTTTCGCTGCAACAGCTTTTTCCTTGAGACCACCAATGCGAAGCACTTTACCAGTCAAGGTCAACTCACCCGTCATTGCAATGGTTGGATCAAGTGGATGATCCAGAGCAAGCGAGAGCAAAGCAGTCGTCATGGTGATACCAGCAGATGGACCGTCTTTGCCAACAGCACCCTCGGGACAATGCAGGTGAATTTGTGCCTTTTCGAAAAATCTGTTCTCCTGGAATTCACGAACCAGGAAACCCTTTGCGAAGGAGTAGGCAATCGTACTGGACTCCTTCATCACATCACCGAGCTTTCCAGTGCGATTAAAGCTAGGTCGCTGTGAACGTGACAGAGCACCTTCTTGAATAGACTCGATGTACAAGGCAGTACCGCCCATAGATGTCCATGCAAGACCCATAACAACACCAGGCGGTGTCGTTTCATACAAGCGATCTGACAAGAAGACAGGCGCGCCGACATAGTCCTTGAGGTTCTCCGGGCTGATCTCTACAGAAACAGAGTCTGGTACTTTGAGCTGCTTTCGTGGTGTCGTAGAGGTACCAACGCCTGCTTCTTGGTCGGGCAATCTCGTCTCGGTTGACTTGGCAGCTTCCTCCCTGCGTGCTGCATCGCGTTCCTGTGTTTCTTTTGACGCTTGCGCTGCTTTGCCCTCTGGCGTAATAGCTTCTTCTTCCGTCAACAACCCTTGCTCACCAAGCGATTTGACAATATTGAAACTTGACTTGCGGAAGATTTTATCAATTTGCTTCTTCAAGTTGCGAACACCTGCTTCGCGGCAGTACTCCTTGATGAGTTTCTCAATGGCCAAGTCAGTCAGCTGGACATTGGCATCTGCGAGACCTGCAGCGTCTTTAGCGGTTGGTGCGAGGTATTGCTTTGCAATAGCCTTCTTCTCATCTGCAATGTAGCCTGATAGCTGGATGATCTCCATACGATCAAGCAACGGACCAGGAATGGTGTCTGTTTGATTGGCAGTGCAGACAAACAAGACTTTAGATAAGTCAACTGGTAGGTCGAGGTAGTGGTCGAGGAAGGAAGAATTTTGCTCAGGGTCAAGCAACTCCAGCAATGCGCTGCTGGGATCACCGTTGTAGCCACGGCCAACCTTGTCAATCTCATCAATCAAGATGAGCGGATTCTCCGTCTGAACCTTTTTGAGAGATTGAATGACTTTACCGGGCATGGCACCGACATAGGTTCGACGATGTCCTTTGATTTCAGCAACATCTGTCAAACCGCCAACACTGAAGCGGTAGAATTGCCTGCTCAAGGCGCGAGCAATAGATTTACCAATAGATGTCTTGCCAACACCGGGCGGACCCACAAAGCACAAAATCTTGCCCTCGACCGTACCACGAAGTTTGCCAACGGCAATGAACTCGAGGATACGATCTTTGATGTCCTTGAGACCGTAGTGGTCCTCATCAAGCACTTTGATGGCATGCTGAATGTCGTAGTTCTCCGTAGACTTCTGGCCCCATGGAATCGAAGTGAGCCAGTCGAGGTAGTTGCGAGAAACACTAAACTCGCTGCTGACGGGCTCGAGTGTTTGCAACTTTGCCAGCTCCTCATCAAAGACTGGACGAATGTGCTCTGGCATCGCCAACTTGGATGCACGCTCAGTGAACTTCTCCACTAACTTGTCTTTACCATCCGTCTCGATACCGAGCTCGCGCTTGATGCCCTTGAGTTGTTCAAGCAGGTAAAATTCTCGCTGACGCTTTTGAATTTTGCCCTCGACATCCTTTGCAATCTTGGTCTGCAATTGCGCATTGAGCAACTCCTTCTTGAGCACTACAAGCGCCTGGTGAACACGAGACTCAATGTCAAGCGCTGATAAAATCTCCTGCAACTCGAGCGTGTCGCCACCACTGACTGCTGCAGCAAAGTCAGCAAGACGCGCAGGATCTTCAAACATGCTGCCAGCCGATTGAGACATGCTGAAATTTGCAATCTGGTCGCGGAAGATGGGATTGATGCCTGCAATATCCTTGCAGGTCTGTACAATCTCTGCAGTAACGGCTTTGACAGTGTCACCGTTGCGGTTTACGGGCAAGTCTTCGAGATTCTCAACATTGACCACAGAAACATCATAGTCGCGTAGGAACTGGGTGACTTGCGGTGTCTCAACCTCAGATTCTTCACCACTCTTTGCCTCGTCCATCGCGACAGGCTCTGCAGGGGTCAAGATATTGCCGTCCTCAGGCTTGACTGTCAGTTCGTCTGCTGCAGTAATTGATGCTCTGTTGTGCACAATCTTGTTGATCTTGATGCGGCGGTGTGGGAAGAGCACACATGTGACGCTCTCATCCTTGCCGTCTGCACCCTTTGCGCCAAAGATGCTTGTGATTTGCGCAAAGACACCCACTTCATAGACTTGATCGAGTTTTGCAATCACGTCAGTATCCTCCTTTTCGTCCTTGAGCAAGAAAGCACCAATGTAAGGTTGGCCTCGCTTCACGGCTTCCTTCAATGCATCCATGACAGCCGGGTCTTTCACGACGACAGCCTTGTAGAATCCAGGAAACAGCGGCCGCCGTACAATAGGCAATGCAAGGACTTCAGGATACACTTCTGGTATCTGAGGCCTCGCCACGGCTTTCGGCATGCCATCGCCATTGCTACTGCCTGCTGAGGCCGGTGCTGATGCGCCAGCTGCATTACTTGTTTTACCCGATGCTTTATTCGCCGCTTCTAGCGCAATCTCCTCTGGTGTCTTTTTATCTTGATCTTTCCGAGCGACAAGAGATCCCCGAAACGGGCCCTGGTGGAGGCATCGTTGTTGAGAGAATGTGAGGGCCGCTGAAAGTCGGTCGCGCGAGGCGAATGATGAGGTTTGATTGAGGCAGCGTGCAGCAGGTTGTCGGCCGGGCCTTCTGAGCAGGTGCCAGCTTGTGAGCAGAGGCCGTGATCGTGCTCTGGCTCCACGAAGCATTGGAGGAGTGGGTCAATGTATTGAATGCGTGTCTGTCTTGCTGACGTCTCTGTCGCCTGTAGAACTCGCTCGTTACGCAATCAGTGCAGCACCAAACACGTGAACACACAGTCAAATAGTGTCCAATGATACTGTCCATAGCAAGGGACAAGGAACTTGAGCTGCTACTGGATCTTGCAAGAGACAAGACGTGCTGAAGAATACTCTGTCATCTGCTAGTCATCACAGAACTATCGCTCCTGCTTACTGTGCGGCGGCTGACACAGTCTCGTCAAGACAAGGTCGCTGCTGCACGCGAGACGCGCTCCCATATGTCTGCTGAACAGAGTACTACAAGCTCGCCGAGCCAATTGCGCGGCAGTGCGCAACGCGATGCTGCTGATGCGCGTGATATGGAGACTTTGAGACAACATGGTCTACAATTCGGGTATGAAGCTAGCTTAAGACAACGCGTCTATCTGCTCTTGCTCGATGCACAGGTGGATGATGAGGACGCATTCGATGAAATGGTGACACCGCACGCTGATGAGCAGCAAGTGCTGCTCGATACACACCGTTCCTTTGTCAGTTGCATGCCTGCGTCTGTTCAGCCAGCACACGTCTCAGTCCTGAGAGATGAATTACAACGCCTGATCTGTCGTGTGCTGCGTCGTCATCCATGGCTGCATTACTACCAAGGCTTTCACGATATTGCACAGCTCGTGCTCCTGGTTGCAGGCAGGAAGCAAGCAGTCGCCGTTGCGTTGCTAGATAAATTGGCGACACATGCACTACGCGATTTTATGCTCTCAACACTTGCCCCGAGTATGAGTATGCTTCCACTGGCGCATGATATCGTCAAGGTGTATGATCCTGACTTGCGACAGTTGCTGGAATCGGTCGAGCCGTACTTTGCTGTCTCGCCTTTGTTGACCTGGTTTTTGCACAATCTCGAAAGCTATTCTGATGCGTGTCGTGTGCTAGACTTGCTTGTGGCAAGTGACGATCCAGCCATGATTCTCTACCTCATTGCAGCACAAACAATTCTACGCAAGCAGCAAGTGAAGGAAGCTGACGGCGACCCCGATCTCATCTTTCACGTCTTATCAAGACCACGGCAACATGACGATGCTGCACTCGAGGTGTGGTTGCAACTAGCAGTCAAGTTGCATGAAGGGATTCGACCGAAACAGCTGCGTCACTGGTCTCGCATCTCGCGGCACAGTAGTCTCAAGACTAAATCAAGTATCACGAGCGATGAGGCGAAAGAGCATGCCGTCTTACAGGAAGCACAAGTTGCTGAAGCAGAACGGAAACGGCGTGTCAAGGAGAGTGGTGGGCTTGGTAGCCTGTGGGTGCGTTTGCTGGAGGAGGAACCGGGTCGCTTTGGCGTTGCAGCGGTGACTGTAGGACTGCTTGCGGCTGGGCTGACGCTGTACCTGAAGAGTTGACACCTAGAGGATGCATTTCTTTTTGTATGTAATGTATTCTATCCGCTATGATGAAGGCAAATCACAGAGATGATGCCGCATAGGCCCTGGTACTACTAGGCTGGTAGATGTTGGTGCGCGGAAAGAGATTATTAATTGTCGGCGAGTCCGCGCGTGATTGCTTGTGAATCCACAAATCTCGCTACCGGAGGCGACCAGTGCATCACTCAGACAGCTAGCTCAGCCTAGCGGATCCGTTTCAGAGGTGCAGTCCGACGCGGTATTTTGCTCAAGCGCAACTGTGTTTTCTCTGCAACGTAGATGACAAATGGCGCGTAGCGATATAAGGCGCGCCCGCTCCCCACTCTTGATGCTCCCCAGATTTACTCAACAGCAAGGCTTCTACTGACCAGTTCTGCGCTATTCTCTGTCGGCTGCTCAAGAACAAGAGCGCCGCTCAGCTAACATCCATCTTCGCACGTCAAGATCAGTCGATCGCGCCGGTGCAGGGCGAAAACTTGCCGGAAGCTTCTGTTTGTCGGTATTGCGACGGCCCGCGGCTTCACGAGATCCGAGGACGATAGATCGCATCAGCGCTAACGCCGGGCCTTTTCCATCACCCGATCACGGGGATCTGCTGACCGGTTTGACAAGCGCTTGTTCCCTGTCAGCTGTATACAAAAGCCTTCCGCAGCTCTAAGCTGACGCACGATCTACCAAGTGCCAAGACACTGTCATTATGTCGTTGCTCTCAACGACCAGTGTCACCTTTGGTCAATTCTATACAGGGGTTCTAGCCCTGCTCATCCTATGGGTGCTCCTCAGCGCGAGCAACTTGAACATCTGGAAACTTCTTCTTGTTAGTGGTGCTGGTATTGTTGGCCCACCCTTCCTCTACCTCTTCGCAGCGTCAGAGAAGGCAACAGATAAGCCGACCTCCTCTCTGTCGTCTGCGAGCCTTGTCGCGATTCCCGCCAGAATTGCAACCTCATCGCCCGTATCTGAGAAGAGACAGGAGACCCAACGTGGCAGTAGTCAAAACAGCCATCAACGACGCACCAGTCAGACTAGCAACAGCTCGCGTGATGAACCCTCGCCGACTCTCATCAGCTTTGACTCAAACACCTCAAGCGGTTCAAAGGGTCTTAAGAAAATATGGCGACGGTCATCCACCGATGGTGGAGGCAGCGCTTCAACACCTCCGCGCCCCTCCATCGATTCAGTCGCTGCCCTTCCGACAGCGCGACATGAGAGCTATGACGGCTCAACACATTTCAGACCTACGTGTCGACACTGTCGCATCTTGGCCAACAGTGTCAAACGTCCCGGTAACAAGCTGGCCAACTTTGCCAACAATACCCGTCGTGTGATGTGTCCGTTTCACCAGCAACAATCGCAGGTGGAGAATATTGCTGAGTCGAAATCAGGGCCTGGAGCTGATGTCATGCAGCGTTCCACCAGTCTCATCAGCTCGCGCAGTAGCAGTTCCACCAGGTTGGATGACACCAACGAACAGGTACAAACTACCCACGTTCCATCCATCGACCACTTGCTTGCACCACAAGCAACGGCGAAACCCAAAAACAACATCTTCGGACGAAAATCCAGTTGCTTGGAGAGAGTGCGACGCTTCAGTGCGCCGAGTGACCGTGAGCGGCCCAAGCTCTCCCCACAATCATCCATGAATTCAAGCGAATCAAGCGTTATTTCACATCGCAAGTCTTTGCGTCTACCAAAGCTATTTGGCGGTAGCAAGAGACAGAGCAGTCAGTCGTTGCAGGCGCCTAGTATGGAAGCCGTTGCCATGTCGTCCGTTGTGACAGGGGCATGATCGGTTCACCCATCTGATAAGATTTACCTTTGGGCTTGTGGCCGGTGTCTCCGGTCTGCAGCCTGTAGCTCTTGCGTCGTCTCTGGCTATGACTGGGTTATCTATGGTCTTATTCTTATATCACGCTAGCTAGCTTCCTGTAACCTTTTCCCTTCTTTCCCCCCTATGATGCCACTTGTCTCATGCTTTTCTTTGTCCACGCTTCTTCTTTTTTTCGCTGCTTTCCTCCACAAACCAAACCAAGATGCGACAGAGGCCCTACAAGCAAGCCTGAGAAGCCCTCACATCGCCCTATACGTCGAATATCTCCTCTTTGGTCAGAGTACAGACATCCGACCATGCGGCTGCCTTCAGGCGCCAGCTCAAACAAGACCAAAATCTCGTCACCGCTCGTTCAAGGCTCCCTCAACTCAAGCGACAGTGAGCCCATAGATATCTCAAGCGGTAGCGCGCCGCGCACTTCAAGCGATGGGTTCACACTCAGCGTCACTTCTGCGCATGATAGCTTGCCACTGCGCAGCTATTCTGGTACGAGCTATGACTTGAATCCGCACGCAGTTGCTGCGTTTCACCCACACACAGTCGGCAGCTATGCGCGCCGTTCATCTTTCAATAAATCCGCTGGACCGTTCGTTGGGAGCTATGAAGAGTCAATCTTGTCTGGTCGCATGTCGCAGCAACCTTCAAAACCGCTGCAATTTACGGCATCGATTGGCGTGCTTGGCAGAGGGGACTGTAAACCCTCTTTACGCTGTCCGCCGCATTTGACGGTCCCCTTCCCAGCCTATTTTTACAGCGACATGTCGCCGTATGTTGGGCAGATTGATCTTGATGTCGATCAAGATGGCAAGAAGCAACGCGGCTATCGGATACCGGCAGCTGGACAACTCCAAGTCATCATACGCAACCCAAACAAGACGGCCGTCAAGCTCTTTCTCATTCCTTATGACCTCTCGGATATGCCACCGTTATCCAAGACTTTCTTCCGCCAAAAACACTATGACTGCCAGCAAGGCTCTCAGAAGTTGCGATATGCTATTCATGTACAAATCTGCTGTACCGCAGAAGGTCGCCTCTTCGTTCACAAGACACAGCGCGTTGTCTTTGCGAATCGTGTTCCGGACGGCAAGGAGAAGCTACACGTCGCCTTTCATGAGCCAACCGAGCAGAAATACACAGCTTGGGTTCCCGAGAAGCGCTCAAGTCGACAGCATAAGCGACCAGATCGCCACCAGCCAGCTTTCATCGGAGGCTCCTTGCTCGATACAGAAGAGGGTAAGTTGTCGCCGTTGTTGGGAGCTTCGTCGCCACCGGGTCTATTACCACAACATATGGCAGCGTTACGATTGTCGCCTTTGCTGCAATCACGCAAGACGCCACCGAGTAGCAGTTTACGACAGCCATCGCATCTCTCACTGCTTGCACAAACCTATGAGCCTCAAGCACAGGAAGGAGAAGCACACGATACCAAGAAGCATCTTCTTTCACCTTCGCCACTATAGTTCTTCGTAGGGAATCTATACATTTTATGACAGGAAATGACTCATCTATTGTAATTCAGCGCACCAGCATGAAGCATACATGTTGACCAGGTCGAGGACACCATCCTTCGTCGTTTCTCCACGCACTCCTTTGTTGGTGACAGTGAAGCCAGCTGCCTCCCATCGCTGCACATACCAGGGCTGTTTCGCAGCTGACCTGAACCAGACCTGCCCTTTGGGCTTCAAGGCACGCTTGAAGAGCCAAATCTCCGTATCGAGGTAGGAGATGCCAGAGACTTGCTTCTCATGTGCAAGACATGGTTGCTGCTGCTGTGCATCGGCGAATTCTGCGTCAGTTGGGAATGGTTCACCCGGATCAATGGTGTCAAACCAATCTTGATGGTCCATAACAATTGCTTTGGTCAACGACTGCGGAGGTAGCTGGGCAAGAACGTTGTTGATTGTATCTGTCCAGAGTGTCAGTCGGTCAAGCAGGTTCTCGCTTGCAAGACGCTCATGAGACTCGGCCTTGAGGTAAGTTGGGCAACAACTGCGTGTGTAATGCTGCAATAGTGGTAACAGGTAGTGAAAGTTTTCTCCAGAGAGCAACGTATTGTTAGCGATCGGATCGAGCGTGTCTACGCCATATTGCAATGCTGAGCCTTCCTGCAGCAACATCTTGAACTGATTCAATGGTACACCGAGCGCATGCCACAGGAAGACGGGGTTTGCCATAAGGACAGTCCCAACAACGGGATTGATGAATGCCTTGCGCAGTCGCTTCCAAGCTTTTCGCTGCTGGGACAAGTCCGTTGCGGTAGCCATATCAATTGCTGCCTGTTTTGTTCCAGTCAAAGTGAACAGATAGTCGAGAACCTTGAGGACATTCCCAGCATAGCCAGACTTGTAGAAGCACTTGTCAAACGCATCAACATGAGCATGCCAGAACTGCAATGCAGGACAACTGAGTTTCGGTGACATGCGCTCGAGGAGATGTGGGAAATTGTCCGTCTGGCCAGCGCCGAAAAGTGACCAGGTCTCATTGAATGACAGCGTTTGGAATGCAGCCATCTTGAGTTCCAGCAAGTGTCCCTGGCAAGGATTCATGTCGACGCAGTGGATTCTGCTTGGACCGGCATTGATGAGGTAGTCGATTGCATTGTCGCCAGCAGACGTGATGACCAGCATCTCGTCATTGCCATTGATTTGCATCTCCCTAATGTCTGTTGCTGGATCTTCCCACACAAAAGAATAAATGAAGTCCTTGAATTGTGCCTGATCAGGGGCAGTTGGATCGTACGGTCGACGGTGACGTGTCCATGCGGGATCCTCAACAAGAGAGGCACTAGGGATAGTCAGTTCCGGGACAGTCTGATCCTTGTGCTTTGAAGAAATTAGGGGCGAGGCATCAGGTGTCGCTGGCATGGCGTGTTTTGTCATTGAAGAGGACATGCTCTCAAGCGACGGCGTACTGGCGCGAGACGAGCCCTCCAGAGGTTTCTGACCGAGATAGATGTAGTAAGGAATCGAGACGATGCTGGGAAGGATCATGTTGTTGCGGCACGATAAAGACTTGACCACCTGGAACTTGTGCTCAAGATAATCGCGACGAGCTGGATTCAGATCAACGTGATCGAACTCAAACCATGACTTCCAGAAGAGGCGGTTGAGCAAGTTCCCCTGGCGGCTTGGTTCCGCACTGTCGTCATTCTTATTGCTTGTGAAGAAGTCAACGACAGAAACAAGACCTTCTGGGCGAAGCAGCTCGAGAACACGATCAATCACCTTGAAGTATGGTGGAATCATGCTCAGACTGTAGCTCATTGTGACGACATCGACATAGTCGCGATCGAGTGGAAGCACTGTTGCATCGGCTTGAATGATGTGAACATTTGTGAATGCTTTGAGACGCTGCCTGGCCACATCGAGAAGCGGTCCACATAAGTCTACCAAGTAGATGGCCTCAAACTGGTTCAGCGGGATATTGTCATTCATTGCTTCAATGTTGTAACCGGTACCTCCACCAATATCGACCCAAACGAGACCCTTGCCGAGCATCTTGCGCTCCTTAATCTCGGCCGCGAGCATACTCAACATTGTCTCGCGACCCTTCAGTAGCGTGGTTCTTGTCTTGTCATATACGTTTGCTTGGCCTGCATAGAAGCGGTCCAATCGATCCCCTTGACCAGCATGCTTGCCGAGTGGCTTAATGAAACAGTAGTATGCAAAGGTCAGGACAGTCCGCAGACCGCCTAAAGGCAAGGCATTCCACAGCCAAGTCAGCAAAAGCCAACCGGTCCCTTGCTGCGTTGTTTCGAACTTCGAATCGATGGTATCGCTGACCTGCTTGTCACGCACCATTTGCGACATGATGGGGATGTAACGCGTTTAGTGACAGCGAACACGTCCTTATAATCGCCAGCATCGATCTCAAGTGTTTCGCACGAGATCCGCACAGGAGGGATCATCTAGCTAGTCTGTTTGTCTGTCGACCAGATGACCTGGCAGGAGGCATGACGCCGAGGGAGGCATTCTCATTGGCTCAGCCAACTGATTAGATTATCTTTGACGAGGCATCTCGGTCAAAAGTTGGTAGAATATCGCCATTGATTCGCCAAGCTCTCGCCAAAAGCTTCGCAAGCAGTATGCGAGGACTCAATGATAGCCTAGTACAGTCGACGGTCGTACCTTTGAGTATAGAAAAGCTGCTATAGCTCTTTTCGCGACGTCTTGCCACGGTGTTGGTCAACTATTGGCCTCCGCAATTCTCGCCCGCGCCAATGAAATTTCGAGATTGGTACACGACGTTTGGCAGTAACCCACGAGCTCGCCTGGAAGATGTTGTTTACCGTCAGGGGTTCGCTGTAGAATCAGGATGTAGACATTCTAGAGAGGAGCTGTTTGCGAGTGCAGAAATTGGCGGCGAGTGTCCAGTGGGGTTCGGCTCGTAGTCGATCTCAGAGTTGGTCAATTAACGTGCTCGCATCAAACCTCGTCGTTGTGTCGTCCGCTTGCTCTCGTTGATAGCCGCCACGATGGAGCTCACACTTGTCTCTACAACGAGGCCTCCGCATACGACCTCGCCCAGGATGGCGTGAATCTCATCGAAATGAAAGATCTCTCGTTAGCATGGTCAACAAACTCAGCAAGACTCACAAGATCGAGCTCACAGACATTCTCGAAGCATTTGTCTAGGCTTTCCACAAAGACTTGTATCAAGTCGAGGATACCGAGCTCCGACTCTGCCTCGTCCACAACAAAGACAAAGTACAGTGTAGCATAGTGCCTGTAGATCACTCTAACGTCCTTGCCGCCGATGAGGGTACTTCCCTCGAGGAAGTTGCATAGGTTCGATGGGCGCTCGGCGACAAGAGCATAGATTTCTGCAATCAAGAGCTCTTGCGTTGCGGCGTCAATCTGGGCATAGAACTTGGTAAGGCGAGGCTTGCCATCATTGTTGACTTAAAGGTAAGCAGAGAAGCAAAGTTTGAAGCATACAGATCATGATAGCATTGATCATTTGAGCAGAACAGACCGAGCTATCGACAGACGAACGAGCTAGACTATTTAGATGTAGCAAGATATCGTGTGTGCGGTCTAAGTCCGTAATTCTACCAAAATTCACGACCTGAGATTGACATCGCGCCAACGACCAACAGGCCTAGGAGTCGCATGCGGTGACGAGGCCGCCGGAGAGACTGAGGATGCTGCGACGCGGAGGCCAGATCCGCAATCTCTTCTCTCATCACAAGCCTTCGTTCGAGGAGACAAAACGCAACAAGGAGTTCTTCCTAACAATCTTGGCTGCAACGGCTACGAAACGCGACGCGAAAGCATATATACAACGTTATCAGAGGCCAGGACGCGAGCCTGTACGGGCAAAGTCACAAACCCTCAATGACTTCTTTGCGAGTGAGGAAGAGGCTAGCCCCAGGCGCCAAGCGACAGAGAATACCGTGAGGGCCGCTCTTATTGCTCTGAGCGATGCTTCGCGGCTATCGGATGGTCAATTGCGCCGTCTAGCATATACTTTTGGGCAGCTTCAACGGCTTGGGCTCTTGCCTGTCTTGTTGCTTGATGCGGCCAATGACAAGCAAGCCAGTAAACAAGCCTTTCGCATAGCTCATCTACTCGAAGGCCTTGACATCCCTGCTCGTCCTATTCTCGAGGGGCTGTTCTTTATTCAGGGCAATGATGTGATTCTGGACGATACGTCTGTGCTTCAACTGCCTGCCCAACGAGGACAAGTACCGATCATTGCTGCTGTCGGTGTATCTTCTGCTGGGCGACGCCAAGACATCAGTTCAGATCAGGCGATGCGTGCTTTGTGCGCTGGTCTTCAATCGAGCAAGAATCTGACCATCGACAAGCTCATTCTTCTCGACCCAGCCGGCGGTATGCCCAGCTCAGCACGAAGAGCCGGATCGCACGTTCTCATCAATCTTGCCCAAGAGACTGAATCGCTGCAGGAAGAACTTCGAAAGCAAAACGGGCCAGAAGAGGCCTCACGCCATCTTCGCAATCTATCGTTGTGCCAAGACTGTCTTGGATACTTGGCACATACCGCTTCAGCAGTGATCACAACGCCAACCATTGCAGGTAGCGGACCTGGAGAGCAGCATCCGCTGATACACAACTTACTGACTGATAAGCCCATGATATCGCCTTCTTTGCCGAAATTGAGTGATCGAACGCCTGCGACTGCCACGACTGTCTTGCGTCTTGGCACGCCTGTTCGGGTGTTGCGCGATGTTGACTTGCGAGGACCGGCAGTCGATCTTCCACGGCTCGTTGCGCTCATCAACGACTCTTTTGGTCGTAAGCTGGATACAGAGGCATACCTTGAACGCTTGCAAGGTACTGCTGCTGCACTCATCATTGCAGGAGACTATGATGGTGCAGCCATCGTGACGTATGAGCACACCCGGGATGCAACACGACCCGTACCGTATCTCGACAAGTTTGCCGTCTTACGAGCCAAGCAAGGAGCCGCAGGGGTGGCTGACCTTCTCTTCAATGCCTTGATTCAGACATTTCCCGATGAATTGCTTTGGCGCTCGCGAGCCAATAACCCTGTCAATAAGTGGTACTTTGAACGAGCAAAAGGCACATCCAGCATTGATGGGACGCACTGGAAGTTATTTTGGACACAGCCCATTAAGATGCGTGCAAGATTCGATGAATATCTTGAGATTGGACGCAAGATTCAAGCAACCTGGCTTGACTAGTCCGCCATGCTTGGTCGCAGAATGATGGAGGTGGATGTCTGTGGCCGCAAGTAGTATTCCTCGACTTGTGACAGCAGGCGGGCTGTATGAAAGATCAGATGACGAAACTGTTTTGTAAGCATTTTCACATTTTCAACAACCATAGAAGCCATACGGCAATGGTGTAGTACGTTCTGCCATCTTGGTATTCCTTCTTGGCCAATTCGTAGATGAGCTCAGCCTCGCCCGGTATGCTGAGATGGCCAAAGTCACCGATCATCATATCGACCGATGACGACTTGATGCGGACGCAAGTCGAAGGAATGACTGGCAGGATACCAATGAGTCCGGATCTTTCGCCTTCTCGTGTCTCGACCAAATTGGCATGCATCATCAACTGAACGAGGCTTCCAGGATACAAGGCGTTCGAGAAGCGAGCAATACTATCGCCAGCATCTGATTTAACGAAATCGTACCAGACATGATGCTCCTTGTTTATGTGGTCTGCGACCAAAGCCTTCAGTGTTGATGCTGGATGGGCATTGAGCTTAAGCAACGTGCCAGTAGAAGCCTTGTGAGGCTCTCCAATCTCTGCCGTAAGCATCTGAGGAAGGACTGTGCTTCACAAACCCATTATCATGCGCAAACGACTAGATGGACCCAAAGCATCTTGGGCGCGTTTCGCCAGGTCCTGTTCCGCCAACGCCTTGAATGATATGCAAACGCTGCGAACAAGGCTTAGCTTCCGGATATCTAGGAAGCTGAAGACTGCGATGATGAGCTCATTCTATCGTCAGAAACATGATTGGCAGCGCAAGGTCCGTACAGCTAGATTATCGAGTGATGACGTTACAGGACGCGCAGTCATTGGAGCTCTTGAGCTGGTTCAGGCACTCTCAATGTTTTACAGATAGAGAACACTGATTAAGTCAAATTTATCAAAGCAGATTGAGCAGCGTCAAATGTCAGAGAAGATGATGAGAGGACTAGATGGTCTTGAAGGTGTTGGAGGTCGTGATGCTTTCAGATGGTAGCTAATGGTCTCTCACAACGATACATACAGCACTATTACAATGACCCTATCAAGGGCTGAACACACATGTGAAGAATGGGCAATAGGGGCGAGGAGTTGAGTGTATGGCTCCTACAATCTAGCAGCAGATAACTTAAATTGCCGCAGCGGGCCGGGCAATCCTTTCGAAATCCAGGGGTAGTGCTAGTCCAATACCGAAAGGTGGCTTGAAAGGCGGCCAGCTAGCTGAGTGTCCGATGGAGTCACAGAGAGCTTCCTATCGACAGACGCATTCTTTGATCAGTTGTGTCAGAGACGCTGAATTGACTTTGCTCCAGCTTTATATGATCGAGCATCTGAGTGCCGGAAGCTCTGTAACGCGACCGAGGGCTTGTTCAGAACTCACGATAGACAGGGCTCAGAGCCTACTCCCAAGGTAGACACACACACGAGCGTAGGTCACTCGCACTGACTCCACCTCAAAACAGCTTCTCTCACTGACAAGCTTGCGGCTAATCAAGCGATCAAAGACGACAACTTCTTGCATGCCGCTGCACCTGTGCAGAAGCCTAAGAACTTGTCTTGTGCGCCGTCGAAGCTCCCGCCAGGACCTGCTTGACAATCCTCGCTTGCATTGCTTTCGGCGCTGCACTTTCATCGACTTCCTCAGCCAGTGCCTTGAGAACTTTGCCCATCTCCTTTGGTGTAGCCTGCATACGCGAGACGAGCGCCACTACTTGAGCTTGTAGCACACCTTCATCCATTTGCTTCGGGAGAAAGCTATCGAGCAAACCCGCTTCAAGTTCTTCGACCTCTGCCAGTTCGGCACGTCCATGCTGCCTATACGCAGCTGCGGCCTCTCTTCTCTTGGCTGCGCTGCTTCGCAGTAGATTGATGACTTGCACGTCCGTTTCTACTGGCTTGTTCGTCTTGCTCGCATTGACGACTTGCGCAAGGATGTCCTTGCACACATTCAAGCGTGGCTTGTCCTTGTTTCGCATACTCTGCTTGACTGCTTCCTTGAGTGTCAACAACAATTGCGGACCGGTACTTGTACTGTACCTCCGTGCCTGCCTCGCCAATGTACCTGCCAGCATCCTGTAGCCCATCATGCTCAATATCTTTTGTGGTCGAGGTCAAGAAAAAAGTTGAAAGTCGCAAACAGACAGAAAGAGCTGAAGCTACATGAACAGATGAATGCACGCAAGCCATTCAAGGCCCCGAGCTTCGTCAGACCACAGAGTCAGGGACAACAGGTCGCTGCTTCAGTGTCGTCTGAACCACCCTGCAAGAAACTACGCGTCGAGGAAGTCTCCGTCGCGCCGACTCCGAGACCGCGTCAGGCACCACGCGCGCCACTGTTGACCATCACAAAGGCAACCAATACGCTTGTACCTGCTGCTACTACAAATGAAGCTTACTACCTTGTTGTATGGCGGAAGCCTACACAGAAGAAGCACAAGACTTGGGTAATCACTGATTAGTGGGCTCGAAACAAAACTGACGGTCAGGATGGTGATGCCGTGCTCGCTGTCCACGGCGCAACTTGCGTCCTACAAGATACATCAGGCAAGGAACTTGCACGAGGAAAATATTGTGCTGGTGTATTAGCTGTTGGAGATCCACTCGTTGTCGGCGGGAAGGAGTGTGAGGTGGAGAGTCTTCTGTCACGACAAGAGTACTTGTCTGGTAAGCCATTCCTTGCGACAGCTACTGCGCCTGTTTCTCAGCAATCAGCACCGAAGCAGCCTTATGTTAACCCCTTGAAGGGACATACACCAAAAGTCATAAGTTCAACAGCGCCACGGCATGATCCAAAAGCACCAAATGCTCTTGTGCTACCAAGAAACAAGGCTAGTCAAGTGGATGTTGTGGTCGATCCCTTCATCTCACAGTTCTTGCGCCCGCATCAGCGAGAGGGTGTTGCCTTCCTCTATGCATGCATCCTACGCTACAAAGACTACGATGGCAGTGGTGCCATTCTCGCTGATGAAATGGGGCTTGGTAAGACGCTCCAGACGATTGCCTTGATCTGGACGCTCCTCAAGCAAAATCCCATCCCCAACCAAGGTCCACTAGCAAAACGTGTTCTCATCGTTTGTCCAGTCACCTTGATTGCCAATTGGAAGCGTGAATTTCGGAAATGGCTTGGTGGCGATCGCATTGGCGTGTACGTGGTGGACACCAGTGCGAATCTGAATGATTTCTGTCATGGACACGTCTATCAAGTCATGCTTATTGGCTATGAGAAGCTGACGTTGTTGCAAAAGACAGATGCACTCGCACAAGCTCACTTTGATCTGGTTGTCTGCGACGAGGGACACAAGCTCAAGTCGGCTGGAAGTAAATCTGCACAGGCGATTCGCCAACTCAAGACAAAGCGTCGCATCTTGCTCACTGGTACACCCATGCAGAATGACTTGCTCGAGTTCTTTGTCATGATTGATTTTTGCAATCCGGGGTTACTAGGGACCGCATCGACTTTCAAGAAAACATTTGAAGGACCCATCTTGAAAGCAAGGCAACCAGAGGCAAGTGAACATGACAAGGAGAAAGGAGCAGCGCGTTCGGCAGAGCTCGCTCGTTTGACGGAACAATTCATCTTGCGACGTACTGCCGACATTTTGTCAAAATACCTACCAGCAAAGACGGAACTCGTTTTGTTTTGCAAGCCAACGCCGCTTCAGGTACAGCTGCACAAGCAACTTGTTGAAGCACCAGCGACTCTCGAGGGTTGCTTGAAAAGTACCGCTTTGCAACTCAAGTGCATCACAACGCTCCGCAAGATTGCCAATGCACCCTGCCTGCTGGCTGCTGAATCGGAAGATAGCTTCATTCAGTCTGTGCAATCCCTCGTAACGACGCCACAGGCACGGCAGAGTGGTAAGTTGGCGGTGCTAGAACAGATGCTGCGATTGCTACAACCGACTGGTGAGAAGATTGTCCTCGTCTCGCAATTCACACAAACGCTCGATTTGCTACAGGAATTGCTGGGTCGTCTCAACTTGACAAGTTGTCGACTCGATGGCAGTACAGCAACCAAGAAACGTCAAGAGATTGTGGACCGTTTCAATCGTAGCGATGCTCGGTCTTGCTTTGCCTTTTTGTTGTCCGCCAAATCGGGTGGATGTGGCTTGAACCTGGTTGGCGCTAGTCGACTTGTCTTGTACGACACGGATTGGAAGTATAACTTGTTACAACTACTCTTGATACACAAAGCTAACAATCTTCTAGTCCAAGCGTGGATCTCCAAGCCATGGCGCGGATTCATCGCGACGGTCAAAAACGACCCGTCTTCATCTATCGCCTCCTGCTGGCTGGTACGATTGATGAGAAGATCTACCAACGACAAGTGTCAAAACAAGCACTAGCGGATGCACTGCTTGACAGTAAAGTCTCTGGTTCGAGCTTTAGTGCTGGTGAATTGCGTGACTTGTTTACACTACATGAGGGCGTGGAGAGTGTTGTTCATGCAGCGTTGCATTGTGAGTGTGCAGGCGATGGCACCATCTTGGACCTTGAGCCACCCACAGACGACGCATCTACCAAGGATGAAGCGAATGAATTGCCTGGCTGGATGCGTGCAAGTCAGGTGACTGCTCGACTTGAGCGCGACGAGGCAGAGGCACAACGCACAGCTGCTACAACGATGCGAGCACTCCGAGCATTCCAGCATGTATCGCCGCAAGTGGCAGCAGGGATGGAGGGACTTGAAGATGTCGTTGGAGATGGCATTCTGACGAGCATGCTGCAGACGCCGCGCGATTTGACATTTTGCTTCATCAAGCGACACGGTAGCGAAGTTGCAGAAGGTGCTGATTAGCGTCGAAACAGTCCCTTGCGCTTTTCCTCCTCAACAACGAGGAACGGATTGCCGTCGTACTTTGGCTTCCAAATCCATTGATTGCCTGGAATGGCTTGTGCCTTCTCCTCTGCTCTGCGATACCAGTATGCTGCTTTCCGCTTATCCTTCTTCTTTTGTGCATCCATACCAAAGCCAGTCTCATAGCACCATGCAGTTTCCGTCATGGCATCGATATCGCCTAGATTCGCAGCAGTCTCATAGTAAGATCTTGCCAGCACTGGATCACGCTCAGCGCCCCATCCATACCGCATTGAATTGCCAAGCTCATAGATGGCGAGAATCAGACCTTCACTAATGGAAGATGTTTGACCACCTTCCACCAATGTTGCTGCACCACTTGCAGCAAGTCGTAGCCAAGCAAGTGCTTCTTTTTCATCCTGTGCAATGCCCCAACCATGTCGTAGCGATAAACCATACATGAGTTGACCCATGGGTAGCCCTGCCTCACCGCGCGCTGCACGGCGAAAGAGCTGTGCGGCAAAGGCAAGGCGATCTGCTTCATGCTCCTTGATGGCCTCTTGGAGTAAATCGTCTTTTGAGAGGCCTTCTTCGACTTCCATGGCACGAGCAACACTGGCTTCTTGACCAGGGAGAACGATCCGCTGAGGTTGTGGTGAAATACGCTGACTGCCTGCGCTGACTTGTCGTGAATGCTCCGGTACGGGGATAAGCAAGTCTGGTGCTTGCATTGTACGTACAGGGACTTGATCAAATCGCATCTCCGGTATTTGCGGCGCCTTATTATCCGCCTCATCCTCTAGTCCAATGGTCTCCTGTCTGCCCAATAACGCAGGTGAAGGCGGTCCAGCGCGTGCGAGCATCGTTGCGCGTTTCTCCCATTGTGAAGTGACATCGTCGCTGCGTGGATCAATGGGCGCCAGATATAGTAGACTACCATCTTGTGAGGTCAATCTGCGTGTTTGTCGTTTTGTATGAGGACTGCTACTGCCACTGCCGCTGCTGTGAGAGACACGACGGGTGAGGGTTGCTTTGAGTCGGGAGAAGCGTTTCGTCTTGTCCTTTGTTGCTGAGACTGGAGTCCCTGTTGTTGAGGGAGTGTCGCGCTCTGCACTCGCTGGACTGACGCTGTCGAGCCTGCTATGTCTATTGCCGTTGCTGCTGCTGCGCTGTAGATGGAGGTGCTCAAGCTGTGTCTGTGCGGTATCGACGGGGGAAGCTACCTGTTCGTGTGCATCTTGCTTGAAGAGCTTGAATGCCATCCAGCTAGGTATGGAATGGGCTTCTGTCTGTCGTAGGCTTTGTCTAGTGTGTTCTGTACGTGTAAGAAGAGAAAAGGAAGGTGAAAGCTCAGGACATCTGCTCGTCGTCGTCGTCGTCGTCGTCGTCGTCGTCGTCGTCGTCGTCGTCGCCAAGACACCGACACCGACACCCAGAGAGAAGCTCAGTGAGAAGCCCAGAGAGCTCCTACGTCTGCTTGATGGCCGCAGCTGCCTCCTCCAGAATCTCAGCAGCACGCTTGTGGAAAGCCGCCTGAGCAGCGACAAGATCCTGCAAGTTCCTCAATGGCTCTGCACTCTCCAGACACGACTTCATCACCGTCGTCGCTTCCTCCACCGCTGCCACAAACTCATCCTCCGCCCTCTCCACCTCGATCCGCGCAGCATCCGCTTTATCAGGCCTTGCATTCTTGGCAGCGGTTTTGGCTGCGTCGAGAGATAGACGCGTACTGTAGACTGTCTTCCTGGCGCGTGTAGCAAATTGCAACGTCGTATTCAAGGTCGTGCTGAGTCCTGCATTGACTTCACTGTTGATGCGTGAGTCTTGCGCAAGACGCGCTTCACCCACTTGTTCAGAAGCAAGAGCAACGGTTTGCAGTGCAGCGCCTAGCGTGTTATCGGTGCTGTGCGTCACTCCCAATCCCTCTGCACCGCTCATGGCAGCACGACCTAATGCATGGCTGAGTGTCTTGGGTGCTCCCTTTGGCGCTGGCTTTGTAATGGCCGTTTGTGCCTCTGCTGTAGATTGAGCAGCAGCAAGGTCGTTCGCCTTTTGCGAGATGCTGGTGAAGAGCTCTGCGCCTGTTTCACGGAGGTTGGTTGGGTAGTCGTAGTTTTCACGGGAATAAGTCTGCGTCACGGCAAGGAGCTTGACGTGTGCACCTTTGAGGGCATCGACCTTCTTCTCTAGGTCCAGGTACTCTTCTGGGAGTTCAGTCTAGCGTGTTAAAAGAGCGCATAGTGAGAGACAGAGTGTGTACCTTGGGGACATTGCTGACTTGCTCACTGACAAACTGCTGTGCGCGCTGTGCGAATGGGGTGACTTTGGATGAGAGTCCTAGATGCGGTTAGTCTCTGCCATCAGATCCTCTCTCTGGGCCATACCCTTGAGTGCATCGAGATTGAAGTTCATGGCTGCTGCTTGTGTTGCTTCTGGTTGTATCTGGTGAAGAAAGTCAAGAGCAGACTACAGCTACAGCTACTACTCTACTCTGCTACAGCTAGTACTGCTACTACTGCTACTACTTAGACTACTGCTACTACAGCTACTCTGCTACAGCTTCTACTTAGACTACAGCTACCACTGTGGATGGACACGCACGAACAAGACCTCCTCAGACAGATTGCGCAAGTAGCAGGCGCCATCAACAGGCACAGCAGGAGCCAGGAGCAGCAGGCTTCCTCATCCGCCGCAGTCTCCCCAACGCCTGCTTCCTCCTCTAGCATCTCCTCTTCCTCACAACGATTCAATCAGCGCAGAAGTCGCCACAGTACAGCACCGAGGCCCGGCTCTCATCACAAAACACTCGTCCTGCATGGTCATGGCGTACAAGGCAGCTACGTCTCTGCCCGTCAACGCAGTCGCATCACCCTCACACATGCACCATGTTTCGCACAAGCAGCGCAACAAACAATCGCAACGAGTAGAGAAGCAAGACGTAAGAAATTACTCGAACGCTTACTCCTCCAAGAAGCGAAAGAAGCAGTACAGCTACGGAAATTAGAACAAACAACCCTTGTACATGAAGGCATTACCTATCGTCTTGGTAAGCGTGCCCATCTATTGATTCGACAGACACCCATGGACCAGGGCGGTCCGACACCCCTCGAAACCACCATCAATGGCGTCTTATTCCTGAAATCACCAAAGAGCAACAACCTCTTTCGCAAAACAACCGTCAAGCTGCATGCACGGCGCAGAACGAACAACAAGACACTCACAAAACGATGCACCCACTTCACACGACGTGGGTTTTGTTCACGAGTCGGTTGTCAAGGCCGTCATACACCGGGTGAGGTGGCCGTTTGTCCATTTTACCTACGAGGGACGTGTACAAAAGACGACTGTACGCAATCGCATTCGCCAAATGCGCATAATACACCACAGTGTACACGTTTTGCTGCAGGCGGTTGTACAGTCGAAGCATGTCGATTTGTGCATGAAGAAATGCAGCAACAGCCTGATGCAGCGGTGTGTATGGGCTTCGACAAGCTTGGTTGGTGTGATGCTGGCGTTGCGTGTCATCAGCGTCATGTCCTTCGCAAACAGACTCGCAAACAGATCTCTGCACTGCAAGACACAGCAAGTGATCAGGAGGATGCAGAGAGTAGTGAGAGTGAGAGCGATGTCTTGGATGAGGAGGATTTCGATGAAGATGCCTTCCAGCAAGACTTTGTTCACCTTTGATCGAAAGACTTCTAGTACAATCTCTGTGCTATGTGCATTGTGTCTACAGTACAAGAACGCATCTACAAGAAACAAGCGCCCAGGACACCCGCTGCCAAAGCACCAGAAACAAGCACCCAGGTCGATTTGGCACTACCAGCCAATCCCGATGCTGCAGAACGTGCAGAAGTCGCTGCACCCGTCACACCTGTACCGGAAGCTGTTCGTGTTCCAGCAATGGCCGTTCCACTAGCTGTTCGGCTCGTTTGAGGTGCCACTGCTGAGCCGATACGCGATGCTGCTTGGGATGTGGCACCTGCAATGGCTGAGCCAATACGCGATGCAGCTCGTGGGGAGGCAGTGGCAGCAGCGAGGACACCACTGAGTTCAGAGCCACCGAGTCCGTTGATCAAACTTCTGAAACTATGACAAGGTTAGTCTTCTCTGTATCTTGAGTGGATGCACTTACGCAGGGAGTTGTGCGATCGAAGCAATGGCTGATGCGTCCGTCTGGCCATTTTGAACGGCAGAAGCAACGATGGCGGCGATGGCCGTGTTGGAAGCGATGTCGTTGAGGAGGCCGCTGGGCAAGAGGTTCTGGAGACCGGTGGGAATAGCGTTGGACATGGCTGTTGCTTTGTAGAGTAGATGAGTAGAAGTATAGGACTAAGGATGGAAGTTCGTCGAGGCTTCCCGCTTCTAATCTACTGTCCAAGGCCCTCCCTCCCTCCCCACCTCCCTCGCTTACCCTCTCTCTCGGGCTTCCCTCCCCAGCTGCTGCTCTGCTCTGGTCGCTTCTGTCTCGTCGTCGCCCAAATGACGTCAAAATGCAATCTACGCAAGTCACAAATAGCTAAAACACACAGGCAGCGTACACTCAACGAGACCTCGCAGACCCAATGCCACTCTTACCAGCAAACAAGTGTTTGGGTTTCGTGTCTGCAATGTGACGATCAGACTCACTCGCACGAGCCATGCGATTCCGTTCACGCTGTTGCAAGCGCTGTACCTTTTCAGCACGCGTCCGTTCACCCACCGTGGAGAGACCGCCTTCACTGCGATCACGTTTCGGCAGTTGTGACGGTGCGCGTGAACTGGATTGTGCACGCAACACGACATCTTGGCCACGTTCGCGAGATGCTTCTGGACGACGACTGCGTGCGCGTGTCTCAATGGCTGTTGTATCGAGTTTGTTGGCTTGCATGGAGGTCTTCATATCAGAGAACTTTTGTAGACCAGCCGTACGAGGTAGTTGAGGTCGGTTCTTGAGGATCTTCTTGGACCTGGCGAGTCGCTTGAGTCGTAGATTCTTCTCTCGAATCAGAGCAGCTTTAGCAAGGATAGCCGTATCCCCCTCATCCTCCATCTCATCTTGTGAATTGTAGAAGCCTTCCTCCTCAAGCCTCTCCTCTTCCTCCTCAAGAGCCTGCAACTTCGAGGCAATGTCAGGGTCAATGTAATCATGAATATTCTTGCCATCCAACAATTCCGGCATGATATCCGCCTTCCATGCATCATTCTCCAGATCCCACTTCTTCTTGAGATCAATATTGTAGAGACCAGCACCGCCGTGCTCTGCTTCGATATCACGCTCCAGCTTGCGACGATCAGGATCTTGCCAATCGTATCGCTGCGTAATCGATGCTCCAGTGGGGATATGTGGCAATCGTGGTGTATCGTCTCTCGCTTGTGGTGTACTCAGATGGATCCTGTTCAAGACATCATTGATCTTGGAACCCTTCAACTTACTCTCAACACGAGCAGCAAGCAGCTTATCGCAAGCAGCGGCACGTACGTCCATGATACCTTGGTCATTGAAGCACGAAGATGTCACCATCTGGACACCTGTATCCAAAACACCCTGAAGGAGTGCTGCATTCGCCGCATCAAGATCCTCAGGCCTCATGACATCAATCTTGTTGACTACCAATAAGACTGGCTTATTGGCAAACAAGGGCTTGATGCTATTGAAGAGCTGAATCTGTGCAGCAACAGAGTAACCGCATTGTTCAGACAAGTCCATGAAATAGAGGATGCAAGCGCGTAAATGGGCAAGCGCCGTGATACTCTGCATTTCAATCGTATTCATCTCTTCGAGTGGATGGTCCAAAATACCAGGTGTGTCAATGACTTGCCAGCGCAGGTACTTGTAGTCCATGTGACCAACAAACAGACTCTTGGTCGTGAAGGCATATGGCTGGACATCGACATCTGCGCGGGTGATTTTATTGATGAAGGAGGATTTACCCACGTTTGGGTAGCCACACAGGATGAGGGTGCGTGTATTCGTATCAATAGCGGGAAGACGACCAAGATGCTGACGGACTTGCTCGAGGTACACGAGAGAATCCTTGGCACGACCACGCAAGATGGTAGCCATACGACCGAGAGCGGCGCGCTTGAGTTGTTTGCAGCGGTAGAGGGAGTCACCATACTTGATGAGCCTAACATAGTCGCGCGCCACTTGCTCAATCAAGTGCTTTGCAGTCGAGAGCTGCGACAGGGCGATTTTGAGATGATCCCTGTCGTAGAGGACGTTGAGGAGATCCTGATGAAATGGATGAATATCGTTCAACTTTGGGAACTCATCAAGAATGCTCGTCAACTTCTCTGAAAAGGTGTCTTGTGTGAACTTGATCTTGCGCGCATAGAAATCTCGGATGCGAGAGATCTTGAAGCCTGATCGAATGACTGTGGGTGTCTTGCGCTGTGTGCGGGACAGGACAATGTCGAGAAAGTCGCCCACATTGGGGATTGGCTGGATCTACGCCTGTCAGTGATGTGCTTGTGAGATGAAAGAATGGAGCCCTACCGCCTTGAAGCCTGTTGCACTCATGGCGCTTGCTGGCTGTCTGCTTCTTGTCGTCGCAGTCTGCTGCTGCTGCTTTCGTCTGCTGCTTGAGAAAAGAAAAAAAAGTTTTGAAGTTTCCCGCGACCAGACAGGAGCAAGCGGTAGAACTAGCTGGAGCTGTACTGCTGCTGCTGTAGTCTAAATCTATGCATATGGTCATCTAGTACCACGGATATTGAGTCGTGAGTAGGGCCTATTATATCGGCTCCTGCCCTATTCACCTGATTCAGCCCAGCTTGCTCTATCTCTTCCTGGTCGCTTGTCTGGTCCAAGCACTGAAAAGCGCGCTAGTCATGTCTATGTCATGTCTATAGAGTCTGCTCGTGCTGGCATATCCTCTATAGTCTAAGCTGTCATCAGCGCTTCTCCTGCCTTCCTGCGTCCTTGCTTCTCATACTTACAACATCAAGCCGCATTGGTCCATCTGGTGACGACGACGCGTACGCGTACAGTACATCGACCCCCGAGTCATCACACAAGCTGAGCATTGTACAACAGCTATCATGGACGACATGGATCCAGAGACAGTGAGGCTGCTTCTCCTTGCAGACCCGCGCATGATGTCTGAGCTACAGCGCGCTCAACCCTCTCTCGCACACGCAGCACAACATGACCCTTCCGCCTTTGCGCAACAATGGCGCACACTACAACACGGTCGCCAAGCGCAAGAGTATGAACGGCAGCGACAAATACAAGCGCTGAATGACGATCCATTTGATGTGGAAGCGCAGCGCAAGATCGAGGAGATTATCAAGCAAGAAGCCATCATGGAGAACTTGAATAACGCTGTTGAATATCATCCCGAGTCCTTTGGGCAAGTACACATGCTCTATGTACCGTTGCAGGTGAATGGACATCATATCAAGGCTTTTGTGGATTCAGGCGCACAGATGACCATCATGTCGCCGAAATGCGCAGAAGCGTGTGGTCTTATGCGGCTGGTGGACACACGCTATGCTGGTATGGCGCATGGTGTTGGTACTGCCAAGATCCTCGGCCGTGTGCATTCAGCTCAGATCAAGCTCGGGAGCCTCTTTCTGTCCTGTTCATTTACCATTTTGGAGGGCGATAAAGGACCTGAGATGCTACTGGGTCTGGATATGCTCAAGCGACACCAAGCTCGTATTGATTTATCTTGCAACAGTCTGTGTATTGGCGAGGAACAGGTGGCCTTTCTAGATGAGCATGCACTGCCGGCCAGTGCGCAACCGCCTGCTCCTGTGCCTGAGCCTCAAGAGTCGCTTGCTCTGGACAAGGTTCAGCAGCTTGAAGCAATGGGCTTCAGCAGGGCGGAGTGCATCCAGGCGCTTGAAGCGACGAATGGGTCTGTGGAGGAGGCTGCTGGCTTGCTCCTCTAGCGGGGTCTTGATGACTGCATGCTGAGTACTCATAGAAAGCAATAGCATCCCGTAGCTGCTGAGCACATCGCAGTGATCTCAAATTTATTTCAACTTCGCAACCTTCGCATGATTACCGCATGATCCTACGGCGCGCACTGGGAGGATGCTATCGATGCCGCTGCCTCATTCGACGATACAGCACAGACGACCGCGTCACCTTACACTCCCTCCTCCAAGATGCAGCCACACCCGCACAACGCACACTCGCATGGCGTGCATGGTCGGGCCTCTCACAAGATTTGCAAGCAACGCGCCATCAACTCCTTCACGCCATGCTGGGTGTCTTGACAACAGATCAAAAGCAAGATGCCCTCAGACTTCTGACTGTCCTCGATTCAAAACACGATGCGGATCAATTGGATGCAAAGCAACGCTTGTTCTATGGGTTTTGGGCGTATAGCGTGTTGGGCGAGACACAACGTGCTTGGCAATCTTTTGCAGGTCTGGATGCCCAGCTACAAGCGCGGCATGCTCAAACATTCATGAATCGAGTCGTTGAAGTAGGGGATTGGCTGACGGGCGTACGGATATGGCATGCTGTAGGTCGAGTTCGAGTGGATGAACTCCTCTTACTCATCCCAAATGTCGAGACGTTTCAATTTCTTGGTCACTTGCCGGGAGATGTGGCTGTCTTTCGGGAACGCATCAGACGTGAGGTGGTGGTGCATCTCAACCGCATCAACAAAACAGGTGCTGCCTATACGCTACTCAAACAAGCGTACGAGCAAGGAAGTCGCATCTCACAAGCGGAACTAGGAACGACCTTGTTCAAACTATCGCCACAGAACGTACTCACTCTATTTGATATGGCAAGTGGTCCATTCAATCATCGCATCTACATGGCTGCCATGTCAGCCTGTTCACAACTCGGCAAGATTGACCAAGCCAAACGCATCCTCGACCAGTATCTAGAGGAAAAGGCATATCTCCGCGACGTTCGGCCATCGCAAGACAACAAGCGTGATGCACTCACCCTCGTCATGTCTGGTTACGCGCGTCGTGGCCTCATTGATGAGGTCGAGGCGCTCTACACGCAATTCGATGGCGAAGCAGATGCATATATGCTAGGCACACGCATTCATGCTGCCGTCATGCAACTTGACTTGAATCGTGCAACTTCGCTCTTCAAAGAAGCGTCTGCCATGGTTAAACCAGATCGTGTGCTGTACAACATGCTCCTGCATATCCAATCGGATGTCATGGACGCAGACGCTGCGTCTCAAACTTTTTCCGCTTTGCTTGATGCAGGTTTTGTGCCGAGTGCGTATACCGCCTCCATCATGATTGACCTCTTTGCGCATAAACGCGATGCAGTAGGTGCACAGCGTGTCTTCGACGAAATGGAAGGACGTGGCGTTGTCTTCAATTCAGTCGTCTATGGCAGTCTGATGAATGCGTATGTCGAAGCAGGCGATACGACTGGTATGCGCATGGTCGTTGAGCAAATGCAGGAAAAGGGGATTCCACCAAACAGTAAAACGATGAATATCGTGCTCAAGTCGTACTTGCGAGAAGAACGACCTGTTGCTGATTCTCAAGCGCTTGTTGATGCCATGGAGAAGTCTGGTATTCAAGCAACAGACATCACCTTTTCACACTTTTTGCAGTCTCATGTCCGGCGAGACGATATGCGTGGTGCGGTCAAGACATTCAAGAAGATGCTTGATAGTGGCTTGACCCCCAACGAGTACCACTATACAATTATGATGCTGGGATTTGTCAAGATTCGTCAACTGGCAAGAGTAACGGAGTGGTATGAGGATATGCTCGACGCCGGCATCAAGCCTACATTTGCGACCCATGCAGTGCTCCTCAATGCCCTTGTTGAACGGAAAACGCGCGAGACGGTCCGTATCGCAGAGGGTATGCTTGATGCCATCTTGGCAGCACCTGGTCTTGACATTACCTCTCGTTTTGCTCCCAAATACATTGCTCCACCAGATGTGTATAACCCCGTCATCAAGGATCGTGCAATACGCATCGACATCAAGGGCGCCACGCGACTCTTTCGTGAATTCCTCAAAACGGTCGCTGAAACGACCTCTCGGCCGAATGTCCGCATGCTGACGTATATTCTAAAATGCTACGCATTGGCAGGCGAGACAAACGCCGTGAGGACCTTGTTTGTGGCTGCCAAAAAGGACGTGGATCGGATGTATCGTCTCAAACGTGGTCCACAACTCACGCAAGTGGCCAAAGGTGCTCGTTTCTTGCTCAGTCAGCCATTGACTGTCTTTATGAGCCATATGAAGCAAGATGGACATTATGATGAGATTGAACGTGTCTGGCATAGTATGCTGCTACAAGGCTACGCATTCGATGCAACAAATTGGAATTTGTACATTCAAGCACTGTTGGATGCAGGCAAGATTGAGCGTGCGTTTGCAGCAACAGAAACAATGAATATGCGAGTGTATCATAAGACGAAGGAGCAGCTGGCGGGTGCTGTGGCTCTACTGCAGTCTGGCAGTGTGTTGCAGACAGAGTATGGATTGGAGGAAGGTATTGAGGTCTGGCGTCGGCTTTCATCGCGCTTCCCGGTGACGTCGAAACTGGCCGATGCGACGACACCTGCGGAGGAGACACAAACAGCATAAAAAAAGGCATTTAGCATTTAATCATTATTGTACTAGCATCTCTGACGACTGCATGGAAGGGCCGTCGCTCAACTTCTATCGCAATCAATTGGAAACGGCGCTAGCACAGGTCGACCGATCCATTGAACTATGGGAAGAGCGGAGAGCGACATTTGTACTCTTGCTTGAGCAGTGGAAGGCTTTCCCTCAATTAGCGCAGAATCCCGTCGATGGTCTACGGCTCGACTGTATCCTCGTCTCTGGTTTTGAACAGCATGCTAATGGATAGTCCTGGACCAAGAACTACAAAAGCATCAAACGCAGCGTGGTAAATGTCAAGAAAACATCAAGAAGTTCGATGATTTGGAACGCCAGATGCGAGCATTGGCCGTGAACGATGTTCCAGTGACGGATGTACAAACCGGAGAAGAGTGTATCGATATTCGGGAGGAGTTGGATGACGACGACAATATCACATCAGTCAAATTGACGCCGCAACGGCATGCTGTGCTGGATGCTGTTGCCGCTGTTGAGCCAGCGCTCAAGGACTCATCTATGACAGAGCCTAAGGTGAACGGTGCGTCGAAGGAGATCCCACCGCAGCGGGAGAACACGAAAGTATCTCTAGTCGAGCCAAGCGTTGACGAGGAAGCTGCGATGACACCACCTGAAGGAATGCCCACGTTCACACTTGTGGCTGGACCAGATGGCCAAATGGAGATGGTAGCAGACAATGCAGGCATGGTGCCACAGGTTGCCATGTTCGACGACCTGCAAACCATGAATGAGATTTGCGAGAGTATGGAGGATGAGGAGGATTTGGAGGAAGATGAGTATGGACGTACTCGGGTGGAGATCCCAATACCAACGTCGCTTGAACGGAAAAAGAAGATTGTCTTTGCAGAAGAACTGCATCAAGGTCCATCTGCCGGCAAGCTCAGGCCTACGACGCCAATCCTTAAAAGACAGACGAAGTATCCCTTGCCTGACGAGGTACCGAGAGAAGCGATTGGCAAAGGCAAAGGAAACCTCGCTAACCTCGATCTGGATCCCGAAGATGGCGCCGAAAAGAAACCCATGATCATCAGACGGCTGACGGACGATGAGCTACAGGTGATTCGACAGAAACGTCAAGCATTAGGCAAAAAGCATAAACGTCGCAAATCTGCAGATCCTCAGCATCCCGTTCGTTCCGATTCATGGGATGAACATCAGCAAGACTTGCCAGATCGACCACAGACTGCCATTGGAGATGCGGATACCAAGGAATCAAAAGTGGCGAGAGCAAAAGAGTTGCTGGCTGCTCAGAATGATATCGCTTGGGCCAATGCGCCCATTTCACCAGATGATTCGCCTCAAATCAGGCCGACTGTGGTTGCGCCCAAACCACGCAAGCCGCCGACACCAGAACGTCAAGGCTCGTGGAATGTTAATATCCCATCGCCACTTTCACAGTCTACGGTTCCATCGCCTGCCAAAGAAGTGGCATTTTCTGAGACTGTCACTGCCAAGCTTGCTCCGTTGGCGGATGAGGTGGTTGTACCGACTGTTGTTGAGCGACGAGAGCGGAAGAGACCGCCTGCAGATAAGCAGCCATCGCGACAGTCTTCTATTGATCCTATGGTCTTATCACCGACTCCACGCTCTCCGCCACCACAAGATCGCGAGCGTGGTCCAGTGACAACTGAGGGACAAGGCAGTGTCTCTCACTATATGGTACGCAGTACGGCCAAATCACCACCGCCACATATTGCAATTCATGATCTTCTCGGTGATCAGCCTGCGGAAGTCAATGATGCTGTTCGAGGAGAAGCCTTGGGTTTTGTTGAACCACAAAAACCAGCGCATCCAGATGAGATTCTGCCTACATCAGTCAAAGACCATCAAGTCATGACGGACGGCGTTGTTGAACGGAACGCGATGCCAATACTCTTGTCAGAGTCGCAGCAAGATGAGGCTGACTTGGCGATGCACAAGAAGGAAGCAGCACAAGCCTATCACAAGCTTAGGTCACGCATGATTCAAGCGCAGGGCGGCTATATTGAACAGGAGGAGGAGGTGGAGGATGTTCCGCTGGAGGAGAAGCCAAAAATGAGCCGGTTCAAAGCCGCACGCTTAGCAAGAACGCAGTGAATAACGAATGGTGCAGAATGCTTGTATCGATTGTAGATTAGTGTTTCAGATATTGCCTACTGCCAGCCCATCTGAAAATTGCATAAATTGTATATAATTCCATATTGGACTTAAGATTGTGGCGAGTCTATTGCAGCTTTGGCCGAGTTGGTTATGGCGCCACGTTCAGGTCGTGGTCTCAGCAATGGGGCAAGGGTTCGAATCCCTTAGGCTGCATGAATTTTTTATTTTCTCGTCAGCTCTCGGGACTCCGCATGCGTCGTTCAAGTACCGATGGTCAAGACATCGCCGTGAGTCAAGTACCTTGAGCATCTTGCCTGACCCAATTTCGTCTGAAGATTCATGTATTCTCCTGACCTGCATCTATTTGCCGTTGCCCGTCACCAGGAGTCGCGCAATTGAACTTTCGGCGCGCGACAGGAAAACAGCAAAAGTGAAATCTAATCAGACTCAACCAACTAGCAGGCTGCCATGAAGTGGATCTCTCTTGTCGCTGCTTTGACACAGCTTGTGTCAGCACAGTCATCTACGTCTGCATCGACTGGACTGTCCCCTGATCCCTCAGCAACGGCATCAAGAGCATCAGCAGCAAGTGTCACTCCTTCATCTGCAAGACTCAACGCAGTACCCTCTTATGACGCCAGCCGCAAATCAGTGGTTTATGTGACCAAGACGGAAGCTTCCACATCGCAAGGGACACAAGCGCCTAGCAATAGTTTCCTGGATTGTCCTGCAGGCAGTGCCAATATGACGGGTCCCTTCTGTCTGCCTCTCAACGGCACCCAGCAAATCAAAAACAAAGAGTACAGCGTTACTTGGGATAGTTCCTTTGCGCCGAATTGCTCAAGTGTCTATGTTGCGCTGCTCTATTATGGCAACGAGGCCGGTCAACTCGTGACATCGACTTCTACAAGCAATAGCTTAGGTTTCTGGAATTACACGGTGCAGGGTAGCTGGTTGGAGAGCAAGAGCACGCAAGAGGTGGTCTTCCAGATCTTGCCGTATGATTGCAGCGGTGATATTCCAGCACGGCAGAATGGGCCCATCATTCAGCTACGCAACAAGGTCGAAACGACGGTTGTGTCGTCTGCGATGCCCAAGGACCGTATCCTTGGATTATCTATTGGCTTGCCTCTTGCACTGTTGGCCTTCTTGGGGACTGTGCTGCTTGTCTTTTGGTGGAATAAGCAGCATCGGCAGATTCCGCAGTTTTCACGTAAGCGTCGTGGGTATACAGGTCGCAAGGAACGCGGTGTGCGACTCCAGGAGATGAACCCGGATGCCGAGTACCGCGACTAGTGCTTGTTGCAGGTATAGCTTGGTGTAGACACTGTCAGACACACATAATCAATGAGTTACACTGTTACACAGTAGTCATCACTGGCACTCGGCCTCCCGCCGCTCTCTGCCGAAGAACTGTCGCCCGCGGGTGAAGTGTCCCCGGCCCCCGGAAGTTTGCATGTGAAGCGGACAATTTGCTTATTAGATCTCGATCCCCCCGCGCTTTTCCTCTCTTCACTGCCTACTCATCACGCGCTACTGCTGCCATGTCCATTCGTCTAGCTCGTGCTGCTCGTACTGCTCTCGCTGCACCCAGGCTCATCCGGTCATTCAGCGTGGCTCGCATCGCTCGTCAGGAAGATGTCGTCCCGGGACCTCTGTTTGCATTGACCGAAGAGGAAGAAATGATGAAGGACTCTGGTGCGTTCTTCTATATATACAATAGTACTGGCTAATCCCTTTCAGTGGCTCGATTCGCTCAGGATGTCGTGGCGCCCAAGGTGTACGAAATGGATGAGAAGGAAAAGATGGATCCAGCCATCATCAAGGGTTTGTTTGATCTCGGTCTCATGGGCATTGAGACATCAGTGGATCATGGTGGTGCAGGTGCTTCCTTCACCTCTGCCATTGTCGCTATTGAAGAACTTGCTAAAGTCGACCCAAGCGTGTCTGTCATGTGCGATGTTCACAACACACTCGTCAACACGGTCCTGCGTAAGCATGCGACCAAGGAACTTCAAGACAAATATCTCCCTCAACTCTCGTCAGAGAAGATTGGGTCATTTGCATTGAGTGAGCCAGTTTCGGGATCCGATGCCTTTGCGCTCAAGACAACAGCCAAGAAGAATGCAGATGGCGACTACATCATCAACGGTGGCAAGATGTGGATCACCAACGGCGGTGAAGCAGAAATCTTCCTCATTTTCGCAACAATGGACCCATCCAAGGGTTACAAGGGCATCACTTGCTTCCTTGCCGAGAAGGAGTGGGGTGTTCAAGTTGCCAAGAAGGAGATCAAGCTCGGTATTCGCGCTTCCTCCACCGCAGCCATCAACTTTGATGACTTGAAAATCCCAAAGGAGAACTTGGTCGGAAAGGAAGGCGAAGGCTACAAGATCGCCATTGGCATCCTCAACGAAGGCCGTATCGGTATCGCTGCACAAATGACAGGTCTCGCGATGGGATCTATGGATAAAGCACTCAAATACTGTTTCTCTGACCGTAAACAGTTTGGTCAGTACATTGGTGACTTTCAAGGGATGCAACACCAATTTGCCGAATCAGCCGTTGAGCTGGAAGCTGCACGTTTGTTGACGTACAATGCATCGCGTCTCAAGGAGGCGGAAATGCCATTCGTTAAGGAAGCAGCCATGGCTAAGCTTTATGCATCGCAAGTCGCACAGCGCGTCAGTGGCAAGTCGATTGAATGGATGGGTGGAGTTGGCTTCACCCGTGAACTTGGTATTGAAAAGTACTGGCGTGATAGTATGATTGGCAGTATCTACGAAGGTACTAGCAATATTCAAAAGACCACTATTGCCAAGTTCCTCGCGGCAGAGTATCGTAAGTAGAGTAAACATAGCCATAGCATTGCAAATAGGATAAAAAAGGTTATCATTTGGAGACTGAATGTCTGCCCATTGCAAGCGCCGCAACGAGTGAACAGAGCCCGGCACCGCCATAGAGATAGAGTGACGCATACCGTTGTGTATTGTGATAGACCATATCAAATGCAGGAGCAGCTCCAAGCCCAATAGGTGACGCTTGCGTATCAACAATGGTTGCATTAGCAGACGAGAGTTCCCGAGCAGCAGCAGCAAGTGCAGCAGCTACACTGCGATCCACAAAGATCTGGAACTCTCCTTGAAAAATGAGTCCGTACACGGACGTTCCAATCACAGCGCCCAGCGATGTGGCTAGATTCATCAAGCTTGCTGCAGCGCCAAATCGAGATTCAGGCACATACTCGAAAATGAGCGCCATGCCCATTGCAAAGGTCAAGCCAGCGCCAATGGAAGTCATGCTGTAGGAGAGGTGAATCAGGTAAATACTCACATGCTTTGAAAAGGCATAAAAAATGACACTGCCAAGGATTTGTAGGATGGATGCGATAACGCCAATGCCTTGCGCCCACCGCGGTCCCTGATGATAGAGTCTCGCAGCGAATACTGCGGCAATGGATCCAAGCAAGATGCTCGGTAGTTGAAGTGCCGCTGCTGTAAATGGACTATGGCCGCGAACGACTTCCAAGTAGGGTGGCGCATAGAATGTACCACTGACGATGAGCAACGCCGGTGAAATGGTAAGAATGACGAGGGACATGAGCATTCTTGGATGCTTCTTGATGGCATTCATAGGCAGCATCTGATTCTCCTCTGGCTGGCGAATTTCAGTGTAGATGAATGCAGCTGCCAAGATCGGGCCAAGGATGTAGCATGAAATCAAGAGTGGTCCCTTGAAGGAGAGCACGCCAGTGTATCGTCCACCGGTCAGAGGAAGAAGAAGAAAGATGAGGCTGGCAGAGTGCAGTGATATTCGCACAGGACACAGCTCCATCAATTGACTCCACCGCGCAGGCCGTCTTCTGAGCGCTGGAAACATAGCCACCATGGGTATAAGCAACCCCTGAATGGGCACACTCACCCAAAAGACCCCTCTCCAGGCTTGATTGACGCGCAGGGCAAGCAGACCACCAGAGACTAGCGGAGAGACCTTGATCATGATTGCATACGCACCGCTGATGAAGCCGAGATAGAAGGCCCGAGTCTTCTTGTCCGGACAGATAATGGCAAGTACCGTCGCATTGCCAACGATGATGCCAGCACGAGACAGTCCCACGAGGCCCTGGCCAGCAACAAGGACAATATACTGATTTGAAAGAGCTGAAACAATGCTGCCAACGATAGACAGGACCAGACAGATGAGCAGCAGCGCCTTTGGTTCGAATTGATCATACGCCTTTCCAAAAGCGACAACGCCAGTGACTTGTGCAAGAGCTCCCACCGTGCCCATCCATGAAAGCTCTCGTTCTGCATGAAAGAATGTAGCAATAGTCGTCGCTGCAACGCCAATAACTTCTGCTTGTAGGCCCGCGCACAGCATACATATGAGGAGCGTCGCAAGAATGAGTTTTGTCTGTCTCGGAGTGCAGAACCTGAAGGTAGCTTCATCGAGGTCGGTCGCTGCGGGTGTTACAGCCTCGTCCGCCTTCATAGCGAGTCGCCTGCAGCAGGAACATGACGGCTGCCAGTTCGAAGTGTACTCTGTGTGCTTTTCGTGCTGCGACGCGGAGTGTTCCAGGAGCAGTGCGCGATCCATCCTCGTCATCCACAACCAACACAACAGGATATTCAGCTCAATGGGTCTATTTGGCAAGAAGAAGGAGAAGCAAGTGACGCCAGAGCCAGAGCAGGTCACCCCGGACTTTAGTAACGTCCCCAGACCGCCTACTAGCACCAAGGTCGAAGCGCAGGGCACGGACTCTGGATTTGCACTCTATAAAGGTCGGGATGCGCCGCTGTCTGCTGATCCCTTAGAGGCAGCCGCCCAGCGCAAAGCACGCAAAGATGCAGAGATTCTAGACGCCATCTTTCAGGCGTTCGGGCGTATGTTGCCCACTTACGGCTCCAAGATGAAGTCGTTTATGCCGCTCACGACCAGCGATTATGCATTTAACGAAGGCGAATACAAGGATCGCTACAAGGACATTGAGCGGCAAGTCTGTGCACATATGGAACAAAAAGGCTGGAGGGCAAAGGAGTTCAAGATTAGAGACAGCAAGGAACGCAGCAAGTCTACACTGACCAAGTTCTATCCAGAAGTCAAGTGGGTTCGTGGCCACCGTTGTTTGCGTTTCAGAAGCTAACGGCAGCATGTGATGGAACCTGGAACGTTCAAGACAAAGTAGCGTTTCACAGTCAGCTAAAAGAAATCAACGTGTTCTCTTCTACCTGGCATGCATCTCGCCAAGGCTTCACAGCCGCCTCGTCCATTTTCCGTGTGGGTGCCCAATGTCAAAGATGAAGAAAAGTCAGATACGGGGACAGTCGTTGCTGATGAGTCGCCTGCCGGCGGTCGCTGGATCGAACTCTTCTATGACCTCTTCTTTGCTGGATCTCTTTCTGTCTTTTCGCGAACGCGTGAAGTAGCACGCACACGCGACCTCATTGACCTTGCTGGCTTCTTTACGATTCTGTGGTGGACTTGGTCCTCGCAGACCTTCTTTGATGTGCGTTTTGCTCGACCGGGACTCGCTGGGACATGGCTCAAGTTCGTACAATCATTCTTTTTCGTCATGTACGGCGTCTTTGAGCTCAAGTTTACTCTCTTCAACTACGAACACCACGGCGGCGGTATGGAATCTGCTCGCAAGCGTGCGAGTCCACGCATCGCTGCCATAGTCATCGCAGGCGTCTTTGTGACTTCACGAATCTTGCTTGCTTTGCAACACCTTTGGGTCGCTCGTCGCAGTAAGAGAGAACATCGCAAGTCGCTCAAAATTCTTGCTGGTTTGCAGCTCTTCTCTGGTGCGTTGTGGCTCGCCTCTATTCCTCTCAGCAACCGCATGACCAGCTCGGGCTTTGCTGCCATTCGTACTGCCCTTTGGTATGGTGGCATTCTCATTGAAGCAATTGGGTCGCTCGCTGTACGCGCTACAGCTCATGGCTTTGAGCACACCCATCTTAATGAACGATACGGCGCCTTGACGACCATCATTGTGGGTGAAGGCATCATCAAGCTCGTGTCTGTCCTGAAAGACATTCTTGAGGGCGTCAGCATGAATGCCAAGTCTATTCTAGCCGTCGCATCGAGCGTCACTTCTCTCGTACTTGTGTGGGCTCTCTACTTTGAAGGCTTCGAGATGCACGACAAGATCAGTAAAATCAGGGCATACTGGTGGAGCTATGCACATTACTTCTTTCACTTGTCGCTAGTCTTGCTGCTGGATGGAATCGTCTCGCTTGTGCTGTTTCAAAACTGCTATGCTGGCTCTCAGGCTTTGCTCGACTCGTCTCGTGAAGCGAGTGTCATGGCAGACTTATTCCAGGTCAGGCCTGGCAACAATACGCTGACGCTTGGCAAGCTGACCTTTGACTACAATACCGACACGACACACATGTATGCAGCTGGTACTGAACTCACGCAATCACAGTACGACTATGTTTACATGCAGCTCTTCCAAAGAGTCTTCAAGAGCTACGGCGTGCGCGTTTCGGAAGGGTACATGGAATTACTGGCTGAGCTTGCACCCGACGAGGTCAGCGCATCGACGCTAGAACGTAGTCTACGCATGCTTCTCCGACAATTCTTCGTCTCTGCGCAGTCTGCCTTGCTTGCGAGCGCTGCTGTCTTGCTGTTTATGATTCCCATTATGATTTGGCAGAATCGTCTGCAACCCGGCAACTTTTCACGCTTCTTCCCAACAGGAAGTCGTGGACTCATTGGCGCTGCCTTACTTGGCTTTGGTATCTTTGTCGATGCACCGGGCGGTGCCATCCTCGGGAAACTGTTGACGTCTGGCTGGCTGCTACCGGCACTGACGGTCGTTCTTGCAATAATTTACCTCATTGACCGATTGACGTGGAGCGTGCTACAGTATCTCATCTTTTAGTCTGGACGCGTCTTACATGACTGATGGACGCGTTTCACGTTAATAACACCATTGTCTTATGTCGCCCGCGCATTGTGCTCATTCAACTGCATTGTTGATATTCGTAAAGTGAGCACTTGGCAAAGTTGACAGCTGTCCGAGCCTGTCCCTGGCCTGGACTTGAATTTCGGCTCAACTGCGCCGAATCCGGATTTGCCTACGCCCAATTCGACGCCGCAAGCAGCCATTCGAGGGGAAATCCATGCTCGCGAGCGAATCAATCACCAGCAAAAAAGCTTCTCTTCCACAGAAACAAAATCTGACTCAAAATATGCCAACGAGCTTGACATATGACAGTGGACAATAATGTGTTGGCTTGAGCCAAGGATCCAAAGATAATGCTTATGAGTTATGGCGCCCTCGCGAGACGGCAGGACCGCCTCGTCCACTACATGTCTACATCTAGCTACACGCGCCGCTCGGTCGGTATATAGGGCCAAGGCCTGCTCATTGCTCCATGTCATTAACGGCCACTTGCACGGCCACTTCTTTTTGGGTAGACGATGCTTCCCCTCTATGCTGCACTATTAGCATCTGCTGTATTACAAGTACAAGCACAAGGACCTAAACCTATCAAAACGTCCGTTGCGGTTGCTCGTCCAAAGCCCGTCACGACATCTGCACCAGTCGGACGTCAGCCGCCAGCAACGACATCAAAGTCCAGTAGCTTGACCACCTCAACGACAAAGCCCGCAACGACGAGTACCACGAGTACGACCTCAACGACAAAACCGCCGACGTCAAGTAGTACGACGACCAAACCACCAACGTCAAGTAGTACGAGTTCATCAGCTGCTCCACCACCAGCAACATCGACCCAACCGGCCCCTGTACAGGCGAATACGTGTTATGCCGATAATGGTCAAATGACGGGTGATGCCACCACGAGCGACCAAATGACACCTCAATACTGCGCCTCATTTTGTACGGATCGCGGTTTTGCGATTGCAGGTACAGTACAGGGCAATAAATGTGTGTGCGGGCATGTCATGCCAACTGCCGCTTCAGTGGGTTGTACAATGGCTTGTTCAGGCAATAGTAATGTCAAGTGTGGGTCTTCAGGCTCTGGCGCATTATCTTATTCAGTTGTCAATACACCCTTTTCAACGACACCCACAACGAACAGTAAGCGCGGTTTAGACTGGCCTTGGGATAATCAGGCATACTCGTTTGCTGCTTTTAATCCAGTCAAAGTTCCTTGGTTGTATAATTGGGAGATGTGGGATCCACGCGGTGCAGAATTCCCGTACGCCGGTGCTGAATATGTGGGCTTGTGCAGGACAAAGGATAATATCCATCAAATCCCCTGGTACTACAATGCTCAGAACCATGGTCCCAAGTATCTCATGGGTTTCAATGAACCAGACTTGCAAGGCAGTGATACGGCTTTGAGTGTTTCGGATGCTATTGGACTGTGGCAGACGAATTTCATGCCCCTGAAAGCCAACCTGGGGACAATACTCGTCTCACCGGCTGTGACGAATGCCAATGCACCTGGCTGGGGTATCGACTGGATGAACCAATTCGTTGCTGGGTGTGGAAGTAATTGCTTTAGTGTGATTGCATTGCACTGGTATGGATACCTGCTGGCTGATTTCATCAATCACTTCAATGCATGGCATGCAGCGTATCCAGGGTATCCTATTTGGATCACAGAATTCGCCTTTACAGACCACGATGTCACTGCAACGGAGAATCTTTCAAGAATGGCCATGGCATGGATGGATCAACAACCTTGGATCCAGCGGTACTGTCTCTTTGGCCCAATGGGTCCAGCACGCATGGCAGGAATTGTCAATTCGGCCATGTTGACGAGTGACGAGCGTTCCTTGTCAAGACTCGGACAAATCTACATGGGTATTGTCTGAGGGCATCCTTAAACAGCATACTTTTCTTTCTCCTGTACATAGTTGAGCATTAGAAGCAATACATATACTGATGCTAGTCTGCACGTCTACTCCTCGTTCGTGAAGAGGGAGAAGATGTCGTTGTGGCAGTCGTTGTTGCACTTTGCTTTTCAAGCAACGCAGCGGGACCTGCAGTCGTTGGCGCTTCTGCATCAAGTGTCTCTACGCTTCCCGTGTGTTGCTTATTCTCATCGCCCATCTTGCCAGCTGGCCAGGGATGTGTTGTGACTTTTTGTCCTTGTGCTCTAGGGCCTTGGTTAGCTGTTTGTTGCCTTTTCCTTGTGAGACTGATTTGGTCGACGCACTTCATTTGTTGATGGACTTGTTCTTGCTGCTTACGGAGCAAGGTGATGATGACACCGATACAAAGGGCAATAGCAGCAAAGATAAAGATGAATGGCACCATGTTACTGTCGAGTGATAAGAGTGAATGTACAAGAGTGTCAAAAGCGTCACGTCACTGAGAGGAGTGGAGGACGAGATGGGCATTACGCGTTTAATTTTGAGAAAGCAGGAAGAAAGGAAGAGCTATGACCAGGGAGAAGAGATGCCGTGCTGATGCATTGCTCGCAAGCAGGTAAAGAAAGAAAGTAGAAGATGCTGGTCGTGTTGTTCATCAACGTAATAGACGGAAGTAGAGCTCTGTCTGGCATGAAGCATAGAGGCATGAGTCGTGAGTTGTGAGTTGTGTGTGTGCGTGCTCGATGTCTTGTATAAGGTGCAGAGTACCGAGGCAGAGCAGCAGCAAGTGACTGAGCACCTAGAGGAGCGACATGAGACCAGCCATAGCAGCGACGCCAAAGAGAGAGCCAGTCACTTGCACCATGGTCGAACCAGAGACCGGAGCAGGAGGCAGTGCTGGTAGTACTGTTAGCAGCTTGCATTGATAGAGCAGGCAGTGTGTAGCTTACTTGGTGTCGTGACGTTTGTGCCATTGAGACGCGTCGAGTTGCTTGACACGAGTGCATTGGATCTGCGGGGAGTCAGTATGGTGCTAGCAACAGTATGTCTCCTGGTTTGCGTCGCTGTGAGTTCCACAAGCACCAAAATCAGACGCAGCAGCCTTGTAGGACTCGGAGGAAGAGTGCTGGACTTACCCTGCAACCAAGGCGAGGGCGAGAGAGGTGATCTGGATGAATTGCATAGCTGTTGTCTTTCTGGGAGAGATGTAATGAGGTGTCTGGCGAAGAGCGAGTGTAGATAGCGCAGAGAGCAGAGCGAGTGGCAGTAGGAGGAGTGTGTGGTTCGGGGGAAGGGAGAGGAGAGTGGGCGGTGTGCTGCTTAAGTAGACAGAGATCGAGGAGGAGAGAGCATCGTCATCAAACAGCAGACACACCCACAGCCTCAATCCTGCTCTGTATCATAGAGAGTGCTTAGATAGGGTGTACAGGTATAGAGAGAGTGTCTAGCTAGAGTACTCCTACGACTGTGCGAGTGTACAGCGCACAAGTCACACAGTCGGACAGGGCGTGTCATGAGATTGGCGCCTGACCTGAGCAAGAGTAGCACCGTTGTATAGAGCAGCACAGGTATAGTCCTGCTCTGTGTCTCTCGCCTGCCTCTCTCCCCTGTCTTGTGTGCTGAGTCACTGCTGACTTGATAAAAGCTGCTGTGTGTGTGTGTGCTGTTTGCTTGTCTCCTTTTTCCCTTTTTTCTTTCCCTTTCTCTCCCTCTCTCTCGTCCTGTTTGCTCCCCCTCCAGCGCACACTCGAGGGTCCAGACTCTGATCCACTCTGCTCTACGCTGCTGTCCTTGCCATGCTCTCCTGCTTCCCTCAACAACGGCCCGATACTCCTGACCTTGGCATAAACAACACCGCCGAGGTCCATCCATCGCAGTGCGTGCTCAAATGACCCTCTGATGCCATATACAGGCACGCTCAAGCTCCATCTCTCACTTGAACATGCTTGTATCAGCTTCCCGCAGATCAAGAGCCATTGTTCAACGACCTACAACGACCATGAGTGACGAGGTGGACTATGGTGACAGCAGCACTTGGCAGTCCCAGCCCTGTCGCAGCATCTACATACTGGATGGTATGAGCATCACTTCCCCAGATGGCGGGTGGATCAGACTCACGCATGAGGAGCTCGCCTCCCAGGGCCTTGAGATTGCTCGCATCAAGCGCATCAAAGTCCAAGGCTGCTGGGTCGATGCGATTGAGCTGGCCCGTCTGTAGAGCACGGCCGCTGCTCTAGGCAATCTCATACCCATGACTCATTTGCTCGACAACATCACTTGCTTCACGGCCCTCCGCCTAATGTGAAGGTTGCTTCTGGCAATCCTCGTCTTCTTCTGGGGGATTCGCCGTGTCGCTGCTCCATCATTCATGACTCTTCGTCCTGTCCTCCAGCGCATAAATGGAGGGACATGGCCATCCCCCTCTCATCGCCCTTTCTCATCTTCATTCAAGCAACCATCCTCTACTTACCTCTTCCTCATCAACTTGTACAAGTATGCCTTCTCCCCCTCGCTCATCTCGTAAGACGCTTGACACGGACTCGCCAGATGTCAAGTTGAAGAAGGACCTCGCTCGAGAACGTAATCGCATCCACAAGCAATCTTCGCGCCAGCGCCAGCGAGAATCGCAGCTTCAGACGGCAACCGTCGCCCACCACGCTTCCTCTCCTGTGGTGTTGCCTTTCCTTCGTGGCACTCAAGCTGATTCGGGCCCAGCTGTATACTCTCACCGCATCTCTCAGCCAGTGACAGTTGTCGCTGAACAGCTGCCTCTCGTTCCGTACGCTACACTCTACCCAGACGCACCACCCACCGGTCAACAAGCTCTTCAACGAGCACTTGCTTCAGCTGCACTCCAAATGGCTATTGAAGCTGCTTCCAGGACCATTCAAGCCCAACAACCTACAGAGATCCTTACTGCTGCTTCCAGACCAACCTCCGCAGCAACCTCTTCTACAGATGCTACTCAGGTTGAGAAGGAAGCATGTGCGCTCGACTCGTCCTCACAACCCATCTCAGTCACTTCGACACCTGTCTTGCGCAATGAGCCAGTCATGCCAACAGTCCCTCACACCACCCTTCCTCCCAATATCCTCAAAGCGCTCGAAGTACTCAACGCCCATGGCATCACAGGAAGGAGCGCGCCGCCTACACCTCCTGCAACTGAAGTCGGACATACACCGACACCTACAACGTCGCCAGAGCGTCTGTCTCGTCCTACAGGACCCTGTCCCTCTCCTTCTACTGCACCGTACTGGTCCACCGTCCTTGCACCCATCCAACCTCAACATCGGCAACCAGTGGAGGACAGACCACAGTATATCTTACCTCGCGTGGCAAACATGCCTCCTGCAGTCTTGGAGCCCAATACCTGCACGACGCTGGATCAGATGCACAAGATCATGCCATTCCCCAACTGTTCGTTGTTTGAGGCATTGACACGACACAAAGCTGCGGTGGATGCGGTTCATGCGCGATTCGACACGTACTCTACTTGATGGCGTGCGCGCTTGCTCCTTTTCATCACTGCGCTGGCGATCCATCTGTCTGAATGTCTGCTGTACGAGTACCTCTTCATCATTCATAATACTAAAAATACTTTTGACCTACTTGCATTGGCAACCTGCCTTCTTTCCGCTTATGCACCTCCCATCGATCAATCCACACCTTCATCTTCTCCCTCGACTTGGCACTCCCAATATTAACCGTTGGTATCACCCGTCCCAAATCCGCAGAGAGGCAAAAACACATCAACTCGCGAAAGGAGCTATGCTCACTATACGCAACACCAAACATCATGGATGTATTCGTACTGCCACGCGCTGGATGCATATCTCGAAAATCATACGTCGGTTTCCATGATAGAATCTGTGACACACTCGGTGAATCCAGTAATCGTGTTCGAGGAGGCGCATACGTCCATCCCGTACCTCGAAACCCAACGACCCTTGCGAAATGCGGTGCAAGCGAATCACAGTATGCTTGTAACGTTTCAGCACGGATTTCTTGCAGGTAAGTCATGTGGACTTGTGCTTCTGCTGGATCTGCCGTGACGAGGGAGGCAAGAATTGGATCTTCCAGACACGCCAAAATGTCACGTTTCCGGTGATCTGCGTAGATCTTAGAACCGAGTGCTTTTGCAATTCCAACAACAATGCGTTCCTTGCCAATGGAGTAGGTTCCTACCACAACCAGTAACCTTCCTTTTGGCTTTGCTGGTACAGTCGCAGGCGCAGTACTCACCAAATTGTTGTCCTTCTTCAAAAACTTATCCAGCCCATGAACCTGTCGTGCCTCACCCACAGGATTCTCCTCTGGTTTCAAAATCCCAGCAAGATCCTTACACACATGACAACACGCCTCAATCACCTCTTCTTGTGAGGGAAAAGCGTATTTCGGTGCAAGGTAAGTTGTATCGAGGTACAATGCATCGATTCGCTTGCCTGCTATAGCAGGATGCATCAGCTGCGTTGGTGTCGCTCTGAAATCACCACAATGCAGGTAGCGTAGTATTTTACCCCTGACTTCACCTTCGAAAAAGAAAAGTGTTGAGCCGGGACAGTGATTGGCATCAATGAGTGTGACTGTCACGCCATTGATCATGTGTGGTGTGTTCATGTTTAGCTTGACGATGTATTCTGGCTTGACGCGGAGTTGTTGGATACATAAATTGCCGGTGACGGTCGAGCAGTAGATGGGTCCAGCATCCCACGACGACGATAATCCACCATAATGATCTGAATGGAAATGTGAGAGGTAGTAGCCCCCGATACCTGGTACACGACCATACTTGAACGCATCAACAGCAATGGGGAAAGGCGAAAGGATCTTGTAAAACGGACAAACGCGTGTCTTGTAACGCGTACCTCGTTGAGCCAACTCCGTCTTGGCGGCATCGGCCCAGCGTTTTTCTTCAGAGTGTGAGACCATTAGTAATTTGTAGGCATCCTTGCTGCCATCGGCAGTCAGTGAGTCTTCTGCTTTGAGGCCAGGCTTTTGATCCGGTATTGGCTTCAGGTCAGGCTTTGCATCCGAATCTTCCTGGAATGAAGACGCATCACGCGATAATGATGGCTTGCTGTCAAAGTCATCGATTGCTTCCTTCATGTGCAAGGTGGACTCGCGAGATAGAGCAGGTTGCTCGTTTGACGCCTCCTTCTTGATGTGTAGTGCTTCTTCAACAGCACTCTCGCGCTGAACAGTCGCATCCACGAGATTCTCCCCATCAACGGCATTTTCCTCCTTGAGCGGCGCAGGCAAGTCTAAACAGGCATTGACATGCGCACTGCGATCGTGTTCAGCCATACTAATGAGCTGTTCGCCACAAACAGGACACAACACACTCTCTTCAATTCCTGCATCCGCTTTACCAAAATGCTCAGCATGATACTCCTGCCATGTCCATGTCTCATCTTCTCGACCCGTGTACGTCTCATCATCCAAATGATCCACTTCTTCCCTGAGCTCAATTTCCGTGTCTTGCTCTTCGCGGTACGCACCATCCTGGGAGGCTATCAACGCTGCAAACTCTTCATCTGTAGGATCAACACGATCATCATCATCTTCGAGTGTGAATGGTCCATGACTCGCTCCTGCTGACGTTGTCGCCACCGCCTTGACATCAGACGCCACAGCGATCGGTTCACCAATCGAGTCTCTCACAGGCGACGCGCTCATTCGTCCGGCAGGGTCCGAGGAAGTCTCGTCTCCGACAGGCGCTCTGAACAACGGCGCATCCTTTCGCAAATTTGGGTAGAAATCAAATAAGGTATTGCTCTGTGACGGTAAGACCTGTTTGCCACGTTTTGCCGGTGTCGCGCCGGTTCCTGTTGCTGTTGCTTTTGCGGGCGACTTGCGTGTCTTTGCGGGACTGGCTGAAGCTTGCTTTCGCTTCGTTGCGACCATACACCATGGATTATCGGGGTCAGTGGCAGTCAGTCGTCGTCGCCTACTCACGGCATAAGAGACGCGGGACAGTCACAAGATTTACAAGTGTATTGGGATGCTACAGCCTACGGGATCTGATCAAGCATACCTTCTCAGTGCAGACAGCTCGTCTAGCAGCTGTTGTAGCTGATCGTCTTCAATCTTGGTCGCTAGACTCGGTACCAGTGTCTTGGCCTCCTCTGCCTCCTCCAAGCCCAACGTCCCCAGCTGTGCCCGCTCAAACGGATGCAACATGGCCGCACTCGATAATATCCGATCAATGGCATGTGTTTGATCATCCTCTCGATACTTTGTAAAAGCATCAACATAGTTGAGCGTCTTTCGCATCACCTCCGTCATGGGCGCTTCTTCCCCCTGATTCTGTTGCCGCCTGTGTTCTCGAATGGCGCGAATCACGGCATTGGCTTCAGACATGGTGAGGGGTTGTGCATGCTCGAAATCAGGACCCAGCTGGAGCTTTGAAGCGTCGAGTTCTTCCTTTTGTTGGCCACGGATGAGTTTCCGTTGCGTCGTCATGCGCTTCTGTTCAAAATTCTTCCTTTTTCTCCTTGGATGTGGATGAAGGAGAGAGAGAGAGAGTGCCGCGTAAGAATGCGATGACGGGAGCGGTCTACAGGCCTTGGAGGGGCGAGCTTGCGTAGATGCACACAGAGGAGAAGCTGCTGCAGGTCGCGCGATGTTGAAAGTCGCAGATAAGTCAGGGTTAGGCAGAAGTCAAGAAGACTTAATTGACCTGCGCATATATAAACAGTGTTATAGGAGACTAGAACTTCGCACTCGCCTGGAAGGACGTACTCGACTGCAGCTTGGCAAAGAAATGTCTGAAATCATCCACCAGCACCTCAGGTGTCTCCGTTGCTGCAAAATGCCCTCCCTTGTCGTGCACATCGTACGAGACAATATTAGCCCACTTGTTGGCCCATGCTCGAGGCATTTTGTAAATCTCCTTGGGGAATAGAGATATGCCAACGGGCAACGAGATGTATGATGACACGACGCGATTCCCAGAAGCTCTGTTTTCCTTGTAGATGTGCGTTGCTGCTTTGCCATTCGCATAGTAGAGGAATACCCAAGTAATGATCTCCTCGTCTGTCCACGGGTAATTGTCTGTCCAAGCATCAAGCTTCTCACGAATCCAGGCAAGCATGCCAACAGGCGAATCAACAAGACCAAAATTGAGCGTCTGTGGTTTGGTCCCTTGAATGGCAGAGTAACCCGTACCACCCGAGACAAAGCGCTGCGTGTCTTCCAGGTCATCTAGTTCACGCTTACTGTATCCGCCCATCAGGAACTTGGCTGCCTCGAGAGGATTGAAGCGTGATGGAGAAGGAGTCGGAAACATGTTGACATGAATCGCTTTGCAATGATCGGTGTGCTTGAGCGCAAGCACTCGGCAGATGAGAGAACCCCAGTCACCACCTTGAGCAACATACGTCTTGTAGCCCAAATCTACCATGAGCTGATTCAGCGTGGCACCAATCTTGAACAAGTCGAATCCTTTCTGCTTTGGAGAAGAGGAGAAGCAGAAACCAGGTAGTGACGGAGCAACGACATGGAAGGCCTGCTGAGATGGATCCTTTGGCTCCGTCAGCAGTGGTAGAATCTTCTCCACTTCAAGGAAATTGCCAGGCCAGCCATGGATGAAGAGGAAAGGCACAGCATTTGGCCTGGGTGAGCGTTTGTGCACGAAATGAACATTAATGCTCTCTTGACCTGCAACGTGCACGTCTGCAGTGAATTGTGGCAGTTCATTGATGCGTGTCTCGACTGTGCGCCAGTCAAATGAAGTCTTCCAGTACTGGACTAGCCGCTTCACCTCTGATCCCGGTGTACCGTAGCTGTAGAGTTGATCGGCTGGTAGCTCAATCTCTTCGGGGAATCTTGTGCTTTCGAGTTTCTGCTGTGTTGATTTGAGGACATCCTCGCCGATTGAGACTTTGAAGGGCTTTGCACTGGCCATGTTGAGTGATGCAGGGCCTGTAGATTAGAGTTGTATCACTGTTGCCAGTTGCGGGGGATCGCCACTGCACTTCAGATGGGAAGAGTACTGCATGGCTATGTTCATTGTTCACTTCGCTACAACAGGCTGTCATCAGCATCAACCAGACTTGAAGACATCTCTGAACGCTGCACTCGTCTGTAATTTTGCATAAAACCGCCTGAAGTCATCCACGAGCACCTCTGGTGTCTCTGTCGCAGCAAAATGGCCTCCTTTATCATGAGTGTCGAATGTTACCACATGCGCCCATCGCCTAGCCCATGCGCGAGGCATCTTGTAGATTTCCTTTGGAAAGAGAGAAATACCAACCGGCAGTGAAATGTAAGATTCAAGGATCCGCTTGTTGGTCTCTTTACTTTCCTTGTAGATATGCGTCGCTGCTTTGCCTGTTGCATAGTAAAGGAAGACCCAAGTGATGATTTCTTCGTCTTCCCAAGCATAGTTGTCTGTCCATGCTTCGAGCTTTTCCCGGATCCAAGCAAGCATGCCAACAGGTGAATCAACAAGTCCAAAGTTCAGGGTGTGTGGTTTCGTGTCGTGAATGGCTGAATAGCCTGTCCCTGTTGCCACAAATTGCAGTGTGTCTTGCAAATCAGCAATCTCACGTTTATTGTAGCCACCAAGAACGAATCTCGCAGCTTCAATCGGGTTCAAGAGCGATGAAGGCGGTGTCGGGAACATGTTGACGTGTATGGCTCGACAATTGCTCGTGTGCTCGAGGGCAAGAACGCGACAAATCATGGATCCCCAATCGCCACCCTGAGCAACGTAGCTTTTGTAGCCTAAATCGACCATGAGCTGGTTGAGCGTCGCACCAATCTTGTAGAGATCGAATCCTGGTTGCTTTGGCGCAGATGAAAAGACAAAACCAGGTAGCGAGGGTGCAATAACGTGGAATGCCTGCTGAGAAGGATCTTTTGGCTCCGTCAAGAGCGGCAGAATCTTTTCAACCTCGAGAAAGTTGCCAGGCCATCCGTGAATGAAGAGAAACGGCACCGCGTCGGGCCTCGTCGAGCGCTTGTGCACGAAATGAACATTGATACTTTCTTGTCCCGCAACATGCACATCAGCAGTAAATTGAGGCAGCTCATTGATACGAGACTCCACTGAACGCCAGTTGAACGATGTCTTCCAGTACTCCACCAACCGCTTCACTTCCGAACCGGGTGTGCCGTAGCTGTAACGTTCGTCATCTGGTAGCTCAACTTCTTCGGGATAACGAGCACTTTCGAGCTTTTGCTTGGTTGATTGAAGGATGGCCTCGTCGATGGACACTTTGAATGGTTTTGCCTCGGCCATGTTGTGCTGTCGTACAGGATAGTCCATCTTGGCCTTGCTGCGTCGGCTTTTGTGGGCGAAGTGTGGGGGCGTCCGTTCAGATGGGAGACGGTATCCTCGCTCGCACTCTACATCTTGCAATCCTGGAACGCTTGATGGTCGACTACAGAGTAGAGATTAGCTATTGTGATGATACACGTCAAGTGCTCGAGTAGAAGGTCTTGTGTATGGCATCACCAAATGGCAGCATATCAAGTCGTCTCGAGCATAGAAACTCGAATGTTCAAGCTGCACAGACATACGCCTCAGCATCGTAGATAGTGCTCACGCCACCGATACAAGACACGGCGTGGTGTCTCATGCACAGTATTTCGGCAAAAGGCCAGGCCATGCCTACTACGCACGTCCCATGACGCACAGACCATGACATGCTGCCACGAGACTAAATTGCTGCACGCTGCAAGAAACATGGAGCGCTGGATGCGTCCGTTTACCAGCCCGATTTTCATGTAGCGCTGCAGTATCGCGCTGAAGAGAGACAGCGTTGCCAGCTTGAACCAAGGTCCGGTTGAGCCAGCGACAACATTTGCCAGATGGCAATCACCTCTTCTTGTAGGTACACGGCTTGAGCAGACTTCCCACCTTGCTCGAGACTGCAATCTCAGTTGGCTTCTTGTCCTTCCCACGCGAAAAGTCAAGGCTAATAAACATCTTGTTCTTATCATCGCGTTGCGTCAATGTAAAGCCGAGCTTACTCAACGTCTCAATAAATGCTTTGCCATCGCGATCATTGAAGCGACTCTTGATTTCTGCAACCCATAGCTGACCACCCGGCTTCAGTACACGATGTGCTTCTTGCAAGAAACGCACAAAGTCAGTGCCCATGAGAGCCAGACAAAAGATGGCAATGTCCACAGTTCCATTCTTGAGTGGTAGATGCGCAATGTCACATGCTTCAATGCGATCGTTGGCTGCGAGTAAGTCGAATGAGCGGACTTGAACAACTTTGCCCTTTGGGTCGAGTTGTCTAATGCGCTCAGAGATCTTGGCCTCACCACATCCCAGATCTGCGACAACATGGCGTTTGCCCTCGTTGAGCAGTGCCTCTAATCGTCCTTTATACACGTCCACAGGGTTGGATGGCCAATCTTTGACTTGCTCTCTGAATCCAGCATGGTACGCTTCAAACATATCTGGCTGCTCCGAGATGAGCGCCAGTGCATCTGCACCGGTACTCGTATACAACTTCTCATTGATCCAGCGAAATCTCGCTCCCGACAGCTTAGATGCCATTTTTCGCTGCATCGCCGTTAAGTGCTTGCCCTCGCCAAGACCATGCAAATCGGGCGGTGGTTGCGCTGCAACGAGCTTTGGTGGTGTCGCATCTCGTTCTGATCGTGGCGGCCTCGCAAGCGGTTTCTTCTCGGGCCTTTCTGTCTTAGTGCGCTTCTTGACAACAGGCTCAGGCTCGGGTGTCGGTGTGCGCATCTTTCTGACTGTAGCGACGGGGACAGTATTGCTCGTGGTTGATTGCTTCTCCTTTCCGTATTTGGGTAAATACTTGCTCTTATCCTTCTTTTGTTTTGAAGACGAAGCAACAGGCTCCTTGTCTGCAGTAGGTCTCTTGCGCTTCTCCTGCGACGCACGAGGCTCGCCTTTGGCCTTTTTGGCAGGTCGCGATGCATCCTCTGCGGATTGAGTCGCTGCCGGACGACGTTTCTCAGCTTTTTGAGCAACCACAGTAGGCAGCTTCCATCCATCGACTGCGAACATGAGGCCGACCCTTGGCTTCTCTAGACTGACGTTCTAGTCTTGTCAATGAGCTCGTTGAGCACCTATAACCAGACTGCAGGTCGAAGTTTGCGCGTCGGCAAGTTTCCGTTCAGATGGCAGAATCGCACGACCAGCTTCGACTGCATCGTGAATTGTCTCTTCCTTCCAGGTCTGAGATAGAATGTTCCACTCTACTTGGTCTGAATTGCTGACTTGCTGACTTGCTGACTATCTAGCTGTAGACTACCGTGCTACAGCCTACAGATGGCAATACTGATCCGCGCAGAGGCTTTGACATGAAGAATGGGAAACCACAATGCCGAACAAAGGTCGATTGTCCTCCTTTATGTATGAAGACGGAAACAAAACTTCGATCGATCGTGACCAGCATCAATGCATCCACGGATGTGATTCCAGCACTGACTCGCTAGTGGAGAATGCATCATACACGACTGTGCTATTCGGCCTTGTGATGCTCTCAACTGGTAAATCTCGAAAAGAGATGCCTTGTTCTAGATGAGTTGCTTTCTCAGCTCGCAGTAAATGCTGCGATAGGTTTGCCTAATCTGACGACTGCCAAGCATTTACATCATCACGTCTGGCACCTCTCTACTCTCGAGTCTAGACCTGATCTACTCTTACCTACTTACGATTAGAATGGCAATCTCCCATAGAGTGTCTGATGGCAATCTCATCCGAGTCAGCACATTCCCATGCATGGTCAAACTTGGTAGGGTCAAATCTCAAGACTGTGAGGAGCAAGGAGAGGCTTGTTCCTAATCAGATCTACGTCTTCAGAATCAGATCTACGTTTGCGGACTCGGAAGGCCTGAGATCGACCTATGCAAAGCCCGCTTTGAAGTCAGACCTTATGGTCAGGCTGAGCAGAACGTCTTGGCAAAGGCATAGACGACGAAGTGATGAAGTCGATGATGCACTGATGAATCAGTGATGAAGTAGCTGACTCTAAGCTGAGAGTCTGAGACGATCTAATCGCCGCTCTGACCGCGCGCTCCAGCCTGCATTTGCGGGCTTATTTGCAGTCTAGTGCAGTGCTGATTCTCGTGCAGTAGTGGTACTTTCACTGACTAACAGGCTCAGCATACCTGATCCGGCGCGGCAGAGCTTAGCTGCTTGGTCTTGTTGGATTACATGAAGACACTCTGCGGCTCACAGTCACGCTGCCTCACAGACATTGACTCATCACGTCTCAATCGAGCTATGACAAAGTGCCATAGCCGCCAAGTGTAAAGAAGTCTAGTTGCGGTCTAGGGACCTTACACGAACGTGGGTCTGCGACTTTGCGAGACTGCGAGTCTGCGACTGCGAAGTGCGAACTGCCTTCTATTGAACGGGATGGTGGCTTGTATCAATCGATTCAACACGCTGAAGGTTGCTGGGAATTGATGTCACTACGACTTCTTCATTGGGCAGCGAGCCAATTTACCGGCAGATCAGAAAAGAGGAGATCAATCTCGCAGATTCTCGCTCACAGATTTTTCCAGGCTCCGCTTTTCAGGACTGCAGCCGATGAGTACCAGTACGACGGTCTACAGCCCAAGACTATAGGACGTGGGTTGTATGTACGCCTCTACGAGCGTGCGCTTAGCTAGTATCATCAGCCGACTAGGCATATGAGTTCATGAGTCATCGTCATAGGCATGCTGTCGAAGAAATATACACTGTCCACTGTCCAATTTTCAGCGACCATGTGTACGGTGTACCATGCAGGTCCCAATCCCACTGGGCTTGATCGGGCCACAGGCTCCGACTTGACATGGCTGCTGGAAAGCAAAATGTGCCATCGCGCCTTGCTGTATAGCTCACCAATCGGTGGTAAGTTGGTTACGCATCATTCTTGATTCAGATGAGACAAGCTCATCTTGCCTTTGAGTCTTGACTGTTCATGCTCTCGAAATGGAGCAAATATGCCACGGTGTCGGGGTCCGACTTCGGGGATCAAGAAAAGGTCGCTTTCCGGCAAGATAATAGACGCCAATTTACTAGCGTCTTTCAGCGATGAACTCTGAACGGACTATAGGCCGTAGCGTAGACACCGACAACGACCGAATACGACAGAGAGACGTGCACTGCACTCGCAACAAAGCGTAGATGATGGCTAGTCAACGACCGAGACTTCCCCAGGCCGGCGAGATATCGACGATCGACCAAGCTGCTTGACAAGTGCTTGTCACGGAGACGTCAAAGAATATCTTTTCATTGTGATCCATTTCTTGCGTCTGGAAGACACGCGACACGGGAGTGGCAGAAAATGGCGTCAGGAATTGCAAGTCGCTGCTGGAGAAGTGCAATTTGAGGCTTCATCGGAAGTACATCCATCATCGTCATTGACGCGCGCAGCAAGAAAGTCTGACCGCTCGGGCTTGCCTTGCCCTGGCCGCCGGCGTCTTTGGGCCAAGTTGGCAAGTTTCCGAGGCTTGTGCCACCCTGGCTTCAGAGGCTTCGCTCGGTGCTCACTTTGCTGACGTCGCTCAGACCGCGCTACCCGCAACAGGCGAATGCAGTTATTGTAGATAGCCATGCCGGCATGTCGATGGGCCGGGGGATGCTGCTGCTATAATACCAGAGGAACCGCCCACCCAAGCTTTTGATCTGATACTCTCCCCTTCGACCCGATCCACTCGCACGTCCCAGTCGCTTCTCAAAGAAAAGGCCTATTTCTTCCTCTTTTGGAGTGCTCAAGAAGGCTACCTGTCAAAATCTTGACACTCGCAAGATCGCCGAGTACCCGATTTGTCGATCAAGTATCGAGGCTTTGGAACATAGATCAAGCGTACTGGTCGCAGCCCAGATACACACCTCACCAACGTCGTTGACCTTTTCTTCCACACAAGTGACAGGAGCAGGTACAGGCTTTCTCTTCGCTCGCACAAAGCAACCATAGCGGCGACCATCCTCTTAAACAGACTGCCGGCGATGCAGCCCGAGGGCGGCTTCCCGAGCAAGTCTCTCGACGCTCAACGCGACATTTGGCAAACACTACCGCGACCGGATCACTTTCTGCAATCCATGAGTCCACCTCGACAGCCTGCGCAAGTATCGCAAATCCAGGAGGCAGCGCGGTTACCTTCATTGACAGGCATACACTACCAGCCTCGACAGACAGAGACATTTCAATATGGTTTACAAGAAGCACCGAGATCCATTGCTGAGATGCCACGATTTTCAGTAACAGAGAGTTATCCTCACCCGCGACCAATCTTCGTGCAACAGTCCAACAGCTACTCCTCTGCGGGGCCTTCACCTCAAACAAGCCCTGACCATCTCACATCATTTGGCAAGGCGGCACAGTTGCAGCCGCCTCAAGCTCAGACACAGTCTGGTGCACAAAGTCCATATTCACCGCACGGTGTTGATTCAAGTATTTCGCCTGCTCTGAGACCCTGGGATGTGCAACAACGCAGGCCTCTGTCTGAGCCGCCATTCCGACCATTCGAGAGTATGCCGCGGACAGGCTACGAGTCGAGCGCACTGCCCTCGCCTATCACCTCTGTACGGTCGCTGAATAGACCAGGCGAGTCCATGTCGAGGAATAGTTCCTTCCAAGGATTCAACGAGACACCTATTCTGCCACAGACGCAGACTTCTATGCAACCGCATCCGATGCAGCCCTATCAAAACTCAAGGAAGCGTCGGTCGGATAGTTCAGAAGATGAAGGCGATGATGGCGGCAGTTTAGTGAAGTGGAAGCAAACGCATCTGGATACTTTGGTAAGGATGAAGAATGAGGGAAGCAAGTGGTCTGATATCGCAAGTACGCTGAACAATGGCAAGTCCGCGAATGCGTGTCGCAAGATGTACGCCAAGGTGATTAAGGACAGAGATGTTTGGACGCCAGAGTTGGATCAAGCACTCAAGACACTGTATCGGCAGAAGAGGGAGGCTTTTTGGAGCGATATTGGTCACGAGCTCAACACGAATTGGCACGAAGTTGAAGCAAGAGTCATTGCTCTTGGCCTCGGTGCTGTGCGGCATCACTAGAGCTGAGCGCCTTTCTGCATAGCCATCTATAGTGTGCTTAAAGCCTCAGCCTCAATTTGAAGACTCGGCGTGGGCTGGGCATGCTGGTGAAGATGCTCGGTTTCTCAGTGAAGACTCAGACGCAAGCTCATAAAGGCAAGCACCCCGACTTGGCTGTCTTCATCCCTGCTGCGGCCCTTCCATTTCAGGCCAATTTTCAGGGGCAGCAAATGGACAAATTTGAAACTCGACTCCTTCACCAAGGACAAACACCTCATCACTCTCCTTCCCTCAGGTTGCTGCTTTCACATCCTGCACCACTCTCTTTGACTGAACAGCAATGTCGATTGCCTCTGCCAAAGTGCATGCGCACCCACTGTGAGCGCCCATCGAAGCTGCAAAGGCCCCCAGACTAACATATCTCAAGCGTTCCCAATGCCGTCCCTTACCCACTGCGCATCAAAGGATCTGTCCTCAAACGTGTCTGGCCACAAGTCTTCATCATCACTTGTGTGTCTGTGGTCATTACCTGCTTTGGACGTCTTGCAACGCATCAGATTGATTTTGGCATCCAGCCTACCATGATCACGACGCTTGGTTTCGTTGTTGGTCTGGCGCTTTCCTTTAGGACAACAACAGGTGCGTTGTTATCACGACTCTCCATGTAGCGCGCTGACTCTCTAGCGTACGGAAATTGGAAAGAAGCACGTACAGCTTGGGACAAACTCAATGCACTGTCGCGCAATTTGGCACGTATCTTTTGGGTGCATTGCAAGACGGATGGATCTACAGCAGATGTGCTTCGTCGCAAGACAGCCGTCAATCTCGTTGGATACTTTGCCGTTGCGCTCAAACATCACTTGCGTGAAGAACGGGGACACATGGCGTCTGATTTGGCCGAATTGATCCCCCATCTGCCAACCTTTTCAAAAGTACGCGAAGAAGGTGGTCATAGTGAAAGCTCGACAAGCACGACTGCAGGGCATCCTTGCTACGTGCCGCACCCGAAAGACGCAACTGCAAACTATACCTGTCTTCATGGAACTTTGCCTACAGAGATCACTTGGCATCTCGGTGCCTTCCTCGAACATCTCGTCAGTGACCGTGGTATGGTACCCGTTGCCTATGGTCAAGCCATTGGCATTGTGAATGGCTTCAGTGAAGTGACGAGTACGTGTGAGCGTATCCTACGAAACCCAGTGCCACCAGCCTACAACATTGTTATTTCGCAACTCGTTTGGGTCTTCCTCATCTTCCTACCCTTTCAACTCCTGAAAAGTCTTGGTTGGGTGTCGATCCCAGTGACGTTCATTTCATCTGCAATGATTATGGGACTCGCTGAGATTGGGCTAGAGGTGGAGAACCCTTTTGTACGTCTTCCAAGCATCCATGCATAGGATTCACTGCTAACAACAGGGCGATGATGAGAATGATCTCGACACGGATCGAATGGCTCAAGCCATCATTTTTGAGTTACAAACACTCACGACTTTGCAAACTTGGAAGGACGATTTGTCGAATTGGAGCGAATCTTCAGACAATCGTCCTCTGTATCCCTTTTCAACGGCTTCCTTCCCTGAACTCGCAGAATACCCGAAAGAAGCCGTGTATGACTTGTTGAAGCGTAAAGCAACGAGTGTTCAGACATCTGATCCTTTGGGCAGGATGGGTGAGTCGAGGGCTGGTACATGGTTCACACGAAGTAGGAGCCACAGTGCTGCAACGACTCTTGGCAAGCGCGTGGCAGTGGAGACACAGGAAGTTTAGGCGAGCGACACACTGAGCAGGTATCAGTGAAGAAGATAGACATTGACTTTTTCATAAGCTATGATCATGACTTGACGACAGATACTAGATGCGACATCCCGAATAAAGAGAATTGTGCACGCTTAAGGAGCAGGCATGCCGATGTTGATGTGAACAGACTTGACGTTGACGTACTCCTTGAGTGCGTATTCACCCAATTCCCTGCCAATACCCGACGACTTGTAGCCACCGAATGGCAATTGGTGGTGAATGGCATTGTAGCAGTTGACCCAGACGGTACCAGCCTCAAGCCTGTTGGACACATTGATGGCCGTGTTGAGGTTAGTGGTGTGCACGGCTGCTGCAAGACCGTACGCCGTGTCGTGAGCCAACTCAATAGCTTCCTCCTCAGTTGAGAACTTGCTGATTGCAACAACAGGACCGAAAATCTCCTCTTGCATAATCTTCATCTTTCCGGTGGTATTGGTGATGACGGTAGGTTGGATGAAGTAGCCTTCGTCACCGTGACGCTCACCGCCCATCTCAATCTTGGCACCTTCCTCCTTGCCAGACTGGATGTATCCCATGATACGGTCAAACTGCAATTGCGAGACCTGAGGACCTTGGAAGGTATCCTCCTTGAATGGGTCTCCCACGACCATCTGCTTCGCACGAGCCTTGAAGAGCTCCACAAACTTGTCGTAGACGGTATCCTGCACAAAGATACGCGAACCAGCACAGCACACTTGACCACCGTTGTAGAAGATACCAAAGTTGGACCAAGCAACAGCATCTTCGAGGTTTGCATCTCCAAAGACAATGTTGGGAGACTTGCCACCGAGCTCAAGTGTCACCTTCTTCAAGTTGGACATGGCAGCTGACTTCATGATTTGACGACCAACAAGCGTGGATCCAGTAAAGGCGACCTTGTCGACCTTCATGTGCGCAGACAATGCAGCACCCGCAACTTTGCCAAAGCCAGAAATGACATTGACAACACCTGCGGGGAATCCGGCTTCCTTGATCAAGTTGCACACAAACAAAGCAGACAGGGGTGTTTGCTCTGCAGTCTTGAGGACAACGACATTGCCACACGCAACAGCCGGTGCAATCTTCCAAGCAAACATGAGGAGTGGGAAGTTCCAAGGGATGATTTGACCACACACACCAATTGGCTCATGACGGGTGTAACCGAGACGCGAAGGGTCGGTGTCGACGGTCTGACCGGTGATTTTGTCTGCCCAGCCACCGTAGTACTTGAAGCACGCTGCTGCTGCACCGATATCACCACGAGCAAGCATCATGGGTTTTCCATTATCCAATGACTCGACAGAAGCAATCGCCTCGAGGTTGTCTTCAATCAATTGGCCCAATTTGGTGAGCAGTGCACCACGTGCTGCACTGGGTAATCCGCGCCAAGCAGAACCGTGCTTGAAGGCTTCCCTGGCTGCATCAACAGCTGCGTCGACATCTGCCTCTGATGCTTCCTGCACAGAGGTGATGACTTTGCCGTTTGTAGGGTTGATGACTTCGAAGGTCTTGCCATCCTTGCTCTTGACGAATTCATTGTTGATGAAGAGGCCTGTTGGCTGGTCGTAGCTCTTACCGGTGGAGAGTGTGATTGAAACAGAAGACATGATTTGGAACTGTATCTGATGGAGAGGAAGGAGCCAGGGCAGTCAAGAGAGGTCCTTTATAGTTGCCGCTGCTGGGCGCTGACTAAATTCCGCTGCGGGGGTGGGGTAGCACAGAAGAGCAGTCACCGCTACTACTGAAGGACTCAGCACAGCTACAGAGCCGGCTTTAAAACAGCAGACACGGCCCATGACTGTTGAAGGCTCTTCTGCTATCTCTCTACATCTACAGCCTCATGCTGCCATATACCACGCTGTGATACCTCCTGTAGCACCTCGTCAAGCCCCAAATCTGTTGCTGATCCCCAACGAGGCAACGGACATCCCGAGCCATCATCTCCGACGGTCTGCAGTCAATCAATTCTGCTCAGTAGTGAGCATTTGCAAGGTACTCAAGCTATGGAAAAGTAGAAACCGCTAGTACTTGCTGCTATTACCACAGACCTTGTGGAAATCACCATACGTCTTCATTCCCTCTGCCACCAGCGCCGTGAATGCATCCACCGAACAACTCGCACCAGGCCCATTTTGACAATTCGGTATAGGTCGTGGTGCGCTATTTGCAATGATGCGAATATACTCTTCCGTCGTTGGCGCATCACCTGGTGGACCTGTTTCACCATCCATCGTATGCGGTGTGTGACGCGCACAAGTCAGCTTCTCAATGCCAATGTGTCCCAAGAAGGGGATCAATTCTGTCATTCGCCATGAACGTGACCAATTAATCCGATCTGTTGGAAATTCTTCAGCTTGCGCATTGGAGGAGTTGAAGAGACCCAAAGCCGTTGCAATGAAGGGAGGCACTTCGCGGTGAGTGAAGGAGAGGAAGAAGCGTTGTGGTCCAGTGTGCTGGTCCTTCTTCTTCTTACCAAACACATCCTCATCGTCATGGTGCTGGGGTGCATGCAATTTCTCAAACAATGCAGCCGTCGTATTGAGCCAGGGGAATCCCAAATACGGACTGAGTGGATTTGCATGGCCGCACATGTAGCTGTACTTCATATCAAACGCATACTCATACGCCATCCACTCATCATCCGTAAAAGCCGCACACAACGGTGATGTGTGACCTGTAATGGCAGATTCATACCCACACATCTGTTGCATGCCAATAATATCACTCGACGTCAAAGGTGACGGGGAGAATTGTGCTAACCGCGCAATCACACGCGGCGTATAATGACCAATGAACGCAGCGAGTTCTGCATCGCCGGGTGATTTGCTGAAAGCAGGACAAGACTTGTGTGGGATTTGTGCATGAAAGGAGGTTTCAGTGTCAATTTCACGAACCGATACTTTGTTTGGGAAGGCAGCGGCGAGCGCATCAGCCGTATCGCGGGTGCGTGATTTTTTATCACAATAAATGTGTTTTGTTGTTGGGATGAGGTGCGCGTAGCGGTGAAGAAGATGTTTGCCGACTTCTTTCGCATCTCGCTTACCCTGTGGTGTGATTTCTTCAAGTTGTGTTTCAGGGTCTGTAATGGGGGATGTCCATTTGTTTAGAAAGGCAAGTTCACCCGTCCAGCCTTTGCCTTTTGTGTTGTCGAGTTTTCGAAGGAAGGGCGCAATGTAGTCTTCGTAGTCGGCGTCGTTTGCGTAGATGCTTGCGTGTCGAATGAGGTAGGATGCTGCAGTCACGACACAATCGCGAGGCGCATCGTGGTCGAGGCCTGAACCGACAGCATCGAAGTAGGGCGAGATGCCGGGAAGATGATGGAGTGGGTTGAACTAGGTAGAGCAAGTGTGTTAGCTAATGTCTCTTAGATGTCGAGAGCGAGCAAGTACTTTGTAATCTTCTGTATGTGATTTAGCGTGGAAGCGCACTTGGCCTGCATATGCGCCGAGTATGAGAAGGAAGATCGAGTATCTAAGCATACTAGCAATGAGAGGAGCGTCTGAGCCTGTCTATGCTTGTCTTGCGTCTAGATCTAGCAGCTATGGCTTATCGCGTAGGTTGAGTAGATGGTTAAGTAGTTTTTGTCTTTCGTCGAATGAGCAGCAGATGACGTCGCACAGATACGAGGGCCTTTTTGCAGAAATGGTCAGAGAGTAGACAGAATGCTTCAGGACAGATTCGCTATCATGCTGGGGCTCTAATTGAGTCCTTGATCTTTCTTCATTGTGACTTGCATTTCGTTGATGACATAAGCCAAGTCAGAGTCAAGAAGAAGTGCACGCAGCAAGCTGTTCCATATCCAAGCTACAGCAGGTTGCAGATGATGGACAAGAGGATGAGAGGCATCCGTCAATGAGCCCAGACATTTCGATGCAACGACTCACGGCCTGGTAGCGTGTTTGAGCGGGAGAAGGCGGAGACGGAGACATGCAGACCTCTCCCATCAGTCATGCAACAGCCAGTGACGAGATACAGGACTCAATTGGCCTCTGGCTTCGGTCAATCTTCGTCTGGGCATGCTCCTCTACCAATGTACGAGGAAGAGCAGCATCAATGGTAGCAGATGCATGAGACGGGATCATGCTTCAGGATTTGGCCTATGCTGCGTATACGTGCAGTGCCCCTTGCTATTCAGACATGCTATGCCTAGCCGTCAGGGCATCAAGAGGACATCTGCTAGCACCCTATGACCGATGCCACAGCATTCTGGCCTTATCGCCCTGTCAGGAAGAGCAAACGGCCCGCAATCGGGTCGATGGAGCCAAGGAGGCGGGCGACTCCGCGCGACAAGATGTCATACAACCACAACAAGGGACTCCTTCCTCTGCCTCTTCCCACCACAAGTCAAGGCGCATATCCACACAGCATCTATTCATTCTATCAGCGCGCGCATTCATCAACAGAAGCGCCCATGACGCGACCAGCACACCTGCGACACGGGCGCACATTCAGCGACTGGGAAGTCATCACCCACAACAGCGCAGATCCACTCCTCGATCTATCTAGCGCACAATCACTCATTACCGTGCGCGAGATTACGCACACTGCTAGCGCTGTTGATCATCGCGACGCATTCACGGTTGTTGAGCGCGTCAAACCATTGTATGCAGCTGTTGCTGTGATGCATAGTGAAAGCATTCTAGGACAAAGCGCGCGCTCTTCAGCGCCATCTCCGTCGCCAGCACCATCGCCCGTTCTAGCTGCAACCCATACATCCGATATGCCGCGGTTTGGCGGTTCTCCCATGTTGCGCGTTGCGTCTGCTTTATCGCTTCGACACGGTGGTCCTTCTGTGGATCCAAAGGCATCGCATGTGGTTGCCAATGGCGCGTACTTGGACATCCGGCTGAAGAAGAGCGGCAAGCACTATGTGGCCATGCGATGAATTGGGGAATATGCTTTGTCAGCGCTGCGAATGTACTTAATTGATGAAGTGAACTGTATACTTTAGCCTCTCTTATGGCCTCTATAGTCTGAACTTGGGCCCTTCTTCTCTGACCACTGCTGCCCAAATCCCTCTAGGCCTCGTCTGTTGCTTGTCCTCCGTGTTGCCTCCTCGGGCGAATTTCTTCTTTTCCTTGGCCCAGACAACAAGAAGCAGCCAGCAACTTCCCTCCCTGCCAGCTCCTTCCTTCCTCATAGCGCCAGAGAGACTTATATATCGGCTCAGGCGCGTCCATTCAATCAAGAAACACACCCTCACAAGATGGTTCCACACATGCGCACCATCCAGCAGAAAGAACTCGAGGCGCACAACTCAAGCAAGTCCTGCTGGGTCACCCTCGCCACCTCAGACCGTGTCTACGATGTCACGGAGTTCGTTGATGACCATCCAGGCGGCGGCGAGCTCATCCTTGAGTATGCCGGTAGAGATGTCGACGCCATCATGCGCAATGAAGACTCCCATGCGCATTCAGAGTCCGCGTTTGAGATGATGGAAGATTATGCGATTGGTGTCCTGACTTCAGGTGCGGCAGTCATGAGTAAGCTTCCTGGACAGGAAGGCCAAGTCATGTCGCTCGAGGAGGCTGATGCTGAGCGCGAAGTATTTGAACTCACCGGTCTCTCCTGTGCCGAGGATCTCGTTAAGGAAACGGATATCGCCGCAGACCACAAGCAGCACAAGTTCATTGACCTCGACAAACCCATGCTCATGCAAGTCTGGCGTGCTGGATTCAGCAAGAAGTTCTACCTCGAGCAAGTCCATCGCCCGCGTCACTACAAAGGAGGAGCATCTGCACCGCTTTTTGGCAACTTTCTCGAACCATTGAGTTTGACGCCTTGGTGGGTCGTGCCTGTTATCTGGCTTCCTTGCATTATCACAGCGGCTGTTGTCTCACATGGTCGACTTGGCACCTTGCCATTCATCTTGGACTTCATCTTTGGACTCATCCTCTGGTCCTTTATTGAATATGTCATGCATCGCTTCTTATTCCACGTCGACGACTACATGCCAGACCACCCAGCGGCCCTCACTGCACACTTCTTGCTGCACGGCGTACATCACTACCTGCCCATGGACCGTCTCCGGCTCGTGATGCCACCGACTTTATTCATTGCTCTTGCCTTTCCCTTCTGGAAACTAGCAACGGCGCTCTTCCCTTACAACCACGCCCTTGCAATCTTCAGTGGCGGTATCCTTGGGTACCTCCACTATGATGTGGGTCACTACATGTTGCATCACAACAACTTGCCAGCGTATTACAAGGAACTCAAGAGCTACCATCTTGCGCACCACTACCAAAATTACGAGCTTGGCTTTGGTGTCTCGAGCAAGTTTTGGGATGGTGTTTTTGGTACGACGTTGGTACTTCAAAAGGCGAGTTAAGGCCTATTGCGTATGGGTGTCTTTGAGCGTATTGTCAAATAAATAGAACACGGCTTTTCCTTTAATAGTCTACTTAAGCATGTCTACCGAAGCATGACAAACAATAAGAAGAATAATATCAAAATGCCGAATATCTTCACCATCAACATGCGATTGCCAGAGACACGTCGCCAGTAACGTGCAATCTCATACTGTGCGCGATCCACATTCATCACGACATCTTCCGTGTTTGCATCAATCCGTTGAACACTTTCTCGTTGCTCAGAGACCATTTGAGCGAGTTGCTGGAAAATCCCACCAAGTTCAGCAATGGTTGATTCGATTGTCTCAATGGCAGTCGAGCGTGACTCGAGGTATTGCGCAGAGGCATCTTCTTGCATCAATGCTTGCTGTTGTTGATTGGCATATGGGTTATCCGCTTGATTTGTACCTTTTGTCAAACTCGCTTCCTCGTCGTCATCTAGAGACAAGTACTCGAAGCGTGGCTCTGGATGCGCACCTGTTGGGGAGATGGGCGGTGCTGAAGAGGACCGATGTGTGTAGAGCGGATTATTCCTCAAATGGGGCGGTAACGCACCTAGGTCAGTTAGCTTTTTCAATCATCACCATCAGGTCGTCCTCTCGAGCAGGTTCAATAAACCCAAAGGACCACAGGCGGATTGCACATACCCACGCGACGGGCGCGCAACTCGCCAGGTCCAACAGGAGAGTTCGACAATGGATTCGACATACCCCCAGCACTCGCAATGCCACTCCCATGCACACCAGCTGTTCCTGCATGCACAAAGGCATCGGTGCGTGACCGTGATTCTCGCATGTTCTTTGTACGAACTTCAAGGATATCCTTGAAACTCCGGGTTGCTGTATTCACACCCATATTCAAACTCCCAACAACGGATTCAACATGCACTGCGCGTTGTCCTGCATGCGCTTTATCTTTGCCTTGTACTTGTAGTTGTTTGACATTTTCTGTAATCTTGGCCAAGTCCTGCTTGATGATATAGGTCAATTCTTGAATCGCCGTCGTATGGTCTTCAAAGATACTCTTCTTTTGACATAACTGCGCTAGCCGTTGGAGTTTCTCAGAAGTGGTGTTGATGTCATTGGAGATGCCACTTGCAATGCTAAAGAACTCGGATGCGCGCTTGGGTGCATCAGCAGCAGTAGATGGTTGCGCCGCTGGTTTGCGCTTGCCATGGTGATGTGACTTGTTGTAGATGGCGACACAAGATTGGAACTCTGCTGTACGGTCGAGCATCTTCCTCTTTCACTGCCTCCACGTCACGGCCCTCTTCTTCTCCAGCTTCCCTTGTCACTACAATTTGTCGGATGGTGGTTGAGTCTCGAAGGTCCAGGGCGACGTAGCATCAATTTCGACAACCAAAGCAGCAACAATCAAGACACGCTGAGATGTATGCAGGCTAATCACAAGGCCATCACTCATGGACTACAGGAGGCATGCAAGACTCTCCTGACACCGGCAACATCGTCGTCGCTGTACGCGTCAGGCCACTTAATGCACGCGGTACGACCTTCTATCAATACCACCTATAAAGTCCAAAGCTAAATATTGACTAGAACGCAGTCGCAACGCTGCCTGCTGTGTTTGTGTGGATGGGAAAAAGACACAGCTAGTCTCAGACACCAAGCAGAGGACGCGCAATGGCCGCGCTGCTGAAAAGGCGCATTCAAAGAGCTTCACATTCGATCACAGCTACTGGTCATGCGACAAGAGCGATGCGCATTACGCGGCACAAGGAAATGTATACGAAGATTTGGGCGCGCCGTTGATTGAAAAGACGCTACGTGGCTATAATTGCTGTATCTTTGCGTATGGTCAAACAGGCAGTGGCAAGAGTTACAGCATGATGGGAACAGACGATGAACCAGGCCTTATCCCGTTAATCTGCAAACAGCTCTTTACGCGCATCGAAGCAGAGCGAGGGAACGATGGTCGTGAAGTGCGTGTGGAGGTGAGTTATCTCGAAATATACAGTGAACGCGTTCGCGACCTGCTCAGTTCGCATAGTAAGGGCAACTTGCGCGTCAGGGAACATCCTTCGACGGGGCCATATGTCGAGGAGCTGTCCAAGCTGGTTGTCAATTCGTTTGATGATGTGGCGCTACTGATGGATCAAGGCAACAAGGCGCGCACTGTTGCAGCAACAGCCATGAATGATACCTCGTCACGCAGTCATGCAGTCTTCAGCATTGTTGTCACACAAATCGCCGACTTCAAGATGAACTCGGGGAACAGCATCAAGACGGAAAAGGTTGCGAAGATCTCACTCGTCGATCTTGCTGGATCTGAGCGTGCAACGAGCACAGGGGCTACAGGCGCACGACTCAAGGAAGGCGCTGACATCAATAAATCCCTGTCGACGCTCGGTCGAGTCATTCACGCTCTCGTTGAAAAGCAAGCCTTGCCGAAAGCGGCAGCGCGCCAGTTGAGTGTGCCGTACCGCGACTCCATCTTGACTTGGCTCCTGAAGGATTCACTGGGTGGTAACTCCTTCACCGCTATGATTGCAACCATCAGCCCTGCTGATATCAGCTGGGACGAGACGTTGTCTACTCTGCGGTACGCAGATTCAGCCAAGCGGATCAAGAATCACGCTGTCGTTAATGAAGATCCCAATGCAAAGATGATTAGAGAGCTGCGCCAGGAACTGGAAGAGTTGCGCATGAAAATGAGCAGTATGGACTCGCCTGACTTGGCGACTCAGATGGGCGAGCAGATGCTGACGATTGTTGGTCCAGATGGCGTACAGACCAAGGTTTCAAAAGCTGAGATGGTCGAACGCATGGAACAATCTGCAAAGCTCATGGCAGAGATGAACCTGTCTTGGGAGGAAAAGATGAGAAAGACACAGGAGATTCAGCAAGAACGAGAATCCGCCTTGGAGTCACTGGGAATCGAGTTGAGTGCTGGCTTGATTGGCATTTCCACGCCGAAAAAGCTGCCACATCTCGTCAACTTGTCGGAAGACCCATTGCTGACAGAGTGTCTCGTCTACAACCTCAAGCCCGGGCGAACTAGATGCGGGAACGTCGAAGCTGATGCTGGCTGCGAAATCAAGCTCAGTGGTTCTTCAATCTTGCCGGTACATTGCATTTTTGACAATGAAGGAGGCGTGATCCATTTGGAAGCCATGCCCGAGGCAACAGTCATGGTCAATGGCCTACGTCTTGCCGGCAGAAAACGACTGCGCTCTGGCTATCGTCTCATCATTGGCGACGAGGCCGTACAAGTCTATCGCTTCAATCATCCGGAAGAAGCGCGTGCTGAACGACTTTCGCGGATACAGACGGCAGATGGCAATTCGGCGCCAGCAACGCCTTCGTTTGAGAACAGTAGTCTGCGCCGCTCTGTCTTATCACCGGAACCGCCACTATCAGGCTCGGACGCGCGTCCTGAATCCAGCACATCGAGTTATGCGGCATTCACTAGCGAGAGTCCGTCACAGCGCACTAGCGATTATCTCTCTGCACGGAAAGAAGCTGCCAAAGCGTTGGTGGGCACACCAATTGCGCTAGAAGACATGCCGGACGAGGAACTCGAGCAGCTTGCCACCAATCTTGAACAAGTCAAGGCTTCGCGATTGTCGTTGAGGTCTAGATCCAGCCTGTTAGGTGCTGACATGCTCGCGAGCCTGACTGGCGGTGATGATTACCTGCTCTCTCCGACCTCGACTGAGATTGAGACAGGATATCAAAGCATATTACGTGCTCCGGACATTACACCGGCTGACCCGGAGGAGGAGTCGCGTCTTCTCGAAGCTCAAAAAAAGAGCGAGAGATCAGTACGCTCAGCACTGGCCAAATGGAAGAGTCACAGATCGTTTGCTCTGGCTAAAAAGATCCGCGAAGCAGCGGAACTCGTACACACTGCAAATGCTATGGCTCAACAACACGGGCATAATACGGCAATCCAGCTCTCACTAGCGCCGGGTACTCTTGCGAGCGCCGTCTCGCCTCTTGAGAATGACGCTGTCTACGACAGTGCACAGAGCGCGACCCCTGCCCTTGAATCTGCCCAGGTGCTAGTCCGCATCATGGACATTGACAAGGGACTTGTCTGTGTCCAGTCTCTTGAGAAGCTGCAGGCCAAGCTTTCAAGATTGCATGCCATTACAGGACGCTCGGTCACCAACAGAAGTTCTAAGGATGGCTTTCTCGATAAGCCGATTCCGCAGTTCACCCTCATTGGCACAGCGATGGTCATGATCCAGCATTCCGGTGCCTCACAAATGTTACAAGCCGATGTCTACTCTCCACATACCCATGTACATGCTGCCGTCTTGCATTGTGATCTGGCAGTAAGCGACTTTGACAGTACAAAACACACAGTGAAGCTTCATCTGCGACAATTGCTCGGCATTCAAGAGCGAGAAGCAACCGCAATCCACATATTCGCTTACTTTGACCACGAGCCAGAGATGTGCTTCACGACGAAGGAGGTGTCTGGCTTCAGAGATGGGCCTGTCTTGCTCAACAGTCGACATGTTTGCACTGTACCGGCCAGCGCACTACCTGGCAAGATGCACTTTCGTGTCTGGGGCGAAACAACGCGTGAGCATGTTGAGAAGCTCTTGTCCTGGGATGATTTGCAAGAGGCAGACACGTCTTCAATTGACAATCAAACGCAGAAGTCAGAGCAGCACACCGCCGTTCTGTGCTCTATCAGCATTGCCGAGCTCAATACACAAGGCGTCTACGAAGCCGTTGACGTTCTCTCTACTTCGAGCGACGATCCGGGCTTCTTCTACCTTCATCAGGGGCTTTCACGACGCATCACAGTGTCTCTGCTCGACAATTGTGGCAGCCAAATACCACTGTCTCGCGTTTCGCGCATGTCTGTGTCTGATGTTCGTCTCGTCGATGCGACAAGCGATGATCGCCGCGCCAGAACACCTGGCGCTGAACAAGTCTCCCTCAAGCTTATTCATTGCGGCACACCATCTGCGCGGGAAAAGCCTAGCAGTGCAGCAGCAGAATTGAAGGATATCGTTGCGCAATGGGACTCGAGCGTGCACAACACTGCTGCAGTCGACCGTATTACAGCTGTTGGCCGGTCAACGCGCATGACTCTTCAATTTGCTACACAAGACCTGGATGGTCGAACGGCCGAGTGGCAGGCCGATGTGACATTACGTGTATTTGGGCGAGAGCAGCAACCGACCCTGTTCCAGCGTATGTTTGGGCAGTACCGTCTAGCGAAGTCTTGTTTCTTGGTTTTCGCTGAAGCAGGCCAAGGTGCTGTCAGTCAGTCTCCGGGGCAGCTACCGCCGAGAGGTTTATCGCTTCTGAGAGGCTACGAAAAGATGAGCAGGATGCAGATGAATCAGCTTCATCTTCAAGCACTGCAGGCTCAGACTTCGACGTCTATCAATACGCCTGTCAAGAGCTCAGGTGTAAATCCTCCGCTAGAAGAGATTGTCGCCTACTGGCAGCGCAGGACGCTTGCTAATCTGCCTATCGACTACGAGCGCAGGATGCAGAACGCCTTGGGAAGCAGCCAAAGTCGTGTACAGTTTCTCTTGCAACCAATTTCTTCTGATGGACCGGCCCAACACGCTGGCCATCTGTCGTCTCCGCGCCACCAGCTTTCCAAGAAATGGGTTCGAGCATATATGGTGGTACGCAACAAGCACTGGCTGTTGCAATACGCACACTCAACACAAGTTGAGTTACAGGCCGTCTATGACATTCGGAATGTTACGCAATTTGTCCAAGAGGTGGGCAGTGCTACTGGCCGGCATCGCTTTAAGCTTTTGCTGAAACCATCTGACAACGTCTCGGAGACTGCACCATTGACACTCCAATTCGAGGCAGCCAGTGAAGTCGCCGTGCAAGCATGGAGAAAAGTGCTTGATCCTACTTTGAGTTGCTGAATTCACATGCATAATAGGGTCTTTAGTATATGATTTAATGAAACCATAATGAGCTTCTGTAGAATGAGTGTAGATGAGAGCGTGAGTCGTGAGTCTTGTGACATCATCATTCTCAGATCTGAGAGATCGATCTCGCAGCTGTCAAAATCCGGGGAAGTAGGAACCACAACGACTACATCTACAATCATGGTGTCAAAGAAGGAGCTCAAGAACCAAAGCGAAGCAAAGATGGAGAAGCCGAGTGGATACAAGCATGCGGACTCTGGCGTAGGTGAGCGCACAAAGCGTGGCGAGCCTGTTCCGTAAGCTTCAATCGAGCGTGGACAGCATTTTGGACTAACAACACCGAGAGGACAAGGCGCTGCTCCAGGATTCGAGATTGGTGAGCCATCAGAGCCCAGTCAGATGTCGCCAGAGGAGAAGAAGCAGCTCCAGGGCGACGAGCCAACTTTTGCTGGCAAGGAGACACCAAAGCCAAAGCTTTAAGCAAAATTGAGCAGTGAGTCGTAGTTTATTTTGAACAAACTACAACCAGAACAGTAGACAGCGTTCCACCAGATCTTGTAGAGGCACAAGATACCATCTACAGGTCAGTAGTTCATGAGTATCATTCTTGCCATCTGAATGTTCGCACTCGTGCAGTCGAACCGCATGTACCGGTCCTTGAATGTCTTCAGCACTGACCAAGCGCTTGCTGCGTCTTGCTCTTACTGTAAAGTACTGACGTTTTGTCGAGCACTAGCTTATCAATGGCTACTTGAAATGGCGTCGAACGCAAACACTGTGACATGACCGCCGGGCTTTGCCTGCCAAAGCTGGCGTCAGCCCTTCAACACTGCTGAAAGCTGTACGTCCTGCCGATACGTATGATTACAATGCAGCTAGTGGGTCAAAGACTGGATGGGGAGTCAGGGAGAATGTGTTGCCCTCTCATGTGCTCGCCAAATACATCTTACCTCTTCCAGATTTTCATTCATACGACAGAGCATGTGTGTCGGCAGCAGTCGGGTGCTTCAGGAGTGCACCTCCTGAGATAAGTGCAAGAAGATAAGGATGAAGAGGACACGTAGGAGGGGGAAAACTTGCCTTGATCTTACAGATCATGAGCGGCTGTGAGCAGATAGAGGACGTGCAGGGTGCCAAATCCGAGGGCATCCTAGGCACAAATGCACAGGTGGAAAACTTCTTTAGAAGCTTGAAATCGCATGCGGACTGGCACGTTTTTGAGCGTACCCTCAAGGCCATCACCCGGATCCAAGAAGCAGAATGGCTTCTCGACTCCAAGCTGGGTGAAAAGGCTTTTATGAGTGAGCATTCGTCGCCGAGCAAGAAATTACGACCATTGCTACGCGCCGAGATGCAGAGGAGGAAGGCTATCTCCGCAAGGTACTTGCGAATCTGGCTCATGTCTGCCGGCCCGGACGTCAACTTACTTATCTTGGACAAGGCAAACTTTGGCGAAGCATTTGAAGATTTGGCGTGCACATTTGGTGAATCAAAAAAGGACCGCACCAAGATATTGAAGGCTAAGCTTAGAAACTGGCAGGAGGCTGACGAAAGCTTCCAAGCTGGTAGGTTCTTGGGTAAGATGAAAGCGGTCCTTGACGAGCTGGAATCATTGGGTTGTGAAATTAGCGATGAGAAAATGAACGAGTATGTCTTCGGGGCTCTTCCACCTTCTTGGGATATCAGAACGGAAATCGTTTCAATGTCTTGGAGTGCGCTGACGACTCTGATCAAGGACAAAGCAGGCCGTATGCTGTACGACAAATGGAAGCAGCAACAGCGTGGACAAGCAGCCGTGTTAGAAGTCAGTGGCGATTGCAAGAAGTCGACTGGAAAGCGCTGCGTCTTTTCGGGCGACTGCTACAATTGCGGAGAGCGTGGACATCGAGCACGAGAGTGCAAGCAGCTGACCGAATTGGTGAGTCACATGTCCATGCACGCGTGACTAGTAGCACAGAAGTCAATAATAAGACAGATTGTAATGCTTTTGCCATCTACTCAAGAGCATCACAGTCGGCGTCAATCTCAAGGCCTAAGTCGATGATAAGCGGAGAGACGGCTGTGCCGTACCATCTGTGTTTTCACGTTCGTGTTGCAAGATCCTGAGTTTTGAAAGTCATTAGTATGGACCCTGCCTTGTTTGCGAAGATATTGACTTGGCTTGACTATCCTCAGATGATAATCGATAATGCTACTCCGTCAATACTGGTCCATTCATTCGTGAAAAGTAGGAGCGACACACTGGCAAAATTCAGGGGTACGCCGTTGCGTACAAATCGGACCAATCTCTACACATACTCGGATGGTCAGGAGTTCATGAGACATGCAAGTGGAAACCATTATTAGACCTGCATAGCGTCATTCAAGTAGAGGCCATGGTGAGCGAATGTGTTGTCGACAAGCTCAAGGAGGATACATTTCGAAAGTGTCACATCGACTGCGAATTTTCAAACTGGGGTACAACAACAATGCACAAGCCAGGCCGGGTCGACTTGTTGTAACGCACTATCATGGCCAGTCAGCTTATCGAATCAACGCAGCCTGACGGCCCATGGCCAAGTTTTCAGGCGAGCCCCTCGCCCGTGCCCTACACAGTTGCCCTTGCCATCAATCGTGTAGCCACTCCAGATCACTGTAACGCAATCGGTCCAGAGGAGCAAGAACGCATGATTGAAGTTTTCATGCGAGATGTTGTACCAGTATTGATTGCCACAGGTCACTGGTACCTTTCAATCGCTTCGACAAGGACCCTTCTGCCAAACCTGACGTCGTCATCATTTGCATTGCGTCTTGTGCTTTGCGCATTAGCCGTCCTTCTCGAGAACCCTGGCCCCGATCAAATCAAGCAAGAAACACCATGGACAAGTGATCAAACGCTCGCTCAATACTGCTATAGCCATGCTCTAGATGCGCTCATTGAGCAGGTCCCACCCGGTGAATTGCCAGGAGATGCCGAATTGGCAACCCTGGTCATGCTCGTCTTTTGGGAGATGTTCACCGTCGGCCCCAGCTCAGATCATCGACTGCATATCTTTGGTGCTCGGCCTATTCTACAGCGGTTTGCAATGGAAGTGGACAACGCAGAATGCTCATTTCAGGATGGTCCAAGCTGCTTGCGACTTGCACTGAGCTATAGCATGCGAAGCCTCGATCTGGCCTCGTCGAAATGGAATGCATGCAGTAATTTGTTGCTCGATGGCAAGCCCTGGGACATGCAGGCCGTTATCACTACTATGCTCAAGAAACGGCTCGCAATGGCTAGAGAGAATCGATTTCATGCGTCAGAGGCACGCTGTGACTTACTGATGATTCAAGCTGGGATTGGGCAGTTGTTTGAGTGGAACAATGCGACTGGCGTTGATGCAAAGGCAATGACAGACTTGATTGAGCTCATTCGCTCGGCACTTGAGGTCTGGTCGGGTATCCTCGCAGATTGCATGGCTGCCGCACACGCGATGGGTGCAGACAACGAGCGCTCTGAGGAACAAATGGCGCTCCTGTCATATTGTGGGACAGTGATTTACTTCTTTCAAGCAAGCAGTGGGACGGCCATCCAGGTGTCATGTACATCAAAAGCAACAAAAGCCATCTTCAAAATCGTCGAGACGCTTCATCTGAATTCAGATGACCAGTCCCTGGATATGCGCATCATCTGGCCAGTCTTCATGGCAGGGACCATGACTGTTGATGCAGTGGAGAGATTGATGACCCTACAGATTCTCGACAAGGTCTCTAGGACGGGATTGTCTGATGCAGGTGCACGGGACATTTTGCTCTCAGTGTGGCAGGAGGAGGTGGACGAGGGTGCATCTCCTTCCCGGAACCAGTGCTGGGCACGTGTGGCACGCCAGCTCAACTACAGACTTCTGCTTCCATGAGCTTTCGGTATACTAGCATTACAGACTGGTCCCAAAGATAAGTGTGAACATTGTTGAGTGCTACATTCCTAAAACTAGCAAATACATTCAAACGCGATGCAAAATTGAGCAGTCATACCCTCAATAGTCAACCCTCACAAAGCCCTCAAATCCTCGGATCCCGTGTTCAAGTGCCCTCAATTGCCCTCAAGCCCTCTGATAAGTAGCCCAAATTCCCGCAAGTCTTCTTCCAAAGCCCACTGATGAATCGTTCCCTTGTATCATGATTGCCCTCGGTCATTGGTCCATTGCCCTCAGAAACCCAGTTTTCCATTCTCTGTCAAGATCATCCCTCTGATTGTACCCGATCTGCCCACAGTGTCTTCTTTCGTTTCCGCTTTAGTCAAAAGTCATCTTGGTACCCTTAAACTCCTGGGCACCACCAGACTGGCGAGCACCGCCAGACATACGTCCACCACGTCCACCTGGAGCGCCACTGCGTCCACCACGAGCGCCGCCACGACCACCGCGACCACCACGAGGTGTGAAGCCGCCGCGTCCACCACCGCCGCCACCGTTCGAGTCATCCCTTGGTTGAGAGAAGTCGAGACGGACAGGACGACCATCGACGTAGTGACCATTCATGGCCACCATGGCTTGTGCGCCCTCGACACTGCTGAATTGGACGTAGCCGAAACCCTTGGGTCGACCAGTCTCGCGGTCTGTAGGGAGACGCACAGACTGGATTTCACCACACTCGCCAAAGGCAGTGTAGACGGCATCCTCGGTGGCGTCGAAAGACAAGTTGCCGATGAAGACAACAGACGAAGGTGGTGACTGAACATCGCCGTGTGATTGAGCACGGTTGTTTTGTTGTGCTGGGCGAGGCGTTGAGATGTCAATGTTGACTGGACGACCGTCAATCTCCTTGCCGTTGAACTCGAGAGCAGCCTTTGCCTCTGCAGCAGAAGAGAACTCAACGTAGCCGAAACCCTTTGAGCGGCCAGAAGCACGGTCCATCACAACACGCGAAGAGACGACAGTGCCGCAAGATTCAAACTCCTTGCCGAGCCACTCGTCGTCAATGTTCCATGAAAGGCGGCCAACAAAGATGGTGGCAGATTCGCCAGACTCGGCGTCGTTGGAGACGGCGGCCTTCTTGGCAGCAGGTGCCTCAGCTGATTCGTCGGCCTTGCGCTTGGTGGAAGGCTTCTCCTCCTCAGATGAAGAAGAGTCGCTGTCACTACCACTTCCTGACTCGCTGTCGCTGTCGGAGTCGCTGTCGGAGGAGTCTGATGAGTCCTTGGCGGCCTTCTTGGCGGGAGCAGCTGCCTTGGCAGCAGGTGCAGCAGCCTTGGCGGCCGGCTTCTCGTCCTCAGAAGAGTCGCTGTCAGAGTCAGAGTCAGCCTCGCTGCTGGAGTCACTGCTCGAGTCTGAGCTGTCAGACTTGGTAGCCTCGACAACCTTGGCGGCGGTCTTGTTGACAGTCTTCTTTGCTGCGTCAGCCTTGCTCACAACAGTGTCCTTGGCAGCCTTGACATTCTTTGCAACTGTCTTGGCAACAGGGACAGCCTCCTCCTCACTCTCAGAAGAGTCGGACGAGTCAGATGCGTCGCTCTCTGAGTCGGATGAAGACTCGGACTCGGAGGATGGCTCGGGGGTGGGCTCCTTGACAACTTTCTTGGACTTCTTCTCCTTCTTGTCCTTCTTGGCAGACTTGTCAGCGGCGACGACCTTGGTGGCAGCAGCCTTCTTTTCTTCCTTCTTGTCCTTGGTAACGCCTGATGCAGGCTTGACCTTGGCGGCTTTAGTCTCCTTCTGTGCTGCTGGCTTTGATTTACCCATACTTGTAGATGTAGTTGGTGAGGACAGAGAAGGGAGGAGGGCTGTCTGGCTTTTGTAGTTGCCGCCTGCTGCTGCTGCTGCTCAACTTTTTTTTTCTGCGACAGCGTGAGACAAATGGCGCACGAGAGACCGCTGCTTGATGGGCTCGACTGGTACGACTCAGTGACTACTGCTACTCTCCATTGCTACTCTGCTTTTAATACCTACGCTCCTAGATTCTTGAAATCTCGATGCAAGACGGCTACGATCAAGGTCCATACAGCTCACGGCCGCATGACAGACGCCACTCAAATGGCGGTCCTCCCCCTCACATGCGCATGATGGGAGGGCCTCCCCCGATGCACATGGGCGGTCCTCCGCCGCCGCCAGGCTACTTTGCTGTCCCTCCTCCCCATGCTCGGAGACGGTCAAGAAGTCCCGATCGAGGCGGTCCATATCGCGGTGGTCCTGGCCACAGCCCTTATGCTCCACCTCCGAAGCTGACTGACCCATTCACCATCAAAGAACTCGTCACGTACGAGTACTTCAAACGCTGGTATCATACCTTGAATCCCGGGAATCTAAATTCCGAGGAACCCACTTTTCGCACGCGCTTCGACGACTATGTGGCAGACTTCAATTTGCGTACCGCCAAGGACTTTGTGAGTGAGCAGCAAACATTCCCATGGTTCGAGGAATTATATGGTGGCAGCAATACCGACACTGAAGACTTGTTTGAGGCTCGATTCGCATGTACGTTGGTACCGGCGAATGTACAAGACGCTGCATACGAGGCGTTCGACTCTAAGCTGACATCGGGTGAGTACAAGAAGGATGCAGAGACCGATCAGACGCATGCAACAGTCTTCTTGGACCGTCCTGTTCTTAGCGCAGAGCACAACTCTGAACCACTCCCTGATGTGGTCTTCATCAAGAGCATCGCACCGAAAATCCCTCGCACCGATCTACAAGAGTTTGTGGCCGCCCAGGTCCCACTCGAATACTTGTCCATGTCAAGGCCGAACACCAAGTTGCTTCGCAACGGTTTGGTCAAGTTGAAGGCCGGCAGTGATATCGATGAAGCCGTCAAAAAGCTCGAAGGACGGATCCTGATGAGTGAGCGCGTTGGCGAGTATGCTTTGCATGTGCAAGCCTACCGACCATTCACCTCACGCTTGTCTCTCTTCCCGCAGCACAATGTCTTGACGCAGTCTACCAAAGACCTTGAGGCCCTGGCAGAACTCGTCAAGAAATTTGAAAGCGCGACATCGCGTGCGCCTCTATGGTCCCGGATTGAGGCGGGCTTTGATGGGGACGATGCCTTTTCACCTGAACAAAAAGCAGCCAAGACGGTTGACCTTGCAGTGGAATACTTACGATCAGTATATTGCTTTGACTACTGGACTGCCACATTTCACGACTCACCATACAGTCTTGCACATAATGTACGGCCTTGCGTTCGCGCGAGCGAGTCTGGCGAATCTGTCGACGACAGGCGCTTCGAAGCATGGCGTAATCAGCATGCTCAGAAGCTCTCCATGCTCCTCCAGCCCTTGGACTACTTACACTCTATCAAAGTCAAGCCAATTGAAGGCGCATTGCAAGACCTCATCACTGCCAAGATCAAGAAGGAAGATGAAACACGCTTCAGGTGTGGTATTGAGGATTGTGCAAAACTTTTCAAAGATGTGCCTTTTGTTGAGAAGCACATTCACAAGCGGCATGCGACATGGGTAGAGGCACAAAAGACTCACTTTCGGTTACTATACCGCTACTTGTGCGATCCTGGTAAGCTAGTGTTGCCCAAATTGGGTGGTGCTGAGCGTGAATCGCGTCGTCCTGGACCGCCTAGTCACGCAGAGAGGCGTAGATCACCTCCAGACTACAGACGTGATCCGGGCGGTTACTACGATTCGCCTGGTGGTCGCGGCCCTCCTGGTCCACCGCGTGCCTTGTATCGTGATCTTGATCGGCCTGCTGAACCAGTCGTTGAACTTGATTACTAGCATTGTCGATGTTAAAGATAGTTGAAGAAAAATGTTAATTGTAATGAACGCTACTCTACGCTACGCCAAGGCCAAAAGAAAAAAAAAAAAGGTGATGAGACATCTCAAATTGTAGTTCGGGTTGTTGGAGTTTGGTTGATGAGCCTTGACGGAGCTATCAGCCCTGGATGTGATTGCCAGGTACTCCAGTAAGACACGCTATGCTGATTTGACCAGTATTCCGCAGGAGTACGCTTCTTGGTTGGCGAGATGGGCTGCAATGGGCCGACTTTGTGATAGGGGATTGGAAAGATGGGTGATGGCGCTGGTACCGGCGCGCGAGTCACAGGTCTGAATACAGGCCTGAGGAACCCCTGTTCAGCATCTACACTCATGGCAGCCAGGCGTTCATGTTCAGCGCACTTTTCCTCAAGAAAGTCCGAGTACCAGCTGACAACCGGCTGCAGACTCTTTGGCGACCGACGCATCGCCCCTGTGTAGCCAGCGCGGTGTTTTGTAGATCTTGCTGGATGTGCCATTCTTGAATTGCTCACTGGTGATGAATGATTGCGAGCGTCTTGTTTGCGACCCAAGGGTCGTTGCTTGAGATGATTGAGCTGGTCTTGCGTACCGCACATGTGTGGCAACTCTTCTTGAACCTTTTGTAGACCTGGCCATAGGGACAGCCCAGCATCTCTTTATAAGTACATGCTAGAACACCGCTCAGCAGCGTGGCTCAGGCGTGCTCTAGCGGGTCGTTCCACATGTCGCGGTGGGTCCGGGCGTACTGCGGACCTCCCATCTTCACCCGTTGTCCATGCTTCACTTGGGAGGTTAGAGAACTATTTAGGCCATGGGCCCATGACACTTGGGTCTTTGCCGCAGTGCCACGGCTCGACCGTTGCGCAACGACGCGGGTGGTCTAGGCCGGCGTGGCCCGCACCAGTTTAGCGAGGGTCCCAGAATTCTGGTCACTCCCGCACTTCGCATTAAATCGCGCCACCGCAGCTTCTTTCCTGGTACAGTCGAAATCGCGTACAAGGAGTATTAAGTGCCTCGTCTTCGTCTCCTACTCGGGTAGTAGATGAAAAATCACGCGCGCGCATGTGCTATCTCGAGCTCATGCACCGGCGACTGATATAAGTCCGTGCCAACATTTTGACACTGCTGCATCTGCATATGCGCGCATAGGCGCCCCTGCGCGGAGGAGCCTCTTCATCAAGTTGTGCGCTCAGCGGTCAATACGAGGAAAGCAAACGGCTACTGCTCAAAAGCTTCTCTGGCCACGTCTGAAGTCGTTCTTCTACCTTGGAACCATGGCTGCGGTATGCAAATTTACTGCAGACTCGAGATGGCGTACTCTGCAAGCGAGCTCTTGCATCGTGTCAAGTTGTGCAAGTTCAACAGCATGAAAAGTGCACCAACTGCTACTCAGAGGAGCTTCATACTGCTCAGTAGTCCATCAAGGTTGTAAGAGGCCCAAGGTCGAGAGGGGCGAGTCACAGCCGCAGAAGAGCTTGCTTGTCACTCATACTTTGATCAACCCAAGAAGATGTTCGGACTGAAGCCAATAACTTGTCCTCATCTTTGGAGCAGCTGGAGCGCCTGCAGTTCATTTTGCGTCACGAACCGCGTGTCGGCGTTCCGAGATAGTGACCTCGAGAAATACATTCGTATTCTGCGTTCATGTTGTGAGCTCATACACGACTTGCACATGCCAGTAGTGTCAGAGTACAAGGTAAGCAGCTTCCTCAGGTCCAACTCAGACTGCCCTTAGTTCTACTCAGACTAGAGAGACCTTGGGTCGTTGAGAGCTGACAATCGCAGAGTCTTGACAATTGCAACATGAGTAGATTTGCAGTGAATGGACCTTGCAATAGCAGACCCATGAACTGAATCACCTGCGAAGAATCACATGGTCGCTGAGCAGACCGGGTGTGATCAAGGGCGTCCACCATGGAATATCAAGCGTATTCATTCCGAAGAGGTCGCCAGAACCATACCACGATGCTTTGCACAACTCTCATGCCAGCTCAACGCCATCTTCTGCCGCGATTTGGGAGCTCTTTGGCAAGCCGCTACCAGGGCTCCATCAACGATAAGGAGTTGCTCTTCAACCGACTATTTGGCTTGAAACAAGCCTCAGATAGTCGGAATCGTGGTGGCTCATGCTTCCAAAGAACATCTCGATGTCCGCTGGCTCGTGATTGCTTCACGTTGAAGACGCAGAGCTGACGGATGTGTGGGTAGTGAACAAGGCAATTCGTCAGGTTCGAGATCGGGTGATGTTCGATCATGATATTACATCAATGAGACCTTCTGCAGCTTTTTGAGCCTGGCAAATTGATCAGATAGCGCCTGGATCATTGCCAAAGGTTCCCTATATATCAACTCCTGGCAGGTAGAATCGAGCAAAGAAATGCCGTCTCTATTCGCTCAAAATCCTTAGCTTGTTCCCGGTTTTATGCATAGAAAGGCATCTGACCATCTTGAGACGGTTATGTACGTAAGCGTGAGGCCGACAGACGACATAACTCCAGAAAGAGTCTGCTTTGCAGAAGTCGAGACAGATGAAGTCAAGACACCTGAAATGCGAGCGCAAATGGCTTTAAGTTGCGTGCCCAAGTCGCTAGTGTCTGCTTGTCGAAGACCTGACTCACCACTTTAATCAGTTTTTCCTGAGTGACTAGAGGGTCTGATAGATAGAGCTTTCGCAGCTGACTTGCACGGAGCTATCTGCGCACCCACATTTATACACACGGAATAGAATCTGCGCATATAAGCGGACCCCTACTACATCTTCTACGGGCCATCTCAGTCGAGCATACTCTCAGTAGTTATAGCAGACAGCAGCTAAGAAGACAACAATTGACAGAGACGGTTCGGTAGCAGGTCTCATCACAGGGCCACAGGCCAGTTGCAGTTGTAGTAGGAACGAGTAGCCGAAATTTCTGTCGCACGGGGGAGGCTTCAGTTGCCCGCACATCGAGCGCATGTTCATGACACAAAGCACAGCTCATTAGCTCCAGACTTGCTCGGCCGACTTGGCGTCAGCTTCGCAGCAGAAAGCTCTTCAGATCTCTACAGCGTAGGCTACTGCTTTCCGGTCATAGACTACACAAAGTATGCCTGAAACGGTCTACAAGTCGACCTACTCCAATGTCCCAGTTTTCGAGGTCATGGTCAAGTCTATACCCGTTATGCGGAGACGGCATGACGACTGGATGAATGCGACGCAGATTCTAAAGGTCGCTGGCTTTGACAAACCACAACGGACCCGAATCTTGGAGCGAGAAGTGCAAAAGGGCGAGCATGAGAAGGTGCAGGGTGGATACGGCAAATACCAAGGCACATGGATCCCTTTCTCGAGAGGCCATGAGCTAGCGCATCAGTATGATGTGTATGATCATCTCAAGGCGATCCTAGAATACCATGCTGGTGGAAGCTCGCCCCCGCCTGCTCCAAAGCATCAAACAGCCGCATCGACAAGAGGACCCGCCAAAGTTACTGGACAGACGAGACAACCACGAAAGCAAAAATTAGCCAAACCCGTGGTTGCAGTAGCGAGAGCGCGTGCAACAAGCTCATCCGTTTCTGATGCGAGTATTGATGATCTACCATCAGCGCGAAGTCCCTCGCCCGGCCAAACAGAGTTGTCCCTTCAGTCTGACAATGAGGAGATGATGCCTGCATCAGATGATTATGGTCCTATGTATGAACAGCAAATCCACATCTCTGGCTACAGCGAGCGCCTTCTCGAGTTCTTCACAGATCCCAAGAAGTATCCGATGCCAGAATTTCTTCGTAATCCACCGCCAGACTATGACGCGAACACGACCATCGACGACGAGGGGCATACGGCATTACATTGGGCAGCTGCGATGGGACTGCTCGATGTGGTCGCTTACTTGCTGGATGCACAAGCGCGGATTGATGTTGGCAATGCGGAAGGCCAAACACCCTTCATGCGAGTCGTTGCATTTTGTAACAACTACGACCTGAAAACATTTCCGCAGATTGTCCGGCAGCTTCTCAAGAGTGTCGTCTACCGCGACAATGAGAATAGGACGGTTCTGCATCATATCGCCCTTATTACTGGCTCTGGTCGAGCAAAGTTGGCAGCTGCACGCTACTATGCGGAACAGCTCCTCTACATTCTTGCTGATGAGATGACGGCTATCAAACTGAGCGAGCTGATTAATTTCCAAGACCGCAACGGCGACACTGCATTAACGATTTGCGCACGCAATGGAGCGAGAAAAGTACAGAAACTCTTGTTGAGCTATCAAGCGAGCCCAGATATCCCGAATCATGATGGCCGCACTGCACAAGAATACATGGACGCGCATGAGGCTTCCATCAAGACACAACCTGGCATGTCGAGCTCGAGTCCGACTGGGCCCGGCGGTGGTCCAACTCGAGGCAGTTCACTGGATGTTCGGCTCAGTAGAACGCAACACATTAGCGAAACAGGACGTGCGGCGACGCATCGTGTTCTACCATCGATGGCGGACAAGTTGAAGGATCTTGCGAGTACATACGACTATGAGTTGCGCGAAAAGGAGCTAGACCTGCAGAACGCACGCGGTTCGCTTGAACAGATGCAGCAAGAGATGGAAGAGCTGAGACGCTACTTGACGGCGAATAGCCCGACAGATATTGCATACCTCATCAAGCAGGCTGAGGCTGAAGAGGCGGCGCACCATGCTGCATTGCACCAAGCATTTGAAGCTTCACAAGTGAAACAGCTGGCTACGTTTGTCGTTCAAGCAAGCGGTCACGAGACATCCATGCCGACTGACATGGCGAAGCTACGACAAACCTTGCTTGGTTTACAGCAGCAACGCAAAGAGAAGGTGCTTGATCTGGTCTCTCAATTTGGCTCAACGGGCGTCGGCGGTCGCATGAAGGACTATCGGCGACTCATTGCGACTTCATGCGGAATCGCACCACAGGAGGTGGATGACTTGCTAGGCCCTATTGAAGAACTGCTTGTTCAGCAGGCGAGTCAGGGTGAAGAGCGAATGGGAGGTGTGAGTGAGCCAATGCCGGGCGCACAAGATGGCTCCATGGTAGGTGGTCAACCTGCTTGATCTGACTTGAGAAAGAGTCACTTGTAAACAAATTAGCGCCAGCTGTCTAGCTTAATGTCTTTGGAGGGAAGCACATGCGATTGAGCCAGTTCAAATGTCGGGGCAAGTGCTGCTTGATGCAAGACATTTGCTATATCGAAATAGGTTCGTGTCAAGATCACGAGATCCATGTCTGCCAGACTGACACCCGATTGACATTTGGGCGGATCCCTGGGATTGGTTCAGAGTTTTGGCAGGTTGCGATTGCGCTTCTATCTCGAGCTCATGTGCAACTAGACTTATTCACTGGCCCACATTGACATTGAGTAAGGGACTCTCCACTGAGTCTCCAGCATGGATGCAGAAAGCATAGCTCCCAAACCCGTTGACTATGCCTTGACTCTTGAGTCTCAAGCCTTGAGACAAAATATCATGAATGAAGTAGTGGCATGACTCCAAGCCTCTAGGAAGCGGGTCGTGGTCTCAGGTCTGAGCCACATGGTCCAGGAGCTGTGATCGACTCACCGGAGCTTGGTGGATTTGCGGCCTTCTCATCCGATCTCCGAGCATGAGGCATATCAGATGCAGGGTTTGATAGCGTCAAAATGCTCCAACTGCTGCTTTCCTGCGACCAGTGGGCGCGGCCAAAGTCTGGGTCGGAGACTGCACAATTAGTCACTCCGCCCACGCACACCCACACCCCGTGGACGCTCACAGCGAGCTGGCAGCATCTCTCTCCCTTCCTACAACACACACCGTCAACCTGGCACACTCGCCATCTCTGTACAAACAACAAACGTCGACTCAGTGACAGATTGCGCGCCTTGCAACGACGGCCAAAACCTAAAAACGGGCCCCACCTTTCTTTTGGGCCCCGACGCTGAACCGCTGCACAAATAAACAAGTCGTTGAGAGCTCTGACCTAGCTGAAGAGGAAGAAAAGTGATTTCCTACGGCCTGTCGATTGCAGAGACAGAGAGTCTGAGCCGAGCGACTGCTCCGACACGCCAGGATTCGCTTGGTTTGATAGTCCTGACGTGAGGGAGTAGCAGGCGCTTGCGACAAAGCTGCGGGTGATCATGTCGCAATCAAACACATTCTATGCGAATCCATCTGCTGCGCTGCAAATGAACGACAAGAAGCCTATTGCACCACACAAGCCAAAGCTGGTTGAAGGACAAGTACCACAGCCAAAGCGGCGTGTGAAGACGGGTTGCCTGACTTGTCGGAAAAGACGCATCAAATGCATCCCTGCAGAAGATGGGTCACCGGACTGCAACAACTGTACAAAAACGAAGCGTGTCTGTATACCGGCGCCTCCTGTCGTCCCTGCTAGCTCCGGCAAGAGACGGCCTTCTACAGCAAAAAGATCAACCAGCGACCAGTCAGTACCACGACGTGAGAATACCAGTGGTCCAACTCAACCAGCACAAAGCGGATACAGCCATTCATTTGAGCAAGAAACGCTGCATAGAGATCTACAGACAGGGGTCCCGAGCCTCGCTAACGGCAATGGCTATGTATTGAATCAGGAGATGATGCAACCGAGGGGCTCCACAATGGTAGAACTAGAGAACTACCTGCTACCTCTGGGTGGTCTGCAGCCGACAGGTGACATTGGCTACCCGTACCTTTCGCCAGGGCTGCCGCCTGAAGTGGAGATTACAGACTCCTTTCCCTTCACACACACAGGCCCTTACGGTCAAGACATGGTTGATTACAGTGGTCAGCGTACAGCGAGCTTCTCTACCCATTCGGCAAGTTTGTCTACCCCGGGGCCTCTCATGAACAGTTCTTTGCCGACCACGATGGATGGGTTGAACACATTCTCAGCCCAAGAGGACTTTGAGGTCTCCGACCAGCCGCTTGAAGGAGGTGCTCCTCTCATCATGGATCATGCGATGCAGCAACATCTCCTTCACCAGCAAATACAAGCCCAGCAAATGCAACAGCAGGAAGACATGTTGCAACACTCACAGCCGCAATTTCCAACGTCTTCATATGCGCCTGCCATGGCGCCCCATATCTCGCAATCCACATCCGCCAAGTCCTCGCCTCAGAATATGTATACCTTCTTGAAGGATAACACGCAGTACATGGACAACGAGCAAACAACAGCATTAGAGTGGCGCTCACCTCCACCTGCGCAGCTCAATCCAGATCAGCAGTACTTTTTGAATCAATTTATCAGGAATCCACCTATTGCCTACGGTACTTTGGATGAACGCTATATTGAGTCTCCCGGACAACCCCCTAAGCTCAGCATACGCGAGTCAAACTTTTGGTCCTTTGTCATGCCAAGTATGGCGCTCAGATGTCCAGCTCTTCTTCATGCTCTTCTCGCACTATCTGAAGTGCGCGAAGCGAATATGCAGAGCAACTCGGACTGTGAAAATCGTGCGTTGCTGAATTATCATCAAGCAGTCAGAAAATTGGGCAAAGCCATCAAAGTCCCCGGATCGAGCTCACGAGACGAGTTGCTGGCTGCGACGCTTGTTTTAGCGTACTATGAAACGACCAGTGGTGAGACGATGCGCTGGGGCAGACATCTCGAGGGCAGTGTCTTTTTGGTGAAGCAGCGGATAGCATCGACCTACAATATCAACGAGAACGCGCAATTCCAATTCCTCAAGATGCCATCAACGGCTGAGCATCTCATTTGGTTCCACATCCATCAAGATGCTGTGCAAAGTTTGCTCTCTGGCACAGGCCTTTACCTTGACATGCAGTATATTCTGGCGATGCCGCTTCGTGGTAACCCAGGTTCCGTTATGCATTCTACGGACCAGCTGCGTGTCCTCATGGCTCGCGTTGGAGACTTTGTTGGTCGTGATCGGAAACGCAAGGAAGCACAGCAAAACGATCCTGCATCACTGGAACAGGCCTTCAAGGATTGGAATCAATTGCTCGGCGATTTCAACAGCTGGAAGAAGGCTCTTCCAACGTACTTCGAAGCTCGTGTGATTCCAGGGACCTATACACCATTCGGAGATGTGCTTGTCCATCAGCATCCAGCGATTGCGACAATTGCTACCATGCATCTTGCGAGTTTGCTCTGCTTGCACCGATACCGGCCTGACTTGTCGCTCATTCCAGCTGAGGCTGGCAAAGCGACAATCATGACAACCTATCCAATCAGTCAGATGATTTTGCGCATGCTATCTGGTATCATGGTCGATGCTCTCAACAACAAAGAAGCTGAAGAATCATCACATGTCAAAGCCATGATCAACTCTACCATGCCGGCGTTCTTGGCTGGTACGAGCTTGCAGGACCCTGATCAGCGCGATTACCTCGATCGTATGTGCAAGGATATCTTCAGTTTCACTGGTTGGCGTACAGCGCTGCGTGTATGTCAGGGTCTTGATGTCGCCTGGGGTCGTGAAGCTCGAAAATTCCATGGTCTCGTCAATACGGTCGATTCAGACCCGACAATTGTTCGCGAGACAGGCTCTCAAGCTGGATCTCCAGGAGCACGCGGAAGCTTTGATGGCTTGCCATCCGGGAGTCAGGAGATTGGAGTGAAGGTTGGTGGAGGAGCACCAGAGTCGCGGTTCGTGTTGCTTGACAAGTCTCAAGCTTTGAATGCCGTAGTGGGTGTGCTCGGTCGGCTTACGCTTGTGAAGGATGAAAGTCGGGAGCAGTCGTCCATGTCAGCGTTTGACACTTCGCCCCGCGATGGGCCTATTGCGGTTGGGAACAACGCATCCCATGTGCACTTTTCTGCCTATGGACCTTGAGTGTTGAGTCTGACTTGATGATTTGTGTATAGATATAATGACATCTTCATGCTACTCAGTGCCGTGACCGCTGACATCTTGCAGACAGTAACACCTTGTGACATCTAGTCAAGGCGTCTTGAACAGCTACAGGCGCAGAGGTAGTCATGAAATTATGCTGTTACACCTCAGATGAGGCATGGAAAAAGGATGCTTGACACTTGCTCTGAAGTTGCTCACATAGGTAACACAGCCACTCTGAGCTGTACGATTGTAGCCAACTTCAAATTTTCTACATCTTCCTGTCAAGTGGATGAGATGCATCTGGCGACCAAGACAGGGGTATCTCGCCAGGAACCGTGGACAGATGAGACATGTCTTCGTACGCATGACAAGCATGATGTTCTTCTCGTGGCTTCAAGATCAGCTTCACATGATCTACTGACACGAACAGCAGACCAACAGTCAAAGTATCAGTGTTCTGGAAAGTTGAAACCTTCCGATCCCGCGCATTGCCGTGCTTATTTCGTTCGCGGATCCACCCACCTTTTTCGTTTTTGGGCAAAGACAGGCGACTACCGGAACAGATCTGTGCAACTAAAGCTGCGCTGCACACCTGGGCACTTAGTCTGAGCGCATCCGCTGCCTTGTAACTTGGAACTGTCACGCTGGATTCCCTAAAGAGGCTGCCTTTAGTAGCACCCAGTGCCACCCACCCTTCCAGGTACCAATCATGGAGTCTGATTCATGACGCACTGTTCCTGACATAGGCTCAATCCCACGGAATAGTACGCGTGCCAAATGCAGCCTTGCAAACTTGACCACATTGACAGCAGTGGCAGTGCAATCCAGAGCTCGCATGGAAAGACTTGCATCTTGTTGCGAGCTCTGTTGCTCCGCGACTAGTAAAAGCAGTATCATGCGACTCATGCCAGCGTTACAGCAAACAGATCCACTGCGTGGCATCTGTTGTTTGTCAACTCCATCAGCTGATGGCTGGGGAATACACAAACAAAGACGAGTTCGGCAAGAGGATGCTGCCGACTTCAAGATATACTACGTCAAGGCGTGATTGTCGTGAAGGAGTTGACGGGATCTTGGCTCCGCTAGTGAGGTCTATCGTCGGAATCGGTCGCCGCCAAGTTTTTGTTTGGATTCAATTTTGTATTCGCCATGCATTTGCGAGAACTCCCGGATCGCGTACAGCAGTCTCCCGCTGACCTCACTCATCAGGGGGCCCCGGATTACTCATATACCTCTAAGCTGCCAATGCTGTCTTCAATTTGTCTTTGTTCTGTCGGGCTTCGCCAGCTTCTCGCTGCTGTGCAGCTGTGCGGTCACCACATAGACTGGCGAGTCTACAATTAGCACCAGGCTCATTTGTCGCGCTCCCAGTTCTATTGGCGAGCTGAGCTACCATGAACTTCCAGGGCTTTTCTCCAAGTGGCTTGATACCAGCTCGCGGAAGCCGTGTGAGGTCCTCCTCCATGGCAAGTTCAACGCAAACCACATTCACTGATGGTCTATCGACCACATCAACCAATCCTAGTCACCCGTATGTAGGGACGTTCGTTGACGATCCATCGCTGGATGTCAAGGAGACCAAATCAGAACCATCGCCAACTACCGCTGATGGCGAGGTCACTTCACGGACGCCACATCGCAGGCGTAGGATGCACTCGAAATCTCGTCAGGGGTGTCTCTCGTATGCACTTGAGTTCTCAATCTAAGGTCTAATATACTGACAAAGCTTAGCTGCAAAAGACGCAGAGTCAAGTGCACAGAGAACCGTCCAGTGTGCAATGAATGCCAAAAGCTTGGCCTCGAGTGTAGCTGGACTCCAGTGGCACAGGTGCAAGAGCCGCCTGATCGTACAAGCACTGCCTGCTTGCCTTCTTTGGAGTGCATGCTTCTCTTCAATTGGACGCACAGCACTGGTCCATCATTTTATCTTGACCAGGTCTGGATGCAGCAAGTACCCGTCATGTCCTTTGAACACCCACACTTATTGCATGCCCTGCTCTCTGTCTCGGCTGCACATCAGCAGTACAAGGGTGTTGACTTGCAGCCCAAAGTATCTATGCCAGTGGACAACTTCATTGTGCGTCATCGACAGCAGTCCATCAAGGACTTTAGACGTGACCTTGGCACTGGCATTCGAGCGGAGAATGCGGACGCCTTGTTTGCGACAGCTCTGTTGCTTGCTCTACAATCATTCCAGATTGATCCTGGCTCCTGGACGCGCATGTACAAGGGTGTAAGATCTATTGCACATCATATGAAGGCAGTCTTCAGTGAGGGGCAGACTATGTGGAACGCTCTAATCAATACACATGCTCAGGAATTCTTGCCAGTCTCAACATCATTTGCTCTCCAGCCTCTTGCAACTGGGCCGTGTGCACTGCCAATTGGCCATCTTGCCAAGCTCTATGCTGCACAAACCATCTCATCGTCAGATCTGTTTGCGTTTCCCGCGTTACTGAGCGAGCAGTTTCTTGAGTTGGTCGAGCGAGATCACCAGGTGGCACTTGTGGTCATGTATTACTACTTTCTACTGGTGCAGCGCTTAGAAGATGTGTGGTGGATAGGCAGCTTTGGCAGGCAAGAGAGCATGCGTATTTGGCATTTGCTCGATGACAATCATCGTGCATACCTTACTACTGCAGCTCAAAGCAGATGATGCACGAACACAACTTGAGAATCGAGCCCATAGGTGAATTCTACATGATGATGGACGAATCCTACTTGCGAGACTTCTTTGCGCGTGACTTTGGCTTTTCCTTCGGACCGTCACTCTTGTCACGTTTGCCATAGACTTTGCCTTCCTTACGATCCCGTTTCGCATCTAGACGCTTCTTGTCTTTATTTGAGATTGGTTTGGGTGCTTGTTTCTGTTTAGCTGCAGCAGCGCTCTTGCCGTCAGCGCCATTGAGCAACTCCTTGCCTCGCTGCGAAGACTTTTGCTTCTCGTCTTCAGTTGTGAACCACGTCCGCCTTGGTCGAGCCTGGATCTCTTCGCGATACTTGAGGTTGTTTTCTCCACGTTTGAGTTCCATCTCAGCTTGACGCATCTGTCGTTCTTGGCTCTCATCCTTGAGGACCGCCTCGATTTCTTCCTCAAGATCCTGCAACTTCTTTGCCAAAACATCCATCTCGCCAGCATCGAGGGCGCGTGATTGGACCTTTGACTTGAGTGCCGCAGAGGACTTGACTGCAGCCTTCACAACTTTACGATCATTCTCGCCCGCGAGGGTGACAGATCGACCTTGTCTACCAGCACGCGCTGTACGACCAACGCGGTGCAAGTATATCTCGTGGGATTGCGGCGCTTCGTAATTGATGACTGTATCAATGCCCTTGATGTCGAGACCACGCGAGGCGAGATCTGTGGCGAGCAAAAAGTCAATTCGTCCATCTCGGAAGGACTCGAGGGCAAGGACACGTTGTTCTTGTGACAAATTACCGTGTAATTCGCCAGCACGCATGCCGAGAATACCAAAGATGACACGCATGCGATGCGCGAGGACTTTACTGCGGAAGAAGACGATGCACCTTTGTTTGAATAGCTTTTGACAGAGATGAACGAGGATAGCAGATCGAGTGTGCTCTCTTTGCGGCCTGATTCTCACAAACTCCTGGATAAGGTGTTCGGCTGTCTCCTTCTTTGCATTGACGAGAAGTCGCACGGGTTTGTTGAGCGACAGTCGAACGAGATCATCAATCTTGTCAGTCATTGTTGCGGAGAAGAGCATGGTTTGACGAGATCTCGGACAAGCATTGATGATCTCATTGAGCTCGTCTGCGAAACCTTCTTCAAGCATGCGGTCGGCTTCGTCCATGACCATAATTTCGATGTTCTCGACCGTGAAGCCCTGTGAATTGCGGAAATGGTCAATAAAACGACCGGGCGTGGCAATGACAACATCCGGCCGTGTACGCAGCTCAGCTTCTTGTACTTTGAGAGAGAGACCGCCCACAACGAGTGCGCATTTGATGTCTGTAAAAGCAGCCAGTTTTTTGGCAACTGCATGACATTGCATGGCGAGCTCTCGAGTCGGACAGAGAACAAGGACACGAGTCGAGGCCACCTTTTTCGGGCGGTACAAGAGCCGTTCGAGGATGGGTATCATAAAGGCCGCAGTCTTTCCTGAACCAGTGACGGCACCACCGACAACGTCCTTGCCCATGAGAGCTACAGGAATGGCTTTGGCCTGAATGGGCGTCGCTGAGGCAAAGTTCATCGCTGTGAGAGCTCGTAGAATAGGTCGCGAAAGGTTCATGTTGCGGAAGTCGGCCAACTTGGCGCTCTGTTCAGCATTCAAGGGTATTTGCACCTCTTCGTCCGCAAAGTATTCCTTCTGACGCTGCTTTTCTGCAGCAGACACTTCTTCATCGTCGCTAGCGTCTGAAGCAGCGTCATTAGGATGCGCAACGATTTCAGCCTCTGATTCCACATCGCTCTCTTGCTCCTCATCTTTATCCAAAGCTTCTTCTTCAGAAGCCTCTTCAGGTTGTTCGGCCTCTTCGTCCTCGTCAGCGGCACCAGCGCCAAATCCATCGTCGGGCACCTCATCATCCGAAGCGAAGCCTGCGAATTCTTCTTCGTCATCTTCTTCTTCGGCGTCCGAAACAGGGGCTTCTATTGCAGTGCCCTTGCCAGCTGTCCGGCGTCTCTTGATCAATTCGTCAATGTCCACACCAGCTTTTTCGCGGTTCATAGCTTGATCATCAAATTGCCAACCGTCCAAGTCTGCCGTCGCACCTGCAGAATCATCTTCAAACACAAAATCGCCAGCAAGATCCCCGACTTCTGCGTGCTTGCGCTTTTTGACATTCTGTTTGGCAGGCACGGGTGCAGCCTCGACATCATCCACGACCTCCTCATCCTCATCAAGATCGTCAATCTCCTCATCCGATTCAATTGTGCCCACTAGATCCATTGGATCAAGCTTTGCCATCTCTGAAGTAGCTTATTTGTGAGGACCTGATCCTTCACTGTCGACGAAAAAGACCACACGATTTTGAATGTTCGAAAAAAATAAGGCGCCACAGTCGCACGTTCAGATGTGGCGTAGGTAGAGACGCGATTTCGACCAAGCAAACACCCTTAAGGAAGCATCTGCTGAGTGCTCTCTCACTGCTCTGCAGTGCGGCCAGCTGGGCGAAGTACCCTACGTGACGCGCTCTCGTCTACATTCATTATGTCTTTTCAATCTGATGAAATCATATGCTTAGACAGCCCTGAGCGAGCTCCTAAACGCGCTCGCGATTCGCGTTATTCAAGTCCTGAAGACGACTTGCCGGATATCCAGGCTATTTTCAAGGCAGACACTCGTTCAAAATCAAATTATGTCTATGCTGCTCAAGTAAAGGCGCCGCCACATCAATTGACCAAGAAGGCTAGCGCTTCTGTTCCTGTTGTGGCGAAACAAATACCTGGGGCAGCAGCATACAAGCTACCTCAAGAGCCCATCATCGAAATTATCGAGTCTGATGAAGACTTGCCACAAAATCACGTTGTACCAAAAGCTCCGCCTGAAGTGTTGTCTTTGCAGAAGACAACGGTAAATCGTGCGTACAACGCTGCGACTGATGGTAGCAAAGCGCAGAAACTGGACAAGATGGCTATCGCTACATCAGTTGCCACTGCGGCTCGATCCATCGCAAGTTCACTGCCAGTACCCTTGCCTACAGTTGAAGTCTTCAAGCCATTGCCCGCCAAGCAAGTTAGTGATTGTCCAGCAAGGCGACCGAGCTTTGATCAGCCGAGGATACCAAATCCTCCAGCTGGTCCAAGCAGAAAACCATCCAGCCCTCCAGTCGTCTTCTCAACAGGACCGTCGGCGGACACTTTGCGTGCGAAATCGGTGGCTCATCCCCCAGCGAACGCATCGAAGCCTAATGCAGCCTTTTCTGCAAGCTCAGCAATGGCCAGACTGGCTTCCAACTTGCATCCCTCTCGGCCAGCAAAGAAAGCAAAGTCTCTATCACCAGAGCCTGTGCTCGACCCAATGGCTATGCCAACCGTTGCCACTCTAGATGACCTCTTCGACACGGCTGCTATGGAGCTTGATTTATCTTCTGACGAAGAAGAGGCTATGCCCGTCATTGACCCAAAGGATCCGCTTTCTGGCAGGACACAGGGTTATCTACATCCAATGGCTGGAAAATTGCCCTCCAGCTACATGAGGCGCACAAATACAACTATTGCTTCGCTGCTGAATCGTGAAAAGCCTGCGGCACCATCGCTAAAGAGTCCCCACATTTCCATCTCGTCAGATGACCCAAGAGTATCTTCTCCAGCAGTTTCCAGTCCAGTTCCAGGCTTGTCGACTTTGCGTCGGACTGACTTGACGGTGCCTGTACGGCCGAGACAGGAACCAGCGCGAAATGTTGTCCAATTGGCTTCATCGTCCAAGCCAGTTGCTGAGCAGCCCATTGCCAAACCACCCGCGAACCATTCATGGAGCTCGACGCTGCCTTCAGTACCACATGAGACTCGTGTGTCAGCCAGAGCAGCGAAATCAATGGCAGTGCCAGCAACAGCATCAACAGGTGCGCGTCCTGGATATAATTTGCAATCACTGTACACACAAATCTCCGACGACTCCATGACTGATGAGGATGCACCAGAGGCCTTCACGAGCTGTGCCCCTCCTCGTAATTCCAAAAATTTGAAACTGGCAGCTACTGAAGACGCAGCCTTTGCACGCGCAGACAAAGCTCGACAAAAGGCAGCAGAAAAGGCTGTCAAGCAAGCTGAAAAGGAGGCTAAAGCTGCAGAACGCTTGCGTGTGCAGAGTATCTCGTCGGTGAATGTGCTCAAGACGAATAAAAAGGACACTTCGCCGGAGATGATTGTGCGCGTGTGCCAGTCTTTTGAGAAGGAGGTGTTTTGGACGCATATGCAAGCTCTGTCTGATGCGAGCGGTTTTGAATGCCGCCTTGAAAGTATGCCAGTTCCTGGGCTTGTTCGTTTCTCGCGCAAAACCAAAGCAGTCTTCAACACGGCTCTTGGATATTGGGAGCCGCTACCTGCGATGGTCATCAAGGAAGAACCTCAGCTCATGATTCGGGTATTGGCAGATGCATTCCTTGGCCTGACTGAACAGCCTGGTGCGCTGGCCAAGCATGTCGCTTCTGTTAGGCAAGTGATGCCAGGTGGGCGAGTCATTTACTTGCTTGAGGGCGTCCATGCCATGCTCAACAAATCACGCACTGCACGTAATCGCGCTTTTGCATTCAAGGTACGACAAGATCTCGATCCTGCTGGCGACTATACTGCCACCACTGGCAAGAAAAAGCAGACTGTCGCTATTGAGATTGATGATGATGGACTGGAAGATGCGTTACTTGATTTGCAAGTCATGCATCGCTGTTTGATTGTTCATGCTGCCAAGCCAGTTGATACGGCAAGGGAGCTGTGTACACTGGCTCAGGATATGAGTCTCATCCCGTACAAGAGCGAAGCTACCAAGAAGGCAGGCTTTTGCATCGAGCCTGGACAAGTCAAAACTGGCAGGGACAATGCAGACACCTACGAAAAAATGCTGGCGTCTCTGCATCGTATTACACCGCCCATGGCGGAAGCTATTGCAAACAGGTATCCGACCATCAAGAAGCTGCATGCCGCGCTGATGAGCAATCCTCTGGCATTGGATGGCACCACGATTGGCAATAATGTTGATGGCAGCTTTTCGCAGCGCAAGATTGGCAGCATTACGTCCAAGAATATTGCTCGTGTTGTGACGTCTACAAATCCACATGCGGATGCTTCATCTTGACCACGGCGGCACGGCCTGACCAAGCTTTATATAATTTCCTGTATCATATAGTATTATCTGAGTCTTGAGCTTCAGATGTCATCTTGAAACCCAATTTTGCCACATCACGCGTGTGCCAGACTCAACGAGCATGAGGATCTTGCTGATTCGTCATGGTGAGAGCACTGGTAATAGAGATCATCTTTGGGCTGGAATAACAGACCATGAGCTGACTGCGCATGGGTTTTTACAAGCACAGCGCCTAGCTGAACACCTACGGGGCAAGCTCGCCCATTGCCAGCTATCCATCCACTGTTCTGACTTGACTCGTGCTCGGCGAACCGCTCAAGCTATAGCTGATGTTCTCACAGATGGGAAGCTCTGTGTTGACAAGCTGTTACGGGAGCAAGATCTTGGCTGGCGTGAGGGCTTGACGTTTAAGAATGGCGACAGGAAAGATCCAGTCAACGCATGCAAGGTCCATACACATCCAGGGGAGACAAAGGATGATATGAATGTACGAGCGGCAGACTTCATTCAATCTATCAGTCCTCTGTCATACAGCCAAGACAAGGTGATTGTCATTGTCTCACATGGCTTATTCTTGCTAAGGCTGTACAGTGAGCTCTGTGCTAGTCTTTGCATTCAAAACGCGCCTTCTGCAATGTGGAGTAATACAGGCGTCACGACCCTTCAAATCAACAAGGCTTGTAGCGGTTCAGTGATGATGGTGAATGTAACAGAGCACTTGCAGGGCCTCAAGCGGACTCGTGGTGTGGGCTCAGCAGCATATGATGCAAAGCAACAAAAAGTCTCAAGCTTTTTCTCGCCGAAGCGAACAAAGCGAGAGACACCGGCTACAACTAAGGATATGGATGAGCTAGATGTCCGGACTGCTATTGATGCCATCGATGCTGCTTGTGCTTCGTCTGGCTCCAGAGACGGCTGAGTTTGGTTTTTTTTCTACGTCACTTTGTTCGACGTCATGCGACTCCGCAAACCAGGAAACCAAGCAATTGTCTGACATGCGCTAACGGTTTAAAGCTGGACTACTGCCCACACGACCAGAATCCCATCAAACAATGAGCAACTATAAGGAGAACCTCAAGAAGGAAGCGCGTGACCAGACATCACGCGCTTTTGCAGTCGGTAAAGATGCCGTTGCGTCCACTGCATGGATCTATCCACTCAAGGGCATCCTCTACTGCCTTGGACAAAAGAAACTACTGCAAGAGATTCAAAAGCAACTCATGCCAAAACTCGTCATGGCGATTGCTGTGACGATTGTTTTGTTTGCAACAGTTTATGTTCCGCAAGCGCTTGCAATGGCTCTCTTTTCTGGGCCATTGGCGTTTATTAGCGCTGTGCCTTTGGTCTTGAGTGAAGCAAACTTGCTCATCAATATCCTCTCAACATTCTTCTTAAACACAGATCTCGATTTGATCTTTGATAAGGTCTTGCTGGAGAAGGGACACGAGACACTCGTTGGAAAGGGACGTGTGGTGGGCGCCACTGGAAGTGGTAAACAAGGTCACATGAAGGCAAAGCTGACGTCGGGTCTACAAAAGTTCTCACCGCAAGCAGTCATTCGCTATCTCCTTACCTTGCCACTCAACTTCATCCCAGCCATTGGTACGATCTTGTTTCTTGTACTGAATGGACGAAAAGCAGGACCACGCTACATGAGTCGTTATTGGCAGCTGAAGGGTGAGAATTCAGCGTCTGTAGAGCGGGAGAAGACTGGTTCATTGACGGCATTTGGTACGGCGACTGTGTTGTTGGGTATGGTTCCTGTTGCGAACCAATTCTTTGAATATACCAATACGGTGGGTGCTGCGCTCTTTGCCTCGGATCTGGAAAAGGGCGCACAGGCTGGTGGTATGTGAAGCTGAAGAACAACTATCCAAATAGAGACAAGTCGGTTTTATCTGCCTTGACTACCTTTTAAAAAGAAAGAACAGCCGCTACATGAAAGTGGAACAAGAAAAAGACGGAAATGGCAAACTATGTAGCGACGTAACAAGCACATGAAAAGCCTGGAACGTTTTGAGAAATAGAGGCGAGCCATGCGGAAGAGGCCGTCGTGTAGGCAGGGCTTGGAGCTGCACCTCAAGACTGCATTGCCATTGAGTGCATTGTGCCACTTCCATTGCTACCCGGTGGGTTACTCACACCACCAGCACTCCCACTCGATCCACCTCGTCTCATCTCATCGATTTCCCGTCGAGCAAGCATGAGTTGTTCCTCCAAGAAATTGACATGCTCAACAGCTTTACTCAAAATCTCCCATTTACTCGTCTTGAGTGTTCGATCGAGTGGTAACTTATCCCGCAAATCATCAAACAAATCCTTCATCTCCTTTCGCCGTTTCCGCTCAGCCAATTTATGACTAACGCGTAGTTCCGGTGAGCGTGAGTAAGGACTCGCATCTTGCATCAGTGCGGAAAGTTGTTGATGCTGTAACGAGGGTGTCAGCATTCCCGTCGATGTGCCAAACGTCGCAGTCTGTGGTGTCATACCAGCAGAACTCGAGCCATCTCCCATATCAGGATCGGGAAAGGCATAGGGGAAACCGGCGGTTGGTTCAGGAGCGTTTGGGTGAGGGTGCGGGTAGCCGCGTTGAACGGCTTGTTGCTGTTGTGCCTGTTGCATGGCTGCTTGAGCACGTCGTGTATCCACACTCAATGCAGACATATTGGCTTGTGTGAAGATCTGCGGTGCCAAGTTTTGTGGTCTCCGCAAGGGATCCATGATACTCGAAGCAGTCGAGCCACGACGTAGATTAAATGTTTGGGACAAGCGCGAACCAGGGTCTTTTGCAGTCAGTGGTTGCGAGGGGCGTCCAGCACCGACATTCTCAAAATATTCCAAGGCGCGTGGATCATCGTAGCCTTCCATATTCGAGTCTCGTGACAAGCGCCGTTCAGACATGGTCATGAAGGACGATGCGCCTGGTGAAGAGGGGGCATACGCTGCGCCATTCATGGCATCGTGATTGAGTGTATGAATGGATTGTGGTCGAGATTGCGATTGATTCTGGTATTGGTAGGCAGAGGGGGAGACTTGTTGCTGCATCTGAGCGGCTGCTTGGGCTGCTGCTGCGCTGTTGATGGAATTAAAGGAAGCTCTGTGATTGAGCTGGCCCATGGATGTTTTGGGCTGCAATTGCTGTTGACCCGCTTGGACTGGCTGAGCGGCGGCCATGGCTGCTCCGTTTTGGTTCAAAAAGGGTAAATCTTGCTGTTGCTGGAAGGCTTGATTGTAGGCATTGAACTGTTGCTGTTGTTGCGTCTGCTGTGCTTGTTGGAAATCCATCTTGTTTGTTGTTTGCGCCCTGAAGCTGACCTATACAAACAGATGAGAGGGACTAGACGCTTCCGCTAGCAATGGACTGTTTGTCTTTTGTGAGCTAGATAGTGGTGAGCTCGCAGAGGGTATCCTCAGTTGAACAAACAGCAAAGGGGAATGCTGAGGGATTGAGCTGGCTTTGACTGAGGCCTATCCGCCGTTTTCAGTTGCCCTGCAAACAAGGGGCAGATGCACAAGCGATGAGCGTATTTGTTGGCCAAAGAACGTAGATTTGAGCTTTTTCACAAAAGTGCAGAAGCTGACTTGAGATGAACGAGCGGAGCGAGCAGGTTGATACTAGCAGAAAGACAGCAAGCGTAGTGATAGACGCTGTGTCAAATTATTGTCCGTCAGAGAGACGAGTGAGGTGTTGAGTAGAAAATGGACGGTGCTCAAGGTAGCGCCGCGTCAGATGTACAATGCGCTCCAACCCGTGCAGCGATGCGCCTTGATGCAGATGTGGAGATTAGACCTGGGGAGGAGACGGGCCCTTGATGTTGCGCCTTGATGCCCCGAGGAGAATGCGGGCCGTCTTCTTGTTGACTTGAATGTCGCTGTAGCGCGGGCTGATGACCTGTGTGGATCTGTGGAGAAGATGCGATCGATGGGTGCGCTGCGAAAGCTGACCTGGGGCCGTTGATAAATGAAGAATACAGGTAGGAGTAGTGTGTAGGTGTTGATGCGAAAGTAGAGAGCACACACACAAGGGAGGAGGCTTGCTTGCTTGCTTGCTGGCTTGGGTGGTGCTGGCTGCTGCTGCTGTTTGTGGGCGCTTCCAAGACACAGACTGGCAGCGAAGACTCCATTCGCCTTCCCTTCCTTCCCTTCCTCAGCCACCCCGTCGACACTTCCATCCACTCTGATCTAGACCCCCGGGCCAGCTTGGCTTTATCCTCTTACAGCTATAGCATCATATACACTATTACACTGATAATACACACACTCTTCTGAGGCCAAACTCGAACTCCCTCGGCCCGCTGTCTCTATCCAATCCATCCCATTTAAGCTTAATCCCTTGCCAAATCGCCGCTTCTCCCTCGGACATGGTCCCGCCGCCGCGGCCTCATGGCCATGCTCCCTCGATATGAAGCCAGGTCACAGGCAGCACAGGCTCAGAGCCGACCCCTATCCGACCATCCCTAGCGCTACAAATTGCAGTCGCTAAAGTATTCTATAGTCCTGGCATAATCTGGTGCTGAGACTGAGCCGTTGAACATGTGCGCTGCCTTGTCTCAGAATCGGTCTCTCAGTCGCCGCGTTCGGTACCTCCATCAAATGTACGACACAGGCCTGTACGAGATTCTACGCTGAACATGAAGCAGTCTCTCCTCTGTAGACTGTAGAGTAGGCTGGCAGGTGGCTCATATCATGGTAACATGTCAGGCCAGTCCGGCCACAGCAAGCTTCTGACACGGCCTTCCCTCGCTTGCTCACACCAGCCGCCTTCACCAATAAATCCATCCTTGACCAGCCTGGCTCAAACAGCAGGTACCGACAGGGATATTGTTCAGGCAACACGTACACTCATCCACTAAACTCAAAAGCTATCGCAGTCGCTTCCAGATGAAACATAACAGGAGGGATCATCAAACTTGTCAAAAGCAGTCCATCGCATGCACACCACACCATAAGACTGCAGCCTACTCAGCGCATAACCATCAGACGCCTGACAAGACTGCTGAGCAACAAGCCCGATACGAGTCCTAGTGAGAAGCATGTCAATTTGCCCATGTAGCGTGATAGCCACGACGGCTGCTCTCTTGCTTCAGTAGCGTCGCATCGACCCGATTTGTCCTGAGGTGGCCGTTGTCCCTCAGAGTCTGACACCATGGTCGCAGGCGCTTCTGCCGCGTTGTCGCGTAGATGCCTTTGACCTGTTCCCGTACGCTTGCCACGCCTTCTGCGTGATGCTGCAGGATCACTTGCTTGGCTAGCGCCTTCATGAGAGCCCGATTGTAGCAGTGTGTTGAACCTACGCGTGATTGTCAGCTTGATATCCTCAGATTGCGGCTCTTGAAGGGTCAGGGGAAACTGGCACGTAGAAACAGCATTGGCGCGTACTTCTATGCTACGCAAGCATTGACCCAGAGCGCTTGATCTTACGATGTTTTGAGGTTCTCATCCGTACTGCCAGAGACACTGAGCACGGGCGGCGGACTACCCAGTGACGCGGTCGATGACGGTGTTGAAGGCGCCGACTCGAGTTCAGCGGGTTCATCCTGTGCAGCTGTTGTATCTTCCTGTATTGTTGTGCCGCTTGTGGTCGCTTGTGCCTTCCGCTGCTTCTGCTGTCTTTGTACGTCGATCCAGCTCTGTTCCATGCTGCTGTAGACCTTCCCTGGCTCGTTGCAGCGGTGGGTGTCGCCTTCTTGGTCGCTCCCGAGGGAATTCGCAACTCCACTCTTCAACCAGACTTCCAACAGACCACGACAACGGGCAAGCTCGGCGATGGGCCCAGTCGACGGGAGAGGCAGCAGGCAGCATGAGCTGAATGTGCAAGTGCTGCTTGTTCGAGCAGATGTTTCATACGACAAACAAACAGTCCTCGTGAGTCGAGATATCCAGGAAGACCTCGTCGCGAACGGTAAGCCTCTTTTCTATCTATTGTCGGCATCAAGACTCACATACAGGACAACATTATCTCGCATTGGCAACACAAACCAAGGCTTCATGGACACTCTTCAAAACAGCCCCGGCAAGCACCAACGAGCGCGAATGGAATACCCTCTGGTTACCACCAGACCTCTATACGCGTTACTGCAGTCGCACAGTCTTTGCAAGACCTTGCTCACCCATTCAACTACAATCTGTTATCATCGTCTTTCCCGAATCGACATATACCCTTGTTTCGCAGAGCAAGCAGGCGTTTCGGGCATTACTCGAGCAAGGAACGGTTCTGTGCACGGGTGAGTCTGTTGAGGTACACGGGTATCGCGGTGTCATTCGCATGTGTGAGCCTGTTCGACAAGGTGTTCTGAGTGCAACCACGGATATCGTCGTGGCGCGTGAACCACCGTCTGCAGACAGTTGGAATCCGCATGCACACGAGGACGCAGCAGAGGTGGATGCGAGTGATAGCGATGACGATGAAGTGAATGAAGCGGCTTTTGCTAGTCTCTTGCACTCGGGCTTCCTCTCAAAGCAGACAACACACCTCACTTATGCGCTTCCTGGTACCGACACACAACTATCGCCAACCCTCGATCTGCCTGCTGTACCCCTTCATCGCAATCTCTCACTAGATCGCAGTGCGCCACAAGCGCGTGGAGATCCAGAGTACTGCGCATATGCACCCCTTGCGCTACTCCTAAAACTTGGCAGCTTTTCCGGTGAATCGGTGGTCCTTGCTACCGCTGAGACATCACGGACACTACAACTCCTGGCGTTACCGGTTGACTACGGGATAACGGAAGTTGAAGCCGTCTACCTACCACCCGTACTGCTCTACAATCTCTGTGGCCAACAACGACGTCTCAAGGTAACGAAAGCTACAAACCAAAAAGAACGACCCGTTGCCACGTCTGTGACACTGGCACGCGTACCGAGTCCCGCCTCAACGGATCGAATCTTGCAAAGTGCCTTTCTATCAGCCCTCAAGTACCATTTCGAGCAACATCGACGGACTGTGCGACAGGGTGATTTATTGCTATTGGGCGTGAATGAAGCTGTTGCACGTATGGTAGGGGATACGGGGCCGGAAGAGGATGTTTTGACTGAATACGCACATGCGTCTGCCATGCAGTGCGATACATTCGCTTGGTTCAAAGTCCTTGAAGTCACGGTGGATGCAGATGCTGCAGAAGACGAGAGCGAGGCATATACCGACGATGCTGTTGTCGATGCCGGGAGTACGAAAATGGTACAATCTGGCGTTTGCAAAGCACGTATACCGGCGTTGTCGGATTGGGCGACCTATTGCCGTGTGCCTGGCATTGCAAGCACATCTACCACGGCGGTCGAGTCAGTCTCTGCGCAGCGTCTCTATGAATTGGTTGCATCGACGTTCAGTAAAACGGCGAGAAAGTCACATGCATCGGCAACTGTCTTGATTCACGGTGCTCGAGGGTGTGGCAAGACGACGCTTGCTTCCAATATCGGCGCACGCCTCGGGATGCATCTATTGGAGGTGAATTGTTATCACCTTGTTGGCGAGACAGATGTCAAGACTGAGGCGTATTTGCGCTTTCGATTTGAAAAAGCAGGTGCATGCAGTCCATGCATTCTACTCCTTCGCAATATTGACGCATTGGCGAAAAAGAAGGATGACATGGAATCCGGTCAAGAATCTGCTATGCGATTTGTCTTGGCAGATTGCTTGAAACGTGTCGCTGTTGATGCAGGAGAATTCCCCGTTGCTGTTGTGGCAACGACTTCGGAAAAGGATAAAGTACCAGACGGCATTCTTGGTTGTTTCCGGCATGAAGTGGAGATGAATGCCCCTGATGAGGCCGAACGATTCAAAATTCTATCGACACTGACACAGCAAGTACCACTTGCACCAGACGTCAGCGTACAAAGCCTTGCCGTCCGGTCAGCAGCACTCGTTGCGGCAGACTTGGTGAATGTCTTGAAGCGTGCTCGTAATTTCGCTCAGGATCGGATGGAAGCGCTCGCTGCTGAGCTCGCGACACCCTCTGCCCAGCGAGACTTGTATCTCGCTGGTGAGTGGTTGACGGCAGATGATTTCGACAAAGCTATTGGTGAAGCGCGGCGAAACTACTCAGATGCTATTGGCGCACCCAAAATCCCCAATGTCACCTGGAACGATGTGGGTGGACTTGCGAGTGTCAAGGACGATATCCTGGATACAATTCAACTGCCGCTTGAAAGACCAGAGCTTTTTGCTAGTGGCATGAAGAAGCGATCCGGTATTCTCTTCTACGGTCCACCAGGCACAGGCAAGACCTTGCTTGCCAAAGCCGTGGCGACGTCTTTCTCACTCAACTTTTTCAGTGTCAAGGGACCTGAATTGCTCAATATGTATATTGGTGAATCGGAAGCCAATGTTCGACGTGTCTTTCAGCGTGCACGCGATGCCAGGCCCTGTGTCGTCTTCTTTGATGAACTGGACTCTGTGGCGCCCAAGCGTGGCAATCAAGGTGATTCTGGCGGCGTCATGGACAGGATTGTCAGTCAACTCTTGTCAGAACTCGATGGCATGGGCGGCAGCGAAGGGGGTGGTGTCTTTGTTATCGGTGCGACCAATCGACCTGATCTGCTTGATCCTGCATTGTTGCGACCTGGTCGCTTTGATAAGATGCTGTACTTGGGTGTACCTGATTCAGACTCTGCACAGCTCAACATCCTGCAAGCACTCACTCGCAAGTTCAAGCTGGACCCTGCCCTGGACCTTGAAGAAATCGCCAAGGCGTGTCCCTTCACGTATACCGGTGCAGACTTTTACGCATTGTGTTCAGATGCGATGCTCAAGGCTATGACGCGACAAGCAAGTGCTGTGGATGCAAAAGTCAAAGCACAGCCGGAACCCATTTCAATGCAGTACTTTTTCGATCACCTTGCAACGAAAGCCGATGTGGAGGTTGTTGTGAGTAAGGTGGATTTCGAAGAGGCACTTAAGGAGCTAGTGCCGTCTGTGAGTCAGAGCGAGTTGGATCACTATAAGAAGGTGCAGGCGCAATTTTCAACACCAGCAAAGGAGGAAGCCAAGCCTGCTGCTGCTACACCTACTGTTGCTGTAGATAGAAAGGGCAAGGGCAAGGAAGTTGCCAATGGGCATATGACTAATGGCCAGAGAGCACACTTTGGAGGGGATGGTGCGGAGGAGGATGAGGACATGTATGCTTAGGTCCTTGGTAGTCAAGTTGTACATGTAGTCATGCCATCTGAATTCCAGGGTTAGTGTTCAGAGAGCGCGACTTTGAGACGTGTTCACTTGGACCAGCTACAGCAGCAGCCATACAATTCGGAAGCAATGAGACTGTCGACAGCGGCCTGGCTCTTGCACAGCATCGCGGCTGCCTCTGCAGCTGCAAAGGGCTGGTCTTTCTCTGCAGGCAAGCTTGAGATTGCAGATACACCCTATCCTTTCGCCGTGGGTGCAGCCGACACAAACCTGGCGCGTGTTCCACTGACTGTGGGACAAAAGTTGAAGCTGTCCATGACGGTGAAGACTGCTGCAGATGAAGCAAAGAAGCCGCATCAGTGTATCTTGCTCATTGAGGGTGCATACAAGCCATCGGCCGATGGTGAGGAGAATGCCGCTGAGCGATTGATTGAAGCGAGTATCGTCGTGCCAGTCAAGTCCAATGGCCGTGCAACGCTAGTACTCTCGCGCAGCGACTTTTCCTCTTACTTGCTGGCTTCTGACAAGCCCTTGACGTTGACTCTGGTGATTGGTGGATTCGAGGGAGCTCCCCTGAAGCAAAAGATTGCCTTGCTCAATGTGCAGGGTGATCCCAAAAAGGCGTTGGCTGCACGAAAGGACTTTGCTGCTGAAGAATCCCAGCGTATTGTCTATGGACCCAGAAAGACCATTCATCACACCTTCAAGCCCGACCAGCGAATGCCACCCGTCTTCCTCTCCGGCTTGTACGCGTTGGCTGCCCTAGGGGCCTTTTTGGTGCTCTTGATGGGCTGGTTCGGCATTCTTGGCGCCAACTTCAACCACATGCAAAAAGCAGCCAGCAGGCAACCACTTGGTTATGCTGTCTTCTTGTTTGCTCTATCGGGCGTGGAACTCCTCTTCTTCATTTATTGGTCTGGATGGACAATCATGCCAGTGCTTGGTCTGACCATCCTCTTTGGCATCACACTCTTCTTCAGTGGTCGACCTGTCCTGGCCGAAGTAGCCAGTCGTCGTGCCGCTGGCCTGCGATGAGGCTATTGGAATTTAGATGATAGGTCTTCTTTACTCTAGATGAAGCCTCTTTTGATGCCTCTTGTTGCTTCTATAATCTGAGCCACGTCTGCATGGCATGCTTGATGAGTGTTGTTTCCTTGAGCATGACCTGTAATGCCATCAAATGCACTTCACACCGAACCGCCGCAAACTCTGATGCCCCTGTTGTCGCTGCACTTTTCGCATGCAATGGAACAACCAAGCCAGCACCTTCCAACCTGCCCCATGCACCACGAGCGAGTTTCTTGCTCCACACACGAACGTTGACAACCCCTTCTGCGCGTTGTGCCGTACTCGTCCGATGTGCCAGAGTTGCGTATTCGTCATAACTTGTAGCAAAGCTAATCTTTTGATGCTTGATCTCCAGTCTACAACTCGCAATGAGGAGAGCAAGTTCGATCATGGAACACCCTAGAATCAATTCATTCTTGCCCTGTGAAAGAGGCATGATACTCGGTTGATGATCAAGCGTTGGGATGAACTTTGAAAATTCAAGGAACGGTGTCGTCTCGCTGATTTGTTGAGCGAGCGGCAATGCGAGTCTCGCAAAGACTTGCCGGGGATCTTTGGATGTGTAGTACACGTATGCCATGAACCGAGCAAGTTGCGCGTCTCCCTTCATATGCGCATTCCAAGCTTCTTGGTAGGCAGATGACACAGTCTCGTCACCCTCGCAAGTCAAGCCAGCGAGGCAGAGCTCCTGGAAACTATCAAGCGTGTTTGGAGGCGCCATCTGAATGATACGATGACTGAAGCGTGATTTGACGCGTTTCTCGAGCATCTCATACGCATCAACTTGCGCAGTCAGTCCAATCACGCAGACAGGTGCTTTCTTGCTTTGTGCAATATCGAACAGATTGTAGAGTAAGACTTGACGGTGGTGTTGAGTGAATCGCTCGAAATGGTCGAGGATCAGGACAATGGAGAGGGCTTGCCCATCTTCGCCAAATTCAGAGGGATGGGAGAGAATGGCGAGCAGAGCCGTCATCATGTCTGCGTTTGCGATAGAGTCTGGCTCGCTATCTGGTTGTAGCTGTCGTGCTAGAGCACGTAGCGCCATGCGATCGTCGGTGTGAATGTTGCCATCAAGATGCACCGTAATGAACGGCTCCTCTGCCTCTCGTAAATCTGAAAGAACTTCCTTGATGAGGACGGATTTGCCAGAAGCTGTAGGACCAAGCAACAGTGCGGAATTGGATTCGGCACGCTCGATTGTTTCCTTGAGCAGAGCATGCACACTCTCATATGGCTTGTCGAGATCCATCAACGGCAAAGCTTGTTTTGCATTGACTTTGGCGAGGATTTGAGATTTGAGACTGGCAACTTGTTCTGCAGACGGGTGTACATCAGGTATCACAGTTTGCTTTAATGGTCTGGCGACTTTTTCAAAAACCTTGTCCAGACGCTTTGACGCTCTTGTAGGGGTTTCAACTTGAGAGAGCTTTGACTTCGTTGGTGTATATGTCCTTGGTGCAATGGTCTCTATCTCTTCAAGTGAAGCTGTCTTCGTAATCTCTGGGCTTGTCCGTAGACTTTGTCTAGATGGCGTTCGAGATGTGCTCCTGCGCGTGACGGGCGGTACAGGTTTCTCAGAAAGAACCTGACGAAGAACGTTGGCATTCCTAGCTGACGTGCGTTTCGATGGGGACGGCTGAGCATCGGACTCGTCGTCTGAATTGGCGCCACCGACGACATATTTCTTGGTTTTAGGCCGGTCTTTCGGGGTCACTTGTAAGGACATGACCGCAAGTTCATCTTCGTCTTCGTCATCAATGTCCATAGGCTCAGCATTAGGCCCTACATCCGATGCAGCAGATGCTTCGGTGGGGGCCTTAGAAGCAGGAACTAGAGAAGTTTCAGCCTCCGACTCGCTATCACTCGATATCAGAGGCTCACCTTGATACTTCTTGATGGCACTCGCAGGATCTCGTACTTGTATTGCACTACCAGAGCGCGTCGTAGGACTGGATTTGAGTTTCCCTTGCTCGACGCATTGTCTCTTGGCGGAACTATTGGGAGAAAAGCCCTTTGCTTGATCAAGCGGTACTTTGTGTCTCTTGGACAGCCTTTGCGCAGACATAAGAGCTAATTCTTCAGTTCAGAGCAGAGCATTGAGTAGATGTAGTCTGGGCTGTTTGTCGCGTCGAGTTCTCTTCCCTTTTTGCGGAGACCACAAGACGCGACTTGGAAGCGACATCCACAAAACCAACAAAGCAACAGCGCGCTTGGCCATGGTTTACTGCTTCCTCGAGCTCTCTGCAGGGCCAGCGCCTATCCCAGGCAAGGTCATTTTTGAGCTCTTTGATGCGCAAGTCCCGAAAACATGCGAAAAGTAAGTCCATCGCTCCATACAGCCCAGCTTGGCGCAATTGCATTCTTGGCATCCCTGCTAACCACCTCTTGCCAAGCTTTCGCGCACTTTGTACAGGAGAACTTGGCGGTGAATTGACGTATAAAGGCACTGCTTTCCATCGCGTCGTCAAGACATTCACACTACAAGGCGGTGATACGAGTAAAACTGGAACGGGTGGGATGAACATCTACAACAATGCGCAAGATGCATTTGCCGGAGAAGACTTGTACTGGCGGGATATTGATGAGCCGTTTCTACTATGCGCTGCAGATGTAGTGCCGCGAAGCCAATTCTTTATTACATTGCGATCGAGTCCGCATCTGAATGGAAGTCATTGCTGCTTTGGGCGTGTCATCAAGGGTCAGCAAATACTGGAACAAATCAGTGAATTGGGGGTGGATGAGGAGGATGTACCTCTTGAGCCAGTGTTGATCCAACGTGCTGGTGAATTGGCATATAAAGGGCCTGCAGCGCATGTTCAACCCATTGCAGCGCTCAGCAGTGACGCTCAAGGCGAAGCAACAGCAACGAAAGCGCCTGTACGTGGACGATCTACAACACGTTCTCCTTCTAGAGCACGCGCACGAAGTCGATCACGCAGGAGGGATCGCAGCACGAGTAGTGATACAGAGGAAGAGGAGAATGGTATCGAGTCATCACGGCCAGTGTCAAGGGATAGACGGCGACATACGCACGAGAGTAGGGACAGGCGGCATCACCACGGACAACATCATTCTCATCATCATTCTCATCGGTCACACAGGCATGGTACTGCTTCACGGTCACGATCGCGTGAGCATGTCTATCGTCGGTCGAATCACAGCCCGGGACATACAAAACGCCGTCGATCTCGAGACGAAGCATCGGATGCGGCGGAGGGGCGAAAGCAGTCCAGGCGAGGGTCCCGTGACTCTCCTCATGACCGTTCACGACGCGGGTCTGGTTGGCATGGTAGGTATGAGGAGGATGTACGGCCACATGCATCAAAACCCGGGCCTGTTGTTGAGGAGCATGGGATTGTGTACAAGGGGCGTGGTAAGATGCGGTATGATGCACGCGAGGATCCGCGCTATGGCCGTCTCTAGTCTATGCAGTGTATAACTTGGCAAGTACTCCGACCGACTCCTTCTGACTCCTTCCCCTGAACCTGAGAAAAGTTTCAAAATGGCAGAAAGTGCGTCATGGCCAGCGCGACACCACATCCAGCACGAACACGAGCGCGGCCTGCCTGTATTGTACTCTAAAGGACACGGCTCATACCATATGAACAGCCTTGGGGATGCGCATCGACGGCATTATCTCAAGAAAGTACTCCTGACGCATCTCATTGAACAGGAATTAGCCGCACTCAATGATCCTGCGGCGCTCGCACGACTAGGCCCGCCCTTCAAGGCGCGTATCGATTCACAGCTCACGAATGGAACAGTAAAGTCAGATGCAATGCAAGAAACAGAACTGCCCATCTTGCGCTTCGTCTTTACAAAATACGTCGCTACATTTCCCTTCCTTCAAAAGGCAAACCCAGAAGCCTTTTGGCAGGACAAGGTTCAAGTGTTCATGGAGGCCTTTGCTGAGAAGCGTATTTCTTCATCGGACGATCGGGCAGAATCGTCAAAGCGCGAAAAGCTAGGTGCGCGGATTCATTCCATGCTGGTATTGCTATTCAATGCTGGCCTGAAGGCTGGTGATGAGCAGCCTGTACCATTGCCTCAGTCTACACATACTCCACAGCCTGCAGCGAGGACTGAGCCAATTGAAATGCGCGAGATGGTGAATGGCCTTGCAGTCAACGTCGCAGGCGTTCGAACCGTCACCAAGAAGCGACGCGTGCATCGTCGTGAAACACACTCAGAGTTCCTCATCGTCACCTATCGCGCAGAAGTGAAAGCGCCTATCACTGTAGCAAGGCGGTATGGAGCCTTCAAAAGATTGCAGGCACAATTACGTGAAGAGTTTCCTGGAAAGCCACTGCCAAGGCTACCCACCAAGAATAAAGCACCCTCAACAGTCACGAGCTACATGCCATCTTCCTTCAACCCCTTTGCTGCGCCAAGGCCGTCTCTGGATGAAGATTCTGGTGAATCTGCTGAAGAAGCAGATGAAGAGCGACCGCCCTCCTCGTCGCCTAGTTCCAGTACAGCGAGTATGACCACCAAGAAGACAGTCCTGCGCGAGAAGCAGCGCTTGACGTTACGAGCGTATCTGCGTGCACTTCTCAAAGATCCGCAATTGGCCAAGAGTACCGCACTTAAACACTTTCTGGCAGACGAACCACTCAAGTCCCTGACCTCTGAAGAACAGCTCGATATGGCAACACGCCAAGAGCTCGACAGTCAACGTCAAGGGGATCAAGCTCGATTTCTGGAAGCTGCCAAGGAACGTGCAGAAGAGCTCAGCACGTATATGGATACATTCAAGGAGCAGCTCGTCAAGGATAACGGATTATCCAAAATCTTTTCAGCTTTCCGCGAATGCAGCACTGTTGAGGAGCTGCCGGTTGAGTACAGAAAGGTGATTGAGTGGGGTCGTATTGAGCTATCTTCGACACTATACCAGCTCTTCGTCAGTAATGACAATGCCTCTGAATTCTTCACACAAGCGAAAAGGTTGCATGCACTTTTCCCTTATGCAGTCCTCAAGAATATCATCCGCTTCAGCAATCCTATGATGATGATGCGCGCCGGGCTTGATTTGTTTCTCGCCACACCATTTGGTCGCGCCAGTCTGTTGCAGCGCATGTTTTCACAAACCCTGACGGAAGACTTGAAGGAAATCGAACAGTCCATTGCAGAGATTCGTGTCAGGATTGGGAATGATGCCTTGTGTGACAAGATTTACAATTTCGTGCATGCGGATGAAGCGACGCAAGAGCGTGTCCGGATACTCGCAGAGGAAGATGAGGTGGACCTTGTGGTGGCACTCATGCGAACGGATGAAACCGAGGTTGCTCCAAAACTGGATGGACCTGCCTTGACGAGAGTCTTTCTTGCTAATGTCGCATGGACAACAGCACTGGAAAGCGAAGGTGCTGGCGCTGCTTATAATGCCGACAATGCACGCTTATACGGACACTTTCTGCAACTTCTCAAACTGACGACACGAGCACGCGACAAGCACCAGCTCATGGCATTACTCTTTGACGGCGCCACTTCTGGTCTCATGAAGGATATTGTCACCATCTTTTACGAACCACTAGCGCGCGTCTATAAAGCCGCCAGCGTCCACAACTCCATCATGGACTTTTCGAGATTCGCAGACGATACGATTGCAACAGTCGCTGCAGCACAAGCGCAAGAAGCAACGCTCGATGGTAGTGCTCAACTAGTCCAGACTTTTTTGGACTTGACGGCACGGCATCAAAATAGCTTCTTTCGATTTGTGCATGAAGCGCATTCACATGATGATGGACTCTTTGCTGATCTCATGGCGTGGATTGAGGAAATCTTGCAATTTTTGCGGGAAGGCGCTGTTGAGCAGCTTGACCTTGACGCGCTCTTTGAACAAGCTTGCAACGCTGGCATATTGGACAAGGACAAGGCTCTTGTTGAACTTGATGCAGTCGTCGGGTGGAATGCTGAAATGAAGGTATGGCGGATGGAACGCTTTCAACGCAAGATGGCCGCTCAAGCGGCTGTCAATGGTGCTACCGTCGATAATGGTTATCCCCTCGGCAGCCTGTCTGGTGCTGATTTCGGGCTCGATCAGGATGACTTGGAGGAAGTCATGTATGAGGAAGCCTCTGATGAAGAAGGTGGCGATGTCGTTGGTGAAACGCTGGAAGAGGAGATGGATGACTTGGATCCACTTGAAGCAGAACTCAAGCGGCGGAAAAGGAAACGAGCACTAGCTCTGATGCATGCTGCTGAGCCACAACCTCCGGCAACGGAGGAATTGCTCAAGCTGTCTGCATCCTTCCGCGGGCAGGTACGGCGTATCTTGGCGGCGTCATGAAGATTTGCTAGATTGCATAGAAGGCTCAATCTGAATCGTCGTCGCTTTGAGAACCTGCGTCAGCCATGAGATCGTCATCTGCTGGCTCATCCTCGGCCTTTGTTTCAGTGAGTTGTCGTAACATATCCATTGTCTTTGCAAAGAGCGGTCTGAGTTCATTGACTTCCATGAGTCCCAAGTTGTCGAGATGCAAGATGCGATCTTCAAGAACCTCAAGACCGTCTCTGGCTTTGGCTTGACGCGCTTCTCTCAAGTCACGTAGGAGACGCTTTACCAAATTGCTCTCTGGGATATCGTCTTCTGCTCTGGCTTCGTTAGCAATGAGCTATTTCAGGCTGTAGCGTACACATCGAGAATCAAGTCTGACATTTCTAGCCAGCGTAACGGCAGTTTTGAGAAGCCAGAAGGTTGTCCCTCTGCATCCGTCTTGACTTCCTCATCCAATCGTGCCTGCAACCACTCACTCGCCATCCAATCCGGTGGGACCAGTGTTGCTCTTCTTTGCCGCTTGAGCAAGAGTGCCAACCAGAGCGGTACCTGAGCACGTTGAGGTGGCCGCATGCGAGAAACGGTGCCGCCAATCAAGGGGAGTTGTTCGAGTTGTTGGCGTGGTACAATCTCAACGAGTTGTTGTTCAGCCATGAATGCGATTTCAGCGGGCATGAATGTCTCTGTGAGGTGTGCAGGCAAGGCCATCCTGTCCCCTTCGAGGCTAGAGGCCTCTTGGTCTGGTTGTCGGGTGGTCTCTTTGTCGCGTCTCAATTTCGTCGCGTCAAGAAACGAATTTGAAGCGCGAGAAGAAGAACGAGGGAACAAGTACTGGCTATGTGGGTAGAATAGCAAGAAGGGTCATGTGAGCAACGGATACTAGACGTACTTGGGCTTCGACACTGCCCGCTACATCACCGCAGAATGAAGAACTATTGCGAGTCTGCTGAGCCCAGCTTCTGGTTTATCTTTCAACTTCAACCTCTGCCATCCGTCTCTGTCCTTCGAGAAGTCAAGCAGCTCGACGCTTCCATGACTATTGAAATAGGTTGTAGCTGAGTAGAAGGCGTGTACAAATACTACACATTATACACATACTACACAATGTCTACACATGTTTGTCCATCTGAAGCCTGACTCTCAATCCTGCAGCAGACCACCATGCATGTCGACACTCTACACGCACACGCTAGCCAACTCTCCCCTGCTCTCAAGAAGATGTCCACTCCCCAGCCTGACCTCCAGACGCAGTACAACAACTACAAAAACACCCTACAAAACATAGCAGCCAAGATTGGCGACCTTGAGACGGAATCGGATGAGCACACGTATGAGACGCGCTTCCTAAAGAGACACATGCTAACAGCAGACTGGTCATTCAGACATTAGAGCCCCTGCCAGAGTCAAGGACCTGCTACAGAATGATTAATGGCACCTTGGCCAAGCAAACCGTCAAGGATGTCTTGCCAACCCTCAAAACCAACAAAGAAGGCTTGACGAGTGTTATGGACACCTTGCTCAAGCAGTACAAGACAACGGAAGATCAATTCAACAAATTCCAAAAGGACAACAAGATCAAAGTGGTGAGGCAATGATGCCTCATCCAGCTATTTAGCTGCATCGAAAACACTTCTGATGTTATGCATCAAGCTGCGGTCAGTCGAGGTAGCATCGCCGCTTGCTGCCCAGACGATAATCCCACCGAGGCCCTTGTCCACCACGTACTTGGCCTTGGCGCGTACACTTTCCGGTGTATCGTAACTGAGTAATTCGCGCTTCTCTGCACTATACGCATAACCCGCACCAGCCTTCACATCAAATGCTTCTTTGAAGGACGGATGAGGCGAAATGGCCTTGTAGTCCAAAACGCCTGCCTCCCACGACATATCTGTTGTTGTGCCAGAACAAGACTTGCCAAGACCATCCGTATTGGCGAAACCACGAGAATACGTGGGCACGCCAATGAATATCTGATGAGGATGGATGCCGTTTTTCAAAAGCGCTTCGACACCTTCATCCGCTGAAAAGGGCGTCGTGCCTGTTTCGCTCTTGTAGAGATTTGCTGCATGCACGGTCGTGGTGTCACCGAAAGCAGAGGAGCCGTAATCGTAGCTCATGAGATGGACCTGATCTACATGCTTTGCCAGCGCTTTGAAGGGCAATCCATCCATTCTTGCAACATTACCAGTGACAGCCACACTGATGGACTTGTTGTGGCCAAGCTTACAGCGTAACTCATGCAGAAAATGGGAGAAGTGCTTACGATCGTCCTTCGAGACGGTATTGTTTGGCGCACCGTAATTGATGCCAGCAGGACCAGCAGGATACTCCCAATCAATACTGACGCCTGTCATAAAGTCTCCGTAATACTGGACCGTCTCGTCGATACGATGAAGGAGGTCCTTGCGCTGCTTCGTATTGGCCAATACTGCTGAGATTGCTCCAGAGCCGGTGTAGCCACCTAAGGACAAGGAAAAGTTGAAGGCATTGCCATGCTGCTTGAGCTTTAGGAATTCACCAAAGTTGCCAGCATATGGAGGTGTTTTTCCTTTGACAGAGGGGACGCCGTTGGGGAATTGCTTCTCCAAGTCGGCGAAGCGGTCAATCAAAAGACTTTCATGCATGGGCACGTCGTCAGGGTAGGTACCCTTGATGCCTGCGAAAGCATAAGATACTTCATCGATGATGCTGATTGGGAGATCAGCTGGTGTATAATTGCGCGCATAGACGCCCCATTGTTCAAAGTAGACCACGAGCTTAGGAATGGCAGCAGTGACACCGCTCAATGATGCTGGGTTCATCGGTTCAATTTGCCTTTCATCTTGAGGTGGAGCTTCCATGATAGCTTTACGCAGGCAGGAGCAGAGTAGCCCCTGAGTGTTGTGAGCGTTTCAGCTAGAACTACATGAGTGTCTGGCAAAGAGACGATGACAAGCAAATTTGGACTCAGGACGCAGGACTCAGGGAGGCGAGCCCATCTGAAATGATGCCGGCCAAGATCACGGCAGCAGCCTGAAGCCTCGGAACTTGCCATTGCCAACTATACATGTACATTGATTGTACAACTCGAGTGTTGATGTGAATTAGGACTCTTAGAGCTGACGGAATTCGCGGAAAGGCTGTCACGCGTCACGACTTGGGCTCGAGTTTGCCAAGCGCTAGCTTAGCTGCTTAAGGTTTGAATGTTGAGCATTTCAACTTTCTTTGTCCATGGATCTGGGAGCCAATCGTCGCCGTCTTGAGCGTTGCCCCTTTTGAAGGCGGAACAATCAACAACAACGGCTACCATAAACAAGGACTGGAAAATCATTGGGGAAGATCTGCCCGGTCCATGCTGGGCTTTGCGCTTAATTATTGACTGTCAAATGCGGCCAGACAGGCCAAGTCCATTCTCTTTGTAATTGTAAGCCGGTATGAACTTGCATGAGCATCACGCTCGATTCTTGACTATTGACTCTTGAGTTGAGTCTCAATGAGGATGCCTGTGTATGGCGACTCTGACCACGAAGTTTGCGGATGGTCATTCTGCAAGGGACAATGCTTGGGCAGCTTGGCGCTCACGAACCACTAGCTTGGATCATGCCCGGCAGCCCGTGGAAATTGGCACTAGTCTCTGCCTGTACCGTCATTCTGTATCCGCTCCGCCAGTGCATGCTTCAATGATGCTTGTCATTGCTAGAGTCTAGCGCCTGAGAGCGGCTGGGCACTTTTCTTCTTTGATACGCGCACGCCTTTTGTCTTTCAGCTGAAATCGGCCTCCATGCACCTGGCGCGCCCTGGGTTCTGTGAATGTTCTTTGTTCCCAAACACAGCAATGTGAGAGCATCAATGGAAAAAGGGAAAAGGGCACCAGGCAGTTCGCACACAGCGGGCTCGTTTGCAAGAAGTCCCTACGCAATAATGGTCCGCCCAAAGCCCCCGGGGCTCGTGGCAAAAGAGACTCGAAGAGAATAGCGGGTCTCGAGACTTTCTTTTAACGCTTGAGACAGCAGTCAGCTGCGATTGATCTACTCAACCCCTCGCAGTCTTCCTCCTGGTCACTATACCACTTGTCTTGTTTGCAGTGGACCAACGATACACTTGCCACAAGCAATAGCACCTCGGGAAGGCCATGAACGCTCGCCGCAATAGTTCAAAAGGTAGCTTGCCTAAAGCACTCCAGCTCAGCGACCATGCTTCCCACTTACAAGCAACGTTGTCGACGCCGCCGCCGACAGGCTTCAAGCATTCACCCATGGGTCATCGAGCTCCCAAGAGTGCCTTGTTTGCCGGCTTTACCGGGTTTGGCGAAGCTCCCATCACGCCCATGACACCGGATATGTTTAAACAGCAAGACACACAGCAACAAGGCCAGCATGATCCACTCGCAGTGGAAGACGAGCAAGTCATTCGCCCAGAATCACAACGACCCATGTCGGATGAAGAGGCTGTTGAAGCCTCAGCCATCAATTCGGCTCCCTCAACACCGCCTCCCATGTCACCGTGCGAGACCATGTCTTCTAGCGCACGTTCTGCGAAACGATCATTCGACGCGACAGCAGATATGACGCCACCAGAGTCGGTTGTTGTGAGTGATCGCGTCAATGCTTCAACTGCAGCTGACGCTGGTCTTCGCTTGAAACGACAAATGCATGCGCCATCGCCAGACACCGTCTTGGCTCCCGCTCGAGCTTGCTTGGCAGAACTGCAAGAGATGCCCATGGCTTATCTGCAACATCATTTCCTGAGTGTTACCCGACAAACGCTCAATCAAAAACGAGGGGCTGCTTGTTACATCAAGGCTGTGCCCGTGAGTCAACGTGGTCGTACTGGACGCATTCGAGCACGCGTGAGCTCACAGGACCGGCCTGGTGTTGTTCGCGAACTCCAATTTGACCTGGCGCCGAGGTCTCTTGATGGCGATGATGAGGAAGCCACTAGTGATGCTGAGTCAACAGCCAGCGAGAGCCAAGGCGCACCACGGATTGATCGCCGTGAAGCCAATTCGAGCATCTTCCCGCTACATGTAGAAGTGGCTCTCCTTCGAGCACCGCTGCTTGGACGCTTACTACTCTCTGGTCTTGTTGGCAAGGGAGATTTACTGGATCTCGAGTTTCCCTATCCTCATCTATTTGGTCAAGTTGTGCGCTGGATGTACACTGGCCAATTGCCTGAATTACGCGATGGCGACGAAGCTGCAGAGCACAGAGATCAGGTACATGAATGTATCGCCTACCTCTGGGGCCGCTACTGAATTTGATATGCGCGGCGACCGGCTGGACCGTGGCCATAACGACACGAGCAGAATTACAATGTACTTGGCGCAAGTTTTAGTTTTCCTTCAATTTACAATGCCATTGTTTGAGAACCCTCTAATCCACTTGACTGCCGTCTCGAGGGCGATACTTGATACCCATCGATTCAAGCTCTTCCACCACCTCATCATCCAACACGCCTTGTACTTTCGCTGCATAGAGTCCTGCCACGAATTTATCCACCCGTGTCCACCTCGCCACCCAACTCGCCGTAGGTTGCATCATGGCTATCCGCCCTTCATGATGCGCACTTGTTGTTTGTTCGGGTCGTTCTGTTGTGCGCAAGATGGATTCACAATTCGGACAGCCTTCGTCTGAGAACTGCCGGTCTGTGAGGAGAATGGCACAGAGAAGGCAGGCACGAAGGTTGCGTGAGCTTGTGGGCAGGGCACGGTCTTGATGCGCCGGCCGACTCATGTCTGTGGGTGTGTAGAGGACTTGCAAGTTGCAAGCCTGTTCTGCAGCTGGTCGCGCTGTGCAGCATTCAGATGAACAACCGAACACGTGCTAGAGGTAGGCAAACGAAGTAGTATGAAGGATAAGGTATGTATCGTCGATCGTGAGCATTGCTGATGCTAGCAACGTATTCAAATGGCTTGCTGATGTGACTTATGTGACTTGTTCAGCTCAGTATACTCATTGTGAGTCATAGCACTTTGAACTACTTCAAACCTTTAACCTCCCTCAGCACTCCTCAGCACTCCGCAGCACTCTCGCTAGACAGCCAGCAGAGACTATGACTGTAGAACAGGGTCGTTTCCGCTATCCCTACATCAAAGTGATAGACGCACCAAAGGGTTTTAAAAGTACTGCTTTGAAGGAGCTCGTGAATTACAGGGGTGCCATTCAGCGCACATCCCCAACGACCACCGAAATCCTCATAGAGTGCAAGCTCGATGAAGAAGAGAAAATCTTAAAGTCCCTGACGACTCTGCTCATCAAAAGCAAGACAACCATGATGGAAGGCGATGGCATTCAGTCGTTACCGTCAGCTGTGTTCATGGACTGGATGCCTTGAGCTGTGCAGGCGACAAGCTGCCATGAGTGCAGTGTTGCGCACCGTAAGCGAGAGTGCCTGCTTCGCGCTGTCGGCGGTGATAGCTCGCTTTGGCACAGCGATATCACTGGAGCCGGAATTGCTTGTGTTTGGGCGAGTTCCAATGGACCCAAAACGCAGCATCTGCATAGGGGTGAGCTGCTCCATGTAAATAGCTGACGGTAACGACAGAACGCCATCGCCTTCCATCATGGTTGTCTTGCTTTTGATGAGCAGAGTCGTCAGGGACTTTAAGACTTGCCCTTCCTCATCGAGCTTGCACTCTATGAGGATTTCAGTAGTTGATGGCGACGTGCGCTGAATGGCACCCCTGTAACTGACGAGCTCTCTGAATACAGCACTTTTAAACCCCTTCGGGGCGTCCATTACTTTGATCTAGGGATAGCAGAAACGACCCTGTTCTACCGTCATCGTCTCTGCTGGTTGTCGTGTTGATGACCATTTCTTCTTGTTCTTGGGTGCACTCGATCACTATTTCAGTTGTGTGGGTGATGTGCGCTATATGAGGTCCCTGTAAGCCTGCACCATGGTTCTCTCAAGTATGCTTACCTTCGCGTATATAATGTCCCCAAGGGTTTCGAAGCAGCCGCTCTAGAAGAGCTGGTGAATTACAGGGGCGTCACCCAAAGCAGGTCACCCGAGACCACGGAGATCGCGATTCGCACTATTCTTATCCAAAGCAATCTCTTCATAGGTGGTCCTGGCACAACGCTTTCTCTAGAATTCACGTCTGCGATATACACGATATCACGTCAAGAGATTGTGGCGCTTGCGCTTGCGTCCGACTTGCCAAAGAGCGCCTTGGCGTCTTCGCGCTGCTGCGCAACCGGCAAAAGACGAAGCATCGTGTCCTCGTTGCAGAGCACCGAGATATCGTGACAGAATATTAAGAAGCAAGCAGTGGCCGATCAAGCTCCTACTCGAATACTGGCCTGACAATCGAGGGACCATGTGTAAGGCAAGAGGGTGAGCTACGATCGGGAGCGTCATTCAGTGAGGATCAGATGGCATGGCACTTACACCATGCCTACTCAAGCTTCTCGATAGACAATACATACGTTATCCTACATGCTACTTCTTCCGCCTACTTCGTGGCTGTGCAATCTTCCTTGTCCCAGCACCTGCATTTCCAGCAGCACCTGCATTAAAGGCAAATGGATTTGGTGACCCTGGTGCAGTCAAGACAGGCGAGGGAGCCGCTGAGACAAGACCACTACCGGGTGCTGTTGCTGTTCCACCAAAACTGAAAGCCTGCGCTGATCCACCACCTCCAAAGACCATGGCTGGTGCTTGCTGTGCTGTATTTTGACCAAATGCGAACGCTGTTGGCGCTGCTACCGGTGCTGGTTGTGTACCTGGATTAGTGTTGCCAAAGGCAAAGCCGCTGGACGCAGGAGCAGCACCAGTATTTGTATTGCTCGCGCCAAAGGAGAATCCTGTATTGCCAGTCGATGCAGCCGGTGGATTGGACGGCGCACCGAGATTGAAGGTGGCATTGCTGTGGCTGCTGGACGGTGCAGTGTTGCTCTGGGTTTGTGCACCAAAGCCAAAGCCTGTCGTCGGAGCAGCTGCACCAAATCCAGTTGTTGCAGGCTTATTGCCATCTGTTTGCGCCGACTGTGTCGTGCCGAAAGGTGTCGTCGATTGTGCACCAAACCCGCCAAAGGCTGGCGTAGGCACCGTAGCCATACTTGCTGAGGGCTGTTGATTTGCTGGATTGCTTGCAGCAGGCGCAGCACCGCCAAAGATGGACCCTGAGCTACTGGGTGGTTGACTGCCGAATGCGTTGGTCTGTTGAGCACCTGATGGCGCTGGCCCTGCAGGTGCGCCGAATCCAAAGCCTGGCGTGCTCGCGCGACTTGCATTGCTAGCCGGTGCTGCGGAAAATCCAACGGCTGCAGCTGGCTGACTAGCTTGCTTTGATGCATCGGTCGAACCAAATGGCGTCGGGTTGCTATTTGAGGCAGCACCAAATCCAGTTGCTGCATTATTCGTGGTCGCGCCAAAAGCTGGAGTCGCGTTCGTTGCTGCTGAGCCAAAGGCAGGAGCAGTGTTGTTTGCTGATGTACCAAACGCCGGAGGTGCACTGCTGGTCCCGTTGCCGAACGTTGTTGATGCCGTTATACTGCCAAATGCATTAGGTTTTGTTGCAGGTTGTGCTGTGCTTGTATTGCCAAAGCTAAATCCAGTCGAGGCCGGTGCAACGGGTTGCATCTGCTGCGTCAACGAAGCGATGTTCAACGCTCCATTCTGAGTATTGGCTCCTGTCTGTGTGTCCGACTTCGAGGGTACTGGTACCGCTGTACTACCAAATGAAAATATCGGTGTTGTAGAAGTATTTTCAGGCTTACTTCCGAGACCTGCTAGGCTAAATCCACTGCTTGCGGGCTTCTCAGCAGGTTTGGATGGGAACAATGAAGTTGGGGCGGTCGTCTCAGCCGCAGGTGCACTAGGAGTAGCTGCAGGCACAAAAGCTGCACTAGCATTGAAATTGAATGCAGGCTTCGCTGGTTGCTGATCGGTTGAAGTAAGAGATGCTGCTGGCTTTGCGCTAGGCGTGAAGCTGAAATTCGGTACTGAGGGCTGCTTGCTGGCATCTGCAGAATCATTCTTTTTACCACCAAAGATGCTTGTGTCAAATGCTCCAGATGGTGTCGGCTTGTCCGCAGCAGTACTGGCAGCCGCTGGAGCAGCACTTGTTTGACCAAAAGCGAAGACTGGCGTAGTGGAGGACTTCGAATTGGACGAGACCGGGGCCGTTGATGGCGCAGAAAAGTTGAAGGCCGGCACAGATGGCTTCGCACCAGAACTTGCATCGTTCGCAGGTTTTGACGCGCCAAGCATACTTGATGCTGTACTTGAAGCAGTCGCCCCGAAAGAGAACTTGGGCACCGCATTGTCGACCGCACTAGGAGCAGGAGCAAAGTTGAAACCAGAAGCAGGCGCCTTTGGTTGCGATTCGCTGGCCGATGCCTTCTCTGCATCTTCAGCTGGCTTTGTAGATTCGCTTGAGTGAACAGAAGTAGGCTTGTTATTCTCCGCTGGTTTCTCCGGGGCCTTGAAACTGAACGATGGTGTCGAAGTTGGCATAGAAGAGGGTGCAAAGTTGAATGAAGGAGCCTTGTTTTGCTCTGGCGCAGGAGTATTTCCAGTACTTGAAGACGCTTCAGCAGGTTTGCCAAATGCAAAAGAGTGCTTGGGGGCCGAGCTTTGTTCAGCAGATCTCTGGATACCATCAAGCCCATTCGCCTGCTTGTTTTGTTGTGCCTTGTCCATCTCGCGTTGTTGCTGTGCACGCAGCTGGACCACATCATCCGTCTCTCTCAGTAGAGGTACTTTAGGCCGTTCAAGTAACTGCTCTTCAGCTTCTTCTTGACTCAATTTTGCCTTCTTCGCAGGGACATCTGAATAGGGTCCAAAGAGATCCTCCATGTCCTCATCCAACGCTGAAAAGCAACCAGCGCGTTTTCTCCGCTCTTTGGAAAGCGTTGGAGGTGTAGGAATACGAAGAATGGGATCAAGCTGCATCAGCTCAACTTCTGCCGTTTGTACCTGGGAATCCACCATGGCTGGTTTCTCGGGTTGCCGCGCAAGGCTTTGTTCACGCGACCGCGAGACTCGACGGCGACCTGCTGAGCTCGCAACACTTCGCGGTGTTGCTTGCCTTGAAGCTCGGTTTTGTGATGGCGTCTGTGCACGTTGTTGACGACGCTGATCATGTGGTGAGGTCGAGGGACGCGATCTGCTTGGTTGACGCTGTGATTGTCGTCGACTCGGCCGTTTCATGGCACTTTGCACAAGTCTCTTGAGGTCCTCGGGTTGTCCACTCTGCTGCGATGTCGAGGCTGGCTCGTCTCTTGGAAAATGCCGTACAGGGCCCCAATACCGATTTTCTGCCCTGGTGGCAGCAGCTTGTTGCGCTTCACGATCAGGCTGGGAGGTAGAATCCAGCATGTCTTCATCCGTGCGTTGCGAGAAGGAGATGTTTTTGTGCCACATAGGTTCTGAAGCTGTTGCACTACCCTCACGATACGTTGAGCGTCCGCGTCCTGTAGCTGTTGGCAGAGCCAATGCAGATTGTTGCAGAGCAGTCGTCTGTTGGTCTCTCAGTTCGCGCATGGCAGCCATAATGCCCGTACCCGTTTGCGTTTGCCAGCGTAAGGGATCGAGCTTTGCTGCTTTCCTGCCCTGACTATCGGTAGATGTCCAGCTCGCCATCCGCATGTCATTCCCACTTTGAGACTGCGACGCAGACACCATTGCCAAACTACTGATGTTGAGTGCGGCATGTTGGTCAGGCTGAGCTTGAGCCGTTCGATCCTGGACGGGCGTTGGGAGCTGCGGAATCTTGAAACTGCCAGAGTCAAAGCGACTGACTTGATACCGCGGCTCTTGCTGTGCCTGTTGCTTCTCTTGCTTGGTACTTTTCCCATTCTTGGGAGTTTTGCCAAGGTAATGTGGTGCGAGGTCGTTGCTCAGTAAGGAGACTTGTCGTTTTGGTTGACCTGCTTGCTGCTGTTGTTTGCCTTGACCTGGCGGCCGTCTCGGTGCATGTCGATAGCTGAGCTCATCGTCCTCGTCATTGTCTGTCTCGTGATGCAGCGTGCCATCTTCCAATTGACTCAATTCACTCTTACTCTGTGGCTCGCGATGGAATGTATTGGCATTCTGACGCACCGTCTTGGGCAAATCTTCGGCTTGATGGAAGACCCAGGATACAAAGGATACGAGCTGCTTGGCGGCCTTGTTGAATAAAGTAGGTTGCTCCTCTGCTGCCTGCTGGATCGCCACTTTATCGTTATTCTAGACGAGTCAGCCATCGTTTCTCCCATATAAGCATTGAGTAGAGCATACATGTTGCTTGTCGACGACCTGTTTCGGGGGCCGTGAGTAGGGTGTTTCTTTCCGCTTCTTCGAGCCACTTCGCTTTCTGCCTATTGCGGGCATTGTTGTAGATGATGTCGAGCCTTGCTGCTGAGCTAGATGCTCTATAGACACATGCACCCGCTGGTCGCTTGTCTCTGTAGCAGTGTAGCTCCTTGCTGGGTGTCTTGTTCTGTGTGAAGATTTGGGAAGACGCGAAACACCAAAAGACAAAACCTCAAACAGCCTGGCAACAGGCCACAGGCGGCAGAACAGAGGGCCCGTCCTCCTAAACACCCTCAGACTGCAGCTACTGTACTCCCATATCGTCAGTCTACATTGTGGTATCTCTCTTCCTGCAACAGAACAGCATGCAGGACAACGGCGCGTCCCAAAACAAGGCGGATGACCTGACGCTCGACGACTGGATGGCCCAGATTCGTGAAAAGAAGCTACGGAAGATCGTGCCAAATGGCCATAAGCAAGGAGCACCTGCCACAGCCATCCCTGGTAAAGAAGGGCCAGGTGAGCCACAATTATTGAATGAGATCCAGCGGATGCGACAAGGTCTGCGCTCCGTCTCTGCTGCAACAGCAACAGCCGCAGGTACACGTCCAGAACCCATTTCAAGGACTTCACGGACGCCTGCGGAAGCAACTCCTGCATTTATTGCGCCGAAGTTGAGGTCTGTGTCGAGTCCTACGCGGTCAATGGATCGCCCATCCTCTGTCGCGTCGAGCGCTCAGTCAGACAAGACTGCATCTGCAGCTGCTCACGAAGCTGTTGTGGTCAAGTCGTCAGACGTCGCCGCTGAAAAAGCCTCAGCTGCAGAGCCTGCTCCACCTACAAAGGAAGACTCTGCTGGCGACGATGCGCCATTTCCCCTTGATGCAGAAAAGGTGGATGGCGGCACGACGGCAGAAGCCGCAGATGATGTACCCATCGCGCCTTCCTCCGGCATCGCAGCGACTACAGATGACAAAGTCGAACTTGTCCTACCATCAGCGAAATACCCTCCTGCAGACGACGATGACTTCCCGCTCGATGTCGAGCTCGCCAAGCAGGATGAAATTGATGCAGTAAAGGAAGAGCCGCCATTTACGCCTTCGTCTGGTGTCTTCTCCGCAAGCGACATACCCGTCGAGTTGACTTTGCCAGGCGCTAGAAACGTCCCAAAGGATGATGATTTTCCCCTGGATGCTGAGACCCCTGCTGCCGCTGCAACATCTTCCACTGGTCAAGAGCAGGCAGCGGAAGAGCTGGCTGCACCCTCGGCTGGTGTCTCTGCCACGGAGACACAGCCCATTCAACTCACTTTGCCGACCGGCAAGACTTCAAGGAAAGCGTCCATTGCAGCAGACAAGGCTTCTGCGACTGCAAAGTCAGAGCAGAAGGAGCTACAAGTCGAAACAAAGCCTAGCTCAACGAGCCCCGTAGGAGAGACCCCTAAAAGCGCTGCAACCTCGCCAGGCAAGCATCTGATGAACTCCAAGCAGCGTACAGAGCTATCTCGCGCACTCTCTCGCATGCTACGACACAATGCGGCCAACGAAGGTCTTGCTGTGCGCTCTGATGGTTACATCAGTGTAGCGGCGATACTTGCTCGGCCAAAGCTTAAAAAGTTTCAAGCGACACAGGCCAAGATTGAGGAAGTCGTCGCCTTGGACAATAAATCGCGCTATGCAATGCAGCAAATTGATGGTGTTTTGTTCATTCGAGCAAATCAGGGCCATTCCATTCAAGTGGATGATCTCGAGCTGGAGAAAATTCAAGATGCTACTCGCTTCCCAGTGGTGCTGCACGGGACCAACGAGACGGCCCTCAAGCTGATTCAAGAATCAGGAGGTCTATCAAAAATGAAGCGCAACCACATTCATTTGGCAACAGGCAAGTTTGGTGACGAAGGCGTGACGTCTGGAGTCCGCAAGGACTGCACAGTCTTCATTTACGTTGACATGGCAAAAGCCATGGCCGATGGCATTCTCTTCTACAAATCAGCCAACGGTGTTATTCTCACCGCAGGCATTGACGGCATCCTCGCAGACAAGTACTTTTCCAAGGTTGAACAATCAGAGGACAAGTCAACAAATGAGGCAGAACCCAGCAAGAAGGATTTTTAGGAGTGCTCTTTGGCATCGCAGTTGGCCAAACACCACCTCCCGCCGTTGCAGAGCCCATCAAAGCAGATCGTCCGTCGCGACCGCCGCGCTATGCAACGCCTCCACCACTGCAACGGCGATGGTTCGGTATGGCTAATCCAGACCAAAGAGCACCCCTCTCACCATCCCCAACCGCCCATGGCAGTGCACCCATGGATGCCGGTGCACTCAAGACACCCCTGCGACGTCCCAAGACGCCTGTCTGGTACTTGGAATCCCCGGCTAGCCTTCGGGACTCCTTCGTCAGACGTTCTCCAGCGGCGCTGCATTCGCGATTCGACGCGGATGCCGTTGAGCAAGAAGAGGAGGCGGTGCCTGTGGCTCGTGATGGTGGCGAGGTACAGGCTTTGGTCTTCATCCTTCTCTTTTTGCTAGTCAGAGCGATGGGCGTGTCTGTGCCTATTCATTGGATCTGGCAACCCACTCGATCAACTACTTTATAACGCCTTCTACCATTTTAACTAAACATAGTATTATGTCTTGCTCCATGCTTTTATCCATTGTACAAAGTGTGTCCTTGACTATTGCTTCTTCTACCGCGCAACACCAAAGTCGCCAAGAGATGCCGGTGTCGACATACCGGATGGTTGTACACGAGGTGCATCGAGATACGCTTGTAGCGTATCATCGGCTTGTTGCTCTGGCATCCAAGATAAATCACCATAATCCCCTTCATAACTCAACGGCGACCGAGATTCCTCCATGTGATCTGGAATGGCATCCAAATCAACAGGTTGACGCTTGACGGGTGTCAAATGCTGGATAGGACGATCGAATGAGGAGCGTACATCGCTAAAGGACGACCGTTCGTGACTTTCACGTCTGGCGATATCCTCTGGATCGGCAAGACTACTCGTCCCAGTTTGTAACGCCAGTGCAGCTTGCATCTCTGCTTGAGTCGTTCCAGCTGGCAATCCTTGTACGCTGCTCGACATGCTCAATCTCGCTGTGCCACGCTCAGGACGTCCTTGACTAGACCCCGGTATGGCTCGCACATAGCCCCCACTGGTGCGAATACCTCGAGGCTCATCAACCTCATCCATACCATCCATATTCTCTCCAATGGCGCCAAGAGGTTCTTGCGTCATGGTCATTGTATCTGCAGAGTCGAGGTGTCTCTCGCCATCACGCACGTTGTATACAATACACGTTCTGAGCTGCTTCTTGATCCATGCAGCAAGAATTCGACCTCGTTGTTTTTCCCGAAGCCGCGATCGCGGGAAGTCGCCACGCGCGCAAAAGGCAATCTTGTCGACGATGATTTGATGCTGATCCAGTACGGCGTTGACAATGACGGGCACAACGCCAGACAAGTGTGTTGTCCTCAAGACCTCGACGAGCAGAACGACTTGGTCGCCTGCTTGAAAGACGGCACTCCCACCACGGGCAATGGCACGATGACAGCGCTCAACAGTCGCTTCAATGTCCATCGGGAAATGATTCAAACCATTCACTTCAAAGGTCTCTCCAACGCAGCCAAGCACAAACAGCGTCTGTAGCTCAGCAACGCCCTGGCCACGACTGACTGGGCGAGCCACAGTGTACAAGAAGCCAAGGTCGCCAGTACGGATATACGTGTTTCTCGAGTCAACGTCCGCGATGCGACCATTAAAGCGTTCCAAGTCGAATGGATCACTTGACTCGTGGAAACCAAGAGCACTGGCTTCAGAAGCAACCCAAATCTCGCCAAACTCGCCGTTGCGACACAAGGTGCATGTCTCTGGATTGACAATGGCAATCTGTGTTGACACAGGAACCATACCAGAATCATGAAGGACAATTGCATGTGGATCATTTTGTGGCGTTGTGACGCGAATGTAGCCAGCGCGCAACGCGCGCGTGTCGAGACACACTTCAACTGGCTCAATGCACATATAAGAGCGCGTTGCTAGCATCGGGTTGACGACATGGCCATAGGTCGCATTTAGCGCACTTGCGTCGAGACCGCTTGGTCCCAGCTGCTGGCGCATTCGAGGGAAGGCGTGGGGCGCTACGCGACCATCAAAAGCAATCATGAGATTCTTCAGCTCGTGCAAGCTTGGACCTTTGCCCTGCATAGCTTGCATCAGGTGTTCCATTGACTGGGGCGTGACGTAACAATCCTTCATCTTGTACCGTGCAAGAACCTGCGACAAGAATAATGGGTTTGCAGCAAAATCTACCGGGGACATCAGGTACGTGGCGCAGCCAACAAAAACACCCATCAAGAAACTGTGCAAGAAGCCAAGACCGGATGTACTGCGTATGCAACCAAGCATGGGACGAGAAGAAGGCATCTGACACGTCTCTTTTTGCACTTTGCAGCACCCCATGATGGCAGCATGGTCCAGTGTTACGCATGTTCGACGCTGATCAGGCGACCAGTAAGTCCAAACAAGGGCTGGAAAACCAAGACGTAACCAAGCTTGCTCCATGACGAAGCCGTTCTCGCGACAACCTTTCGTTTGCTTTGAAGGCTTGGCTGTGTTGTAGATTTGCGGCAAGAGAATCTTCTGAGCCAAAGCAGCCTGCTTGAGGTGTTGACTCACAAATTTGCTCTGCAATGCCGTATTAGTATCAGAATTAACAAGAATGTGCTTGATCTTGAAATCGGAGATGATGCTCAAGAGCGCCGGGACATCTTCTGAAAGTCGCGAAGGATCAATCGGAGCAATAGGGATTGCAGTTACGCCCAGCGCAAAGCAGGCATGTATAGCCAAGAAGAACTCTTCTGAGTGAGTGTACATGAGAATGACTTGAGTGCCAGACTTCAGGCGCACCTTGTTCTTGAGATAGAATGCGGTTGCTGAGATCTTCAGGTCGAGCTTGCGCCATGATATGGCCTTGCCTTCTTTGCCACGGTTATCGATTGAGAGAAGGGCCAGTTCTTCGAGCTGACGAGAGGCTCGCCACTGAAAAACCTCGACAATGCTGCCAAAGTCAGCGAGATTGGTAGATGTTCGTTCGTCAAGACATGCAGTGCGAACATCGACACCACTATACTGTTTCCCCTCGTGTTGGAGCTCAATTGCTCGCCGCTCAGTTGCTATCCTCGACCATATGCCACCGACGGGATCTGCCCCGACCGGCAAGTTCAATACTGCTCGCTCTACCGCAAATTTGACCATGACTGTTGGCAGAGAACCACGCTCAAACTCCTTGCGGCAGAGCATATTGCCAATTTCTTTGCGCCCATTTCGAGAAACACGCGGAAGTGTGTTTGGTGCACAAATCAACACGCAATAGACACGGACCTGGTGATTTTCCAAAAGAGCCTCAATCACTTTCTCAGCCAAGGCTTCGAGCAAGTCGTTGTCTAAAATCCGGGCGGGTCCAGAGGGCGTGAGAGGCACAGTTGACGCGCTTGGACTTTCGAGCAAGACCACTGGCAAATGTTCCTTATTGATGTAGACATCGAACGCCGAACAATCAAAGATCTTTGGGACATTACGCATGATAGTATTGACCAAATGCGTCACATAGTGATATCTGTATTCGGTGATTTCTTGTGCATCTTCGACCCATTCCACTTTTTGACGTAGACGATCTTCGTAGAGCCCTAGCACAAAGACGCGCCCATGCATGACGAAGCCCAAGAGACCGGTTCGCAGGAATTCTTGCTCAAAGACCTGGGTTTCCCTCGTATCCGGCTTGATGTAGTACGGCCGAGCATGAAAGATGGTGTCTGTATGCCGAGGAAGAAGCCAGTAGCATGCAGACATGCTTGGACTATCAATCCAAATCTCGCCAACGGTTGTTGTCGAGCACAACAAAGAAGTTTCTGGGTCAACAACGGCCAGCGTCGCATCAACGAGTGGGTAAAAGAAGGAGCCAACTCTTACTGTTGTAGAGTCACCCGCTTTCTTGGCAACATCAGCTCCCACCGCAACCACAACGACCTCATTTGATTTGAGCGCCTCTTGATCGAGCAAGACCTCAGTCAGATCTTGATCCTCAATATCCTCAAAGGTAACTCCAAGATTCGCTATCCGTTCTTGACCCTCGAGCCAGTCCTTCATCGAGATGACCATACCTCCGTGCTCAGGCAGGCAAAGCATAGGCGTCAACACTTCTCTCGAACGTTTGTTGCCGAGTGGCCTCAACCAGCGGTCAGCCAAGATTTCGTGAAACTCGGAATCAACCGTCAAACAATCGACCAGACATAGCTTGATGGTAGAGAAGTCGACATGGTGCTTCTTTCCTCGAGTACTCATTGGGTCATTTTGGTAATTGTAGGCGACGGTCTTGAGTCCTGGATAGTCTGCCAGCAATAAAGTGGCTCGATATCGCGTGATGATGTGTGCAAACAGACCTGGCGTTCCGACAGCGCCAGTAGGACACCATACTGTAGTGTTACCATAGTACACTGCTAACAATATGCCAAGAATCATGCCAATAGCTTGACGCGGGTCGAGGTAGGTGACGAGTACTTCACCATTACTTCGGGTCATGACTGGCTTTCCCTGTCGATCTCTTTCAGGTACATACTTGTCCCGCATGCTGGAAGGCGCTGTCGTTACGATAGCGCTGAGTGAGGCCATCTGATGCATGACTGTTCTGTGGGAAATGACCACACCGCGAAGATCGCCGGTCGGAGACTTTGAGTATTCGACGTATGCTAGATCAGGCGCTTGCAAGGGTGGTACCTCTTCCTTCTTTTTTAGCTGGAAAGAGCCAAACTCATTCGTCTTCCACCACTCAACACCCCGAGGCCATTGCATTTTATTTAGTGAGAGCTCCCGAGCAAAGACCTTGAGATTCGTATCCGTCGTCAAGGCAAGGTGTGCTTGTGTCGCTGCCAAGATTGTAGTCAGCTCTTGGAAATCCTCTTGCTTGTTGATCGGCACAGCAACAACCCCTGCAATAAAGCAACCAAAGAGGGCGATCGCAAAATCAATTACTTCGCAGTCGCGGTAGACGAGAGCCACGCGATCGCCGCGATAGAGACCAGACTTGTCGCGAATCACTTGCGCGACTTTCTCAGCCCTTGAGGCAAGCTTGTCCCATGTGATTGTCGCCACTTCTTTGCCTTTTGCATCGAGCACCATGAACGCAGCCTTCTTTGGATTCGAGCGGCCTCGATGTCGCAAGACGGCCGCTGTATTGTCAAAGTTACTCATGGCAATTTGCGGATTATGTGGGTCATGTATCGCAAATGGGATATCGCGAGGCTCTAGCGGTGTAAGTTGTGGACCTTGCGCAGCCGGAGTAGCGTGCTGAGAATGCGTCCATTCTGGGCTTGTGACGCCGGAGTATGGGATTCCAGAGAGGTCTGTGGAGCGTCGCCCTGAGATTAGCTTGAAGATCATAGACAGCTGTACATACGCATATGCCTGTCATCCTCTAACGCTGGCTTCTCATAAAAGTCGTGCGGCGTGTCGTGCTGCCCCGGCCGGTCTTGATCATGTAGTTGGCCAGGCTCGTTTACCAAATGGCCTGAGAGTATGGGTGACTGACCATACTGTGTATGTGTCTGACCAGGCGGATGAGATGGCGCGCTCGTCGTGGCTGAAGAAGGAGGTTGAAAAGCATATCCTCGAGAATCATGTGAATAGGTCTGGTCGTTGCTATCATCCGTACTCAACGACGTCCGCTGCATTGAATCAATGTCTTGCAGCATACTCGTTCCGTCCTGCATCGGCTTGAATGGGTCATGCCGTGCAGCTGGAGGCGCAAATCCGATTGTGGCAGCCGCATCAAGCTGACCTTGACTGTACATGTATTCAGATAGCCCTGACGCTTCAAACACCGCAGTACGCCGCTTTTCATAGCCTTTGCGAGTGATATCACCATCTTCAAATTCTTGATCAATCTCTTGGAGCGCCTTGGCAATGTCTGGTGGAAGCGACATGGCAATCCTCTATAGATGGACCCTCACTGTCGTCGCCAGGATGCAGGATGCAATCTTACAATGTTCGTGTCTAGAGCTGCCGCCTCCTTTGAGCTGCCTCGCGTCCTATCAAGTGCGCCTTGTTCTCTCGCTGCTCCGAGTGCGTCGCGTCTCGTTCCCGGCTGTTTCGTCGTCGCCTTCGTGGGATGTGGCCGAGTTTCCCATGAGCGCATTTCGAGCGAGAGTTGGCGACACCAGATGCAAGAGCACAAGGCAATGGAGACATCAGGTTCAAATCGCCTTCTATGCTGTGCTATGCTGTGCAATATTCTGTGTCTCTACGTCAGCGCATAAACGCCCAATGTCCTCAATGCCCGGTCCCTACTTTGCTTCTGTATCTCAAAAGACGCACGCTTGAATTGCTGTGCATCCATAGCAAACAGCTCATCGAAACAATTCGCATCGCAGAAGTCTTCTAGGCGCTTGTAGTCTGCTCCCAGTGCAGTGCCTTCCGCCAGTTCTTTCCTAGAGAACTTGGAAAAGCGCAAGACTTGCTCAGCAGTCTCCAACTCGAGGATGGCCAAATTTGGCAGTGTATCCTCCACTGGCTCGCGAAAGACAGCTTTGAGATCTCTGGGCCAGCGCGAGAGACAACTCACAACCAAGGCCATTGGAACGAACGGTCGTGTGTGCCCTGACTTTGTACTGTGATCTCGCACAAACTTCAGTGCAGCCAGAATATCATCGCGCTTGACATTGGCCTTCACCGATGGGATGATTGTGTAGAGCTCGAAGAATGTATCGATCACATGGACCTTGTCTCCCTTCAAGTCAGCGACAGAAAAGGCCTCCTTCATCGAAATGTGTATCCGCTGGTCCACATGATCAACCGTGTACAGCGCAGTCCGGTAATGCTTGAAGTCCTTCTTCAACTTCCAATAGCTCGCAGAAGCGTATCGACCCTGTCCTCCCAACGCCTTCCAAAAATCAGGCGATTCATCACCCTCGCGCAGCACGATGGGCGTCGCATCACTCAGCGAATGAGCAAACTCGCGAGCCGCTTCCACCTCTGCAGGCGCGGCACCGCGACCTTGCCAGATGGTCACTTGCTCAGGCTGTTGCAAAATGTACACAAAACCAGAACACAACTGTGCTGCTTTGCAGAGAAGCTCATCAATGACGATACTGCGAACATGTTGTCGAACACAAAACAGCAACGCCCCACCTCCTGCACCGGGTCGTGAGTTGAGACGCGTGACACTAGGCGCTGAACTGGTTGGCGGTGGCCTTGCTGACTCTGCCCAGGGTAGTCGAGGAGATGTTTGAGGGCTTGGCAGTATCGGCGCCGCTTTGATGGACAAATCTCGCATCAGCATAGAATTGGCCCGCGATCGAAGCAAGTCGCCGACATCGGGAATGGAAGAAGAGGAAGTCATGCTCTTGTGATGAATCGATTGGGTACGACCTTCACGTTTGAAGGGACTGACTGATCGACCAGAAAAGACAGATGGAGATCTTACTGGCTCACTTTTGGCCGGCAACTCTGGCTTTGCAGGCAGACTGTTTTGCATTGTGTTTTGAGGTGCGACATCCTCCAGTTGCACATAAGCAACGGGCTTGCTCGGCGGTGAAGGCTTCTCCATGGGCAGTACTTCTTGCTTCCTTGCTTGTGACCACATGCCAGGAATCGAGCCGGTTGCAGACTTGCCAAGCTCCATACTATTCCGATGACTAGGTGATTTGGGACTCGATAGGCTCATCCGTTTGAAGTCTGGCATGAGAGGAGAAGTCTTGAGCTCCGGTAACGTAGGAGATCTATTCTCCGTGCGCTTAATGTCGAATCTGTGCGGCGAGCCCAATGGCTTTGGCGCAACCAAGAGAGAGTCAGCGTTGTTCTGGTTGAAGCGCTCTGCCAATGATGGCTTTGCAGACAAGGCCGCTGGTTTTGATGCCGTTGACGAGGCAGTGTTTACTCTCGAGACTGGCTTGGAGGCAAGTGGCACAGCAGGTTTAGCGACCGGCTCGTCTGGCTTAGTCAACTTTGTCGGCTCTGGACTCTCTTTCGAAGAAGTTGCTGCTTCAACCTTGGCCAGGCTAGTGGGTGGTCTTTTGCCTGGCCGCCTTGCCCTAGATTTGGTCATATGTGTCAACGTCTGTGATGACTCAGCTATCGCGGCTTTTTCCTCTTCCATTGCGCCAGGCACAGGTTGCTCCTCTGGAGCCACCCCTTTCTGTACTGATGGCGGTGGTCCACGTTGAAGCAAACTCGCAAGACCAGGGTTGAAGCGATTTGAGAGATCAGATTGCTTGACATTTTTTGGTGGCATGGAATGATGCCTCGTGAATGAAGCGGTCAGTGGTGCTGCATCAGCAGGGGCCGATACTGGTGCTGAATTCTGCCGCGCAATAGGCGTCACGCTCTCCTCAGTCTTTGCCATTCTTGGGGTCAGTAAACGCGGGCTATCGATAAGCTTGCCCGGTGATGGTGTCTCTGACGTGCCAAATGTCTTGAGGGCAGGCGACGTCGGTGAGCGAAGTCCACCTTTTGCGCTCAGAAGCGTCGCTTTGACGTGATCTTGAGCAGGCTGGCGATGCACAGCTGTACTTTTGAGGCCCGATCGCATCGTCGCTAGCAAATCTGCGCTACTCATACTGCTACCGGCTTGCATGCTTGCAAAACGTGTCGGTGATTCAGCACGCGTGGGGCTCCCAGAACGTGAACCAGACTTGATGGGCGTTGTGGGGTTTGATCCGCTGAGAGGCGTTTGTAGCCTTGATGGCGCGAGAGGGGAGAGTTGTGCAGAGAGACGCTTGCCACCAGAGGGCGATGCCAGTGGTGCAAGCTGATCTGGCAGCTTTGTAAGGGTCGGTTTGATTGGAATGATGGGCGATTCAGAAGACTTGGGCTTCGGCGGAGTAGCCTTCTTCGCCTCTTCGACAGGCGAAGCATCTGCAATTGTTGACTTGCTCGGGAGAGGTGTAGATGCTTCGGGCATTTTTGAGAGGCCCAGCAGTGCCATTGGGACAGTCGTTGTCTGGCTCGACGAACTTTTGCGTAGCCCAACGGGCTTCGGTGTCTGCCTAAAGTAGGATGGGTCGCGCTTCTCGAGCATCTGCCGCACGTCCACCTTTGTTGCTGTGCTCTCACCTATTTTGGCAGTCTTCGTCAGTGTTGGCTTCTCACTGATGGCCGGGACTTCTTCCGCCACATATGTGTTGTTCTCTTGACTACTGGGTCTGGTTGGCTCAGCCTTCTCGATCGGTACGGCAGATTTGGGTGCAGTAGATGCCTCAACTTTAGGCAGACCACTGGAGGCGGGTCGATTCGCAGAATTGCCAAGCTTCTCTGGCGACACGGAACGACTGCGATTCGCTCTCCGCTCTTGTCGCGCCCTGCGCTCTGCCAAAATATCCTCCTCCAACTTCCTATTTCGCGCTTCATCTTCTGCTTTCCGTTGCAGTTGTAGTTGTTTGACTTGCGCAATCCAGTCTTTGACATCGCCGGAATCGTCTGCTTCTACACTTGCCATACTTGTGGCAGAGGCTCCTGTCACAGGCCTCGGGCTCGCGTGTGCATCTATTCGCGCGTTCATGACGTCGAGCTTTTCTTTGCGGATGTCGAAGCTTGTGCGCTCCATTTGGAAGATGAGCGTGTGGACCTTCTTTTAGAATACAGGCGACTCAAAAGCAAGGCAAGCAGGGCGCTCTGAGTATGCAGAGACCTGAGATGAGGTTCGTGTTGTTGCCTTCACGAGTCGCGTGTGGTCGTGTTGCGCAAACAAAGGGGCAGTCACAAACATAATTGACATCACAGATCATATCTCAGAGCAACATATTATGTTGAAAGTACACTCGGCAAGTGGCCTTTGTTCTAGAATCAGATACAGACTCTCTGAGGTCATGGTTCCTCTTGATCCAGAAAACAAATTGAATGTCAACTTTCCTCGCCACACAAACACTGTCGCACAAACTTAGCACAAGACATCTCAGTCATGACTCTGCCTATCGACTCTGCATTGCCAAGAATATCGAATGGCTCACAGAGCAGCAACTTCCCGCCCGAGATAGTTGCTCAAACGGGCGCCACGTTCCAAAACTGGGCCCAGACGTTCGTGGCTCACCCGGAACTCTTCTTTCGCCCCAAGAGTGAGCGCGAATTAAGAGATATCCTACGTGCTGCACAGACGGCTGGTCGCCATGTGACCGTCGTTGGATCGGGACACTCTCCGGGCGATAATGTCTGCACGAGCGATTACCTCGTGTCACTGGATCATTTCAGTGATTTGATTGAAGTGCGCCAAGATACGTTACAGGTCAAGGTGGGTGCTGGCATGCGGCTCTACCAGCTACATAGCCATCTTCAGGCGCGTGGGCTGGCAATGGAGAATTTGGGCTCCATTTCAGATCAGTCCATGGCGGGCTTTATGGCCACATCCACACATGGATCATCTCTGAAGCACTCAACGCTCTCGCAGCAAGTCGTCGCATTCACAATCATGCTTGCAGATGGAACATGCAGGGCTTGTTCTATGAAGGAGAATGAACGGCTCTTTCGAGCTGGGCTCGTGAGTCTCGGTGCGCTGGGCGTCATCATCAATGTCACACTGCAAGTCACCAAGGCCTTCGATATTCGCGCAACACAGACAATCGTGCCATTCCAGCAAATGATCAGTACATGGAAAAGTGACCAGTTATGGAATCAAGCAGAGTACGTACGCGTCTGGTGGTTTCCCTATTCCGACAAAGCTGTTGTTTGGGCGGGCGATCGCACTCAGCCAGACGTGAAGAAACGACATACACCCAAGAGTTGGATGGCTTCTGATTTATGGGCTTACCACATTAATCAAGCACTCTTGTATGCTGGACGCTTTGTGCCCAGTGCGATTCCGGCGTTTGAGAGACTCGTCTTTGGCAAGCAATGGGGAACCACCCTTGGCAAGGTTGGCGAATCCATCGAACAGTCCAACGTTGCTCTCAACATGAACTGTCTCTTTAGTCAGTATGTCGATGAATGGTCTGTGCCCCTCGAAAAGGGACCCGAAGCAGTGGAGCGACTATCACTTTGGCTCCAAGGCAAGCACGAAGAAGCAGGCATTCCCTTCTCCAGCGAAGGTATCTACGCGCATGCTCCTATCGAGCTTCGCGTAACAGCAGAAGACAAGGACGCTTACATCTCAACTGCACAAGGAGGACCCGTCTGCTACATTGGTGTCATCATGTACAAACCTTACCATTCAGCAATCAGCTACCGGCGGTATTTCGAAGCATATGAGTATCTCATGCAATCTCTAGGCGGTCGTCCACATTGGGCAAAACAACATGCCATGACACCCACGGATCTGAAGCAACGGTATCCGCACTTGCAAACGTGGTTGGATGTGCGTGCTGAGGTGGATCCAGAGCAGTTGTTCACAACAGACTACCATCGTCGGCATTTGCTCGGTGAGCTAGGGGATGAGAATCTGGGGAACAGCGAGGGGCAAGCTGGAAGACGCTTTAAGGCGAGGTTGTAGATCAACCTAGCAAGGGATGAGGTTTATAAGCTTTTGTATATCAATATTGAGACGACCCGCACGTCTTGCAATGTGTCAGATTGTGAAGCTTGCACGTAGCAGCATTCTGGCTCGTCATGGCTATTGGCAAATCCTCTAGTTCCTCGAAAAAGTCGTCCAAGTCACCAACGAGGCGAATACCGCGCTTGAGCATGATTTCATAGACTTCCTTTAAATCAGAAATCTCAAAATGTCTTCGCAATTGCAAGAAGGGCAACAACAGGAGTCGTTTCGATGTTGCTTGCCAAGTAGCCTCGAAGAAGAATTTCTTGATCTGTGCCGATGAGTACGTGCCGGCCTTGTCTCGTAATGAGAGCAATTCGAATGCAATATGTTCGCGAATAGCAATTGACACGTCTTCGTTCAGGGACAAGAGCCGCTCTAAAGTGTTGATTCGCGCTGTCACTGCGTCGGGGTTGCTAGGTCTCTCCTCGAGCGCTGCCATATTCAGCATAATAGCCAAGGGAGGTCGGTCACAGGCTTGCAAGACTTCCCCTTGAAGTTTCCAGACTCTCATCTGTATCTTGTAGCGTTCTTCGTGGCGTGCAAACATGTTGCAGAATAACGCGTTGTGTGGACACGTCAACACAGCTTCATATAGCAAATCACGCATGATTGTGGGCCGTATCATTTGGAGCTCAGCAGCACGAGTAAGCTGCTCAATTTGTTGCTGAAATAGCTGTTCCACGAGTCTTGATTTGAGTTTATAGTTCAAAAAGGCCCGTGTCCTAGCTTCAGCATAGCATTCGAGGAACTGATCCAACTTTGCGTTTTGTGAGGCTAGAGCTCTAACGCCATCGACAGCCGCCACACCAATAAGAACTTGACTCCATTGGGGTGCGTCAAACGACTCTGCCAAGAATTGACATGCTCGGGACACATCTAGCGAATTGCAGACATCAAGAGCCTTGGAGGGTGATGCATGGCGGAACAGGTAAAAAGCATAGCTCGCTCGTAGCACAAACGTTCGCAATGGAAATCTTGGTCGCTCCATGTCAAATACTTTGAGCTTCTCTGAAGCCCGCTCGAAAGCAGCACAGACTGGCCCAATATCATCCTGAGCAATATGCAACAAGGCAGAAGTAACCCAGAGTAACGAAGAACCGTCCGCCTCGTCTTGGATAAAATATTCAGTGCATTCCTGGCCTGCTGGCGTTCCATAATAGGCGGCCATGTGAGCCGCGACAGAAACGTTGAATTGCTGCCTGTCTTCATAAGTCAATGGTAGTTGTCTCAATCTCGACAAGTGAAAAGCTAGAGAGACTGCTGTGACGGGCGCTTTTAGGCATGCATCCCGTCTTTTTAGATCAAGCATGAGAGCAGACGGATTACAAGCCGTAGATGGCTGATTCCTGTCGACCTGTAAGCCGCTGTCGAAACCTAGGCGAGCCAAGCAGTTGAAGAGGAGTTGTGATCTGACGGACTGACATGCCTCATGGAAGCTGACCAGGTTGAGATCATCTGACAAGACTACTGCGTACAGATCGTTTTCAGCTTGCGACTCATCGTCCACTCGCAGAGGGGGCTTCAATTCCAGCGATACCCCCTCGACGGCAGCAAAATCCTCAATAGGCTGGAGTGAAAGCTCTTGTGCACTTGTGCCAGCCGCAAATGACCCGGACGTACCAAGAAGGCTCCCACCAGGGTAGCAGTCATCCCGACGCTTTGAACTTTCAGTGCGAGCACTGCCTGCGCCTATGACCTTTTCACCAGGCCGTGGATCTTCTTCGTCCCACCAAGACTTGAGGGCATCAAGAGTGACTGATTGGTCTTCCATTAGCTTCGCTACAGCCTGAACATGTGCCACCGCCAGTTCCACATAACCGAACCGCATGTAAAGGTCCAGCAAACTTTCAAATATTTCTGCCATGATCGGATGCGCATAGCTGTCAGACGTCCTGGTCCAGTAAGCTTCTGTAGATTGCAGTGCAGATTTGTGTTCGTCAAGAAGCATGTGGTATTGATCGTGGAACCCGAAGTTCAGGTGATCGAGAAAGCGGATCCAAAGCTCTAGAGAATTGGGAATACGGTTCAAGATCTTTAGCCATGCTGCTTGGATAGCATGCTTATCGCTGACGAGCGAGAAGGCCTCCATGTACGCCAAAGCGAGCCTTGTACTGTGAGGGTTCGGAACCATGGCTTTCTCCAGAATGGGTATCTTGACCTTTGCTGCACCCTGACAAGCGAGACGCACTCCATCTTGTTTAATCTGCTCGACGATTCGATCTTGGATGCGAGCCAGCGCAAGCCAAGCGAGTTCATCTGTTGGCTTTTCGATGGTAAGCTTGGACAAGGCAGCTTGTTCTGCAGCCATGGAAGACGTCAGCATTTCCTCGTCCGATTCATAGCCGGCATCGTCACGTTCAACAGCCTGAACAGTCTCTGGGTCAATCATAAAAGCTAGGCGACGACTGGCGGGTTTTGCCGTCGACTCTAAAGACTGCTTTGAGCTGAGAGCAACATAGTCACCAGGTGCAGCGGCAATATCTGTTCTGCGCGCCTGCTTCGCGATGCGTCTGTCAGGTTCCGGTAAGAGTGATAAAGAGAACCTTTGGTGAGGATTACTGTTCAGTAGATAGCCGACTTGCGCGGCACTGGGCGTTTGGCCAGCCTCAGACAATTCTAAAGGCTCGACGCCAAACTGTGACGGCAGCCCAAGGACTCGCGAAGCGCGTCGCCGGTATGCAGGTACTTTCCCATTTCGCCCAAACTTGGCATTCTGCCAGTCTCCGACCAGATCCACGCTGTAATCTGATTGAGGAACTGGCAGTTTTTCTAGCCTTGGAGATCTGCTCCGTCGTCTTGGCTTGCGCTCGGCACGCTCTTCGCGAGCTCGCTTCCTCCGAACGTCCTTCTTAGGAGGAGTATTTGCTTCGAGGATGCCAGCTTCAGGCTTGAGGGGTTGACTTGTCCTCACGGTATAGGCAAAAGGAGCAGTGGTTGCATCAGCACGGTTTGATGATGGCTCATGATTGACAAGACTCGACTGTGGCTCTTCATCGTTCGACTTCTTTTGGCTTTTGAAGGATGAGAACTTTGGCGCCTGCATGCAAAGGAGACTTTACAACAGCTAACAAGAGTTTTCGAGTTGTGAGGGAGCAACTGATTGTAGCAACCCGTATAGATCAGATCGTGGGCTGCAACAAGAGGAGAAGCGCAGGATCATGCATCTAGGCGATAAACAGCCAGCTAGCAGATGGACATTCCCTTCAGAATGTCATGAACATGTACAGTACAAGCAGTGTCTCAGCAGGCTTTAGTCAATTTGCTGCTCTTGTCGCACCCCACGTGCGCGTTTCTGGCTCAAACGCGACTTCCAGCAGCATCAATATTGGCGCAACACCCACAACCCCCTTCAGAACCTGCGCCATTATTAGCCTGCGGCGCGCGCCGAGCCATGGGCCTCTTCTGAGAAGTGCGCCAGCTTTGTTTTCTTCATCTGCAACTCTACCTCGGATACGGGCGCCCAAAGCGCATCAGTATCCCATCTGCAACAACAGTCGCCTGACACGCTCTGGGATCTGTGCGCTAGCGAGAGAGCCATTCAGTCATCGCTTGACAGTATCGCAGTTTGTGTCGCTGCTTACGACGCGCATCATTGACTTGCGTAACGGCCGACGCCTAGCGATCGACCCGCTTTGCATCTTATTGAGCTGCTTCTTTTCCTACCGCTATTTTTGAGCTGGTTTCAGGGCGAACGCTCGGCCATTTTCTGTTGCTGTCATTCCTGCTTTCTTAGACATCGCTCTGGGTCTTATATTTCAATCGTCCAATTCCCCTACACTTGACGACTCATCGAATGGACCACAATGGAAGCTCTTCTGAGGATGAAAAGCTTCACGGAGAGAATATCGACCTCAATCGCGCCGCGAATGAGACACGATCCATCATTGTTGAACTCTCCTTGGAAGGTTCTGTTCGCTGGATATCTCCATCTTGGCAAGACCTCATCGGGTACGATGTTCCCATTTGATGCAAGTTACTGACTCCCAGGACTGATCCACAGTCGCTATACGATCGGCCCATCAGCGAGACTTTAGCAGACGAGGACAAAACGTGCTTCTCACGAGCCACCGCGCAATTGATCGAGGACGACTCGCGATCTGTTCGTATCACATTCTGGCTCGCGCTGCCAGCAGACTCGGTTGACCACCGGATACCGCGGCTCGAGTCTGATGACTTTACAATCAGTCTGTCAGCCCCATTGCCAGAGGCGCTTGAGGTGGATGCAACTGGTATACTGATTCACGATCGCTCTTCGGGGCAGCCCACTCACGTAACATCGCCCAGACGCGCGGCGAGGAGCTAACGTTAGACCATGTGGGTGCTCAATGTTGTGCAAGACAACAAGGCTTGGCTGGATGCCAATCTCGACTCCGAACTGGCAGAGGCTCTTGCAGGCGGCGCAGAGTTTCTTTCCACGTTCCTTTCAAACTTGATTGAAGACCCAGGAACACCCATGCCAGACCCCTTGACGTGCAATATTTGCGATCGGCAGATACAGCCTTGGTTCTTTGAAAAGCATACGGCGCTCTGCATCGTTTCCCACAAGTCAGAGTCGGAAGTGCAGGATTGCCATGATCATCTGCAGGAGCAACGGCAGATCATCGCCGATGTTTTGCGCCAGCTCGAAACAGATGCAAGTCTAGCGACTTTTCACGGCATTCACTTTGGCTCCCGATCGCTTTCTCCTGCCGAGTCTCAATCGAGTAGCCCATCGGCTCCAGGCAAATCAAAGCCGACCAAGGCCAAGACATCCCACCTGCGCACCGTTGAGCTCATTCTCGATTATTGCGATCTCGCTATTGATATCAATACGCCTGCTCTGCCTGATGCGGAGGGTACAGACGTCTTTACGCGCATCCAGTCTCCAGATTCAAGAAATCGCATCACACAAGTGCAAGACTGGCAGACTCCCTCACTCGAAGACCCCGCGTTGCTCGCGCTCTATCAAGCGACGCATGAGCTCGTTTCACAAAAGCTCAACGCAGTCACGCGTCTGCATAATACTATTCATTACTCAGAAAAGATTCGCCAAGAGATCGATTTGCGGGTACAGGATCTGATTGACCAGACATTGGAGAATGCTCAACTCATGATGGACGAAGATTCGCTGAGCGAAGTCACTGAGCACGAACCGGAAGACTCACCGTTCGGGCCGCCTATACAAAAACCAAGCGAAGATGTACCTGGTCTTGGCAAAGCCCTGGCTTCAATGAAGCTTGGCTCACCTGTTTTGTTTGCAAGGGAGATACCACCTCAATTGCGTCCAGAAGGCAGCTCAGGCTCAGCAAGTCCGTTCGCTAGTCTAGGCAGCGGCTTCCTTTCGCCAACGAAACGAGCCATGTCGATCGCTGATGGCCCTCTGGATGGCGATGTGCGTGCTTCTAGCCCGCTTTCACAGTTCCCACCAGTCAGCGTGAATGATCCTGCTACACGGCGACTGCCACCGCGTGTGCCGATGCAACGCTCTATTTCTGCGCAGAGCGACAATGAGCAAGCTATCTTGTCAAGTGGCGACCAAACGCGCCGTGGCAGTGTCGACGCTTCAGACCTTGTCCGTCGTGCCAGTCGATCTGAAAGGCGGCAGAGTCGACCTGGTATCTACGAAGTGCCTCGCTTGCCGAGTGGTGGCAGTAGTAGTGGCAAAGCACCTGCTGGCTATTCTCCCTCTCGTCGCTCTTCACGTGCTGTCAGTCGAAGTCGTGCATCGAGCCTTGCAAGAGACAGAGACCGTGGCACATCACCTGGTCGTAAAATGGTCAATCCTCGCTTGAATCTTCTTGAGAAGGAGAGACTGAGTCCGAATGCTTCTCCAACACTGAGTGCAAGCGATTCGACATCAACAGATACGAATTACCGAGAGCGCAAGATGAGCATGGCGCCTCCTTTGTCGCCGCGATTACCGAGTATTGCTCCTGCTGCACGACCAGCCCCGCCGAGTATCAAGGACTTTGAAATTATTAAGCCTATTTCGAAAGGTGCTTTTGGCAGTGTTTACTTGAGTAAGAAGAAGACTACCGGCGATTATTATGCCATCAAGGTGCTCAAGAAGGCCGATATGATTGCTAAAAATCAAGTCACCAATATCAAAGCTGAGCGAGCCATCATGATGGCTCAAACCGAATCACCTTTCATCGCAAAGCTCTTCTTCACATTCCAAAGTAAAGAGTATCTCTATCTCGTCATGGAGTATTTAAACGGCGGTGATTGTGCAGCACTCATCAAGCAAATTGGTTGTTTGCCTGAAGACTGGACTCGTCGATACATGGCGGAAGTGGTGCTTGGCCTGGAATACCTCCACTCGCGCGGAATCATCCATCGTGATTTGAAGCCAGACAACCTACTGATCAGCCACAATGGTCATCTCAAGTTGACTGACTTCGGCTTGTCTCGTGTCGGTCTCGTTGGTCGTCAGAATCGTGCTCGAACCTCCTCCCACCCCGAAGTGCCTGATCTCTTCAATACGTCTCGTCATCCATCTGGTTCAGGAGGTCCGCGCCATGCCTCTTTCGAGTTCACAAATTCCGCATTGTCTACACCGGCAATTGGACCCATGTCACCAAGCGAGTTCCGCTCAGACAAGAGCTATTTCAACTTGCGGGACCGCAAAGCTAGTCAGGGTGAATCTTGCGAATTAGTTCGCACAGAGCCCGACACTGCTTTCCCTGCTGTCAGTAAGCTGAATCTTAACGATGCAGGTTACCAAGGCTCAGACGATGGACGCAGCACGGGCGACGCAAGCGAATCTAGTGGCCCAAGCAAAGCCTCGCCTACGACGCACGCGCCAAGTGCCATGTTGATGCCACCGCCAGCAATGAAGCTCTTTGACCCCAACGATGGCAACAAGAAATTCGTTGGCACGCCAGACTATCTTGCACCAGAAACAATCAACGGCAGTGGCCAAGATGATATGGTCGATTGGTGGTCACTTGGCGTTGTCTTGTTTGAGTTTATGTACGGCTATCCACCTTTCCATGCTGGGTCACCAGGGGAGGTATTCGAGAACATTCTCAATCATCGCATCGAGTGGCCGCCAGCAGAGGCTGAAGCGGAATTAGGCGTGTCTGCCGAGGCGAAAGACTTGATGATCAAGCTGATGGCTATGGCACCAAGCGATCGTCTTGGTTCCGTGAATGGTGCTGAGGATATCAAGCAACACCCATTCTTCAACGGCATCTCGTGGAATACCATTTCAGAAGAGGAAGCACTGTTTGTACCGACGCCCGACCACCCAGAGGATACAGAGTATTTCGACCAACGTGGTGCAACGGATCTCATCTTTGATGACGATTCTGACGCCACGAGGTCTCTGGCGCACTCTCCGAATGCCTCTGATCGTGAGACCAATGTCCCAAAGATGACCTATGCTGCAAAGCTCATGTCTAGCGGAAAGCACCTTGGCAAACGAACAGCTATGCCGCTCTCTATACCTGCACATGTCCGTGAACGCAAGTCGCGCAACCGCCGTCTAAGCGAACCTGGCCGCGACGACTTTGGATCCTTCACATTCAAGAATCTTGGTGTTCTTGAGAAGCAAAACATGGATGCCATCAAGAGACTTCGCTCAGAACACTCCAGTTCAAGTCCCATTTCCGTTCCAGCAGAAATGCCACACCACCATCGTTCGGCCTCGTCTAGTTCGAGCTTTGTGCGACGCTCCATGTCGTCCGCTTCGAGCATATCGTCCAGCACACCCATCTCACCCTCTGCATACCTGAACCGCATGTCTATCCCAAGTTCTCCACTCAATGCACAGAGTGGTACATTCACTGCTGGGCATCGTCATCGTGCTTCTGTTTCAACCGCCACCTTGCATGAGAATTTTGTGTCTTCGTTGGATCAAGCACGCCCTGGCTCAAGCGGCACGAGTGGCCGGCAGCCGACTCCTATCAGAACCAAGCTCACATCCAAGTCACTGCCACTCGATACTCTTCCGTCTCCGAAGCTTGTCAAATCAGCGACGCTGCCAAGTCCGCGCAATCGTGCCTTTACTATGGGTAGTCAGATGCAGCGGCCTGAGCTGCCATTTGCTTGGAACTCTTCAAAGCGCATTTCTCGTGTTTTTGATGCAGAAACGCCGAGTTCCTCCAGTGATGGCGAAACGCCTTCGAACGCTGCGAGTGCGCTGCATAGAGTACACCGACGACGACAACGCAGTCAACGCCTGGCTTCCATGTCTTTCCCTGCAACTTCGGAATCTGCAAGTACCTTGAATGAAGAGCACACTGGCGGCTCGACCCCTGAGATCTACCAGCGTCGGCACGTTCCGCTCGATGTTCTCATATGTGAAGACAATCCAGTTTCGCGTCGGGTCTTGGAGGCTATGCTCATTAAGCTCAAGTGCCGCGTGGTCAGCGTCGAGGATGGTGCGAAAGCTGTTGCCGCAGCCACAGGCGATGTCGTCTTTGACATCATCTTCACCGATATCAAAGTTCCTCGGCTGTCAGGTACGGAAGTGGCGAGACTGATTCGCAGCTCATCTGAAATCAACCGGGACACTCCCATTGTGGCAATGACTTCGTATTCTACGAGCGAGGTGCTGGATATGGTACACTTTGAGAAGCGCCTGGAGAAGCCTTTGACTGTCACAATCCTCTCTGAGACAATCCAGGAACTCGTACCAGAGTGGGCACCTCCAGTCATGAACAAGCGTCCCGTCTCGACGGACCTTTCCTTCTCAAAAGTCAAGCAGTGAGAAAACCTCTATCCTTCCTCCGTTCTTTTTCAGCGTTCACAAGCGTCACCGCAGCATTTATATCTTTGTTTTTCGGCCTTTGTGCCTCTTTTACCCGACACTCCAGTTGGTTGCCCTCTATGGACAAGATGTAGCCACCCACAGCTCTTCCTCAATACTTCTCTTTTGCTCCTGGATTTCGCTGTAGTCACGTGCTTGATCTTTTTTTCCTTCCCAAAGTCACAAACGAGCAAAAGAGCACAGAAGCAGCGTCTGACACAACTCATGGCACCTTCCTTTCGTCTGCCTGACCTAGGCCCGACTGATCAATGGGGTCCTGACCTCAGTCAACCTTTCCTCAACAAGCAAAATGACAAGATTGAATTCTTTGCTCCATTCACAAAGACCGACCGTCTAGGCAAGATTGCCGACTGGGCGGCTGATCCAGCCCAGGTACAACGTAATGAGAATGCTCAACGTATGCGGACTGGTGCGTTCGGTCCTGGTGGTCGTCGTGGTGATGTCAATGCTGGTGGGTATGGCAGTGGTGCTGGTGCTGCCAATTCCTTATTTGCTTATGCCCATGCAGAAGATGAGGCGAGTTTTAGTCTTGTTGATAATCGACCCACCAAGACGACATTGGGTCGTGGAGGTCGAGGCGGCGCTGGTATGATGCGTGGTGGCAATCGGGGTGGTTTCCAGTCTGGTGGTCGTGGTGGTTTCAATAGCCGTGGTGGCGGTCCAGGTGGTGCTGGTGGTCGTGGTGATCATGGCGGTCGTGGTGGACAAGGCGGACGCTACGGAAATCAGGGCTATGGTCGTGGTGGTCGTCGATTCGGTTGGAAGGACGACAAGCCGCAACGTATGCGTGATGCTTCCATCACCGTCAAGGCCGACTGGCAGCTTCTCGAAGAAATTGAGTTCAACCGACTTGCGAAGCTCAATCTCGACGTTGGAGAAGGCGATGACTTGGAGACTTATGGTTTCTTGCAGTACTACGATCGCGCCTTTGACAAGACCAGTGTCAAGCTTGAGCGTACCTTGGCTGTGGTGGACAAAGTGCAGTACAACCCAACCGCCTCTGAAGATCCCATCATTCAACGGCTCGCAAGCGAGAAGGCCGCACAAATCTTCGTCACAGACAATGTGCTTTCTATGCTGCTCTGTGCGTCGCGTACAGTTTACCCATGGGATATGATTGTCACACGCAAGGGCGACCAGCTCTTCTTTGACAAACGCGAGGGTGGTCCCTTTGATTTCCTTACCGTCAATGAGAATGCACTTGAGCCTCCAATGGATCCTGAAGGCAATGTCGGCGGTGGCATCAACACGCCTGCATCGCTCTCCATGGAAGCGACCCACATCAACTCCAACTTTGCCCTGCAAGTGGTTGATTCTGGTGAGAGCGGTTCTCTGCAGATGGAGCACCCAAACCCCTTCTACAACGAAAAGCAAGAGACGGAACCTGTTGCACCGAAAGCGTACAAGTACCGCTTATTTGATGTGTCAACGTCTGCTGAAGAGCCTGTGACGCTTGTTGTGCGATCGGAGGTGGATGGAGTCATGAAGCAGCCGTCTGGCGAGGATGCACTTATCAGCATCAAGACGCTCAATGAATTTGACAGCAAGGCATTCGGTGCTGGTGGTGCTGTTGACTGGCGCTCAAAACTCGACACGCAGCGTGGTGCGATTGTTGCAACGGAAATGAAGAACAATTCAAGCAAGCTTGCTCGATGGACGGCACAGGCCATTCTCGCTGGTGTCGATGTCATGAAGATTGGATTTGTTTCGCGTGTCTCTCCTCGTGATGCACAGCGTCATACGATCTTGGCCACAGCGACATACAAGCCTCGCGAGTTTGCGTCGCAGATGAATCTCAACCTCTCCAATGGCTGGGGTATCGTCCGTACGATTGTGGATGTATGCATGAAGCAGGAGGATGGCAAGTACATCCTTGTCAAGGACCCAAACAAGAGTGTCATGCGCATCTATGGCCTCGGTCAAGAGTCGGCAGAGGCTCTATAGCATAGAACAAGCTAGCACTCTCTTTCTTCAGGTAGACAATTTGAAGCATTTTTGACTTAAATCCGTGCGATGAACCTGAAAGTTGAGACAGAGACGAGCAAGCGCGACATTGGACCAAGTATACTCAAGCTAGTAGCAACAGCATGCCTGCTGAAAAGAAACAGACCGCGAAGGGCCGATCGCATAGCAAAGGAATACCTACTGGCAAGTCCTTTGGTGCCGACAAGGCAAGTGCTCGTCCTAAAAAGACCCCTTCCAGCAGCACAACAGCCAAACCAAAGAAAGGCTTCTCATTCAAAGCATTGCCGGCTGATGCATACCGTGGCAAGCAAGATAGATTGAAGGAGAACCTGATACAGAAGGCGAAACTCAAGAAGAAGTATGCAAAAGTACTCAAGGAGGAAGGGTACCTGGGTGAAGAGCCGACCGAGGCGCCTGCACTGGCGAAAAAGATGAAGAATCAAGAGACTGAAGAAGATGAGGGAGAGGCGATGCAAGCACCGTGGCTGCAAAAGACTGTCGTCGATGATTGGAGTGATGAAGATGAGGATCCTCTGGACAAGACTCCTGCCGCAGCTGCTATCAAGAAGATTCGCCAAGATCAACGGAAAGCGAAAGCCCAGCAAGCTGCAGAAAGGGAAGAAGCCACAGCTACAGAGTCCGATCAAGCAGAAGAGAGTGCTGTGGTCGAGAAGAAGACCAGAATGTCCACTGGCAAGGCACTCAAGGCTGTTTCCGAGAAACGCACAGGCTTCCAACCGTATGATGCTTCAAAGCGAAGAACAAAGTTTACATCTGCTGAGAAGGAAGCGCGGTCAGTACGGCAACAACATGCAGACGAAGCTGCTCAACTAGAAGCAAAAGTACGTGAGCTGACTGAACGCAAGAGGCAGCGTGCTTTGGCAACCAAGCGAGAACATTCAATGACGAAACGAGGGCAGCCACGGATGGGCGATCGCATCAAGAATCTGCTCAGCAAGTTGCAAGGCCAAGTCTAGCACTATCGCTCACTGCATCAAGTAAATATTTGTATGCCTAATGAAATGCTCTATGCCGACTGAACCTCCTTCTCTTTTCGATTCTTTGCCACGAGCGATTGGCGAATCATCTGCTTCTTGTGTGCCTCCTTTTCCTTTTCATATCGCGATGTTGTGCTAATGTTTTTCCGCTCAACAGGCTTTTTGCGAAGCGCTTTCTTTTCCTTTTTCGAGGGCTTCTTGAGGTCAAGCATCCAGTCCGGTACCTCGCCACCCGACGCACGAATGACGCTCGCCACTGATTTCAGAAATGGTCCATCTTCCTTTGCAAAGAAGGTGATGGCCTTGCCACGATGTCCAGCACGTCCTGTTCGACCAATACGATGAATGTAGGACTGCACGGATTGTGGGAAGTCGTAGTTGATGACTAGTTCGACACCTTCGAAATCAATACCACGAGATAATAATTCAGTAGCAATCAAAATCCATGTCCTGCCTTCCCGGAAGTTTGTGATGACTCCATCGCGCTGGACTTGTGGCCTGTCGGAGTGGATCACATCGACATTGAGACCCTCCTGATCGAGTTCCTCGTAGAGCTGCTTCGCTCGGTCAATACTCTGCACAAAGATAAGTACAGGTGGCTTCAATGCGCCAGACTTGGCAAGTGAGCGACATTCCATGAGCTTGCCCTGTTCGGTGCCCACGTACTTGAGCTGCTGCTCAATCAAATCGGTCGCCGTATCCTTCTTTCCGACAATGACACGAATGGGCCGCGACATGACACTCTTGGCAAGCTGCTCAACGCCACTCGGTAAAGTCGCACTAAACAAAGCCTTGCGTAATTTACTACTTGTGCAAGCCGCCAAGATCTCATCAGTTTGTTCGACAAAGTTTTCCTCAAACAAGCGATCCGCCTCATCCAGCACAAGTTGCCGGACTTTGGACAAATCGATTTTGTCCTCCTTGATGGCGTTCACGAGCCGTTGTGGTGTGGTGATGAGGATATCGTAATGCCGTGCAAGTCCAGGTTCCTTTGTGCCTTGAATCGTCGCATTGGATTTAGTGAGCAAGTTACACTTGATGCCGGTTTTGGGTGTCAGCTGCTTGAACTGCTCGTGGATTTGTGTTGCGAGTTCGCGTGTTGGACTCAGCACAACGGCACGGTAGCCATCTTCCTTGTGCCGTTTGAGGGAAGCGAGGATGGGTAGCGCAAAGGCAAGTGTCTTGCCGGAACCCGTGGGTGCACAGGCAAACAGGTCAAATTTACGCAGCATCACCGCCATGGCTTGCATCTGAATGGGCGTTGGACTCTCGATGCCCAATGTCTCGAAGTTTGGGAGCAAGAATGCAGGCAATGCAGCTTTAAAATGGGTAATGGGGAAGATGGGATCGTCTGCAGGTTCTCCTGTCACTGAGATGCGTAGCTGCCTTCTCAAGACAGTGCAAGCTTCAGGTGTAGAGATGGGCTCGAGGCTTGTTATTGCATCGCGCTTGCGTTTGAGGGCATTTTCATGGTCTCTTGTGGATGTTTCAAGGACTTTGACTTGCTTTGCGAGGTTCGTCCCGCCGGAGAGGATGGAGAACATGGCAGTAGTAGCCAGTCACGGTGGGAGCAAGAGCAGTCAGCAACAAGGGTAGCAATAGCAACAGCAATAGCAGCAATAGCAGGAGTACTAGCAGTAGTAGCAGTAGTAGCAGCAGTAGTAGCAGCAGCAAGTCGCTTTCAACAAATTTCTTCGAGCACAAGCCACACGAGCAGCGCCACAGCCGACAGCATGCAACCCCCACGCACGATCGCGACTGTCTGGCTACCTACGCACAGGCCCTCGTCTCTGTGGCAGGCCCCGTGTGTGGTGAACAAAAGCGGGAAGCAATGGCTGCACCTAGACAAGCACCCATGATTTTCTTGCCGATGAAGCAGACGGATGAGGTGGATCTCATTCGGCCACTGCGTCACTTCATCGGCAGCAATTATGGCCAAGCAGAGAAGTACACGGAAGAGTGCAAGACCTTTAATCGTTTGCGTCAAGATATGTGTGGTGCAGGACGCGATGAGGTGGGTCGTGATTTGCTGTACCGATACTATGGTCAGCTAGAACTCCTCGAGTTGCGCTTTCCCATCGGTGAAGACCATATTCGCATCTCGTTCAATTGGCATGATGCATTCACAGAAGCCGAAATTGCACAATTCTCACTCGCGTATGAAAAGGCATGCGTCTTGTTCAACATTGCCGCCATCTTGTCCTATACGGCTGCTTCACAAACCCGTACGGAGATCGAGGGTATGAAGCGCGCGTACCACTGTTTCCAGGCATGCGCGGGTCTTCTCAGCTTCATCAATGACAATTTCTTGCATGCGCCGAGCACAGATCTGTCCAGAGAGATGGTCAAGACATTATCAACGGTCATGCTAGCGCAAGCCCAAGAAGTCTTTACGGAGCAACAAGTTCGGAGTGCTGGTAAATCCACTATTATCGCAAAGCTAGCTGCAGAGACGGCGAATCTCTATCAAACGGCTGCTGAATCTCTCACTGAACTGGTCCTCGCTGGCAATATCGACCGTGTGTGGCTACCGTACGCGCAGTGCAAGGAACGCTATTTTAGTTGCTTGGCACAATACCATCAAGCCATCGTTGATGATAGCAAAGCAGCCTATGGAGTCTCTGTTGCACGCTTCACTGTGGCGAGCACACTGGCAAAAGAAGCAAGCTCATCCACTAAATCACATGCGAATGAATTTGCGCGATACCCACACATGTCTAATGACCCAGGTGCAGCTCTGATTGATCTCGTCAAAGTCATCTCCGAAGAAGTGAATGACAAGTATGCGGCTGCAAAGAAGGAGAATGATTTGATCTATCATGAACTGGTGGCGAAAGAATCAGCATTACCGCCTGTAGGGAAGTTGGCATCAGCGAAATCTATTTCCCTGACGAGTCTATATGCAGGACAAGATGTCTCGCGTATCGTTGGTAATGACATCTTCAGCAAACTAGTACCCTTGGCCGTCCACGAGTCAGCATCGCTCTACTCGGATGAGGTCGACAAGATGCTCCGAGCAGAACAGGAGCGTTCAGAAATCGGCGATACGGAATTGAGTACAGCGCTAGAGTACCTCGGCTTGCCTAAATCGCTGCATCGTTTCAAACAAAGCGACGACAAACTTGCGCAGGAATTACAATCCGTCTCGCAGGACTTGCAAGAGATGCAACGGCGCATTTCACAGCAGGAACGTCGTTTTACGGGTGGTCTCGCTGGCCGAGTCGAAGCAAACAAAGCAGCGCGCGAGCGTGTTGCCGCGCAGTTACAGCAAAGTCAGGAAGAACTAGATAAGGAGGCAAGAGGCTGGTCAGGTATGCGCGGGAATTACGGCGATCGCTGGACACAACAACCGAGTGAGATGCTTACGAAAGGCCTACGTGAAAATCTCGCGAGTATTGCTGCATCTTTGCGTACAGCGACAGAATCGGATGCTAAGCTAGAGCAATCGTTGGCTGAGATTGCAGAGGAAGTGAAGGATTTGGGGAATGCTGATCCTGAGCATCTCGAAGTGGTCTTTCGCAACATCTTGATTTCCGCAGGCCAGGGTGGGAAACAATCAGCTGGAGCAGCAAGCCTGTTGGATCTAGGAGAGGATGAAGCCGGTGAGCGCGAAGTGTCAAATGCAATTGCCGTTAAGGTCGACCATGTCGATGACCTTGTTCGGAAAGTCGCCCTCGTCAAGAAGGAACGCCACACTACCCTCGATGACCTCAAGACAAAAGCACGCGCCGATGATATCGCTGGTGTGCTTATCCTGAATCGCAAGACCCCTGGCATTGAGCAACGCGTGTTTGCTGTTGAATTGGAAAAGTTCCGACCACACCGGACGAGAATTGCGGCGACGCTCGCACGACAGGATCAGCTCGTTGAGGAGTTGACACAAGTCTTTGCACAAGTTCTCGAGGATAAGACTCTACAGAAAAAGCAAGCGAAATGGCAGCAAGCTACGCGGGAGAAGCAGGAAAAGGTGAGTAAATTGGAGAGAGCGGGAATGTTGTATGCAGGACTTGCTCAGTCTGCTGAACAGGCTGCTGCGTTCTATGAGCAGCTTTCAGGGTTGGCGAGTGGGATTTTGGCACAAGTGCAGCAGTATGTGCAAGCGCGTCAGCAGGAAGGGCGTAGCTTGATGCAGTCTTTGCGTGGTGGTGGAAGCAGCAGTGCAGAAGCGGATATCATGCGGCAGCGGCTAGAGAGGTTGAATATGGGCGCGCAGGGACCGCAACGGCCTCCACAGCAGCCGCCGTATGGTGGTGGTGGGTATAGTGGATATTGAGAGAGTTTACAGGATGTAGTGTTGTCGTTGTGTCAACATCCATACGATACTTGTCGCTGGTACAGGTTAGCCTCTTTCATTACAAAGCAGAAAGGATCTCACAAGAAACGATGACAGGACTGATGGCACCCCATCCTGCTGTCCTGTAGATGAGGATCTCGGTGCCAAAGTGGAAAGCAGCGATGTAGTAAGAGTACAATGCGAGCTGATAAAGTCTGGCAGTCAGCATACAGATTGAAAGGAGTCAGGAGCTTGCATACATCGGATCATGGATGTTGACTGCGGCATAAGCCCGGATGAGTGCAGAGGTGATGGTCCAAACACCGAATGTCCTAGCCTGTAAGGCATTGACTATGCAGCGTCAGTCTTAGCATCACAAGGGAGCAAAATCTACCTTGCTGGGTTTTGGAGTATACTCGCTTTGTCAATGACGTCGTGAGGTAGTTTTGAACAGCGTTGAACAAGGCCATACCGGACACGAGGGTCATCCAAAGCGGCAAGAGGCCGTCTTGGGTCAGGCCTTTGAGCAAATCGGAGTTGAGAAAGCTGGACATGGGAAGCAGTATAAATTCAAGCAGAGAAAGCCTTCAGCTATTGGATGAGGCACAGATGCCGGCAGTTGGTCAAGATTGGTTGTAGCTCAAAGTTGTTCCTGGCTGGATTTCTGACGCGACGAGCAAGACGACCACACCTTGATCAGGCAAGCTCAGTCTTAGTCGCAGGCTACATCTAGAACGCAAAGCCATGTCCTACGACACAGAGAGCCGCCTGCACAACGATGTAACCATCGAGGCAGACTCCAGCGACAGTGAGGCAGATGAGCGCGATCTCCTCAACCGGCTAGATCCACTCACAACCAATACATCCTCCCAAGCAGCCGGCAAGGCGTCTGTATCAGGCTATGCAGCAGGCTCACATCAAGAGCCAGTAACTTCTATCTCATCAGAGAACTTTAGCGATCGTCGGTACACGGGCAGCAATACACTCGATGAGCCAGTCTCTACAACACTCCTCAACGATATCAAGGCTATAGGAACGAAGCTCAAATTTGTCCTGTATCCAGCTGGCGACGCAGATAATCGGACATGGGACCTATGGGGGCCCCTCATCTTCTGCTTGCTGCTCTCTCTCTTCTTGTCCTTTGCAGCGAGGAATAACCAAAGTACCTTGGTCTTTACAGGCATCTTCTCTCTAGTGTGGTTTGGCATGGCAGTTGTGACATTCAACATGAAGCTGCTAGGATCGAAGCTATCCTTCTTTCAGTCCATCTGCGTATTGGGCTACTCCCTCTTTCCGCTCGTCATCGCAGCGTTGGTCGTATGTCTCAATCCAATGTGCTTGTCCAGATGCTAATAATTGACAGGCTGCATTCGTTCATACTGCATGGGCACGCGTTCCCGTGACGACGTGCATGTACGCATGGAGCACGTTTGCGAGTCTTGGTGTGCTACAAGGTGCTGAGCTTGGTAGCAAGAAGCTGCTGGCCGTTTACCCGCTAGGCCTCTTCTACTTTGTCCTTGCCTGGACGGTATTTATCAGCGGGTAGGCCTTTGTCTATGTAGCAAGCCTTCTATGATCTATGCTCATTGTCTATATTCGTAGCCTCTACTGTGCTGTAGCTGGCTGAGTACCGAGTACTACTGCTGAGTACTGCACTGAGTACTACTGCACTCTGCATGTCCTGGTCCAGACTTGCAAACAGATCTCCTTTCTTCAGGCAGTCTCTCTCTACACGGCCATCTCTCACACTCAGTACCTCGATCAATTCAACGCAGCGTGCCATGTCTACCAACAAGCTGATGGACTACCCGACCCCGCGACGCAGTGACGTGTCAGATATCTATCCAGGCAACACGAAAATCAACGACCCATATCGCTACCTAGAAGACCCAGATGCACAAGAGACCAGAGACTTTGTCGACGCGCAGAATGTCAGCAGCAAGCGATACTTTGGCGAGTTTCAACACGGCGATGCACTGAGAGAGGCGGTATCAAGCGTTTATGCTTGTATGTGATGGCTATACTCCACGAGATGCAACTGGCAGAGGGCTGACGACACATCTAGATGAGAAGTTCACAGTCCCAAGGCGCAGGGGCGATAGCTACTTCTACTGGAGCGAGAATCCCGGACTCCTCAATCAGTCGCAGATTTGGCGTTCAAAGTCGCTTGATAGACATGCCAAGGAGTTGTTCTTTGATCCTAATGTGCTGAGTACAGATGGAACGGTCGCTCTTGGCAGTACGTCCTTCTCTGAGGATGGGCAGATGCTGGCGTACAGCATCTCAAAAGCAGGTAGTGACAACCAGACCATCTGGGTCAAGAAGACGACTAGTACCGATACCCTTGAACGCTTGGAGGATGAGATTATTTTTGTCAAGTGTTAGTCTGCTCTCTCATGACATCTTCCAAGCTGACATGCAGTTTCTGGCATCTCATGGACTAAAGACAACAAGGGCTTCGTCTATCATCGTTACCCGGAAAAGGATAACAGTGGTACGGGTACTGCAGCAGATGTGGACGCTATGCTATACTATCATGCAATTGGTACGCCACAAAGCGAAGATATCCTCCTTCATAGGGATTCTGCAAACCCCACACACATGTTCAGTGGCGATATCTCAGATGATGGCAAGTATCTGCTTGTCACAACGTCAGAGGGCACTGCCCGACAAAATAAGCTCACGATTGTCGAGCTTGATGGGAAATCGATGACTCCGGAGAAGCTCGTGAAGCATGTCATTGTCGACTCCTTCAAAGCAGCGTATGAGTACATTACAAACTACGACTCGGTCTTTGTCTTTCGAACAAACGAGAATGCGGAGACGTATAAGCTTGTGACGCTTGATCTTGTCAATCAAGCAGCTGGCTTTGTTGACTTGGTTCCAAAGACTTCGGATGTGCTCAATGACGTGACTGCCTACAAAAACGGCAAGCTCATCTTGACTTATACGCATGATGTCAAGGATGAAGTGAGCATCTATGACCGCTTTGGCAAATTCGAACAAAAGTTGGACTTGCCACTTGGTCTCGCTGTGTATGGCTGTGTCGCTGAGCATGATCAGCAAGACTTCTTTGTCGCTGTTGGCGGTTTCACCACACCCATGAGTATCTACCACCACACAGACAAAGGACTTGCATTATATCGCCAAACTGACGTCGCAGACATAGACCCGGCTGCCTTTGAAACAGAACAAGTCTTCTACAACAGCAAAGATGGCACACGTGTCCCGATGTTCATCACAGGTCTCAAGGGCGCTGTACGAGATGGCTCAACGCCTTGTCTTCTATACGGCTATGGCGGTTTCGAAATATCCCTGTCGCCAGCGTACTCGCCACTGTGGATTACTCTCATGAAGCACTTTGGTGCACGTGTTGCTATTGCTAACATCCGTGGTGGTGGTGAGTATGGCGCCGCATGGTGGAAGGCTGCCATCAAGGAACGTCGTCATAAAGCATTTGAGGATTTCCAATGGGCTGCGAAGCATCTAGCGCAGGAGAAGTATACGTCGCCTGAGAAGCTCGCAATCTATGGAGGGTCGAATGGTGGGTTGCTGGTGGCTGCTTGTATGTTGCAACAGCCGGCGTTATATGGTGCCGTCATGGCTGCGGTAGGTGTGCTGGACATGCTTCGATTCCACAAATTTACTATTGGTGCTGCCTGGCGATCTGATTATGGTGACCCAGAAGACGAAAAGATGTTTCCCATCTTGCGAGGGTACTCGCCACTTCACAACATCAGTGCAACCACCGAGTATCCGAGTCTACTCCTCGTCACAGCTGACCACGATGATCGTGTCGTTCCCGCTCATACACTCAAATTTTGCGCTGAAATCCAGCATCAGCGACGAGACAACAAGAGACCGCTGATTGCAAGGATTGAGAAGGATGCTGGGCATGGTGCAGGCAAGCCAACCTCGAAGAAGGTGGATGAGACGTGTGATCAGCTCAAGTTTTTGGCACTTGAGCTTGGCTTGACCTTTAAGTGAGCTTTTGGATGGCTCGCTTCTATTACACTTAGACGTGCAGCTTCTATCACGTATTCACACAACTCGAGATGATTCCACCTCTTGGTCTGCTCATTTGTCCATTCGAAGCAGGCATTGTTTCAGATGGTGTGTGGCAAATAGATGCGTTCCCGAGACAATGAAAAGCCGGCTGGCCTGCCATTCATTTTGACAGCTGACAATCACTTTGGTATGCTACATCCTGGAGAGCGTGTCATCTTCTCTGTTGCAGATGAAATTGAAGAGTTCCAGCGCCAAGATATCCTGAAATCCTTGCGTGTTGGGCCTTATGACGACGACGAAGAGCCGAGCGAGTCCATCTTCAGCGCGGAACTTTCGCCAAAAACAAGACTATCAGGCCTTCACAATGCCGCAGAGTTCGCATCGACATCGACAAAGCTGAATGTGCCGGTGCGTCGGCTGGATGCGCTCGACATGGCCAAGTACCTGGCTGAAGTCAGGACACGACAGGGCTCCAAGACATCCATGCAACTGAAAGTGACGCATCACAGCAGATACATGCATTATCCCATGAATGTGAAGGAAGAAGACAACGCACGGCGCAAAAGCAGTCTTGGGCTACTACCCCTGACAGACACTGAACGCACTCATCTGCAAAAATACTGGTTCATCTATGCATTCAGTATATTCGCCTTGATTGGCCTATTGCTCGGAATCAGTTGCTGGGTCTATGCTACGACAATCGCTGCTAATCTAGCCTCGGCTTCCATCATCTGGCACCATGTTGAGATTGGAAACATGACGCAAGGCGCTCTCAGCCTGGCAATGCGAGGGACGTTCAGCAATGCAGGGGCACCCATGGCTGAGATACAATCTGGGTTCCTCAGAATGATACACAATGGGACGGTCTTTGGCGAATTGATCATGCCCAGGATACGAACTTCCGTACACGGGACAGAGCTGGAGATTCGTCAGTCTGTTGTCGTCAAGGATTTCGATGCGCTGTCATCTTGGCTTGCAGAGGTAGCTGAAAAGACCAGCCCGACATTGTTACTTGATGGTGTGCTCGAAGCGTACAAAGTGTTTCGTATGTCATTTCTCTAGAGATCGAGGCTAACTTCAGGTGTTCGTGTCAAGTTTGATCCCTTGACTACCACTCTCCCTACTTTGGCGAATCGTCTAGTTCCAGTTGGCCCTATTCGGATGAAGTTTGAGGATCAACCAGACATGTCGAGCAGACGTGTGATAGCAGAACTGAAGCTGAGCAGCACGAGTTTCTACAATATCGCCCTTCGAGACTTGACTTTCGAGATGAAGCATGATACCGAAGTGTGCACGACTCTGAACCTCTCGGCTCCGTCTACTGTACATTTCGGCGATCTCACCTGGCGGCTGCACGGAAATTTGCCACTCAATAGGTGTCAAACCTTGCAGGAGGAGTTAAAGAAGCCAAACACTAGCCCATCAGTGAGTCTTTCGGTCACTCGAGGACTGGATGGAGACCGCGAAGTAGCCTATGCCACAGCGCTGACCCATGCCTGGCGATGGAACGCCACGGTGACTTCTGCCATCTGAACAGACTCCGCCTTTCCCGGTTCAGTTTGCGGAGACGGCAAGACGAGATGCAACGACGCGACTTTTGTGCTTGAGCTGATTGCACATGTCTTCTGAATCTACTGACCTGCTCTTGGAGCGGAGACTCGGTTCTGTCGTGGAGTACACACTCAATCGACCCAATAAGCTCAACGCCTTGTCCGACCAGCTGACTCACCTCCTCAAAACAAAGTTGCAGTATGCAGAGACGGACGAGACTGTAGAGGTAATCGTACTTAGAGGCAATGGCAGGGCATTCTGTGCTGGAGGTGATGTTGTGGCCTTGTCGCTTCAAGCAAAGACAGGGAAGGACGAGGAGATACAAAAGGCAAACACTTTTATGCGTGGACAGTATCTGCTCAACCATATCTGTGCGACGCTCGATAGTAAAGTCACAGTTGCTTTCTGGCACAGCATCACCATGGGAGGCGGCATGGGTTTTTCCGTACCACTAGACTTTCGAGTCTGCTCGCCCAACACGATGATTGCCATGCCAGAATGCTCCATCAGTTTCTTCCCTGATGTCGGCGCATCGTACTTTCTCAATCAGCTCGGTCCAGGTATCGGCATGTACCTTGCGCTGACTGGAAATCGTCTGACGGGGTACGAGGCGGTTGCTTTTGGTCTCGCAACGCACTATATGGAAATTGAGACAATCGAGGAAGCCGTTCAAGCTCTCAGCAAAGCGTCATCACGCGACCAGGTCAATCGCCTGCTTACCGGGCTAGCTTCTCAGCCTTCAAACGATGCAATTGCTGCTGCCAAAGAAAAGCTCAAGTACATCAAGGAGACTTTCACTGCACCGAACCTCAATCAAATCTTCGCAAGACTGGAAGCTATGAACAATGCGTGGTCGAGAGCTGCGCTGGTGGGCCTTCGATCTGGCTCACCCACAGCCGTCTCTGTCACTTTTGAGATGTTGAAGCGCGGCAAAAGCAAGACTGCAGAGCAATGTCGCGAGATGGAGTATGTGCTGCATACGCATTTCATGCGTTTGCCTGATTTTATCGAGGGTGTTGACAAGAAGCTTGTTCGAAAACCGGCTCGCAAGCCGCAATGGCAGCCATCGTCGCGCAGTGAGGTGACGCAGGCAATGATTGACGCCTTCTTTGTGCCCGTTCCCACGGACGGCGTCTTACAGCTCGGTGCCAAGGTGGCGGATCCGAAGAAGCAGAACCGCTTTGTGCGTCACGGATCATCTTAGGCATTCATCGTTTCAGCCTGCGCGTGGTGAGTTTTGCTAGTGCGCGAATGCGGCAAACAAATCATATCAACGGTGTGAAACGTTGAACGGTTGAACAACGGTCGATCGTCGCAGCTGGATGGCAGATACTTATCAGCAGCATGAACCCGTTGGTAGTCAAGCCATCTATCTCACATGAAGCATTCTCACGCCGTCTTGGCCATTGCACTGGCTGCCATGGGCAGTCCCTCGGCTTCGCCTGTACCCATCTTCACGCCTGCGTTTTCCCCTGGGTCGACACTTGGACAGACGTCTTCTCGCTCGACAGGACCTAGTCCGCTACCAAGTGCTCAACTCAAGACATCTCCGGCCGTGAAAGCTGCCGCTCCTCAGTCGCTTCCCCAAGCCAAAGCACCGCAACCAGTCAAGCCAAGCGTTCCACAGCCTGCTGTCAAGCCTCCAGCCAAGCCTGTCAGCCCGACCCCTGCCCCTAGCTCACCAGTGTCAAAACCAACTGAGAGGAAAATCGAGCCGGTCAAACCCAACACCAGGGCTGTTGCTGGAAACGATGTAACCAAGACAAGCCCTGCCACGAAGGCTCAGGATCCAAAATCGACTGGTGGAAACATCAGCAAGCCCTCTTCCGTGCCTGTTCAACGCGATGTGGTGAAACCAGCTCCTGCCAAGGCGTCTACAGCACCGGACAAGCAGCGTGATGAGACACAGCGTAAGGCTACAGCGGATGAAGCCCAACGCAAGAAGATCACCGAAGACGCCGCCAACAAGGAGAGACTACGAAAGCAAGAGGAAGAGCGCAAAAGTCTGACGACTTCCAAGGAAAAGCAACGGGAGGCTGATAAGACTGCCGCAGATAAAGCTACTGCTGCTACAAAAGCCGCGAATGACAAAACTGCTGCTGCGGAGCGAGCGAAAGAGCTGGCCTCGAAGAAGAAGCAGCTGGATGAGGCTCAACGCAAGCTGGATCAAACTCGTGTAGCCAGAGAGATCGCTCAGACTGATACTGATCGCAAGAAGTTGGATGAAGAGACGCGCAAGGCAACTGATGCAGTCAATCGACTTCGCAAGGAGCAACAGCAAACGCGAACATTGACTGCTCAGGAGCAGGTCTTGCAAAAGAAGCAGCAAGACGAGATTCGCAAGTTGCAAGATCAAATCAAGTCGTCTACCCAGCGACAGATCGCTGCACCAGTTGGTCCGGATCGAACTCGGCTCGAGAGGGAGGTGCAGGATCTGCGAAATCAGCAGCAGACTCTCACAAACCAGTTTGCGCAACAATATGGCTCCTTCGACACGAGCAACTTGGGCTTCACACCTTCTGGCTTTCCCAACTTTGGCAGCCTTTCAGGTGCAAATTATGGTAACAGCTTCGGTACGTCTCGTTACAACGACAACTATGGCAGCAACTACGGCAGTTCTGCTGTCAACGACATCTACGGAATCAACGCGGGCACGTCTGGCAGCTACGGTCCTTCAGGCTACAATGACAACTATGGCATCAACACAGGATATGGCTCTAGCGTTGGCAATTATCAAGACCCCAACAATGCAGTTGGCACATTCAACCCAGTCTCTCGCGTCAGCAATGGAATCAATGGGTCGCCGTTTGGCGAGTTTGTCGATAGCACAGACATCACCCTTTCCAATCCCATCTTTGACACGAATACGGCTGTACCAGGCATCGTCGACGCGAGTGTCAGTCCACCAGACCGTGTATCCAGAATGGTTTCTATGCTTGGGGAAGAGCAGTCGCTGATTCAACAGCTGACGAGATTGGCGACCGATGCAGACGGCAATGGCTCACTGGACAGGACGGAGTTTGACACACTTACGCGACGATTGCTGACAGTTGCCACGCAATGTCAACAAGTGCGTCGACAACTTCAATTGGATCCAGCAGTAGCCACCATCTCTCGTGCGGCACTGCCTCGTTTGCAGGATATGCAGACTGAGCAAAGCAATTTCAAGTCACTCGCTATGACCTTGCAGAACCCGAATGCGAGTATCAAAGACTTGCGTCGGACACTTGTTGATCTCGACCTTGCAGTGAGTAGGAGTACGAGGCGGACGGGCGCGTTGCTGGCTTAAGAAGCAGCGAAGTAGTCCCGCAGCTCTATAGATGATAATAGCACGCGACATCAGATAGTTCCTTAGACGGGTCCATGACGTCCTGTTCCGTTTCAGGCTAAATCCGCCTCCGCAATTTCCATCGAGTCGGGCCGCCAGTTGACCTCTTCGGGCCGCAAAGACAGTACTTGCAGGCACGATATTCCATTGTCTGGTAGGGAGTACGGGGTAGGAGTGATACCGCATCGCACCGGAGTATAAGAGAAGCAGATGAGATCGTCGTCTGATCTCCAGTGTAGCCCATATCTGCTCTACGGACTTATGCACTCGCTTGACATTTTCTCCACTCCTCAAGTTGCAAGCCTTGTCCTTGTGCCCTGCTTGGGTCAACGACGCCAATGCTCAAAGCGGGTTGACCAGGATCTACACAGCACGTACAGAAGCAGTGTATATCCAGTGACTCCATTCACAATGTCAAACTTCTATAAAACGGCCCACTAGCCCACCCCCCTGATGATGCGCCAATATTTGTCGCCAAACACTCGATGAAGACCGTCACCCTGCCCATCCTTGCAACACTCCTGAGTAGTCTGGCTCAACAAGCAGCAGGACAATCCGGAGCGGCATCGGCCGCTGTTTTGACGACCTTGCAGAGTCGACCTGCTTCAGGTCAAGTCTCCGCCTCTGCTTCAAAGGCATCGTCTGTCATGCCGGCCGAATCATCGAGCTCTGCTGCGTCCTCTGCAGATTGTCGATGCACATCGTCGAATGACCAGCCATTGCAGGAGGGTGCGTATGGCGAATATAATCGTCCACGCATCCACTTCTCGCCCTCTGCAGGGTTCATGAATGACCCCAACGGTCTCTTCTACAGCAATGGCACGTATCGTCTCTACTTCCAGTACAATCCAACCGACACGGTGGCCGGCAATCAACACTGGGGACTCGCAACGTCCACTGATTTGCTCAATTGGAAGAATCACCCACCGGCCATTGCACCGGAGCGCAAAGGTGATGGTATCTTTTCTGGTTCTGCGGTCGTGGATGCCAACAATACGTCGGGATTCTTTGATGACAATGTCCCTGCACAGGACCGTATCGTTGCCATCTACACGTTGTTTAGTAATCCTGGACAAGCACAGGATATCGCCTACAGCAGTGATGGTGGCTATACTTTCACGAAATATGCAGGAAATCCCGTCATCACCCTCAACCAAACGGAATTCCGTGATCCAAAAGTCTTTTGGCATAAACCGACAAGTCGATGGATCATGGCTGTTGTCTTGGCACAGCAGTATGAGATGCTCATTTACAGCTCTGCAGACTTGAAGACTTGGCGAGAGGAATCACGCTTTGGACCTGCCGGCTTGTTGGGCTACCAGTATGAAGTGCCAGACTTGGTGGAAGTGCCTGTTGAGAACTCAACAGAAACAAAGTGGGTGCTGATTTTGTCCATCAACCCGGGTGCACCGCTTGGTGGATCCACCATGCCGTACTTTATCGGTGAGTTCAATGGAACGACGTTTGTGCCAGATGACTATGCCTACCAGGTGGCCGATTGGGGGAAAGACTTTTACGCTGGTGTGACGTGGTCCAATACGCCTGCTGAGGAAGGTGTGCTGGGTATTGCATGGGCTTCTAACTGGCAGTACACCAATTCAGTACCAACTGGTCAATGGCGATCTATTCAGTCACTACCACGCAAGTTTACCATTCGCAAGACAAAGCCCAACGGCCAGGTTGAACGCTATGCATTGGTGGCCAACCCGACGTCCTTTGAGACACTCAACCCCAAGCAGATCTACAATGGCCAGCTCACCTCGACAGCGGGCAACAGATCATCTGATGAGTTTATGCTCAAGGGTGATGGTGCATTTGACATGACATTCACGTCTTCTGGTCCCGGTGGTTTTCTTGTTGAGATCTTTTCTGATGATATCGCAGGCTACGAGTCGATTCGATTTGGGTATGCAGACAGCACTGCCTGGGTGGATCGTTCCAACTGTCAAAAACACTGGTACAACCAGTTCTTCACCGATAAGATGTCTGTACAGGCTGTTCCTGCGCCAGACCCAAGTGTACCAGGCACGAAGATTCGTGCGGTCTTGGATCGCAGTGTGCTAGAGTTGTTTGTCAATGATGGTCTGCACAACGCCGTGGTCTTGTTTTACATGTCGGAGAATCGGATCCCTGGTCGTGTTCGGTTTGTGGCAGATGGCAATGTCACTGTGACTGCAACGGCTGATGCATTGACGGGAGGATGGAACTGCACGAGCTGCACGGGCAAGACGCTGCTGTCTAAGCGTGACGAGTTATAGACTGGATCTGGGCTAGATGTAGATGTACACGTCGCTATACAACGTCAACCAACCTCTGCCAGATGTACATGTACTTGTCATGTAGACTGTGCCGCAGCCATGACGAGATGATGAGGTAAGCAATACGGGGCCTTTACTACTAGAATGATATTTGGTAGAAGCAGTCATGACGATACTTCTAGCCTCCTGGTCCCTGCTTTACCATGATATAGTATATACCCAGCAGCTGCACTCTCCCTCGCTGTTGTCTTCTCTTTCCCGTCGCCTCTTTCCCAATTTTAATTTCCTTCCGCAGCGACGACAACCACGACCAGCTCAACTCAACCTCAGTCCTGACACAGCGTCTATTGCCTGGACATCCCTCAAACATCAAGCCAGCTGTCATTCATAAGAAAGGCCTTGATCCAGGACAACCAGCTGCCACGGTATCACGACTCACACATCAGTCCACGCAACCGAACACACTCACACGACACGGTAGTCGCCTCCTTCTACTGCGCGCACGACACTCTCCCTTCACCACTACCCCTTCAATGCTCACGACCCCCACCAGCTCAAGTGGCAGCAGCAACACAAGCACCAGTCCCGGTAGCAGCAATACAAATCTGGCGGCCACCGGCTGCATTGCCCCAAAAAGCCCACCCACCTCACCCATTCTCTCCCTCGACTTTATCGTTGGCTTACGAACACTACCACAACTCAAATGCGCCTGTCGTCGGCAATATCCACGCGACCCACGTCGTGCGACGGCGTTGTTTGCGAATTTAAAGGAGGCGTATAATAGGTATAAGGCGACACCGATTGCTGAGATGCCGCCACAGTACCGTCCCTTCTTCTGTGATCTCAGGCGGTGCGAATGATAGGGCCACAACGATGATGCATTCGTGTGATGGACAACAACGACACTCTCTATTCTTTCGTTCTTTATGAACAACTTTTCTTTTGGCGAAGCGCTAGCGTGTCCCTATGACTTTGACTTCCCTTCCGTACTCATACACAATCGAGACGACTCCCCCTTTGCCATGCTCATCACCGCGTCCATTGGATATCTGTTCGATGCGCTAGTGGCAAAGCCCGTCTAACTTGCTCGACACGGTCCAAGTCAATCTCTGCAAATAATAGACCTTCCTCGTCTGCTAGATCTCCCTCCCTCCGTGCAATCACCTCGCCCCACGGATCCACCACCATAGCATGCCCGAAACTCCGTCGCTTTTCATTATGTGCACCACACTGTGCCGCTGCAATCACAAAACAGCCAGTATCAATAGCTCGAGCACGCAATAAGACCTCCCAATGCGCTTGTCCCGTCTTGACTGCAAAGGCAGAGGGGTATACGAGAATCTGTGCACCTTGTGCACGAAGATGTGCAGCGAGTTCCGGGAAGCGCAAGTCAAAACAAATGGCAAGGCCAACGCGACCGATACTTGTGTCGATTGGTGGGATAGGTGCTTGGCCGGGTTGTGTCCATGCTGATTCCTTGACGACAGGACCACCGGGTACGTCTACATCGAAGAGATGTAATTTCCTGTAGTCAATGGGCTCTTGACCATCTCCGAAGAACCAAGTCAGTACATTCGATAGCTTGTTCGTTGCTATGCCTTGAGTATCAATATGTCGCTCATGTAAACCGACATTGATATCAATTTTGCATCGCTGAGCCAATTGACGCATCGATTGTCTAAAAGACGCACACTCGGGACTATCTGTCAAGCTAAAGGCCGCTTTCGAATCGTGCCCGATGAAGTCAGATGCTTCAGGCAGAAAGATACAGCGAGCTCCTCGAGCTTTGGCCGCCTCTACCAAACGCGTACATTGTAGCAGATTGGTCTTGATGTGATGCGTGCTGCAGAGTTGGGCAACTGCAATGAGCGGCATTGCGTGAATTTGCGTCTCTTCTTTCAAGACAAGTTGCAGAGATGGTTGATTGATCAGCTCAATCCAGAGCACGCAGCTGATTTATTAGCTCAATACAGAGCACGCAGATGACTTATCAGCTCAATACAAAGCACATTGGCAGGGAGGTTCGCTGCGTTCGCATGTCGTTTCCCTGGCCGCGTGATGTAGCAAGATTCGGCATTGCCGACAGCAAGATAACAGAAAGACCATACCATACACTACAAGAACAAGCTGCCACTTCACTTCTGTCAGCTACAGCTGTAGTTACAGATAGTCTGCTGATTCTCTGCTATGACAGCTACAACAGAACGGCCCCGAGCCGTGTACTCCAGTGCTGGTGATTTCCGCTCAGACACAGTGACGATCCCTGATGATGCCATGTTTGCCGCTATGAAGCAAGCGCATCTTGGCGACGACGTCTACAATGAGTCAGAAACCACACAAGATCTCGAACAGTATATTGCTGATCTATGCGGGAAAGAGGCAGGCTTGTTTTGTACCTCTGGGACTCAAGGCAATCAAATCTGCTTGAGGACGCATTTGATGCAGCCGCCTGCGAGTGTCTTGTGTGATAAGCGCGCTCACATCATCAACTACGAAGCGGCAGGTCTTGCGATCTTCAGTCAAGCCATGCCACAACCTATTGTTGCCAAGAATGGCAAGTACTTGACACTTGAAGAAATTCAGGGGGAACTCATCACGGGTGATGACATTCATTTCGCAGACACACGGATTGTTTCTCTTGAGAATACACTCAATGGTGTTGTCTTTCCTTATGAAGAGATGAAGCGGATTAGCGAATGGGTCAGAGCACAACCTGGTCAGCGCATCGTGATGCATCTCGATGGTGCACGACTCTGGGAGGCAAGTGCAGCGACGGGCGTAACGATGCAGCAGTATGGAGAGTTATTTGATACCATGTCACTGTGTCTGTCCAAGGGTATCGGTGCACCCATTGGCACCGTCATCGTTGGCACAAAGGATGTCATGACGCGCGCAAAGCGATTTAGAAAGATGATGGGTGGTGGATTACGACAAGTCGGTATCTTGACGGGTGCAGCGCGATATGCATTGGATCAGCAATTCCCACGAGGACTCAAGCGTGTCCATGAGATGGCTGCACGAGCTGCACAACAAGCACAGGATGCTGGACTGACGTTGAAGTTTCCGGCAAACACAAATATGCTTTGGCTGGATTTGGGAGCTTCCGGCATTGAGGTGGACGCATGGATCAAGCAAGCGAGTGCGCTGGGGCTCATCATCAGTGGCGAGAGACTTGTCTTTCACCACCAAATCTCAGAGAAGAGCGAACAGGCTGTGGCTCAGCTGATTCAACATTTTGCACGATGATGACGCCTTTGATAAAGCAGTGTTACACTCCATACTTGCATTGATAGTTGCACTTAGGTTGAGGCCAAAAGCGCTTGCAGGCTGTTTAGAATATGTACAAGATGTCCTTGAGACATAGCGCATGCCCAGGCAAGCATTCAAGCTGACGAAACAACTAGCAAGTACAGCCAAAGACAAAGGGAGATTCCATTGAGGATGCACCTGATGCGGCTGGCTACCATTTGAAGCTACAGCTATACATTGGGACAGCCGACACAACAAAGTAGTGTGAGTAAACACCAGTACTTGGCGTAGACAAGCCAGTCGATGCTAGCAAGCCTTTCAGCTAGTAAGCCGCACTAGTCCCAGCTCTTCCGGCAGCAGATGAAGCCGAAGCAAGCAAGCATCCAGCTGCTTTTGTGATGTCGCTTTGTTGGAGGTCTGTTTCGAGGCGACGACACAAAAGAGACAAAACCCACAACAAGACAGTGCAGGGACCACGTCTCTAGACTCGTATCCCAGGCTTCTTATCAGGCAAGGCTAGATCTTTCAGCTGCAATTGACGACGGCGACATCATCTCCTGAGGCTTCGCAGCAAATAAACCACTCCCGACACTAGCATCTACGGAGCGACCCAACACGCGACTGATAGCAGCACAGGCCCCCATCCTGCCAGACAGTGACTCACGCAACGTGGACACGACACTGAACGTTGAACGGCTGACACGCGAAGGTTTCTGTCTCGTGGTCTGCTACACTCCGCATTACACCAGTCATCTTGACTATTGCATGAGCGACTGACCTGGACGCGACCCTTGTCATTGAACAAGATACACGAGTAGGAAGAGATGGCAGGCATGCCGCCCTCAATGCCAGATTCAGCGCACTTCTACGAGCCAGATCTAGTAGATACGCTACAGCAAACAGAGCATGTCACCACAGACTCTATGCCATTCGCGTTGACCAACCGTATGGGACCACCCACAACAATCACATCTGAACCAGCCAGTCCGAGTCGTCGCAGTGCGCGTAGCGATAATGGAGAGAGGGAAGGGAGTGTTTTCTCTGGACCGCTACGGCACTCGACGCCTCCGCTCCTCGCGAATGGGAGTCCACCAATGCCTGTACCAACACGCGTAGGATCTTTACAACCGCCGCCGCGGTCGCCGACACCACCACAGTCTGAGAAGAAGATGCATCAAACGAGTACTAGAATAATGAAGGTGACACCCGAAGGCAGACCCTTTACGAGGGTGAGTTGAAACTTTCCCGAAGATGGACGCTGACACAGTGTAGGATTTCAAAGACCTCTTCTCGACGTTGGTGGTCAGCTTGACCCTCAAGACGCATAGGGTGCGATTCAAGAATTATCCATTCTCCTTTACAACAGAGGAAGCCGTTGCCAATCTATCAAATCTCAAGTTTGCACAGAGCAATCGCATGCCTGATCCGAATGTACGCGGCAGCTTGACCGAAGGTATGCTAACAACAGGACCCGACAAGAATAGTCACCACGACGACAACAACGACATTCAGTATGGCACCAGACATGGCAAAAGGACTCTGCCAGCGGTTCATGGAAGCGCGCTTTTTCGAATCAGCAAATGACAAGTCACTCACCGTTTTCAAGGACAAGTCAGTCTGGGTCTTTACTGCAAAAGGCATCCGCGTGCTAGACCGCTTCTGTCAACGCAATGGAATCCAGACTGAAACTGTCAAGGAGTTGACGAGTTCGGCCATGAACTCCATGCAGCTAGTCTTGCTCGAGCGTGACCCAGAAACAGATGCAATTCTAGAATCTGATGCTGTGGTCGAAATCATCTTTCGACGCTTTGCTGGCAAGAAGCCAAACATCAGACCAGCATCCGAGACAGAGACGGGTGCAGAGTATGCGACTGGCTTGACAGGGGTACGTCTTGTTGACTTGCGCAAAATGGCAGACGGCAATATGAAGTGGACTTTTTCGGGGAAGAGCATGATTTCATGGATTCTGGACTGTTCAACAGCCCTTGAAGCAGAAGAAGCGATGGAGATTGCGCGCATGTTTCTGTTTCATCAGCTGATCCTGTACGTGGGCGATGCTCGCGGTAATCGGGGACAGGATCAGGCGATCTCAGGCTCCAAATACGCCATCTACCAAATTACTGCAAAGGGAAGATGCGTTGCCGGCTGGGAGGGTACATATGATACAGAAAAGATGGTACCAGCACAAGGAGCGCTGCAAGCAAAACTCAACCCAAGCATGGCTGCATTACGACTAAGCAATCCTCGCTCTGCTTCACAATCATCTGCGGACGGAAATGCGGTAGACCTCTTCAATGGGTCAGCACAGAATAGCAGAGAAACAAACACGGCAAGATTGCAAATCATCATGGATGATGCTGCTCTACGATCACAATTCAGCGAATTCCTTCGCGAGAACTACTGCGAGGAAAATTTGAGCTTCTACATTGACGTCAGAGAGTTTCAGCGGCAATTCAAGGACGTCAAAGAGCTCGAGAGTGTGAGCGAGGGGTTGGCTCGTGCGTACTCCATCTACAATGCCTTTTTGGCAAGTGGATCCCCTTGTGAGCTGAATCTGGACCACAGTCTGCGACTCGACATGGCAGCACAAATGACACGTGTCGTTGGAGACGATGCAGAGAGTATGCGCAGGTCATTGCAACAAGTTGCAGAGCTCTATGATCGTGCGCAAAATCAAGTCTTCCGACTCATGGCAGGCGATTCTGTTCCAAAATTCCTCAAGACGCCACTTTTTCTAAACATGTGGAACATGGAGCAGGATAAAAAGCAATGAACTTCATTGTTTCATTCATGACGCTTATGCTATAACCTTCTTTCCTCCAATTTCTTTTTCTGAATTCTAAGCGCATTCTCTGTATCGCGATTTTCATGGTTTTCTCGTCATCTTTTGCGTGTTGTGATCATTGCAAGATGACATTGTCAAGGATACGCGTCGGCCCAAGGCGTATCGCCGCTGAGCAGACTACAGGACTCGCCTCAATCATGTTGAGCTCTCGCAAGTCATCCATGTGCGCCACGCTAACATACTCCACCTCGACACCTTCTTCCGACGCCAGTATATCCCTGACACACTGCCGTAATGTTTCTGCATTGCGTTCGCCAGACTTGTATGCATCTTCCGCTGCAAAGAGACCTCTAGAGAGACATGTCGCACGTTTGCGATTTTCTGCGGATAGATAGACATTTCTTGAGGACATGGCAAGACCGTCAGACTCCCTGACGGTCTGGCCTATCCGTAATTCTGCATCGTAGCATAGATCACGCATCATGCGACGCACGACGATCGATTGCTGAATATCCTTCTGACCCAGGTAAAGAATGGTTGGTTGGATGATGTTGAGGAACTTTGCCAAGACTGTTGCGACGCCTCGAAAGAAGTGTGGACGAACAGCGCCTTCTAGCTGGTGCGACAAGCCGAGGACAGAGACAAACGCACCAGTTTGCCGTTGCACATCCAGCTCAATCCCAGAAGGATATAAATCTTGTGCTGATGGTAGAAAGACTGCATCGACCTTGCCAGTCTCACAAATCTTGGCGAGGTCAGACTCAATGGGTCTTGGGTACTTGTCGAGATCTTCATTCGGTGCAAACTGAGCAGGATTCACAAAGATACTCATGACCACAAGACTATTTTCACTAGCAGCCTGATGAACAAGTGAGATGTGACCAGCGTGAAGGGCTCCCATTGTGGGTACGAACCCAATGGTTAGAGCCTTGGTGGCCTGTTGATGGCGCCATGCTCGATATTCGAGGACACTGCGAAAGATGATAGGCTTGAGTGCCTTGTGCAGAGACATAGTTTATGATAGGAGCTCAAGCAAGTCTAGAAGCAGAGGAGAAGCATGGGGAAAGCTGTTTCTGAGCTGTTTTCGAGTCCCTTTCACAAGTCTTGGTGTAGAGTCTGTAGATGTAGCAAATCACACGAAGCAAACACAAAAGACGAAGACACCACATCTACAAGACTCGTTTGTCATGCTCAGAATAGCGCAGCCCAGGCTGCTCTGCCGTTGTCTGATTCAACAAAGTGCGCAATACAGCAACACGGCGATTGCGAGAGCGGGCCCCGCTGCAGCACAATCTACGACTGGTACGCTTAAATCATTGCACGCCGTGATCAAAACTGACCTCGCAGGTACGCCTGCGCCAAGACCCAAGAAGGAGAAAGCAATCACGAGTATCTGTGAGGCGGGAACCGTCATGAAGGGTCTCAATATACTCAAGGCTGGCGCAGATCCGGTTGCCATGCCCAATGCAGATTACCCAGCATGGCTATGGACGATCACAGACAAGAGCAATCAAGGCGCGAAGAAGGAAGCTCGGAAGGCGAATCGTGCGGCCATCAAGCGCAAGAATTTCTTTGCCGGCAGACTGTAGGTTTGGGTGTGACTCGTTCTGTGGGAGCAGGATGAATGACCTGTGCCTACAATGCTATGCTCTCTATGCTATACTTCGTGAAATGGCGTGAGCCCGGTCTTGTCTAGAAAAAGAAGAAGCGCTTGCGATTTAGAAGGTCGCTCAGCTGCTTGTAGTAAGTCATCTATCGTTAGCATCGTTCATAGCACAACAGCACCCTACCTCATCAAAGCAATTACGTCCATGCTGACATCCAGCCATATTGACGCAAAAGTCACGGTCGCCATAAAAGAACTGTCTGTCGTTTGAGACCTCTGCACAGGCTCCAGGCGGGAAGGCGTTGATCTTGCGATTACCAACAAATGCTGTACCTGATCGTATCCAAGCGTGATTGCGATACAATGCCTCGAGTGCATCTTGCTCTTTGTGCTCCCAAACCATGTGTCTCTGTTCGTAGTGCACAGGATCCCACCACGTATCAAGTAGTCTGTCTGTCCATGTACCACGCCGAATGAAGAAGCTGCCAAGGTTGAAACCGCCGCAGTCTTGTGGAACGATCAAGTTGATTTCGTGCTTGCTATCAACGAAGGGCAGGTCATCCGGAATACCGAGTGGATTGAAGGAATTGCTCAAGTTGCGAGAAACGTTGCCTTCAAGGTCATTGAAAAGATGCGATTCGAGCGTGACATGGGGTTCCATGATATAGGTTGATAGATCGAGCCACCAAAACCATTCAGCGTGTGGATACTCTCGCATGACTTCACGAATGGTATCGACCTTCTCCCAGGACTCGCGCCATTCATGTGCATATTTGCGCTGCATTGGCATGTCCTTGACTGCGAGACCGTACCCATGACGACGTACGTAGGCCTTTTTGTTCTTGAGTGATGTCCGTTCTACTGCCCATTGCTGCGGTGTCTTCCAGTCAATAACGCCGCCGCCTGTATTGGACGCCAAGATGATGACAAAGCGTGACGGTGAAGAAAAGAGCAATACATAGAGGTAGTTTAAGATGCAGAGAAAAGCAACAAGCGCGAGTATACGTCGCTGATGAGAAGTCAAGGATAGCAGCTGTTTGAGACGAGCTTTCCATGCAGGCAACTTGGGGTTCTTTTTGTGTACATCAGAAGAGCTCGAGGCCCTGCGCTTGGGCTTCCACATGGCAGCGCCAGACAGAGGCGGGTGTAGCTTGTTTGGCGAGTGTGGTGAGACCGAGATTTATGAGAAGATCAATCTACGAAGGGACATTCGAGAGGCGGATGCGCTACAACTGCTTTGTCTCTGGGAACTTGGTATGGTAGATGGCATCGAGCAGCGGACTAGCGCCAATTGTTCGTCCACCAAACCAGCGTCCATTCAAGCCCTGGATGGCCTTTTTGCCGCCTTCCATTGTCTTGAACTTGATGTAAATCTCACCCAGGCTGTGCTCTTCAACGTGAATGTGCACAACAGGACCATACTTCTCCTCACATTCGGCCTTGACGTCTTCTGCTAGCTCCGTTGTCCAGCTGTCGCCAGTCTCCTCTGCAGGGTTAAACATATTCTTGAGCAAGATGCCACGCGCGACTTCCGGTGCTTTTGCATGGTCCACGAGATGCGGTGCAGGTTGTGCATGTATGCCATCTTCAGCGCGCGCCAATTTACGCATGAGCTCAGTCCTAGAGATATTTTGGTAGCCATTGCGTCCATCATCCAACACGTCCTTCTGTCGCCTACCACTGCCGCCATCACGTTCATCGCGATCTCGGCGTCTGCCAGATTCTCGTCGTCCATCTCGACTAAAGTCATTAGAGCTGTACGCACCTTCTTGATGCCTGTTGGACGCGGAAGGCGGTGCAAGCGCGGCACTTGCAGCACTCGCAAGCGCAGCGGTCGATGCAGCATCCGTACCCACTTTAATGTTATCATTGCCAAAGCCAACACGAATTGCTCGACCAGCCAACTCGAAGCCATTCATTGTTTCTAGTGCTTCCCTAGCGTGAGCGGCGTCCTTGAACTGAACAAACCCAAAGCCCCTGCTTCTGCCAGTATCACCATCAATTTGCAATGAGGCATGTTGAATCTCGCCAAAGGGTTCAAAGACTGCACGTAAGTCATCTTCACCAATATTGAAGTGGACATTGCCAATGTAGAGGCGATGGAAGGGCGCATCTGGCATAGGTGGTGCTGCTTGTGATTTTGTCGTCATTGCACCTTCACGCGCTTGTCTGTTCTTTTCTGCTTCCGTAAGCTGAGCAATGATGGGGAGACCGAGCAGGAGCTGTCCAGTCATGGCAAGAGCTGTTGGCACTGTCTCTGCAGATTTGAACTCAACATAACCAACACCTTTACTGCGTCCCGAGAGCCGATCCTTGACGATCTGCGCATCTCGTACAGGACCTGCTTGCTCAAAAAAGCGGATGAGTTCCTTTGTTCGGAGACGGGCAGCGAGTTGCTGTACAAAGACGGTCCGTTGATCACGCTCTGCTTCTGTCAGTTCAGGCGTCTTTTCGCGAACGGGGGAACGTGGACGACGACTGTTGCTGCTATAGTCGTCGCGTGATGAGCGATAGCGTGTATGAGAAGAACCACGACGATCCCTGTCGTCATCATAGTGGCGACTGCCTCGTGTCGGAGAACGCGAACGTCTGCGATGGTCACTGCGTCGGCGTGAATCGTCCCTGTGCCGGTAGTCGTCTCGAGCATACCTATCCCGGCTGCGTTCATGGCTGCGCCTATCTCCACGATCGTCATGCCTGCTCCTGCTGCGTGCACGGCTATCTGGGGAAGGGCCGTTGGATGTAGGTCTCACATGCCTGTCTTCGTCATGTTGCTGGCGCTGGCTGGGAGGGCTGGCTGAGGTTTGTTTCTTCTGGTAAGGTGCATCAGCGAGCTGCTCGAGATCGATATCCATGGCAGTACCCGTGGAGAGGAAAGTATTGAGCTGGTTCTAGTCTTTGTGGTAGTTGGTGGTGGTTGCTGGTGTCAGTCGCTGGGAAGTGAAGGAAAATGGCTTATGTCAGCTACTACACAAATACATGGATGTGACACATATCCAGTGCACAGCTAGCACATCTACAAGAACTACCCGATACTCCTCCGTACTCCAGATCACCCAGGCCTTCCCCTATCGCTTGTCGGCTTTTGCTCTGCTGCTGCTTTGAAATCTCGCGACCTTTTTCCCGAATTTGGGCAACTTCCACCAAGTCTCCCTCCATCCTCATCTTCCTCCTCTTCCTACAGTAGAAGGGCCCTGGGCTGGCAGACAGGTCGAGACTTGAGCGATGGGTCTGCTCTCCCTCGGTACGCCGCTTCCCTGGCACGAAGTCAAGAAACACGCCGAGCATGTCCGAGAACACGGCATCAAGCAGTTCCTACACATCTGGAATCGCAACAAGGGCAAAGAGCGTGATCAGCTGCTCTGGGGCGATGAAATCGAGTATGTCGTGGTGTGCCTCGACGATGAAAAGAAGACAGCCATGTTGAGTTTGCGGCAAGCAGATATCCTGCATGCCCTGGCGGATGATGAGCATTTGCAGCGGAAAGGTGGCGTTTTGCCAGACTTGCAGACGACGGAGAGAGAGGAGAAGGATGATTTGTTTCCTACATTCCATCCAGAGTATGGGCGATACATGTTGGAGGCAACGCCAGGTGCACCGTACGGCCATGAGCTGCAGGACTTGCTCAATGTCCTACCAAACATGCTGAAGCGGCGTGTTGTAGCCAAGGCTCACATGTTTGAGACGGAGTGTCCCATCACCTTGACTTCTTATCCCCGTCTTGGCGTTCCTGGCCCTTTCACTACACCCTACTATGAGCCACACGGACCAGCATCTCGCTCGCTCTTTGTGCCTGATGAAATCATCAACCCACATGCACGCTTCCCAACACTCACTGCTAATATTCGCGAGCGTCGAGGCCGTAAAGTGGCCATGAATGTGCCCATCTTTTATGATGAAAATACACCAAAGCCTTTCATTGATCCGACCATTCCACGAGACCGCAATTTGTATCCAGAAGATGCAAATGCTAGGGAGGGTGCCGCGAAAGAAGGGCACATCTACATGGATAGTATGGGTTTCGGCATGGGCTGCTGCTGTCTCCAAATTACTTTCCAGACGAAGAATGTGAATGAGGCGAGACGGCTCTATGACCAACTGGCACCTCTTGGGCCCATCATGTTGGCACTTTCGGCAGCAAGTCCACTGTGGCGAGGCTACATTGCAGACCAGGACACACGCTGGAATGTCATTGCTGGCGCAGTCGATGACAGGACTCCGCAAGAGCTGGGCGAAGAACCTTTGACGACAGATCGATTTGTGATACCAAAGTCACGCTATGATTCCATCTCTGCATATATCTCAGAGGAGAAGGAGAATCTCGCCCTGTACAACGATATTGAATTCCCCAAGGACCAAAAGATACGGCAAATCCTAAAGGATGGAGGCATTGACGACAAGCTGGCCGACCACATGTCTCATCTGTTTATTCGCGATCCTATTGTCATCTTTTCTGAGCTGCTCGAGCAAGACGACAGCACGAGCTCTGACCACTTTGAAAACATCCAATCCACCAACTGGCAGACGGTACGATTCAAACCGCCCCCGCCAGAGACTGATATCGGTTGGCGTGTTGAGTTCAGGAGCATGGAGATTCAAATCACAGACTTTGAGAATGCCGCCTTTTCCATCTTTATCGTTTTGCTCACACGAGCCATCCTGTCCTTCAAGCTCAACCTGTATATTCCCATCAGCAAAGTGGATGAGAATATGCGTATTGCGCACAAACGAGATGCTGCGCTCGCCGACAAGTTTTGGTTTAGGACAGATGTCTTCCCCAGCGAGACTGCAAGTCAAGCACCAACTGAATCTAGCTGGAGCAAGCTGTCCATTCATGAGATCATTAATGGCTCTGGTGATTCATTTGCTGGTCTGATCCCATTGATTGAGAGCTACCTGAACTCTGTCAACTGCGATGTTGCCACACGCTGCGAGCTCGGTAAATACCTCGATCTTGTCTCCTATCGAGCTAGCGGTAAGCTTTGCACCGCAGCCTCGTGGATTCGCAATTTTGTTCGTTCGCATCCTGCATACAAGCATGACTCTGTTGTTTCTGAACTCATCAATTATGATCTTGTCAAGGCTGTACAGAAGCTCAGTAATCCACATGGCAGAGAGGCCGGCGTGTTGGGTGCTGAGGCATTCTTGGGTAAATTTGGGCTATAGCAAGTGCGCAGTACATTTCATTATATAGACAGGCGTCCTAGTGCATCGAGATGTCAACGAACAGTGTCCTTGATGTCCATGACGCCATGCGTTGGTGACCACCAGGCCTTCTTATTGCGCAGATCAGGCGGTTTTGTGAATCCAAGTCTTTGTCTCAACGCATCGCAGTCCGTCTCGAGCTCCTTCTCCCAGTAGACATTCAATAGGCACTCTGACTTTGCACCTTCAGACAACGCCCAGGGTATCCATACTTGCCGCAACCGTGCACGCTGCTTGCGACTCAATTTCAAGGGTCCAAAGCTGGCAGACAGACCAGCAACAGGTAAGCCCATATTCGTCCATTCAAACCATTTCAGAGCAATCTCGCCCTCAACAATCACAGGGAGTCCCGTGATGGCATGATAGAAATCGTGTGCTTCTCGATACCGCTGCATGACATAGGCACACTCGACATCATCGATATACCGTGTTTCTTCTCGCGTATCCGGTGTGACGCCTTCGCGATCGAGCCATGCGGCATACGTGTAGCCTACTGTATTTGGCGACAGGCTGCGTAGATACTCCAGACTCAGCGTTTTGCTTGTGATGCGCGGCTTGTCACGCAGGATAAGACGTCCTGTGGGATGCCTGAGCATGCGATCTCGCAGCCTCTCGAGGAAGAAAGGTTGGGCGCTCGTCTCTGACAATACAGCCACCAAGTCGCCTCTCCTGGGATCTCTCAAAGATTGGATAGCACTGCCTGTGGCGAGCAAGAGACGTTCAGGCAGCGAGAGGGCGACATGGCCCTTGTATAGAGGTGGCGCACGCTGCGTTGCCGGTGTCGTGATGGCTTTGACGGCGCTTCTCGCGAGCGTTGCCATGGATAGTAGCCTGAGCATAAGGAGATGAAGGAGCTTCGGTCAAAAAGTAGTATAAGCAGCTGAGCTTCGTGTCTATGGCTATCTCGCCATGCAGTCTCTTGTCTCGGTCGAGTCTTTGGGTAGTTTTGGTCCTTTGCGACGTAGAACCAGAACTAAAGCATCCACGACCACAATCACAAGCTACACAAGGTCCAGAAGGGTAGGCTGAATAGACATGGCCCAGCAACAGCAGCAGTATGGTACAACGCCGCCCATCTCTATGGCAGGACCCACAGATGCAGAGTATACACCACGACACCTGCTTCAAACTGCGACTAACAAGACAGAACCGCCATCAACAATGAGATGATTCAAGAGCTCAAGCGCCAAGGCACCTTCGAGTCGCAGGCAGAGTCAGACCTGCGTGTCAAAGTTCTCAACGAGCTACAGAAACTTGCCCTCGAATTTGTTACAAAAGTAGGCGTTAGCAAGAATATGCCGCTGCAAGTCGCCAAGGAATCAGGCGGCAAGATTTTTACCTATGGGTCCTATAGACTCGGTGTCTACGGTCCAGGCTCTGATATCGATTCGCTGGTGGTTGCGCCGCGCCATGTACAGCGCGATGATTTCTTTGCCGTCTTTGAACCGCTCTTGCGTGCTCGTAGCGAGGTGACAGAGCTCGCGTCTGTGCCAGATGCTTTTGTCCCCATCATCAAGATGAAGTTTTCGGGCATCTCCATCGATCTCATCTTTGCGAGACTAGCCCTTCCTGCTGTACCGCTCGACCTCGAACTCACAGACAATAATTTGCTGCGCAACCTAACAGAGACAGATGTTCGATCACTCAACGGCACGCGTGTCACAGACGAGATCTTGCGAGTCGTGCCAAACGCCAATGTTTTCAAGCACGCACTGCGTAGCATCAAACTCTGGGCGCAACGGAGAGCCATTTACTCCAACGTCATGGGCTTCCCTGGCGGTGTAGCTTGGGCCATGCTTGTTGCGCGCATTTGTCAGCTCTACCCAAATGCAGTAAGTTGTGTCATTGTGGCCAAGTTCTTCCGTATCCTAGGACAGTGGAACTGGCCACAACCAGTCCTACTCAAGAATATCGAGGAAGGGCCGTTGCAAGTGAGAGTATGGAATCCAAAGCTCTACCATGGCGACAAATCACATCGTATGCCCATCATTACACCTGCCTATCCGAGTATGTGTGCAACACACAATATTTCAGCGAGTACGCATACTGTAATTCTGCAAGAGATGGGTCGAGCCATGGAGATCATGGACAAGATCATGCTCGAGGGTCTGGCGTGGTCTAACCTGTTTGTCAAGCATGACTTTTTCCACCGCTACAAGAATTACTTGTGCATCATTGCTGCTTCCCGGTCAGCGGAAACACAACTCAAATGGTCTGGCTTGGTGGAGTCGAAAGTCAGACAACTCGTCATGCGCTTAGAAATATCAAATCCAATCAAGATTGCGCATCCATACGTCAAGACCTTTGATGCCATCAACTTTTGCGATACAGAAGAGGAGATGGACAGGGTTGCCATGGGCGAACCTTCAGCAGCAGCGAAAGTGGTACCTGCTGATTTGCAGGCTGTCGCGAAGCAAGATGGCGTTGTCGAGGATGCGCCGGCGGATGGAGCCGAAAAGAAGCAAATCTTCACAACACGTTACTACGTGGGCATTGACATTGACAAGAGCGACGGTGCGTACACATCTCGGTATGACGTGCTAACAACAGCGACCAAGAAGCTAGACATCACCTGGGCCGCACAGGAATTTACGGAAAAGTGCCACGAGTGGGTCAGTTACAAGGAGGAAAACATGTCTATCCACCTTAGACATCTCAGAAAGTCTGTCATCTCTCATTAGAGGCCAATTCACTCCCTCAGAACCACAAGACTAACAAGTTTAGCTACGATTTGCCAGATGAGGTCTTTGACGAAGGCGAGGCTCGGCCTCAGAAGGAAAAGAAGACCAAAAAGCGCAAAGCTGAGAATGGCAACGAGACAAGCGATGCGAAGCGAAATATTTGAGGCCCTCAATGTGAGTTTCCGAGGAGTTTTCGAGCATATTGCATGTTCGCGGTAGGCAATGTCCTGACTAACACAAAGGAGCGCCTGCTCTCATCTCCTGTGATCTTCGTGATGTGTATCTAGTTCCGTCTGTAGCAACGGAGAAGCCTCCTTCCCTAGCACTAATCCATGTCATCTTCCCTAGCACTAATCCATGTCCCCTTCCCCTGTCGCGTACAAATTTCTTGAAACAGCGGCAAGGCTCACAACCACATAGCCCAAGATGCCCATCAACCAGCCTAGCAACCAGATCAAGCTCACCAATGTCTCCGTGGTGCGCTACAAGCGATCTGGCAAGCGGTTTGAACTAGCAGCGTACAAGAACAAAGTGCTCGAATGGCGTGCTGGCACAGAGAAGGATATTGACGAAGTCTTGCAAATCGACAGCATCTTTGCGAATGTCTCCAAAGGAGCTGTCGCCTCGAACGATGACATCAAGAAGGCATTTGGTGAGAAGCCCAAGGAAGACATTATCCAGGAGATCCTCAAGAAGGGCGAGTTGCAAGTAGGCGATAAGGAACGCGGTGCTATGACTGAAAATACCTTCAAGGACATTGTGCAAATCATCTGCGACAAGACTGTAGATCCTACCAGCAAGCGGCCGTACACAGCAGGCATGATTGAGAAAGCGCTGCACGATCTTGGCTTTTCCACATCAACGAATAAGCCAGCAAAGAGCCAAGCACTCGATGCTATCAAGCAGTTGCAGGCTGCCAAGACCCTACCCATCACACGCGCTCTCATGAAGATTCGCATTACATGCACTGCCAAGGAAGGCAAACTAGTCAGGGAGCAGCTACGAGCTCTGTTTGAATCGCTTGAAGAAGACAGCGTCAGTGCCGAGCTTGAGATGGTCGGCAGCGTGCAGCCAGGGTCATTCCGAGCCATTGGTGATCTCATTCGAGAGCATACGCGCGGCAAGGGTCAGATTGAAGTTCTCAACTTTAGTCAAAGCACCGAGGGCGACGAGAGCTGGAATTGAGAAGCCAATTGCTCTCATGTTGTGTAAGCTGCGCCGATGCGTTCAGTCTTTCCGTCGACGCGAGCTCAATACAGCTTCATTCAGACTATGCTTGTCCATCAGGTCAGACGATCGGAAAAGTAGCAATTGGGAGGTTAACCTTGATTACGAATCGGTCAGCCACATGTCGGCCAAGGCTGCCCAAACCTACGAATCAGCAGGAATCTGCTAAGCTCTAATCCCGATCTGCGCATGAAATGGGTCATATACCAACATCAATCCAGCTCCTGAGCTGCTCGCTGCGCCAGATTCTTCAAACTATCAATGATGAAATTGCAGTCTGACCGCCTTCTGTGAGCTTTCGAGCTAGGTGAGTGCGGAAAGTTTATCAAGGAGAGTGGCGTGAGCATGGGAATATCCTTGCAGTACGTGACATGAGTGGTGAAGGGCTCTCTTCGTATGCAATTGCTGTGCTCTTGCAGATATCGAGGGCGCTGGCAGTACGAGGAAGTGGATTAGCCCTACAGGTCCCAGGACGCTTGACATGACAAATGTTCAGATGTCGGTAACAACCTGCCTTCAGCCGACCACTAAGACCTTCTAAGCATTTGGTTCTAGAGTGGCAAAAGGGCAATCAGCGCTTGTTGCTGTTGTGTTGTATTTGGATCGTAACAAGAACGCATATATCGCTAGCACCCCACACATGACCTGCCCTTGGACCTATTGGTTTCACGGTTTAGGGTTGACGATCTCAAGAAAGAGCGAATCTAGCTTCTTGATCATGAGAAGAAGTGCGACAACTTGACAGCTAGGTTGCCGGGATACTGTCTTCCAGTCATGAAGAGTGTGTTCCCAATGCATCAAAAGAAGCTTTATGATTTCGCAAACTCTGGCTCGGCACTGTCGGCACCGTGACCAGACATGTGCTCAATCAACATCATCATTTTGAATATCGAGAGGCATGGAACAAGCAAATCGGAATATAGGATATCTTAATAAAGCGGTCTAGAGGTCTTTGATTTGCTGGTGCCTCGAGTGGTTGCGTTCAGAGTTTGAGTTGCCTTCTGAAAAACACCCAAGACGTTGAAAAGCCTTGACGACCTTGATCATTTTTTGCAAGATCGTAGCCGGCCTCGAGGGTTCAAATTCGGGCAGAAGCTCTGTTCCCAGCGTAACACATGAATTCATGTAACGCCACTCGATCGGTTGCCGTCCGGCGCGAACAACGGGTGGTTTCAGGACCCCTTGCTGGACGACATCTTTGACCAAATTGATAGGACATTCCACTTGAATAACGCATAGCCAACTCTGCGCCGCCACTTGGACTTCGACCTCGACATAGTGACCGATCCAGGCACCTTGTAAAGCGCGAATATTCTCAACGCCACGGAGCACGCATGCCAGACTCCCGCGTACTTGAGTCGGCTGAGGTCGCTTCGACCGAAATCCCTGAAACCATGCGTAATCATTGAATGGAGAATAAGAGTTCCACCACGACATGATGGCGCTTTTCAAAGACTTTGTACCAGATTGGGTATGCGGGACTGGTATTTGTGTCCACATGGTTATGGGTGGAGGTCGACGCTCAAGATCGTCGGCGAGCACATCATCGTTGAGACTGTCGCTCTGGGGTCTGAGCGGCATAGCCGAACGACGGCGGCGGCGGACTGGCGCAATGAGCATAGCAGCACGAACTGCATTGATCTTGAGCTCATTCTCGGTCGGCTCGCATATCGAGGCTTTGAAGACCGAAAATCCACAAGGGATACGCGCTGCGCTCGCATCAAGATCGGTTGGAAGAATCTCAATCTCGACGTCTAGCTGGCTTTTGCCGAAGCTGTAACGACTAGAGCATTGGGTGAGCACGATGGGCTCTGGGTGCATATCTGAGACAGCATACTCTTTCATTTGCTTGGCTTTGGCGTAAAGTGCATCTTGGGCAGCTCTGATGCGCATGAAAAAGCGAGACGTGGAGTCAGTCGACTCTGGATAAGATCGAGTAAATGGCGAGCAGCAGGCCCTGGTCACGACGACGGGCTCCGGATGAGCACGCGCACTGACGTTGCAGTCAAGCGCGCAAGAACGCTCAGCTCTTTGGTTGGCCATATTGTAAGATGTCTTCAGCTTGACAAGAGACACAGTGAGAGGATCGAGACAACGAGCCTAAAAGGCTGAGCAATCGCGCATGTAGACGTGTCATGACGCATGAACAGGTGATGTGATCAACCTGAGTCATGAGGACGAAGCGCTCGAGGCTCAGGCTCTAGAGGGTCACAGCTCATGTGTTTAATCTGAGTCATGAAGACGAAGCGCTCGAGGCTCAGGTTCTAGAGGGCCAAGCTTCCAGATACGGAACGATCAGATGGAATTCCACATCCCGATGTATTGACGGTAGCATTCATCATCTATCTGGAGAATCAATTGAAAAAGTCGACACAAAAGTCGCTGATCAATGGCTAGAAAGTCTATAAGATTTTGTTGGCCACGATGCTCAGAGCAAAGATGGCACCAATAGCCAAAGTGACCACAAGCGGTTTGCGTAGATGATCTGCCGTCGTGTACTCATATGCAATGAGCAGCTCCCTACGAGCTAGGTCATCGGTCAAGTCACTTGCTTCAAAGGCAACCACAGTCCTACCAACAGTATCCATAAAAGTCTTCTTGACGCCACGGGTCTCCTTGCTGTGTGGCACGTACGTCTCAATCTGTTTGATTTTGGCGCCTTCTGGCAAGATGACCTTGACAAGTACGTCGTCGTATGCAACATTGTCGACGCCCTCCATGAATGGCACACGGAGATAGTGCTGATTGCCAGACTTTGTCATGAAGCGGCCAAGGTTATTGTTCCAGCCAAGAGTGAACGTGTAGTTCCAGTTGCCAAAGATGGGATAGCGCGGTGTGATTTCGAGCTGTGCGTCAAATTTGTTTTTGCGGAAGCGCGAGGTAGAGACATTGCCAATCTCATCTGTGTAGTAGACATCGCGCGTGCCTTTTGGAAGCTTGAATGCCATTGCCTTGATTGCAGAAGAGGGTCCAGGTCGCTGTCTGCTAGAGAACTCAATACGGTCGAATTGCTTGCGAAGGCGAGCTGCGTCGTTTGTCACAGAGTAGCGATCTTCAAAAGCGATGTTACCACCCCAGTGCGATACATCAATATCGCGTTCAAAGTACTTGACCACTGTGAGAGGAGCTGTGTGCTCAAATCGGATCTTTGCAACCTCGTCTGCGGCGCTAGAGCTATCGTGCTCGTATGGGCCATACGACACTGTGCTGTCAGAGACCTCGCCACCACCAGTGTGTTCCTTGATGTTGCCATTCGGTAACTTCAGCTTTGTCTTTTGCTTTAGTGTCTTGTATGGGCTTGAGACTCTGGTTTCAAACGTGTACTCCAAGAACTGCTTGCCCGTTTGGTCCATGGTCGAAGGCTTTGGCTTGAGCTTGTGGAGCCTGGAGGACGACAAGGACAGAGTGATTTTCTGTCCAGCTGGCAATGCAGAGGGAAGCTCAATGGCCCAATGCTGCTCATCCTTGTTGACCAGGAGGTTGTCTGCCAGATCAGTGGACGCGGTCTTTGTCTTGACTTTTGCCTCCAAATGACTGCCCGTAGCGGCGAGCGGCACGTAGAAGACCGTCTGGGGCTTTGAAGAGATATTTTCAATGATAACGGCGACCTGCTCTGTGACAAAGGAGTGCGTCAGACCGATTGTCCGCAGGGCATTGGTGATTTGCCAGTGTTGCGGGACGGAGGTGAGTGCGTTTGCACCCAGGAACACCGCTGCTGCCCACTTGAGGGGCGCAGGCATCCTCATACTGACTGCCTGGATGCTGTGCTGTGAAGGGCCGCCAGCTGGTCAAGCGGTGAAGCGGTCAAGCAGTGAATGTGTCGTAATGAGCTGCGACGTGTTCGCATCAAGGCGCGTCCCAGGGCACGTGACCAGATGGACTGCCAACATGCAGAGTCAATGCAGAGACTGATTCCAGCTACTTTGATGAAGCTGCCGTCTTGCCTGCGTATCTTCTCCTGTGAGTCTGTGGTGTCCTTCTGAAGCTCAAGAGAAAACAGTCTGAGCTGATCTCATATCCCGGGCTGCCAGCTCTCTCGGGCTACGTACCTGTATGGCAGAGGGTATAGATCACAAGCCTAGCTTCATGCCTCACCTTCCTGTCTCTATCTACGCTGGTGTCTCTCTCTGCGCACATCCTTCTGCGAGTTCATGGATATGCTGTATGACTCAATGACATCAGCCTCATTGCCACAATTGCCGCCCGTATGACTCACGAAGAGCCATCACACCAGCTTGACTCATCATCAGCTTATTGCCCTTCGAAAGCATAAGTAGAACCCCAGATCCTGTCGAATGGTCCTCACTTTTTCTTCCTTACCCACAACTCGCAGGGATCATTCTTTTGAATACCTTCGCAGCTCAAGGGTCCATCTCTCAAACAAATGTCTTGTACCAAAGTCATCACCTGTTCTCCATCTCCAGAGCGTCGCAGCAGTCTTCAAGTCGCGCACGGTGTACACTCCAGTCATCAGTCGTCCTCAGTCGTTATTGCAAGCGAAACCGAACCACTCTCAGCTACGGAAGATTCGCTGTCGTCGAGTATTGACAGCCCGCGCTCTTCGTCTTGGGCGGACATGATGGATGAGGAAGAGGAAGAGGCGTTTGACATTCCTTGGGAAACCAAAGCCTCAACTATCAAGAGCGAAGCTCAAATCTCTTGCATACAAGGCAAGTCCGTCGCCATTTCAAAACAAGCTCCAATCGAGCTTCACTCCTGCGCAAGCTCACAGGCTGAAGAAGAGCTTAAGAGCAAGGACGTCGCTGTTCAAGATGTCTTGGTCGACATCTCTTCAGCAGCCTACTTGTGCACCGCACGCGTGGCAATCATCGAAGAGCTGGCCGAGTACCAGGATGCGACTCATGATGCCAAGATCTGGGCCATCCGCCACCCTCAAAAGACGTTTGAGGCAAGAGCAGAGGTGCCTCCTATCCGTCGACAATGTGCTGCCTTGCGTGGCAAAGCGTACTGGACTGATGCTGACGATGAGGCCGTGCCTCTCTTTCCTTCTGAACCTCTCTCAAGTATTGAAACAGGTAGTATACATGAAAGAAGCACGTCGTGGGCAGATATGGAAGACGATGACGAGTATGACTTTGACATCCCTTGGCTCAAGAAGGCTGAACAGACTGAAGGCGAACGCCAGCCTAGTACGGACGACCTCCATGAACAAAACGCAACATTGGCTCCTCTATCGCTTCTACCCATCGCCTTCCCCCAGCTGAACTCCACTCCTTTCCTCGCATGCGCAGATGAATTTGATTTTGATGAAGAGACTGACATGCCTGATTGTCTTGGAGACTCTCTCGAAGCACAAAACGCTGGGTTGCGACAAGATGAACGCCTTGCCGAGAGACCACAGACTGAAAAACAATCCAGCACTTTATCGGTAAACGTGATGGATGAAGAGCACGAGGGTGCCGAGCTAAACATGCCAGATTGGGGGCACCCGACAGAAAAAGGCCAGAAGGATGCAGTGAGCGAAAAATGCCTGCCGTCCTATGCTCATGCCTCCCTCTTTGCAAGTCGTTGGAGACTCTGCCAGCAGATGCAACATCAGGGTGCATTGCAAATTACACTTTGTCATTGATGGATACAAGCATAGCATAGCGAGCCTCAGATATAGTTGAATGAAAGCCACTGAAACTATAGAGTTCACAATGAAGAGACTGCCTTGAACTATAAGTCTAATGCTTAAACGACCAGGAGCCTTGATGCTGGACATGCTGAAAGATGCACGATAACAGATTTATGCATCTGACTCTTCCGAGTCGCTATTCTCATCTCCCGAGACCTCCAAGTTGTCTTGCTCCGCCTTGGCCATGAGCTGCTGCAACTCGAGCTCATCCGCATCGGATTGTGCCTTTGGCTTCATCTTGACAACGAGATGTCCGCCTTGCTCCTCGATACTCTTCCGAATCTCCTCAATGGCCGATTCGAGCAGCTGCACGCCAATGGTCTTGTCGAGTGCGTTTGTGAGCACAACAAAGAGGGGTGCAGCCACGAGTTTCACTTGTACACCCGTTTCCTTCTCATCTGGGTGCGTCGTCTTCTCACCCTTGCGCAAGGCTGTGCGGATCGCCTCAATGCCTTCATAGCCAAAGCAGGTCACCTCGATATCCGCACGGATTTTGATGGCCTGGGGCGTCAACCGCCGAGCGATCTGGGCGAGCAAATCTTTGCGAACATCATCCGATGGGAATTGAATGCCCTGAAAGACTTGGTCTGGTTGAGTGATGGCGAGTTTGAAGGCATCATAGGCGTGTGTGTACTTTTTGTACAGGGGCCATCCGACAGCTTGGTAGAGTTCTTCCAGCACCAAGCTGTGCTTGTCTGCGATATTGCGCATGATGGAGTGGACAGACTTGGACTTGTTGTAGCGGTCTTCACACTTTGCAATGTCTTCTGGAGAGACACGCCGTTTGGAGAGATCGATGTAGCCCTTTTCCTTGTCGACACGCAATACCACCACGACTTCGTTCCTGCCCACTCGGATGAGCTTCTGGATGGAGCGAATACGCCTTCGGGATAGCTCAGAGAGGAGAATCATGCCTTCGATATTGTCGTACTCGAGGAGACGCACGTATGCGCCCATTTCCGCGATTTGCCTGACATTGACGACGGTGAGTTCTTCGACGTCTGGGAGCTTGTTCTCGTAGTACCTGCATGTCGTGGACATGGCTAGAGGGAGTAGCTGCTGCTTTGTGTCGCTGTCTCTTGCTCTTGATCTTTTCTGCGGCGATTCTAACCCTGGCAGGCTTCTATACTCTACAGTCTATAGACTATACTCTGTACATACTATAGCTACAGTCTATAGCCAGCTACATGGCATATGCAGCCCTCAACGACTTCACAGACGCCATCGAGGCACTCCCAGCAGACCTCGTGCGCAACTTCACCCTCCTCCGCGAAGTAGAGTCCAAGACACTCGCGCTCCAGCAATCCCTCATCTCTGAGATCCGATTCTTTATGGATGCGCTACCTGTTGCGCAAGACGCGACACCTGCTGCGTATGAACAACTCACGCGCATCAAGGAGCTCATCATGCAAGGTTTTGCGTATAGTGATGAAAAGGTCTCTGTTGCCAGTACAGCAGCCGATACCGTGCAGAAGCACATGCTGCGTATTGAGCGAGACTACCACTTGATTGAGCAGGAAATACCCAGGCGCATCAGGGAGGGTAGTCCGCCGCCTCAAATCACAACCGTTGCCAGTGCTATGCGAAATGCACCGAAGCGTGTAGAGACACCCAAGAAGCCACAGGGACAGAGCGCTCGAGCCATGGCTGCTGCAGCTGCGGCGGCGGCGGCGGCGGCGGTTCAAGCGCAAGCAGCATCCAGTCTAGCACATAGTCATGGTGTGCTGCCTGCTCAAGCGACGTTCCATGCGCCTGCGTCACGCGATGAGACGACGACGCCGCAGCCTGTGTTCTCTCGGCATGGGAGACAGTCGAAGCCAAGACGGCGCAGTATGTCCCCTTCTGCACCGAGTGGGAAACTCTCAGCAGCGGCAGCAGCAGCAGCACAAGCGGCAGCACAAGCAGCGGCAGCAGCGGCGAATGAAGATGAACCGACATACTGCTACTGCAACCAAGTCTCGTATGGCGAAATGGTCGCGTGTGATGGAGACGAGTGTGAGCGGGAATGGTTCCATCTTGCGTGTGTCAACTTGACGGCACCGCCCAAGGGGAGCTGGTACTGCGATGCCTGTAAGAAGCAGCAGGCGCCGACATCACGACGACGGCGGTAGGTGACGTAGAAGCAGATACTAAACAGACTTTCCTATGATCCTTCCATAAACTATCGCACGAGCTGTTCTAGTTCTTTGCAACGAGCATCTTCTTGATGTTGGCTATGCCGAGACCCGGGTTGAGACCCTTGGGGCAGGTTCGCGCACAGTTCATGATGGTGTGGCAGCGGTAGAGGGACATGCTGTTTTGTAGCATATCACGACGCTCCTGACCACGCTGGTCACGCGAGTCAATCAACCACCTGTATGCCTGCATCAGCACGGCAGGACCCAAGTACTCCTCGGAGTTCCACCAGTAACTCGGACAAGAGGTGGAGCAGCATGCACAGAGGATACACTCGTACAAGCCATCGAGCTTACGACGGTCTTCCTTGCTCTGACGAATCTCAGTGCCGTCTGCTGGGAAATCACCTTCGTTGCGCTGGAGGTATGGCTTGATGGCCTTGTACTGCTTGTAGAACTGTGTCAAGTCAGGAACGATATCCTTGACGACGTACGTGTGAGGAAGCGGGTAAATCTTGGTCTCCTTGTCTGGGTTGATGCGGCAAAGACATGCCAAGGTGTTTTGTCCATCGATGTTCATGGCACACGAGCCACAAATACCTTCACGACACGACCTGCGGAAGGTGAGGGTTGGGTCGAGGTCGTTCTTGATCTTGATGATGGCATCGAGGACCATGGGACCACACTTGTTGAGGTCAAGATTGTACTCTTGCATGCGCGGCTTCTCCTCGGGCGTGTCTGGTGACCATCTGTGGTTGTTAGCAAGCTAAATAAGGTAGTCTAGTAGCGCTGGACGTGCCTGTAGATGTGGAACTTCTTCATCTTTGGCTCCTTCTGTGTGCGGGGTGCCTGCTCTGAGGTGGCCACGGATGCGCGTGCAGCTGGAGATGAGGCGATGGAGCGTGTGAGTGCCTTGTAGGCTGGGAGGGCTCTTGAACGGGCTAGCATTGGGGATGTTGGTGTAGAACAAGTAGTAGTAGCAGAGTAAGTGTAGACTGTGTAGTGTAGGAGAGAGTCCATTGTGTAAGCAAATTTGATTGGCTGCCGGGGATGCCGGACACACCCGCAGCAGTCACAACTACTTCACGCCTATTTCTGCTACTTCTTCACAGCTATTGCTGCTATTGCTTGGTCAGAACAGATACAGACAGCCTACGCATCCGTCACACACCCCTCGCTCGCATTCGACACGTTCTTCGCAAACTTGTACAGCGTCCCCCGGGTATACTTCAACGCAGGTGCAGTCCATGCAGCACGCCGCCTAGCCAGCACCTCCTCGTCCACATTCAGGTTGAGCACCTTGCTCTCTGCATTGATCTCAATCTCATCTCCATCCTCCACAAGTGCAATGGGCCCGCCTTCCTGTGCTTCAGGCACAATATGTCCAATCAAGAACCCATGCGAACCACCAGAGAACCGACCATCCGTCAGCAAGGCCACATCCTGGCCCAATCCCATGCCCATGATTGCACTCGATGGCTTCAGCATCTCCGGCATACCAGGACCACCCTTCGGGCCCTCATACCGAATCACAGCCACTGCTTTTTCACCCTTCTTGAATTTGCCTTGCTCGAGTGCTTCAATGAACAAGTCTTCATCATCAAACACTTTCGCCGGGCCTTTGAAGGAGAGACCTTCCTTGCCTGTAATCTTGGCCACCGAACCACCGGGGGCAAGCGTACCACGCAAAATCTGAATATGACCCGTCTTCTTGATCGGATTCGAGAGGGGACGAATGATGTCCTGACCCTCCGGCAAATCCTTGACCTCTTCCAAGTTCTCAGAGAGTGTCTTACCAGTGACTGTCATGATACTGCCGTCCATAAGACCTTCGCGAATTAGGTACTTCATGACTGCAGGAATGCCACCAATCTTGAACAAGTCATCCATCACATACTTACCAGACGGCTTCATATCCGCCAAAAAGGGGATGCGATCAGAGACACTTTGGAAATCGCCAATATCCAGCTGCACATCCATACTTCGCGCAATGGCAAGCAGATGCAGCACAGCATTGGTCGAGCCACCAATCGCCATCGTCAATACCATGGCATTCTCAAAGGCAGCACGCGTCATGATATCGCGCGGCTTGATGTCACGCTCCAGCAAAATCTTGATGGCTGCACCCGCAGCACGACACTCGGCCATCTTTTCCGGTGATTCAGCAGGCGTCGAGGAAGAGCCCGGTAGAGAGATACCCATGGCTTCAGCGGCACTCGCCATGGTGTTGGCTGTGTAAATACCACCACACGCACCTGCTCCAGGACATGCATGACGAATGATATCCTTGCGTGTCGATTCATCAATGTTGCCACTAATGTACTCGCCATACGCTTGAAAAGCAGAGATGATGTCGATGTCCTTGTTACCCTGCGTCTTGGCACATCCGGCCTTGATGGTACCACCATAGACCATGATACTCGGTCTATTGACACGACCCATGGCAATCATGACACCTGGCATGTTCTTGTCACAACCAGGCAAGGAAATATTGGCATCATAGTGTTGCCCGCCCATCACAGTTTCCACAGAATCGGCAATGATTTCACGCGACTGCAATGAGTAGCGCATGCCTTTTGTTCCCATGGAGATACCATCCGAGACACCAATCGTATTGAAGCGATACCCAATCAAGCCAGCGTCCTGCACGCCCTTCTTCACTTCTGCTGCGAGATCCATGAGATGCATGTTGCATGGATTGCCCTCATACCAAACACTGGAAATACCGACCTGTGCCTTGGACATGTCTGACTCTGAGAGGCCAGTTGCATACAGCATGGCCTGTGAGGCGCCTTGTGATTTGGGTTGGGTGATGTGCTTGGAGTGCGCATTGAGTTCCTTGAGCTGGGCACGGGATGTGTGGAATTGCCGTGACATGGTGCTAGCGAGGTGTCTTGTGGTCATGCTGCAGAGACAGGCCGACACTGAGCTGTGGTAGCACTGGTAGTAGGTGAGCTGGTGAGTAGACGTGCGAGCTGTCTGCTGCGATGAAAATTCGTGCGGCCAATTGCAGCTCATCCATTGACCAGGTCTACTGCTCTGCTCTGCTTGCTCTAGTTTGCTCTAGTCTGCTCTACTCTACTCTGCTCTACTCTGCTCTGCTATGACTGCACGCGGATGAGCGCCGACTTCATCTGGAAGCACTGGAACAAGCAGTATGGCCTCGACCAGGAAAACTTCTACTCCCGCCTGCTCCACACATCCAGTGCACTGCTCGACTTCAAGACACCCACGGGCATTCAGCTCAACTTGACTTCTTTGCCCTCTAGTTACTTTGCAAACTCCCATCGATTGACCATCTTCCCGGGGATCAGTGGGGATATCTCCTTTCTCCATACATCCAGGCCCATCTCGGGCTATGGCCCTACGCGTTCTATACCGCTGCCTCCGTTGCTAGACAGCTATGCCCGTATCAAAAGTGCTGCAGTACGAGATCCCTCGCACTACAATGAAATATGGCACCGTGGACAGCGTGTCGATGTGGCAGATACACTCCTCTTTGGCAGACTCCAACTACCCAATCGTAAGCTAGAGGCCATTTATGCACGGAGACTATCGCCCGTCTCGCAGATGATTCTGACGGCTGTGAGTGATCGTAAGATGCCCAATGGCGGGACTGTCTTTGTGCAATACCAACAAGACTATGGCAAGTACAGTAATGAGTTTGTCTATAATACAGACGATGCACTCATTGGATATCGATGTATGCGCAACTTGGGATACGATGCTGAAGTCTTGTCTGCAATGCACACGGATGAACCAGCTGTTCGCCCAGCCAAAGATGCACCTTTATCGACGTATGGTCGATTTTCTGCTGGCTTTGAAGTGTACTATGGTGCACTGCACCAGTCTGGCGGTCTCTCAGCAGGCATGCGATTTGCGACGCTGCCATCCTATCATGGTCCTCCCACTACCATGACACTCACCTTGAATCCACTCGTCGGTCATTTGAGTGCAACTTATGCCATCAAATCTTCACGGGAAAAGGAAAGAGCGACCTTGGCAACAAGGCTTGATTTCAACATCTTCAGCTACGAGAGCGACTTGTCTGTCGGCGCAGAAATTTGGCAGTTTCCTACACAGCGTGCTGTTCCTGCAGTCTTATCGGAGACGCAAAAGAGAGAAGTACCGCTTGGATTTGAGACTCCTGATGCAAGTCATGCCTTGCCTGCACCTCTGACACAAGAGGGACCCTCAGGGCTCATCAAAGCATCGATACACAGCAATTCGTTGCAAGGCAGGTTGCTCTGGGAAGGCAGAGTGCGCCACTTCCTCGTCAACTTTGGAGGCAAGTTTGACTTGAAGCAGCGCAAGCTCTTCAGTCTGGGTCTTGAGATTCAGTACGGTGCCTGAGCAGTCATAGAACTATTTCCTTTGGCAGCCTTCTTCCCTTTGTCCTCTTTACAAGACTTTGTCTTAGGAAGTCTTCCTTGAACTTCTGCGAAATGATGACAAAGCGACACTGCCCCGGCTTACACGAGCCATGCGCTCCCTTCCTTCCACCGACGCTGCATGGCCCAGTCTTACAAGTCAGCAGAGGGCTACAAGCTAGATGGCAATGCAGCCTTTCGTGAGGGTAACTATGAAAAGGCCCTCACAGCCTATACCCAGGCCATCACGAAAAGTGGCGGCAGGATACTCACCTACTTCACCAATCGAGCGCTCTGCCGGCTACGGCTTGCAGAGTCAGAGGAACAACTTGAAAAGGTGATTGAGGACTGTGAGCATGTACTCGATGCAAAGACAGAGCTGGATGCCACTGTGATGAAGGCGAAATGGTATACAGGACAAGCGCAACTCCGCCTGGGTCGCCCGAACGAAGCGTATACGTCGCTCGTTGCGGCTTATCGTATTGGAATACGGGAGAAGAATCCGACGGCCATTGAAATGTATGAGAAGGTGCTGGAGGCGCGCAAGATGCGCTGGGAGAGGCAGGAGCATAAGCGACTCGAGCAAGATGCCGGGTTGCGCCAAAAGCTGGTCAAGCTGGTGGAACACGACCGTGCATGGCGGCTGCAGGTTGCTGGCGAGGAAGACGTGGAACAGCGCGAGGCCATCACTGCAGAGGCAGATCAGACTCTGGTGCAGCTGCAGGAAATGCTGGCACGCAGCGACACGCGGTATGCGGTGAGGGAAGTGCCGGAATGGCTCATCTGTCCTATCAGCCTAGGCCCCTTTGTGGATCCAGTCCTGACACCCTCTGGCCGGTCATATGAGCGGACGGCCATCATGCAGCACCTCAAGGTGAACCCATTCGACCCCTTGACACGGCAGCCCTTGATTGCAGCCAAGATATTCGATAACCTGGCGCTGCGTGATGCGTGTGAGGCCTTCCTCAAGGACAATGGATGGGCTGTGGACTACTGAGTATGTATACGATATTATGATGACTACCATGGCTGCATGGCAAGCTGTGACTGTGCTATTTTGTGCTGGTTCATGACGCGTCCACGACCACGACCACGAACACCAAGCTGCAAGAGTCAAGGCCTAGACGACGAGGCAGACATGACGCTCGAAGCGACGATGCTCGTGGTAGACAACTCCGAGTGGGCGCAGAATGGCGACTACACGCCTTCCCGCTACGACGCACAGCGCGACGCCGTTCACATGCTCTTCCAGGCCAAAACCAATGCCAACCCAGAATCAGCCGTCGCGCTCATGACCATGGGTGGGCAGGGCCCTGATGTACTCGTGACCTTGACGGATGACTTTGGCAAGATGCTCTCGGCACTTCACTCGACCAAGATTCACGGCTCATCGCACTTCACGACGGCACTGCAGGTCGGACAACTCGCCCTCAAGCACAGACAAAACAAGAACCAGCGCCAGCGCATCATTGTCTTTGTCTGTTCACCGATCCAAGAGGATCAAGCGGCACTCGTCAAGCTGGCCAAGAAGATGAAGAAGAACAGTATCGCTGTGGACTGCATCAATTTTGGTGAAGATGTAGAGAATCAGCCAAAACTCGAGGCTTTCATCTCTGCTATTAGCTCCTCTGACAACTCACATCTCGTCACGATACCAGCTGGAGTCTCCTTGCTATCGGATGGGATTGCACGTTCGGCGATTGTAGGCGGCGACGGAGGAGCAGGCGACGAGGAAGGCGGCGGTGGTGGCGGCAACGACTTTGAATTTGGCGTTGACCCGGCCATGGATCCTGAGCTGGCCATGGCATTGCGCATGTCGCTAGAAGATGAACAGGCGAGACTCAGGGCAGAGACACAGGCTGCTGCGCCGGCTGCATCAGAAACAAAGGAGGAAGACAAGGACACGGAGATGAAGCAGGACAAGCAGGACGATCCACCACAGGCGAATCTATAGCATGAACAAAGAAGAATCCAGTTTCTATGGTCTAGTAGAAGTAGAAGATGCTCGTTGAGAGCTTTTGTGTGCAATCGCCAATGCTAAAACGCTGTTGAATGAAGGTCGTTTTACTTTACAGGACTGCGTCTTGGTTGCACCCATACAAGATCAAGCCTTGCTCAAGGAAGAGACTGGTCGCATGTCCTCAAAGAGCGTGAAAAGGGCATTATCGTCTTGGAAGTCATTGCTCACCAAGACACAGAGGTACCAAGTGTCCATGATACCAGTCAAGAGTTTGCGCGCTGGAGAGTCGGCGTCGTAGGACGTGGCCCAGTCGAGACCAAGGCGATACGCCTCATCTTTCCATGCCAAAAACGAAATGGCCTCGACAATGGTTGGCTGAATGATTTCTTTACCGGGAAAGACTCCCCACGTCACTGCATTGGGACCGTCGCTGTTGGTGTTGGTCTTCAAGTCTCCTTGCTTGTTGACTGCAAAATAGGTATTGGCACGATCTTGCTCGACGCGCTTGATGAATTGAGGCAGCAAGTCTGGGTGCACAAAAATTTCTAGGTATGCCTTTTGATAGACATAGCCATTTGCTGGACCCCAGCCGTACAAGGGATCACTCGACTTGGCGCCATTCACGGCAGGCTGTGAGTTGATGGTCAAGTAGCCTTTGCGATTAATGCTGGCGAGATTTTGCTGAATGATGCTTGCTTCCGGTGCAAGTGCAGATTCGGACCACGGCAAGGAAGGGACTTCACCCAAGCAGTACCGCGCAAAGAGGTCTGCCACGTCTTGAACACTGGCGGGTGTGCCCCACAACTCTGGAACCTGCGATGCTGGGACACGCAAGCCAATTTGGTAGTTTTCTAGCTCACCGAATGCCGGTGACCGTGAATCACCCCATCGACCATTGGGAAACTCATCCCACTCTTTGGTGCGAGCAATATAAGACTTGTGTCTATTTGCCCAAAATATCGGCCTGACGCTCTCGTCCTTGCGATTGAGGCCCAATGACCGCTGCCACGGCATCTCGCGCGGCTTGACGTCCTTGAGTAAGCCAAGTCGCTCGATGATCATGTGTGTAGCCTTTTCGAGGTTCATTGTGTAGAAGTGCAAGTGGCGAATACCATTATCAAGCATTGTTTGACACATCTCTGCAACCAGCTTGGTGCCTCGGTCGCGCACAGCGGCATCGTCATTCTTGACCGGCTCGAGTTCGTCCATGAAATGTTGTGGGATGTGCGCATTGCTCCATTTTGCTCGTCGAAGGAAGGAGTCCCAGCCAGAGATGGGCATCACACCGGGAATGATGGGAACTGTGATGCCCATGTCGCGACACCGTTGTACCCAAGCAAGGAATGCGTCAACGTCGTAGAACATCTGCGTCACAATGAAGTCCGCACCTGCGTCGCACTTTTCCTTGAGGTGGTGCAGACCCATCTCCTTGTCTGTACACTCTGGATGTCCTTCAGAATAGCCTGCTACGCCAATGTCGAAGTAATCACCATACTCCTTCCTGATATACTTGACCAAGTCTGTTGCGTAAGCAAAACCGCCTTCCGTCTTTTCCCACTTTTCCTTGTCGCGTGGTGGATCGCCTCGAAGTGCGAGAATGTTCTGGCAACCTGCGTCGTAGGCGTCCTTGAGCGCCTCCTTAACCTTTTCGGCAGGCATGCCTGTGCAAATCAAGTGCATGCAAGTGTCCAGTCCGAACAACTCTTGTGTCGTGCTCACCATTTCCGTGGTCAGCTCTGCTAGCCGTCCACCGGCACCCCAGGTTACATCGACGAAGAGCGGTGGGCCCCAGTTGGCCATACGTTCAATGCGGTCATACAAGTTTTGCATGCCTGTGCTTGTTTTTGGCGGAAAGAACTCGTAGGAGTAGCTCGGGGGAGCATTGTCCTCTTCATTACGCTTGAGCTTCTTCGAGATGCGCATGGCTGAGCAGATTGAGGACGATGACTGGGTGCAAGGGTGAGTCGAGGTCGTCGCGACGAGAGCAAGAGGCGGCGGGAGGAGCTCAACCCTAAAATGAGATGGGTTGGCAGGAGCACACGCAAATTGAGATACACTTGATTGCAGGGAAGACAAGGCCCAAAGAAAGAAGAGAAGAGTAATGAGCTACGAGGTGTGAAGCGGTAGAAAATAGACGCACTGCAACCCGCCAGTGCATCCGTCTTTAAGAGCATGACGATGGAATCTATGAAGAGAGGCCATTGTTGCTGATGAAGTAAGGTAGACAGCAGGGCTCGCATGTGGTGAAATCATGGGAGAAGCGATCAAGGCCTAATTTGGAGGCGGTGTCTGGCCACCAATCTGATTCTTCGGCTTCGGCTTTGGCTTTGGCTTTGGCTCTGGCGTTGATGTAGGGCGTGGCAGGTCCTTCAGGTACTTCAGGCGGTTCTTGTCACTGTACCCTGTTGCGCCACCACGACCTGCAGCAAGAGTCAGGTACCAGGTAAGAGTAGCTCCATCATCAATGTAAGCCGCCTTGTTGAACTTGACGTCTGCAAAGTACTCAAAACTGACTTTCGGCTTAATGATGCCGTAGTTGGCCATGGCAAGACCTCGCCAGCCGCCCTCAAACGTCTCCCAGACATTTTTGAATACGGCAGACCACTCCTGTTGGACAAACTCGGCTGAACGGAAGAATGAACTGAGCGAGGTCATTGGAAGGACGTGGATTCCATGAATATAAGCGATTTTATCGCCAAACCATGTCGTGTGGAACACTTTTGATTCAAACAAGATACCCGAAACGAAATTGGGGATGAACTTCTTTGGTTGCACCTTGTTGTCCTTGGTCATCAACATGTAGCTTTGCATCGAACGTTTCATCATGGCAAGCATCAAGTTCGCGCGGTCCTCCATGTCCTTGTCCTTGATGACCTGGCCCCAAAGCTTCAGGGCGTAGACCGAGTTGTAGTCTTCCGAGGTGGACTCTTCATCCTTGCCGTATTTGACAGGGACATAGCCGTGGGCCCAAGCATGAGCATCCATCGGACTGAATGCTCGGAGTTGAGGAAAGTTCGGGTCGCTACTGGATGGATTGGCATAGTCTCGCGCCAACATGTTCATAAAGGCTTTGTTTTTCTCGGTGAGCCACGAACTGTCAAGATGTCCGACAAGAGACGCAGCATACAGCACGTAGCCGAAATGGAAGTGATGGTCATTGTAAGTGGGATTGCCGAAATCACAGCTTTGTTGCAGATCAAGTGTCTTTTGTTTCAGAAAACAGCTTGAAATCACACCTTTCCACGTCGAGTCGTAGACCAATGGAGTGGCGTTGGTGCCATCGATGATGCGTCCCAATGCTGCCTTCACGCCTTCTAGGCAATCAGAGGGATCTTCTCCAAGGACTTCTTTCTGGACGAGACAAAGTTGAGCGAATTTTGCGATAGCCTTGGCTGCGAAATAAAAGAATTCTTGGTTTGACTGCGCAGTGATGTTCTGGGTAAGGTCATCAGCAGCTGTTGCTCTGATAAGAGCTTTGACATCTTCAGAGAACCCATCCACCTTGAGTGGTGCAAAGAAACTGTACTCAATTGGCAAGTCTGTCTCCTCGAAAACCAGAGGGTTTCCACCATAACCCTTCATCATCCCCTTTGAGATTGAAGACATCGTGAGGTCTGTGCTGTAAGTCTTGTCCAACTTGATGGAATCTTGCTGGTGTGGATAAAGAAGTGTCAGCAACTCATTGCCCAGAAGCTGAGTCGGTTTGTAGTCAAATGAATACGTGCCATGGTTGTCGGTCACGCTGCCAGCCAAGAGTAGCGTTGTTGGGAAAGTACCCACGTGCTTGTCGTAAACAGCTTCGACAGGCAACGGAGCAAGCGGGCGAAGCGATAAGGTGGTCGAAATAGGTTTCGTCTTACCGTGTTTGCCACCAGAATGCTTGTGCCCCTTCCTCTTGTGAGCTGGCTTTGGTTTGCCGGGCAAGCGGGCCATCTGAATGATTCCGCTGAAGCCAGGCGGGCCGACGAGGAGCGACGTCTCATCGTTAGTGGTCTGAGTGATGGGGAACTCGGTGCCGGCCTGGTTGAATACATAGACAAGCCAAGTATCTGTCAGACTAGTGGTGATGCGGAATTTGTGGAATGCCTTGATGTCTTTTGCAGAGGCAGGTGAGGGCTTCCAATCGACAGCAACAACTTCGGTAAAATCGTTGGTGGTAGAGAAGAAAACAGGCTGCAGATTGCTGTACTCCATGGTGATGAAGGCAGAACCAGGCACAAGAGTCGTGTGCATAGATCCCGAGCCTTCCTTGGGCATCCATGTGACATCAACGGATTCGATACCCAGATTAGACACCTTCATGTCTTGCTCATGGGTCAGCTCTTTGGCGCCAAAGCCAATCGGACAACGGTCCGCAGGTGAATCGAAGTTTGTTACTGGCTTTCCGGGTGGACCGAAGATGAGTTCCGACTGATCGGTGTGGCTGATACACAGAGTGCCGTAGTCTGTTTTGTTCCAGAAGAGGGTGTAGGGCATCTGGTAGACAGGATAGGTATTGTTGGGCACGATCAAGTTGCCGTAGAACTTGTTGGTCTGGATGGGCTTGCCAAGGGCTTCCTTGTCTAACTTGGTGGGCATGATGACTGGCTTGTCCACAACCTTGCTCACAAGATGTGTTGGATCATCCTTTGCGATTGGATTAGTGAAAAGATCACCCGCAAGTGCTGACGTGGCCTAGAAAGTTAGAGATGCTTGCTTATGCTCAACTGTCAATCTTACCAACTGAGCGACTGCCAAGAATGACAGAAGGCTGCTAGAAGGCATCGCAACGCAGAGGTGATAAAATCAATGAGAAGTAGAGATGGCGAGCCTACCCTTGGCATGGATGCGGCTTAAGTACCTGCAGCTCAGGGGTAGACGGGCTAGGCCCGCTGTATTTGCTGACGAACGCATCCGGCTTGCGAAAGTGACAAAGAAGGGAGGAGTAGCAGATCCATTTATAGATCCACTTGGTCGTCCTTGCTTTGCGACCTTGCATGCCAAATGATGACACTTGGCCTGCGAAAATTGTTTGTGCAGCAACCCTGCTGCTCCCCCCCAAGGTCTATACTTCAAGCCATAGCGAAGTATGCCGGATCTTTCTCTATCCTTGAACAGATTCTCGCGATTCAGCATCAAAATGAGGAGTGATGGGTAGCAAATCTTTGTTTTGATGCGAGATTCGCCTGCAGGTTATTTGCGAGCATATTCGGCATCCCCTGGACACACGACCCGGTCGTAGTCGACCATGTGTTGGCAAAGAGAATGCCAGAGATAGCCTATGTTAATCGGCGAGCCGCGGCATTCTGAGCCACTTTAGGCTGTATAAGGTTCAAGTATGTTGACGGAAGCATCTGGAGTGCGGAGCTTTCAAACGACAGCAGGAGCAGTAACCTCTCTCCAGCGTGGCATGTACGATGACCAAGTCATCAACGCTCGACCACAATGTTGAGAGATGAGGGAAAGGCCCAAGCTTCCGTGGTTTGTACCATTCGTTACAGCTGGTGTGTGGTTGGCGCCCTGCTGCAGCTCGAAAAAACAATCTGCCAATTGAGGATTCATCAAGCACTTGCATAGCCAAAAATTTGGTAGGAAGCTCATGAGACGTTGGAGTGATGAGCTAGTCTATCTACTGGCGCAGCGATACAAGGCGGCCATCTGTCTCTCAACATTTTTCTCGTCACTGCCGAGAAAGGTTGTGTTCAGCCATATCGTCAGCGACCATGAAGAGAATGGCGTAGTCGGAATGGAAGGTTTGATGAAGGCATTAACGTTACGAAGAGACTATCTACCGGCGCAGTAGTACAAGGCGGTCATTGACGCACGAGTAGATGGACGGGCTGTAGCAATCCTTGCCACAAACTTGTGTGGCAATGCCTCCCTGGATAGGGCACAGCTGCTCGCCAAAGCAAATGTACGCTGCCGAATTGTAGTTCTGCGAGCCACAAGTAGCCAGTTTCCCAGCGCTTGAAGCATTGCCAGAGAGACCTTGACCTTGTGAAAGTGCGCCATTAGAGCAAGTATAGACACTTGGGTCGTAGCAGGCACCATTGCAGTTTTGGTAGATGACGCCCGATTGAATTGGGCAAAGCTGCTTGTCTTCCCAACATGCGTATGCGCCCGATTGGAATGGAGTGCCAGCACAGGTGCCGGAGAACGTTGGCTTGATGCCGTCGGAAGCAGGTGTGCTTTGAACAGGAGAGTTGACAGCAGGTACAACAGCAGCCGGGGAGCCGCCAGACACTACAGGGACCTGAGGCGTCGAGATCGGGCTGCTTTGGATGGGTGCATTCGAGCCAGTGTTGGAGCCCAGTTGAGGAATGACCAATGGAACAGCGGGTTGCGAGCCGCTGCCAGAGTTTTGCCCAGATGTAGGCTGGACAACGACAGGCGCATTGCCACTAGCAGGAACGACCACGGGTGCTGCGCTGTTGATTGCCGCGGGCGCTTGACTCGCTTGACCTGGAACAACAATGACTGGAATGCCTGCACCGCTGGGCTGAGCTGGAGAAACAACACCAGGAGCAGCTATCACGGGCTGACTTGATGCGACTGGAGCGGCAATAACAACAGTCGATGTCACAGTGTTGGCACTGGCAACCGGAGCAACGTTGGAGCCATCTGATGAGCCAGGGGCAACAATTTGGATGGTGCTTGCTGACGCGGCGATAGGTGCGACGGTGACGACGGCACTGCTGGTCGAGATACCAACAGTCTCGATGACTGTAGTGGTTGAGACAAGGACAGGCATAGATTCCGCCATCATCGAAGTGCTAGCGGAAAGAACAACTGTTTGCATGGAGGTAACGACCACGGACGAGGGCACGACGACAACCAAGTTTGTCGATACACTGATTGCCGGGATACTGAATGCCGGGATAGTGAGTGCCGGGATGGAAGCAGGCAAAGGAGCCATACTGGCACTGCCTGCGGCGACCAAGACGGTGGTGGAAATGGCATCTGCCGAGCTTGAATCCATCATGGTTGTCAAGACGTTGGACAGAGTAGCCTGCACTGAAGAGCTTTGACTGCTAGATGCGGCAGTCAAAGTCGATTCTGTCGAGACGGGCGAAGACGTCATGGTGCTGCTAGCGACCAGTGTTGTTGGTTGAGGCAGAATGACTGGAGATCCAGATACAGTCGCGACAAATGAGGACGAAGTCGCACGAGTCGTCGTTACACTAGCAGGTCGTGTGGAAGAGACGATCGAGGTCGTTGCTGCAACAGAGGGTACTTGCGGTGCAACAGTTGTCTGGACTTGACCGCCTGTAGCATTGACGGCGAGCTGGAAGTTGCCCGCACCACCGAGCCCTGCGGCATAGGTCAGGTACCACGTGAGCGAGGCTCCACCGTCAAGGTTGTTGCTGTTGAAGGTTGGGTTTGCAAAGTAATTGAAACTGGCGGTTGAGTTGGAGATGGCCAAGTTTGCCCAGAGGATACCACTCCAACCTGTGCCTTCCACCTGAGGCGTGATGGGCTTCAAGACAGCATCCCACTCCTGCGCGACGAAAGTGGGAGTGCGAATAAAGGCGCTCATGGGCGTCAACGGCAACATGTGAATACCATGGATGTACTCTGTGTTCGTACCGAAATAGGTGGTGTGGTCCACTTTATTCTCGAAAGTGATGCCCGAGACATAGTTGTGCAGAAAGTTTGGTGGTTGCACGGTGTTGTCCTTAGCCATGAGCATGTAGCTTTGCATCGAACGGCTCATGATGGACAACATCAAGTTGCCGCGTGCCTCCATAGACGTGTCGCCAATGACTTTACCCCACAGCTTCATGGCGTAGTATGCATTGTAATCTTCTGAGCTCGACTCTTCATCTTTACCATCGCCACTTGCAAGCACACCATGCGCCCACGAGTGTCCTGCGACCCAGTCAAATGAGCGAAAGACAGGGAAGGCGGTATCGGCAGAACTTGGGTTTGCGAAGTCGCGAATGAGGGTGTTGACGTAGGCCTTGTTCTTTCCACGCGACAGCCATGCAGGATCTAAGTGCGCCAAGACAGCAGCCGTATAGACGACGTAGGAAGCGTGAAAATGATGATCGTTGTAAGTAGGGTTTCCAAAGCCACAGCCTTTCCATGTGTCAAGCGTCTGCCCCTCTCCGCAGCTGGAAATAGCGCCCTTCCAGGTAACATCATAACGCAGAGGGTTTTGGTTGTTGCCGTTGGTGAATGTCTCTGTAGCCGCTTCAAGCCTCGAAACACAGTCCGATGCATCGGCACCGAGCACATCCTTGACGGCAAGACAAATTTGTGCAAACTTGGCGAGCGCCTTGCCCGAAAAGTAGAGGTCAGCCAAATTTGACTGCTGCGAGATGGACTGCTTGAGCTCATTGTTGGCAGCAGCAGCAATTGCTTGCAACGCAGGGGCCGAGTAATTTTGCAGGTTGCCAAGAGGCGACCATGGCAAGAACTGAATGTCAATAGGCAGGTTAGCCTCGCTGAAGGTCAAGGTGTTGCCAAATCGAGCGCGCATCAGACCCTTGGTGGTAGACCAGAGCTTGAGATCGGACCAAGCACCCGACGATACCGACTGCTGCTGGTGCGGGAACAGGTAGGTCAAGAGCGGGTTGCTGATCAAGCTGGTTGGCTGGTAGTCAAACGTGTAGCTGGCAGTCTTGCCGCTCGCAGAACCTGTCAAGACCATGGTGGTAGGGAAGGTACCAGCACCAGAGTCGTAAAAGGCCTCATCGGTGGAGGTGAAGCCGGTGGGAAGCTTGGCAATCTGAATAGTACCCGAAAAACCAGCTGAGCCAAGTAGGCGAGAGCCAGCAGTACCACTGCTGATAGCCAAAGAAAATGTTGGACCTCCACTTTGGAAGACATACACAAGCCATGTGTCGCCGTTGTTGGAGGTAACGCGGTACTTGCTGACGCCGTTGGTGTTGAGCGGCACCTTGAAGGTGACTGGCGAGAGCGAAGTAAATGCGCCTGTTCCAGAAAACAAGACGGGCTGCAGGTTTGTGTAGGTCATAGAAATAAATGCCGAGCCTTGTGTGAGGGTCGTCTTCATCTTACCTGCATTGCTAGAAGGCGCGAAAGTCACATCGACTGAGTGAGGCTGCAAATTGCCAAGCGACATGGTTTGTGCCGAGTCCATTTCAGCAGAAGTGAATCCAATAGGACATCTGAAGATGGGCGAGTAGTAGTATGTGGGACTGACATTGTTTGGGCCAAAAGCATAGTCTGTGTTGGCAGCGTTGCTGACACATAAGCCGTTGCTTGATTTTGACCAGAACAGACTGTATGGCATGGTAAAGACTGTTTGTGTACGGTCGCCATTGAGCAGGTTGCCATAAAATTTGTTGGTCTGGATGGCCTTGCCGTTGAGGCCGCCGTAGGATGCATCGAGTGATACAGGCGCTACTTGGTTGACGATGGTGCCGCCGAGGACTTGAACCGGGTCGTCATTGGCGATTTGAGCGAAGAGATCTTGCGCGGCAACGGCTGCGACGATGGTCGGTTTGATCTGTGTGTTAGTGAGTGGGTCGAAGCAGAGTAAGAGCATACCAAGTCTGTTGAAAGCGTCTCTGTAGCGACTGTGGATGCGTCCGGATTAATGGCCGTGACGGCATCAGTAGCATGCAGCGGGTCTACACCGTCAGAAGAGATGACCTGTGCGGCGGAGGTGGGCGAGACCTGCGCTATGCTGCCTGTGGGCGTCTGAATGGCGCCTGTTGCATCTGTGATGGTGGCCGTGTTGATTGGGGCCGCTGAGGATTGAGCATCCGTTGCGACAATTGCCGCGAACAGGACGAGCAGGGCGCTAATGTGCATTGTACAGGGAAGCGTCTTTACAGATGAGGGAGATAGAGAGCGTGGTGATGCAGGTGCGCAATCAGCAGTGGGTCGAGGGTTGTCTCGTGCAGAGAAGTGTGTGGTGGCCTAGTGGCAGCTGTTTGTGGGAGCATGACGAGACTATATAGCGAGCACATTGGCAGCAGAGTGAGCAGAGCAGCGAGCAGAGGGGAAGAGATGAAGCGTTCAGGTGGGCTTCTGCCAGTCTTCTGGTTGTTTTGTGCTGCTTCGTTGTCTGGATCTGCTCACGCTCAGCGAATTTTCAACTCAGGGGCTGGGCAAGTCCACAAATTGCCAATCACAGTGAGGGAAAGGGGAAATCGGACCAGAAAATAGAAGACACTTACCCGGCAATGGAACAAAGCCAGAGAACCTTCCACGGCTGCATCCAGGCTTACATCTGCAGGGTTATGTCGTATAATCGCTATTCCAATGATTGCGGCCATCCAATTTCGCATTCCCTTGAGAAGCCGCATCCGTCCAGAGACTGATCTGCCAGACACACAGCCTGACACAAGCAATGAACATCCTTCCTGCCTACGTTAGACTACTGCACTACTTTCCAGACTAGCAGCTGCCTAATGCTCTTGACCCTGCACACACATGCTCACTCGCCCCGCAAAAAGTCATACGAAGGCCGAGGCGGCCCCTTGGATCCCACCACTGAACCAGCTGCCAATGCAGGCGCAGACTCTCCCTGAGACACATTCATCTGCGGCGCAGGCTGGCCGCGTCGACCTTGGTTGTACGCTCGACCGTGAATGTTGCCGTTTTCTGCAAGCGACTGTGGTGCAAGGAAATCATACTGTGCCTGAGGCGGACCATTCGTAGCCACCACCGGTGTATGCTCACTGCTGACAGACCGCTGTGCAGGACCACTGCTGCGTGCCTGGCTTGTTGAGGGATTTCCCTGCGACTGAGGCGCCAAGAAGTCGTACTGTGCTTGCGGGGGGCCGTGAGAGGCGATCGCTGGCGTGTACTCGGAGTCGGGAGCCTTTTGTGCGGGAGGCTTGCCATGAGAAGCTGGCACAGCCGTTGTAGGAACAGCAGATTGTCCTTGCGAGGGTGCTTGCTCTGTAGAGCCAGAAAGAGCGCGCTTCACCAGCTGCACAGTAGCTGATCCTTCTGCAATGGGCCATCGCCTGCCTTGAGAACCAATTGCCTCTACTTGGCGCAACAGATTCGCTTGATCCCAGTACAAGCGCACACTGCTGATCTTGTCTTCAACAAACGAGATGAAGTACACCACCACGCAATGGATCTTCTTGCCGGAGAACATGTTGGACTCAAGGCCCGGCAACCAAGGGTTCTTTTGGCCATCAAAGTCGAGTTCGGCAGAGAGTTCCGCCTCGAGAATCAGCTCCGAGGAGGTTTCACGCGCCTTGAGCGTCGCTTCCTTCCAGTTGCGCGTCTGTTTGCGTGTCGTGTTGAGGTGCGATACAACGCTGGCAGCGCCCTCGACTGTGTACAGAGAGGTGATGTACTGGAGAGTAGCATTGGCAGCGAGTGCCTCTGCGGATGGACTAGCCATGAATCGGCTCCATGCTGCTTCCTTGGACATGTTGAGCTGGATGTTTGAGCGTGTCAGTTGCTGCTTGTGATTTTTGTTGAGTTTCGCGTTTGAAGTTGAGCAGCGACGAGTAATTCCTTGTACAGCTGCTACCTGTATAGCAGATGACACACAGCTCCCGGACATTCGCTACGAAATAACGCATCCCTCTGCTCGTTCTCTTCTTGTCAATGCTTGAGTTCCTGCATGCAGACCCACACGGTCGAAACACTCATTCACGCCGGCGCTCCCTCCAGCGGTAGAGCCGAAGATGTCTATCGCAGACAGAGAAACTGCATGCTTTCCTTCGAGGCAGATGTACATCACGATTGGAACGATCGCTCGCTTCTTGTAGAATCTTTGCTATCGACGCCTGTTCAGCAAGGCACGGGTCATGTTCTGACTCCGTCGACAGGCCACACAGACCGCAGCGATCTTGTGCAAGACTCACAGGTCTTTTCTCTTCCGCCGCTCCATCTCTCGGCGTTAGCAGTACTACAAAAGCAGTCTAGCCCGACACGGCCATCTCCGGCTCAAGTTAGTACAACGTCAGCATCATCACGCTCAATATGGGATTCCAAATTTGTCAATCACTTGTACGTCGACCACTCTATCCATCCACCTCAGCCCTATCAGCCGCCTTTTCAAAATAGAGCCTTCTACGGTAAGTCAGTGACGCCACAGTCCGATGAGCGAACAACAGATAGAGGGTCTACCAATTCTTCTCCCGAACAGAAACGACCAAGTGTCCCGGTAGAGAAGGCGATGCCGGCGCTTCTACCGGCTTTCATCGAGGCTGAAGCAACTTCACCGTTTTACTGTGCGGATTCTTCGCAGATGATCGAGAAGACTGGCCTCATGCTACCACCACTCTCGCCAGCGCGTGGGAAGAAACACACCAGGCACGAGCATGCTGTCGAGACGTCAGAGGTCGACACACCTTGGCCTGTGGACCAAGTTTATGAGACCTTTGAACTACCGACCCAGCATGATACAAATCCTCCCTTTCTGCCGGACTTTCTCATAGAGTTGCCTCAGCCCAAGCCAAAAGTGCAGAAGCGTCGACTGATATCGCTTGAACGAGGATACTGGGCCATCAACGCGAGAGACCATCATCTATCCCAGTCTGCACTAGATGATCTTTGGAAAAAGCTCGAAGGCTGCATTAAAAGTGCTTCACTGGCATGGGTCTCACTACATCGCATACCAAGTCACCTTCGTGTCTACTGCTGGGCTGGCTGTGCCATGTCTCTCTGGGTCTTGATACGCGAGTACTGTAAGCCAAACAAATTGAGAGCTATCGCATGGTATGATGCTGAAGGGAAACTGGTTCTTGCTCGCTGATTCTGTAGCAAAACGTGTACATGTGCAGAGTATATTGTAACTAGTGGGAAGAAAGGACGACGGGAGCAGTGCTTGTAGTCATCTGAATAACCTCACACGACGACAGTTGCCAATTTGCCGCTACACACGCGTAGGGATTGCCACAAGACATGGCTTCGCTTGCTGAGCTTGAGCAGCTGCCAAGTGATGCACAGAGAGATGCCCTCATTGCTCGCATCAAAGCTACAGACAAGTCTGAGCTCAAGCCTCTCATCAATGCAATGCTAGGCCAAGATTGCAACCTCTCTGTAGTGACGCTCCGTCCTGCTGTTTCAACCATCATTGAACTACTCAAAGACGATGAAGACCACTTGCGCTTCATGCTTGATCGCATTACAGTGCGCTCAGCCGTATTTGAAGAGCAAATCTCCTTGTTGCGCGAAACACTGGCCACCGTGTTTGAAGGCCAGCATGACTTTATGGAGGCTGCACGCATGCTGCAAGCCATTTCGCTCGAGTCTGGTCAGCGCAGCATCTCCGACAATCAGAAGCTCAACATATACATTCGCATTCTACGATGCTTGCTAGAAGAGGACGAAGCGATTGAGGCAGACGCCTACCTCAACCGAGCCAGTCATCTCGTCACCCCAACAACAGATCCTGCCATCCTTGTGCACTTCAAACTATGCCAAGCGCGAATCTTTGATGCGAAGCGACGATTCCTCGATGCAGGTATTCGATACTATGAGCTGTCCCTCATGTCGGACCATGTCGCAGCAGAAGAACGACAATTTTGTTTGGCAGCTGCACTGGTCTGCGCTGTATTAGCTCCCGCTGGACCGCCTCGATCCAACTTTCTCAATACACTTTACAAGAATGAGGCGACGCATTCACTAGAGCATTTTACGATCCTGGAAAAGATGTTCCTTGATCGGTTGATTACGCCTGTTGAGCTCGAGCAGTTTGCCGCGACCCTGCGACCGCATCAAATGGCCTTGCTGGCGGATGGCACCACTGTCTTGACACGCGCCGTCATTGAGCACAACGTTCTCGCTGCTTCCAAGATCTTTGATAATATCGCAACTGAGACACTTGCAACACTCCTTGGCTTAACCCCAGCGAAAGCAGAACGTTTTGCACGCGGTATGATTGAGTCGGGTCGTTTGATGGGCAAGATTGATCAAGTCTCTGGCATCATTGACTTTGCGAGTCAGGAGGAACAACAACAAGGGCCTGCTTCTGCCAAGTGGGATGCAGCCATGTCTGTATTGCTGTCTGAGGTTGAGGCACTGGCGAGCGAGGTGGAAGCCTTGCATCCGGAGTGGGCGGCTACAGGCTCCCCTCAAGGTGCCTAATATTCACAGAGACTCATATCACATAGCAGCTAGCATTCATGACCACGAAAAAGATAGAAAGACACCAAATTCTACAAAGGCATCGTATGCAAGTGATAGAAGGGGATTAACGGTTGGATCGTGCAACACGCTCGAGCTCATCCTTCTTCTTGATACCGTAAGAGTTGGAAGAACCCTTTGCGGCGTTGATGAGCTCCTCGGCAAGACACTCGGCAATGGTCTTGACATTGCGGAAGGCAGCCTCACGGGCACCGACAGTCAAGAGACCAATGGCCTGGTTGACACGACGGAGCGGAGAGACATCGACAGCCTGCCTGCGCACGGTACCAGAGGATCCGATACGGGTCGAGTCCTCGCGGACACCACAGTTGACGATAGCATCGACAAGGATCTGGATGGGGTTGGAGTCTGTGAGGAGGTGAACAATCTCAAAGGCGTGCTTGACGATGCGAACAGCCATGAGCTTCTTTCCGTTGTTGCGGCCGTTCATCATGAGTGCGTTGACGAGACGCTCGACGATGGGGCATTGTGCCTTGCGAAAACGCTTGACGGCGTACCTGCCGGCAGTGTGTGCGAGGTAGACTGGGTGCCTGAGCTGAATGTAGTCGACGAGGGAGATATCCTTGACCTCAACATCTATATAAAAAGTTTGTCAGCCCCTTCACTCCTTGTACATCGGTGGCTAGAATTCCTATGCGTGTTGCACAGCGCTACGTTGAGCTGTGGGGAGCTTGCTGGAAGCGCTGTGCGTCGGTCACATGGAGAATGGAAGCAACGATGGAGAAATCACAAACCGGAGTAGTCCCATTTGTTGAAGAGCTTGATGGTTCCTGCGTTGTCGAGGATGTCCTGTGGGAGGACGTTTGAAGTCTGCTGGACCTGGACGTCTTCTGTGTCGCTCATGTTGTTGCTGTTCTGTCTGTTCTTTGCTGTATTTTACACTTAGTTCAGTCTGTACTTTGCTCTGTTCTGCTTCTGTTGATTCCATTTCGCAGTCCCAATTCGACTCCCAAAATCTCACGCTCAGTCGGAAGTTGCCGTCGAGATGGACACACAAACGCAAGCAACAGCAACCATACAAGCGGACACCGGGGGGTCTGGGCCTCCGCATCGGTCATCGCCGTAGACACGTCAAATATAGCATACTTGGGTGCCTCCATCTCTACAACCTCCAGGCAGCATGTCTGCCTTTGCTACTGCCATCGCCGTAGAGGCCACCCAGGAAACAGGCGTCTATGCCGCAAACCTCCTCCAAACATGGTGCATCGGCGCAGTTCCCCACGGAGGGTATCTTCTCGCTATCATTCTCAATGCACTCGAAACACACTCCAAGCAGGTGCACGCGAAACTCGACCAGCCAGATCCAATTCAGCTCGGGGTCCACTTCATCGTCAAGGCACAGGTCGGACCAGCTCGCATCCTCGTCAAGGACATCAAAACCGGCAGAAACTACAGCAACTGCAACATCACCTTCCAACAAAAAGAGCAGGACGGCCGGTGGATCTCCCTCATTCATGGATTCGCCATCATGGGCAACCTCGAGCGCGAAGAAGGACCCTCTGTACTCACGACCGACCGGCATGCAGATATTCCCGATCGCAAGGACTGTAAGCAGCTGGATCCAGAGTACACAGAATTTAGGCGCGTTGCCAAAAACTTTGACTACCTCCTGCCGACATTCCCTTATGATCGAGCCACCGAGCTCAATTGGCTCAAGTTCAAGGACGATGCCGAGATGGATCTACTTGCTATCGGCCTCATCAGCGACCTCATGACGCCGTTGCCCCTGCGCGTGATTGAGAACGAAAAAGGCTGGTACCCGACATTGTCACTAGACTTGCAATTCAAACAGCGGCCCAAGAAGGGCGGCAAGTGGTGCTACCTGCAAGTGCAAAGCGAATCTCTCCTCAATGGTCGCTTCGACATTACAACACGCGGCTATGATGAAGACAAGAATCTCATCATGGTCTCGCAACATGCAGCGTTACGCGTGTCAGCCGAGCGCAATCTCAAGAAGCGCGCCGAACGGCCAGCGAATTTGTAAACATAGTATTTCAAGCTATCTAAAGATGTATATGGCAGCAAGACGACGAGGCTGTGATCATGCCTGCAGGGCAGCCTCAGTCATTGCGCTTTGTAGAAAAGTATAGGAAATGCATCGATCACTTCATTTCTCGATGGGTCATCAAAAAAAATCTTCATCAGCTGCTTCAGCCCGCGTAAGAGTAACCCAGCGACGTAAGGCTGTTGAGATCTTGCGTGATGAGCGAGTTGGCAGCACCAAGAGAGGGATACTTGGCTTCACTCACATACATGGAACCAAACCAGGCGTACGCAGAGACAAAGCTTTGCGCTTCGAGCCATGCAACAGCCTTGTTCATAAAGTCTTGTACAACTGCTTCAGAGGGTTCATTGCTAGACTGCCACGACGTGTAGGCAAACTCTGCCACATTGACGGGGAGACCGGTAATCTCGTGCGCTGTGGTGACGTGCCTCTTAAAGTCCTCAAAGTCAGTCGAGTACCAATGAACAACAGCAAAGTCAAGTCCACAATCACCACAACCAGCCATGAATTGCGAGAGCCAGCTCAAGCCTTCCCCTGGTTGCATCGAGTTGGTGATGGCAGGAGTACCGAGCTGCGAGATCTTGCCTTGTCCCTTCAGGCCAGTCAAGTATTGCTTGTACAACAAAATGGCAGCTCCAGGGCTCAAGTGTGCTTGTGTTGCAGAATCAGGCTCGTTGAAGCCAATCAACTTGGGTCGGCCTTGCAGACGGTTCGCCAAATTTTGGATATCGCCGGATCCCCACTGGTTGGCGTAAAATTCCCAGTTGCCTGGCATGCCAGCAGAAGGCTCAGGCGACCAGTTGAAGTACCAGCCAACCTTGTTGCCAATATACTTGAGTGCCGAACTTGCCGGCGAGCTGGGATCCCACCCGAGGCCGCGTCGGCCACCACTTGTGCCAATAGCAGGTGCAGCGACAACCGACTGTTGAACCACGACAGGCGCCGGCGTTGGTGCCGCCAAAACCTGAGCGGGTGCGGCCGCTACTTCGGGGGGACTGTATGCCGGAGCGTTGGGAGATGGTGCTGGTGGAGCGCTGCTTGTTAGCATTGTTGGGCTCAAGGAGTGACATACGCAACTTGCACGGTGTTGAAGTCGACGTTGGAGAGGTCATACTTCACCGTGGACCAGTCCACATTGGTAAAGTCATATTTGACCTTGCTCCAGTCAATGGCGCCCCAGTCTTGCCGACGCTGGTGCATGTGCGCAGTCTTTTCATTGTGCAACATGGCTATCTCGTTAGCAACATTCAGACGGGGCATGAGACTTACGTGCTGCTGCTACGAAGCCAGTCGTGATGAGATAGCTCAACAAAAGATTTCCTGAAATCTGCATTGCTGTTGATGAAGTATTGCCGCTGTGTATATGTCGATGGACCTGCCGTGTCGAAGAAAGAGTGTCGTAAGAGAGTGTGTGGTAAGGGCCAGCCTAAGGAGCGGTTCCATAGTGGACATCTGTTTCATCTTATACTCTGGGCCTGCTGCGGCGTGCTGCCTGTGTCGCATGTCGTTGCACTTGCTTCAGCCTCTTTGGTCAACTTTGGTGCAAAATAACATTCCTCGGTGCGGGAAATACGCAAGATCTTCCTTCCCGCGCAGCCGTTGCCAACGATTCGTAAAATACGCATGTGACGGTGAGTCGGTGAGACTGTGACTCAGTGACTGTGACACCTGTACTCAGGCAGCTTCACAGAGCGTGTAGCCTGCTATCAGCCGCACTCTCATCTATTTGAGCCCATGCAATTGCAACGGATCTTGCAGGAAGACCAGTGCAAATGACGTAGCAAATCGCCTTCTTCTGGGCTTACAGCTGCCGACTACAAGAACCTAGCAGGCTTAATACAAGCTGCAGGCTAAAGCACGTCCCATACAGGTCAGAGTGAGGCTTCAAACGGCATGATGAAGGCCTTCGAGCAAGCGGTATCTGGTCGCGATGATGCCAATCGTAGCTCGCTACCACATGAAATGCTGGGCAGCATCAGGCTCAGACGCCCAGACGAATGGCTTCATAACGAAAAGACCGACAGCCCCTACATGAACAATCATGAACCAACCAAAGAGCACCTGTTTGCGCAAACTTGTAGCCTGATGTATGACCAACGAGCACCAGATGACATTAGGAATCATGTAGTAGCGAAATTCCAAGAGCGGACTGGGCACTAGACTCACAAAGCTTGCAGCAACAATCATGCTCGCAGTCACTTCATCCATTAAAGCGAGAGAATCGAACCAGAGGATGGTACTGACTGTGAACGCCACGGCCTGAAAGGGTTGTGCCAGTCTCTGTAAGATCCATCTGTTGACGTAGAATGTATAGTGCCGATTGTCTGCCAAGATGAATGGATGCGGTTGACTAGTGTTAGTGTTGCATAGAGTAGAACAACATACGTCAGTCTCACAGCCACGTAACATGCCAACGTGATGGTCATCAGGTAGATTGGTCTTTTGAAGCGTCTCTTGCAGACTTCGAAAGAATGCCAGGTACAGAAGAGGGGCCAGTTCATTCCAATGCAAAAGGTCATCATCCAGAGCATCTGAACAGGATGGAAACCAGCAACATGGTTGGAGCGATCTCCTATTGTCAGCTGCGCCTGGCAAAGCTTGCACGTACCAAGCACGACGGACTTGTTCCACCACATGAACCAAGTTGTAAAGCCACCAATCGGTATAAATGCTGCGTAGCGCCTACCAATCTTTACTGGCTGCCAAAGGACTGCGATGGTGCGCTCCACCAGCCGAGCCGCGAGCGTCATCCGACTAGTCTTTTGCGCAACAAGAGCCTGATGCACGACGAACGCAAAGACCCATATGAGATTGGTCTGACGTACCCATAGAGATGCAAAGCCGACCTATTTGATTAGCATTGCCCGGGTCAATAGTCACTTACGATAGCGGCAGACTTGACAGCATCTCGCTGCAACAGTACAAATGTACCAAGGACGAGACACGTAGAGAGTATATCAGTATAGTAGAGAAGCGAGAAGAACGAAAAGAGCGGCATGGTTGAGGATACGTATGCCCAGCTAGACTTGTTTGGAGGTGATGACAATGCAAGCAGATTGCAGAGCATTGGCAGGGCACATAGGCCAAGCACTAGGTTCTGCAAACGAAGAAAAATGAGTGAGCAAGGGAGACCGAGCATGTGAAGCAGGCTCGAGAGTAGATATAGGCCAGGCGGTGTCGTCAACTTGGGATCATAGTCTTTGTAGTTGCCAGCACAATACTGTTGCGCTTGCGAGACATGGAAAATCTCGTCCATGTATGGCAGCGGCGCCGCTGAATGCATCAAGTAGAGGCTCAGGCATTGCACAGCGAGGTATATGCTAGAGAGCCCTGTGCGCGCATTCATGGTGCATGTTGGCGTCGTGAGAGCGAACGCGCAGATGAATTGTCGCGCTGCAACGCGAGGATGCTTGCAATGACGCCACGAGTTGAGCACCCATGCTCAGCTATAGAGACTGCGCTCTGCTACACTGAATGCTTCGCTGCACGCTTCGTGAAGGTAGATTTCAAAGTGCTCTCTTGAATCAGCGTCGTAATCTATTTGGCTTGGGCGAAATCCTCGGCGTCATCAGTCAACCGGCAGAGACCATCAAACAGCTCAATGAGTCCAAAGATCTGCTGCAAAAGGCTCGCGTATGCGCATCAGCTCTCGAGTTTTAATTGACGTCTAGGATGACCTCAAAATAAGGCAGGAAGCGAAGCAGATACCTCGAAAGCACACGTTCTCCAGGCTTCCAGGCTTTCATGGACGCGAGCGAGAGCAACAATTATTGAAGCGCATCCTTGCAGGCAATCCAGCCTTTAGCGTCATTTTTGGCGCAACGTCAGTTGGAAAGACTGCCCTACTCAGACAAGTGCTCGCCAGTGAAGCATACCACGTTCTCAACTTTGATCTCCGTATATCTGGCTTTGCTGATTTGCGCTCATTGTACTTTACGCTCTGTCAACAATTTCAGCAATTCTTTGAAGGCATCAATCACAAAGATGTGCAGAAGAACGGGCTCGTCTTCAAGCACATGGTGCTTGAGCTTGAGGAAAAGGAGTCCAATAACGATTATCGCGTAACTGTGGCAGATATTGCCAGTTTGATGGAGTCTCTGCAGTCCGGCATGCTCTCATACTGGCAGATTTCCACTAAGCCTGTGGTTGAAGACGATGATGAGGGATCGGGAAAGGTTGACGTATCAAAGTTGACTTCGAGTAAAGCACGTATGGCAGATGCCTATCAACCTGCTCGACCTTACGCAGAGACGCAAGAAGGATCAGAAGAGCCCTTTGTCAAGCGGCCACTAGTCTTCTTCATGGTACGCGTCAAGCACTGAAGCCCGACTAATGACAGGATGAAGCACACAAGTTACCAGCCCTCATCAACGACGAACTTGCGCTGAAGGTCTTTCTCGATACGCTGATTGTGCTGACGAAACAAGACCGTCTGTGCTTCTGCATCTTCTCCACGAGCGATTCATTCTTCCAGCACTTTTTGCGTCGCCTCAATGTTGGACAACATTGCGCCGTCTATACCATTGCAGATCCGTCACGTCAAGATGCCTACGACTTTTTCATGGATGAGCTGATTATACGTTACCCTGCAGACTTGCGACCTCTGGTCGATTTTGACGAAATCTACAGCATGTTTGGCGGCAAACTCTCGCATATCTCCGATTACGTGGATGCATATGTCAATGCTGATGGCAATCTGTCGCCCTTGACATCTGCCATTTTTGTAAGAATCACCGCTTCAATCCCTGCTAACTTAAGGTGCAAGCATACACGTTGCTTCAATTCCATCTGACACACAATCGGTTTGAGACGTTTTCGCCCATGACGGCTGTAACGGTGGAAGCAGATCAAGGAGCAGGCAGTCAGACATTCACGCGCGAGCATCTTATCAGTGTCATGCGAAGGCTTGCCACATCACCATTCTCGCTACCATACTTTGGCTTGTGCCAGGAATTGGGAACATCTTGTGTTGATGGACTTGTGCAAGCAAGGATACTAGAGTTGCGTTGGACCAAGGCTGTGTCGCCGGAGAACGACTGGGTTGAACGTAAATGGTCAAAAGATGGCATTGAACGACCAATACTGCTACCTATGACTCCTGTGCTTCGAAAAGCTATGGCCGTCATTCTGGAAGAGCTCGACACAGGTACTGCAGGCTGATCCTGGCTTCTCTTTGCGACGATTGGGTGCTCTGTCCTTGAAAGCAAACCCTTCAACGGCTTCACTGACTTCAAACCGGATGCGACTTCCGATGACGAGCTAGATAAGACTGCCGATTATGAAACTGGGGCCGAGCAGATGTCTCCTCTGACAATTATCCAGCTGGAGAGTGCATGCTCAGCGAGCGCAAGAGATGATGCTTGCCTGGAATCCAAGAACATAGAGTAGCCTGCGATGCAATGCTCATGGAACGACTTGGCGCTTATAACGGACATGTGCCATTGCCGGGTATTCATGCGCCCAAGCTTGTGGCACATGGCAGCGAGGCGCTGAACGAGCTGCTGGTAGGTTGCGCGAACGGCCTGGACCGGGCGACTATGCTGTTCTTTGCTGAAGCTAGTCGACGAAGCATTCTGCGAGATGAGGCTGTCCTTTCAGCATGCATGATAATGTGGGTCTATAGTCTATCGGTGCAGTATTCCAACAGTCTCTTATACAAGCTTGACTTCGCTCCGCCGCGCTCAACTTTCTGCCGTTCCAATGTAGAGCTCGAGGTGTTGCAGCACTCATGAACGGACCACACATGGTTTCAGATGCGCAGATGGCCGAGGCTGGCCTACTTTAGCCAACCGCCAACAACCTTAGCCCACTCATTCATACATGATCCTCCTCTCCACTCAAGGTCAATGTAATCAAGTGGGCACTTACATCGACAGCCATGGCCACCTTGCTTTGGTTCATCAAATTGATCATCCATTGTTTGTGTGCCGTCAGACGTGTTGTACATTTCCTTTGGCGACCAAATCAGAGGAGATGGGGCGTTTGCCGGACAATGAGCAATATCAGAGTGCTGGTAGCCAATGTCCCTGAAGTAATGAATCTGCTCGGCCTCCAGGAGTAACGCTGCGCCAAATGTGTGAATAGGCGCATCGCCCCAGCGTTCAAGCCAGAAACCACCAGACTTATCTAGGTCGTTGAAAAACGACATGTATCGTTCGCTTTGGAAAAAGTCGACCCGCGCGATTTCAAAGTTGGACCAGAAGTGGCACAGGTTGTAATCCGCGCTTTTCATTCGACCAGAGATGAAGGCCTTGATGCTGGCGAAGAGCGATCTTTTGAGAACAAATGGCCACAAGCTCGTCTCCTTGATTCGATGCTCTTGCCTCCACGCCTCTACATGGCGAAACAGGGTCGGAATTGTGTTGAGACGTTCCTTGAGTGCAATGACAAACCCATATACTTTTCCATGCTGCTTCATCATGCGAAAAGGATCGTAAGTTAGGTCACAAAAGAACGTTACATCTGGTTCGACACGCCAGAAGAACTCAAGATCCTTGACGAGCTCGTGGTTGAAGAAGTAACCAGAAAAGAATCGACACATGTGGTGATAGCTTTCAAGTCCGCCATACTTGATGCCTCGATCACCTTGTTGTGCCATGGCTTCTCGATAGCGTGCTTTGTCTGCCCACTCTGGAAAGCCCCACATGCTCGAGTTCACTTGACCGAAGGCGACATTTGCTTTTGTTCCTTTGCTCACGCCAGCCTTGAATGCATCCGTGAATGCTGCATCATTCAAAAAGACGTAAGGATACTGGAACCATCGATTGAAGTGATGTTCCAGTGATGACATGGAGTGAAGCACCGAGTCAAGCTCCGAGTTGCGAGCCAATATAACGAAGGCTGCGTTTTCTCGTGGATAGGCTGCCGCCGCTGCAACAGGATCTCCGCAGCCTTGCACGAAAGGCGAGTCCAACATTTCGCTCAAGCGCCTTGTATGTCGTTGATGGTGTCTCACCATTGAGTGCAAGTAATACCCGCCGACCACAAACGTCGTGATGAGCAGAATAGCAGCCACTCTGAGCCATGGGTTGAGACGCCCAAGGCCAAAACAATACATTGACTTGAGATTGTCAAGACTTACGCCGACCGTGCGTTCCGTGGAACGAATGACGAGTCTCAACTATTCGTACAGGGCGTAGCGCGTTGCGCGGTGTTGCGCGTCAGGCTGGCAGTAAGACCTGTCGATGAGTGCCTCCAATTCGACTGGATCCGGTGGACTGCAAGACGCACAATGAGAGCAAGAGGAACTCTTGTGCCTGGCAGACTCTACCAGCAGTGTGCATGCATGGCGACACGCGGTCTGGATCAAATGCAGAGGTGCCGCTCGTCTATGTCAGACACGCCGGCAACAAAATCACAAAATAACAAAATTGGCAGCACGCGTACGACGCGAAGTAGATGCACAAATATAGTCATACAACAACTGGCCAGACGGCATATCCAATTTCATATCCAATTCAAGGCTTGCTCGCGAATCCCTTTGCTGGATGCAGACTCATCTTTGCGGAATCCATTACGCACACGCCAGACTTGGCGACGAACATATTAGATTTTGTCTCTGGCTAGAAGGCAGGCTTGCCAAACCATGGACCGGGCAGTCGCAGGAGCCTCAGCATCATCCAAGCAATCACACCTCGAGATGCGGACACACAGCACTGTAACGATACACATTGCGTGCGCCGTGAATATGACCCTCTTGCGAATTGGCATGTCCTTGACATCATGCAGCAAGGGCTTGACATAACCGAGATATCCTCGCTGCTGCTCCATATTGTCCTTGATATTCTCGCCAACCAATTGGGCCGCTCGCGATCGGCACGCCAGTGAGATGCAAACTTGTCATCCTTGCGATTGATTTGGTCGGCGATAGTCTGCTCACACAAGGTACGGGCAACAAGTCATTGCCATTGTCGCTAGTGATGATGTACTCGCTGGGTTTGCGCGATGTAAGAGCTCGACCCTGAGTTGGAAGTACTGCGGAAGATCAAGTGCTAGACAAGATCAAGTCTGGTGTCAAGATCTGCATCTTCATTCGGCCTGGTCATATCATATAGTTGGACAAGGAGGAAAACCTCTGGTCTAAGAAGATTCAGACACGCTTGGCTCTCACACCAAGCGCCAACGGCTCTCTGACTGCTGCCGCCTTCGCGATGCTGCTACTGTCATCGCGCGTGAAGTCGTCGGTGTGTTGCGCTTCTTTCCGCCGTTTGTTGCGATTGAGCTGCGCGGTAGAGCTCGCCTACCTTCTTAATTAGTGAATGCCGACCCGTACGGAAGCTCATACCGATACTGCTGGTATATTGACAATGATATTGTGAGAATGCCTGTCATGAAGAGCGAACGCGCTAGACCCTGAAAAATCCTCAGGGGCGTCTTGGCTGAGTCGGCTTCTTCAAATACTTGTCACTCGCACAGCAAATATTTGCCAGCTTCGCTCCAGCTTGACCTTGCATGTGTCAAAGGGGAGCCCAAACATGGAAAACAGTGTATCATTTTGATGAATAAGTGCCGGAGGACACAGTCTAGGCCTGGCCAAGACGACTGCAGGCGAGACTTTGAGTATGACAGGCGTGTGATCCAGACTCAACGCAAAGTCTCCAGCACGCGTCGGAGTCTCCTAAATCGCGCTCCTGAAAATATCGCGGTCTATAAGATACATCGATTAAGCCGTGATCTCGTCCCTTCTTGATAGACAAACCTTTCACACTCCAGCCATCAAAAGTCTGTTTTTGATGAAGACACTTATGCAGACCTCTCAGCCTTGTATTGGCTTGCGCATACTACTCTTTGGCACCATCCTTATACAAGGCATCTTCTCAGGAAATTGCGTGAGCTCCAAAGGCAAGAGTCCGTGCGTTGATCCCTCTGGATCTGCATCTAAAACGGGTCCTGAGCACGAAGGCACCATCGGAGACTCTGGTGAAAATAAAGCGGGCGACGCAAGTGCATCAGGACTGTCTGATACGCTGATGACCACACAGGTGGAATTCATCATTGAGCAGACGTTCACGGTCTTTGAAGGAGATGAAAGCTGTCAAGATCGCTGCTGGCGTGAAGTTTTCAATTATCGATCGAGGCGAGCGGAGTATACAGCTCCTCCTCCCGTGCATCATCACTGCAATCTTGGGTGGATCCAATTTGGTTGGAGGACGCTCGAGACGTCACTGCCGAAACACATCTTGGGTGAGCCGGATTGGTTCGAGGATCTGTTTAAAAGGGACTTCAAGAACTTAGAGCAGCCGATGGAGAAAGGTGATCCCGAAGCCTCCTTACGAATACTTGCTGAAGTGGCAATTCTGATTTTGGATGCAGTTGCAAGAGGCGACACGGGGAAATCGTCTCTTCCACAGGTACCTGGTCACGCCTTCCACCACTACAGCAACAAGAAGTACCCCCAAAACGAGAAGAAGAATACACGAGACCCAGATCATGCAGGTCCAATCCACAAAGCGTCTCCACCCACTTGCTATGCAGGAGGAACAAGCGAATACACTTGTCACAGAGAGTACCAGTTTCCAACAAGCTTTTCTTCTGCAATCGAGGGAATGACGAGAGTGATTTCGGATTACTGTATCTACGTCAAAAAGAAGCTTCAAGGCAACACCCAAGCGGAGTCCCAGCAGCCTTCTTCTTCTGGATCTCAAGCGAGTTCTTCCAAGGAACCACATCATTGGCGGCCCCACAGGAACAAGGGGCCAAAACAGTGTAGGTGTCAGATTGCTGTTGTCGTTAATCACTTCTTGTACGACAGGGACATACCCGATCCCATGTGCAACGCGACGGCTTTTGCCGAGCTTTTCTCATACAACCAGGGGTCGTGGTATTTGGTAGAAACTGGCAAAAAGCTGATCGATCAAAGCGAGCAGCTGCAAGCATTCCCTGGTGCCAACAACATTATGAAGTTTAACGCTATGAAGACGGAGTGGTACCTGTGGTGTAGGCATCAAACTTTCTTTGCTCTTGCATCCGAAATGATGGGCGAAGCTTTCCCCAGGCCTTCAGGCATACCCGATCTTCCAGTAACGGATGAAGAAAAGGAGTACTTTGGAAAGCAAACGAGTTTAGTCTACTGGTTGCGAACGCCAAAATTCTTGGACACGATGGCTACACGGGAAGCATCCGATCAAGAACCAGGGCCACGCCCTCCCGTGTCGCTCGTTTAGCGTCTTTGATGGGGACTTGTAACGAACACGCAGCGTTAAACCTCCGCATCCGACTTTCCCGCACCACATGCTTTGGCAACTCATCGCGGCTCTTCTATCTTCCGCCCTTCAACGACGCTTACCACCTCAGCACTATGCCTATCGTTCCGCGCTTAGCTTGCTCGTTTCTGGCAACGCTCTGTCACGTTGTCTTACTCGCTCTTTTACTCGTCGACAACGTCCATCACGTCGTCACTTGTTCTGCCTCTTCCTTATCCTGCAGCTCGGACATCTCCACTGGGCTCATGCAATCTCGCTTCTCCTCTTCTTTCCCTGTTCTCCTGCTGAGAGTCGGCTCCCGTGGGCTTCATCCACATCACCACCATGCGCTCTCATGCTCGTACTTGGTAGACATACGTAGGCAGCCTTCCGCTGTCTTATTCCTTAGTTTACAATTTCTATTCTTGTCACCTACATCTCGCCCAAGTCCTATCCTCAGCACAAGCATTCGTCCTGTTCTATACTTATGACCCGTGAATACCCCTGCCTATTCCATACCTTATAAGTGGGCAAAAACCCCTTTCAGATGACATGCCACCCCTCCCACTCCCTGCCTATTCTGTCCACATTTGCTCAGGCCCGTAACTACATCTCAACTCAAATTTGATGGAATGCAATGAGTACCATTCGATAGCTAAGATCCTGATGCATCTTTGATGTACTTACATCTGCTCCAGAATCCTTATGGTGCTGCCACTGGATATCTTAGAAGCCAGACCTGATTGCTTCTCATGCTCTTTTCACCTTCAAATCCTCCGTTGGCGGTCATTTTCATAGTCTACGATCGATCAAGTACCTCCAAAACTACATCTAGGAATTCACAAGCCATCTCTAGCTCTGCTCTGGCCATCATTCTGCTGTGTTGAAGTGTTCCTTTGGCCTTGCCTTGGCCTTGGGATCCGATTTTCGAACAGGTCCATCTGATCATTCTGATTAAATGGGCCGCGCGTTCACCCTGCACTGCTGCCCTCACCGCACAACCAGTCTCTTCTATGGTCAAGCGATGCCGTGGATGGTTAAATGGCAGTGTATATGGCGTCTAGTATCCCTTGCGACATCCTCCCACCCATTTTTGCGACTTCATTCGACCCACAGCCGCTTCTTCGCCGTCGGCCATCATAGCGCCCAACTTGACGACCTTCCGCTGGGCTCAAAAGCCATCAAGGTGGACTGATATTTTGGCGCGTATCCTCTCAGCACCCGGGCATCATGATCCCGCAAGGCCGGCGAAGATCTGACCAGAAATGATGTTGCTTGGGAATGTGGTCGACAATGCCAAAACTACAAACTGTACACTGGCTTTCTCGACTCAGTATCTCAATGGCTTAGACATGCCCTAGGGTGTATCGATGCCGCTCATCATTGCTGGATACTCAGTTTGTTGCTGGAATGTCTGCAGAAGGCTGCCAGTCGAATCGCCCACCCTTCAACATCTCAAACATCGGCCGCACATCCGCCAGATCAGTATTTCGAATGCAATGAATGATAATCCAGCATGGCAAGGTGTGTCTCTGATAAGGATCAAGGTGAGCGACATGGATATGCGACATTTTTGGGTCGGCCTTGACGGCGGTGGGTCGATGTTCGCCATGTATGCTTGGAAATCTGTGGTGTCTCTGTCGCATTGGATACAGGTCAAGATGGAACAGTGGATGCACCCTTTTGCAGCGTCTTGAACGGCTTCATCGTTGGGCTGTGGGTGTTTCGGTGCGGGAAATGACCCATTACTGCGACTGGCTTTGGGCATAGCGCATTCATCAGCCTCTAATCCTGCCAGGCATCAGTCTATGAAGATTTCTTATCTTCCAACTATTCATAGTGATTCCATACATGCTTCTACATCTTCATCCTTCCATCTTTTACCATCATTGTCGCCGAAGATCTCATACACCATCCACTGCAGAATCAGGGGCCCAAATCCACAGCAAGGCCTGATGCGCAACCCTTGAAGACCTTACACGTCATCTATACCTTGTTGCAGCAAGTGCGCTCGAGGCAAGCGCAAGTGCAAACGAACAACATCGCCGCGCTCACCCACCTACGACCTGCACAGCGCCCTTCAAAATCTTCCCTTGGCGTTCGACACAACGTAGGATCCTTCTTCATCTTGCTTTTAATGGCTGACTGATAGTATCGATGGAACCCTTGGTGTACAATGCCGTGCATCAACTTCTCATCTGCACTACCTGCTTTTAGGGTTAGGGTTAGGGTTAGGGTTAGGGTTAGGGTTAGGGTTAGGGTTAGGGTTAGGGTTAGGGTTAGGGTTAGGGTTAGGGTTAGGGTTAGG